AACTGGAGAGGTGGTTATCCAGTGTTGTGCAGCACGAAGAGCGTCCAAGAACGAAGCACTTGAGCGATGATTGGGAGTTGTGAAAGTCGCCGATGTGAAACGACAGTTTCTGAGGTTCAGTGTTTATATTCCTACATCTATATTGCAGTTGTATTTACAATCTATTCCAGTAAAGATATTGCGTCTGTGCTGTTCATATAACGATTATATCCTTGTAATTGCTGTAAGACTTGGTTATATGAGGTTGCCTGATCTTTGTACACAACGGTAAACGTGAGATAAAGTAGAAGCAATTAATACATGGAAAACTTACATCACTATTATCCATACATTTCATTACGATATTCCCTATCAATCTCATATACTTTGGAGTTAGATGACGAGCAGCCGTCCACCGCCACACAAATGGTGGCGATACCGCGAGCTATTAGTCTACAACAGAGATAACGGCATGTTACTAGAGATAATTATGAGGCTTCCGCAGAAGAACTGGTTCTATGAATAAGCAGTGAGCGCTCTTAGTTTCACCATGCTAAACCAGTACAAGATGAAGTTTCTCTACTTGAATGTCAGAAGATGGCAATGACCGTAGTTGGTATTCACTTTTTATAACAAAGCATGCCTTGGATCTGAGGGAATGCGAGTACAAGGCAGAAAGACATAGACTAATAGAAAAGTCTCTCATTTTCCCTCTTTCCTCCGCGGGTGACATAACTCATTCATGACACTCATTGCCAACCTCGATAATCGAAAGCATGCCATCGTTAAGTGAACTATATCGAATACATACATAAGAGCTTTAAACCTTGAGATATTCAAAGTCAGCTCATCAGCAACTATCGCCATCTTGTAGTTAGGTAAGAAACTCAAAAGCCGCAACTGTAGCTAATCTTCTTGGCACCGCCAACTCCACGAGTGACAACTCTCTTTTAAACAAGAAAGCAAAAGTATCTAGGCATTAATCTCGCAATTCAGAAAACCATTCACGTTTTATTACGTATTTGACTATGCTCAATTATAAAGGAGTCTGTCTATCAACCGATACTCCTCCATAGCTTTCCCCCGATACAGTCCGTTCATACAGCGCCACTACTAGCCAAGAGCTTGAACAACCTCAGGATTCACCAATTCATAACTCTCTAAGACCTAGAAATCCTCTCTGGCTATTGTTTCATCCACGGAACTTTTGCTTAAGTGCATTTCTTCTTAGTGTGACGAATAGTCACAAGACTTTTACAACCACGCCATAATCCTTCACAAGCCACTGATCAACATTCTCCTCAGCATCATGGCTATGCGTCATGGCTATGCATCATGGCTATTCCAAGAAGCTAGAAACTATCGAATTCGCCCATCGGGGTTACCAGCAAGGCGGTTAACCGCAAAAACTAAGATGTCTTCTAGGCCAAAGCCACCGCAAACGCCGTGGCTTTTTTTTTTTTTTTTTCTTCGGCGGCGGCGCCCAGCGGAGAAACCATGAGATACTATTTCCTCGATAGGTTAATCCTAGAGAGAGTTTTACAATGAGGTAGAAGGGAAGAGCGATGAATAATATTTCTCCGTGTGTATATAAGCCATTTTGATGGCGTTTTGAAACAACGGTCCAAGCGATACTTTTTTTCCCTCGTTTTCGCAATTGCCAAGAAAGGCAGGGAACAGAGAGAAAAAAAACAAGAGAAAAGTGTCCAGGATAAAAGTCTTTCGGGGAATACTTTTTTTTTTCCCTCCCTCGCCTTCAACGGCGATGCCGGTTGGAGCATTGCCGACCTTCTAAGCAAGGGTTTCGGAGGAGTCCGAACAGGGCAAGGGTCCTCTTTCTCAATCCAACCAGCAATGCCGGGGAACTTGATGCAAAAAGAGAGAATCATGGCGTTGAAGAGGCCGCGTTATGCCAAGCTCGCCTTGTGGAGAAGACAAGAGAAGGCTGCAGCAGATTATTGATTGCACTATAACTATACGGAAACCAATGTTAGACAGAGCCTTTGTCTTGGCTAAAAGTCAGTTTGATGTCTAGCGTGTGAGAGTGTGAGTGTAGCATGTCCTTTTTTCATTATAGCAGGCAGCAAAAACTCTGTTATCGCCATGGTATACCATTAATTGGCCATGGCGTTGAGCAAGCCCCGGGGTTGGCGATGACGAAATTGGCAGCTGGGCGTCGAGACTCACGCTTTGGCCATTTGGAGATCAGTGTATGCTGCAGACGCCATGAATGATGTCTATGTAGTGGAAAAGCACAGACGATAATTAAACGAGACTACGGTGCGAGTTGCTCAACATGGCAAACAGTCGTTTGCCAGCTGAACTTGGGGAAGGGAGTAATCTTGGGAAACTAGAGGTCATCTACACAAATGGATGTTGTACAATATCTCGATATGCCGGGACAACTCCCGCTCTCAACCTCCAACTTGTACTTGCCACGTGGGACTAGCAATAGTAAATCATATTCACATCATTCGATTTGCTAGGAGATATTCCTTCGCTTAATCTGTTTCACCACCTCTTGCCCAGCCGAGAAGCGAGAAGAGCCTTTTTTCCCACCAGCAGCCGAGGACGGTGCGGGAAGCGGTGGGCGGAGGGGGCGGTGGCTGTTTTTTGGACCGGGGTGGACGCTAGAAAGCTCGGCGAAGTCCTGAGAGAAGCCATTCGTTTGCCCAGCCGAGAGAGAGAGGGCGTCTGGGGAGCTTCGAGCCGCGGTTCCATCGTTGGGGAGATGCGGCGTTTGCTTATTCAGTTCCTTACTGAACGGATACATGGCTGGAGTGGCGCTGGAACCAGCAAGGCTAGGCTTTTTATCACTGCGGTTGGTGCAAGTGGGAGTGGAGGAGTTGAGGCTGTTGTATAGTAACTGCGACTGCAAGTAAACAAGAGTTGTCGGCGACTTTTCGCTCAGAAGCCTGAATACGGTAAGCAAAGTAAGTAGAAGGGCTGCCTACTGTAACAAATCGCTTTAGGTGTCTCTTTCAAGAACGGCGTTCTAGGTTCAGTATACTAATCATTCAATATACGTTACGTATATCATGCAAGAAAAACTCTGTATACCAGGTATTCCCGTGTCATCTCGTTTCGTCCCCCACCAACCAAATACCTGTTGAATCTTGCATGCCTAGAATTTGGGGGCCAATAGGTAAGAATGAGTTAGATACGGGGGTGGGTTTTCGCAATCAATAATCCAAGCCCACAGCATGTCACGCTTCAAGGAGAAAAAAAAAATTAAGGGCAAGATTTTGATAGAATTCTCCTAGCTTCCTTGACTAGTACGAAGCTTGCTTGCCTTCTTTTCTTCTCTACTTTGTAGATAGTCTCATATAGCTTTGCCAGGGGGGGCCTCTTACCCGCCGTCGACTGGTTTTTTTTTTTGTATCGAGTCAGTTGCCCGTGGGGGTCCGTACTTTTGTTAGCTGCAGTAGAATGATAGCTGCTGCTAATATTGTAGCCATGCGGATTGTGGAAACCAGTGGGCCAATGAGGAGAAATTTTGTCGTCTTTTTGTTATAGTTGTGGGAATTTTTGGAGAGACAGAGAGAAAGAGAGCGGTATGTACAAACGAGCATGTAGTCTGAAGAGTTGGGCAAGGAAGGGCTGTGGAGATGCGACGGGCACATACTTGTACCTTGTACAAAGAAATATTGCCCGTATGGATAATATGGAGCAGGCAGAGATAAAGAAAACAGCATGGAGTAGGTACCGTAGATGCGAATCACCGCTGCCTAGTCCGTTGATAAGTCCAAACTGATGTCATGAATTCAGGAAAAAGATGGTATACTATAGCGGCCATAGAAATGCCACGAGTAATACAATAAGCGGTGATGCCACGGCGCGCAAGCGTCAGGCAGCCCCATTCCATTCTTGATAGAAGGAAGCTCATCTCATCTGCGCTTTGCTACTGTAGAATGCACCAAGCATTGAGAGGGTCCTAAAGAAGTGCCTAAACCAGGCACCTGAGACCTGCGTTGCGTTTGCATTTCGCATTGACGCGCCCGTGCAGCCAATAAGAGGCTTCAACCTGCCGCAATAGGGAAGTCCGTTGCAGTTGCAATCATGACTGTGTCGAGTATCTGATTTCCCATCTTGGAAAGAGTAAAATGAAAAGGGCCAAGAAAGGGATTCAAGCTAGACTTTAGACTTATAGTCGATGCTCAGCCGTGACTGGTCCAAAGACAAAACAGGCGCTTGGAGATGGGAAATGCAAATCATTCGACTAACATGGCAAAACTAAGAAACTAGTACTGCTTTTCCCAGTCCAGTCTGCGCCTCATCTTCTGCCCGCTGCTGCTGCTGCTGCTACTGCTGCTACAGTACCAAAAATGTGATATGCAACGGAGCCGCTGCCTGGGCTTCTGGCTGAGTTCAGAGTCGGCTTGCAGGGTTGTTCCGTGTGGTGTCGTTTTTGACGAGGGCCCTGAACAGAAAAGAGAAAAAGGGGGGGGCGTGTGTGTAGTGGGCCGACTTTACTTATACAAATACTAAATTAGGTCTACCATGGCTTTACCCAACTTGCCGTAGCTACAAGTATGGTTATGTATACAGGCATTAACAAAGAGGCTCAGTCCCAGGCACAAAGTTGAAAGCGAAGCCCCTGCCACTTGGCTTGGTGTTAACTTTTTTTCTAATCTTTCTCTTGGCGCACATTCCTCTAGATGCTCATTTTTTTTTTTTTTCGCCACTGGCTCTGGAAAAAAGGAATTCAATTTCCTCTCCACTTTATTGGGCTGCGGAATCTATCGGCTTCTGGACTCGGGAAGCCCTTTGGAAGGCAATTGGAAAAAAAAAAAAAAAAAAAAAAAAGAGGCATCGAGCAACAGAACATGATTCGCCAAGCAGAGGGGCGTGTGCAACCTGCGACAGAAAAGCAAGGATTGGCCTAGCCTGGCCCAGCACATGGCAAAGGACACGAGCCGTCCAGACTAGCGGTTTCTTGGCGACTCCGTTGCAGTTGCTGGAGGAAAGTCGTGGACGCAGGCGGTGATGATGGCCTCTTACTCGTGTATCCGTGCTTGTGGATGCACTGTAAGTAAATTTAGCAATGATCAAGGGACGACCCTGAAGATGCCCTTTCTGGATACAGTCTGTTGGCCGCCAGTCCTCGTTATCGCCGTTTCAGATGGAGATGCCCGAGATGCTGCACCCGCACCATCGAGTCGAGCCTTGCCGGAACAACAACTAGCTCTGGCTTCCTTGCTGCTTGTGCCGCCATCTGCCGTTATTCCCACGCGCGAGGCCGTGACTATTGCCGGCGGCCACTGATAGTAGGTATTACAAGTCAATGCCAGCTAATTAAGCACCAATGGCTGTGTTCGACTCCTCTCTCACCGCCCAACGTGCCCATGCCTTGTCGATACCTACATAGTGTACTGTAGATAGTATATCGATTGAGGGGGTGTCTGATTGCCTGCCGTGCCGTGGCCCAGCACATGGCTTTAGCGCCCTGTCAAACGTGTAAAGCTCAAAGAGCGCGATGCGGTGTGCTGCCGGAAACGATAATGAAACCCATCGGATCCCCCGGACGAGAGCTCAATAGCTGCTAGCGACTGAGCAGTAGCGCCTGTAATACTTTGTACTCCAAACAAAGCAAAAACCAAAGGGCCAAGAAGCGGTGGTGAGATGCCTTTCGCAGCCGCATAATGGCGGCGGGCAAAAATGAAACCGTCCACCCGACTCATGAACACTGCCTATTTGCATGTTTCCCTCCGTCTCGTCGTCTTCGCAAAGTGGGAATCGCAATATAAAACAGATCCACAAAGCAGAAACTCGACATCACATCATCATCAGGCCACTCGCCCGCCACCCGCTGGAATCCATTGCAACTGATTCACGTTGCGTGGGTAGCACTGGCTGGAGCTGTCTTTGGCAAATGGCACTAGCAAGCTGCCTACGGGGAATAGCAAGGAATTGTTGAAGGAAAAGGGAAAAGGAAAAAGCATAACAGAAGCACTATTGGCTGGGGCTGCCAAGGCCAAAACGGTCGTGCCCACAATAAGCCAGCCTTGCTTGATCAAAGTCTATTTGCTGGCTCGCCATTGTCCCGAATCTTGTCTTATGTCGTCAATCATTCACATAGAATATACTTGTGCCCAGTATAGTAATCATATAACCGGCACTATCATCGCCCGGCTGCGTAGGTCAATATGGGGGATACAAGCTGATCGTCGTTGGAGACAGTACGACGAGTCTGGGAGGTGAGAATGGCGACATTCCACTTGGGTGGCTGGCGATTTGGTAATAGGTACTGCAGTGCTCGTAGGTACCACGATACTGCTCCTTGCGCGGAAGATGGGAGCACAGCGCATCGTACCCCAGCCTGTCGTGTGTTGGACGGGCGTCTCAGCCATGTCGCTGCGCTGCTAGTGCGCCATGCCCCCCGAAGATCGCACGTGTCACGCACGGCAATTGCCATGTGGCATGTTGGGAGCTGGAAAGCGAGATTCGGCCGGCGAGCTGGAGCAGCGGCATACTGTAGGATGGGATAGCCTGGCCAACAGCTAAGAGATACGAGTAATAGAGGTCGTACCCAGTCGTACCAAGGCTGCTGGCGCCCGCTATTGCCGCTTGCTATCAAAAAGATCTTGTCAGCCTTGCCTGCTAGTGAGAGTCGTAGTGCCATGTGCCATCAGCAGAAGTATAGGTAAGACTGAGCTCTCAACCACAGACAACTTACGTGTCTACAAGGTTCAACCACTCACCGGCATGGGCATAAGACTATTGTCAGAGAATAGGAACTAATCAAACGACTCCTGCTCTTGAGTAGTAATACTATCTCCTTTAGAAGATGCCACTAACAACTGCAAGCTGCCGGCCAATCCTTCGCTCAGCCGGATAGAGTGATAGGTCAAGGTTGCCAACCCCGGCACAGAGACTCTTTCTGACGACTGTAATCACTGGACGAGAATCAAGGCTTCAATTCCGGTTCGCTCCTTCGGAATGGACGCACCAGTAATACCTACCAACCAGCCAAGCAGACATCTGCAGCCGCAGCACCAGCACCAGCACCAGCACCGGCACTTGGTCAGCGGCTGGACGCCGTGCTGACTAGTCCCGTGGAAGCGAGCAATTCCCTCGGTGCATATCAAACATGAAATGAAGCCTTTCCTAATCGTCGCCGTCTGTGCAACCCTCCCGTCTCGCTGGCGTCGACTCGAGTGTGTGTGTGCCCGTTTTCGGCTCTGTGGGAGTCCCCCTTTTCCCTCGTCTCGATCGTGAGCCGATTGTTGAGATTGGAGTGACGGCGCCCCGATGCAACCGCAACTGGCAGCCAATCCGTCGAAGCCATCCGCCCATCCCATCCACGCGGCGCAGACGGTGGCAGCACGCGCTGTGCGGCCGTTGCAGCGTCGAGTCATCCAATGGCCATGGCCTCTGGGGACGAACAGGACATGCTCCGCTCGCGATCCCTGCCCTGCGATACAGCACCCTTGCACACGCCCCCCCCTCTCTGCAGCGACAGGGAATGGCAGCGGCTTTTGCTGGCGGGCTCGTTGTTTTTTTTCTCTCCTGCATCTTCAAGCCCACGTGGCACGATTCCGTGTGGAGAAACAAGTCCACCGGTTCATCTACTCCCTGTTTCTGACAAGCCCCTCGCTTACATGCATACGCTCTTCCCTGCCGCCGCGCTATAGCGCTATGTCCACTGGCAGTGAATGAATACTGTACTGTCTTGAGGAGAGTGAGAGCTTCAAGCTGTCTGTCTGCCTGTTAGCGCCCTCTCCGCAGCCAATGCCGTCGCGGCGGGTGATGTGATGCATGGCACGCCAAACAGGCCAGCAGCGCAATTCAACGCCCTGCGAATTGATAAAAGGCAAAAGGCCGCTACAGAGCCCAGAGCACAGAGCACAGAGACCCCTTGATGCTCGCTCTCGAAGCAAAAACGTGGCGTCAATACTGGTAGCCGAGCGAAAAGAGGCGTCGCCCATTCGTTGCCAGCCACAGCACCGCACAGCACCGCACAGCACAGCGCGCCCTACTGACTGACGTACAAGTCAATGCCAATCCACTTCAGGGTCGCAATTTGTAATGGCAGCCGCGGTACGTACCCCGCAGGGCTGCCCTGGAATTCCAGTCCATCGTCGATTCGGCCTATCAGACGGCCGACTTGTAATGCCGATTGTCAGTTTGCAGATGGAGGCAAAAGCTGCACTGAATCATTCACGCGAGCTTGCAGCTTGGGTCCTTTCTCCAGGTCCCGGTTTTTCTCTTCATTTTTTCTTCTTTCTGGTCCTTTTCGCTTTTACTTTTACCCATTGCCTGGCCAAAGATGATGTGAGACTACCGGTATATGAGCCGAGGAGAAAGGGAGAAAGGAAGCACGAAAAGCCAAAAGGCTTGCCCTCGATAGGGTTTTGCACTAAAGGCGGTCTGTCTGTTTCCAGCAGCCTCTTCGCCAAGGCCTCAACGGGAAGTGGCAGAAGCATTTTTAAGATGCGCTTCACCTAGATCTACCACGTGGGATCCATCGGAATTGCACGCAAACAAGTCTCTTGCGTTTAACGGGGATCTCGCCGTGGAAGCGCCATTACAGACATTGCAAAGGCCAAGAGCAGAACCGGGGCGCCCGCCGGGCCATTGAGAGCTCCGGCTACTCACCCCAAGCTTTTGGCCAAGCCGGCGCCGTTCGTCTCCGCATCGACTGACTGCTTGGAGCGCCACTAATTCTCTGCCTTGTATGATCTTTTGTCGTGCGGCTCTCGGGTAGGCACAGTGTGGTGCAGATCCCCCTCGCGAAGCAAGCCTTGCGTTAGCTGCCATATCGCGTACCCTACTGTACCTTGGCAGAAAGAAGGTCGTTGACCATGTTGAACGCCCCAAGCCCAACCTAATCCAAAGTTGCCAGGATGACGGCTTACTGCATATTCAACTAGCCAGCCGCAGACTGCAACTTTGTGTTGCAGCGCCCGTGGAGTGTTTTTTTGGCAAGGGAAAACGGAACAAAACACTTTTAAACAGAGCAGGGGGAGCCCTATGGCCTACTTGTAAAGGACGAGCCCAGGTGGCATTCGTCCGAGATGCCGCGTCTCTCTCGGCCGCCAGCGTCAGCGCATCGGCCGCTCAGCAATATGCCCGATCTCCGGACCTGACGGCGACAGGGATTTCGGGGCTGGTCAGAAGTCGAACGCATGACTTCTCCTTCCGGCTACAGAAATCATGCCAGATACCAGTATGCAGGTGCGCATATAGCGTCGTGGTGATGTGATGTTTGGACACCAGATAACGCACACCTTGTGGAGAAACCCGTAAAGACAGCACGCTCTGTTTTGCTGGGGGGGGCGGGAGTTTTGGCAGCATCCGGAGTTTTGGCTTACTTTTTGACAGGCTCGGCATTATAGAGTTGTTGGTCCTCATCTGTTGGGCGCTCTGGCGTTCAGCCTTGCATCCCGCCCTGTGATGACACGGGATGATGGAGCTTCGAGTGGCTATCTATCGAGAGCCGCACATTTACACGTAATACTGTGATCCAATCACGGCCTAGGGGCGCTTGCCAAAGTATGTAGACACATGGCTCTATGTGGCAGCTGTCAACTGCCGCTACATGTCAATGATATCCCGCTTCCCGCCATCTCAACTCTCCGGCCAAGTCTGATTCAATGGCATCCAAAGACAAGGATGCGATGGAGGGTTACGCAGTGGCAATGGAGCGCCCGCTCGGATGCTTCTCGCGCAGTCGACATGGCATTTGGACAACCGTGCCAACTACGCCATGTGGCAAACCAGGGCTTGGTTCTTTCTCGCGAGCCTTGTGCCTATTGACGCACCTCTTATTAGACGGCACACACCAAGTAAGTATACATGTATGTAGGTATACAGATGAGGTAAACCCCGACACCGTCACATCGCGCACCATGCCAAACGGCCAAGCAGCATGTCCATAGGGCCACTAGCACGTCAATGGACAAGCTGCAGCTTCCAAACCCCGCTGGAAAGGACAAATGGCAAGAATTGATCCCATTGCATCCGAGTTATTTGCCTCCGACCCTGTTTGATATTGGTGTATAGTTGATGGACTCATGACACCAGACGAAAAAAGGCCGTTGGACATGGCTACCCTACATGATGCGAGATATGCCGGGAGAAATCCGAGGACAGCCTTCTTGTTTCCTGTCTCCCACGTGAAGATACTGCCCTACACACATGTCCATACCTGTGCCAAGATACAAGTAGGTATGCAACCGTGGTGGCGTACTCATATAGACTAGATACGTACTGCCGAGGGAGGGCAAATTGAAGGAGAGAACACCACCGCCCCGAGACATGCATAACCATCCATTCCAATGCATATGCCCATGGCTTGGTCGGAAAGAATCTCGGGTCGAATTAACACCGGCCTTTTGCTACGGGCTGCTTTTACCAAGGGCTGCCATTTAAAAGCAATAGTCAATTCTTGGCGTGCCTTAACGCCATGGCCATGTCGCATTTTCAACACTGAATACGAGCTCGGAGCCGCAAGAGAAGAGATGGAACTTTTTGACTCTGCTTTGTCTTTAATTTCAAAAAGACGCCCGCCAATGAGACTGGTAGGGCGCTGAACTGTAACATGCCATTTCTCATTTTTTTTTTTCCTTCTCAAAGGGCAGACAAATCACAGAAAAAGAGAGTTTGCAAGGCCAAGATGTGGCACGTAAAAGCGTTAAACCGGTCCACGTGTGCGACTCTGTGAACGCCTTCTTACAACGTGCACTTTTTCTTTGCGTGATTGTGAATATGCCAGATACGGCATCACAGAGGTAGGTACATGTATTGGTACTCAAACTCTATACACATGTCGGTATTTGTTGGCGCAAATAAGATACAAAACGAGCATACGGAGTAAGCACCCGCGACAAGATGAGCGGCCTTGACAAGATCTCGCCTTGGCAGATCGGCCTTCGCTCTGCTACCCTCAAAAAGACCACATACATGGCACCACATGCCGATCCAGCTTAAGGCTTAGCTTAGCGCAAACGTGGCCTGGCCCATAGCTGCGTCAAGCGCTCAGCGTCAATACGACCTAAAAGCCAAGCCGCAATATAAGCTCACCTCGGCATTTACAGCGCGCCGTTTACGTTGACTCGAAGCTTGATACCCTCCTGAAACAGCCCGGCATGCAGCAGCAGCAGCGCAGGATTACAAGGTCAGCCCCCAGCGGTGATGCAAAGAGATTACCGCTAGGTCTTGACATACGTTCTGCATGATTTTTTTCCTGTTTTAATTCTTTTTAGGTTCTTTACCCTGGGACTGTGAAGGACGCAAATGCAGATTCAGCTCAATCTTTGTCACACCGCTACATGCAATAATCATCACCATGGCCATGACAATCCGTCAATCCTTCATCTTAGTGTAAGAGCAGTTGGTGCCGCGGAGAAAATGGGCAATTTGTTTGCTCGCAGAATGTATTGGGCCATGTATAAGCCGTCCTAGGGTTCCTCCTCTTGATTAAATACTTTTTTTATAAAAATATACCTGTAGCTCTCCTAGGGGAAAATCAATAAAAAGCACGGCCCTCGACAGCTGGAATACGATCAAATTGCTGATGACGCATGGTCCGTGTTGTCCTCTCCTGATCTCAGCTCTTCTCTCGTGTACTGTTCCCTCCTGTGTCAAAACCACCCCCCTGGGTCTACCTGGTTTCAATCACAAAACTGCCGCCAGCTCCGAAATTCCCTAAATAGCTCTCCCTGATCAGCCTTTTCCATGAAATTTTAGGGTTCGACTCCGATAGGATCATCTTTTCCAAAGAAATTAAGCTTGACGCCGCTCTCGGCCATCGCCTTCGCCGCCGCCACTTGCAGGCTGTGCTTTGTTCACCATTTTGCTTTTGCTTTTACCGTCTTATGCGTCTTGGTCCTTCCAAATTACGGCTGAGAACGAATTGCTGAGAGGCTTGCTTTTTTTTTTTTTCCTTTTCTAATTTTACGTGACCTACCTTTTACACTTTCACACCTTTTTATTCTGATTTGTCTATTCTCGGTGGATTGCCCGTCAACAGATTGTTACAGCCGGAGCGAAGGATGAACTATTAGTGCATTGTGCTACAGTGCTCTTGGCAATACAAAGTACCTAACCTACCTGTGGCATCCAGCTCTTCTCAAATTGATCCTACAGCTTGGCCATTTTCAGAGCTGTTGAAAGGGCAAGGCACCGCAACTAAGACCCGAAGGAGACATACCCCGGATTCTTCGCCGCTCTTGGCCAAGTCACGAGTAAGAAAGGGCCAAATGTGAGCAGTGTGATTTTCTCTTACATACGCCTCTTATCACACTATCATACTTTGTATCTCCATCCCAGCACCAGCAGACAAACCCCCCTCCCCCCCCCCCCAACAGCGCAAAGTTGCGTCCGCTCCAAGATGGGCCCCTGTCTTGTTTCGGGGGCGATTTCCACTGAGCTTCTAGAAGGCGTTTACGGGTGGCCAAAGCTCATTGGCTCGTCACAGGGAGGCCCCGCCGCAGCCAAAAATGACAAGGGCCAGTTCCCCAGTGACCACATGACTGTGAAACCCAGAAAAGCGCTGCGTACTATGCAAACTAGCCTGATGCTAACGAACGTTACCCAGTTGACTAAAGAGAGCGCGAAAGAAGCAACAGCCCGTCTAGCGTTGGCAGAGACGCTGTCGTGCACTTGCCGGCCACGTTTTTGTCGGTAATTCGGAGAAAAGTCACGACGTGCGCTGTGACGATTTGCATTTCCCACCCCTTCGGCCGGTGCTCTTGCGTCACTTGTCCTTGCTCCCCTCCCTATTGTGTCTCTTACTTGGCGAACTCCGAAGCCCGTGAATTGAAACAAGCGGATGGGAGGGCAGGTCAACCATTCGTCCGGGTAATATCAGCAGGTTTAGAGGCAAGAGAAAAGGGCACGAAAAAAACCGGTCATAGCGAATCTGCTTCATCACGGCGTCACCGAGTTGCACCGCTTCTTCAGCTAAGAGAGGAGCCGCACCACAGGGAAGGACGAAAAGAAAGACAAAGATCCCGGCCCCTTCAGCTAACTAGCGGTAGTAGCCCTAGGTTCGTATGCTTTCAATTCCTCTTTTGTGTCTTGTGTCATTGATTGGACCACTCGCCTTGCTATTTTGAGATGCACTACGCTCGAAACGCAGCGCATTGCTGAAATACCGATATCTCAAACAGACTTGTTCTGTGGATGGGCCTCTGGTGGAAACCACTAGCTGGCAGCTTCTTGAATTTTTTTTTCCCTTCTTTGCTCCATTGGCGGTGAAGTCGTCGCCATTTTTTTTCTTCTTCCTCGGGTCGAAACACTTCATCACATTGTCGCATCTGCAACTACCCTGGACGGCGTGCATGAATTACTAGCAGCACGCCACATCCTCGATAGTTGAATACGGAACCCGAGCAAAGCAAGATCGGTCATGCCTTTGTAAAGCACGAAACTTGGCTCTGATGACGACTGAGGCTCCCAGGCGGACCATGACAGGATTTTCTGGCTGGTGGTGGCGGCAAAAGCCATGAGGAGAGCCCTGTGCTAGTAGCCCAGTAGGGAGCCTGGCACGGCGCCGGGCCTGTTCTGAACGCAGCCCATCCCTGGAGCCACGCGCCGATCTGGGTCAAACTTCACACGAGGGCGGCTGGCATGATAACAAGTGCGACAGGCGTTGCTGCTCCGACTCAAAAGTCGACGTGCACGCCAGCCAGCGTCAGCTGCCCCACAAAGGGCGCTGGGCCAGTTCGCTCTTCTCGTGGGCCTAGAGGACAGTAGCTCTATGCCTAAGCAGCCGGCGCATCTGGTAGCCCTGGAGAAGACGCAGGCGGCCCGCGCGTTGAGGAGCAACACCAGCCAGGGGCGCGCGACAGCTGCTGTAATTTATTACCAGTCAACACAGGCACGGCATGCATGCGATATCAGTCCTAGCAGCATTGTGTATGTACTCGCCATGGTGGCAGACACGGACGTTGTGCGAGCCAGCAGCCTTGGAAGTTTCCATGGTACCGCTGTAGCGTTAGTACCAGCTAGCAGCGGTAGTTCTGACTGCTGGTGACGCATAACGCACAAGCACCACAGCCAGTAACTCGTATGCGCGGGAACAAGCTCACCTCACCTTTGTCTCTGACTCACGAGGCTGCTGATGGCTCTCCGGTGCCTGTAGACTGTGCTGTTTTTACGGTCCATGTTACCACCGTTGCAACAGCTACTCGTGCTGCTCTGCTGCTCTGCTGTGCTCTGGCAAGCATGCGCGAGGCCCCAAGTGGACACTTCAATTCTCAACGCGCACAAGCAGCAGCACAAGCAGTGCTCCGAGACACTCCCCCATGTTGAACCATGGTGTGCCGCAACCACGTTTTTACGGCAAGCCACATTCTTGTATCCTTGCACAGCGTTGACGAGGACGAGGACGAGGGCAATGCAGCAACCGGGGCGCTTGTGTGGCCACGGCAGAGTTTCAAGAGCCCGGATTAGCGCATACATGGCCATGACTTTGGGTTTCCGTTGCCGAATCAATGACACTGACTTTGTCCATGCATCATCCCATCAATCCCACATCCCGCCTCTGCCAGTAAGAAAACCAAAACAATCGGTGAAGAAGCCCAGCAACAACGCAGTCGTCGTTGCGAATGCTACGAGACACGCTGTATGCCGCTGCATTGACCTGAGCGTCCCCGGACCTGTGCAGCTTCAGAAAGCCAGCGGCTCAGCGGCGGCCGAAGCCAGAAACCAGCCACGGGTCAGTCGGTTCTGCTATTATTGCTGTATGATGGTGTCTGATTTTCTAAATCGTTCGTCTCTCGCCTTGCCTCGCCTTGCCTCGCCTTGCCTCATCTCGCCTGCACCTTTGTCCCACCTGTCGTGCTTCTTCTCCTTAAAAGTTTGAGGACAGAAATAATTAAAGCATTGAATCCGTTGAAGAGAGACCACGGAGCGGTCAAAACGCAAAACGAGCATTGCCTCCCGCCATCCTGAGATGTCAGCCCATTTCTTCAGCGCCTCGTCTCGTTGTCTCTCGCTCTCCTGAGACCGCAGTCGTGCCTCTGCACGGGCTCACTCGGACAACGAGCGAGATCAATTCAATGCCTGCCAGGGTCTACAAGCATTGACTGCGGCGCACACAGTACACGCACCCCTGTAGCCACCCCTCCTGCGGGGCGCTCTACAGGACCCCTGCCCGCTGTCCGCACCCACTCCTCCACCCCAGCGCCACTAAAGGGCTTGAAGTTCAGGCTTCTTGCGTACACGCCCCCCCAAAGCCCTCCCCCCCCAGAAGCTCAAATTGTCCCTCTTTTATTTGACCTCCCAGCTCACTAAAACCTTCCATGTTCTAATTCTTTTTCTCAGATGGCCGTCTTGTCGCAACCTCTCAACACCATCGTCGAGCCTCTGCCTCATCCGCCGGGACAGCAATCCGACCGAACAAAGTCTCTCACGGCCGCCTCGCAATCTGCAGAGCGTCACCTCGACGGCTCCAAATCTCCACCACCAGTCTCACATTCTCGCCGCCACGCCAGCTCCGTCTCCATCACAGGCTCAGCGCCACGCCACCAGCGCACCCCGAGCATCCTCTCACGCGCAGTCGCGGCTCTGGATAGAACCCAGAGCGTCATCGCCAGCATCTCGGAGCCCGTCATCCGCAACCGCCAGTCCAACCCAACGCTCGCCCGTCTCTCGCTCAACGCAGGCTCGCACCAGCAGCTGAGGGACGAGCCCGCCAGCCCCGACAGGCCAGCTGCCTTTAGCAACCCCTCGACCCAGTCTCTGCTGTCAAACCCCGGAGGAGACAGCCAGTCTGCTGCAACCTCGTTTTCATCCGCTCAGCACTCTCCCAGCCAGCCCCCGAACGGGCTGAATTCTGACTCGCATTCTCCCAAGATGCACCAGACATCCTCGCGCTTGCTGCGCATGACCGATGATGAACGGCCTTTTACTAGAGTATGTAGCTCTCCATCACTGGATGATTCTAATCCTCTTCCATCATTATCTCTGTTCTTTCATTTGTTTTTCTTTTTATCTTGTTTTCTTTTTCATTTTTTTTTTCTCTTTTCCTCATCTACTTTTCCCCCGTTCTGTCTTTTCCCCGCTCGTTCCTCTGGAGCGGGCGCTCATATGCAGGCCGATATATGCACCTGCATCGATCTCCTCTACAATGCTATTGGTCTCTCCTTCGCTTTATCTAAGCAACAACAATGTCTGACATGGAAAAATAGGATTTCAAGGATCTCTTCTCTACACTGATCGTCAGCCTTCTGCCACTTGGTTCTCACAGAGTGCGGTTGACAAAGGTGGACTACACTTTCCTCTCTGAAGATGCTATTAACAACCTGGGGTCTCTGAAATTCTCCCAGTCTAACCGCATGCCTGACCCCAAGGACCCCTCAAGGATCGTCACGACGACAACCACCACCACCTTCTCCATGGCCAAGGACATGGCTCGAACAATCTGCCAAAGATTTGTCGATGCCCGCTTCATTGAGTCTGCGGATGGAAAGCTACAGCCCATCTACAACATGAAGGGCTCCGTCTGGCAGCTGACCGCAAAGGGCGTTGCAATTCTGGATCGATTTTGCGGTAGAAACGGAATCCAACAGAAGCAAGTCTCTGAGCTCGTCAACCTCCACTGCTGCTCCCTCGTCATTCTGGAGCGAGAGCAGCACAGCGACAAGATCCTCAGCGATCGGGGCACTGTCGAGGTCATTTTCCGCCGATTCGTCGGCTCCGAAACCCGGAATGTCAAGGCCAACTTGGCTATTGCGGATTCGGACTCGTTGCACGATTACGAAGATGGTCTCACCGGTGTTAAGATGGCTGCTGAGCGTCGGGTGAACGGAAAGGTATACAAAGATACCTTCACCGGCAAGGCTTGTTCGGATTGGTTGGTGGACTGCTGCACCATTGTGGACCGACGGGAGGCCATCGAGATCGCATCCCTCTTCGTCGAGTTTGAGTTGATAGATACTGTGGTGCAGGACAGATCCTTTATGCTCGGGAACCCTGGATGTCATCTGTTCCAGCCCACAAAGTATTCTGTCTACCAAATCTCGCAGCGAGGAAAGGATGTGATCAATGGCACTAGCTCCCGTGGCCGCCCATCCGAGAGCGAGGCTGGAACCGGCTCACAGCGCAACGGTGTCGTCCGCGACTCCAACACCCAGCGCCTCGAGAAGATTCTCAACGACCCCGCCCTCCGCCTTCTCTTCCGTGAGAACTTGAGAGAGATGCACTGCGAGGAGAACCTGTCCTTTTACAAGGATGTCAACGACTTCGTGCAGGGCTGTAAGACGGCTATCCGACAAGCCGAGTCCACACCCTCATCGCAGGCGATGGACATCATCAAAGAGACCATGGCTCAGGCCTACGGCATCTACAACGCCTTTTTGGCTCCAGGCTCACCCTGCGAGCTCAACATTGATCACCAGCTGCGCAACAACCTGGCCACGAGAATGACCAAGGCTGTTGGTCAAGAGACCGGCATGGTGGAGACGCTGCAGGAGGTCACTTCTCTGTTTGAGAATGCTCAAAACGCCGTCTTCAAGCTGATGGCTAGTGTAAGCTCTTACCACCTGTCATATCATGTGCCATCATAATGAATACTAACAATACTTTGCAGGACTCCGTGCCCAAGTTTCTGCGCAACGCCAAGTACGAGCAACAGCTGCAGAACTTCAACATCGACGGCGTCCCTGCACGAGGCGGCGTCGAGCGGAGCCTGAGTCGCTCCAACCGACAGTAATGGCCACCATCTAGGTACATGCTAACGAACTTGGACGATGGATGACAGGCGTGCATCACCCCACGCACAGCCTCTCACGAATGCGACGACTCACCGGCACATGACACCAATTTTTACTCGATTTTTTCTTTCCCCTTTCCGCATGTTTTTTTTTTTTTCCCTTTTCCCTTTAATATTTTGCTTTGTCAAAGGGCGGCACGACTTGATACCTACTAGATTTCTGCTCTCATATCTGCATCGAACCGGTGTTCATAGTGTCATTTGCCACTTGTTTTTTTTTTCTTGTTTTGTTTGTTTTTTCTGTTTCCACGACGCTCGCGTTGCATTTTGTTTTCTTGACACGATTCACCGTCTGGATGGATTCTAATGGTTACTACGACCGGTTGAGAATGTCTTTCTATTTGTATTTTGATTTGGACAAAAGAAAAAAAAGAACGAGAGAGTGGAAGGCGTTCAAGGGAAACCTGGTATAGAAGAGAGGTCACATGGCAACGAACACGGCACAAACATGGCGGCTTGTTTTATGCACGCATTTTTTATTATGTTGCAATTTGACAACTTATGCATTGCTCATAGAAAGGAGGGAGTGGAGGAAGGGGGCATTTGGCCGGAATCGATGGCTATGGCCGCGAATCAACGAAGTGGGCTACTGATCTGCGCGTCGATTCAAACGCGCCACATATCTATCACCCAAGCATGGAAGAGACTGTATGCCTGCGGGCTTTCTGCGGTGGATGGGAAAAACCGAGACACTGCAACGGCGAAGGGCATCGAACAGATGTGGACGATTCTGGGAGTCAGCTGGCACAGATGTATGTTTGAGTACTTTTGTATGTATGTTTACGGTCTTATGAGACCTGCGATGAATGAGAATCGAAGGCGGAATATGCCTGAGTCAAATCAAATCAAACGATTAAAAAAAAAAGGAATAAAACCAACAAAGCAAAGAATTCAAAAGTGCACTAGTCGAATTTCCGGAAAATGATGCCATCGTGAGAATTGTTTTTCTTTTCCGTTTTTTTTCTTTTGCAAAAAGTGCCAAGGGAATGGAGGGAAAATGCGTGTTTGCGGTCGTGAAGCACTGGCCATTGGCATGAAGAGCAATTTGCTTTCGGCGCGCAGCTGGAATGCATGAACTGGTGGTTTTTGCAGAAATTCTTGAGGGGGGCTGGACAGGAACGAAGACGACCCGAAGACGAACTATTCTTTCCTTTGCCGACACGAAATAGGAAAAAAGGGAGAAGCGTATAGTCTGCCTGAGAGGGGTCTAAAAATGGCAATGGTATGTTTTACCCGTTGAGTCTTCCATCTGCCGCTTACAGTATGCTGCTGCTCTCGTCCCTTTTTGTCTTGGATGATATCTGTTCCTGGATTCTTTTTGTCTGCCTTTTCTACATGTCTCACAGGTTTCGTGCCGTAGACGGCTTTGCTAGCAGAATGATCATTCTTTTCTCAGTGGTTGCTTCTGTGTTTGGGCTTGTTGGAGAGGAGGAGAAGGAAGAAGACGTTCCTTGTGTGGGGTTTGTTATGTTTCTGATGCGCAGCATTCGAGGCGTTTGCGGCCTTGTTGGGTGAATGGTCTGATCCAGATGCTTGCATCTTGGCCTCCTCGATTCCATCTATATAAGGCATCGATCTGTCCGTCCAAGATGAGCTTTCTTCTTTCCTCAGCACTCACACAGCAATTCAGCTTCTACCTCACATTCGCTTTCAGCTCTTCCTTCGTTTTTTTCTTTCTGCTTATTGAGAGTTTTCTCTCCAACATTCGTTTCTACACACACAAAACACATTCGCTCTTCTCTTAAAAACACACAAGAAAAACACACACCCCAAATCAAAATGCGTACCTCGGTCGCCGCAGCCTTCGTCTCCATCGTGAGCTTCGCCGCCGCCGGCAGCGTCTACGCCGCCCCGGAGCAGAACAACGCCCCGGCCTACGGCCAGCCCACCAACGCCGCTTATTCCGTCGACAGCGGCAACAAGGACTGGCAGCAGAACAAGGACGAGGGCGACAACAAGAAGGACAGCAACGGCTGGGAAAAGGCCCCCGCTGCGCCGGCGTACTCTGCTCCTTCTTACTCGGCCCCTACCAACCAGGGCTGGGAGAGCCAGAACAAGACTGAGGACAACCACGGCGATAACAAGAACAACAACAACAACAACGGCTGGGAGCACAAGGACGACCAGCACAAGGACGACCAGCACAAGGACGACCAGCACAAGGACGAGGGCGACAAGAAGAACGACTGGGAGCACAAGACGTCCACGTCCAACGAGTGGGACCACAAAGACGCCAAGACGTACGAGTGGGAGCACAAGGACTCCAAGACGTACGAGTGGGAGCACAAGACCGAATCCAAGACCTGGGAGCACAAGGAAGAGCCCAAGACCTGGGAGCACAAGGAAGAGTCCAAGACTTGGGAGCACAAGACCGAGCCCAAGACTGAGTACAAGACCGAGACCAAGACCTGGGAGCACAAGGAGGAGCCCAAGACCGAGTACAAGACGTACGAGAGGGCCACCACCACCACAAAGATTGTCTCCCAGTACACCACGTACTGCCCGGAGCCTACCATCGTGACTGTCAACGAGAAGCAGTACACCGTCACAAAGGCCACCACCCTGACCATCACCGACTGCCCCTGCACCATTGTCGAGGTAAGCCACAACATCCCTTCTCCAACCGTTTATATATCTGTATATACTGACTCTTGCACCACGCAGCCTTGCCCTACCGAGACGGCCAAGCCCTCTCCCCCTCACAGCGAGCCCGTCTACACCAAGAGCGAGCCTGTCTACACCAAGAGCGAGCCCGTCTACCCTCCCCACGGCGAGACCAAGGCTCCTATTCCTCCTCACAGCGAGCCAGCCTACCCTCCCCACAGCGAGCCCGTTTATCCTTCTCACGGCGAGACCGAGGGCCCTGCTGCTCCCACCGGCTACCCCAAGCCCCCTCCCGTCATTGTCAGCGGCGCTTCCAGCTCCTTTGTCCACGTTGGTGCCGCCGTCTTTGGCGCTCTCATCGTCGGTGTCCTCGCTCTATAGGAGGCCATCATGTGCTAGGATTGACACAACAGCTCCTGTTAGGAAAGGCTGGTTGGCGATGAGCATGCATACATTTGTGGAAAGGAAGTTCTTATTTACCTGTGTGGGCCCTTTTAGCTGGTGAGATTTGGGGGGGTTTTGGGGTGTTCGTTCTTCTGGGGATAGATCTTCTTTTTTCTAATTTTTTCTATACTTTCGAGCTGCTTCATATCACGGTGTGGTACTTGGAGTGCCATTTTTTAATTTCAGCATAGAAGGGCATCAAAGTGGGAGCTGTTTGTCCGTGTGAAGACTTTTTCCTTAATCATTGGTTTTTTGACATTTAATCGAATTGATTTTTGCTAAATCTTGCTTCTTATTTCTAAAGTCTTGATATAATTCTCGCTAGTGATGTCTGCTCCTTTAAACCATTCCCTCCCCCTCACAGAGACTTTAGACGATTTCTCATTCGTTTCTGTTGAGGGGACCAGTCTCTTTTCCTACCAACGCCACGCATATAATCCATCGAAATGTGCAATTCAAACATTAACCAAAACCACAGCCCGCATCGCTTTCCAATCGCATTGAGATGCATCATGTTATCCAGCACATGAAATGAAAGAAACTATGACCCAGATATTATAATAAACTTTAAAAAAAAAGAGGAATAAAGAGATTGATATGCCGGGATATAAATCCCATGGGTATCATCACTCCAACTTCTACGCGTACTTTGTCGCCATTGTACGGGGTCCTATCCGGTCCTCTACGTATCCGTAGTGCGGTCCTCTATCTAGCCCTCCGGTCTCATACTGATAGACGTCTGCCTGGTAGGGCTCTGCCTGGTATGCCTCCGCCTGGTAAGGCTCTGTCTGATAAGGCTCTGCTTGGTAGGTATCTGTCTGGTAGGTCCCCCCTGCCTGGTAGGTATTTGTCGTCAGGGATGCCGGGGCCGGCCGTGATGGTGGTGTTTGCCATGAGACTGGCCGCGCGGGTAGTGGTTTTGTCAGCAGCTTATTCTGAATCCTCAGCGGTGGCAAAGCTTGCTGCTGTCGCTCCTGCGTATGTGACGCCTGCAGTTGGGAATTGGAGCCGGTAGCCTTCAAGGCTATGGCGTCGATTAGCACGCCGTGAGCCTTCTTAATCGTCTTCTTGATGAAGCCTGCCATGACCATGTTGCATGTTATAATGACATCCTCCCGAATGTACAGCCCCGTCCGCGGCGCCCCCAAGCCAAGCTCCATCGGCTCCGGCTCTTCCCCGGGCTCAGATCCAGCAACAGACCACTTCTCACGGAGATCGACGCCCATGGGCGCATGGCAGTGAGTCTGCAGACCCGTTGGCAGGTCGTGAAAAGCCGCAGTATATGACACTGCGCCCGTAACAAGGCCGCCGGGAAGGTAGGAGATTTTGTCGGTGATGGAGTACCATGTGCAGACGTGCTCTTCCGGCAGAGCGTGAGGAGGAGGTGGAATGATGTGGCGATCTTGGACCAAGGGATTCAGATCGATCATGTCGCGGTGGTTGTGGAGGAAGTCAATGGCGGTTTGTCGGGAGATGCCCGGAGGCAGGGGAGTGATGGAGGTGAAGACTGTTCGTTTCGACATGTTGGCTCGGCTTTGAGGGTGTCTGTATGGCTCCTCTTCCGCCTTCTCTTTTATTCTCAGACTCTTCTTCTCGTATAACCCTTTGGCGACTGGTGTTTATGCAGAAATGTTTCTTCTCGCAAAACAAAAAAAGCAGGAAAAGAAAAGGCTGTGCCAAGTGGGTTTCAAGTTGGCGTTGCCACTATATAGACTGTGCGGCTGATACAGCGGTCTTATGTCTGATATCACGAGCCTAAGGCGCGGGGCGTTTGTGTGGTGGAGGGGGGGAGGCCTAGGCGCCGTTTCAGAGATGAAGCAAGGGATTCCGCTAAACAGGCAAAGAGCGACGGCAAAGGGATTCTTCAGGCAGCCTGAAAGACTAGGAACGGGGAATAAGGACAAGAGTCGTCCAAAAGGAAGAAAGACAGGGAAGAGTAAATAAAGGTCGATTGGCGCTTTGCTGTGTAATATGTCATATGGCTTGTAATGCGGCCAGTTATAGCAGCAGCGCTAGCCTATAACCGCGAGCCCGTAAGCCTGGAACAGCCGCCGGAGATTGGTTTGAAACTGCCACGGAGAAAGAGATGAAGGCCCCGTTTTGACGGATTTGGAGCAGCGCCTTCGCCTTTGTGCTGACAGGTGTCAGCCCCCGAGCCTGGTTGGCCTGGGCGGGTAACAATTACAAGGGAGCCAACAAGCGCGCAGTGCAGGTCTGGCGTGCGTGCGTATTGGCGCAGTGCGTATTGGCGTAGCGTGTGTATTCGGGTTCTTAATTGACAGCTTGTTGGTCGCAACGGCGCTTTGACGCCTGGCACGAGAGCAGAGAAGTGGAGGAGACGAGAGCGACTGACACGGGCTGGTTCGAGAAGAAGAGGCCCTGTACGCTGTTGGCGTGCGGCTGCAGTGTTGCGTGTAATCGTTGGCGCCTGGTCGCTGTTCGGCGGGAAGATGGCCTGGGATTGTATCGAGGCAGTCGAGCACGTCGGAAGTACGAGGTGCTGCGGTTATGTCACAAATCACCGAATCCCACGCAGACGGGGTCCAGGATGAGACGTTGCGGCTGTTTCTGCTTGTGACGAAGCGAGGCGGTTGGTGGAGAAGCCGGACGAGAGACGCTGCATGTGGGATGTGGGGATGCACGTGAATGGAGCTGCGCTACGTACCTCTGTGTCTTGTGCTTCACACGAATTGTTTGTACTGCACTGATAGCATTCCGGGTTAATAATGAGCATGACTGCACGTTTATCCAGGCAAATCAGCATGAATAGACATTCCGCAGCCAGGGCACCTGTTCCCCTGCTGGGCATCTCCAACGCTCAAATGCCTCTTCTCGTCCGTCCATTTCTTGAAACAGGCTAACGCTCCTTAGTCAGCGACCAGGCTACGCAGCCGACCTTACTCAATCGCAGTTTATTCTTAGAATTCGTGGCTGTTTTTATTCTTGTCCTTGCCTGCCAATCGAGGCTGTGCTTCTTCTCTCCATGCGCCACACGCTGGCTTACCCGATTTCACGTGCTAACCTCACATGTACATCCAACTCATCTCCAGTCCACAAGGCTGAGCTAACAAGCTTCTCTTTTCCCCGGCTCTTGTAAGAAAAAAACTTCCGCTGATGCGATCAACTTCCGCCTATCACCCCATTTCGAAACGGGCTGCAGGTTGCTTGATCTTATCTCTACATCCATCAAGGGACCAGGAAGCTGTCGACGTATGTAGTATTACCGAATCTGCGGGTGCTGCGGGTGCTGCGGTGCAGGCTCGTGAAAGCAAGGCCTCGGATTTGTCAACATCACTCTTCTCTTCGCAAAAGCCCGAAAGATGTCGTTGTGTGAACACTAGCTTGGCCGAGCGTTTGCCGTTCTGGGCGACACATTCTTCTAATAGTGGGTGCTGGCTGTATACGAAATGCCTCTTTTGGAAGTTTATAGATTGCGTTGCACCGAATTGTCGGGTGGAAGTATCCGACAAGATGCGGCTAGTCCGATGAGATACATACATGACTGTGTTTCTTTTTTTTCTACTCTAATGATACAATTTACGCTTCTGACAGGGACGTGAAATGTGAATATCTCCAAGGTAATTCGATTTGGCCATACTAGTATCTGATGTATAGGCATCCAGCATAGGTAACGGTATCATTCATTGCCCGCGTTCAGAAACTCGGCTTTCAAGTTCATCCCAACGGCCTGATAACTGACTCTTACGCACTCTCCTGCTATCAATGCTCTCAACGAAATTCAAGAAAAAAAAAATGACAAATGTAGAAAAATACTGAATCTGGAAATCCTCTAATACATATATATCGCCTTTTTTGCAAAATCCCCATTAATAAAGCATTTAGCTCCGGCTGTCGGCCAAGAGGCTCTCGATATCCGATCCCTAAACCCAAAGGGAACCGAACCACAGAAAAAAGAACATCATTTAGCCCGACGGCGCATCATCAAAGCCGCCTCGCTCCAACTCGATAAAAAAAACCTCCTATTGTTTGCTCCACAGCTTTTTCGACAAAATATACATTTTATATAGGGAAATTTCCATTCCATCTCGTATACTAGCGAATTAAAACCCACAGCCTTTTTCTTATCTCGCCCCCACTCGGCCTTCCCTTTGTGCTCGAGTAGAACGCGGTGCAGCGGCGTTAATACAACCTTAAATTCCTTCTTTTGACCAACTTTGTCATCCCTGAAGCCGGGTAATGGGCACATTAGTTTGTCCGACTGACAAGCCCGTGCGGTGAAAAATGCGTACAGGAAAAAAAAAAAAAAAAAGAAAATCGGCCCGCCATCTTATTGACCAAAATCGAATTTGGTGGGTTGTGATCCGCTGTATACTGTAATCATTGCAGCAGAGATGCGCAAACGACGGGACATCTTTCTGCGTTTTGCTTGACGGTTCGGTATATAGTGACAGGGGCAGAGGGGAGGGTCCCCGGTCTTGAACGTACCTTGACAATTACTCGGCCGAGAGACGCCATGTTGCTCCGGTTATGCCCTGTCATCATGAGTTTGAGATGTGTTGCGTGTAAGTGTGGCAGTACCTGCTACCAGTGGTAATCATTCTAGTCATAACCATAGCAATAAGGTGGTAATTAATATGCCTAGTTGTAATAATCGTAGAATTAACGTGTCCAGTAGCAGCACTACCTGCCTTTGCGTGTTTCCTCAGTATGGGACGGCCCGTTCCATTCCAACCTTTTCCCCCACAGTCTATGATATATGAGTGCCGTGATATTTCATTCGTACATGCGTATGCCTTTTTTTCTCAATAGGACAAGAAAAGGAGAATCCCCTCATAACAGTGCTCAAGTCGCAAAACAAGCAAGAAAATCGCAAGAAAAAAAGGTGGAAAACATGAAATCATATCTCCTTACACCATTTCGCTAAAACCGTGCTCAGCTTCGTGGCAGCTGGGATTTCCTCCAGAGCCACGTCCACCCTCCACATCTTTGCTTCCAGCCCTCCATGCCCTTGACTCCTGCTGCCAGCGCCCACGCCAGCCGGAACCAACAGACCGAGGGTAACAAGCCTCTCCCACGCCACAGCCGCCACGCCGCGACTCCAGACTCTCGCATTGCCGCCTTGAGCAAGCATGCCCGCCGTAGCCGATTGAACGCGTTGTCGTCCCGCAAGAGCGCTATACTCATCGTACGCCATGGCAAAGTTGACTGTGTCCGTGTCGGCGACAATATCAAGCCGTGCCGCCGCAATCAATAGCCCGAGGTCGAGATCTGACAGCGTTGATAGCAAATGCAGTCGGGAATCCGGTGCTGTTAGAGACGTCAAATTTGACCCGACGGCCGGTATCTCAAGATTTGGGTTGCCCGCTGTGACCCATGAAAGCGGCAATATCCACTCATTATAGAATGCCGACGGTGACTTAGTCGTGTAGTAGTGATACTGCAGCAGGTCCTGAAATGCCCGCTGCTTGTAAAGATCCTATACGCCGAGCTGTTGTTAGAATACCGGGGGTTGTCGATTGTGGAGAAGGAGAAAAAACACTAACCTCAATCTTGTGATCCCAATACGCCTGGAACTCGGGAAACCCATCAATACTCCGGTCCAGGCCCTCTTCCTCCGGCTCAGCATCTCCGAGCATCAGCCCCTGTCGGCAAACTTGCCAGAAAGCCGCTAGGTTCTTGGGAAGCGACAAGTAAATATATCGATGGCTGAATCGGCTCTTAACTCTCTTCTCTAGCATCTCTACCACGTCAAGGCGGGCCGTGCAGCCCAGAACTGCAATAGGCGCCTTTCGAGACTGTGCAATGTCAAACAAATTATACAAAAGCGTCTGTCGAGGATGCGTCGCAAATAGGTCGAATTCGTCAATGATGAAAATGACAGACTGCGAGGTGAACCCTTCGTCTTGTCCAAGAATCTCAGAAGGATGCGACAGCAGTGCTAATAACGATGCCATGGTATCTGCATAATTTGACTACACAGAGAGAACAGTTGTTAGCGAAACGTAGAAGCCGTGATCCAAAGAACCTATCCAAGAGTTCATGCTCACCCGACTCAGCAAGTCGTCATCGACCTGCATTTCCTTTCCAAGCTGCCGCCAGATTTCCTTCAGTGCTAATTTATCATCTGTGTGAATGAACCCGTTCAGCCTAACAACATGAAAATCTTGTCGATGCTCTCGTGACAGGTCGTTGATAATGTTATTGATCATCTGAATAACTGTCAGTAAGAATGGCATACTTCAGTATACGGGTGTCATATGCATACCGTTGTTTTGCCACACCCTCTGGGCCCAATAAGGAGCATAGAGTTTCCCTCGCCCGCCACAACAGTTTGCTCGACAAGCTGATGCGCCTTCTCATACTGATCCTGCTGGCCAAACATTCGAATCGTCCTGCGGCCGTTGCATCGATCCAGGAGGACCCTCTGCAGGGCACGCAGATGATGGTCTAGATTAGGAATATCCGGTACTTCGATGGCAGGAGTAGGCGTAACAGTTGTATCGGCAGCTGCGTCAGGGGCCTCTTCCTCAGTGGGTTTCTTGGCTATGCCCAGCGCGTCTTCTTGTGCACACGAATTGCATAGCCAATCGCCGTCAGGAATATCCCGCACACCATAGCACATTTGATGAACTGCAAAGTCGCAGTTGTCGCATAGAATAATCTCGTTGGGCGCCTGTGACTCAGGCCGAGAGCATACACCACAGACAATCTCATCTGTAGCAACAACAGGCTGGGCATTTTTAGGTTTTCGGCCAGGCTTCTTTTTTACAACCGGCTCTTTTGGTAAATCTTCAAAGAATATTTCAGTAGTAGCTTCGTCATCGCCGCCTTTATTGAAAGAAACATTTTTCTGTGGCCGAGGCCCTCTGTTCTTAGATGGCGATAGTATACTCTTCGGCGTGGTTCCAGTACTAGTCGATTCAGCCAGCCGTTCGTTCAGGTTGAGGCTTCGGCTCTTCAGAGGGCTCATGGAAGGGTATTCGTTTGTCGAAAGTTCGTCCGCAGTGTTATCAATGATACCATTGGAAAGAGGTATAAAATCGAGGCGCCTGATCGAGCGCACCGTTGAAGGCGATTCGTGAGGCACGGCAACGGCCTGCGGCCTCTCTTCTTCCACGGTGACATCAACATTTTCCTCGTCTTCTTCTTTTCCGAAACTGCTTCTTGCTCCACCTCTGCCTCGGCCTCCTCTACCGCCTCTGCTGCCTCTTCCCCTTCCCCTTCCCCTTCCCCTGCCTCTGCCTCTGCCTCTACTTGGGCTAGGTCCTGGGTCTGTTGCCGAGCTGTTATCTGGCTCAGTCACCACTTTGCGCCTGCCTCCTCTCCCCTTTTTCGGTGATGATGCCCGGTCCCCCTCTCCTGTATCCCATTTTGATCCCAGTAGAGCTGCTAGCTTGATTGCTGGTCGAGCCTTGTTCGGTGACGTCGCAGACAGCGGTTGTGATGGCGGTTTTGGCAGGGAGACACCCTTCTCGACGCCTTCGTTCTGGGTCTCTGAAGCCTTTTTACTGCCGTACCCAAAGACGCTCGATATCGCCGAGGTGAAGGAGCTCAGGGCTCCCTGCGCCGGGGGCACATCTGCATTCTCCTCATCGACCTTGCGCCTCTTGAAAGCGCTTGTTGGCGCTATGGCTATTTCATCTTCGTCGAGGCTTCGCTTGCGACTGCTAGGAGACGTATCGAGATCCATTGTTCGGCCTGCGGCGGCAAAGAGCGCTTAAAAACGCTTCAGAACTATACAGCTCTCACGGCTATACGTTTATAAATCAGGCAAATCCGAACATTGCGTTATTTGACTGCTCCCGACCTCGAAAAGCTTGAAACATTGACCGGCCTCCTCGCAGCGATTTGAGAATGGAGGTTGGTTAACCTAGACTTGTTAATTAATTCGAACACGCGTGGCGCGTTTTCCCGCTGGCGCGTTAATTTAGCGCCGCTGTGCCGGTTTGGTACGTTCCTCGCCCAGTGCCCAATCAGGCAATTGTCGTTCCCTTGGAAACGACGGTCTGCTTTTCTTCACTCGTAATTGTCGAGATAAAATCGCTATTGTGTATGCGTAGTTGAATTAAAATATAGAATTAGTAAATATTGAGATTGGGATCTTATCTGAATTATGGCGAATCCAAGCGGAGACCGTATGAGGTATAACCCTGGGTCAACTTTACGTTCTGAGCGGCAGGATGATACTAGGAAACGTAGACCTTGGAAAGACAGCTATTGCGCTTGGAAAGATGCTTTCAAGTATCAAAAATAGCTAATTGAATCATAAACCTGCTAAGGTGTGAATTACTACTTTCATCCCGCTCATCTTATCTCGAGAATAGACCCAGCCCTCCTCCGGCCATGATATACACACACGCCTGCGCCGCCGCTTTTGTGACGTTTATTGGCCGGGCACATTGGACTCCTAGGCAAATGTTCCGGGACATCGAATTCAAATCTACCGGTAGAGCCACTGTTGGCGTCGAGGAGGTCGCGGCGACATCCGCGCTGAGGTATCTGCTCCCACCACTCACGAGGTTGAGGTGCCATGCTACTACTACTATGAACACCGTAGCGTTTCGTAGAGCGTACTGACGCCGGCGCTGTTTTTGTGTTGGCCTCGCCATCTGGCATAGGGGGCGTCAAAGATGTGAAGAAAGCGCGTGGCTTGCCATCTGCCGTATCTTCGTCCATTGGTGGTGTGCTCACCCGAACGGCCTCCTATGAAAAATGAGCTGATGACAAGTCTGGGATAACGTTGAGAAGGGGGGAAAAAAAAACTAGGGTTAGCTTACTCCTCCGGGAAATGGGCTGGTTGATAAATTGTAAGTACCTGATAGTTTGCCAATTAGTCTCTAGAAATGACACTCATTGATATAAAGGAAGACAATGTTTACGTACTTGTATAACTTAAGCCATGGTTTGCAGGAGTCGCAGGTGGCGTCTTGCCCTTGAGCACCGATCGTATGGAGCTGGAAACGCTGGTTAATGACTCGGCAGATTCCTTTCGATGCCACGGTGCTCTGCCAAAAAGCTTGCGGCCAATCCTGGATGTGTGAAGCTCATCTTTGAACCACGTTCCTGACCTGCTGATGTTTTGAGCAGCGAGAAATTTCTTGGTGCCTTCAACCGTTGCTCGCGTCTGGCGATCTTCGTCAAAAGTCAGATTGATGCAAGAAGACTTTGTTGAATATTCAATATCTGGACGAATACCAATGGCTGTGGGCTGATGGATATACGAGTCATCATGGTGCTTTTGCTTGATCTTAGACTCGATTTCTTTTTTAGCCCTCATATACAAGAGTCTGGGTGAAAGCAGTGGCGTTGTCGGAGGTCCTGTTTTTGGAAATGATTGGGCAAGGCTCTCAGGCGAAGGAATTTCGGGAACATTGACCAAGCGATGGCTCTTTGAGCTAGGCGAGACCACGATGCTTTCACTTGACTGTTGGGATCTTGGCAGCGTCATCGCAACAGCGGCTGGAGAAACGGGCTCAGTGGGGTGTTGCAGTGAGAAGACATGATCAGACTCGGACAAGTACGGCGTCCATACTTGCTGAATGGCTGGAAGATCGTGTCTGGGTTTTTCATATCTCGGTCGCGGGCCAGACATGGAGTTGAGCCGGGATGCATACAGCCCGTTATGCAGCGCATCCGTCTCACTTGCAGATTTGGTTGATCGCGAGCGCCATTTCTAAAAGCGAGCGTTGGAGCTGGCATTACTCTTGCGAGAAGCGTTTGCTGCCAGTTGTCTCTCCGCCCAATAGCCCTCCGGAAACCAGACCTACTCGTATCCCTCGCGAGGCGGCCGTGGCGGATCGACTCCAAATTTCAGGTTGGGAGCAGACAAGGAATCAGACCTCTGTCTGCCAACTCCTGAGCCTGTTGGGGAAGTTGAGTTTGTAAATGCGCCGTCTTGCATAGCCCTCTCCCAAGGCGTAGATCGAGGAGGCTCGTGGGTGATGTTGGAGGGTGTCGCAAACGTGAGGAATAGGAACGGCGGACCAGGTTGAGGGACTGGGAGATTGAAATAGCTGCAGAACATGATTAGCAATCTGATTTAGTTGCCATGGTAATATCTGTGAGGCTGGAGCGCACTTGACATCCTGACTGGCCGATGTACGGCGCGCTGAAGAGCTCTTTGCATGTCTGACTTCGGACATGTTCGATGCCTATTGCGACAAGATTGGCGACCAACTCCATATATGCAAAAAGACGAAATCAATTACAAAAATAAACTTATGAAACAAGAAGAAAAAATGCTTCTAGGGTCGAATACAAGCCTAGACGAGTGAAGTGGATGATGAAATAATTGGTTGTAAAAGAAGTAGAAGAGCTGAAGAGAAAGGAAGGGGGAATATCGAGTAACTCTTTTTAGGGAAAATCTGTTGTATTAGGATTAATGAATCGCTTAACGAATGTTAGTAGGAATGATAATGTGGATGGGAAACGATGTGCAGAGAACTTTGGTCATTTCCATCATGTGTATACTAAAAAATCAAAGAAGACTGGTGGAAGGCGCATACTCCAGTTGTTGCCACCGAGAAATGAGTGTTTGTCAAGACAAAAGATTGATACCCGCAGTATCTTATCGCTGAGAGATGATGTATTGCTAGGATATAACTTTTTATTTCATTCAACATGGTGTAAAAATTCTTGGATTATCGCACTAGACACGTCTCGTGAGACTCAATCCGGCTGTCCTCATAGCTCAAATATCCATTATAATAGCTTCCCTGATCCAATTACGCCGAAACTCCATGCATGTTCCCATCAAACGCTGTCGTCTGCTTTTTGTAGCGTTCATGCATCCATCTCCATTGTGTCATCGCCGTCCAAAGCCATGCCTTGAGGCTCCAGAGGCACTCCGCGACCTCGTCCAGCCAGCAGTTCTCGTCGGACTTCAGGGCCAATGGCAGAGTGACCGTGCGTCAGCAGCAGATCGAGAAGTGCCTCGCGCTGGTCCTCCGTGATATCGCCCTTGTACCTCTGCGCAAAGGCCAGTAAGCTCTGGTGCCAAATAACGGGCAGCTTGGCCTTGTAATCTGATCCGCTCATGACAACCGTCATGCTGTCACCGGCTCTGGCGGAAGCAGGGTCCTCGGCACGGAATCTCAAGAAATGGAAGACCACAGCGTCGATGGCTTGGTAAGGAAGGGCATACTTCTTCTCCAGCAGAGTCTTGATGAAGATGTTGGTCGCGCCACCGCCTTCGCTACCCTGAGAGGCCTCCTGCGCAGCAATATCGCAAAGACCCTTGATGGCTGCGGCAGAGTGCAGCACCGGGATGGAGACTCGCGCCAGAACAGCGGAAATGATGTGTGCCTCTCGAAGAGTGCAGGTGCCGCTGCCAATCAAAGGAAACAGGAAGCCCTTGAAGAAAGCGGCGGGCTTGTAGAGGCCCTTCTTGAGAGAGTTGAATAAGTGGACATTGAGCTTCTTCGTGTCGTAGATGTCCTCGCGCACCCTCTCCAGAATAACCATCTCGAGGAATCGCTGGACAACACCAGGCTTGGCAGAGACGAATATTCTGGTCGCTTGGTAGCAGGCGTTGGGAGTCCAATTCTCGGGCTTGGTGATGTCGATAATATCCTCCCAGTGAGGGATGGTTGGAAGAATCTTGAAAGGCTTGGGAAGCGGTCCGGACTTGTAACGAGAGAGGATTTCGCCGATCCTGATGTTTTTGTTAGCGCCCGATTCACAATTGCCCGACGGAAGTGTTTCGAGGAATGGTGGCAATACTTACTTGGTGTATACCTCTACAACCTTGGGAGGAAGTTCATAGTCGTCGTCGGGCGCGCGAACATGGCCTCCGCCAGCCTTGGCCGCTTCATGGGCAGCAATCTTCTCCAAGATGAGGTCGGCCAAGTTGACCGAGTCCCCTTGAGGCTCTCCAGAGCCCTTGAGATCCCAGCCATGTTTCAACAGGTCGTCCTCCTCTTCGCCTCCCATGAATTTTCTGTATGTATCAAGGTCTTCAGGATCAACCTCGACATCCTCGAGCTCGACATCATCCTCCCCCCAGGCCTCCTCGTCATCATACGTCTTATGCTCTTCCTCTTCCTCGCCGAATCTTGAATCATAGCCAAAATTGTCCACTGTGGGCCTCGCTGTCGGTCGCTCAGCATTTTCCTCTTCCATCAGCTCGCGACCTATCCGCAGAATGTTCTTCGAGGCCTTGGAGTCCACGAAATTATCCTCGGATTCTCCAGCCTCCTTGGACTTTCTCTTGGTAGGCTTGTTGCGCAGAATGCCGGTCGCCAGAACATCATCTTCCAAAGGGTTGTGGCGCCGCCCAGGGCGCGAGGCGGTAGGAGTCGTTGCTTTGGGCATATTGAACTGTTTGGTGTTGTACCTGAGATTGGGTCTTTTGGAGTGCGAATTCTTGCGCCGGGTCCGACGACTCTTACTTGGTGGGCAGAAAATCAAAAATTTGTGTCTTATCGATCTGCCACCCCTCTCGTCGAATAGGGATTAGCGTGCTACGCCAAAGTGGTATACTTGCGCCTCACCGCCTTTGGACCCTGGGCAGCTGGAGTGGTGAGATATCATTCTTGGAAGCAAAAATGTTAATGAGAGCTCTTTTTTGTTGAATCCCAAGAGGAAATAACGGATGATTCAAGTAGCAAACAGAGTCTTGAAGAGGTCTACGTTCTAGGACAATGTGCTTGTTTGCCAGCATGGTGAATTGCATCAGTAGCACATTCTACCCGGCTAATGCGCTATGTCTGGTTGTCGAGATATTAAGATGAGGTATCGATGAGTCTATAATGGATATCTAGGTGTGTAACCAAAAGCATACATTTATTCTCATGAACCTTCAATATCGAAAACTTCCAAACAACTTACAGCTGCTTCTCGTCTTATTGGAACTACTGCTGCCCAAAACGGTTTAGTCGCCCAACCTGACGTCGTTCCAAGGCCTTCTTTTTCCACCCCACTATTATCAAAATCCATCAAAAGTTGCCCCTCCAAAATATTTCACAATAAGAGCCATTCTTTCAAGCCCACGACTCACACTCATATACCCCATTTTCAATACTGTACTCTTCATTTTCAAGATTTGTTCAGATAGATACAGGCCGCCATGCCGACAGAACTAGAAGAAGTATATCCACCTTCCCAAAAATTTTTTGTGTTCATATAAAGTAGAGTTCGCTAACATGTGCCCCAGCTCGTTGGCTTCATCGCCCACCCAAATCCCCAGATCAGAGTCGTCGCGACAGAGAACCTGATTCCTTACTCTCTCTCTGACCCGGCCATCTTCAAGGCTGAAGAGCTGAAACCAGTGAAACATCTGAAGTTCCTTGTTCGAGACCATGAGGTGGGTGTCTTGCCATGAGGCTTCATTCCTCTTATACTCATTTTTTTAGTTTACAAAACGAAACTAATCTTCTTTTTTTTTGTGATTTATAGAAAATCGCCGAACATGCTTTGAATATTCTCATCAACCTGACTGAAGACCCAGTAGTCTTGGAGTTTGTAGCAACAGATGAGAAGTTTCTGGAAATGGTATTCTCACATATAGTCGTAAGTCTCACTATTCCATCCCATCCCTTATAGACCACTTTAAATAACAAGTTGTTCTTATATAACAGCATCCCGAAGAGCCAAATGCAGATCTACTAGCTATGCTCCTCGCCAACCTGTCCAAATACGACGGCTCAAAAGCTTTCCTCCAGCGAAAGCAAGAAGCCCCCTCACAGCTCGGCTCAGACGACAACGTCCTCAACCAGCTCATGGACCTCTTCGTCAAGGGCCAAGACGGCGCATACAACAAAAAGGCAGACTACGACTACCTCGCCTACGTCTTCGCCGACCTCGCCAAACACACGGAAATCCGCCAGTACTTCCTCGCATCACAGTCCTACGACGGCGTCATCCCCCTGACCAAGCTCAAGGTCTTCACAGAGCACAAGTCCGACATTCGAAGAAAGGGCGTCGCAAACACCATCAAGAACGCCGCCTTTGAGATCCCCGCCCACCCGTCTTTCCTGTCCGAGTCGGACATCAACATCCTGCCGTACCTTCTCCTGCCCATCACCGGCAACGAGGAGTACGACGTGGATGAGACGATGGAGATGTTGCCAGATCTGCAGCTTCTCCCGTCAGACAAGAAGCGTGATTCGGATACGGCCAACATCCAGACCCATGTGGAGACTTTGACGCTGTTGACGACCACGCTGGAAGGCCGTGAGTTGATGAGAAAAATCAACGTGTATCCTATTATTCGGGAGACGCACATGAGAGTGAATGACGAGGGTGTACAAGACGCATGTGATAGACTAGTACAAGTCCTCATGAGAGATGAAGCAACGGAAGACGCACCGGAAGAGGCAGAGGAGCGTGTAAAGGAGATTGAAGAGGATGAGGATGAAGAGCTGGTTGAAGTTTGAAGCAAAAAAAGAAAGTAAAATAAAAAGCAGGAAACAAAAATCAGCAAAAAGAAAAAAAAAAAAAAGTCGCACATGGGGGCATCCACCTAATATTCGTTGCCTTCTTTTAACCTTGTTTCTAGATGTGCATGAACCTCATAACTTTAGACTAAGACACACAGAGAATTTGGATAGTGCGTAGCTGCATTATATATATTTCCCTGAAAACGGGCGGGTATACAATCATATTAAAGATCTTTGCAAACTCAGACACATAACAGTCGTCTCTTTGAACAAAAACTATATAAAAAAAAAACAACGATAAAAATTGCCCACCCATTCAAACGCCGATGCCGGACCGTCTTGCTATTCAATTCGTGTCATCAATCATCATTGTGCTCCTGGAACACGCTTTTTCTGGTAGTTGGGCTGCCTGAAGACGAAGGCTTCTTGGCTGTTAAATAGTCGTCTCCTGGGTTTTCTTCCGCAGTTGGAGGCGAAACAACAAACTCATGACCCTCCGATGTCCTTGCTGATTCGTCCCGCTTCTCTCCCGAGGGAGTGATGGCTGTCCCAGGGGTCGCTATTAGAGACTTCCTGTCGCTCTCGTCGGCTTCAGGTAACGGAGGCGAAGGCAGACCGCTAGACCCAGCAAAATGTGATATATCGCTGTTTCGATCTTTGTTCATCGGTGAGATGATATGAGATGCGCTCTGGAGAGAGCTTCTAGTAGGGCTTGGCAAGGTGTCGCTGGTACTGCCACCTGGGAACCAATGAGAATAACGGTCACGAACGTCCATTGGCGATAACCCCGTATCTTGAAGCTCAACCCTGGTATTATCAGCTGTACAAGAAGACACTCAATTAGCCATATTTCTCTAGGAAAGGAATAGATATGCTGGGTACTTACGAAGTTCCACCAACTGCGTATCGTCCATTTCATGATGCAGGGGAGGGACTGATGCTGAAGCCGACGGGGTGTAACTAGGATGTAGGTATTCTCGCATCTCTGGGCTTGTAGGTACTTCTTCCGTTGTCTCCGTGGCAGCCTTGTGAGAATGAGGCTGTCCTCGGATCCACGAGAGGATTCTCAGGCCAGCTTCTTCACTGGTATTCGTGCTAGACCGGTTTTTAAGACTCTTGCGCCGTCTCCAAAGACAGAACAAGACAATAACACAGGTGAGCGCAATAAGACCTAGGATGACGCCTAGAACCGGTCCTACCCATGATGGTAATCCATTAGATTTAGATGTTGGCTTTGTTGTCGGTTCTGCTGGAGAAGTGGTCGTTTGAGCCGCCGGATAAGGCCAGTATGGTGTGATCTTTTTTTGGTCGTAAGGCGTAGCAAATACTTTGCCAAGAGCTGCAGTTGCCCAGCCAGGGGAAGCCGGCTTTGTGGCAGTTGCACCACCGGACGCATTGCCTCCAATGACAGCCTGGACTTTCTCAGGGACGCCATAGTCGCCGTACTTTGTGGGATCATAGGAATCCATCCATTCCCCGCTGGTTAAATTGAATATAACAACAGGCCCAACCTCTAAACAGTTTGGTTTTGCGATTGTCCCAGTAAGCGGCGGATAGCCACCGAATATCATGAGTTGGTCAGGATAAGGAGTAAAGCATTTGTGTCCCGCCCGCGCGTGAGATTCCGTGCCATTGTTGATCTGAGTCCACGTAAAAGATGGAAGTGAAAGAACCCAGACGTCATCGTGAAATGGTTCTGTAACATGAATCCCATCATACCCGCCATAGTAATAGATGTTGAAGCTGGAGCTGTCAGATGCAGTGGCCACGACAGCACACCCACGGGCTCGTGTGCTAGGCCCCCCTGTGGTTGCTTGTGTATACCACGTTTTGCTGGCAACGTCGTAAATGTCAATAGTTTGCATAAATTTCGGGCTTTGTGATTCCTATACACTGCGATTAGAATGTTATTCTCGAACAGGGGAGCATTTGGAGGCATTTCCTACACTGGCTGTTGGGTTTTGGGACACGCGATTCTTGCCGGCATATTCTGGGAAGACAACGCCCCCGAGAGCGACGAGTATACCTTGCACACCAACAGGGACCCAGACTACTTCGGGGCTCGCGCGACCCTTGACATCAGGTGGCAAAGTCTGATTACTCCATGTCTCAAAAAGCTGATCCGTCATGTTGAGCGTTATGAGGTGGTTGGATATCTTTGTTGGGCGGTTAGTGTCGTTGGAGACTTTAGGAATTAGTCCGCCAGACTCAGAGGTCGCTCCGGAAAAGTACCAAGCCAGATTCTCAGATGGAGCTCTTGCTGCACCACCAAATGTGACGAACTGACTAAAATTGCCTGGTATAGTTCGACTTGGGACAAATCCAGAATGAAAATCGCTTGATGTGTGCCCGTACTGGAAGGCTTCATATCCGATGATGCTATTTTTGGTCGGGAAGGGTTCGAGTTGCAACTCTGGTTGACCACCATAGAACCAGAATTCGGCGTCGTTACCAAGAAGGGCGCCGTCGACAAAGTTTGCCGCCCCAATGTCAGATTGGCCAGTCCCACCTACTGCTTTTGATAAAAGATCTTGCAGTAAGAGACCTGTGACGTTGGTACTTGAGGTGAATGCATAGCTCAAATTATAGGTGAGCAGTACATCAGAGACGGCTCCTGGTAAATGTGAATAAGCATATGGAAATGACGGCCAGTATAACAAAACATGAACGTTATGCCTACCGTTAGTACCTGAGGGTGGCCCATACGATCCATCGTCTAATCCCGGTAGCCAGGAGATGTCACCTCCGTCGAGAAATATCTTATCGCGAATAATAGCAGCTTGCCCACCGTCAGCAGTCGTTTTGTGTCTGGAATGTAGGTGATATAATACCTCTAGGTGCTTCCCATGAACAAATGGTTGTATTGATTTGTTTTGCGGCACCGGCAACGAGCTGGATCTGAGCAAGGTTCAAAAAGAATGCCCGAAGAACCGACTTGGTCCTATGGTTTAGTGCCATGTTTCCTTGGCTGGCTATGAAAGCCGGTGAAAGCGAGATGGGCGTTAGTAGCTAAGATGAGCCAGAACAGTGAGCATGGTATGGCTAGTCGTGAGTGCAGCTGTTGTAAGGAAGGCTACAATCTCAGAATTTACTAGGCCATTGGAAGAAACAGGCTGGGAAAAGCTGATCTTGAGGCGACAGTTGGAGACAAACGCTGAAGCAATTTGCGGGAAGATGGGAATCCAGTGCCGTTATCTCGTGAAAGGTAAGTGTGGCAGCGGAGAAGAGGCCGACTAATAGGCTCGCAGCATCAGATACCTAGCATCCGTCGACACCCTATCTTGGACGCTGCTTTCAAGACAGTCATACAGGGGCTGAAGCTGCTCCAGATACAGTGCCTGCCCGATGCTGTACGATTAACGAGGTGATCGTGGGCGACGTGCACAAGAATGCAGGCTTTAGGAAGCTAGGGCAAGAACCACTGGCCAAAGCTGGGTTAAGAGAGGCCCGGAGGCGCGGTATCCCGGGCGGGACTCTGGCCAAGGGCTCGCTACGGTTGGCTGGAGGCACTGAGGCTTCCAGACCATGCTGGGATGGCGGGCAGGCTGTGGGCCGCAGGGGTCGCACATGATGGAATAAGTGCAAAAGCGAGAGAGGCGACCGGCAGCATACCGACATGTCCTGTGGCGATGCGAACGGCGCTCCCTGCAGGGCCAGTGGCCAGGATCAATCAGGCGGACAGGCCGCCAGCCTCTTGCACTTGTCGCCCAACTGAGGTTGCTTCGGTGTCTCGCCGCTCATTTCCGACGGCTCAATAGGGTAAAAGCCCATTGTCTGCCATGTAACGCTGGCAATCAATAAGACTGTTGGCCCGTAGATGTGTGTACTGTAGCAAACATAACATACCTAGATAGGTAGGTATAGGGAGTCGCAGTAAACTATGATTTTTCAGCATGGCAGCGAAAATGGAAGCGAGATCGTCCAGAGCTGCAGACCCTTGGAACTGAGACAAACATGAACATGGGTCTACCTTGGGTGCAGGTACTCTTCCATATTGCGTGATGAGCTGGCTGCGAGACGTTTGCCGGAGTCTTTCGCCTCGCTACTGTACAATGCCGATGGCCTGGTCTTTGAAAAAGAGTCGGTGGTATTGGCAGTGTGGATGGGATGAGCATAGCACTAGCATTCTAGTATTCTCTTAGTATCCTAGCTGCTTACCCAAGCTGCTAGCAGTCGTCCTAGCACAATGGCGTGGGATTTGTCGCTACATGCTAGCAGTACATTCATACTGTAAGCTGGATGACAACTCATCGGACATTGTTACTCTTTAGTCCAGGGCGCGGTGTGGTTGCGTCCTTAGCTCGAGGGCGAAGAGGATGCCACTCGCGGCATCGCAGTAGGCTGGCGCAAACAGTAGGCTCCGCTCGGGTGGATTGGTGGATTTTGTAGGATCGTCGCCGCTCACACATATGCACGCTGGTATATGGTGCAGACGGTAGCAGTTCTGGTGTTGTGCAACGTGGTGATGCCTGAATCGCAGTTGGGCGAGTCATTCGCGGTGCAACGGCAGCTGTAATAGCGATCGGTCATCAGAAAAACAACCTGTTGCCACAACAGACTGCAGCTGGACCGTGAGCTCAGCCGGCACTACTAAAGTGCCTGGGCAGCGCATAATGGCACGAGGCTGCGGTCCAGCCAGGGGTGTTGCTGATGCGGGAGTTGGTTGAAAGGTTCATGTCAAGTTGGGACGTTGAAAATAGTATCGAGCTAACGTGGGGGGGCTAGAACTGGAGCTAGAAAGTCGAGCCAGGGGTTGTGAAATCCTTCAGCACTACAAAGAACACGCACGGCAAAGGCCCGGCGGGGTCTTGGAGGGACAGAAGGGGCAGAAGCGACTTTAGCGGGATTTTTCCTCCATCCGCTTGTTTTTTACGTGACATTGAGCCTCAAAGCTCTAGCAGCCCAGTGGCCGCCAAGAACGCCTGGAGAGGGGCCGCCCGCCAATCGCCGCGCCCAAAATAGATTGCTGAGGGGTTTGGTCCAGGACTTGGAGCTACCGCTTTGGGGCAGCTCCCCGGCTAGCCAGTGGGAACAGCGCGCTGAACAGCCTAAGGCTGCCGAACTGTGGAAAGCTCACGGCCGTAGCCTCGTTAATCGGCTAATAAACCCTGTCCGAACCTCACCTCTTCAATGCATCTCACAACTCCAGCCGCGACCCAAAGGAGCCTCCATCAGCAGATTTTTTTTCTTCTCGCTCCTCCAACTCGGACGCCCGCACCTCACCAATAGCACACTCCAGCCCTCTAGCGCGCCCCGCACATGCAGTCGTATCACTCTAGGCGGTTGAGATTTGTCGTTGGCCGGCCCTCGCAGCGAGCACGACTTCCAGTCTGTCTTCCGTCTCGGGCCTTTCCGACCTCTTCCCGTTTTGAATACGACTCAATGCAGTGCTACGACGGAGCGGCACAAACCCAGCAGCTGTTGCTTCTTGTTGAAGCTAGATACGAACGAGCTTCTGCCGGGAGATATGAGATCGAAGGATCAACCACCAGATGCTGGGCTGGACTGCATGATCGTGGAGAGCATGGAGAGCATGGAGAGACCCATCTCATCAGGCCCTGTCTAGGCCCTTTTCTCTGTGTTACCTAGGGCCGCGTTTTCACTGTTGGGCCTGCAGTATGTGCTCGCTGATGAATGCATCGTACTTCGTATTGGAACCTGCTCCGGCCACCGATTTCCCCGGGTGAGGCCGCGAGGTGCGGCTCCCAAGCTGCAATCCTTGCCCGCTGCGACATTGAGATATGATATGGGCCTCTTCCATTCGCGCGCCAAGGCTTAGAGGCTCTTGGAGGGCTACATTGCCACAGCAAGTTGTGTCTGGCCCAGCCTCTCGCAGGCTGTCGTGTCGCTCGCATAAGTTGTCTCTTTGCGGTTAGCAGAAATCATAGCTGCTTGAGAGGAACTTTTCTATCAATCAGCTGTCAAGATGGGATTGCTAAGTCTGGCCCGTCTCCAGTTTGAGAGGGGATTCGCGGATTCCTTTAGGCACTCGTCTTTCGGCTTGGCCTATCGCTGGCCATATCCTTGCCGCCGTGCGCCACGAAATCAGCTTTTGGGGTCCAGTCTGCCGACACACTGGCCCTACAGGGCTTGTCCTGCCTTACAAGGGGATACCCAATGGCTTGCTTGGCTTTGGCTCTCTCTCATTCGAGCTCCCGGCCAGGCGTGTTCATATACCTTTTGCGTGGAGCCACCGAGCTAGCACACCTCTCTACCTTGCATGTGCTGCCTCCAACTCTGCTTTCCCAAGAATGGCCGTGATAGGCATTGATTGTCGTTTATATGGACAGGGTCTGGTAGCTCGCTTTAACAATGGCCTACTATGTACTATCCGATGGAGACCCTTTGCTGGCCTATTGCTGCTAGTCCATGCTTGCACAAGCAAGTCAGCCTTGCTCTTGACAGGCGGTCAATTTGTGCCCAGGTGAAGCGAGGTGAGGCTTACGGAGTACATTGCGCAAGCCCACGCCACGTTGGTCTGGTCTAGTCTGGCCGGTGGCCTGTCTACTTGGGTAAGTTAACCAGGATCCCGTTGGCCAGGGGGGAGGGATTGCACCAACGCCGTTTAGAAGCACAGGAGCAGCCATATCTATGCTGCATCTCCATAAAGAGCAGCCGGTAAATAAAGGCAGCTCATCCTTTTCCTCCTCCTCCACCACAACTTGTGCCGCGTCTTTGGTCGTCGTTTGTTTTTCAATCATTCTTTCACCCCTCTGACCAGGCCCATCTGCTGGCTTCGGCGCATCACTAGCCGTCTGGCTACCGTCCATCGTTTAAATATAGCCAACGGGCGCACTCGTTTCCTGTCTGTTGTGCTAGAATAGCCTGGCTCGAGGATGCGCTCGCTTACCTCTATATCGATTGGCATAATTGCCGGTGCTGTCACTTCAGTGGCCCGACCTGACGCCAAGGCATTTGTTCATAATGAAGCGGTCCGTATACCACAGCCAATGTCCTTTTTGGCTTTACACTAATATTCAGGATTCATAGAACGAGCTTGTGCCGACGCAAGCGGTTGCGTTGGAGCTGAGAAATGAGGCAGCGGCCGCCACAACGATTGTTGAGCCTGCTCCTTTCAAGGTCACTCTCTGCCCACAGCCAACGGGGGTTTATGAAGATGGACCACTGAACTTGAAGACCGAAGGAATCTTTGGCTGCCAGCCTGGCTATGTCTGCAACCCCAAGAAGCCAGATGGGTGCAACTTCTGGCCAGGCTTTCCAGAAGCTGGTTTTCGATGCAATCCAGAGGACTGCATCGTAGCTCCACCACTGCTGCTTGCAGATTGGCAACCTGGAAAGACGGGCTATATACCACATCAAGAGGGCTATTTCTACTTGGATCCACACATTTTCGGCTTGACCTACGAGATTTTCGAATACCACGTTGTCAAGAAGATTGAGGATGGCTGCACCAGCACTTTCACGACTGGCAACTGGGGGCCACAGGCACAGTCCTACGGGTCGGTTCCAACAGGCTCGCCACCATCTGCAAAGCGTGCTTCTAGTCCGTTTGAGCAGCAAGCTCGTCGCAAGGTCAATCATGATGCAAAGCGCCAAGGCCCGACCCCAACACAAGACCCTCCCCCAACACAAACTTGCATGGGCGATTGTAGCAATGCTCTTAGCTTCCTACAATCGAATGCCCCAAATCCCGGATTTTGCGCCCCGGGTTCGATTTTCTCGCAAGACTTTGACGCTTGCATTAACTGCATTGCCCCTGCCATTGGTGTCCCCACAAACGACATACCTGCGTTGGAAAGCTTTTTGGGTACTCTTGGAGCAAGTTATACAAGCCTCTTCTTCTGCAATTCGACAAATCCGACCTCCACGGCATCGTCCCCTGAGAGCCAAGTGACGGGGTCGAATACGCTGGGAACAAGCTCTCAAATCACTACAGCCCCAACCTCGCTCATCCAATCCACAACTTCGAGCTCCGTGGTGTCGACGACTTCCAGCACTAAGCAGTCCACCCCGCCTCCTACAAGCAGCTCTTCTAAATCTTCTACACCACCGCCGCCGCCGCCAACATCATCGTCGACGAAGCCGCCACCACCACCGCCAACTTCCTCATCCACGAAGCCTCCACCGCCGCCAACTTCATCGTCCAGCTCCTCTTCGCAGCAAGCATCATCCCCTCCGCCATCTTCGTCGTCCAGCCCCTCTTCGCAGCAAGCATCATCCCCTCCGCCATCTTCGTCGTCCAGCCCCTCTTCGCAGCAAGCGTCGTCCCCTCCGCCATCTTCGTCGTCTAGCCCCTCTTCGCAGCAAGCATCGTCTACTCCTTCGTCCTCAGCTTCAATTCCACCTTCTTCAGGTGCGGGATCGTCGGGATCTTCCACTACTGGAAGCCCAGGAAGCTCTTCTGCAATAGGTACGGGACCCACTAGTGCAAGCAGTGAATCGAGGCCAACGTCGGCGCCCACATCGGCATCCGCGTCGGCTTCATCTGGTGCATCTGTTCCGGGGTCATCAGCCTCCTCCTCATCCTCAGGGGAGACTGGTACCGCACCCCCCTCAACAGGTACTAATTCCCCGACTGGCACCGGTTCTGGTGTCGGTTCTCCTCCCGGTTCTGGTTCTTCGACCGGCACTGGTTCTCCGACTGGCTCCGGCTCTCCGACTGGCAGTGGTTCTTCAACCGGAACTCCTGCTGGTACGGGTACTGGTACCCCGACGGGAAGTGCTGCCGGGACAGGCACCGGTTCCGAGACAGGTATTGGTGCCAACACGGGCACTGGTTCTGTGACAGGAACTGGTGCTAACTCTGGCACTGGTTCTGTGACAGCAGCTCCTACCAATACCGGCACTAACCGATCGACAGGCGTCACACCTCCCAGCTCAGACTTTTCTTCTCCCGGTCAATTGGAGAGAGCAAGCTCAACAAACCCAGGCAACCCTGGAGCTCCTGGCGGCGGTGCTGAACCAACTGGAACAAACGGCGGTGGTGGCACCCCTGGTGGTCTTGGGCCTACCGGATCGCCCCCTGTTGGTGGTGGCAATCCTGGTGGTAGCAATCCTGGTGGCGTGTCAGGAACAGGAGCCAACCCGCCTTCGCCAACAAACAGCCTGCCCCCTCCTCTATCCAACGACCTCTCTCGCCCAAGTGAAAACTTTGGCCTCCTAATTGTAGCCCTCCTGGGTCTTTTGGTCTTCTAAATGCGAGGATACTCCTTTTTTCCACATCTACCTTTTTGTTAGCCTCTTCTCCTGGGCGAACATCTTTTTTAAAAGGCCATTTGACTTTGGCACTTATCATTTTATGACTCTCCTTTACGCATATTTATACCCCAAATCTTTATTTCTCTCTCCTCTTGGGCTTCCAAAGTTTGCTTTTGCCACCCAATTCTTTTCGAAAGAATGTATGTATTGGGAAAAAGAGACTGAGAGAAAGAAATCTAATCAAAATATATAAAAAAAAAAAAAGAAAAAAAAAGGGAACTATTTAATGTATAATCCAGGAAGAAAATAAAAAATACTCTCTTCTTGGAAATGATACATTTCGTTGGCAAAGGAAGGGAGGGAAATTGGCGGGATCTCTTTTAAAACTGGAATGGAACGACGGAAATGGGTCTACGAAGCTATTTTTATTGTTTTCTTTATTTTCTTTATTTACTTAATGGAAGACATGCTCGAGTCGCTCATTTTAAAACCCAAATGTTTAATTGTCACAACTCAAATTCGTTAATGGAGTATGCGAATAGGGCTCCCGATTGTTAGAAGAAAATCAGCGAGACACATGGTATTGTTGGGTCCAGTCAATAAATAGCAAACAGTTCTCATGAAGATCGTAATGAAAGTTGTTTATATATTCCCTATTCCTGGCCCTGTCTTGAAACTCTTCATCTGAAAAAATCTTCCAGCATTACTTGGCATACATAAAAGGTCGACACAAAACGCAGTACTCCCTTGCTAGAAATTCGTCTAAGTAGTCGTATCCGGTAGATTCCCGTAATGATGGCAATGTCAATGGTGTTGAAGCGAAGCGAAAGGCAAGTAAGTAAAAGACAAAGAAAAGCCAAGGAAGATGAAAAATACACAGTTTTACATCTCAGTACCACCCTCTCCCGTTCATTGGGTTATCTTGCAGGTACGCATCCATTGCGCTGACGCCGTCCGTCTCCAAGTCCTCCATGAGCTCTAGCTGCTGTGACTGGGAAAGACTGCCCTGTCTACCAGGCGAATAGCCAAACTGCATACCGCCAGCCTCGAGCTGCGCTGTAATGTTGTGGAGGCCCAAGCCACTAGGTCCTGGTGAGCCGCCGCCAAACCCACCCATCCCAGCCATGGCTTCATTAAAATATCCACTGCCGGACGTTACGAAATTGTATGGCGACATAAACTGCGAGGGGGGCGAGAACCAGTCGGATACGGACGTGGGCGCCGGCGGTAGCGGTCGCTGGTGAATGGGTTGCCCTCCCATTCGCGCAGCTGCATATGTCGGCTGAGCCTGGGCCACCTGCGGCGCAATAACCCGTTTGTGAGGTGGCGACATGTTGGTCTGCGTCGAAAGCGGTGACGGCGTAATTGGGGTAGCATTCGGTGTTTGCTTCATCGCCATTGCCGATGGCGATAAGCCCGGTCTCGAAGTCGGTATGCCGCCCTGAAGAAATATCTCGGGTGGCGATTGCAAATGGTGGGGGATATGGTCCGGTACCTGGCCCGGATGGGACGAAGGATCTTCTGAACCAGCCTCTCCCATGTGGGTGACATCGGGCGGGAAGTAAGAGAAGCGTCGGCTGCCATTGTCTGTGGCAGGATTGCAAAAGATGGAGTTTGAGCGGAAAGTAGGCTGTGGGGGAGGGTAATTGGGATCGAAGACGTAGTTGTTCATAGTCTCGGGGGACGAGTCAAAAACAAAGCCAAACTGCGGAGGGTTGAGATAGGGCAGTGGCCGAGGAGTGGTAGCATTTGAGTGAGAGTAGCTTTCGGGCGAAGACTGAGACTCGCTTGTCGCCGGTGGGCTGCTAAAAGAAAAATGATCCCTCTCAAGCTTGACCTGCACGTCGTAGCTCTGCATACACGCCTTGGCAAATATGGTATAGAGTTGAGACGTGACCGTGGTCCCCGGCCAACGCTCTGCGCATCGGTCTAAAGATTCCAATGCCTTGTTCACAAGCTCTTCGACTTCTTCTCTTGGATGGTTGCGTCGAACTTCAGCATACGATATCGTCCATAGAAGCGTGCTAAGGGACCAGTTTAGTGAAAGGAGGAACACCCAGGTCAGGTCTGCAGGATCGCTTCCAAACTGCTTGTGGGAAAGGTCAATGATGGTGGCAGACGACTCGAAACAAATTTGGGCTGCGCCGGCTGACGGCTGCGGAATCTGAGGAGAAGGTCTATACAATAATGCCCTCAATTGGTGGTAATGTCCAGAGATCCTGCCATTGCAGTTAGAAGATCCAACTTACAGCTTGAAGTAGTTTTGTTTGATTGTTTGAGGGTGAATTGACTTACCAAGGTCTGGCAAACGGAGGATCTTCCGGCGTCGAGTCCATCCAATCCCGCAGAGCCTTTTCTATGTTTTGAAACCATGGATGGTCGTCGTTTCTAGGCTCTGGCCGCTTCCTTTCATAAAGAGTCCGCTTGATCTCCGTTTGAAGGGCCCACATCTTGTAAAAGTGTATCGTCGCGAGCTTCCGTGTGCTAAGGGGGCCATCTAAGATTCCTTGAGGCGTAATATTGGCATCGTCAGCCGCGCTGAAAAATGCAATATCTAAACGGTCACTGCTGACGGCAAATGCGCTGGGCCGGCCTAGATAGTACGAAAGGCCATGCTCCATGGCCATGACTACCCATACCAGCCTCCGGCGCAAGTCGATCGTCTGTGGATCCAGATTGTAACCAGTAGTAGTAAGAGTCTTCTCGTCTGTCAACCCTTCTTGTTGGCATATTCTGGTAGCGAGTCCAATAACATAGTACACTGGCGTTCGCGTCGGGGTGAGCAGTGAGTATTGTCCGATGAGAACGAGGCACTGTAGCGTTTTGAGGTCTTTGGGACGAATGATTTCCTCGACATATTTCATCGCCGCCATGTAGTATGAGTCGCCCAACCCGGCATATTGCGTGTCCAACTTTTGCAAGCTAATAGCTATAACCATGCGGACAAGAAAGTTTTTGTACGAATCCGTGTCGCCATTATAAACGGCATCAACGTCTGCTTTGAAAACAGTTTCGTGAAGCACAGGCCAGTGAATTTGAGCTAGAAAAGTCAGCTTTGAGCGTATTTGGTAATAATGAATGGAAGTTGCGGGCATACCTTTCTTATAGAAAATCTCTACCAGCCTGTCGGCCACATGACGCGCGGGAAGACTTTCAGCTGGAAATTCACTAATCATGGGATAGCTTTTCTTTCTGTTGTTGCTGGTTATCTGAATAGATTGCATGCGAGCTTGGCTTCTTGCGCGAACCTCGGGAATGAGATCGGAAATCTTGTTAGACTCGGTAAACCGCTTGGCTTCGGCCATGAGCAGCCGTGTCATGGCAATGCCGCTCGATGGTCCCAGATAGCGAGGTGTCTCATCGTTGCCGCTCAGCCGAATCATGCCTCCTGGACGAACCAATTCTTCATTTGTTGGGGGATGATCGCCATCTTCGTCGGTATACTGGGCAAGCTCAGCCTCGAGGGCTTTGACCTTGTCCTGCAGCGTAATCACATAACGGCGATTGATCTTGCGCGCCTTGGCGGTATCGAGGTATTCGCACACAGATCCTGATCTCTCGCAGGGGAGGCAGCGAGGAAGCGTGGGGTCACACCTCGTTTTTCGCTACCATACATCATCAGCACTTACACCTTGCAACCTGGGTTGGATCCCCAGTAAAAGCAGCGCGTACGGAATAGAATACGTCTCAGGGGCGGGGTAGTTGTCATATCATACCTGGCGACAACGACAACATGCTGTCAGGGTGTGGGCAACTCGGTGACTCGAGGTGTCTCCGTCGAAAAAGTCATCGGGGCTTTGCACCAAGTTTCGCGGCTGTGCATAGGCGTGGTTCATACGGGGAGCAACGGTCCCCAGACCTTGCCGGAAGATATGGGCGGCGTCCATGATATGTGAGGTCGCCGGCACTCCGCCAGCTGCTTCGTAGCTTCAGGGATATCCAAAGAAGCCACAACCTCTCATGAAACTTGAAACTTGGCAGGATTCCGGGAATATGGTACTGTGGTTGGTATGCGGTTGGCTGTCGCGACACTGAGTTGGCTTTGGACGACCCGTAGATCAAACCAATCAGGGACTCTGCGGAGACGGGACGATGACGACGAGAACTCGGACGGAAACGAGATGCTAAACAGTTGGGAATTGCGCACGCTTCATAGCAAGAATAGAAGGGCTGATACGGTTCTAAGACAAGGCGCAATAAGCATCAGCATGGTTCAAGGCTAGGCCAGACTGCCGCCATCTGGATCGCGGGGCAGAGGAAGACGAGGCGGCCAGAGTTACATACGGCGCTCTCGGCAGATGAGAGTCGGCTCAACGGCTCTCTCAATGCTTCTGGACCTGGGCGCGCAACGCAGAGGCAGGACATGAAACACGCGCGGTCAAGAGCTGGAACTGCTTGGGCGCAAGTTCAGAAGCTGAATGCGGTACGAAGGCCAGCTCGCGACAGCGAAGCGACTTGAGCCGCTAGTGCCAGTGCAGCTGCCAGCCCGTATTTGACGCCTGTGCAATGAATACCGATGGCGGATGACTAATCGCGCCAGACCGAGCCACTTAAGCGCGAGCCCTGGGCGAAGTCAGTTCCTGCAGTGCCGCCCCTTCGAGTCCTCGATGGAATCAGGCAAGTGGGGTTTTGCGCCGGAGACTCCAGCCCATGCGCTGTAAACACGAGGCCTGGTAGAGTAGACCGAGCGTACTCTGCGGTGCTGCGCAGCGTGACGCGGTACTGGTTGATACCGGATCGTGCCGGACAATGCGCTGCTAGAGAGGCACCAGGTCCAGGGCCAGGCATTGCTGCTAGCGGAATCAACTCGCAGCCAACGCACGGAGGAGGCTGTACCGCAGGTGGGGGACTCAGAGCCCAGCGGGCTTACGGAGGGGGAATCTTCAAGGGTCGTGACTGGCCCGTGGCCCCCCCGCTTTTCAGTCGGTCTGCGTACAGCTCTAACTCAGCTGCGCGGGGCGGCTCGTATCGGGCCTGATAGCGGGAGACCTGGCTCCCCAAGTGGCTCCCCAAAGAGCGCTGAGCAATGCGTCTGATGCCGCTGCGACCTTCCTCTGCATGCAAACGTGCATATGCGTGTGCACTCCGTACTTGCGAAATGTTTCAGGTGTCACAAACCGCCGTTAGTGGCTCGTTTCCAATCCTTCACCCGCGGTTTTGAGCGGTGTGATGCGGATGGATAATTCGATAGATCGATGTCACAGACGGGGGCCATGAGAACGGACGACATGACATGTGGAGGTCTGTGTGATTGTCTTGCAGACGCGGCCGGTCACTGCACTAGAAGCAATCCAGGTCCCCGTTGGCAGCAGCCTTTCCATGGACAATGCTCCTACAAGTGGTTCTTAGTGCTGCTTTCACGAGGCCGGTTACCAGTAGGTGCGTATCTGAGATGCCCTCGATTCCTTCTGCAACCCTTTGTCTTCTCCATCATACAGCATCATTCTGGTCGGTGTTGGAACGGGAAAGGCTGCTGCATTTCCAATTTCGGTGAATCCTACGGTGTGCTTTACCTTGTTTGCTCTCGGTATATACCTACACATATAAGCCTCTATATATATACCACTCCCTTATTAATAAGTAGCATCGACGCAGGTGGCGTGCTCTGGCGATCTTCAGTCTACTGTACCCGTATGTACTGCAGGCGAGTCAGAGCCAGATGCCGAATAAAGCAGTGCCACTCCATCGTCCAACCCGTTTTGTAGATGCCTGCTACTGTCAATTGCCAAGATTGGATCACAAGTGTGCGCTACCAGGCCTTGCATGTGAGCTGTCTGATGCTAGTCAAATGTAGTCTGCTTGATTAGGACTTTACCCATGGCATACACGGATAAGTACCTGCTACTTTAACGGAACAACATCAGATGTATCTGATGCGATTCCGACGCAGCAGGGCTGACGGCCAATCGTCACTCTACTCGGCCTAGCATGAGAGCATGTAATGAGCAGTTGGTTGAGATTGCCGGTAGGCGCTCGGAAACATTGCCAAACAATGCTGGGTACATGCAATAGGCTTATAAAGGCAATTTCACCAAACGAGACATAGATCAGCTGCCGGATACTCAAAAGGGAAAGATTACATCATCTTGAGATTGATAACAAGTTATGCTTCGCCCATCCATCTTAGACGGCACTCTTTCTTACCTATGTATGTAATATTCGACATAGTAAGACTACATGCACACCTACCCTCTGTCCCCCAAGGAACGGATATAACTGTATAATACCGGAGGCTGTGTAGCATCCCCCATATTATTATGCCTCAGACGGGATCCGAGGGTCCAGCTGTTGATAAGCCTAAACCCTAGTCGCAGCCCGTCCAATACGTGGCGGTTTCGTACTGACACACCCGTGTCCGTCCATTGCCTTGAATCCTAATCCCATCACTAGCACGGAATTTGAAGCAGACAGAATACAATGTACAGCTAGCAGTAAGTAGTAGTCTACTGCGTGGCTGCATCCAAGATGGGGACTCGCAATGCATCGTTTCCCATCAGCCAAGAGTCGAAATAAAGTGCGGTCATCCGTGCTTTTTATGCCAGATATCAAGGGTACATGTTACCCAATCCATCAATACTGCATTCATGTACCTGTAGTGACTGCTGCAACCCCCAAGAGCCGCCCCCAGCCATCGCCCGCCCAGTGCCGTCTTCAGAGCATGTGGAGGCGCTGGCAACAGCTCTAGGCAGCTAAGCGAACGCTAACGCTAACCCCCGGCCAGACGGACTGTCCTCTACCGCCAGCGCTGCTTCCGCTACCCGCCTGCACTCAACGATTACAACATGCATCTCTGAGATTCGAGCAACCTCCTTCGGCCTAGTCAGCAGCCTCTTCTGTCGCCAAGTCGTCTCTGCTGCGACGCGCGCGCCCTGTGAGCAACCGCCAAAGAAACAATCTCCCACGGTGCTTCGCGGCTCATCATTCCAGTCCTTCAGCTCCTCGACGGCCAACTCGGGTCCCTCCAGATTCGCCCTAGCAATGCCCCGCAGTAGCTTCTCACATACTCCCCTCTTGCGAGTATCGAGGCCGGTGTCAGCCTGCTCAAGATGTGAGTGACCGTCGTCCAGCGCTTGTGCGGACATCTCCGGCAGATCGAGATCTAACGCTTTCTTGCCAGGTCGAGCTGCAAAGGTCAAGGTGAGTGGACAGGCGGCGGCGCTTCCTCTTTCAGCGCAGAGACTGCCGGTTTGATCCCTGGCTGGAATTCCATCTGACGGCTGTGAACAGTGCGATGGAAAGCTCCCTGCTTGCACGGCCTGTGAAAAGGCCGGCCGTGAGAATGCCTGCTCTGCGGCCAACGACCAGTTTGCGCGAGGCAAGGAGCGAAGGTGCGTCTTCACAGATTGTTCCCAGAGACCGTCCTGGACGTCCCTCGATAGCTAACCCCTGCGCGTGCCCACCAGCTATGTCGCTGCTCTTGAGCTTCGCATAGAGAAGCTGGAGAGGCGCATCGCATATGCCAAGTCTCGGAAAGCTTCTGTGGCTCTCCATGAGTCCGACTCATTGGCCGTCGCCCATGTAGACAGAAAAGATTCCCTGGCGTCCATTCGGGCAGCCATTCACCGCAAAGCCGCCAGGACTCGTGAGAATTCAGACGTCAACTCTTTGATATCTGACTTTGGTTTCTTGTAAGAGAGAGCCCCCATGTCCTTCTCCACTTGCCTGGTTTCACAGCGTCTGACTAGTTACATGGAACAACAACAGATCGGTCAACGCAACGACTCGAGATTTCGAGCCATCCATGATCAACATGACCTTTGCGCGCCTCGTCTTGGCCGCTGCGACCAAGGATGCTGTCCCAGTCTTGACCGACTCGCCGTTGCCACAGAAGCACTATGCAACTGAAATCTTCCATCACTTTATGAAGAACATGTACCCCCTCTTGCCATGCTTTTCAGAAACTGCAGCTCTAAACGTCCTGAATGACATCTACAATCAGCAAGCCGAGCACGTCATCAGCGCATCCGACCATTGGCTGCTGTTCTTGATCCTTGCCATTGGATCTACCATGCAGAGCCAAAACGTCAATGACGAGTATTATAATCTCGGAGTTCAGTTTGTGTCCAAGGCGTTGGATTATGCGGACATTGCGCTGGCGCCTGGATATGCCACCCAGATTCAGTCGTTGCTCCTCCTTACACAATACGCCATACTAGATCCCAACCACTTCGACAGCTGGCTTCTCATTGGTTTCACCACGCGCGCTGTCGTTGATCTTGGATTTCATCAAGATCCCCCCTTGTCTTCAGTTGTAGATCGGGCTACCTTGGATATGCGCCGCAAGATTTTCTATTGCGCATATGCTCTTGACCGGTTGGTTTTCCTCGGAATAACGAAAGTCCTCTCTTAATCGTTGCTGTTTTTCTAACCCTTGCATCTACCTAGATCAATAAGCATGGTTCACGCTCGATCGTTCTCCTTCACTGATGATGCGATTCATGTCGCGTTCCCAAATGCAGCAGACCTTGATCGCAAAGGCAAAGATCTCGAGAATGCCTCCATCTTGGGCCCACAATCTGTAGATCCCGGTCTACTTCTTTTCCAGCTCAGGAGAGCGCAGTCTTATTGGTACCAAGAGCTGTATCAATCATATTCGGCTCCTCTGCCAGACCCGTCGTCCTTTGTGTGGCAGATATGCCTGGACATGCGAGAATGGGGCGAATCGCTGCCAAGCAGTCTCCCCGCCGGAATACGACAAATGTTTGAGCAGGAATTGAGATACAGTTATGTCTACTGCATCGCACCTTCGGCAAGGGCCCCTCAAATTACCGACTACCACCGAATCCTCATATTCGAGCACTCCTTGGCCTACCTCCTCGCTATGCAGGAGATTGCCTCCGCCGGGCTTAACGGCGCATTCTACAATTACCACGATGCTTTGAAAGTGTATTTCATGGCGAACCAGTTCCTTGCCGTACTAACAGACTCTGAGGATATGCTGCTATCCGGTGCGCAGATGCAAATACCCATCTCTCGCCCCGGTGCGCCACCAGCGCCTCCGATCCCACGACCTCAACTACGAAATGGAAGACCCGTTGAGGATAACATCAGTAGAAGCATACGCTGTCTGGAAAGCATCCCCCAGACTCTGGAAGTATATGGTCGGCGGTGGGAGGACTCGGCCATGTTGAAGCAGAGCTTGGAGCGAACCTTGGCAGATACCATGGGGCGGCTAAGGGAACGCAAGAAGGTACAGGGCATCAAGATGGAACAGCCTACTTATCCAGGTAGCTCCCCGTCAGCTACTACTTCGCCTCGGGGACCAGCTATCGCACGCACCCCGCCACAGCCTAGGGAGATTCGCTGGGTGGGAGTTGACGTCTCGCAGATGATGCATAACCGTGCCCATCAGCAATGAGGAGGGGGCACAATCTTGAGGCGTAGATCTTTTGATTTCCTGCATTTATGGATCGTCAAATGGCGGTGAATGTACACGCAACGCAGTATTGTTGGGATATGGATGTGAGCAGGGCAATATGTAAGAAAGACAAAATATCTCTGTATCATTATACCCGCCCCGAGGGCAAGTCTTTTTATGGACGTCGATGGCTTGGTGGGATCGGATAGAGCGAGGGTTATTTCCAAGGCCAATGACTATCACTGATTTACTGCGGTCATTCTCTTTTACTGACTACTTTAATCTGTCACAAGAGAGAAATGTATATACAATTTACTTTTTTTTTTTTTTTTTTTTGGTTTATTTCGGGAAGAGGGCATTAAGAGATTCCTTATTTTACCTAAACGCATTGAATTCTCCCTTCCAGGCAGAAACAACAATGAGTGAAAAAAACAAAAACTCCCGGGTTTCCCCCCCTTTTCTTTTCCATCTTCCATATCATTTATATGTGTCCCGTGACGCCCATTAGAAACGTATGAAGAAGAAATTGGAAATTGATGCTGATTCTTTCAAAAGACCATAACGGGAGTAGAAAGTGAAAATTAGAAAGAAAAAAAGAAGAAGAAGGAAGGGGAAGAATATCGTTAGTTATTATAAAGAACTCTTGAACCACCGGGTTTTTTCCCTTCTACATACAACTTAACTCCTCTCCCTTTTTTTTTTTTTTTGTTTCTATCCCCATATCGTATGAAAAGACGGGGCGTAATCTATCCACGCAAATTCATTTCCCAGGCATTTCTCGCGCGCATCTTCATGATTCTCTCACTCCCCTGCGCGGGCATCATCGTAGTCAGCCAAGGCCTGGCAGGCAAAGACGGCACAAGTCGCGGGCATACAGGAACCGTAGAGGAAGCAGTGGCAGACTGTTGATACTCCACGAGTTGCTGTCTCCAGCGCTGGCGGCGAGAGCGTCGGGTATGAGGGGGGTCAAAGACAGGTGGATATTGATGTTGCTGTGGCTGCTGCTGCTGCTGCTGTTGTTGTTGTTGTTGCTTCTGCGGGGTTGCTTTGTGATCCTGGGGTAAAGTCAAAGTTGGGCCTTTTTCCTTGTGCTGCCTCTCGTCTTGTTCTTTGTCGTGACAGGGCTCATCAGTGGGTTCCTAGACCGCTCGAATGTCTTGCAGGTGCAGATTTTTAGTCTGGCGCGGCAACCTGCGATCTCGTTCGTAAAAGTAGCCGCAGTTGGCGCAAAGGGACTGGGAGGCACCATGTTAGAAGACGTTACATTGCATACAGCAGCTCAACGAGCCGGGTATCAAGCAGAGGGATAGATGACGACTTACCTTGGGCCCAGCAGGGCCGTCTCGAACTGCCCAGACGCTCGTACCCCACGTACGGCAGTGCGAACATCGCCACGAGATTCGCTCCATATCGGTCAAGGCTCCTACTCCTCCCCCGTATCCGCCCACATCAGGAGTGACTCGCCCAAGTGGTGTTCCACCACGGGCGAGAGGACTCAGACTTCGGAAGCGCCGCTTCTTCTTGGAACGCTCGCCTCTGCCCATTCTCTCCTCCTCCACCTCGACACTTGCGCCAATACCGAACGGAGTGCCACCCAGCATGCCAGTCGTAGAGCTGAATCGCGCTGTTTCACGCCGCAGTCGCCGGATCTGTCTTTCACGGTCACCTTCCCGCTTCTCCATCTCCTCCTTGCTGAGGAATTCGACCTTTGGCTCCCAGTCATCAGCCAGGTGATCGGGGTCGTATCTCCAGCCAGCCTCCTGGCCATGCGCGGCATCGTTTGGCAGCTCTTGTTGAGCTCCACCCCATCCACCAACAAGGCCGCCAGCCTCACAGGCCTCCTTCTTCAGACGGAGCACTGCCTCGTAGATGGCATGCGTCATTGCTGGAACCCATTCGCCTGCCAATCCCAAATCGGCACACGTTGCCTTTGCGAAAGCCTCTGCGGTGCCTGGAGGGTGAAGAAGTGACCACTCAAACTTGTCTGTGTATAACATGGATGAAAGGTTCAGACTCAGGTTTATGATGCATCGATAAGTATCATCAGGGTTGTATTCGTCAGAATCAGGCAGGATAGGCGTTGCTTCGGCTGTGACCTCGGGTGCTGTGGCCTCGGGTGCTTGTGATGCCGGTGGCTGCGGCGTTGCTTGACCTCCCGTCTGTACGGGAGTATCAGGCCGTGACAAGCCCCTCGCAAAGGAAGCCGGAGAGTCATCTCGAGATTTGAATATGCTTGGCCTTGGTGTTCCATTCCCTGCTCCATTTACCCCTGCAATTGGCACTACTCCCTGGGCAGGTGGTGCCGGTGCCGGCTGCGATGGCTCAGAATGAAAGAGTGGGTGAAGAGCAACGCCGGCATATTCTTCCAGCTGTGTTCGAATCTGCTTGCTTATCTCGGCAACTACAGCGTGTCTATTGGGCAGATCTAGGTCCTGCGCCAGTGTCTGTGCAAATTGATCCGTCGTGATGAGTGTCTCGTGAAGATTCCAGCAGAAAATGTCACGTAGCTTGTAAGGGACAGTCATTTCCTGCGGCCGGTATTGTGGTAGGGAGATGTCGACTGAGTTGGGGTTCGGAGCTGGAAACGGCGCTGGTGGGATGAAGGACGGAATGTCCAGGTCGATTCGAATGGGTATCAGAGTCAAGGGAAGATGTGCTTGGGCGGCATTCTGCTGGCCACTCCTGACAGACCGGCTCTTGCCCATCCAGTCTCGCCATATGCCCTGGACATCGACCGGTTCCTTGATGTCTTTTCCCACCTTGTCGGCCATGTCCAGCCTGCTGGCTGAGTCCTCCTTGCGCAGGCTCCGCAGGCCCGTGGGACGACGCCTGGGGTCGTCGCTATCGTCGTCGAGGTCATCGAATCCATCCTCGGCGTAGTTGATGATGGTGGTGCCTCGCTTAGTCGTCCGCGAAACAGGGCCTGACGGCGCACTCGGTAGGACGGGGGTCAAGAGGGAGTTGTTGTAGGTGCGCAGGCGCGGCGCATACGACGAGAGGAATGCCTGGGGTTTTGATCGCTCCATTGTGTGATTCTCGAGGGGTGTTTGCGGGCTATCTCTTGCGGGCTATCTCATGCTGGCGCAAGGGAGCAAACGCGAGCGCAAAGTTGGGGAATCCCCGCGCTTTGTTCGAAAGCCGTAGCTGACTGAGCTTGCGAGGGTTCCTTGCAACCCGTACGCAGGCAATATCTGGCAATGGAGGTCTCTATGGCAACAGACACTGTGCAGAGAGATTGAGTCCTTGGATAATCCGCACTATAAGAGAAGAAGAAGAAACGGCCTTGATGCAGCTGCGTAGGTTCGAGGGACGTGGAGTTGGGAATGTCGCGACTTGTCGATGGTGGTTTGCTCAATCGCGTCGTTTGTCTTTCCCCAAAATTTGCCTAGCCCTGCAGAGATCTGGGTGACGTGCTTAGGTAAGGCGGGTCAGCTAGGCCTTGCGCTACGGTAACCACTAAGCAGCTGACAGCTACTGCTTGACTGCTTCCTCCCACCTACCCTGTAGACCACTGAAATTACGTGCATTTTCTTGCATTCCTGACGCCAAATAATAATCACAAAATTCGTTGCTCGATTGGAAGGTTTTTATGTATTAGAAATATCTCCACTAGCTAGGAAAACTCTTCCATTGCTTCCATTGCTTCCAAAAAAAAAAAAAGCAGCCCGTCACATGCATCATCACTGGCTAATTAGGAGCAACAAGTCTGTTGATAACGAGATCCTCGCTCACCAAAAATGCCCATAGCACACCGAAAATTGAGCAGGTTCATCAGACGAATAAAATCAAGCCCATTTTTGATGGCCAACATGGTGTCTTGAGACCCGATCCACGCTGAATCGATTCTCTGTCCCTGACCACGGGCATCTAAAATGGCCGTTGTCCAACTCTAATCACCAAAGTCAGCACATCTCCAAATAAAGAGCATCAACGAGCTGCTTACATGTTCCCCTCCGGAAAGAAGCGGCACACGTCGTATGTCTTGTACGGGTCCGAGATGCTGTAGGCGCGAGCACAGCCTATCTGCGTACTGGTGGACCACATACACTGAGCTGGAAGATGAATTAACAGCAAGATCTAAAGTGAAGTAGCATGAATGAATGCTTACACCAGTGCAGCCAGTGCTCGTGTCCATCGGTAATCGGCATCCCGTTGTATAGAGAGGCCTGGGCAAGCCAAGTTCGTGCAGCTGTTTGCAGAGGATTATCATAGGCCGAATCGCATTGAGCAGATTGATATTCGAAGAGCGTTTCTCCCTGCTGAGGGCGGTAAGCGCCTTGCGCGTGCGAAAAGGGCTGTTGACCACTGGCCATGATGTTTGCCCAGTACTGAGCGTAGGAGGCCAAGTTGGCGTTCCATGCAAGAGGCTGGATTCCCTGGGCCTGGCGAGCTTGGTTGATCAATGAAAGAGCAAGGGCTCGATCATCCGATTGAGCTAGGCATAGACTGATGAAGGGAATCAGCCACTGGATAATGAGGAGGAGATGCATTTTCTCTTTGAGAGTTTTCTCGTGAAAGAGGATGCTGAGATGAATAGGTAGGAAACAGGCAACTGTAGCCTCAGGAACGAAAGAAGACTGCGAAGAGAAAAGGAAGAGTGCTCTACGTTGGAGAAGTTGGAGGCCTTGACGGAGCTGAGAAGAAGCTTGCGAAAGTAACGAGGAAGAAGAGAGAGAAAGAAATCACAGAAGAAGTGAAGAATTTATCCGATCAAGCATGTTAGAGAGAAGGAGCGGATGAAGAAAGCTTGCTGGCGAGGAAGCTCAGAGTCGATATGCTGCCCTGACCGCCAAAGAAGAGACACCGCTTAATAAAGTCAGTTGATTCGCTTCTGGTAAATCCTTTATACTGCGAAGGAAACTGCGAAATGAAGTATTTAACAGCCGGCAAGAACAATGTGAAATTGACTTCCCATATCTCATTCATATACTATCGAACTGCTACTGACTACTATGGCGGACCTGCGTAGCGCATATAGCTCATTGTTATTTGAAGTCTTATGGAATATTTTGAGCCAATAAATAAGACGATAAACTCGAAGAATAAATGGAACAAGGGCTTCAAAAGTTCTAAAGTGGGAAGAAAAAGAACATCATGAGCATCAAGCCTATCAAACGCTGTATTATATCACCAAGTTATTGCCCCATTAGGCAATCTGCACTGCTCCATCGCCGGCTGCTAAACCCCATGTGCACGGACCACTTTTCAAGGTACCTGTCCGGCAAAATGACGTGCAGTGCTGCAACTTTTTTGATACTGCCAAAATCCAACCATCACCAAAAAACTCCAACGCCTTCTCTCTCTTTCTATTTCTCTCAAAAGCTACGACTTCACAAGCCAGGCGCACAATTCTCAACAATAACAATGGCTTCAAAACCCGCGCCTCTAATAGCGCCCCTCCTGCGCCGCGCATTCGCTCCCACAAAAGGCCTCCCTCAATTCGCCCTCCGTCCATCTCATCATCCCGCCTCTTCCTCATCACCCATCGCCATCGGCATCACAACTTCTCCCTACCAGCAGCGCCGCCTCGCACACACCATCCCCCGCCCCCCTCAAAAGAAGCCCCAAAGCGAACCCGCCACCAAAGACGCTCCCTCCAGCGAAAGCGACCGCCCCGAATTCAAAGGCCCGGCCTTTTACCAGCTTTCCTTCACCTGCGTGCCCTGCGGCCATCGCTCGCATCACAACGTCTCGAAACAGGGCTATCATCGCGGCTCTACGCTGATTACGTGTCCGAGCTGCCGCAATAGGCACGTCATCAGCGACCATTTGAACATCTTTGGCGATCGTAAAATCACTGTCGAGGATTTGATGCGGGAAAAGGGCCAGCTGGTGAAGAGGGGCTCTTTGGGGGAGGACGGAGACATTGAGTTTTGGCCGGACGAGGCGATACCGGAGGACGTTGCGGATATCACAAGCAAAGACAAGGAAGGCTCGTCATGAAAACGTCTAAATACGGGGCTTGGAAAAGAAGGAATGAGGCAATATGAGGCGCTTGGGACTTCTCTCTCGAAATGCACATCATTTCTGCTGGTGTCAATGGCTAGGCTTTGTTTAATTACATTGAATAGAAGGGGGATATTGTATGAGTATGTTGAAAGTTATAGAAAGTGGGCGTCAGGGATTGCATTTAGAAGATACTCCAGCTCTTTTGAAAAGCGACAGGATATGAAATGAAAATTATCAGGGATATATATTGATCCCCACGCATTTTGTCTAGCTAGTCGCATACATATGCATCTATATATAACATTGACAAAATAGTCACAAAGAACAAGTTTTTAAAACGCCTTCGAAAATGCCCTCCAAAACGCCGCTCGCCATAATCTCCCGTACGATAGCACATGCCTCGCGATTTTCTTTTACCATGATTTGTACGCCTGCCTCATCACCTTTTGCTCCCTCGACCTCACCTTCTTGCGCTCCCTGTTCTTCTCAAACTTCTTCCTCTTATCCTGGCTATACTTCTCCGGCTGTGCCACCGCCTCAATCTTCCTCTTGCTAGACCGCTGCCGACGGCGGGCCCTGACCTCCTCGCGGATAGCCATCAGCTGCTTGCTGTATTCGGCCGTACCAAATTTCTTCTGCAGAGAATCCATCATAATCTGCGCCCTAGTCTTGAGGCCTTCGTGCTTCGTCTTGAACACTTCATCCATGCTGAAAGGCGCAGGGATGGATGGGTCGGTGAGATTATGCAGCGGCGTCAGAATGGTCTTGAGCGAAGGCTGGAGTCGGTCAAGCGAAGACCGGCGGCAGATAGTCTCTAGAACCTCCATGGCGACCACCTTGGGAACGATGGCAGCAGCGTTGGGCCGAACCTCCTTTCGCAGAATGTGTGACAGCCGCCAGAACAGGTACTGCACATCTTTCGGCTTTGCAGTGGCTTCTTCCTTGTCTTCAGCCTCGAGTTCATCAGCCTCTGCCTCTGGCTCAGCATCTGATGAATCAGGAGAATCGCCAATCGGAAGACGAGGGCCGAGGAATATCAGAACTTGCCCAAGCTCGCCTGTCAAGGCTTCGTTGACCTCGGATCCATTCAAGGCTCTCAGTGCAAGACGGACGAGCTCTTCTACATTCGTAGCGCGTAGAATAAGCCCGTGAGACCCTTCAACGTCTTCGCCAGCAGTGGTATTGGCGCCATTTTTAGCAAAATCGGCGAGATATAAGCTAATCAGCTGAATAGCAGACAGCTTCACCAAAGTATCCTTGTGTCCAAGGCAGCGTGGCAGCTTAGCCCATAGATTCTCTTTGTTGGCGGCCAAAGCCCTATCAGGGAAAACGGTGGTGAAGACGCGCACAACGCCAATCGCAGCGCCCACAAGTCCTCCGTCAGTTTCACGAACATTCTCAGATCCCAAAATGCCCGAGACTTTGTCGAAAATGAGCTTAAAGTCTGTTTGATTCTTTGCGGCATCCTCGTTGCACTCAAAATAATGTCCAAACAGTTGCACAGCGAGTTTTACAACCGCAGTGTTTCCGTCCTTGCCAAGCCATGACCGGAGAAGGTTGAGGAACGCAAGTACGCGCTCCTTGTCTGCCTTGCGAAAGATCTCTTTGATGAGTGCTTCAGCTGCGAGGCGACATTTCTCGCTATCATCGTTTGCCAGAACCAGGAAGAGCGGCAGGAAGCATGTTGCCGCAACCTCCTGGACGAAATCATCGGATGACTTCATGAGCATCAGGTGGATTACTTCCATTACGGAAATGCGACCGCCCTCACGATCATACTTGAGATTAGCGACGACGAAATTGAGCTGCTTCATCCAGCGAGCTCTCTTCTGAGGGTAGTCTCGAATGAATTGGAAGAAAGCACCTCGCGCTAGGTCTCGGGTATCCTTGTCATCATTGGTGATCATGACGGTACCGACCTGATCCAGTGTATCGTAAACCATCGCAGTCTCAATGCGACGGTCCAGCACGGACCGCAGGAAATTGAATGTGATATGACGATACAGAGGTTCGGTAAAGTCATCCTTCAGCTTGCCCAGTAGCATATCGATGGCAGCATCCTTGACCTCAATATCTCGTCGGTCTCTGAGTACGACCGCAAGCATCTTCAAGGCCGCTTGTGCTAGCTCAGTCGTGGTGGAAGTTGACATTGATATGCATCTCGTAGCCTCCTTGACAGCGATCTTATAGATGTTTGCTCCATCAGCGGTCGTGAAGGGAACTTTGACAATGACCGCCAAAAGTCGAAAGGCTGAGATTTTGACCTCATCTTCGCCTTCCAAAATGGCGTCACCAATGATGGGAATGAAGCCGACGATATTCTCAGGAGTTCGCAGGCTATCATGTTTCTTCAGCATCGACCTCAGCATTTCAAAAGCGAAACGCGTTAGCTTGTATGTATGTTTGCTGGTTTGACCTCGATCGCCGCTCTTCTTGGCGCCTCTTTGGACCAGATACCTGCGAGTTTTCCAGTCCAGCTTTGGCTCTGCGTCTGGTTTCCGCGCATTGTATACTTCTTGGATAACCTCGTAACAAAAGACCAAAGTATCGCGGCTTGCAGCAGCCGGGTTTTGCAAGAGTCCCGCCGTAATACGGGCCATCAGGGCGTCAATCTTGCGCACAATCTTAAGATTTACCTTTTGCATCAGGAGAGCTTGTAACGGCTTCATGAGGGCAATGAGACGACTGATTGATGCGTTTTTGGCAATGAGTTCCATCGAGTCTTGGCTCTTACTGCTCTTGACCTCTTTCATCTGGCTAACATACCCTTCGGCATCCTTCTCTTGGCCGACGACACCGAATATGTCGTCCATAATAACGTTGACAACGTCTGACAAACAGGGGTCAAGATCTCCAGTTGCAAAATGAGGCACAGTTGCAACTAGGATAGAGTGCATAGTATATGAAAGAACGTGCAGCTGGTAGCCTCTAGTCAGAGCACCTCGAAGCTCTTTCAGAATAAATCCAAAAAACGATGGGCCCAGAAGCACGGATATTTTGACAAGAGTATCACGAGCCATGTCTCTCGCTTCCAACGCCTTACTGCGCAAGATGTGGCATATGTCGGTCAAAACACCAGCCAGCTTCTGGTTCAGTTGGGGAGTAGGCAACAACCTCAAGAGCTTGACAACCGTGATGGCGACGGGAACACGGTAGCTAACCTCGGATTCATTCTTTTCGTGCAAGTGTTTGGTGAGCGGTGGTAGGAAGTAATCAGTAATCTGGGTAAAGAGTTCCGAAGTCTTCGGGGCCATAAGACGCAGTCGTCGAACAGCAGAAGATGAGCTTTCCTCCTGGTCCACCTCCATGGTTTCGCCGACATCGGGACCTTCCGAAAGCGAAAGCAGCAGCGCATCGGTATATTTGCCCAACAGGCGAATAGTATGCTTCTGTTGTTCCGGCTTTGATTCGATGTAGCCTATGTATCGATGGAAAGTTGTACGGAAGTGGTTCCAGCTGAGTGACATTGCGAGATTGCTAATTGTGCTTGCCGCTTGTGCACCAAGTCCATGATCGTCGCCACTATCCGCTCTTCCGAATATGAAATGTTCCAGCAAGGGGATAAAGAATTGAGTAAGGTTCTGGCTGCTCATCTCTTTGCTTGCGTTGGCAGCTTCCAGCGTTCGCAGGGCATCGATTTGTTTTGAAGTTGCCGGACTGAGAATGTCAAAAAAGAACGTAGGTTCGGAAGAATCCTCTTGGCGCTCGTTCAAGAGACCACCTAAATCGGCCACAGGGCCCCATTCAGGCATTGTGGTAAGAATGAATCCTAATACGCGTAGATATTCTCGTCGCACGGTTTCAGACTCTTCTCGAGCACCCCCATAGATTGACGGCAACAATACCTGCTTGAGATGGTCATCGAGTGTCTTCTTCGTTTCTTGCGATTGGCAATCTGCCGTCTCCTGAACTAAGCGTCGAATACCATCAGCAGCATTGGATGAAAGCACGCCAAATTCTTCATCCATTCGGATAAAGAAAATCAGGTTATGAAGAACCGGAAGCCATTGCTTAGGTGTCCACGGCTCATCATGGCTGCTTGAGATTGCACTGAATGCGGCAAGACGCCTGTCATAATCTGGCTCATCAATGCGACCCTCCTTGAATAGGTTCAGCTCGTAACAAACGCTGGCAACATTGGCGATCTCGTCATCTTGTTTCGAAATGGCCAAAAGCACTCGGCACAATGATGAACGGTTTTCTCGATCTCTGAAGTAGCTGAAAAGGGCTGAAACGGTCCTGTATACCTCCTGAAGCAGTACCTCATCCTTTGCTGCGTCTGGCAAAGAAGCAAAATTTTCAATGACGAGAAGGATCCGGCCCTTGAGCTTGGGATTAACTCGTCGGGCAGGTTGCTGCAACAAGAAGCTAGAAATTCGAATGACTGCTTGAACGTCTTCAAAGTTTTGGAAGATGGGAGCCAACGACAGAATGGTTTCGACGCCTGCTTCTAGAAGTGCATTGCTGATATCCCCAGTCCTCAATACAGTGGTAAGGCTGTTCAAAATTGCGGTTGAGTTCGTTTCGAGAAGCTCGGCTTTGATAACTTCATTAAACTCGGACTCGTCGGCAGAAGCTAGAGCTAATCTAGCCAAATTTCGAAGCATTTCAAGCACATATATCTTGACAGATTCCTTGGATTTTTCGAATGCTACGCAAGCAATGAGTTTGGGTAAGACACCATTTGGCAACGCGCTACCGTGAGGAGCAAAGAAGAGAGCCACGTTCGGAAGATTAGACCAAGTTGAAAATAGCTGCAACATGCCTGATACTCCTTGCGCAGTCTCTGCCGGCAGATTTTCGTGCCTAGGTGCCACCAGCTCCTCAATGATGATATCCTGGTAAGGCCCCCACTGAAAGCCCTGAGCATTCTGGAAGAGGCCCATCAAGCACTTGATACCAGTTGATCGTGTGGACTTGAGCAATGAATGAGTGCTAGCCTTCTCTTCTTCCTCTTCGGGGGCATCGGCATCAGCTTCCGCAACTGTGCCACCCAGTCGCCGTGAAGAGAAGACAAGGCAATAGAGGACTGTGTTGACGAGTGTTTCCATATAAGGAGTCACATTAGTACCCAGCTCTGAAATAATAGACAGGGCCATATTCAGGAAACCGAACTGCTTTCGAATAGATATAATCTCATCTTCAAAAAGCTTCTTCCGGTTAACCGTTGGGCCGACTACTCGCACATCCTTGAGTTTTCCTACGGCGATGTCGAGGAAGCCTCCAAGATCCGTAACAGACAAGTTCCTGAGAATAGCAAGTCGGGTCGTCTGCTGACCATGGCGGCCACCGAGTGCTCCCTTTCGCGAAATTGCTCGACCATAAAGGAGTTGAAGCAAAACGGGCATTAGCTCAGCTCGATGTTCCGGTTTGATGACACTATCTCCTTGAAGGAAGACAGCAATCTCATTCTTGAAACGAGCCTCATCGAGGAGATACTCCAAGTTTTCTTGATACGTTTTCACGCTCTCTTGCTTCCATGCCAAAATGGCCTTTAGGGCAAGCTTCTGCACTTCCAAATCACCATTACCCAAAAGCTGCAATAAAATGACGTAAACTTGTTCATGCTGAAACAAAACCTTTGGATTAATGAATTGTGCGAATACGCCGATGAGACCTTTCCTGTCAAATAGAGACCAGAATTTAGCTTGAGAATCTTCTTCAGCGTCGTTCGCATCCTCTTCGTCACGAGCCCAGGCAAACAGATGGGGCACCAGTTGGCGGGACCTTCTTTCGGCAATAGAAGGCAGTGCTTTGAACACTTTCAACGCTTGTGCCTTGGCGTTTGTTGAGAACGGTTCGACAAGTCGCTGGCAGTCGTCAAAATTACGCAACATGATACCGTCTGAGTCGTCAGCGGTCTCTGAAACGAGAGTTGCCGATTTTTGGAGAGAGTTCAATGTAGTACACTCAAAGTCCGAGTAGAAAGTGCGAGAAGAGTTGGTTTCCGATTGGGGTGGTGTCCATCGCGGGGACGGCACTTCCAGCCATCGGAATGCAGTGATAGAAATAGCCTCTTCGCCGAACTTGCTTTGAGCAACCTGCTTCATCGCTTCTATTGAGTTATCCCACACAGGGGAGAGATTAATTGTCAGCATGCCGAACATGAAATTTGGAATTCCTTGTTTTAGCCAAGTCGTATCTGCCAACGAATCATACTCTTGCCCGAGCTTGCGCAGATACATGGCAATGGATCGAGTATGCTCCAGATTTAGTGGACTTTCTTCAATTTGAAGCATGATGTCAACGAAATGAAGCTGCTCGGGCACGGTGGTCATCTTCTTGAGCAGCTCTAGCGACACCAATCGAATCTCATGAGATGGAGAGCTCAAATTGTCGACCAGAGACTGGGTTACAGGATCATCTTCGGAGTTTGAAGCATCGCTACCAGATCCATCGTGCTTGTCAGACTCGTGGCCGCGTGGGAAAGTTTCCTCGTATGCCAGATAGGTTCGAAGAAAGCCTACAGATCGTGCAAACCTCGGCACGGCTGCGCGGAGCAGAGGGGCGAGCTGAGGATCAATTGAACCTGCGGCCTTGCTCATACCCAAATAAGCATGAAATCCTTGGCTGACGATGAAGTTGACCTCGTCGGATGCCAATGAAGATGACGGTCGAAGAGCAAGCTTGAGTTTGCGTAGGAGGAGCTCAGCAATACGAGCATTAGTGGATGGATGAACGGCTGTCAGTTCTAAAATTCGAAGAAGCGCCGCATATTTAGGCAGACATCTATCTCTCCAGACTTGGGGATCTTTGTTGTACGGCCCTCTTTCGGGGAAAGGCGATATCTCCAGGCTCTCGAATTTAGAGACGATCTGATCCTGCCATGCCTGAGGGAGCTTGCAGCAATCCTTCTCTCCGGCTGAAGGGAATCCTCTATTTTCGATTATCTGTGGTAACAAAACGCAAAGCATGTCTTCATTGTGTCCTTGGGACCAATGGGTAGCGATGAATCTGAAGAGGATGTTAATACATGCCATTTTCAAATAAGGTCAAGTCAACTTACCTTTGAAAATCATTACGGAAAAGGCTTCCAAAGCGACTTGGATCAAGCTCGCTAAAATACGAGCAAAAGGGTATAAATAATCTCATGAATGGCTCTCTCGTCAAGGACTGAAGAAGGCGTGTAATTTGAGGAATAAGTGCATCCATAGGAGCGTGATGGCAGGTAATTGCCACATTAGCCACCACCGATGTCCAAAGAAGGTCATTCTCACTCTTCTCGGCTGCTTCTTCGACAGGCCGTGTCGATACTGAGAGAAATGCAACAAGTTGTCGAACGAGGCGTGGCCAATCACTAAGTCGACTACCTTTTCGGACACCAGCGAGAACGCCGAGAATTCTGATGTACGGCACTGTCCACCATTGGGAATCATCATGATGAGATTCCTTCATTTTAGCTTCGCATCTATCAAAAATTGCTTCTGCGAATTCGCCAAAAGTATCTGCGCCGGTATGATGTATCACACTGATCAAGACGCCACAGACCAAGTCGGTCCATGTGGTCGTTTCAGCCAATGTACACTCTTCTTTCGGAATAGCATCCATTAGCACGACGAAGATGGCAGGTCCGGCGGAATGAATAGTTCGATCTGTTCCTTTAATCGCCTCTGCAAACATGGTCATGATACCATCTTTATACAGCATAAACTGCCGATCCTCAACCAAACTGCATATATCGTCCCGCACATGGTCCACGAAAGAAACGAGAGACGTTTCGCGAAGTGAAGGAGCAGCTGCCTTCCTGACGAGGAAGCTCATTGCTTCGGCAGCGAACCGTGCGATGAACGGAGGATGCTTGGCTTTTCCAAGAAGAGGTGCCATGACGGTATATGTTGGTCGGAGGTCCGGAACTAGAAGTTTGGACAAGTACTTGAACAAAAATGCCAGAGCGCCAAAGGTCCATTCGATGACCTCAACGGGCTGGGGCCTTCCCGCAATTGCCAAGATGAGATCCAGACTGCGGGCAAAGTACTTCTCAAATCGAATTCCCAAGTCGTGGGCAAAAGCCGTCAGAAGATCGAGCAGCGGCTCCAATCCCTCTTTATCCTGCGTTGCGATGTACTTGGCCAGCGAATCCATGATCCGTTCCTCAAAATGCAGAATCTGAGGCAAGCTGTCGCATACCGGGTACACCTCCCTCTTGAACGAGGAAAACGGCTGGGAGATGTTGAGTTCTCCCCATTTTTGCAGTCCATTTTGGAGATAGGATGTCGTCGAAGACAAGTCTTCCGTCTCGAGGTCATGTCGTCGAACTTTGCGCAGAGGCTGTAGTGAATTGAACTTTGCGATTTTGGTCGAAAAAGACTCCCATCGGTGGTTCTTCTGATGGGGCGTCGAATGCTTGTTCTTCCGCACCTTCTCGATGCGGCCGGACGATCGGGCTGGCATCTTGACGGCGGTGCTGGTGAACCTGTGTAAAAGGTTTTCGGCCGCAATAATGAAGCATCCAAACTCTGGAGCTGTTTCACTCCACTGTAAAAGTCCCAAATTTTTTTGGTCGGTAGATTATCGGCCAAACCGATAACCACTAGCCGCGCCCCGCTCCATGCACAATTGGCCAATAGCGCTTGAGGCGCATTTGCTTATCGCTGCGCCGAGCTTTTGACATCGCGTGGTGCACGTCCGCGCATCTCACCTGCAAGGAGCTCTCTCTATATCATGCATCTTACAAGTCCAGCTTCTTCCAGCTTCGCCAGCTCTCTTGCTCAACCCACACCACCCACCCAAACCGAACTTGTATTAAGGCTTCAGCTAGGCTGGATATAATGGCTGCGCCCAAGATGTACGTTATCTGATTTTCTATAAACCCCAGCTATGTCTACTAATAATGAACCCTGTTTTTTAGTATCGTCCTGGGTAGCCTTGATGGCCAGCTTGAATCGGTGTTCAAGAAGCTGGCAACGCTGCATGCCAAGAACCAATTCTCTCTAGCGATTCTCACGGGAGATGCATTCACTGCCGATTCCGACGACGCAACGATTTCCGCTTTGTTAAACGGATCCATCGAGGTTCCTCTCCCCACCTACTTCACCGTCGGCACCCATCCACTGCCACCACAAATCGCTGCGAAAGTAGAGGCCGATGAAGAGATATGCCCCAATCTTCACTATCTGGGGAAGCGCAGTATAACAAAGACTTCGGATGGGATCAGAATCGTAACGCTCGGCGGAGTCCTTGACCCGAACCTAGTGGGAGGACAATCGGCAGAGCAGCATTTGCCCTTCCATACGTCGGGCGATGCAAAAGCTTTGCGCGGCGCCAACAACACCGATATCTTGCTGACAAGCATATGGCCTGCGAAAGTTTGGACCGGGTCTAAATTGGTGCTCGAGCCTGCCGATCAAGCTGCTGTGAGCAGTTCCGAGGATATTGCAGACCTCTGCGCTGCGTTGAAGCCCCGATACCATTTGTCGGCTTCTCCAGGAGCATTCTTCTATGAAAGAGAGGCCTTTGTTCATCAGTCCGAAAAAGATCCAAACATCATTTCTACTACACGATTCATCTCAATGGCTCCATATGGCAATGACAAGAAGGCGAAAGCCATGTATGCGTTTACTCTCAACACAGCCGATAATACGGTGCCTCCTGGCGCTACGGCGTCGCCATTCACATCCAAAGCCACCAACAAACGTGGAAGGCAAGACGAAGGTTACAGTCGGTTCGGTCATCGCGACGATGGTCACCACGGCAGACATAAACGTAATCGTCGTGTCTCGCCACCGCCGGGTCCTGACCGGTGCTATTTCTGTTTATCGAACCCCAACATCTCATCCCACATGTGCTGTAGCATCGGAGACGAAGCCTATATTACTACCGCAAAAGGTCCTCTACCAACTTCCACGACATTCAAGGAGCAGGGTCTGAACTTCCCTGGCCATTTCATTATTATCCCATTACCACATTCCCCAACCATTGCAAGCATGGGTAGCACAGCAGATCCTACAAGCGATGCGGTCAAGACGTACAACGAAATGACACGGTTTAAAGAATCTATACAAGCCATGGTTGCTTCCAAAAGTTCACACAAGTTCGGCGTTGTCGCTTGGGAGATTAGCCGGGACCGCAACGTCCACTTGATATGGCAGCTCGTTGCTGTGCCCGCCGACATCATCCAAAAGGGCCTTGCCGAAGCAGCCTTCCGCGTCGAGGCAGAAAACTTGAAATACCCAGCCTTCACAACCAAAGACATCGCCGTCGAAGACTTGGCTACTGCCGGCGACTTCTTCCGCGTCTGGTTCTGGGCAGATAACGGAGAGGATAAGATTAAGGGCAAATCCCTCGTTATGCCGCTCGCCTCTGACGCGCGCTTTGATTTGCAATTTGGGCGTAGAGTTCTCGCGAAGCTTATGGGCTTGGAGGACAGACTCAGCTGGCAGAACTGCGAGCAGACTGTGGAAGAGGAGACCAAGGATGTTGAAGCTTTCCGAGAGGCGTTTAAAGAATGGGATTTTACTCTGTAGTATTTTGAGTGCTTTTTACTTCTGCATACTTTCGGCGTTTTCAGAATATCAAGGTCATGGGGTATCTCTCGTTTTGCTAATCTACCACTCGTCGTTTGCTTGGGAGAAAAGGGTTTAATAAAAAGTTATAAGAAACAGCAAATATTAACTAGAATTAAAAGTTGCATCATCTTCTATAAATAAATTGAATGTTTGTCTTACAAGAAGTCGGCAACGTCGTTTCTGTACCTAGGTATGTTCTCAACATCAAAGCTGAGAGATGCAAATTATCATGGGCAGCTCATGGATTTGGCAGTCAAACGAGAGAGAGAGAAAGGGGATTCAAACTCACCTCTAAAATATCAGGTAAATAAGTAGTGAGTTCAGTAGGTAAAGTGTCAAGATAGTGAGACGTAACGCTGAACGACGACTGCAGATTCTGTTTGATCAACCAACAATAGTAGGTAGTATTCTCGACTCGTAGCCCGTACATCAAGTGGAAAGAATGTAGAGAAGAGCAATGTGCCACAGTGACACAGATGGCAATGGCAAAGTGAGATCATAGCAAAATGAGATCCAGCCGCTTTTTCATATTGAATCGTTCCATAGGCTGACCGTCAATGTGACCCTGATGCATCTACACTTGTATAGCAACTAGAGTCTTGATGGCCATGGCTTTATGCCTATTAGGGCAGACAAACCAGAGTCTATTCGTAGAGCTCATCCCCAAACTGTAACATGCGAATATTTAAAATGCGTTTATAAGCTAGCTGAGGCATCTATGTTCTCTCATAGCGTAATGTACAGCCAAAAAAAACTTCCTAGGCAACATCTCTCACTGTCTAACTAGTTTTTACAAGATGAAAACACAAGCGCCGTCCGCTTAGTCGCGCTCTATGGCTCATTACAATGAGCAGAGGGATGATCATCGCCTCCTGTAGTGAAAGTATGAACATGGAAGACGAAAGAATTGAAAGGCATTCCCCATGGGTATAAAAGTAAAAGGGTGCATGCTGGGGCGTTCATTTCTGACAAGGGAAAAATATGAATAAATGAAAAAGCCAGGAAAAGAGCACGAGCAAGTGTTCCGTAGTAGTGTCCAGTGCTCGATGTGAGTTCTTCATCGATAGAGATGGTCAAGTCCAAGGATGAGATATCTTGCAGTCCTGGCATTGAAGCAAGATCCATGTGACTAAAGCGTTCTAGTGACCTTTGGAAGGCCTCCCAGATTCTGTTTGCCAGCATGCTGATTATCTGACAAAACATTATCTTTAAAAAGACAGACAATGAGACAAGAAACGGTAGTCTCTGAGCGGCCAAACAGCGTGAAGAAATAAGCAATACCGACTGAAGACATAGGGAGCTCATGAAAGAATCTGTCAATGGACTCTTCGTAATTTTGGCATTAAAACTCAATGCATCGTCATAAGCCAAACGTAACTTTTTGTCGTCAAACATTAAAATTTCCAGTGAGTTCATCAACCAATAAAAGGAAAAGTGGGCGTGGCGATATAGATCGCAAGCCAGAACTTTTATGTGAATGTGCGCCAAGTAGGTTAATACTAATAAGAAACCATGCGCCGAGTCCCTGTTCGCTCACCAAATATGGGCGAATCGGGGATAGAGAGAGGGGAAGAGACATTGGCGTTCCGCGAGTGAGGGCGAGGGGGGCCAGTGGGAGAATCGTGTAGATATGTTTCCCGTTGGCCAAATGCAAAGGTTTGTGCGCGCCCAAAAGGCTTGCGAGCCTTTAAGCGCCCCATTTCTCTCTCGCAAGTACGTTGATGCTTTTCATCAGACATCTCGACGTATTCCGGCGGGAAACACCTTGCTCGGTGTTCAGCAAAGAAACCGCTGTAGCCGCCATCCAGGATGTATATTTCGGGATAGGTCAGGCGGGGGTAATGCTCTGCGTTGATGGTACGGTCTTGAGATCGGATATGACGCGCCATTAGAGGGGCCCGATGGGCCGAATATTCACAGTGAAAGATTAGTAAAGTCATGTCGTCCATGGGCGTCTGAAAGAGTTGGTCGGCCAGCAGCTCTTTATTGTTGTGGTTGACAGCACCATCGATGTGGCCGCCATCATACTCGTACTCAAAGCGGCAATCAATGACCATCCGCTGAGCAAACTTTTCGCTATATTTTCCATCCAATATTTCTAGCATCGTCTCTCTTGTGATTCGAGGTATCGTATCTGTAGGATCATCAGGAAGAAAATGAGGGATGATGGGCTCATGGGCCTCTTCGACATCAGTCACAGATTTTAGGATAGGAGAAGCAGCAAGTCCTCTCTCAGGCTTCGGCTTCATGATATCGGTAGGGCTTTCAAACATGCTCAAAGACCTGCGAAATTGCTTTCGGGTTCTCAAAAAGGGATTCGACTGTCTCCTAGCATGGAAATTACCCGGCGAGCCAAGGCGACTATTCCCCCCGATACTTCCAAATTGAGATCTTGAACGAAGGCCAATGGGGATGGGAGAGCAAGGGCTCTGCGATGACAAAGGCCTGCTGCGGTCCTGCGGCGGGGATTCTGAGTCGAAGCACTCATCGAGAGACAAAGTTGAGTTATTAGCTGATACTTGAATTGATGGGCTCGGGGAGGCAGGGGAGCCGGTGCTGTTGGCAAGCGCCTTGAGTCGAATAGGAGTCGTCCGCCTTGGGGCTGCTATTCTACGGCCAGCCAGAATGTCGGCGAGTCCTCGACCGCGTCGAGCTTGCATCGGCGCTAGCTCCGAGGCAATTGGCTTTGTTGGCTCCAGTGACGATTGTCGCGAGAGAGACCTCGTTGGCTCCGGAGACGATTGAGGGGAATTGGGGGCCGAAGAGTCTGGCATGGCGGCGTCATTGGCAGTGGATGGGATGGGTGTAGGCGTGGCAACCTCAACCACGGCGGCAAAGGTCACCTTACGAGGGAGAGGGGTCATCTCGGTAAGCTGAACAGGCGAAGAAGACAGTAAAGTAGGAGTTGTCACAAAGTCTGAAGCGTGTTAGTCAAGACAAAGCGTGTCCCGCAAGGCCCGCGAGATTCTTACCATTGTCGCCGGTGTCGCCAACTACATTAGCCGTGAAAAGAGCTCGTCGAGGAGTTGGGAACTTGGGACTAATAACTACCCGTTAGCATGGGAAAGATGTTGTGTCACTAGACGGCACGGACCTTGCTTCATTGTCAAGCCGGAAGTTCTGGGACAGATCGGCGGCCAAGCTCACAGCAGGAGATGACCCTCGGACTTCTTTAACGCTGAGCAAATCTCCGGTGCCTTTGTGAAGTTGCTCACGAAGACTCATCGACCCCGGAGCAGAGTTGCTGGCGTAATGAGAGCGGAAGATGTCTCGGCCTCTCCATGTGGGAGTCGGCATTGGGCGGTGCATGGCCGCCAGAGGCGAAGAGGCTGTCATGTTGAAGGGATATCCCACCGAGCCCAGCACTCAAATCAACAGCACCCGGCAGCGGCGCTGTTGCTTGAGTGTGAAGACGTGCGTCACGGGAAAGAGTAAAGGACCAGAGTGGAAGAGTTGCCTGAAGCTTGACCTTGTGGCTTGATCCAAAAAATGGCTCCTCGCTATCACCGCACAAGCCAGGGAGTTTTCTTTTTCTCTTTTCTTTGTTCAGAGGTGACGTGTAAGAGCGGTCACTCTGCCAATTCTCCTTCTTCTTTGTCTTCCTTTGTTTTCCCTTGTCCGCCTTGCTTCTCACTAACAGGCATGAAACGCGGTGTTGATAGCGCAGGCAGGCTTTGCAGTGGGGCGGAAAGTCTTTTTTTCTCGCGTTCGTTGCCGTCGTACTAATAATGGCAGAAGCTTGCAAAATCGACGATGGAGTTTTCTCGTGATTTAGTTTCGCCAGAGGTAGTTTCTTTCATCCGGATCTGTGTTGGATCTCGAAGAAGTCGACGGTAGACAATTGCCGTTTCTGCCTAATTGAGCTCCCGGTGATTGGTGCAGCCCGAACCCTGTAGAAGCCGTTTCCCAAGCAGCGAAGCTGCACGGTCGTCTATTCGCTGGCCCACACAAGGTCAGTCGGTGGTGGATTGGCGAGCGAGGCGCCTCTAGTCTGGCTGTCGATGCTTCAATTCGCGGCACGCGGGTGTGAAGGAGAGGGAAGCGAAGAACAGACGAGGGCACAGCGCTTTTTGACGGTCGTTGCACCAACGGGGCCAGGACCAGGAACCCGGCTTGGGATGGAGTTGGACGTTGTTAGGGGTGATTTGGGGGGTGAGGGGGGTTTTGGACCGCGATGGCCCTGCTCTGCTATGCCTGCTGAGCGTGCTTTTGGCGGCGAGAGGTACCTCCGGCGACTGCTACGTACCCGGGCAGCGGCACTAACACAGCGCTGCGGACCATTCCCAGGCGTCAGCACAGCTTCAGCTGCCCTGAGCTATGCCGTTGCGGTTAGCCTCCAGTGAGCGACCTTGCTCCCTAGCAGGAGTGCATGTACCCTTGGGCGCCGTCAGTGGTTGCTCAGTGAGCGGTGGGGCGCTGTGTTCAGTGGGCGCTTAGCCGGCCTAGAGCTGCAACCCTCAGATGTACTCGCGGTACCTGCTACTTCTGCTTCCAAATGTGAGCTGCTCAATGGCCCAATTCACTGCCACTTTCAAGCCTGCCAGGACGTGTCGGCGGTCAAGCAGCGGTGAGGACCGAGCTGCTGTGTGGCTCATTAGAGCGGATTCCAGCGTGCAAAGTTGGTCATTAAACCGCACGTCTGCAGGGTCCCTACGTCTACATGATTGTACACAGCACGGGACCAAGGCTAGAGAGTCAGCCATGAGGGATAGAAGCCGTCATTACGATAAGAGTCAGGACCTGCAGGGCAGATATGCGAAATTGAATGCGAGCTTCCCTGGACTGACGAGCAAACAATACGTGTAGCGTTTGTAAAAGCAACGGCCCGTGTTGTGCGAAATATCAATTTGCAAAAGTTGGTGCTCGGCTGTACTCCATAGCGGGAGTAAACATCAAGCTTTGATGTGTGGATGTTGTTTTTGGAGATATCACTCCAGTGAGAATGCATGTAGCCTCAGCAAGCTTTTCAGCATTGTTCTCTTCTTTTTTGGCTTTGCACTGGGTATGAAGCATGTCCGAAGCATCTCATAACAGGAGGCATGGACGAATGTACAAGTACCTGGCCGAGTGTACTGTAAGCATTTGATTACCGGTTGGAGATGCCAGGCCTGTTCCGCAGCTCTGGTACGGCCCCGGCGTCTTCTCCCAGGTAGCCTTGCGCAGTGCAAACAGACATGGAGGCGAGCATTCAGCTGTTATGGCTTTCCAGGCCCAGCTCGTTTTGCTAACTACGAGGTACCTATCCATATCCAGTCTTTAGGACAGCAAAAGCCTCCACAATGGCTTCAGGCTTATGCACAGAAGAGGCACATGAGCGGATGCAAGTAACGTCCCGCACCAAACAAGACCCCAGCAAATACGCTGGACCAAAGATGGCCATCAATTGAATACCAAGCAAAGTACCTCGACTTTGCGATAACCTCCAAAATATGCAGACCAACAGGTAAGACGCGTGCTACATTGCGTTACTCGCTCTTACAAGCCTCAAAACGCTTTGAACCCAGCTGCGGGCGCCGGAAACGATGCTGACTGGCTCGCCTCGGCCAGAAATCACAAGATGCTCCGAGCTCGTACGGATCCGGTCACTTCCTTCGTGCCGCAAACATCAAAGCCTTCACTGAGACCCTAGAAAGGAGAGACATTGACCCGCCCTTGCCCTAGATCGTCGTTGATCGTGTCTCGTATGCTGGGTCGAGTGCTCAGTTTCCCTGACGATGGACTTGTGAGAGCAGACGCGGGCCAACCAGTAGAGCAATCCCTGCCTCAATCTTCACCCGCTTTGTCTTGAGACATTCATGATCGAGGAGGAACGGAGCGCTTCGTGCTAAAGACTCGCGTGTCGTTGTTGGCTTGGCTTGGTCTAAAGGCGTTTACGATCACAACTCCCTTTCACCGGAGCTCGCCAAACAATGTTTGTAGCTCTCTATAACATGGGCCGGATAAAATTTCTTTGTTCCTTTGTTGCTTGTTGGCATGGAGCTTGCTTGCGCGCCAACGCATCTCAATACTCGTACTGTACGAAACAGCTCCAGAAGCTCAGACTCCGCTTACCACACCGTCATCGGCAAACAGAAGCACCTTGTCATATTAACTAGTACTGTAGATAAACGAAGCAGTATGGCTATGGCCGGGACACCTCGGACCATGCAAAGAGGTTTCTTATGCTCTCTACCTAGGTAGGCAGGATCTGCATTGACACGAGTACGGACGGCACGCTCTCGAAATTTCAATCGCCAGTTGCAAATCATTCCAGCGCGCTTAACTCAATCTCGTCACCATGGGATGTCGCCAACAGATCGTAGACGTCATACCTCTCGCAGTCCATTGACAACCCAACCCTAGAACCATGTTTAATCAGTTGACCGGCACTGGCGATGATTTGCAGGCACGGCAAATGAGCTCGCTTCCCACAGAACAATCGCCGATGGCCAATGAAGCATAGGGCTATGTTGTCTTTCGCTAATTCTTAGTGTAGCAGCTCGGTGTCTTGGGCAACGGTTTCGGGCAACGGGAGCCACAAAAGCTAATGACTGTGGATGAGTGGATGCAGCGAGGATTTTGCAGCAAATTTGCTGTGCACGATCGGCAAGGACGGTGCTTTTAACCTTCGTATTCCAAACTCCTTTTCTTTGCGCAAATTGACTTTGGTCGAGCTTGTGTGTCATGGCAACAGTTGGAGCCGCATGTGCGCACAGAAAACAACAAGAATTGCTATTTCAACCGGAGCAGAGAGCCTCGTTCACTTCCGTTTTTCTCCTGTAGCGAGGCACATTGGCAAGGCTGATAGCGAACGTCATCTGAGCGTACTTTGCTCCTACTGCTCTACCCGATTATGGGCAGAAACCCGCCATTACCAGCATCTGAAATCCCTCTTCAGCTGACGGGATAGTTGCGGATCCTTTGACGATTCCTGAAGCGGCAAGGACCGAAACAACATCTCCGCCCTCCTGCGAGGGAAAGGAAAAAACGCTCTTCGACCCTTGCAATAGCTTGCCAAAGCTGTTTACATGCACCCATGCTCTTACCGGGAGAGAGGAAGATGGCGTCGCAGAGGGGGGCACAACGTGGTACAATGCAACTCTGCTCATAAAACCTGTTTCAGAGGCCCTGTGATCACGATAATTGTTCCTAAAGCTCCAGCACCAAACGGAAAAGGGCAGCTGGAGGTAAGGAAGAAAATAGTATACGATGTCAGTACACGCGTCAAAGTAAACAAAGACGTCGCGCGTTTGGTAGCCCTACCCCGCACCTCGTCCAGCAACCAGAGCAACCAAATCGCGAAGTCACGTGTACGAACTGCAAAAGGCATCGCGCAGGATCGCATTATCCAACCATTGTGTCTTCCATGAAGTTGCTCGGTTGCTGATTTCACAATAATCATGCAAACATCAAACATCACCTAGTACCAGCAGTCTGCAGATAGAGAGCAGATGTATTTTGTGTGATTCTACCCCACTACGCTTGAGAAGTAGGATAGCGACCTCCTAGTGCATTATTGACGGTGGCAGCGGAACGGCGCATGATTTGGTGTCTGGTCTGGCGCGTCAGATGTACAAAGATCAAACAAATCTTCTAACAGGCTAGTAGTAGGTAGGTAGCAACAGCTTGGTAGCGCGGGAAGCTTCAACGTTTCCATTTATACTCCATTCGATTTGATATCTGGTTAACGTAACGAACAGCACGTATTCCACCATATTCTGTACCGAGTAAGGACTTGAAGCTCTCAGAACCGCAGCACGTGAATGTGCGATTAAACATGTACAGAGGTACTTCTGATGCGGGTAATTGTGGGGTGTGTTTGGTGGGACTAAAGCGGTGTCGATAGGCAGAATTTTGTTATCTGGGAATTTTCTAATCTATCATCGCAAGATGATGGAAATCGTTCATACGGCACATAGTATTTGACATTGTAATTTTTTCACTCCTCAAAATTCACAATGGGTAGCAAGCGAAAGCGCGGAACCAAGGATGGCCCCATTGTGCCTTCAAATGCACAGAAAAAGGTCAAGAACACCACATCTCCCCCCATCGTCCCCGTCGTCGCAGCCGCAAAGCCACCGTTGGAGAAAGCCCCCTTTGTCGAAACTCCCACAATCGAAGACAGAAAGCGCGAAGGCCTGTTATACGAACATCTCGGTAGCGAGGACGACAATGACCGGATCGAGGCCGCCGATTGCATTATATCAGGACTTTTAGATGGCGAGGGCGTTGCTGAGGCAGTGGTGCAGAGACATCTCGATCGACGACTCTTCCGCGGACTATCTAGTGGCCGTAATGCTTCGCGCATTGGCTTTAGTCTAGTCATCACCGAGATTCTCAGCCAACTATTTGGAGACAAGTCTCTAAGCGCAGAAAAATACAGCGGGCTGACGTTCGACAAGGTGCTTGGGTTCCTGTTGGAGAAGGCTCAGATTGTCGGCAACATTCCCGGCCAGGAGGAGCGTGACATCTTCTTTGGCCAATTGTTTGGTATTGAATGCTTTGTTAAGTCCCGCATTTTATTTTCCGAACCTTCGAGATGGAACACAATATTGGACGAGCTGTTGAAATTGAGCAACAAGAAAGTCTGGTTAAAGTCACAATGCGGCTGGGTTCTTGTCCAGGCGCTGCAGCAGATGAACCAGGCCCAGGCCAAGGCGACGCTTGAGAAATTGTCAAATTCAGGAGTAGCCAAAACTCCCGAAGGCGTTGCCGTTTGGATGGTTGCGCTCGACCAGTTCCCTAATCTCAGCGTGAAGCCCTGGCAGCATCCTCTGGCCAAAAAACACCTTGGTGATATGGCTGCTATCTTGAAGGAAAGCTTCAACGATTCAAGCAAGGATACTTCTAGCAATTCTCGGAACAACAAACAAGCCACTTGGACGGCCCAGTTGCACTTTGTCTGGGACCTCATCCTCAATCATTATCTCAAGGCCGAGGACTCAAAGGCCGAAGACTTTGCTCAGTTCTGGAGCCGAGTCGTTGACGGTAAGGCTGAGCCCGCACACATTTATAAACGCAGAAGCTAACTCTAATTCAGATGGATTGTTCTCCAAGCAGGCTACCGATGGCCAAAAATTCAAGGGTTTCACGGTCTTCCAAAAATTCCTCGAGAGCTATGCGACACATCCTGCGCTGTTGCAAACCTTATTCAGCAAGAATCTCATGACTTCTCTCATGAACCAGTCCGCAAAGGAGGATCGATACCTACATCGAGCAGCTATAAAGACGCTAAAAGCCATCGAGGCCGCAGTATCATCTCAACCCTCCAATCTGGTCCCTGTGCTTGAGAATCTTCTGACCAAAAACGGAATCTACAACTTTGATCAGCGCACCAACACAAAGACGATCGACAGGCTCCTGCAAAATTTCAACCTAGAAAATGACAAAGGATGCCTGAAGATTATCCAAAGCCCCATTGCTGGCCTGTCACAGCAAGAAGTCAGCGAGGCCCAGACTATCCTGAGAGTTCACATTGACTATCTATCAAAAGTCCTAGGGGCCTGCGCTTCCCTAGGTGGAAAAGAATCTCAAGCTGACAAGCTTGAAAACACCTCATTAAGCGCTACACTGCAGCAGTTATCACGTCTTGCCTATTCCCAGCCGGAGGATATCCCAAAGGATGTCCTAACAGAGCAAATTCAAGAGCTTGCTCGGTCAAGATTGGAGACGGCACTCGCGAAGCTGACTCGCCAGACTTCCGATTTTGTTACCTTCTGCCAGGCAGTCGCCTCCATCGACTCAAGTGCCGTTACCATGTCTGAGGAAATCAAATCAGCCATTGAGAGTGCGCTGTCAAGAATGCACAAACTGCTAAAGCAGAAGACAAAGACTGATAACGACAAGACTCTAACACAGGGGCTGGCTATGCTTCATGCCATCTCCATTTTCCAACTATACAACCAAGACCCCGATGCGATGGAAGTACTAGATGATCTCGCCCAGTTTCACGAGAGGCTCCAGGAGGGCAAACTCGGAGATGACGATACTGGAAGTTCAGAGTTCTTGGTAGAAATCTTACTATCCATGGTGGCTCGCCCCTCATCGTTGATGCGACAGGTGTCTCAGCAAGTATTTGAAGCTTTCACATCACAAATCTCCGCTGGCGGCTTGGAACTGCTCTTTGGACCCCTGGGCGCCAATGAGAGCACCAAGGGCCAGAAGGAGCTGTTTAACACAGAGGACGATGGTATGGATATCGATGGCGAAGGCTCTTCTGATGAGGATGGCGATGATGTGGAAGAAATCTCAAACATCGAGATCGACTCTGACGTGGAATTTGTTGATCTTGGAGATGCCGATGGAGAGGAAGGCGATGATGATGAAGAAGATGAGGAAGAAGAAGATGATGAGGACGAGGACGAGGACGAGGACGAGAACGACGATGATGATGACGAAGAGGCAGAAGGAGACGCAAAAGAAGGCCGCATAGAGATCGACGTGCCCCTAAGCAAAATCCTCAAAAGCCACCGCCTCGATAAAGACGCCGAAGCCGAATCCTCCGACGACGAAGGTGACATGTCCGACTCGCAAATGTTCGCCCTCGAGGACAAGCTCGCCGAAGTCTTCAAGCAGCGCGCAAAGGCCCGCCCAGACAGCAAGAAGCAGAAAAAGGACGCCAAGCAGTCCGTCGTCAACTTCAAGAACCGCATCCTCGACTTCCTCGACATTTACGTCAAGAACGAGGTCCTCAGCCCGCTCGCCTTCTCCCTGCTCATCCCGCTGCTGGATCTCATGCGCACGACGAGCACAAAGACGCTGGCTGGCCGTGCCTGTGAGATTATTCTCAATTACCAAAAGGGCTTGAAGAAGGCGAGGAGCGGCGCCGGCGGTAACAAGGATACTGATGCAACTGAGGCCGCTGCTGCGCCAGTCTACGATGCTGAACAGCTGCTCTCCGTGCTGGTGGAGGTGCATGAGGAGGCAGGCAAGGACAACGCGCACGCGTATGCCAAGGCTGCCAGCGCCGCCAGTCTGATTGTAGCTTCGGCCATGTTCGCCACGGACAAGGAGCTGGTGAAGCAGGCGGCGGCGGTGTATGCCAAGACGCAGTCGGATTGGGTCCTGGGCCAGGCCAAGTTGCAAAACTCCTTTTTCGCGGACTGGAACAACTGGTGCCAGAACCATGCTTCTCAGGGGCGGAATTGATACCCATGTACATAGCTGTAAAAGAAAAGAAGAACAAGGGAAAATAGGATTAGAGCAGGATCGTTATAACAAGTTCAAACAATTGCAAAATAATAGAACAGAGGAGAGGGAGAAAGGTCCCCGGATTGTGTCTTTAATATGGACATTTTTTTCATCCAGAGAAGACGCATTTACTCTATAATAAGCCTTTCCCGTCGTGGATAATGCGTTTGATCCGAACACACACACAAACCCCTTAAAAGATTAGCACTTTATTTACTCTTCCATCTTGTTATCATCGTCCTTCTTTTCTTCTTCCTCCTCGTCATCAGACTCGTCCTCTGCCCGCGCTAATCTCTCAGCCTCTTCTCTCAGCTCTTTGGGCACCTCCACATGCCGTCCCTTGGTAGGGCCGTCTACTGTGCTAATCCAGGTCATCTCCAGCTCAAACTCCTTGTCCTTGTTATCCTTGTGGGCGATGTAGATGATTCGCGCGGCCTCCTTGACTGCCTCGTGGATGGTGATGTTGCCAGCCGGTAGGTCCAGCTTCTCCAGCTCAGCCTTTGCAGCTTGTCTGCCCTTGCCCGTCGCCGCACCGTAGTATCCCCAGTATAGGCCGCTGGGCTCGATCATGTAAAGGAAAGGACCGCCGTGCTTGCCGGCAACCTTGCCGCCGGCGCCGACGGCAGGCCCTGAGCCGACCTCGCCGTCTACGGGGGTCTCTTCTGAGGTGTCGACGCCACCAACGATAGCGGTGATGCCGAAGGGACGGACAGAGCCGTACATGGTGTATGCCTGGAGGTAGCCACCCATGCGGGAGGCGAGGTCGGCTGTGGGGATGGGAGTCTTGAAGTTCTGGCGCCAGCTCTGGGCTTCATCTCGGGCTCGGTCGACGAAGTGGCGTCCATCGGGGATCATGCCTGAGTAAACCTTGAAGGCGTGTAAGCATTGTGGTGGGCATTTTAGAGCACCGAAGGGGATGCGGATATAAGGGCAGTGCACGTACTGCTCCGACATGGCTGTCAACGCTGGCAATTCTCTTGTTTGCACTGGACTTTTGCAGCTTGGATGCGACAATCTTCTCGACGGCCAGGACGATGCCGTCCTTGCACCGGATGCCGATTGAGGTGCCGCCGTTCTCTACAGCCTTGACTGCATATTCGACCTGGAAGTTTCGACCATCAGGCGAAAAGATGGAGTTGAGGAGATCATAGCCCGTGCCGATCGACGTCTATCGAAGTACATGTTCTGGATTAGCCCGCCGCTCAGATAGACTCAAGCTTGCCAGCTACTAAGCTATGACACCAGATAGCAGTAACAAATGCGGGGGGTTGCTGTTTACCATGATTGCTTCGGAGCTCTGTTAGAGAATTCGACCAGCCTCGTGAGATTCGTGGGTATTAGAAAAAGGGGGAGGATGCTGTCAAAGGTCAATCGGTGGTTGGAGGGGCTGTTGGCGAGAGTCGAGATGTCGATTTTGGCGGGCGTTGGCTTGGAGCTCCAGCACCAGGCAGCCTGAGAGCTGCGTAGTTGCAATCGCCCGCACAAGGCTGGACGCACTGGTGCCTGAGGCGCGCAGATTCTAGAAAAGAGGACAAGCCACAGCGAGTGTGGCTGGCAGCTGCTGTGGCTGGTGCTGGGTGGCTATGACGAGCGTGGCTTGGGCACATCCCGCAATTGACACCGCCACATGTGGTGCATTCCCGTCTGGCTGGGACGATCCTTGCATATTGGCAAATTGGCAGCTGCGTGCGGGAGAGATGGAGACTTTGGGGGGCGATGACCAGTGGCGCTACTTATCGATGGTTTAGGTGTGATTTGAACATGAGAATGAAGCCATGCTTTTCCTTGTTTTCTTGTTTGCAATTACAAGAATCAACCGATTTAGTGATGAATGTCACTGGGCCATAGATATTGACCACTACAGCTGGCTTTGCTTGAAAGACGTATTTACCCTGAACAAACTCGAGGAAGCCTCAGCTCAACCTCGGCACCAAATGAGAGCTGGCTATTTCCGTATTTGCCCCCCGGGAAGCGAGCGTGGGATGGAGTGCGGGATTCAGCGCATGGTGATGGCTTTGGGCTTACAATGGATGCAACCTTTATCATCGTCGTTGTGCCGGCACATTTTCTTATATCGCTAATAATTAGCAGCAGATGCTAGTATTTCTTTAGCCCGTCAAACGAATGCCACTTTCCGTCATTCATTTTACTCGTAGACTATCGACTATATTAAGACGAGGCGCTGGGCGATAAAGGAGGCTTTTTTGCCACGCCGTCCATGCCAGTCGTGCCATTCATTAAACCTCCGTGTTGCTAACGTCGTCCAGGCAGCCTACTGCAAACTAGGGGCCATTAGCGACAGAGCGGCGGCATAGCATAGCACCATGCGAGTCGTTTATAAGTGTGTACATACACATTGCTCGGAAATAGGAGTATGATTTCGACCAGCATATCAGCGGTTCTATGCTTGCAAATGCTTGTAACATCTACAGTCCAACCTGGTACCCGCTACTCGCCGCCATCGCCGCTCTCCTAGGCCCTTCCGCGTCCATTCCCCCACCGATCATGTCCCCCGTACGGATGATGCCCAAAGGCGGCCCAAACGTGTCTTGCGTCACGCCCATCGTGGAACCTTCCCTCATGACCTGCTTGTTCCCCCCTCGCGCCTCTCGTTTCCGCCAGAAAAGGCCGCTATCCACATAGCAGTGACACATTGGTGGTGGCTGGCCCCAACGGTTTTTCCTGTTCGCTTTGCACGCCAGACAGGCGGGATACATGCCTGAAAACCCCCGAATAACCGCCTAAGAATTGCAACTGGAACCTTGTATGACAGCGACTCACTATAAGTGGGCAACAGTCACTGATTCTCCCCGTATATATACCCAGCGCAGAGTACTGCTGTCCGTCGTCTTCTTCTCTACTTCCATCTCACCGGACCAGGCTTCGCTGCATCTCTGCGTCTTCCGTGCTTCTGGCCCCGCCTGCACCGCTGCCGTGCCTCTTGCGTCTGCTGCTGTCCATCTGCACTGGCCTCCACTCTTTCAGGTTGAAACGCTCATCGCTCATCGCCAACGCACCGATAGTTTCCGCTAGACGCTGCGCTGTCTCTTGACCCCTCGTCTGGCCGACCCTGGCATCTGATGCCGCAGCCCAATCTTCTGCTAGCACGCAGTAGTATCCGCTTCCAGGCACGAACGAATTAAAATAAAAAAGGAGACCTCGGGATACTCTTCGCTTCTCTTCTTTCTGAAACCTCTCTCGACTTCACTTCGTCTTGACATTTTATCTTAGTGTAGTGCAATATAAACACCCCAAGATTTCTTTTCTTGCTGCCACAGCTCGAGCCTCCCGTCGCAAGCGTCTCGTCTCTCCTAGTCCTCGTTGATACCCAACTAATAAAACGTCACCCCCCCAAATCGGAGGAGGATTCACGCACTCCAAATTATCTCTTGGAGCAATACAACGCTGCAATATCTCGTGGAACAGGTGAACTACTTAGACCACCAGCAGGTATTCCCAGGTCGCTTTTACTTTTTGTAAACTCGTTATAGCATCGTCGGCACAAATCACCAGGTACCTACATCTTATTGATCTTATTGGTCACCAATCTCGGCCATGTACTTGCATACATGCATACACCCTCTCATCTTGCAGACCGCGGCGCTAACTCTTTGCATTGCAGCAACATGGTATCACTGCAGACGAATATGCAGATCCACGATGATCTTGCAGCGCTCTTCTCGCGAAACATGACTTTCAACCCAGAGGCTGTTCCCAAGGAAATGCCCCAAGAAGAGGCTGTTCCCTCGCAGCAGATTGTCTATTCCGTATCACAGCACTATAACCACTCGGCTCATATTGCAAAGCCTCAGCTACAGCACTCGGACTCACAGAGACGCTCATCAGAGCCGCCACAGACTGAGGTCGTTTCATCCGAGACGATATTACGGAACCACGGCGTTGATCCCTCCACGCTCACGCCCTCACAGCTGCAGCTCTTCCGTATAGCTGACATCACCCAAAAGAGGCGGTTGGTCGAGCTTTGGAGCATCTGTCCTCCCACCAGCGGAGGAGATATCCCTGCTCTTGCTTGGAGCAGCACGACAATGGACCAAGAGGAGCATTTGGCCCAGGTGCGTTATGAGAAGCAGCAGCAGCTTAGCAATGTCATGAGCCTAGACGGCACGACAGTCCAAAATTCAAACAGCACATGGATCCATCAAGCCAGCCAAGAGAGCGAGCCTTACATGCTGTCTGGATATGAAGAGATCATGCGACGAGAGCGAGAGCGAGAGGAGTCTGTCTCTCGTCCAAAAGACGCATACAGCCACTTTGGAACCTCTATTGGCGGCCCAAGCTACGTGCCTTCTACAGACCCCGTCTATCTCGGAGCCGACTACGCACGGCACCAGTTGCAGCTGGCCATGGCTGAACAATATGGCGCGTTTGAACAGCACAGAGCGAATCAGGCGGTGGATGTTATGGATATGTAATGAATAGCGCATACAATATAGTAGAGCGTCGTCATAGCCGGTTCATGGCCATAGGCGCTGTCAGATAGCAGCACAGAGTAGCTTTGCAGGATGTTTGTTTATTGTATTTGTCACTTGTGGATGGAATTATCATGTCTATACACTTTTTTTTTTTTTTTTTTTTTGCTTTTTTTTTTTCTTACAATGGATGAGCAAGAAAATTACTTTGGAAGGTGGCTGGTTTTGGGGCACATTTTTGAGCTCATGTTCTAATTACTCTTCTGTTTTCTCTCTCTCTCCCCAAGTCTTTGTTACGCTGTACTAACCTTTCATCTCCATTTATACCCTTTCAACTCTCCACCTCATAAACCTTTTTGTGATGGACACAGTGATGGCTAACAAGTTTTTCTACAGAGCCTGGGTGGTGCTGTGATGTCGGTCAAGGTATGTGTGTCTTCCCCCCCCTTGTTCCTTACTCCTTACCCCTTTTTTCAACCTCCCTATTATCCATTTGTAGAGGGCATGTTGCCATGTTGCCAAGAAACAATTACATATGCCAGAAGTAGTGCCAATATTTTTAGGAAGACGTAAAAAAAATAATATTCTACCAATTTTACATTTGTAATTACATATGGGTTGTGATATGTATAACTGGGAAGTACTGTGATTTCCTAGCTGGAGGGCGCTTATACTAAATACGTTCATATATACTTTTGATGGACCGAGATGACTAGACGATACATAGGTAACATTCTCCTCTAACTGGATTATTTTACATATGCATGAGACCATGAAAGAACCACCGACTTCTAAGGGGGGTATCGACTTTTTTTTCATTGAGTAATGTAGTGAAGGAAACAACTTTGTGTCAAGTGTGTCAAGAGTGCTATGTGCAAGAGTGCGAGTGCGAGTGCGAGTAAGGTGTATGGAGTATGTGAAATGAAACGTCTAAATAAACCAACTGGTGGGAAAAAAAGGGGGGGAGGAGAAGCAGGAGAGGGAACTAAGAATACCAAGAACAAGAAGACAAGAAAAATTTCGCCAAAAATTATAGCTGAGTCTTCTGCAGTTGCGATGCCAGATCGTCCACGTCCGCGTCCTTGCGCTGCGCAACGGGCTGCTTTTGGGCCTCCTCGGCATCCTTGATGAGCTTCTCGGCCTTCTCCTCGATTTCCTCCTCTTCCTCCTCCTCGCTTTCTTCTTCCTCTTCGCTCTCCTCTTCTTCAAGATCGCTGAGGCTGTCGACACCCCACTCATCCTCGATGACAATATCTCCGGCAAACTTCTCTTTCCGCTCCTCGAGGAGTTCTTGCAGGTTGAGGATGGACTCGTCGTCTTCGGTAAACTTGTTTCCGTTCAGCTCGATACGTCTCAGCGCAGGGAGAGCTGTCTTTGCAGATCTAGCCAGCTGCTTGACGCCCTCGGCCTTGATGTCGTTGTACTGTAGTCGTAGAGTCTCCAGCTTCTTGTTCTTTCCCTGTGACAGGGCGTCAGCCAGCAAGAGGCTGCCCTTGGCACTTAGCAGAGAGTCGCCAACGCCGAGCTCCTGCAGATCTGCCCATGTGGGCACAACCTTGGCGAGCGCCCTGGCTCCCATGATGGTAAAGGTGTTGTCCTGCAGATCAAGAATCTTGAGCTCGCTAGCGTGGTTGAGACCCTCGCTGAGCAGACGAGAGATTCCCTCCTGTCGAATGCCATTCTGCACCATCTTGATCTCCTTGATCTTGTTGTGAAGGCTGTAGGCCTTGGCCCAGGCGGCCATGCTGCCGTTCTCAAGTCGGTTTCGGCCACAGATGACGGTCTCGAGGTGAGGCACCTCTTTGCCCTCCTTGCGGGCCGCCTCCTTCTTGGCGTGGAGTTCTGAGAGCGCATCGGCGACAAGGATACCGGCGTGGGGACCGAGGCCGTTGTTGTTCAGATGCAGGTGTTGAAGGGGCACGTGGGAGGAGAGAAAAGCCACAAGCGGGGCTTGGGTGTTGAGGCCGAAGGCATTGTCGTTGAGGTTGACCGTGGTAAGGTTGGGGTGGTTCAGGACAGCGGTGAGGATGGCGGAAATGCCAGCCGGGATCTCGTTCAGCAGTCGGCCGGTGAAAAGGTCGGCGAAGTTGGCGGACTGGGCTCGTTAGATGTCAGGGCACTGGACAAGTAAGGGGGCGGTTTTCGGGAGCGCGCATACCTTGAGACTCTTCTTGGTGGACAGGACTTCGCCGAGACGCTTGCAGGCGCCAACGCCGAGCGTGTTGCCCCAGAATCGCACTTCTTCGACGTCATCCAGCGCGCAGAGGGGGGCGAGGTGAGGCTCGATGTCTTCGGCGGTGTCGAGCTTGAGCCCCTTGCCCTCGAGGGAGAAGATCTTGGAGGAGGCCATTTTGCAGGCGAGCACAAAGTCGGCGGCTAATGCGTATGATGATGTCTAACAGATATAGAAAAAAAGCGGGAAGCGCGAGAAGCAAGATCGAGGCTGCGAGCCCTGCTTATAATTTTTTTTGGGTGAGGCTTCGTATCGAGGTGCGAAATGATTGACGGATTGTTTTGACAATGGTGGGGGCGGGGCACGAAGAAAGGTCCTGGTTTGCCTGGCAACCTGCAGCGGGCAAGGCTGGATGAAACTCGCTACAGGGGGTGGCTGCGGGCTTGGCCAGCGCGCATTAGCGAGCGCCGCCAGGTGGCAGACAGCTGGCGCACAGCTGGCGTGCCCGCTAAAGTCCAGCTGCACCCTCGCACTCCGGGCGGCTTCGCTGCTCCCCACCATTCCGAGCAACATCCCATGCGCACGTGACTTTGGCCAATCAGCGTCGGCCCATTTCGGAACGATGGATTTTCTCTATCAACTTCTCCCGCTGAGCCCTTTTGAACGCCCCGACCCGAGATCGATACATCGCCGTCCTCACTTTTGATTGCGGCTCACCCCCTGCGGCTTCGGTACAGCTTGCCAATTATGCTGGCAAGGTCGTGTCTGCGCCCGGCGCGCACCCTCAATGGGCTTCGAAATGCCGCCGTGAACGTCTCCAAGGTGGGTGGCCCCGAAAACCTGCCACAAGCTCGAAAAACTACGATGCTGCTCCCCCACGGCTTCGCTCGAGGCCCTGCCGAGGGCTGAGCAGCTGCAACGACAACTGCAGGCCGTCGGGCCGTGGGCGTTTCAATTGCAACGAGGACTTGCTGGATTTGTTTCTGGGAATGGCTGGAGCTGACTTGTCTTCTAGCGTGCTGCTTCAACAAGCTCTGGTGCCGAAGCTTCTCCCGCGCGCCTCAACATCGCCGCTATTGCTTCCACCACCCTCGCCGCCGGTTCTCTGGCCTGGTACTACCATCTCTATGGACCCGTGGCCTTTGCCTCGGCCCCTGCTGAGGAGGGGTATGTGACTTCTCTCCCTCTTCCTGTGCAGCAGTGCTGCGCATCTCGTCTACGGCCATATGTGCCCGATGCGGCATAAAAATACTTGCACGACTTGCTCTTGTCTAAACGATCAATTGCTGACGGGTTTCATTACAGTCTCCATGCCACTCACTACCCTTGGGTTCACGAGCAGTTCTTCAAGACCTTCGATCACCAGGCGTAAGATATACCCTCTGTTTCTAAGAATTGGCTTTTTTGGCAAGCTCGATTGCTTACATCCGACTTTTTAATACAGTCTTCGTCGTGGTTTCCAGGTCTACCGTGAGGTCTGCGCCAGCTGCCACTCCCTCTCTCGAGTCCCCTACCGAACTCTTGTCGGTACCGTCCTGACTGTCGACGAGGCCAAGGCTTTGGCCGAGGAGAACGAGTACCCCGACGAACCCGATGAGCAGGGCGAGATCCCCATGCGACCCGGAAAGCTGGCCGACTACATTCCTGCTCCCTACAAGAACGATGAGGCTGCTCGATTTGCCAACAACGGTGCTCTGCCCCCGGATCTGAGCTTGATCGTCAAGGCCCGCCACGGTGGCTGTGACTACATCTTCAGCTTGCTCACCGGTTACCCCGAGGAGGCTCCTGCGGGTGTCACCGTTGCCCCCGGCATGAACTTCAACCCTTACTTCCCCGGTACCGGCATTGCCATGGCTCGTGTTCTGTACGACGGCCTCGTCGAGTACGAGGACGGCACCCCTGCCTCCACCTCCCAGATGGCCAAGGACGTTGTCGAGTTCCTCAACTGGGCTGCCGAGCCTGAGATGGACGAGCGCAAGAAGATGGGTATGAAGGTTCTGGTTGCCACCTCGGCTCTGTGGGCTCTCAGCGTCTGGGTCAAGCGATACAAGTGGGCCTGGCTGAAGTCCAGAAAGATTACCTACGACCCTCCCGCGGAGACCAAGGTCCGCCGATGAAGGAGGTTATAATTCCCTGTGTGCCTGTGTATACTACTACTAGTTTCCTCCTTAGAAAAAAAAGCTCTTTTGTGCTGGCGGAGGCGGATAAAATGGATTGGTCGTTTTTGTCAAGACGTGATGCATGTATCTATGTATGTTGGTGGCTGGGTTGGCTGCCTCGGAGCTTTAAAGAAAAAAAATTAGATGCCGTTTCAATACTAGTTTTATATTATCTATTGAGCCAGACGTGTGAAATTTACCGTGGGCGAACAGCTCTACTCGCCGTGAAGTGATTTCGAACGTTGTCTATCTCTCTCTAATGTTCATATTAGGACAAATGACGTGCTACATTTATATAAACCGAGGTAGGTACTATAGAGAGATATGATTTCTGATAGCATATTCTCAGGAGTCGAATTCACTTGTTGTCGGTAAAAAAGCGTTTATGCAGCCTATGGAATAATAATCATCATTTATTACTTTGCTTTTGTTGAATGTCCAAGGCATGTTCCTTTTCTCATTTCCTTACCTACGGAACTGCAGATGTAAGCGAAACAGTCTTAGCCGGGGTGTAACATGGAAGCTCGTCAACCGGAGCATATTTGAGCAATTGGCTGTAAAAAGAAATTGTATTGACATATATTATAACTCAATAAATACTCCCAGTTAATATTAATCACAGCCGTATTATGGTATGGCCGTAGATGCAGCTTACTTTGTAGATAGTGGCAGAGCACCCATCTGTATCGAGAATCATCCCAGCTGACTACGCCCCATATAAATCCAAACCTCCAATAAAATCGCCCCAGCCCGTCACCTCGATCGAAATTCACCCGGTGATTAAGCTGGATCAACAGGGCCATCCAGGTCACGAAAATTGACTGGGGGCGAAAAGTTACATGAACCTCTTTTTTGAAACCTAGACATTCCTTTTCTACCTTTGAACAAATCTTCATTTCTGTTTTTCTAGAGAGGCTGCGAAACAGCTCGTCTGTGTGAAATCGTCTTCGGGAGCCGCTTTTGCGACTTTTCTACCGACTACCTACCTACCTACGAGACGTCCTTTCCTACCAAGCATATACCTAGAATCGCTACCGATCTTGCTCTCATCGCATTTTATCTGAGTGGTCGTCTCCCTTATAACTGCAGTAGCGTCAGCTGCCGCAGCAATCCTCATCAGGCCAGACTGAAGAGGCCAATTCACATCCAACAATGCCCTATGTTGGCGATGATGTCCATCGTGCGACGACAAAACGAAAATGGGATCACGATGGCAGCGAAACTCTCCGATTCTCGCATCCCGGCTCCAACGCCACCGTCTTTCACGTCTTGAACCAACAGGCAGGGCTGGAGAGCACTGTGGATGGCGTTTCGGCGCGCAAGACGCTGCCTCCGACGAAACGACTCCGAGCGATTCACGATGACGACGACACCACGCACTCTGCACATTGGCGAAACGCCTCCTCTCGCGAGCTGCTAGTAACGACATCACAAGTCGCCCATGATAGCAACGACAGCGCCTGTAAAGCGCCTGTGAAGATTGGCGGTATGACCATTATGCCCTGCCACGTTTGCCACCGTCGACCAACCAAGAAATCCGACCTCGACTCCTTCGCCAGATGCCAATCGTGCCAGGAACAAACCTGCTTCGTCTGCATTCGCGAATGTCGAAGACAGAAGGATCCTCATAACGACATGAATTCGCCTCCATTTGGAAAAGAAGATGAAGATGTCGGGCAATCTTTCAAAATGAACGACGCGGACGAATGCGACATGGCTGCATCTACCAACATCCACGCGCCACAACATGACGATCATGAACGACAAGACACGCCCAACAAAAGTTCTGCCAATAGCAGCATTCATCACGCCATGATATGTAGCCGTTGCTGTGTTGAAGAAGGCGCCGAGGGCGAAGTCGTCTGCCTGGGCTGTCTATCCAACATGGACACTGCATAATCACAACGCCACAAGATTCACGACATCAAACCGCAAACAATACAAGAATGGCAAAATATTTTTCCCCGCCATGGTGAACTTACAACGGCTTTTTAATTACCACGTATAGCGCACTGGATCTGTTTTTTATTTTACTTTTGAAATTTATTGGGATATCAGGATTGGGGATTTAGGAACAATTAGCAAGGCAAACTATTAGGCTAGGTAGATACCACTAGGTAGGAGAGCAGCATGTGCTTTCATCTTTGCGCGTTTCATTTCAGCGTTTTAATTTTTATACATCAGTCACATTTGATGTCTAGTTTTCACTTACATGTCATATATTTTACCTCGAGGGCCATGGTACGGCAGCGAATTTGCAAGGTGCTACAAAGAGGCTACTTAATGGAATAGGAAGAAGGAGAAACTTTTTTTACATGGCTTTTCTAAGCGTTTGGTTAGATTTTGATCATCACATATACCACTTTACGAAAGCGACTGAAAAGATCTACTGAGCAGTAATTACTGGTAGCAGTTGTCTAATAGGGGGAGGCTTCACAACCACATCACCAAAGCTTCCATGGTCTACTATAAGCCAGATGGGCAGGCAATTTTGTGTAAAGTAAATGGATTTTCATGTCAGTCAATAGTGTCACATCATTCTTGTTTCTACAGCAGCAGCAGGTTCAACCTCTGGTAAACGCTAGTCTCTATTCCCTTTATGGAACAAGAAAATTAGGCATGTATCAGCACACCCCACCGAGTTTCGTCCATATTCATACATCAATAATATTAAAAGTAAACCTATTTAGTTGTACTGCATGTACGTCGCTGTTGAGTTGAACTTGAGGTTGCCCTTGATGACCTTGTCTACCGCGTCCAAGAAATCCTTCTCCGAGGCTACCTTTCTCCGTGCTCGGATGGCAAACATGCCGGCCTCGGTACATACACTCCTCAGCTCAGCACCAGTAGCGTTCGGGCAGAGACGAGAGATGAGCTCCCATCGGATATCTCGCTCGACGGACATGCTCTTGGCGTGGATTCTGAGGATGTTGGCGCGGCCCTCGAGATCGGGAAGTGAAAATTCAATCTTGCGGTCGATTCGTCCAGGTCGCATCAGTGCAGGGTCAAGCGTCGACGGTCTGTTGGTGGCGAACATGACTTTGATGTTTCCTCGGGCGTTGAAGCCATCCAGCTGGGTAATGAGCTCCAACATGGTTCGCTGAACCTCATTGTCACCACCGGCGCCATCGTCGAATCGTGCACCACCGACAGCATCGATTTCGTCAAAGAAGATGATACACGCCTTCTTTGTCCGGGCCATCTCGAACAGCTCTCGAACCATTCGGGCACCTTCACCAACGTACTTTTGAACAAGCTCGCTGCCAATAACTCGGATAAAGGTAGCATCTGTTCTGTTTGCAACAGCTCTGGCGCAGAGAGTCTTGCCGGTTCCGGGCGGGCCGTAGAGCAGTGCACCCTTGGGAGGGTCAATACCAAGGTTTGAGAATCTCTCCGGCGAGAGCAAGGGCATCTCGACGACTTCTCGTAGCTTCTCAACCTGCTCTTTGCAGCCACCAACATCGCCGTAGGTAACATCTGGCTTCTCCTCAACCGTCATCATGGTGACGCTGGCATCGATCTTCGGAGGCAGCGGCAACATGATCTGGTATTTGTTTCGGTCCACTCCAACTCGCATACCCTCCTCGATATCCGTGGGACTGACGCGGTCGCCAAGCTGAACGACAAACTTTGCTATTTGTTTGACATTGATGACATACTTGCTCTTGGACTCGTCTCCCTTTTCGTCGGCGATAATCTTCGTGCAGCGAGCCACCTGGAAAGGCTGCTCTTCAGACATTCGTTGCCGATCGGCGGCGACATCCCATAAGTGTGGTGGTGCGAGACCGGTGTCGGATTCCTATGGCAATGCATTAGAAAGGTACAGATCCATCGTTGGCGGTTGCTTTCCATACTTTGATACCAATCTTCTCGTCTACACTCTGCTGCTTCTCCTTGATCTGTTTCTCGAGCTTTGAGATGGCTGACGCATATGGGGCGGCGCCGTATGTCTTGAGGACTTGGATATCCCTAGCTTTGGATTAGTCTCCTACCAGCTCCAAGCAAACATGCCAGCGGGAGACAGGCCGTACTCATCTGTGAGAGGGGTAATCTTCTTTTCTTCTACCTCATCGTCTGCGAATCTCTTCGAGTACTTCTCCCAGTTTTGACCGGTTGCAGAAGGCTTGTGCAGTTAGTAATGGCCAGCATTGATCGAGCCCAGCTGTCTTGCTTACCATGGTGGGATCTGCAAACTGGACACAATGTCCGTTAAAAAGATGAGTTCGGGGCTGACGGAAGAAACAATTTCGGTTGGTACAAGTTATACCAGAGCAGTCGTGTGGTCGAAATGAGGGGTGCAGGTGTTTCGCTGGTGGTGATGCGCGTTGAATATGATGGCTGATGAAGGTCATAGAAGCATTCCGTAATCTCAGTTGCCTTGAGCTCAGCGCATTGGCGCCTGTCGCTGGGACCCTGCCGAGCTAGGCTGGTTTGGGCCAATAGCAGCTGCTGGGCAGGGGGGAAGTACCGCCGGAGCATGGATTATCTCTGGCGCCGACTCCAAAATTTCCGTTACTGATATGGCGGAGTAGGGCAGACAAGGTGGGATGTCAACCAGGCTGCCAGAACCGCGATCTTGCTTCCTTACCAAGCTTGCCGTGATCCAGGCTTTTCGGAGGTTGTTTTTGCATTGAACCGGAAGTAATCCAGAATCTCCAAAATGTCTGCACCGGCTGTTTCAAGCGGCAACTCCAACAATGCCGCCTTCAAGGTAGACTCCCAAAGCTGCACGTCGAGCTCCTGAGCTGCCCCGCTAACCATGGACACAGGACAAGGAGAAGCCCATGGCGGTGCGATCGTCCAACATTGTCGCTGCCAGAGGTTCGTTTGCTCGATCGAAGCACTACAGAGCGTGTTAAATCGCTAACCTGAATTTAGCTGTCGCCGATGCGATCCGAACATCTCTCGGCCCTCGAGGCATGGACAAGATGATCCGAAGCGGAAAGGGGGAAACAATCATTACCAATGACGGAAACACAATGCTCAAGAGCATGTCGGTCATGCACCCGACAGCAAAGATGCTGGTTAACCTGTCTGGAGCCCAAGATGTCGAGGCTGGTGATGGAACAACCTCCGTCGTTGTCATCTGCGGCAGCCTTCTCGGTGCCGCTGACCGATTGCTGTCCAAGGGCATCCACCCCTCAGTCATTTCCGAGTCCTTCCAAAGGGCATCCGCCGCCGCTGTCGAAGTCCTGCACGAAATGTCCCAGCCCATCTCACTAGCCGACAACGCTTCCCTTCTCCAGGCTGCCAACACATCTCTGTCATCCAAGATTGTTTCTCAGTACTCAAACCTCCTCGGTCCCATGGCCGTCAACGCCATTACTAAGACGATCGATGTCAAGACTGCCGAGAATGTGGACCTGAACAACATTCGCATCATCAGAAGAGTGGGAGGAACGATTGAGGACAGTGAGCTGGTGGATGGTCTGGTCCTTACACAACCAGTCCTCAAGAACGCTGGTGGTCCCTTCAGAATGGAGAAGGCTCGCATTGGTCTTATCCAGTTCCAGCTCAGCCCCCCTAAGCCTGATGTAAGTCTGCACAGTCATCACGCCGTCACCCTATCAAGGGCTTTTACTAATTGTTACTGTAAAGATGGAAAACACGATCCAAGTCAACGACTACCGCCAGATGGACAAGATTGTCAAGGAAGAGCGGTTGTACCTCTTGAACATGGCCAAGAAGATCAAGAAGGCCAAGTGCAACGTGCTCTTGATCCAGAAGTCTATCCTTCGAGACGCCGTCAACGACCTTTCCCTACACTTCCTGGCCAAGCTTGGCATCATGGCCATCAAGGACATCGAGCGAGACGAAGTCGAGTTTATCTGCAAGTCTACTGGCTGCAAGCCTGTTGCAGATATCGACTCCTTCACTGAGGACAAGCTTGGGTCTGCGGATCTCATTGAGGAAGTCCAATCATCAGGATCACGTATGGTCAAGGTCACTGGAGCCAAGGCTACTGGCAAGACCGTGTCTGTGGTTGTGCGTGGCGCCAACTCACTGATTCTGGCAGAGGCAGAGCGAAGTCTTCACGACGCTCTTTGTGTGCTCCGATGTCTCGTCAAGAAGAAGGCCTTGATTGCCGGTGGTGGTGCTCCCGAGATTGAGATTGCAGCCCAGCTGTCTAAGCAGGCTCGCAGCCTGACTGGCACCGAGGCCATCTGCTGGAAGGCATTTGCGGATGCCATGGAGGTCATCCCCACAACGCTGGCTGAGAACGCCGGTCTGAACAGCATCAAGGTCGTCACTGACCTGAGACATCGACACGAGATGGGCGAGAAGAACGCTGGTGTCAGCATCAAATCTGGAGGAGTCAACACCAACATCTCCAAGGAGAACGTATTGCAGCCACTCTTGGTCAGCACAAGCGCCATTGAGCTGGCGGCCGAGACGGTGAAGATGATTTTGAGGATAGACGACATTGCTTTGTCAAGATAGATAAAAAGTCAGCTTTCTAGCAGGATGCTGTAAGATAATATTTGAATTTAAAGATGCAAATCTATGCGATGCAGCATCTGTCATTGTGCTTTTATCTAATTTTCTTCTTGTGGCTCAATTGAGTTGACCAATAACAGATGCGCTGATGATTTGGCGTTTGAGCCCGAGCGTGCTCCTTCCTCAAGTGTGCGACCCTGTACTGTAGTATTTCGCGCCTTCCCCCTGAACGATATCTAATCGTCTACGATGGCTTTCTCAGAACAGTTCAAGCTTAGCCCAATTAACTTTTCAAGTTCAATCTCTCTCTATCATAAAACCACATCTCTCTCTTCGCTCAAAAAGATCGTTTTCAATCAGACGTTCGTGCAATGCCCAGAAAAAATACTCGTTCTCGCTCCAGCGACTCTCCTGATCCAGGCGACGCTGCCTTGGAGGCGCAGGCACGATTTCTCAGAGTATGTCGATGAATATTCCCATTTAATTGTTAGAGAAACGATGAAGGAACGAAGTATTGATACAGAACAGCTTAAAAAAGATCGGGACGAGACTATCAATGCAGTGACAGCCGACTTTGACACTACCCTTGCAGAACTACGAACAAAGATCATTGCTTGGCAAGAAGATGTACAACGCCAGCGGTAAAGGAGCATATATTGACCTCACGCTCCGGACTAGGCTGACTCCTTTTCTTGTAGTAAAGCCAGGCGGCAATACTGTCAAGTAGAGTTGATGCGACTAGCCGATAGAAGGGAGAACATTGAAGTCCAGATGGTGGGAATAGTAACCAATGCACAAAGAATGGTGGGCGAATTAGAAGATATGATGCTGGCTGGATATGAAGGGAGAGAGAAGGAAGCTGAAGAGGCTTTGGAGAAGGTGGTCACCCTGCATCATCTGCATCCGCCCAACAGCGGCAATCGTATCACAACCTCGGCAAAGCCTGCGGTTGCACCGCATTTGACGAAGTGATGGAATCGTTGAAGAGCGGAGAAGAATTGAGCGCCGTACTTTTGATCGTCTAAATGTTTATAATGTACATAGTCCTACACCAGGCTGAAACGTTTGAAATCATACGCTGAAACCGAAGCCCTGCATGCAGCTCTTGTATTGGTCGACGAGGGATACGCAGTCGGCAGCAGGGTTTTTGGCTGTTGAGAAGAGCATGCACTCATCACGCTTTGCCTTTTCGTCCTTGCATACGCAGCAGGGCTGTTTAGATATCAGTGCTTGATCTTCACCAATGCTAAAAGGGAGAAAAACTGACCTTGGGCTTGGAAGCACTCTCGGACTTTGCGGGAGACGCAACAGGCGCAGAGGCCAAGGCTACATTTTTCACATGACAATTAGCTTTGCGCAGAAGAGAAATTGAAAAGCAAATTGGCGTACAGAAAGTGGCAGGTTTAGCGTCCATGGTGGTCGTTGGTCGCAGCGCAAAGTGGAATGTTGTGTGGTGGTGGTGGTTTCTATAATAGCGAGGCCTGTTTCATCCTATTTCTGTTTTATTTGCTCTCTCTCTCTCTCGAGGATGGCCATGGACGTTGAAATGGGTCACGCCAGATTCGCATTTGCATTTCTAAGCAGTGGTTTGGGCCAATCATAGCGCTGGGATCTCACATGCAGGCGCGGAATGTTGGCGCACTTGAGCAAGTTTTCCGCTGACGTCATTCGCTCTAGATTCTTCGTAGCTAGTCGTTTTCTTGACGGGTTCTTTTCGTTAATTGAGCTCCCCTGGTAATTTCTGTCTAATAGTGAGGCTGCATTCTATTGAATAGAAAGCCTTGCGAGCTGACCAACTACAAGTAAACAATGTGACAGAGCCGTCGAGGCTTCCGTCTCCACTCCCAGCGAACCCCTGCATCTTCAGCGAAGAGCTACCCGTTTGCGGATCCGATCTTAGCTCCGGGCAGCTGTTTAAGGGTATTTGCTGTAATGGAGGGTTCTTTTCCAGGAGATATTATCCCCGAGATTGGCAGCACCAGACGCTCATTGTCTCGACGGTTAGAGCCTGGTTTGAGACCTTTTCCCTCTAAAAGTTTCCCAATTGGGAATTTTACACTGCGAGATTGGTGTTTATTGGACTTCTACGAATAGGAAACACAAGCTGGAGAAATTGTAGATTGTGAAAAAGGCGTTTGGACATTTCTTCTTCTTTATAAATAGACCCTCACATCTTGTTTTATGGCAATTTTGAAACTCAATCACAATAAATATAAACTATTCAGTTCAGCCGATTTACCTTCCTATTACACGATCTCTCTCTCTCTCTCTTTTTTTCTTTTTCTTTTCTTTCAAACAGCCGAGATGCTTACCATTGAAGAGATTCGTGCCTTGAGCAAATTGAATCCCGAGTTTGAGCCTGTAAGCTTTTTCCCAATTGCGTAAGAGAAATAGTTGAGATGCTGGTACATATGATCCGAGCAACTAACAACCGACCTGACTGTATTAAGATTTTCAACTCAGGGTCGCCCCTTTTAACACCCTGGGGCACAATCACCGATATCCCTCAAATTCGTGCTATGCTGCAAGCCGCAAAAGACGCAACTCCGAAAGCTGACCCGGCCACTCTGCCGTACACCCAAGAGGACATTAGCATCCCGGTGCGAGACAACCGCAGCGTTGGCGGCCGCGTCTACATGCCAAAAGGTGACTCATCTGAAGGACGACCAGGACTTGTCGTCTTCCACGGAGGAGGATTCACAGTTGGGGACTTGGACACGGAGGCTTGGCTTTGTGCGTTGTTTGCAAAGCTTGGAGGAGTTGTGGTGGATGTTGACTATCGACTTGCCCCTGAACATGTGTTTCCAGCGGCGATTGAAGATGCCTTTGACGCTCTCAAATGGGTAAGTAGAGATGCCAGGCATGAGTATGTGGATTCGATTGACAGCTTCACTCTGTGCTGACAAACATTCTCCAACATGTTAGACTGCCGAAAACGTACAATCTTTGGGCATTGACCCAGAGAAGGGATTCTTGGTGGGAGGTGAAAGCTCAGGGGGCGAGATGGCCGTAATCGCAGCTCACCTGTATGTCAACGACAAAGTGTCTCCTCCTTTGACTGGAATCTATGCGGCGATGCCAGGAGGCGTGAACCATCAAACCGTGCCTGAAAAGTACAAGGATCGCTTCATCAGCCTTGAGCAGAATGCCGATGCCCCAATTCTGTCCAGGTCATCGGTGGAGTTTATCTGGAGTAAGTTGCTGAATTGCTCTATCAATACCAAAATACGCTGCTAACTCTTTCTTTAAAAAAAAAAAAAAGAGTCATATCAGTCTGATCCACTCAGTCCAAAGGCCTTCCCATTGGCATTCCCTACTCACAAGGGCATTCCCAAGACGTATTTCCAGATATGCGGACTCGATGCCGTCCGGGACTGCGGCTTGGTTATGGAGCAAGTATTCCGGGATGACGGAGTGCCTACCAAAAGAGATGTTTACCCTGGAATGCCGCATGCGTTTTGGGGGATGTTTCCGGATTTGAAGATTACTGAGAAGCACACTCAGGATTCGGAGGAGGGATTCAAGTGGTTGCTAAGTAAATAAGGGGAGGAGATTCGTAGCATATGGAATGGGCATGTGCGCGGACTCTTGGGTTGACTTGATGATGGACTCTATTTTAAAAGACCATCTCCGTTCAATTATTTGCGTTGCATTGTCTTTCTTGTTGCTTGTGTATTACACTCATTTACAAACAAAGCATTAGCCTTGGCATGTTCGCATACTTTTCTGTATCGCTACACTGTGTAGAAGCAATTGTTGACTGCGGACGAGTCCACCGTTGCTTTTCGACAAACTGGTTATTGGAAGGCGTTACTATTTGCGAATCGCCTCTAGACAAACGTTTCTTTCTTTTTTTTTTTTTTTTCCTTTTTATACTATATATTAATTAGTCAGGTCATGATCACGTTGTGTTGCGGGTTATCAAGTAATAGCATGCCCAACCAACACGCTTCAACTTGTAATGAACATCATAGCCGTAGAAATCATCAGACCAAGTCCAGCAATGAAACACCCAACATCAAACCCCAAATTTCACATGCAAATTTACAAATTACAATGTTCAAAACAGAAAGATATTCCTCTTCCAGGCACCCACCCAGCCGCACGTCCTCCACGGCGCCACCGCCCACCGACCGTCCGACTCGGGCTTGCCTCGGGTCCGGAACCGACTCCCGTAGTGCGCATCTCTTCAGTTTGTTAGTGCAGAGCTGTAGCTTTCTGGGGATTTTGCCACGCAGCTGTCGGTGGATGACGCGTGGCTCGTCACACCATCTTTTCCCAATCATTTCTTACAAGTTAAACTGCTACTAGTTGTTAGACTGGTGGTTTTAGCTGTATCAACGGGCTTCCATACTGTACGCGCACTCGCGTAATTCGCCGCTCGCCTGTTTCTCTCTGCTTCGTTGGGTATCGACGGCGTACGTAGTTTGCTGAGCTGGCTGAATGACTGCCTAAAACAGTCATTAATTGGGGTTACGCGGCTTTATTCTTGCTTTTTTAGTCTATTGCTAGATATAAAGTTGGGATGATACCACGAGATAATTCCAACGTGCTATAACTTTACCTCATACACAAACAGTATACCTTATACCTATACATATCTTCCTCACCTTGAACTTCTTTACAACTCGCTTCAAACAATAACAACATCATGGCACCCCATTATGACAACCCATGGGACATTTTCCATTCCTGGTACGGCCCTGCTCCTCGCCAGCCAGGCGCCGGCGTAGACCACACCAACAACGCAGCGCCGCCCTTCCCTTTCCCATTCCGAGGTCCACACCCGCCTCCGCCTCCGCCTTTTTCCTTCAACCCAGACGATTACGCCGATGAGGCCGACTGGAGTGGACGTGGTGGTGGGCGCGGAGGACGTGGCAGACGCAATCGCTCGCCTCATTACCGTGACCATCCGGAGTCTTACAGCGACAATGTGAATGCGGGAAGTGCTCAGGCGAATACGGCTTCCGGAGAGGCTGAGAATGAGAAAAGCAGCCACGATACCTCTCCAGATACCGCGCACGAAGGAGAGGACTTCCCCGACCCTGCCGAAGTCACTCCCTCGGAAAGCGACGATGGCGAAGACCATGGCCACGGCGGTGCTCCTCCATTTTACGCCTCCGAAGATGCCTCTGGTCGACGAGGCGGACGCGGCGGGCCTCGTGGTCGTGGCGGATGGGGCCATGCTCACGCTCACGCTCACGGCCACGGTCGAGGCCGCTGTGGAGGCCGTCGCGGCGGATGGCGCCGAGGCTTCGGAGGTCCCTTCGGAGGCGGTCCCGGCGCTGGCGGGCCCGGAGGTCCTCACCCTCCTCCCCCGCAGCCTCCCTTTGACTTCCCCGGCATGATGCGCGGCTTCATGGACCACCCTTTCTTCCAAAACTTGCGCGAGCAGGCTGAGCGCTACTACCGCCCTGCTGACGGAGAGAATGCCCGCCAGCCACAGCAGCAGTCTGACGAGGCCGACGACGCCTTCACTCCGCCAATCGACATCTTCAACACCCCCACCGCCTTCATCCTCCACGCCGCCCTTCCAGGCGCCAAAAAGGAACACATTGGCGTGACGTGGAACCCGCAGTCCCGCACCCTCCGCATCGCCGGCGTCGTCCACCGCCCCGGCGACGAAGCGTTCCTGCAGACGCTCACGTCCGTCCAGGAGCGCAGGGTCGGCCTCTTCGAGAAGGAGGTCAAGCTGCCCCCCGCGGGCGTGTCCGAGGAAGACCAGGACGTGGAGGTGGATGGATCTGGCATCACGGCCAAGATGGAGGAGGGAGTGCTGATTGTTACGGTGCCCAAGGTGGACAAGGAGTGGATGGAGGTGCGAAAGGTGGACATTGAGTAAACGATGGATTACATGTTGAACTTTTAATAATTGAGTATGGCTAGGAATTTCTCTTCTTTTCTATTTTTACATGTTAGGTAGTATATTGTTTACGGCGTTATTTTGGGCTTGGATGGTAATAGTCATGGCAAAAACAAATATACCACAAAAACAACTGCGTGCTTTTTGTACGCATCAAAGTGCACTCTCAAAGTAAAAATCACACATGTAGCAAATCAATCTTTACTGTGAATAACCAATTGTATTCATTCTCAGTCTACCATTCTGTCCACCTCACCGTTATCGAAACAAGAATATCCTTCTTCTGTGCCTGCGCCTGCGCTCACGCCACGGGGGTATTTATATCTTGGCCGACATAGCATTCTGAGGTCAGGCTCGTCGCGCTATTCAATTCCTCCCTTCCAATCCATCCACCCATCCATCCATATATTTGTACAGCATTCTGTTTGATGTGTGTTTTTTTTTGTTTCGTTTTTTTTGTCTAGTTCTTTTTCTTCCTCTCGACCCAATTGACAAAAATAAAAAAGGTGTATGTTTATAGTGAGAATACATAAAGGAAAGAAAAGAAAATCTGTTGGGCCAAGTAAGAAGGGGTAAAAAAAGGAATTGGACAAGTAATGAAGACACCTCGCCAGCGATGTAAATTCGACAGGCTAAAAAGAGGTATGAAAAAGATATAGTAAGGAAATTAGAGACCGAAAATTAAGAGAGAGAGGGAACAGAGGAAAAAAAATGCGTGTCCTTGGTAGTAATATAGCGTCAATCTTTGTCTCAGTGAGAGAAAACCGGTCCCTCTGTCTCGATGTATCTGTATGTATATGTCCTGAAAGAATCAATGATAATCCAAAAAGAAAAGGGCTAGAAAAAATAGTTGTAGGCCAAGATGGCGATAGGCCACATGTTCCAGCAGAAAAAAAGTATTGAAAAAAGAAGTCTCCAGTCAAATGTCTGTTTATCGAAACGTGAATTCGTCAAGGAGCGAAAAAGCCTTTTTTCTGCTGTATTAATAACAAGTGTATGAGCAGATGCACGTATTAAAACGATTATTAAAACGCAATTAAAGAAAAAAAAAGTGAAAAAAAGAGGAAAGTGCAAAAAGCAAGTACAAGGGTCTTAGACCAACTCGTTTGTGATTTCTTCCCTCACATGCGCACACCACTTTAGGATGGCCGCTTCAAAATCTAGCCAGACTTGGGGGCCATTGTTGTACACAATGCCCAGGGCGTCGATGGAGATCTTGCACTCGAAGCGCAGCTCGGCAGCCTTGGCCCAGTATCGGAGGTTGTCGGCGCTCCGGTATGGCTTCTGCGTGTCGACGTGGAAGGTTGGGATCGCTCCGAATCGTCTCCTGGATTTCTTGACTGCGGCGTTGTGCAGCCTCACAAGTCTAAGCCCGTTTTGCATGGCCTCTAGGAACGGTGTCGGTTGTTCGGCGGCGCTGGAAGCTGGCGTCCACTCAGGCAGTGGTTCGTCGTCGGGGTCCATGGAAAGGAGGAAATGCCGTTCACGTTCCAGCTCTTTGCCAGTCCAGTCGCCCGTCATCCACGACCAGCTCTGTCGCTCGGCCTGTTCCGTTGCTTCAATGGCCGCCTCCTTCTTGAGGATGTCAAAAACACTTTCGATCCAGGCAATCATGGTGTCAATCTCTTCCATTCTCATGCCGTCATTGAAGTTTCTGATGGCCATCTGCTTCAGCACCTCCATTACGCCCAAGAGATCTGTCCGGATTTGTTTTTCCGATTTGATCGAGTCCAACCGGTCAGGCAGTTCGTGGGCTGTGTAGTAGTTCTTGGCGGCGCGGATGGCCAAGGTCAGGAAGTCGAGGATATTCATGCCCTGTAGCTCGTACCAGCTCTGGGTGTTTTCTGCAGGCATGTTGACCTGAGAGGCATCGCTGGCCGCACGGTGTGACCCTGCTTTTTGGGCTTTTGCTTCCTTGAGGACCTTGAGCGCATCTCGCAGCGTCGTCTCTAGCTCTGCCTTAAGCTCCGCTACCGTTGGAGGCTTGGGAACGACCTTTTGCCTGTGGTTGTATGTGCTGACTGTGGGTGGGAGAACATCAGGGTCCTCCTCGAAGTCGTCGGAGTAGTCGTCCAGCTCGCCCAGTCCCGTGGGAGATTCCATGACATTGTCGGTGATGAAACCTTGTCCAAAGAGGTCTGGGCTGCTGCCCATGGAAACAAAAGAGGAGTCTACGTCGAATCCCCCAGACGTCGGTGTCGGTACCATCATAGGCGCTGTGCCCTCCAGGACTGCCAGATCCAGTGTTGCTCGTGGCTGCTTCTTGCGGGCTAGTTGTCCGCCTTTGCCATCAAGCAGGCCGGTTCGGGCAAAGTAGTACTGCAGGTGTGCAATGCTGCCCAGGTTCATCACGCTCTCGCGGGACTTTGCGCTCTTCGCAAAGTCGGTGCCTTGAGGCCGCATGAAGCCCCGGCGCCGGGTCCTGGACGACGACCGCCCGGAGACGGACTGCATCGACATGGTGGACATGCGAGAGGAGTTGGACATTCGAGAGGACAGCTCACTGCCCAGCGAGTCTCGGGAGTTTGCATCGGTGCTGGAGCCTCGGGATGTGGTGGAAGCCGCCGAGAGAGCGCGGACCGGCTCAGGCTTTGCGCCGATGGCATGCGACGGTGCGGCGTCGGGAGAGTGCGGACGGTTCTCGGTTTCGGCAGACATGGCGGAGGAGGCAGAAGCAAAGACGGAATACATGCGGTGGTGGCAGCAAGAGAGAGAAGCAGAGGTTTGCGGAGTTGAAGCTGGACGAGTCCTGCGTGTGTCTCTCTAGTGCTGGTGCTTGCTCTGCAGGAGAGGGGAAGCGGATCCTTGCTCGTCGTCTCCTTTGCGGCTCCGAGAAAGAGCAGAGGTGTTGTCGAAGGAGAGAAGCGAGCGCTGCCGGAAGAGAATGGAGGATTGAAGACGGTTCACTTAAGCCGGCGGGCCTGATGCAGCTTGGACAAGTCGCGTGCACCGGACTGGGGGAGGATATAACAGGTTCAAGTGACGGCAAAATGGCCATTAACAAGCAGTCGGATCAGGTCAGCAATAGCGTGGTGGATACGGAGCACAGCGGAAGAGACTGGACAGAGCAAAAAGAGCGACAGAGAGTAAACCGGTAGGGCTGCCTTGGGCTGGTGCTGAAGATCCGAGGCGGCGGATTCAGGGGCTGTGGCTCTGGCCGCCAGACATAGTTGGTGGGAGGAGGCGTGGAGATGGGAAATTGCGTTGCGTGTCTTGGTGTTGTCCGGGGGGCAACGACTTGAAACGGCCTTTTATTTCTGGCGTGTGGTTTTTGGCGTGCGCCGGTTCACGCAGCCCGTCGAGCCATGATGGATGCTTACCTGTGCATTAATTAGTGCATTGGAAGGTGGTATTGGGTCCTCCCATCTCCGCCCAGAGTGCAATTTGGCCCTCTCGCCAAGTCCGAGAGCGCACACGTTGAAGCTTGCCGCTACCGTGGCGTTGCGCCTGAATAATGTCGCGGCACAGGAGAGCGCAGCACAGCACCCACAGCGCCGGCAGCGCCTCAATCGCTTCAAAGTTGGATGGATCGATGGCTACTGGACACGGGCGCAGCGCAGTCTCAGCGCTTCATGGCTGGGACAGACAGCGGGTGCACAGATACTGGTTGGTTGGTAATTGGTAACCTGGATTGATGATATCACCGGATGCTTCGTACTCGCAGCTGTCGCCGATTTAATCATGGTCCATGACTGGAAAATCTCCCAGGTTCCCATTGCCAGGGCCCTAGGGCCTGCCAGGTCTCTTCCTGGCCTACTCGTACTGCTAGAGGCCAACGACCAGGTAAGCCCATGTGCGCCCCAGGCTAAAGTGACGCATCACTTCTTTCGCTGTCATCGCGATTCCCACGGTTCCTTGCCGCTGGTATCATATCCCAGGACAACGTGCTGTGCATAACTTTGATCTCCACAGAGTCGGTCGGGACTGGAGAGAGCAGAAGCGGCAGTGTCCAAGTCTGGCTAGAAAGCATCTCAAAGCATGAAGCCGTACGGAGCGCCAATGGAGGATAAGCAAGCAATCAAGCTGTGGTTGAGGTTGTCGTAGATAGATTGTGCAGAGGAGAGCTGAATTGCGCCGTCAAGGTTTCAGAGCGCAAGCCTCTTTTAGGACGAGGTACGTACCGTGAGTGCCGTACAACGACGTCGACCCAGCTGTCACTCTTCATTAATCGCCTGGTGATGCCCAAAAGCTGATGTGGTAATACGACTTTGTATACCCATGCTTATCATACAGAGTGATCCGTACAAATGATTCGTATTGCTATTGCATCATAAGCCCGCCAAGAATGGCTGCTCGCTTTCGAGCTGTTCCCAGGACATGCACCTCAGAGGTAGCCACCAACGAATAGCGCGGGCCGTCGCGTCGCATCATGTATGTACTGTACGAGCAGAGAGATTGGCCATCCAGTTCATCCAATTATATGGACCAAGGCAATTTGCCTCGGGGCTAGCTACCAACCAGATACCAGGCTGCTACTAACACCACGAGCTCGGCAAAGTAAAATGACAGCCAGCGGCATCTCCAGTAGCTGCTCCATCGGAGTAGCGGCAGGTATCTTGACAGTCTCCCCCGCCGTTCCTGCCATCCGTCAGCCCTCGTGACCCCAGCATGGAATTGAGAAAGCATCGCAAGCCTGGGCATATCGGACGGCAAGCTAATGTTGCCAGGTTGATGATGCAGAAAATGGCTGCAGGACGCCCTGGTGGAGGCGGCCCGGACAGGCATGGAGCCGTGGAGATTTCACAGCGTTTCAAGTGGTTTGAAGCTGCCAGAAGCGGGATGCCTGTGGAAGTGCTGTGGAAGCTCCCGTGTCAGCGGTGGGGATGCGCTAATTAGCCCGACATGGCTCTAATGCTAGCGCGCATCCAGTGCAACGCAGCGCCGAAGCTGCACGCTGCAGTGCAGTGCTGTGCTGTAGGGAACATGAAGCTGTGCTGTGGAGGAGCGGCAGTGGCAGCATTAGCGTGCGCCGCCGCTGGAACTGGTCCCCAACAAAGCAATTTGCAGCACGCCAGTTATTGCCTAGCCGGCAACTAGCCCAAATCCGTCCCCATCACCATTCCATCGCTTCTCGCCCTTGCTTCGTCCCATGCATTGTCTCAGCGAGTGCCATGCCATTCATTAGGCGCGCTGAAAGGTGGCATCTTCCATCACCAGCCAGCACACAGCGCCGCATCGCCCTCGCACGTGTCATATCTGGCCGCTGATCGACCTATCCTCTGCGGGCTCTCAGTCGGCGCACAAGCCCTTTGATAGGCAGCTGTGATAATACAGAGATTCCATTTCCAGTAACACGCTCCATACCTCAGGTACGGGCTAGTCCCAGCAAGGTACCTCGGCCATCACAGCAAGGTACTTGTCCAGGGCTGTCCACTTGTAAGGCACAGAGAGCAGCGTCGCCAGGATCCCATTTGTCGAGCCCACGGACTTTTAAAAATATCTTTCTTAATTCATTGCCCCGTTGGCTATACGTGGCCCCCATGCCACATCCATCCATATCCATCTACGCAGTGCCAATAACTGTGCAAGTTTGTTTGGCGCATCAAAACTGCCTCGAGAGCAGAGGCCATCACGCCCAAAAGTACAACAAGTACCCCCCGAGGGAGATGAGGGTACCTCTTCTAGTAGATCGTCTCTCCCTCTTAGCTCAGGAACGAGCAGCTCCCGTTAATTAACTTGAGCTTCTTCCTCTTGCACCCCTCCTGACCAGAGTTTCCCTCTCCTTCAGCCCCCTTTTTTTTTGATTCACCATAGAACAGCACTCAAGCAATCTGTGCTTGGGCTATTCTCGTCCAATCTCCCAATTTTGGCCTTCGTGCTCGCCGCCTCCGCCCTCTCTTCTTCTGCCGACTTCTCGCTGTACTCGACTATTTTCAGCCTTTTTACCTGACCCAGACTGCCGCCAGCCTGGGAGTCGAACAACCCCGGTACGCGGGCCTTACTTGATTCAGCCGGCTCATGGCCAAGGCCCATCGCGAGCCTTTTTCCAGGAGATCACCGCCAGAGCCCGACTTAATCCCTATCGACGACAAACACCACGCTCTGTGACTGCGCGCTCGCCAGTTTGACGAGCTAGCAGCCGCATAATCCGTCGACGACGTCAGGGCCTCGCCCAAGCTTTCTTCGTTCCATCTACTGCCTATACGTACCGCTGATAGCTGTCTCCTGCGAGCTGCCGTCTCTTTGCAGCGCTCTCCACCAGCACCGCACCGTCTGCGGGTAGAATATCCGCTCTTTCGCCCAGTCTCCTGGTCAGCGCAGCCAAAAGCTGGGTCTCCAGCGACGCGGCCAGCGCAGGCATCCAACGAACCCTACCGTGCATCCGCACATACCAGCCCACTTGCGCAGAAACCAAGATTCGCTTGGGTTGGCAGCAAGGCGGCACCGTCGGGAGTTTTCCTGCAGGCTGCGCGTCTTGATTGGGCCGTCGCGCGACAGCAAAAAAAATCATTCCCAACGAGGACCGCAACAACGGCTTATCAGCAACTGGACGCCTCACGGGTGGCGGCTTCGGTAACCAATCGAGCCGGCCCCTACGTGCGTGCATTCAACACACTTGCGTCGACTTGCCCCTCCCACCGTTCAGGGCCGCCGTCCACTGAAAGGCACCTGGGCCCTCCACTAGCGCGCCGCCTGCTACGCCGCAGCCGACTCTGAGTTCCCTGCGATCCTGTGGGCGGGCGGGTTCAACTGAACCCCAGCCATCACCTGCGGCCCATGACCTCCAGCCATTCTGCTGTCGCCAGTGGCAGCCCAGACCGCGACTCGACGCCGGCCAACGAGAGCTCACCAGACGCTGACGTGGGTCTGAGTCCGAACCGCGACGTCGAGCAGCAGCCGAGCCATGATGCAGCCGAGCGGGACATAGACTTGCAAAAATTCACTGGCCAAACCGTGCAAACCGCTCAGTCGCCCGCCACCCCTTGCGCCGCTCCGGCTTCAGAAGCAGCTCCAGCTCCAGCTCCAGCTCCAGCTTCGGCTTCAGCTGCAGCTACTGCCACGCTTGCCGCCACGGTCGCATCCACCCCCTCACATCACACAGCGACTGCACATCTGTCAACACCGAGGACCAACGGCAGCGCGAGTATCGATAACGGCGACACTAACAGCAACAACTATATTGACAGCATCATCAGGGCCAATAACGGCAACGGTAGCATCTGCCACGACGCGATTCCCGTCGATGCTGCCGACCTTGCTCTGAGCCCTACCACCAGCACCACCTCCAGCAAATATCGCAGCCGAAGCAGCACTCTTCTGGAACCCGAGCCGTCGCATGAAGTCCTGGTTGCCGCATTTCGAAAGACGTCGCCTGGTCTTGCTGCTCGCCTAAAGGCTCTGGGCCTTGAAGCAGCAGCCAAGCGAGCAGCCATCGAGAAGCAGCACGTTGATTCCATCGGTCGACTTGACGAACAACAGCTCCGCCAGCTCGACGAGAAACACCAGGCAGGATCCGTCACCGCCGTCATCCCTCGGCGCGGCCGTCCCTGGAAAGGCATCGGCGCCCCTCCTCCGCATAGTAGATCGCTGAGCCAGTCGGACGACGTATCCATGTCTCCCATCGCTGATTCCTATCAGCTACCTGAAATGCCTGATATCCAAGAACCGGAATTCCTCGAAGACGCCCTCGCTAAATCTCTCGCCATGGATACGCAAAAGTATCGGTTGCCCGACCACCTGAATGGGAATGGAACCAAGGTCACTCTGGATACTCGACGCGAGCACCTTGAACGAATTACGCGTCCGCCCTCTCCCAAAGAATATCCGCCTTTGCCTTCCTCGCCTCCCGCCGCTTCCCCTTCACACTCACACTCACCTTCAATTTCTCTTTCCTATTCCCCCGCATATTCTCCATCCCCTCCAACTCCTCCGCCAAAGGAATCGCCACTTGTAGAAACAGCGCCTCCCGAAATACTCACCTTCAATGATTTCACGCCAGACATGAACTCATATTTTACGCCGAGCCACAACCGACCTGGGTCAATCTACACTCTCTCACGAGTGTCATTTGCTAATCAGCTAGCTCAGCTAACAATGCTCGGCATTCCTGATGCAGATGCACTCTCTAGCAAGGTTTCAGCAATCCCAACGGCACCGGTGGCTTCCAAGGCTCTTATCAATGCTGCTGAACAGATTCGCAGCTGGATTTCCAAGGCCCAGGAAGTCGTTGCCGGACTGGATAGTGAAGATGACGTAGAGTGGGCTGCGGCTGGCGGCCGTGAAGGCTTGGAAGAAGTTGAAAACGCCATCAGCCGTTTCGAGCATCTCATCAACGCCTATGTTAACGCCATCGATGAACTGCAAAACCGGCCTGACATTGCTGACGCGTCGACCGACGACCTCAGACGAGCCGTTACCCAGATGGAGGCGATTGCAGATGAATGGGCTCGGATCAAGCGAACTCTGCAGAGCGTGCGAAACCAAGTGGAGATTGCCATGGAATGGGAAGAACTATGGAACAGCGTACTGGGTGACATACAGACCGAGATGGATGAACTTTCGCGGCTCGTCTTTGAGATGGAGGAGCGTCGGCACAAGAGCCTTGCCGTTGCCGCAAACGGCGACAATGTCGACATTGGTGACCTGGAGACTATTGTGGAAGACAATCCCCTCTCAGCCGCGCGGCTGCAGCCGCCGAATCGCCTCAGTCTTGCGTTGCCGCTTGCTCCCAACGCACCAGGCAATACGGCCATGTCTCAAGATGATTCTAGCCTGCTCGCGCTTTTTGCTAGAATGCAGCCTTTGAGAGCATCTCTAGATTTCCTCCCTATGCGATTGTCTGTTTTTGAACAAAGGGCGAAGCATGCATTTCCTACCGCATGTGAAGAGCTGGATATGCGACACGATGGCCTGGATGGGAGTTACAAGAAGCTTGAAAAGGATGCAGAGTCTCTTCGCAAAGAGCTTGGGGAAGATCGATGGGTCATTGTCTTCCGCGGTGCAGGACGACAGGCTCAGAAGATGCACGAGTCTGTGGAACGGTCTCTGATGAAGCTAAGGGAAGCTATTGATTCCGGCATGCATTTGACGAACCAACCTTCCATCGCCAAAAAGATTGAGAGCTATGAAGCCAAGAAGACACATTATGGTCCCGCTATTGGGCGAGTCTTGTCTATCATTGATAAGGGTGTTAAAGATCGTTTGACTGTCAATGGCGAGATTTTGCGTCTCCATGCAGAAATGGAAACGCGATGGGAGTCCTTGAAGCTTAATATGGGAGACATGGATGCCATTCTCGAGGATATCTACGCCGAGAGAAGGAGCCAGAAACTACGAGATTCAATATCCAGCATGCTCTCCAACGACAGGTCCACCAACGGCAGCGGCATGGAAACTCCAGGAAGCTCTCCCCCTTCGTCTGTGATTATGCCAAACATGGGCCGCGACCCACGTACACCCGCACGGAAACAGGGTGTAAACCAGCTTCGATCTCCCAATGCAAGCTCTTCTAGCCTCATGTCCTCCTCCTCTAGCCGAAGGGACTCATCATTGCCCGCCCCTGTCTCGAGACTTGGCAAGAAGACTCCCTCTAGGCTCTCCTACTATCCCCCTTCAGCATCCGCCTCGACCCTACGACCTGCCTCGACCATGGGGCACCGACCAAGATGGAACTCTTCTGCCAATACTTTGGATGTCGAAGGTAGCCACACCCCGCACAGGACGCCTGCGCCTGTAAGATCGACGTCGGCTCTTACGCCGCTATCTACCTCCAAGTTGCCCACCCCTCGGAGCTCTCTTACACGGGCGGGCTCAGAATCCCCCATGTCAGAGTCATTCCCCAGATCTTGGTCTAGGACAGGCCACTCCCGACTTTCATTCCGTGAGCGTCTCACCTCTCCCGGGCCTTATTCGCAATCTTCTCTGTTCAAACAAACGCCATCTCGTCGTTCCAACGTGCAGCCCACCGTCTCAACCTTGAACTTGGATACTCAAAACGTCCGCCCCAGCAGCTCATTGGCTTCGTCTCGCCGGCAAAGCTTGCTGCCAATGCCAAGAAGGCCAGATTCAAGGGGTGGATCAAGCCCCCTGCCCATATTCAGCCGGTTCACTTCTCGCAAGTATAGCGACAACCCTCCTGAGCCGAAAGATCTCAAGCCCAGGTGGCGATTTTGAAGCAATAATATTTGACGGCAGATTCATAAGATTATGGTGTCAGATTTTTAAAAAGGAATTGGAATCGGATTGTCTGTTATCTTGCGTGTTTATTTGCTTCTTCTGTAACACCACGTGTCGAACGCTTATTTTATATGAAGCTTCTCAATCTCAAAAACAAAACACCTCATTGCTTCACTTCGGCTCACATATATAGCACGCCACTTGTGTGTTTTTTTTTTTTTTTTTTTTTTTACCTCTCTCAAGTAATTTCGACTGTCCTTTGTCTTTTCCATAGCGTGGCGTAAAGGATTCAAAGAGGAGCAAAGCGAAGCGAGCTGAGCTGGCGGTGTGTGGGGGAGTTGATGTGGAAAAAGAAAGGACGCGACACAAAAGGTGGTTTGGGTTGGCATGTGTCGGCATCTTGTTTTCTTTCATCTTCCTCTCTCTTCCTTCTATTTTCCACATTATTGCTTTTAACTAATTCAATCCTTTTTTCCCCATTCTCACTGATCGGTCTCATTGCGCGTGCCTTATCCTCCTTCTTTGTCATATATATTTTCCTGTTTTGCTGTTAGAATAGCTGAGATTCCCGGAGCTAGCTTGTTAGATGCTACGGCTAGCTCTACAATTTTTTTGCCCTTTCTTCTTTAATTTGACTAGAGACAATCCGAACACATTATTCCTGATATTTGAATGTGTTTACCCTTGCAATGGGCTATTCTTCTGTTTGCTCTTTTTTTATTTGTGAATCGACTGGCGAGTTTACTCTTTATAGGTAGTTGTGTGAGATGTAACTGCTGATGGGCTTCATTTCGAGGAGTTGTCCTATTCTCTTGTTCTTGGGCGTTCTACTTTGCCATTCTCCGACGCTGACTATTTCAAGGCACTTGCCGACCCTTTTGGAAGGCTGGACGCTGGGAAAGCGTCTTGAGCCACTTGTTGACGTGCGGGGACTTGTCCAGTGAGATTCCTGTGTAGTCTGCAAAGCTGATTTATCAGTTAAGTGGTTAAGAGAAAGGGAGAGATGAGATGACTATAAATCGCAATGCTCAAAGGGAGATTTGGTGAAACGGAAAGATGACACAGAAAAGAAGGAGAAGAAGGAGAAAAAGAAGGTCTTTACCGCGATCGAGAATCCAGTCAAAGAGGGCGCGGTCGGCATTGGTAACGGCGGTCGCTGACGAGGAAGCCCGAAGTCGACTTTGCGAGCTGAGATTCTATGACAGAGGAGAGACGGCGGGTCTCGTTGATGTAATGGTCGGTGCTGTATTGGATCTTTTCTGGCGCAGCATTTATGGTTAGACAAGTTATATGTATATTTATTCTTCTTTAAGCAAAGGGCAAATAGATGGAAGTAAATAAACTCACTGATGAGATGGTTTGCTAGTCATTGCATAGGGTTGACGCCACTTACATGTATCTGCCAGTGAAGCTAGAAACCAGAGCCTCATTAGTTTATTAATTCTTTCTGAACACGAGAAGTCGGCCGTTGGGATCAATCTTGAGGAACCAAGGCTCTTTTTTGCTCGTTGATGCTGACGCGTGATTTCAGTTGGAATGCCCATATTGCTGAACTGTATTTCACAGGTCTAACACCAATTGTAAATGATATACAAAGTGTCGACTGATTCAAACTTTTATGAAATACCCTGCATTTATATATGCGTGTTATATACCGCTTAGAATTCTCGATTGATAAGTGCTCCCCGTTGATCTTCAGAAGATTTCTATTTAGACTATTATTCCCGAGATGTAAGCTTAAACTTGGTGAATTTTTTTAAGCCTCAGAACTGAAACACATAGTGATCAACATATATTTCCCTACTCTTCAAACAATTCACTTTTCCTTTTGCTTCATCAGCCACAGCACATGCATCACATCGCCCTCTCGAACTCTCAGCGTAACCCTTCTCACCGGCTTCAGCATCTGATACTTTTTGCCCACCTGCAGCTCATACGTGAACCCGGCCTCGTCGTCAATTCTGCATCCGTCAAAGCCGGCAATCGGGATCCATATGCCGGCTGTTCTGGTGGGAAGGCTGGGCAGCCTCGTTCTGCATACGACCCAGTCAAAGCCGGGGTACTTTTGTATAATGGGATGTATAAGTAAGTACACACATACACACGTATATATACCATACCAGGCCTCGTCAATGAGTTGAACATGTGAATAAATAAAAAACAACAAACCTTTGACTCCAGCGGCCATGCCATATACTCGACGCCGCCACCAATACATTGCTCAACATGGGGTGAAAACATGGTGGCGTGCCAATCGGCGTTTGGACTCCCAATGAGCCAGGTAATCAGATTCTGCAACACTCTCTGCTCTACAGCGTCGAGATCTTCCACCACAATCTGCTCCCCGCTCTCTCTTTTTACCGTCGTCATGAGAAAGAGGAGCTTGCACAGGTAGAAGATATGGGGTTTGTTCCCTTGTCAAATATCTATGCGGGGTTTTAAAGCTGAAAGCCTGCTTATTACATATTAAAGCCTGTTGCTATCATGTGACGGGATGCTCCCTCAAGTTCAACTGAGCAATTAGTGGTTCATGATTCTACCATTCAACAAGGCCGATACAACCACATAGTAAAGATGAATTACATGTATAAATACATATATATACGTGTGACTGTTTCATCATATCTACTCATATTGCCTCTCATCGCTGAGCCATGATCCACATCCCATTTTCCGTCTTTATTTCTTCTAATGCGCCGCTCCAAAGAATAAGGATGTAAATGCCAAAACGCTCCATCGCCCAAATAAAAAATCGCCGCGTCAAATGCAATCATCTCTGCCTTCAACGTCGTAGCGTTAAGAGCAGAATGTTAGGAGGAAGGATATCTTCGTTACTTTCTCGTATCTCGTGCCACACGCAAGAAAACCGCAAAAAGCGTAAAAACTAACATCATATAGGTAAATCAATAGGCAGGCCCTTGCTCGCTTTTTCTCTAAGAAATCTATCTTTGCTTGCAAAGATGAAATATCGAGTCACTTAGGCTGTGACCAGCGATCATAACGGCATGAGGCCGATGCCACCTCCGCTTTTCTTGACTATCTTGCCGTCTCGCTTGAATCCGCCGCCTCCAGAAGCAGGCCGCGAAGACGACGCGCCGCTACCACCTGCGGAGCCACCGCCTCGCCTGCTGGAACCACTACCCCGACGTTGGGAGCCTCCAGCAGCACCGCCTCTCTTGGGCCACTTTTTGCCAGAGAATTTCCTGCCTCCTCCCCGGCTATAGGAGGATTTGCCTCTGGATTGAGTTGGCTGGCTATTCAAAGTTTGTAGCCTATCATGGAAGGCTTGGACATCTGCTGCCGGTTTTGAAGAAAAGTAATGGGAGGCTTCCCCCTCCTCCTCCTCCTCATCTTCGTCGAGGTCGATATCAGAACTGATCAAGTCTACTATTTCTTGATCCAAGTTGGAGGTTGAGGCGCCAGTGCCAGCGTCTGCCGCAGCAATCTCTCTATACGATGCATGATGCATGTTCAGCAACGGGATTAGCTTTGGTCCAACCTCCTTGACTCTGTCGACATCAATCCCGGGAATGCGACTCATGCTGTCGATCGAAGTGGTCCAGTTGATAGCCATTTCTTGCAGATGAGTGTCTGTAAACATTGGCCGTCTGAGGCCCAGTTTATTCCGGATACGCTCTTCCAACTGACGTGCCTCATGAACAAAAGAGTCCACCACGTCTTGGTGGATCTCTGGCAGATCTTGCAGTCTATGTTTGCTCAGGATAGGCTCCGGTCGCGATGTCTTTTTGGAGGTAGGTTTTGAAGTCGGTTTTGCAGGCCGATGCTGTGGGAGCGGTTCGAAGGCTTCTTCATCCTCTTCATCCTCTTCGGCCTCCTCATCTGAGACAACGAATCCATCGTTCACATAGCCACGTGATGTCATAGGCAAGTTCGACTCGTCATCGCTATCGACGACTGCCGCTCTTTTTTTACGTCTATTGATTGGGGACGAGACGTATGTTGACTGCACATTGGCTGCTGGCTCTTTTTGCTTTTTGCTTGCCTTGGTTTTCTTTGTCTTCGTCTGATTTGAGCCGCCTTCATCCGAAACTTGGACTGTTAGCATCAACTTCCGTCTTCCCATTAAGAATTGATTGGCGGTAGGTCCGATTCGAAGATACTGAATAGCGACACCATGATTCCCAACGATATTGTCTTCATGAAAGCCCTTTTCAGCTGAGAGGCGGTCAATGACGCGCACTATCTCATGTTTCTTCATCCCCTTAGCTATGCCGTGATACTCGTCCGAATTCTGTTCTTGGTATTCTGGATATTTCCTACCAATCAGAATATCCGCGCACTGGTTCGCCGTGAGCCTTGACTGTTGCTGGACGACTCGAATAGCGGCAATGGCGTATTCTGAAAAGTCCTGCTGCTCGAAAACCAGTCCAGCCTGGCAATTGTCGCAAGTCTTGTGGCATTGTGACGGGTGGAAATCTTCCCCAAAATAGCGGAGGACCTCAGTTCGTCGGCAGTCGGCCTTGTTGTCACAAAATGCCGTTACGCGGTTCAGCATCACCATCTGTCTTTCCTTCTGGTCCTTGCTGCCCTCTCCATCTATGATCAGTCTTTTGAGGACTCTTATGTCCGCTTTTCCATAGAACAAGATACAGTCGGAGGGTTTCCCATCTCGGCCCGCACGGCCAGTTTCTTGATAATAGCCTTCTAAGCTCTTCGGAATGCCATGGTGCATAACAAATCTGACGTCTGGTTTATCGATTCCCATACCGAATGCAATGGTTGCTACTACAACTTTAATTTGGCCCTTCTGCCATGCTTGTTGCACTTCAACCTTTTCCGCAGGCGTTATTTGAGCATGGTAATGACGGGCTGCAATACCATTGTTTGAAAGCTTCTCGGCGACGTCCTCAGCTTGTTTTCGTGAGATTGTGTACACAATTCCAGTGACATTCCGGTATTTGGAATTGATAAGAGAGGCAATTTGCTGGGTCACCACTGGATTTGAACCTTTCGGCCTGACTTCATAATACAAATTTGGACGGTTGAAGCTTTGCGAAAACACTTGGCAGTTGATCATGCCAAGATTATACTTAATGTCAACAATAACATTTTGGGTTGCTGTAGCTGTCAAGGCCATGACGGGAACGTTGGGAAACTTGGACCGAAGTTGGCCTAAATTCTTGTAATCAGGTCTGAAGTCATGCCCCCACTGGCTGACACAGTGAGCTTCGTCAATGACGAAACGGGCGAATTTTTGCTTTTGATATAAATTCACCATGGCGTTGAGAAACTGGACGCTGTTGCTGGCCATTTCTGGTGTGATGTAGAGGAGCTCAATGAAATGCTCCGGATTCCGCTCATTGAAGGCAGACATGACCTGTCGTTTGTATTCGGCAGAGCATTCGCTGTTGAAAGCAACGGCCTGTATCCCCAAGGCTTTCATATGATCAACCTGATCTTGCATCAAACTCAGTAAAGGGGATATGACAATGGTCACTCCTCTTGTTCTCCCTGACTTGACAACGGCTGGAAGCTGGTAACAGAGAGATTTTCCACCGCCTGTTGGCATCAGAACGAAGGCATCTTCGCCAGCGAGCGTAGCATTGATGGCTTCTAACTGATTATGTCGGAATCCTTTCATCCTAAATCGATCTTTCAAAATCTTTTGGACGTCTGCGGACCAAGAATGCCTCATAAGTTCTGGTGGTATCCTTGTTTGAGACGGCTCTGGAGGAGATTGCCTTTTTGAGGTCAGCTGCCTCTGTTTTGACACAGGCAAGGCATTTCCCGAGGTTTCTGAAAAGACTCGAAAATCCTGAGGCGGCCCGTCGGCAGACTGACGTATCTCGTAATCTTGAGCAAATGCAAGCATATCAGCATCGTCGCTGAAATCGCTAAATTCATTTCCTGAGCGCTGAGTGCGATTTCTCATAGGAGTTTTGCCCTTGTCGAGCTGAGCGGTCTTCTTGGTAGATTTCGGAGGCAGCTGCATCTCGATCTCGTCGAAATCAGAGAAGAAATCGTCTTCTACATCCATGAGGTGATCTATGTTGGAATGCGGTGCGGCTCTTGAAACAGACCTAGAGGCACGATCGGGAAGAGAAAAGTTGTGCAGTGGCTCACTCCCTAGTTGTGATCGAATCGGCTCGGGTAGCTGCGTTTGGTGAATAACTTGAGTCCCACCCATGGATAGTGGAACATCTTTTGAGCTCCGCGACATATTGACCATGCCCCTATGCCCAGCTTGCGTACCAAGTACAACGATATGCTCGTCTCTCTCATTCCGAATAGAGTCTTTTTGTTTTTCCATGAACCTGGACTCGTCAAGGCCTGCCTCGGCCAGCATTTGGGAAAGCTCTCGTTCTGTTGACTCGACACGCTCAGTAAGTTCATCAAGTCGGGCTTCGTCTTCATCTGTATCTACGCCCTTTGAATAAGACTGGGCTACCTGCAGAGCAACTGCTTCTCGCTGTTCGTTCAAGGCTCTATAGCTATTCACCGCTTTATTGAGGCCTTGCATCGCTTTTTGCTGTTGGATGAGTCGTTCTTTTTCTGCTTTGATTTCATTTCTCTTGTCTTTCGGCAGCCGGTCGTTTATAGCTTGTAAAAAGTCTCGATCATTTTGCTGAACTTGGTCGTCTAGGAATTCACTTTGTTGGACTAGAAGCTGTGGATTTGCTAAAATGCGAGATAAGATTTTCTGTGTTTGGCTAGACGACGGAAATTTATGCTGTGGTGGGTGTGTTTCGTCAGAATTATTGATGGTACCAGTGCTCTGGCTTTCAGATATGCTTTGGTGGGGTAAAACATGTGGATTTTCAGTCTGCACTGGCCGAGGAGGTAGAGATGAGCGTGGTTGTTTTGGCCTGGGAGATACAGCTAAATCTTCAACGTCCATGAGGAAAGCGTCCTCCTCTTGTACATCTGCAAAAGGCTTCGCTGACTTTTTCTTGGAAGTATTATACGGCGGCGGCGTAACGAATTCCTCATCGGAATCAGGGATGAAGTATTCATTAGCTTGTCGTGGCTCAGGCTGAGCAGCATCGTCGAGGCTTGGAGAGTCTAGAGACGAAGGCCGCTCATTCGTAACCTTTAACTTCTTTCGTCGTTCGGAACTGCTGATAGCATAGTCTCTTTCTGGAGTCCGCCTGATAGGAGATGGCGCCGTTTGGGTAGTGGCTCTACCTAAAGGGGAGGAGGGCCCATCCAAAGACATCTTGGAAGATTCATTTTTCGCAATCTTGGATAGTTTAGCAACATGATATCTTTCAATCGATCTCTTAGGGGGTCATGAAACTAGGAAAGCTTACTTTTTTCGCGGATCGACGACCAGGAGTCAGGACTGGAGGGTCAGCTCCCAGGATCTGATATACATCTGGAAATTGGCTTTCAGCAGAAGCGTCGCCGGTATCAGCACTCTTCCTCTTTTTAGCTTGAGGCAGCGGCGCTTCCCAAGATGCATCTTTTTCCGTCCAGACCTTCACATCATCGCCGAACTGTAGCGATTCCTCGTCAGATGCACCGGTTGTTCTTGTTAGATCCATGTACTCCAAGTCATCGTCATCGAAGTCGGCGAAATCGGTACTAAATTCCGGCGACGAGATGCGGCGAAGTGAACCTGATTTCGTTTTTGATATGCCATCTTGTTTTAGAACTGTGCTTTTTGTTGCTGCTGCCAAATAATTAATTCAGGAACACTTGCATAATCATCCGGTTTACGCACCACTAGACTTCAGAGGCTCGTTCAAGCGGGGTTTGGTCTCAGAATCAGTGGTTGACGGTGTTGCGAGCTGGCCATTTTGGGACAGAAGCGGTCTTTTGTTCGATTTCGTAGACAAGCTCAAGCGGCCCATACTGTCGTCCTCTAACACCACCACTTCTTTATCCTGTAAAGCTTCTTCTCTCTTCGGCAGGCCATTTGAGCTCCCAGACGCCTGTACCTGGGATACTCGTTTGTCTGCGCTGGTTGATGCAGTGGTTGCTTGACTGAAATTTGCCGCAGGCGTATCGGCAGATTGCGACTGCGAAAAACGGAACGACGAGGTATCGCTTGTTGTGGGAAATTCGCGGGCGGTGGGTTTTGATAACGCAACGTTCTTCAACAACCAGGAGAGGTGGCCGGCGAGGTTATTTCGAGTCATGAAGCCGGCTACTGAGTGCCAGGCTGGTCTGCGTCTGGGATTCCGGCGAACATTGAGTCCAGACCCTTGCACGCCGTATCGTAGCTGGTATTTGTCAATCGTATGCGGCGGGAACAATAATATGAAAGTGGTGCTGCCCGAGCATCGCGTATCGCGTCGGTTAGTCAGCAGATGCGACAACACGTGATTTCCATTAAACGCGTTGCGGTGCACGGACGCTGCTTCTCCGTCGGCAAAAAAGCGGCTAAACGCCGCCTACTGGCGACTTGCACAAAATGAGGTCTAGATGAAATGATGAAATGATAATTGCTCAAGCGATTAGATGAATGTTTCAGATAGTAAATACATGAATAAAATACTACTAGTACTATGCCAGATTGTTTCGGATTTAAGAAAACATTTTTGTATAACAGCCATCGCCAGAACAAAAGGCCCGCAAAAAATGAGAGTTCAGGTACATGTAGCGGCTACTAGTAGTCTAGCATCTCTAAACACTAGCTCAAATCTGCCTTCATCCGGCATTAACTTGATATGATTCAGATTTTTTATCTTTCTTTCTTTCCTTCATTTCTTTTTTTCCGGCCATTGAAATCTTTCAATGGAGATACTGGTTGTTTGAAAATGGAATAATGCAAGCTCGCTATGCCTGTACTCCTTGTCTTGACAAAGCGCCGCTATTGTAACTTCTATGCTGGCAGAAATACCTACCACTACTTGGGTAATTAGCTTATAGTATGAAGTAACAATGCTAGGTAGGACAAGTATTTTGGAGGATCTAATCCCAAGTAGACGTTCGTCTGCCATGCCTGTCCTACCTACAGCTTACAGGCACCCCTGGATAGAGTGTCTAAGACATACGTACTACTCCTGGCAGAGTTACATCCACAGTTATTGATCAAGATCTACTCCATATATTCTCCAGATTATCCAACTCCACGTTCTTCTCATGCACTACCCAGCCGATATCTCCTATAACTCTATTTTTTACCGTATTCCAACCTCATCTCGACAAACGATTCCCTCCAAAACAGCAGCATTGGCAGCGCGGATGTCGGCGGCATCGGTGGAGGTGCAACGAGATCTTCTTCCGGCCCGCGCGGCTGGCTTGTCGGCAGCCGGCCGGGGCCCACTCCGGATGCGGAGAGTCAGCCCCTGGCTATTGGCTGGAAGAAACAGGCTTTCGCCGCCACGCCGCTTTAAATCGGGCAATTGTGCATTTTTTTTCTTCTGCTCTCGATGACGCCGCCCCTATTTTACCTTGCTGGAACACACGTACGTAATATTATCTAAGAGCCAACGCCCATAATACCTAGTCGGTGAGCTGAGCTGGATGCGGCTGCGTCTGTCGGACTTCGGCCAGCAGAATAAGCAGCCATCGTGAGTAGTAGCGGAAGAGATGTAGAACAAAAAGCTGATTTCTAGGATAGGGTCGACCGGCTGAATTGTGCTGAGATGTATGATGTGAGCGCAAAAGATGCGCTTGACTCTCTTTTCCTGCCCTCCCGCGTCGCAACTCGCAATGGCAATCTCCAAGCTGTGGTGCGGACGTTCTGTGTGCGACTTGAGTCGAAGCGTCCCTTATCGTGGACTCTGTTCGCCAAGACATCCTTGCCGCACTGCGGAGATATCAACGAGCCACAACTTGATCTGAGAGGCAGCTTTCGTTAAAAGCAGCGATGCCATTATGTATGCGCTTCTCGCCAAGCTGCTTGACCGGAAAAGTCCGTTATTAGCTCTCTCCTTGAAGCAGTGCTCATGGATCCTGAGTTCGGACGTGGGGCCGGCGGTTATCCAATTTTCGTACCGTGCCTCAGACGGAAGTCGGTCCCGACGTTTGTGTTAAGTAAATCTTTGCCCCCAGGTTTTGCCTCTCGCTGAATCTTTGTTTTTTGATCCAATCCAATTTGTTTTCAACCCTAACCATTGAAAACTTATCAGCCCATCTTTCACAGATCCAATGGCTGGAACAGAGGTCAAGATCGTCACCAGCCCTCTAGACACTAGTCGAGAAGGGTCGATCTATACTGGACAACAGACTCCACAGACGTCCGAAAAGTCTGAGAGTGAGAATGGATATATCGACCACTTCACGCAAGACGTCCGCACGTCACTATTTGTTGAGATCCAACTTTTATTAATTACCATTTGCACAGGCATTCAAGGTAGACTACCCCTTTTCCATGCATAGCGTTTCTGCTTCCAAAGGCTGACCTAAGGCTGCTCAAGATGCAACAACATTCCCAGATTACCACTGTTTTGCCTCGAACCAAACAGGCAACACCATTTTCCTATGCCTGGCCCTGGTTATACCCAAATTCAACGGTGACATGTTCTACAATGCCAACATTGGCACGGGACTCGGTGTCTTTCTTTTCGCAGGGTGGTTAACAGGCCAGCTGAGCCATGTCGTCGGTCCTCGGAAGCGATGGTGGCTGATTCTATGCAATCTGGTCCAAACTTGTCTCGTCTTTGGTGCTGCCGCAGTCCAATACCGGTACGGAGTTCGTGACCACGGCCCGATAGCTGTTGGTGTTGTGGCCTTGCTGGCGTTTGCCGCCGGTAGCCAGGTGGTGCAATCTCGAAGCCTGGCGGCAACTGAAATCAGTACTGCCATGGCAACTGCAGCGTGGGTAGATCTTATGATTGACCGAAAGCTCTTTGTCGTGGATAACCATCCTCGAACGAGACGCGTCTTGTTTCTTATCGCACTTGTTGTCGGAGGTTTACTCGGTGCCCTTATTTACCGAACCTCTGGATCAGCAACTGCTCTTGCAGTTTCTGGCGGCGGCAAAGGCCTGGCCACTTTGTTATACGCCTTTGCGGGGGCTGAAAAGAAAAAAGTTAACACTTCCATGGTTTAAGAGAAAATTGTACCGTTTATTTCGGCGTTTTGGGATTTAAAAAAAATCACGGCTAGAATGGTTTGTGCTTCTTGTTTTTTATTTTGTTCTAAAAAATGGAGGGATGGGGGGATAATGAATAGGAGATTCTGTGCTGGCAATTAGCGTGCATATATTAGACAGCGGTTATTTTATAGCAATTAGATAGCTGGGGCATATCAGTCGCCATGGCCTAGAAAAAGAAGATGAGCTTTTGATGATCTATTGCCCAGACTTCACATTCTATTTGGCTGCTTCTACCGTGAAATAAGGTTAAATAAAGTGTTGTGAGCAATATTAGCCATTACCAATGTGTTGTAGTCGGCTTCCATTTTAAGTGAGTAATTATAGTGAACCGGCCGCACAAGATCATGTTCATTGTAATATCCGCTACCTATCCAGGAAACTCTTGCTCTAGGTTTAACAACTGTCCATGTATTTCTCTCATACTTATAAATTGGAGCCCCGCCGTTCCGCTGCTTGAGGCCCATAGATTTCCAAAGCTAAGCCGCTTATATTCATTACCTTTTAGTCCTATGATATGATGAGATGAGCCGTTCATAGGTAGCATATTTGAAGTTCAAAATTAGGTAGGCAGTTAGTCGCTGGGTGGGTAGCCATCAGTGAGCCCCAGTTTACCCCTCTTTTCAAGGCGCTCAGTGATCTTGTGATATAAACGGTGTCGTAATGCGAGGCGGAATTAAGATGTCTACTAAAGTTTGTGGCCAGCATAAATTCAAGCGTGGTCGCAATCATGTCTTTAAACAGCCGGCTTTACTCTAAACTGACGAGCACTAGACGCTGATATGCGGTTTGCAGCGTGCATTTCTTTGGTGAATACACTTGGCAAGGCTTTTTCTTATAACAGGCATATGACCTATCATCTTTGGCCTGTGATAGTAAGGCTTTATTGAGGGCGACCTACGTGATGTGGCTGTGCGCTTCTGCCTAACTGCGACCTTTGAACAGCCGTATTGTATTAAAGTCTACTATGAAGCGCAGCATACCAATTGTAGCAAGCATGTGTTCCATCTCAATCAGAACACCTATTCGACATTTGTGGTCATGTCTGCCGAGGATCCAAACATCGTTGATAGTCCCGAATGGCTCTACCGACAGCTCCCACTAAGCGAGTTGGAAATTCGCCTGTTGAGAATAGAACCGAGAGGAGGGCCATCAGCGGAAATTCGAGCTTCGCTCGTCAAGTATAACCTGCAAGGAAGACCGAATGATGTCACCTCTTTTCAAGCTTTGTCTTATACGTGGGGGCATAATTCATTTGCTCACAATATCATTATCAATGGAGTAAAGCTGCCTGTCGCTGATAACCTATACTCATTCCTGCAGCATCGACAGGAAACAAATCAATGTATCGACATTTGGATAGATGCAATATGCATTAATCAAAATGACTTACTGGAAAAGAACCACCAAATTCCAATGATGAACATGATCTATGGGAGGGCCAGTGAGCTTATTATCTGGCTTGGACCCCCGTCTTTCGACAGTGAACTGGCAATTCAGTCGATTCTCGAGATGGGAAGTGGTTCTCCTTATGACAAGCTCTTTACTGTTGAGAATGACGTCTGGCAAGCTATCCAAAGCTTGTTTGAACGCCCTTGGTGGAAACGTATATGGATTGTACAAGAGCTCACAATGGGAGCAATGGGTATAAAGTTGGGAAATGCGGCAATTCACTGCGGCCAAGCTCACGTTTCATGGACAAATGTGGTGATAGCAGCCGCCCGCATGAAAGCTCACCAAGATGATCGGAGACAAACTTTCCCCGCCATTACAGACATCTTGGAGCTTGACAGTTTGCGCGATACTGCGGGTCACTTTCTTTTCAAGCCAATTTCTCAAGCCTGGTTTGACTTGGTTTGTCGATATCGATCCTTTCAAGCCTCAAATAAGCGAGACAAGATATACGCAATCAGGAACATGTTTAGTGTACTGCCATCAAACCGACTTGAAACCAGGTACGACGAATCTGTTGCAAAAGTATACACCGACTTTGCGGCAATGTTGTTGCTAGGGGAATCTAAGCTAGAGATTCTTCGCCAATGTGGCAATGGTGACCAAGATCTGCCGTCTTGGGTTCCGGACTGGTCTGCTTCACTTGGCTCGCAGCCTTTACCTCTTCGAAACATACAGCGTTATTTCGATGTTCCGTGGTGGGCAGAGCCGGAGTATGCAGAGCCCAAGAAGCCTTATAGAGCCGATGGAAGTGGCGAACGGTCGCCGGTAACGTTTCATTACAACGCTCCACCAAGGACTTCGGAAGATGAGGTATTACGACAACGCCGAATGAAACGACTAGAAATGGCGGCTCTGGGCTCTGCAGTCATAAAAGATCTGGAAGATGTACCAGCAAATTTTGCATTCCATCAAATGCCACCTGACAAGAAAGATCAACTTCGAGAGTTGCTCCAACGCGAGGATGTCATCCTCGCCGTTGCGCACGAGAATCCCCACCTACCTGAAGAACCTGACGCATTGCAGCAAGGGGAACTCATCACGGAGCGTGAAATGAAAAAGTGGCTGCTGCAAGAGTTGAAACACTCGAGTTCAGAGCCACTGTACGCAACTGCTACTTCGGTAGATGCCTCCTTCAAGATAGACAAGAACGAGAAAACTTTAAAAATTAAAGGAATCTTGTGGGATGAATTGGAAATATGCCATGAGAGCTTCGCAGAGGATGTTGATAAAGATTGGACGGATGCGACTCGTTTCATGGTCGCCGTTGGTTGCTGCAAGCATCTTGCCATGTCCAATAAAGAGGCATCTATCAGATATCCAACTATAAATCAGCTACTGGAAGCCTTCTGGTCAACTTTGTTCGTGGGACAGGCGACAGGAAAGCTGGAACCCCGCTACGAAGATTGGCTTCCGGAAATTTCGAAGTCTTGGTCGCCAGGGCAGCCTCCCATGGCAGCAAAAACAGCGGGTTTGGTTGAGCTTGCAGAGATGTGCGAAGCTTTAGATCAGTCTTTGTCTACTCTTGACACAGGGACCGAAGATTGCGGCTCTAAGTTTGTCAGTAAACTAGATCCTCAGCTGAAAGAGCGAGCGTTCCCACAGCATGATGATGCCTATGTTGCCCTTTTATGCCGGCTAGCTTCAACATGGCAAGAACAACCTTACGATCTTTATCATCGGCCATTCCATTTGGTGAATATGGTACCCGATCCGTATTGGGAATGCAGACGACACAGCGATGAGCTTGCTAAACGACAAGCGAAAGAAAGACGGGTAAATCACATCACATCAGACGTCAATGTTGATAGCCCCGAAGACGCAGATCACTCCGCGAGGAAGCTTGTACATCAAGCTATGGATGCTACAGACAAGGCTCTACGACAGCAACCAAGCCTAGTGCCCCAGGATACGTTGAAAGCAGGTATCGAGAAGTTTGCTTTAGGGCGAAGGTTCTTTATTACTAAAAAGGGCTACTTTGGATTAGGTCCCCAGAAACTCGAGCCCGGGGATAGAGTTGCGGTGCTTTTTGGCTCTGGCGTTCCTTTTGTGCTTCGAAAGTGTCCGGCTATAGCAGGGAGGCGGGCTTGGAGAATTATAGGAGAGTGTTACGTACATGGGATTATGCAGGGTGAAGTAGTCCGAAAGTGGGAACTGGGTACTTCGGAGGCGCAAATGCTTCTCTTGGTTTGAACTCTGGCTCTACAGGTTCGAGGAATAGCATATCGCATTATTTTACTTTGTATGCCTTGGGTAACTCGCTTAGTATATCTAGGTTAGAAGTGTAATTGACCCATGTGCTATTGGCGCCTTGGGTATCATGAGTTAGCAATCGTCCGGCTTGGCTTCCGAAGAGGCCAACCTCTCATGCAACGTACATCGAACCTATATTTGCGGTTAGATGGGGTACTTCAAGCCATGTCTCGAAGACTGCCTAGCACTTATGTAAGGAGAGGATACGTTGATGGAGGAAGAGTAGTATATGAATGTTTCCATGTATATAAACATATTCCCTTTAGCTAGCAGTCAATTATTCACTTTGCTTTTATTTATTTCGGACTAGTAATCCGGCTATTAGCGAAGGATACCGTAATTGATAGGAAAGATGAAAGAAAAAAGCCACAAGTGATTGGAGGTAGTTATAAGAGACAATCCCTTTGTAAATTGGTCTGCTCTATCTAGATCCAGAAACCAAAGCATTCTCTTAGATCTGATAGATGGACCAGTATATCCCATTGCAGACGACTATAAGAAATTGATACATTGCTTAAAGGCATTCTAAAAAGTGAATCGCACCCCTGATGTGGCTGCTAGATCACAGTAGCTCCTCTTCATTACGTTTATTGGTGAACTTTACCTCATCTTGGGATGAAATGTATACAGTCAACGTTATGGGACAGTATTTGTCTACAATAAAACAAATACAACTCTGTGGATAAAAGATATTTTGGGGTCCCGTCAAGATCTTTCTCCGAGCTTGAGTAGTTGTTTATTTGCCGCTGGGCCAGGCCTCTACAATACACGTACATACTCCATCAACGGGTTGTTACGATCCATTAAAACGGCTGTTAATGTGTTGCACCATAGCCTTGCAACATTTTAAACTCTCTATAAATAGCACATGGAGAATGGCCAGCTTAATGTAGACTTTGCAATTGTTTGGATCAATTCTCCTGCGATCTTGGATTATGGTATAATGAACGCGCTATAGATAAGGGTGGGGATTCAAGTATCGGAACTTACATGTGCCTGGTAAGGTAGAGAATTTATAAAAGATCGATATGCATTTAGTTCTCTAATAATTAAATGTAGATGCCATGAAACAAAGAAAAACCCGTAAGCAAAAGCAAGGCGGTCAAGGTTGTGGCGGTGTTGTATGGATCCATGCATCTGTCTGCGATTGGTTAGGCTGCTCATCAGGTTGAAATGGAGGCAGACCGCTGAAGCCTTGCGCCTTTCGTTTCTTCTCTCACATGTCGCAATTATGAACGACAGCGCTATTTTGCTTAACATGTATCGTCTATAAACGAATTATGGATGAATACCGATATAAGCCTCTCGATCATGATCGACCTACAATTCGGCTGCTACGAATTCATCAAGGAAGCGGAGACGAATTGACGTGCAATTTATTCGAGGCGCTTCTTCATCACGATCTCATTCAATACGAAGCGCTGTCTTACACTTGGGGCGCATCAGCTACGCCAAAAAATGTCACCGTGGATGAGCAAAAGCTGGCAATCACAGCAAACCTACACCTAGTTCTCATAAGCCTCCGCCGTCCAGACACTGATCGAATCCTCTGGATAGATGCAATTTGCATTGACCAAAGCAACAAGAGGGAGCGAAGCCACCAAGTCGCGCAGATGAGTGATATATACAAGCAGGCTGACTGCGTTCTTTTCTTCCTGGGACACACGACTTACAGTACCGATGTATTTATGGACTATATGAGTCTTTTCCAGCAGGAGCGCAGTAATTATGCATACCAATCTTGGGCTCGAGACGATGAGCGCTGGAAGATAATTCAGGAAGCCGTTCAGGGAGAAACGGATAAGCCTGATATCAAGATACTTTCACTAGGATTAAAATGCCTTCTAAACAGCCCCTGGTTCCTTAGAGTCTGGATTCTACAGGAAGTGGCAAACGCAAAGAAGGCCATTGTGTGCAGCGGGACAAAAGAGATAGCAGCAAGCGTCTTTAGCATTGCTCCAATTATCTTCAATATCAGCCCAAGCGTACATTGCCAATCGGTCATTGATATCATGCCTGGACCTTGGCGGAAAACTTCATGGTGGAGTAAGGGTCCTTGTCTCTATACTTTGTTGTCAAAGTTTGGCGGAGCTCAGGCAACCGAATCCCAAGATCTTATATATGCGCTGAGGGGAATTGCTACCGACAAAGAGTCTCTCATACTGACACCAGACTACAATAAATCTGAGGAGTGTCTCGTTCGCGATATTGTGCGATTTCTATTCGACTTTGAATACGATGCGAAGATGGCTTGGAGCATGCTGGGAACAGTCAGAGATGTCATAAGAAACTTGGAGCGAATCAAAGACCGCATCTTCATCGAGCGAATCAAAGCTGATGAAGCGAGCCGTTTGGGCGGCCTCCTCCAGGCGCCTGGTTTCACATTTTCCCCGACCGCTGTTGAAGCTGCGATTCAGTACGATCAAACTGGACAGATGATGAAGATGCTCATGAAGCATGATAGGGGATACACCATAAGTAAAGAGACTCTCTTGATAGCGGCGGAGAAAGGCTCGGTTCCAGTATTTCAAGTCTTGGAACTACATCTGGGCAACGAAGTCGCGGCTGCCTCGAAAGAGATGCTCCTGGCTGCGGCAAATAACCACCGCCACGGCGACGACATGGTCAGCTGCATATTGGAACGCGATCAACAGTTGGATGACTACAGCCTAGTCGCGGAGGCTGCAGCCAGCAATTCAAAACAGGGTGCGAGGATAGTACAACAACTACTTGGTCGAGGAAGTCGGATAACGATGACACCACAGCTTCACATGAATGCATTTAAGAGCGGATGTTATAAAGAGCTATTGCCTCTCTTCATTAAATGCCCTTCAGTCGGACTCGAAATGAGAGACAAAGTTGCCGATGTGAATGCCAATTTCTCGGCAGACGATCCTGCCGAGAATGCTAGAACGGTCTTTAAGAGCATTGCCAGGTTCTTGGTCAGTTATGCAGCCTATGATGACATCATATTTGACATCTTCAGGCAGTCTTGCCGGCAGATTGCAGGACACGGGTATAATGTTTTGGAAGAACTAGCTTTGTGTGCAACTGAGGTCTTTAAAGAGGGAGGGCGTTCGTTATCAACGCGGCGTGAAGAATTTGAAAGGAGATTTGGAACTTTGAACTGGGTCGCGGAAGAGAGCGGCTTCAATCTTTGCGTAACGATAGGCGTCGTGAAAGCAAGTGTTGAGGGCAGCTTCACAAGAGGAATGTCACGCTTGTTGATGAGGAAGCGAAACTCGATTGACATCAATCCGGATGCCGCAGCGGAAATCATTCGCACCTACCACCTTGGAGAGCGCAATGATATGCTTATGGCAGAGTTTATCTTGGTATACCGCAGCGGGCAGTTTCGGCACACTGAGGCGATAAGGGAAGCGTTCAAAAACCGACACTGTGGTTCAAAACTCTGGTATTCCGGCCACTGGCTTAACACTGCCTTTACATACAATTGCTTCGAAACTCTTCATTGGCTGTTGTCTGGCGGCACTGACGCTGCCGAAAAAAACAGCACCTGGAACACCTTACTGGCGCGTACTGGAGATTGTCGAGTCGTGGCTTTACTTCTCTCTCATGGCGCCGATCCCAATTTGCGGCGTGAGTCTTGAGGTTGGGGCTCTCGCCTTTGCTCTCCCATTTTATTGGCGGTAGAAAGAAGAAATCAACATATATTGGAGCTCTTCCTTGTCTGTGGCGCAAACCCCAACATAGTTGATGGCTTCGACGGCAACACTCCGCTTACTATAGCGGCGCATGCTGACGATGTCGCATTAGTCAAGCTGCTTCTCCAGTATGGAGCATACACAGCAGCTCGAAACAAGAAATGAGAAAGTGCAGAAGATCTTTCTAAATCTGATGCCATCATTAGTCTGCTACAGGGCCATTCATCACACTCTCCCTTGAGAATGCAGGGTGTTAGTCCAAGTGTTCAACGGATGATGAAAGATCATGGGCTAGTTCCAAAAGTACATTCGTCTGTTATAGCATAGGTACTCAAAAGCTTAACCACAATGTACATGGCTTTTGTGAGAAAAGAAAGCTTGAAGCATGACGGCGAGTTGGATATACGTTGTCTGTAAAGCTGTAGCTCCCCAAGTCTGTGTATGCTCTACCTCGGCGTGCCTATACAAGATCAAACATGAAAGGAGTCAGTTGAAGATTGACATGTCAAACAGGGGCTCAGTTCCACCTTTCGCGCTTGATCGAAGCTCATGGGCACCAAGAATGAAAGAGCGGCAAAGACCGTCTTCTAGCATACATGCATGCAGCCATAGGTAACGTAAAATTCAAGATTCTGTCAAGAGTTCTGATTTTGGTAAAATTCTTTATTTACCCTTGCTGAGTGATTAGGCTATCAACCTCTAATTCAAGACTACAGTAATGTCAATTGATTGATTAGTACTCGCATTGCAAAACGAATACTATTGTTCCTTCGAATCATGGGACATCATTGTAAAGGGAAATTTGATTGTTATTGGATCTAAAAATAAGAGTTGGTGTGATCGAAAGAGGCAAAGACGTGTGGCCGACAGGCCGACATGCCGACGTGCCGACTTGGCGATGCCACTACCTGGGTTAGCTGCTGGACTGGTATCCAATTATGCTTCTTAACATGCTTGGGGGTTCTATTAACGGATCCAGGAAGGCCATAATGCAACTACCGCGCTTGCTCCATTGCCTAGTTGGGCATTTAGGTGTACTATGTATCTGCGTATTCTGCAGAGTATGATCGCAAGTGTTGCCTAGTGAGTCCTGCAGGTAGATGGTTCACAAAGGAACCCTGTTGAAGGATCTCTCACAAAAGTACATGCACAGTATGGCAAAGCCGCCGATGCGCGAAACAAGGCAAACAACGCTATTTATAGTAGTTCGAGAAAGAAAAGAGCTAGGATCTGCTATTTTGAGACCTCCAGATATACCAAACTTAGGTACTTCCATACAGCCATTGGTGCCATCGGCGTCACTTGCCCAATAGCCCGGCTATCGCTTGGGAAGATTGGAAGCCATCCACACCATCAAACACGACGTTGACAGCTACGGAAGCCAAGATCGAGATCCACAGAATTATCTAATTGACATTTACCTTTTTTTTTAAAGGGAAAAAAGACAGAAACAGAAGGCCAATGAATATCCAATTACGAGCCGGCCTATCAGGATCACAGAGATGATCGGCTCGTTATGCAAGACTAAATACAGCCTCGAGAATGCATCCAGGTTACAATATCCTATAGGATCTCAGAGCCCTATAGCCAATGGCGGCCAGCACAGCAACTATGCAAATGGCAAAGGAAGAAAGCGGTGATGTGTTGACTTATGACCGATTCGGCCGATCTGAGAGTGTGCGACCGATCTGAGAGTGTATGGCCGACTAGCGATTTGTACGTGTAGTCTAAAATATGGCTGGCTGTGATTGTTCAACTTCCACAAGCAATCTCAGCAAAAGGTCATCTATGGAAAGACAGAAAGGATTCTGAGAAATGGGTATCCCTCCGGAAATGACGCCCAAATGAGGCGTAGTCACGCTTTGTTTGCATAGCCCAATCATCATCATGATAGTACTCGTAGGAGTTGAAGGCTTGGAATGCGGACTTGAGATTTTTTTTTTTTATAAAGGGCCTCATGTGTCTTCGAGATACATGTCAAGAAACTGGGCATTGAATCTTCCTGAGCCATATCTGAACAAGCCCGATGGCCGACTAAGATGTGGTCTTTACCTTTTCACACTCTGGCAGTCGCAACTGCTCTCCTGAGTCTCTGCGGCCTTGCTACCGCACAACAAAAGGGAGAGTGGTTCTCCGAGCTTCAACCATGCCCACAGTCATGCTCCGCAAGCGGCATCAACTCGGGCAACTGGACACTCTACCACGATGCCGTGAAACTTTACTCCTGCAAGGAGCCTATGCTCTTAGACATGAGTCTTCACACTCCTGTCGACGACCCCAGTAAGACATTGAGTCTGTTTGCTTGCTGGGGTAACAACAAAGATGGCGACGCAAACTGCAATGAACCAACCGCGGATGCTAATGTTACGACTACTTCTGATACTTCTGAGACTGCCACCGTCGAGGTCATATGGTCTGGTACGGGCCAGAGTCAACGCGCTGGCGACGCCGTTGCCGTTGCTCAGTACGCCTTGTCTCAGACATCTCCCTTGTCGTGTGAGCTGGACGACAGAACGTCATCTTTTGCCTACTTGAACGGCGTCTTTATCGGCGTCTGGACCGGGCCGATGGTGGACAAACAGACAACACTCAACCTGCTGGACCAGGTTGTTTCTGGCCTCAAGAATGAAGTCCAAGGCAGCCTCCAGCTTTCTCAAGTCTGCGGCTCGAACAGAACGTCAGATTACACTGTTGGCGTGGCCGTAGCAATTCCAGAGTCAGTGGCAGATCTGACAGCCCTTGCTCAAGTCCAGAATGCTGTCAAGACCTGGAGCATGGGCGATTGCGTTGCAGCGGACCCAGGCTCTTCAAAAACCTCCAAGTCAACCCTCGAGGTTCATCAGCTAGCCCTGACAAGCCCCAGTACTCGCCGCGACCTCGATACGCGAGCCAATTGCAGAACGATTCTCGTCGTCGCCGGAGATTCGTGTGGCAGTCTGGCCAAGAAGTGCGGCATCTCAGGTGCCAACTTTACCAAATACAATCCCAAAAAGAATCTTTGCTCGACTCTGGCTGTCAAACAGCATGTGTGCTGCTCCTCCGGCACTCTGCCCAACTATGCGCCGAAACCCCAGTCCGATGGTGTCTGTGCCACATATCTGGTGAAGAAGGGCGACACCGGCGCCGACCTTGCGGCCTTCTACACCGTGACAGTCACTCAGATCGAGAACTGGAACAAGAAGACCTGGGGCTGGATGGGCTGCAAAGATCTCCAAGCAAAGATGAAGATCTGCCTAAGCAGCGGCGATGCGCTCATGCCGGCACCCATTGCGAATGCCAAATGCGGTCCTCAGGTTCCTGGAACTAAAAGACCAACAAACGGAACCGCTCTGGCATTGCTCAACCAGTGTCCTCTCAAGGCCTGCTGTGACAAATGGGGGCAGTGTGGCATTACCTCCCAGTTCTGCACCCAGATCGACTCGGCCACAGGCGCCCCTGGAACATCAAAGAACGGGACCAACGGATGCATCTCCAACTGTGGCACCAAGCTCATCTCCAGTTCGGCTCCCGCCCACTTCAGGTCTGTGGCATACTTTGAGGCCTTCAACTCGGGGCGCAAATGTCTGAACATGGACGTCCGGTCGTTGCAGGGGTTCAATTACGATACGATTCACTTTGCCTTTGCTAATATTACCAAGGGTTTTGACGTCGACGTGTCCTCTCTGAAGGCGTCATTCCAAGATTTTGTGGCCATGAAGAATAATGGCTTCCAAAGAGTTCTATCTTTTGGCGGCTGGTCATTTTCCACCGACGTTGATTCTTATCCCATCTTCCGCGAATCCGTCACAGATGCGAACCGCGCAACGTTTGCCTCCAACGTAGCTGCATTCGTCAAAAAATGGGACCTCGACGGCGTTGATTTTGACTGGGAATATCCAGGGGTAAGTACATATGCTCCGAACGTGATCCTTTATTGTATTTTGCCTCACATTACCTTGTATCAATCATCATGCTAACCAAGAGGCGCTTATATTGCGGTTATACAGGCTCCGGATATCCCTGGCATCCCACCGGGAAATCCAGGGGACGGTGGCAGATATCTGAGCTTCCTCAAGACACTCAAGTCCAAGCTGCCTTCCGGGACGACATTGTCCATTGCCGCTCCTGCATCGTACTGGTATCTCAAGGGATTCCCCATTGCCGACATATCCAAGGTTGTCGACTACATCATCTACATGACATATGATCTTCATGGACAGTGGGACTGGAACAACACCTGATCGGACCGGCCAGGATGCCCACATGGTGGATGCCTCCGCTCTCACGTCAACTTGACGGAAACAATGGAGGCCCTAACCATGATCACAAAGGCTGGAGTTGCCTCCAACAAGGTCATCGTCGGTACTGCGTCCTACGGCCGGTCCTTCAAGATGTCAGACAAAAGTTGCACAGGTCCATCTTGTCACTTCACCGGCCCCAAATCGGGAGCCACTCCTGGCCGATGCACCAAAACCGCGGGTTACATCTCCAACGCCGAAATCTTCGAGCTCCTCGAGGCCAGCAGCGGTTCTACGCATTACGATAAAAGCAGCGACTCCAACGTTGCTATCTATGGCGACAACTGGGTTTCTTACATGACACCAAATACCACGTCGGGGAGACAGGCCAAGTACAAAGGGCTGAATTTCGGCGGCACTACCAACTGGGCCGTCGACTTGCAAAGCTGGATGTTGCCTTTTGACCCGCTTGATGTGCTCGCAAGCAATGTTGATTGGGAAAAGGTACCGACCAAGCCTCTCTGCAACGATATCAATCGTAGTGCCAGCGGCTGGTGGGCCGACGCCGGCTGCGACTCGGCCTGGAAAGCCGCCATTAAATACTGGAACAGCGTGTCGCCAGCGAATCAGAAGCTGCATGGTTTCTCGGCAGAGATAGCCAACTTCTTCAACTCCTCAAAGAACTCCATCAACATGCAATGCAACAGTCTGAATGTTGACAACGGGTGCTCGGCCGATGCCGGTCCTTCGTGCGGCGACCCTGTGAGTCCTGCGGGCTATCTGATCCTCACCTCGTTCACTCATATCAACTCGGTAAGCTTGATAATTCCATTTCATCTCTTTTTCACGCTTGGTCTTCAAAAAGTAGAAGAGGAATGCAGATACTGCTACATAGTACAAACACTAACCTGGGTTGCTTTTTCAGCAATTGTATCAGATGTACGTGGCAATTGAGGCAGCCAACGATGATGTCTCCCCAAGCATTTCGAACATGAGTCAAGTTTTCAATCCTCCTCCATCGGGATCCGATGCCCTCTCATTGATAGAAGAGTTCCTGCAACCTGTGTTTGCGATGGCCATGGGACCAGAATTTGAGAAAGGTAGTGTTGTCTTCAAGCCCTGCTTTAGATTGTTGTATTTCGACGAGTTCTATCTATCATGATGAGGATTTTGCTGCCTTGTATAAAGGAATTTAATATTGACTTGATATCGCAGTGCTTAGTCCCCTCGAGATTGGTCCCCTTCCAGAAACAAATCACGAACCATCCTCGAGTCAAAAGGTCAAAGACGCCACCAAGGAGGCAATAGGCAACATCACGAGCCAATTGATCGGCGATGGCTGGGACTACATTCAAGATAACATTGACACCACCTCGTAAGTATCGCCAGCATCTCTCACTTCACCAGGCTTCGTGCCTTGGTCACAGCAGCCCACCTCGGCTCTGGCAATGGCAATGGCTACACATACATGATGCATAGCATCATGCTAACCCTATGTTACAGAAGCTGGACTGACCCTACAGCCACGCTCCAACAAAACTTGAAGAATCTGACGAATTATTGGCTATTGGGATTGCAGGGCATGGGAAACTCCACCTTCAGCGGATCTGCCCGCGCAGTTTCTAACTTGTATTCCATGATTGACCATGGTTCCTTTCTCTTCAAACCTGTTACTCCCGCATTTACCCTGAGTCAAGCTTTCCAGACTCCAATCTATGCCCGCCTGATACCAGCAGCTTGGTCCAATAACGCTGGCGAAGGTAATACCATTGGTCCTCAGGGGATCTTTGTTCTGGACTCGAGTGACAGCTGCTCATCTGGGTCATCGTGCTCGTCCTCGGTCCCCTCCCATCTGTCTGCGTTCTTGACAGGCGATACCGCTAAAAATGCATGTTTCTGCGACGGTGGCAAGATGTACTATCTCGCGCTGCTAAAGGGAGGTGCACAGAACTGCGTTGCTTTTCCCGTGGAACAGTGTACCAATCAGACATTTTCGACGCCACCAGGCCTCGATGCACTTGATGGAAAGGCCTGGGGTGGTTTGACACTCAAAAAATTCATCACTGGGTAAGTAATCCTTATTATGTGTTTAATATGACTTAGGATCTGGAGAAGGAGTTCCAATATATATGATGGCTAACTAAAATATGTACTTGGACACACACAGCGCTGTCAACACTTACAAGGCAAACGGTAATAAGAACGGCTTTAAACCAAGCTACAACAACCCGTCGATTATGGCCGGTTACATCAGCGGCGATGTCACTGCTCCAGGTGGTGTCGCGATTCCAGTCTGTAGTGCACAAGAGGCGTTTGACAATTGGTATGCAGAATCTACGACCAAGAAGAACTTTCCGTGTAATTAAGATGCACGGAAACAACGCATCGAACAAAGAGATATCGTCGTTTGTGCCACGGCTGTCTTTAGTGTTTTGATTGTCATTGATCCCTTGTAAGCTAGCATAGTTATATTCTCAAGAAGCCTAGCTAGATACTAGAAGTCGAATCAATACATGTATAGACAGTTCTATCTGATCGCAGGCTACCAGTAGCGACTTTGTATGTGTAAAGACTCTTTCAACTTCAGCATTTCTAGGGTCACGTATGTGTGCCTTTGCGAGCAAGGTCTGGAAAGCAGCCATCACGCATTCGAAGTACATGTAACATTTCCCCGGCTGCCAGCAGGCTCCTAGGACCAACACGTCTCACAACAGGGGGATACACGTAGATATAGACCGCACAGCTCATCAGAATCTTTGCATAAGCTAGCGTCAGCAGCCGACTATCATGACTATTTTGTACCAACGCTGCGACAATTCATACGAGATATTAGAGATTAGAAAGTGCTGATGGTGAATTAGATGAGACCTGTAGTAGGATTCAGGTACAAAGCGCCTTTGCATTATATCTCTGGCGCCTTGAGGCTGGCAGTCCAACTCTGCTTTCAGGTCTTACCCGGAATTTATCCTTCAGAGCACGCGCACAGGCGCGTTTATCCTCGTCGCGTTTTAGATGCGTCGGATTCCGGGGCATTTGGCAGGCCAATTCGCTGCCCAGAATCTCTTCTCCGCAAACACACCAACAAAAGCAGCAGCGTCGCGTCATCACCTGCAACTATCGCACGGATTATTCAAGACATACATGCCTCCCACTATTTTGCTTCGGTTTATTTGCGCAAGTCGCTATGGATGATGGACTCGATTATCAATTGGATCAACGATCTCGAGGCAGCATCTGATCCAACGTCTCTTCCCAAGCCAGCTCCCCGTCTTCCCAGCCTAGCAGCTTCTAGAAAACGCAAAACTATATCAAATTATAGTCTCGCTAGCCCTCCACTTATTTATACAGGGGGAGACGACAATAACATGACATCAACGCCCCAGAAAAGACGTCGAATGCAGAGCCAAGATAGATTACCTGACCCTGATGCAACGCCCCGGCCAGGAGCTCGCAGCATCCCAAGTTCTGCTGCTTCAATCTCGGGTTCTGAGGCCAGTTCTATATCGAGATCATCATCGGGGAAAGGACAGATGATGAGACTGCGAATGAGCGGCGCAGGTGTTGAAACTCAATCACTACGCGAGTATTCAGTACCTGCAGTTGCGAAGCCGTTATTTCTTACCATGGCAGAAATCGAACGAGGTCTGAATATTCTACCAGCTGCCTTAAGAAATAGTATTAGGGATGATCAAGGGCTCTCCCAGGATGACTTCGAGAGACAATGGCAGTATTCTTTCAAGTCTGTCAACAAGCCTGATAATCTACCCGGCCGTATCCCATCTATTGCTCAAATCAAAATTATCTTGGCCAGAGCTACTGAATGTGAGAATGGCAAGCTTGACGAGGCCAGTTGGAATACTATGGTTCACTGGCCCTTGCTTCGACTTATATTTGAGGACAACCTTGGTAAACAGTGCAGCGACTTTAACGCCATACCTTGGTAAGATTATTCTTGCCTCTAGTTCACAGGAAGTATTTTTGCTAATTCGATTTATTATAGTACCACAGCTCGACCACATCGGGCGTATACACCAGGTTTGTCTTCCGCTAGGATGATTGATCTTTGCATTTACGCTACACTTAGCCAATATCCGGAATTATACACAGCTATAAAAGCGTTTAGCAGTACCACGGCTACCTATTCCGTTAATCACACTGATTATTACGGACTCCAATTTCTCCCTCTTATCATCAGTATCGAGACCGGGGGTGGGGAATGGGATTGGGCGCAGACACAAATGGGCGTCTGGCATGCTGCACAGTGGAATTTTCTTCGATCGGGTGTTGAACAGAAGCTTCAAACACAGCGTCCCGCCCAAGATCATGAAACCTTCAAAGCAGAAACGCTTAGTGCGCTATCAAAGCTTGGTTTTATCCCAGGGATTGTTGTGAGCGGAAGTCAATGGCATTTAGTGATTTCTACATACGATGACGGAAAGACTACGTTATGGGCAGAGTGGAGATTTGGTGTAACCAAGAGCTTGATGAAAACTTTTGCTGTGATTGCTGGTGTTCGGGAGCTAACAGCCTGGGGGAGAGATCAATATCTACCATGGTTTAAAGAGAATGTCTTGACGGTTGAGGATAAGCGTGTCTAATATAAATCTAGTCTGCTCCTATGATATAATCTTGACAAGAGAAGTGTTGACCGTGATGATGGGTTCTTTGAGGCTACGCTGCTGCATCCCGCTTGGTGAGGATGACGACCATGCCCTCAGAGCCCTCCAGACGCGTTCGCCTTATGCGTCATCACTACGGCAATCTGGTTGGCAATCTTTATCGTCATAGTTTACGATGTTGGCTTTAACCAATGTGGTTCATAGCTTCGCACATACTGCCAGTCTATGGCAGCAGAAGCGTTCATCTGTATCATTTTAGTTACATTTATGACACTGAACGTGCTCAGGGGCTTGTCTATTTTCAGACGCCCTATACATACGTGCTATACCACTACCTTAATAATACGTCAGCGCCAAGGGAAGAGTATGATGGGATGGCCAAAAGAACGTTCAATTCCTATTTCTCTAGCGATAGCTGCTTGTTATTGCACACTTTGTCGTTTATTCATTAGTCGTTGACTTTGTCGTCGTTTGCCCCCTTCTTCATATCGCACATTCTTTTATCGTTTATTCGATTGTCGTTCAATTAGTCCTCTGTTGCCCCATTGCTCAATATCCTCCTATATTTTGCGTTTCCTTCGAGTGGCTTCAAGCATAATACCATCAGTCCACGCTCTTCTCAATAGACTTATGGCCTCATATCTTAATTCTTTCGAACCTATGAATGACTCGCCGTAAGAGGTTGCAGGTAGGCCCATCATGCGACGCTGCGCATTCTTAATCACCATTAATCCGCAGCTATGGCCATCTTCTTGCTGCGTTACTTCCTAGCATTGGTCAACGTCATTCGTAAATTAAACAGATGCTGCTTACTGTTTCTCTAAACTTGAAATGAGAGAAAATTGTTTCTTTCTCGCATGCTTCCTAAACACTAGTCAGTGATTACGTCGGAGTTTGGAATTAGTAAAGGATAGAGCCATATTGGGGCTTATATAGGACTCTTGTCTATACGCTGTCTTTCTAAGACAAAGGTTTTCGAGCATCAACCTATCTCTGGATGTAGTTAAATCTGTTCGCAGAGTCACTCCCATCACCCTCTTAACAACCGTCTTGTTCACGTACCTGCTTTCTAAGTCATGTATCAAGCTACTAACATTAACACAAAAGACAATGATGATATTTATTCATTCTATTTCTATCTCAACTATCTCTCCTATTTCTCCTCGTATATTGCTCTCCATTTGTAAATCACTATCCGTTGATAAATTGACTGCTTCTTCGATTGAAGTAGCATCAACATTCTCATCCAGCGAGTTTGGAAACTTAGCAAAGTGCGAATCGAGGTGGACGATATAGTCAAGAATACATCCACCTATGGTACCTAGCTCCCCATCCATTACACCATGGATAAAACAGTCTCCTAATAGTTGGTATTTTGGAATATAGTGGCAATGAGGTCGGGGACCGTGGTAGTCTATAGGTCGCAGGACGAGTGGTACAGTGCTTCCCGGCAGAATGTATATTTCATCGCCTTCTTTTGTTAGCATCGGTCCCAAAACCATATGTCCATCCTTCTCAAAATATGCACTGTCATAAGGCCAAATATTCGGATTTTTATGCAGCACTTCTCTTTCTTGATCAATATAACTCAAATGTTCATTGATCAAACATGTTTGTGCATGAATGAACATCTCTTTTTGAATCAGATCTTGTTCCGTCCTTTCCCATTGTTTGTTGATGCTGTGCAGAAAACGAAGCCGTTCTATGTCGTAAAAAATGTGTCTATTCGAGTCGAATTGCCTCTCGCGACCATCAAGAAGCCTATTACATTTATCGAATAATTGGCTCAGCCTGAAGGAATCAGCCTGGTTGATTTCTTTTATATATCTGGTAATGAAGCCACGCTCGAGAAGGCGAGTCTTCCAAAGCAGTTGTTTATGCTCATAAAGTAGCTCTAAATGAGCGGATATTTCGACGTCCTGATCCAACAATTTTCTGCTTTTCTCTAGCAATATGTGTTGATCATCGAGCGACTCTTGTAATTGACTATAGAATCGCCATTGGTCATAGAAGCTGTCATATTCATTAATAAAAAACAACGTACGCTTAGTTGCAGATAGGCGCAAGACTTCTGCGGTCCGATCGGACTCAGCGTCAACAGATATCATTACATGATGTCGACTCTCACTTGATCTTTGCATTGTCTTCTCGTGGAACCACTTCTTCAGTATTGTCATATCTTCAGTTTGGAGTCGTGCCAGGAGCCCATCTGGGGTTTTCATCGCATCGGACATGATGGTCCTTAGAAAATTTTCTTGCGTGTAATCGCCGATCCTTTTATGCGCTTCTGTCCACCATCCATCAAGTATTTTTGCAGCTGTATTAATGTCGGAAGATGTATACAATGGATTTGTGATCTCCGATACTACTCCAATTCTTCTGCCGCGAATTTTCAGAGACTTTTCGCTGGATTTAATCAGGCTGAGTCTTGGCAGGCCTTTGCGACCATCTTTATGGCAATAATGCGTCAAATCCTTACAGATGGGTTTAATCTCCAGCATAACAGGCATACTGGATCTAATGTTCAAGTTTCGTAGCTTCAGGGCAAGTTCCTCCCGCAGAAGGTTCTTCGGGTCGAGCTCAGCCATAAGAGAGCGGAGTAACAAAGACATCTCCTTCTTAATGAAATGGCCGAGATTGTCTTGTCCTGTTACCAACATTGGTATGACGCCTCTACAGGCATCGTAGAGATTGGGAAGGGCGGTTCGTTGACGTTCGTTTTCATCAAGTGCTGCATTCCAATCCAGAACCCAAGACGGCAAATCTTGTCTTCCTTTGCGACTATGGTCTCCATACAGAACAGAGAGTGACTTGGTACTGTTTATAGTCTCAATCACCGGTGCCATGTACACTGATCCCACGTCCAATTCGTAGTCAGGTCTGATTTCAGTTGCTTCATTGCAGAGGCCTAGAAGGCCGTAGACTCTGTCTCTGTCATCAGAAGCTTTGCGTTGTCCAAAATACCGTAGAAGAGATAGAAGATTTGCTCCTTGCGACTCTCTCCAGCTTTTTCGAAATCGATCCAAGTCGATGACTCGTGAGAAAAGGTTGAAGACTTTCAGGTCCGCGGCCGAGATAGAGCTAGGATATCTCCCATGCACAAATTCCCAACGAGAGAGGACTCTGGCAACTTCAACTAGTAACTTCCACGAAACTGCAACATTGCCGTATCTCACAGTAAGGGTTTCGGCGACAACTGCTTCTTGGACAACCCAGATGCGATCCCACCAGGGGACAAGTAGCATGCATCGTATTGCTTCAGAAAGTGCAGTAAAATGGGCCTCCGGGATATCCTCTAAGACTTTTAATGGATTCAAGGAGGAGTCATATCGAGCCATGATGGTCAGGAAACAAAATACTTCAAAAGGTTGAACTGGCTTCTTCAAAGACGATAGCTTCTAGGTATCGATGTATTGGCTTGCAAGCGTAACATCTGCATCGCTGACTCCAAATTCCTTGAAGGAGCGGACACCCTCATACGACTCAGAATTGAGTACGCTGTGTTCCAACCCATGTCCGAGAAATATAATTACTTCGCTCGCTCCGCTGTAGATCTCGCGCATCTGAGCAACCTGCGATGACCGCTCCGCGATGTTGCTTTGGTCAATGCACTATACTTCGGTTAGTGGACGATTTCTTGCTACGTTTTAGAGGAATATTATCACCAGTGCATCAATCCAGAAAACAGTTTCTTCATTTTGCTCTCGCAAATGTTTCAGGGCGATTTCAAGATTCGTCGTCACTTCAACTTTGTTGTCATTGACCAGGATTTCTGGGGGGCTTCGTCGTCTCCAACGCCCCCAGACATATGACAAGGCCTTGTATGGAGGATAACAGTTGTCAATTCTGTCGTAAGCCTTGAGCGTGCAACGGATTTCATCGCCCCATCGGCCTGGCGATAGCGTGATCAAACGGAAAAAGCCGAATTTTGTAGATGAATGCATGGGAGCGACGTCGCGACCGGTGAAGTTGAGCCGCCAGACATTAGCTTTTTGAAGGGAAAGTTCACAGACTCAGTACTAGGCGCTTGAGTCACGGTGGCAACCTACCTAGCCATTGATAATATCAATTGTTTTGGAGTAGAATAAATGTAGCGATGTAGTTTCGTCAAAGGACATATATGATCCTTCTGCCTTGACTTCGGGGCCTAAATGGAGACCCAATACTACGCTAATACGTATGTATCCTATACATTTGTTACCAACTATACAATTAGGCATCCGCCGATATGCAGCTGAGCCTTGTGTGGCTATGTAGGACAGCAAGGCCAATCAAAACACAAACCCCAACACAGCCATCATAAAAATGCCACACCGGAGGGAATGGGGTTTGCATTGGTAGCTATGCGCTGTATGATTGAAATGTACAAATTGGAGCAACACAAGGCTCTTCGCGAGGCGCATATGCGGTAGGCTGGCGTTTGTTGGGTACAGCCAAGATCAAATCCGTTATGATTGAGCTCCAGTACGACCAATGAATAATGGCGCAGAACAGAAGAATAGATCATAAAGAATCTTAAACAGGCATATAAAAGTTAATACAGGGCTGAGCCCCAGTTTATTCCTGGGAGCGGATCAATGCCTAAAGAAATCGCCTAACAGTGCGGAGTAGCCTTACATATATACCCGTGCAGCAATATCAACCGCCACGGCAAACTTCAAGGCTCACCATCGGAATCAAGGACAGTTCTGCCATTAAAAGGTTAGAACGCCATCGATATCTATGACACCGAGTAGCAGCGCCGCAGTCCGTGGACAAAGATTTCCATCAGAAGATGGAAAGCCATTTTCAGAACATGAGTTTAGCCATGTCAGTAACCAAGTATTATAAGAGTACAGAATCAGAGAGAAAGAAGTTTGCAAACACTGATACCGCTGGGACGGTGAATTTATACTCTCTATAGACTGCTATCTACACTGAATGCCAATTCGTCTATAAGCCAATAGCCCCTGTAGATAGTACCATATCAGACTTAGCAAAGACCGCTGCAGCTACCCATATCGTCCAACCCAACAAAGTTGAAAGTCACCTCTCCATTATTGACATCGTTGGTGCCAGGAAAGCCCAAGGGCACACTTCCACAAACGGTGCAGCCATGGTTTGCGAGATCGCGGACAACTCGAGCAATATCAGTACCCATGGCACCGCTAGTCTTCTGTACAAAGGCGCAGACACCAGACGGCTGATCACAGGCAATATGCTCTCCTGCTGCATACCATCGATTGTCATCAATCCCATAGTCGATAATGTCCACCATGTCTGGTAGCGGTTCGTCGTTGGCCCCGGGATTGCCCAACACACCGGAGCAGTAGGCGCTGCCTTCGCAGTTGATACCTAGAGCGGAAACTCCCGCTGTAGAGGCGATTATAGTAATGGCAAGTTTGAACAACATCTTAGTTGTAAAGATTTGTCTGGTTTGACTTCAAAAAAGATTTAGATTCTGTGCTGTGGCAAGAGAAACAAGGCGGAATACATTCCAGCTATACGTACAAGGAAGGTTAAATAGTTGGCGTATTGAATCTTGTAAAGCTCGTTGGTTGGATACTTGGTGTGTTTTACAATTTCATCTAGATGAGAGGAGTATAACCTCTATTTATACTTCACGACTGCTCTCCATGCGTCTATGAAACCGAAACTCTATCAGCAACGTGTGTAGATGGCACTTGGGCTGCATCGTGTAGGGGACGCAGTGTGAAGATGGAGAATCATCTTGTTGTCGCTCTATAATCTCACTGCCCAAGTTTCATGCCGTCAGCGTGCACCGTAGATCATTTGCTACACTTGAGACCAAGCCTGATGAATGGTAGAGGTCAGTTGCCAAAGGCGCAAGGATCGCCTAGTTGAATACGATGTAGCTTACGTAGATGGGGAGACTCTTACAACTATATTTAAATCTAGCTTGCATTTAAGCGTGTAACTAATAAGAGTAAAATTATGCCTATATGGCGATCTTAGCGTCCGTTGGTTTTCGCAGGTGGCTGAGTGTAGAAGCATTCATTCGCCCAAGAGTCTTCATCATCAAAACAGGTGGCCCCCAAAACTCAGGGTCAAATACCTAAAAGAAGGGTGAATGATAATGCAGAACTCCGAGATCATTGTGAAGCATGCTTTGGGTTTAGCTCATATAAATTATCATATTTTTCGAGTCAGGTCGCTTTATACCTTTATGTACTCCAGTTGACAATTTTCCAGATTGCCATCAAATATTACTGCAAGCAATTCTGTCTCTATTCACTATTTGAGAGTATCGGAGACATTACACAATAAAGTCTATCTAGTTGTTCAGTATTTGATATCGCTTCTCAATCAATGGATTTGCCTCTACTGAAAAGAAAAAAGCAATCCGAAGAATTTGGTTTGTTAATATTCTGGGTGGAGTTCACCGGACTTGGACTACAGCTCGGAGTTGGCAGCATTCTCCGGCCGGAAGTCGTATCGCTCTAGTTTCTTTTTCAGGCCATAGAAGATCCCACCGTTTGAGGCTTAGCATCTAGTCAATGTGAGCTGTCAAACCTATTTTTGTCTTCTCAAAAAGAATACTACAAAAGGTAGATCGTGATGCATACCTCGCCTATTGAAGGCGGCCTGGTACCATACTAAACCTTGATTGAGCGAAATATTAAGCCCGATCGTTAATTATTTCTAATTTGAGCTGTGAAGAGAGGCTGGGCAAACTAATTTACGCAGAACCAGTGCTATAGAAAATTGCGATCTATCTCCATGAAGCACGAGTCAATATGTGTAAGCAAAGTATGTCAAAATTATTCATATCCCTAGTCATATCAAATCGATCAAAGTTTTGATCAAATCAAATAATCATAAGATCATTCATCCAACAAGATACAGCTACTCTCATAAATCTGAATCTGAATCCAAGTCATCGCTGTCGAGGTCCAAATCCGTGTCACTAGAAGCATCATTTTCCGGGACTGCTGCAAGATTATCGGCAACCTCACCTCCCGCCGTAGTTTCCGGCTCCTCGTACGTTCTTGAACCATCTGCCAAATTAGAGCTGTTTCCCACTCCGACAGGATTTGCTATAGAGTCCCTACGTTGCGGTGATGCTATCTGTTGATAGAGAGGGCCTATCTCTTCAAAGGCATGCCCCATGTCATGGATATCCTCACGGCGGCCGAAGCACTTGAAGCACAACGAGACTTGACCAGCACATTTCCGGCATTCCCAAGAAATGCCTAGAATATCCTGTGTCGGTTGTTAGCATCTCAGACTCTGTACATAAAATAAGCACCACTTGCCGTAAAGCAGCTCTCACACTTGATCAGCTTTCGATCTCCAAGCTTGTTCGGGTGAAGTGAGTCATTCCATTCCACTTCATCGCCATTCTCGTTAATCCTCGTACCATCCTTTGGAGCGAGATGCTCATTCCACGAAGAGTCCCTGTCCGCGAAACGAGCCAGTTTCAACGCCGACCACGTATCCTCCGACTTGAAATCTTGAACTCGACCTCGACCTCGAACCCATAAATCAGCACCCCTTTGACGCAGCTGAACCACGTTGTCAAGGACGCCCGTTCGAGCAGCCCACAGCAGCGGTGTCCAATTGTCGTCATCTGCCGCGTCGACGTTGATGTCCTTGAACCGGCCTAGCAGATATTCAAGGTTGTCTTGATGACGTACTGAGGCCGCAAAATGGATCGGCAGGCGCCCAAGCTTGTCTCGTACGTTTGCATCTACGCCTGCTTCAACAAGGGCACAGAGGCCGTCTTTCCATTCCGAAGCTGCTGCTGCATGTATCGCACGACGCCCTTGATCGTCCGCTACATCAAGCCTTGCCTTGCGCCGGATGAGAAACTTGAGTGCCTTCAGCCCAGCACTGCCGGGCCCACGTGCCATATGAGCGGCTCGAATGATGGGGTATTTGAATCGACCGCCTGGTTGGTCAAGCATAACCTTGACTTCATCGACCAGGTACCGCACCATCTGGCTACATGCCGCCTCATCATCTATATGGAGTGCCGTATAAAGAAGCGACCTGCCATGTTCCGGCTCTATGGCATTGGGATCCGCGCCCTCTTGTATAAGCAGTCTGACGAGGCTCAAAGAACCTTGTAAGCAAGCTAGATGCAGGATGCTGCCCGTACGAGTCGCTCCGCACTCGATGAGGTACTTGGCCGCAGCCTCGTTACTCCTTTGGACGGCGAAAGCTAAAGGAGTATATCCATCCTGATTCTTACTGTCCACGGGCACTCCAGCTTTAACCAAAAGCTGTAGCACAGATACGAGCGTCTTCTTTTCGATCTTGTGCAATAGCGTATTTCCTTTCTTGTCCACTTTTCGCGCTGCTGATGCCCCGTAGGGTCCAGATAGAAGTATCTCAAGGCATCGCGCAGCTTTCTCGAATTCTCCTCCGCGCATGAGTATATCAGAGGCGTTGATGTCATTTTTTGTATGAAAGTGAGGGTCCGCACCGGCCTTTAACAAGAGCTCAACGCACTCGGGCTCATGGCTCTGGCAGGCGATCAACAAAGGCGTGAGACCAAGTTCATTCTGAATGATGTGCCCTGCAGCCACACTCTCTGAGAAGATTTCAGCGTCGCCGTATACGAGATCCAGATTGGGCCTAGGATCGGCCTCTAGCAAAACTTTCATCGTCTTTGGGTAGCCCCATCGCGCAGCCATGTGAAGAACACTTCCATAGACACATTGATAATCAGGATCCAGACCTTTTTGGAGCAGCTCAGGAATTAGGTCCGGAGTATTGTAGGCGGCGCTCAGGAGACTCCATCCCAATTCAGTCTTCCAACTCAGGTCGGCATCTCTCTTCAACAGTAATCTTGCAACCTCGACCTTGTCTGCAAAGATGGCCCAAAATAGAGGCGATTTCCTGGTCCCATCCATGCTTACCTCGTTGACGTCGGCCCCTTTCCCAAGAAGCAAGCTCACTATTTCCACACCGCCATTCTGGGCCGCCGCTGTCAAGGGCGCTTCATAGCGATTAATGGAAGCTCCATGTTCTATCAGTAGAGAAACAAGTTGGACATTGCCCGACTTAATAGCCTCAATCAGTAGCTCTTCAGATCTCGGAGTAGTGTCTGGTGGGATTGGGACATTCTCAAGCAGCATGCGAGTAATATAAGTGTGACTGCTCGAACCAGTACTGGGCAGCACATCTCCTTGGATCGTGACAGTGTGAGCATTTTGACGAGCAACACTTGCATCCAACAGCAGGCGAGCGCATTCCAGGAAGCCATACCTCGCCGCCGTAAGCAAGGGCAGTCGTCTATATATACCCATGTCCTCTGCATCACCCTGTTGGTCGTTCTCAAACCCCGCATTGGCCGATAAGAGTCGTCTCAGTGCTTCGTATCTGCTAAAAACAGTGGCTTTGTACACTGGTCCTTCACCACGGTTGTTTTTGGTGTGGACGTTACCACCTCCTTGGAGAATAATGTCGACCATGTGCGGCTCTCCCATCACTACAGCCTGCATTAGTGCATCGTCGCCGTCGTCATCGATTGCTGAGAGGTCAATCTTGGCGTCGGAATGTATCAGAGACTCCACTGTAGAGGTATGATTCCCCCATACCGCTAGTGCTACTGCAGATGCACCCCAGAAAGGGCCAGGCTCATTCATGTTGTGCCCAGCTTTGATGAGAGCCGCGAGGATGTTGTCTAATCCAGCAACAGCGGCTTGATGCAAGATGTGTTCTGGCCACTGGAAGCTACTGAGATCTGGTATATGCTGAATCAGAATGTCTGCTGTGCCATCTTTCCCGTAAGCTGCGGCCCAAAACAAGGCGTTTCTGAGCTCGTCTTCATCTACAGGAAGTTGGTCAAGTAGTCGCTGAACGATAGCTTTCTTTCCCACTCTCGATGCCTCCGTGATGGCATACCAGCAGTCCTTGGAAAATCCAGGCAGGTTTTTATGAGACTCTACATCTTCATGAATTAGATCCTCGAGACCTAGCATAGCGAATACCGGTAATGAAGAGACGTAGCTTCTGTTGATCCGAGTGAGTGGGTTGGAGAAGAAAAAGAACGGCACCTCCCAGGCGGCTCGAGCTGCCCGGTCAGAGAACAGATCACGAACTAAACTGCTAGGTCTGAATATGCCACTGGCGTTATAGTGCTGAGGCCAAAACCGTATCGCGTATTCAGCCATGCTGTCTCGCTGGTGGGCAATGACCTTGGCATCAAGCAAGGTGGCCCATGGACCTCCGTCGAGACTTCCAGGGAAGAGTGTTGCCAGCTTCTCCTGTGCGCCTTTCAACTTGAAGTACCGTAAGCACGCTGTAGCAATCTCGCCATTGACTTTTTCTCTTTCAACTTCGTCTTGTCGTACCGGCCCGTCAATGCAAACATTGTAGAACGATGGGTGGCTGAACTTGATGTCGCGGTTCAAGATGATGAAAATTCCGCCAAATACTTGCTCAATGTTGAGTATGAGATCTGTAGGATCAATATCATTGAGTAGTGGTTCCTTTTCAACTGTTGATTCTTCAGACAGTTGTTGCTGTACAGTAAGCGCTTCGCTTAACGATTCTGCAGTCCATGGTTCTGCTGCATATTTGATCCATTTATATATATTTATGGCCCTTGCCTGATCTTCAGTGCCCAACGAAGAAATTATGACACGCACTGTATTATCTACGGTGACAGGTGAGAGCTGCCTAAGAAGCTCAGCGATCTCGGATTTTGAGGCTCCACGACGATAATTACCAAGCCATCTTAAAATGACAAAGCCCAGAAACGGCGTATCGCTGCATTGTTCAAGGAGGGTCTCGAGCAGTAACTGGACAATTTCATACACGGGACGTCTTGCTATGAGATTAATTAGACCTGACCGAAATTCATTGGCCAACATGTTCCTGATGGTCGGCCGAACGAGAGCTGGGCATTCCTGCAGATTAATGCGCCTATCGTCGGGCAATGATTCAATCGCCAAATCATCTTTTCTCGAAGTAGACAGGATAAAGCTAGGTGTAATCTCACCATGACCCTGACGACTCAAGATGCCCTGTGAAAACCACTTGCGCTCCTCTTCAGGGCACTGGTCAAAGCAGCTGATGAAGAACGTGAGCTCTTGTATATCCTGAGATGGCAACATTTCTCCGTATAAATGCCAGATTCTCTCCAATGAACAGGATTTGGTGACTCTGAAGACATTTTCCCACTCGCCGAGCCAATTATGTGGGGTTAAGAAGCGCCAGGACAAAATATTGATAAAGTATAACAGCATAGATGAAATGCTGTTGTATCTGGAATCCAACCTATCAAACTCAAAGTAGACGACGCTCCTACTAGGTATTCGATACCCAGCACTCGTAGCGTTTGAGTCATCATAGCCAACATAAAGATGCTGAGAGATTTCACGAATATCAATTTGGGGGCTTCCATCTCCATGCAAATGGATGACCTTGGGGCGGTTGTCTGTCTTTCTGAGCTCTAAAAAAGACCTTTGCTTCATGATCCAGCTTATTATGGCATGCTTCGGCACCATTGTGTCATATGGCGTATCGAATTGCCGCGTCGGAGGAGCCAGCGATAGGAGGCTTGCTTGTAGCGGAAGAAGCTGGTAATTAATCTTGATGGCTAATGCATTGGATTCATGCTGTTAGAAAAGTAATTGCCATTTTTGCTTTTAAAATGTCAAACAGCGCAAAAAGAGAGACTCACGGCAGCCACCCATGTTAAACATCTTAAAGATGCGGCTAACCCAGCTTTCGTCCGGTCCATCTCCGCTGACCATATGTAAATGATCCAGTTTTCCCAGACCGTATCTGCCTACTGATTCAAAGGAGTGCCCCACGGCGTACGTGAGGCTCGAGAAGGCAGTATCTGCTGCAGGTGCACCCAGAGCATCGTGATCATTCTTAGTGACTGTAGCATAGGGAGTCTTGCCATCAAACAGTTGGTGATTCCTGGTGTCGTGAATGTTCTGAGCGAAGACGTTGAAAATAGTAGCCCGATCGAACAATTTGGTGCTCAGAAATTTTTGATTAGCTCTCTCTACCTGATTAGCAAGCCTTTTGACCTTTCTCACTAGCTGAGTCCTGATGGCAGATCCTTGAAGCATAATTAGTGCGAGAACTTGGTCTTCAAGGTCCTCCATAGATTGGAATCGATGAGGAGTGCCGAGGAACACCTAATAAGATCATCAATACCATGACGCACTCATACAAAAAGGATACAAACCCCTTAAACTCACAATGGATGTAGTCTGAACTGCTATTTTCCCAAACTTATCAGGACGGGCCAAAGCCATAGAAAGAGCCTAAAGCGTTTAGTAGACGCCACCTTGGGTGATAGACCGGCTAATCATTACCTCTTTCACGATTGTGCCGCCGAGATCGTGACAGACCCAGATTATAGGACGATCCTTCTCAGTCTATCAATCCTCTTTTTAGAATCGCGTACTTTACGACTTTTGTAATACTGTAAACCTACCTCTTCGAGTTCCCCACGAATCTTTGCATACGAAGTCATAAGCCGCTCAGCATGCAGTCGAAGTCCATCTATTTCGTATAACTCGGAATCCCCATGGATTTCATATGAATAATCGATTTGCCTGGTTGAAAGATCCTGAAAAAGTTTGGTCTTTACCCACCACGAGCCTTCTCCGTCAATCCAAGCAGTCCTATAATCGTCGCATATGCCATGAACGGTGACAACACTATTGTCTTACAGTAAGCTTTTTGATCTTTTGATAGGGGGTAGGGTTTTGAGCCTACTCATAATCATCATAGTTAGAACCTGACCAACCCAAGTTTCGAACAATACTCAGTCCTAGTTTTCGCTGATCCAAATCGGTCTGTGGCTCTGTCGATTCATCAAATATTTGATCTGTCGTGGTCTTTACACTCAATGTATCCATGTTGTCGTCTTGATCTTTATTGCTCGGCCTCTCAAACTCGGCCTCCAACTCTTGAGGCACCTCTCCAATGGAGAGCACCAAGTTTGCCTCCATAATTGGAGCCGGAATTTCGCTGTGGCTAGGTTCCTCTCCTACTTTTTCTTTCATCGTTGAATGATTCAATAAGCCTCTACCGTGATCTCTTTCCCTTGTACTGCGAGAGTCTAGGGAGAGATTGGAGCCTAGTAGGCGGAATATAGCGGGGTGTTGCAGCTTGAGGCACATTTCTCCCCTCACACGTATTCTTGCATATATTTATTTGGCAGGACCAGTCCGAATTACCAGAATATCCACAGTGTACACGTATCAATAATGTGGTGACAGAAGCCTTATCCGACATATCCAAATGTCTAAATGTAGCCCATCTTAGGCAGTTGTAACGCTAATATTTGGTCTAATACCGAATACATTTTTATTCTACTGTTGCTTCTTCATGTCAAACTTGAGCAAAGAAAACGCACATACACAGTACAATAGCTCTAGTTCAGTGTCTTTTCCCCGCGCGTAATGACAGTCCTAAAGGTCACATCGCCGACCTCGTCAAGATCCACGCTCCCCAGCCTGTCGTCTCCATAAGATACACTCTTGTTTGGGCGCGTCCCCTCATCATGACAATCTGGTTGAAAAACAATCGGGTCATCTTTAGGTATTTTCTTAAAGAGGCTCTCTGCAGCCGTCTTCATATCTGTCTTGCACGCGAATGCCACTCGGCAAGTAAATATCTTTTCCTCCAGCCTCGAGACAAGAACAGCGACTTTCAGAGATGTCGGGATACCTTTGGGTTGTGATTTGTTTTCTGAGAGGATCCATTTGGCGATGCGGTTCGGGGGCCTGTTGTTGACGATACGTTTCCCGCCGCTCAATGTGATGGCGTCCCAGGTTTGCCTATCAATCACTTTTTCCCATTTGCCGCTTAAACTGACGCTAGCCAATTGATTGATGGCGATGCTGGCGTCGCCTCCCGTAGTGAGACTCTCATGCTGCGTTGTAGGCATCAAGCTATATGTGCCGTCAAATGAGATCCGTTCAACTTCGACATCATCGCCACCGTCCGAGTCTTCTGCTTCGAACAGAAGCTCAATGGAGGCCTCAGAAATGCGACGTCTATTATTAGGTTGAAAGAACCACTGTAGAACAACCAAGGTCGCGTACCGATCGCTGTCGGCGGACATGGCCCCATGGATCACCTTTTCAAGCCTGCATGTAATGTCGATGGCGCCCGTCCGCTGAATGACCTCAGCGCGATGATACTGGTCTGAAGCAATGTTGAAGACGTGAAAGCCGCTTCCTTCTTCGCCTCCAGCCTCATACATATCCAGCCGAATGGTTCCAACCACATCTTCATAGTCAGGCATGCAATCTTGTTCCATCATAAGCAAGTAGAGCCAACGGCAGTCTCGAGGAGACAATTCACTCGATAGAACAGGCGTTAATGGGACAAGAGAAAAACCAAGAAATCAAAGGCCCAGCCGACTCACAAGATGTATAATGTAAGAACTCGAATGTATGCCTTAATGGCAATTTAATTGAGACTCTGTCCTGTACCCCGCTTGTCTGGGGTTTGAAGATGGAGGGCTCAGCCTCCAGAGGGGGCTCTCTTAACAGCAGCAATATTTTCTGAGCTCCATAATGAGGCATAAGTGGCAAGATTTCTGGTCCATCTTCAAATGCGCCAATAATTCTTCAGCTAAGAAGTTACGAAGTCTTATTGATTTAGTGTTTGCACGTAGATTGAGAAAGGCCTCGATGTCTCAAGGCAGCTTACTGCCCAGAAGTTAGCGAGGAAACTGGGACAAGCATTCATGTAAATGCGGCACTTCGTATACACTTGCGCGAATATCTCGACACCTTGATGAATCACACGGCTTATCAACGTCCACATGTACACTGTGCACTGTGTGCCTTGGCAACTCCTTCAGGGTATGGTAGGATTGAAGAGATTGTTGCTAGATGTCCAGTCATTGGTCGCCTTCCGAACTCGCCCCCTCATTTTATTATGATACCAGGTGACACACATTTGATCTGATAAATTCCTTTTTCACACTCGTTATGTAGGATCTCCTAACAATTCCTAACTTGGCGGAGCAGAGAGAATTTGACTCGCTAGTTGCAACATTCCAATACCTAAGATCAAGCATGATGGATTCGGACAGTGATACAGACGAGTCGAGCAACTATGAGAATGAATACGAACAGGACGCAGGCGATTATGTCCACAGCAAAGACAACAAAAGTTTCGAAGAACAATATAAGGCGGCAGTCAAGGCAATCAAAACAACAATATACGACAGAGAGATCGATGTCGATAAGTTTCTTATCGAACACGGCGCCGTCGCTGGCCAGTCCTCTGTCCTTGCCTCAGAAAATTTATTACACGCCATAGTGGATATGATCAAACGCGACGACATGAAGTCTGAAAATATGGAATGCCTTGTTCGGCGACTAGTTGAGGATTACCCAAATCTTCTGGTACATCAAAACAACGACGGGTACAACCCAATACATATGGCAGTTAGAGACTTCACGCATCAACTGGCTGAATACATGATCTCTGCCTGCATCGGTAGTAAGACGCCATCTGCTAAGAAAAGCCTTGATAGAGCATTCCTACAGACCGCGCAAGGCGATAGAACATGTCTACATGCTGCCTTCTTAGGAAAATTGAATCTCAGAACGGCCAGAATGCTGCTAGAGAATGCCAACGACAATGCGTTGGCAGCCCAAGACGATAATAAGAATACGCCAATGCACTATGCAGCATCGTTCAAGCAATGTACTGCTGCTGGTGCTGAAATCATGGCCCTGTTTATCGCCCGGGATCTGGATGCTACACGGCAGAAAACATCATCCGAGACAACTTTTCTCGATTTAGCAAATGCTGAAGGGCGTTCCGTCTATGAGGAGCTTCAGTTCTCAAAAAAACTGAGATTGATCGATATCGGGCAAAGAAAAAGGAGCGTAATTCGTATCAGATGCCGGATCATCCAACCAGCGCTGCTCGGCCTGCAGGTAACATGCCACCGAAAGATCCCAAGGAAGACGGCAAATTGCAAACCGGCATGAGAGATGCTGCATCATCGATAGTCTTTAGAGGCAAAGAGGCAAAGATGGACGATCGCGAAAAAGAGCGTCAGAGAAAGAAGGCAGAGGAGGTCACCAGGTTAAGAGCGGAGGCAGAAGAAGCGCTCGAACGCAAGAGCCGTGTTGGCCATATGAGAGGCCAAGAAACTACTGGCCGCGATGCCAGTAGAAGTTCTCAATCTCGGACTAACGACACAGAGAACCAGAGTCTTGCAGTGCCTGCTCCGTCGAATGTTAGAAGGAGTCCGACTAAGCCGATGGAGTCGTCGGCCAATACGTCAATCAAAAGAAAAGACACGGGTCGATTGGACGTCAAGTCAGAGCAAGTTAACCTGGCCATTGAAGCTCCTCGTAACGCCAACAAGCCCAATATTACTGCTGATAGGAGTGCGAAAAGAAGAATTTGCAAGGAAATACTCCTAAAATTGAAGCTACACTACATGAGAACTAGGAGCTCCGAGATGGTACTTTCTTTCCTCTACGGAGCAAATATGAATGGTGAGTTGGGGCACACGAAAGACTGATACATATGCATAAGAATTAACTAGGATGAACCTAGATGTCCAAATCAGCTTTGATTACGATCGTTTGCCGGCCAAGGTTGTATGGAACGAGTTTGTGAAGCAGTTCGGCCAAGACAACGAATCCGGCTTAAAATTTGATAGAGTATTGCAGTATGTGACGTTTCCCCGAGTCGAGGTGACCGTCAAGGGTCGTCTTACGGACCTTGAGAGTGAAGCAGAAGATAGGCAGCAGGAGTATCTTGGTCGCAAAGACATGGTGTACTTTTTTAACTGGCTTTATAAGAAGGGGGTCCGCCACATTATCAGAGTATCTGTCAATGACTCTGGTGACCTGGGAGAAAAGGTTCATACAGACCGGTCTATTCAACAATGTCTTGAACGTTTTGTCGTTGAATCCCTTTATTGGCAAAAGACAGACTTGGATCCTGAAACGATCCTGAGAGTGAGTGCAAGGAGCTTGGAGAAGGTGGTACCCACAAACGAAGATCCAAACCATGTGGAGCTTGTTCCGGATAGGCAATTAAGAGAGCTGTGGCTAAGATGGAGTGGGAGTAATGCTGTGCTTCGGGCATGGAGCGAGCCGGAAGGCTTGCCAATGCTGCCTCGATTAGAAAAAGTCCATCTTCTTACCCCAGCGGCCAGCAAGGTATGAAAGCCTCCAGAGAATTGAATCCGGGCTTCAAATTTGAGGTTATTGGCTGATCACAGAGACTAGATGTACGACGATTCCCAGTGGATCAAAAAAAAGTTTGAAAAGTTTGGAGTAAGACTCAACAAGAACTTTAGAGACGCTCGAGACAAGAGGCTCCAATTGGGAGAAGAGGATGCATTCGGAGCAACTGGAGAGGTTAAGGTTTCACTCAAAGCCGTAGATGTTGACGGCGACTCTAAGCTGACAGCTCGAGGCGTCTCTAATTTCACGTCGTCTACTCCTGTCAAGGGTATCAACTCACATCGATGGTTAGGCTCAACGTCCAGATTTGCTGGCAATATGAAGCATTTTTGGGATGCTAGACTAGAGCAATGGAGTAACAGTCCGAACAAGCCAATGCGCCCCGAAAGTAACGTCGAAGGCGACGTAGAAGACGATGTTGTTGTGGCTTTGATCGATGACGGCATCGATAGGTTGGACAATACCCTTTCTGGTCAAGTTCTGGAAGGGAAGAGTTTTGACTACCATGACGGCCAAGTGCGGCCGCCTTTCTCATCGGCGAGAGGCCACGGAACAGTCATGGCCAGCATGATTCTGCGGGTATGCCCTATGGCCAAGATATATCCTATACGACTCAGGACTTACGACACAGACGGAGGCAAAAGCCAGATCGACCGAAAATACGCGGCACAGGTAAGTCTCACTATTGATTCTATATGAAATATTCAATATTATGAACGGTACTGACCTAAGAAACACTTTGACTTCAGGCAATCAAAGCAGCGCTCGCTAAAAAAGCCACTATTATATCCATGTCATGGACGCTGCCGAAATCATCACCCGAGAATGAAACTGAAGATGAGCGTAAGTCTCTCTCTCTAATCAAAATTCATGCTCCGAGATTTGTAGAGTATCATTAACTCTTCTTCTGAACATAGTCCATGAGATTTTAAAAGTAGCCGTCAGACAAAAGGTCCTCATGTTCTGCTCGTCGCCTGATGAAGGGAAATTCACCGAACTCGACTATCCAAGCGGCCCCTGGCGCGACCACTTCTTCCGTATCGGCGCTGCCCGTGCTGATGGCACCGTTTTTGAATGGACTCCCGACGACGGCATTTCCTTTGTCCTCCCCGGCGTCGACGTAGTGAAAGAACAGGCGGGGAGGACCTCGTCCGAGACGCAGTCGCTTGGCGTCACAAGTCGCGTGGCTGACTTCAAGTACGAGACGGGCTCGAGCGTGGCTACAGCTCTGGCTGCTGGCCTGGCCGCCATGATTATATACTGCGTAAAGGCCAGTATCATGGCTATTAGAATCGCCTATCCGAACTCGGAGTCTGTCATAGGCATCGCAATTACAAACGACCATTTGGCGAGGATTTCCAAGCACGATGCCATGAAGCAAGCTTTCTCTACCTTGGGCAAGGTAACGCCCAACAGGTTTATTCAGGTATGGGAAAAGCTGGACGCTATTAGCGGTGTACTGGAGGCGGCACGGTCTAGGGAGCCCACAGAAGAGGAGCAAAGGAAACTCACGCAGTCCTTTGTAAATTTTGGGTCAATGCTCCTCAATGGCAAACAATTAGATGTGAAAGTGGTAGATATATGATGGGATCAGCATGTAGAGGGATAGACAGAACTCTATTTCCTATTCTATAAGCAAGCCCAACTCGATATCAGGTCGATCTAAGGGGTCAAGGAGATGTCCGCTTGACAGATCGGGGAAACCGGCGGGATTATGTGCCAGAGTAGGTGTCATGTTCAACCCGACGCAGAAATTGAGTGGCTTAGACGGATTAGGTCAGGCGGACATCTGCTTCCCTTAAAGGCGGCAATTTGCAGGAAGAATCAATTTCTTAGTGGCGGAAGAATTGAGAGATCCAAGGTGAACCATACCAACATCATTCTACTGATACTGTTTGAGGAGAGCCTCATCACATGTGGGCCAAGTTGACATTTCTTGAATCCAGTGAGCGTTTGGATACCTACGCACGAGTCAAGGCCTAAGGATTCTGGAGGTGACGGATCTGCGGTATTAGATACACGGTTTGTTTCATTGCCAGCATGTTCCTAGCATCCTCTTGGCCAACCCCGTGGCTTAGGCAGGCCATGCATGACAGTACGGCCAGCGGTTCGGTCATTGCAGTATACCCTTGATGGAGTAAGAGGATACTCTCTCGGATGGGCTCTCGGATGGGCGATGCCACTATGCAGCCAGCGGTAGCGTAACAAGGCAGCCAATTCACATATTAAAGTACACAATTACTGAATATATTATGAAATAGAAGTAGCATCAGTCGCATTAGTACCATTATAACATGTAGCATTAATGGCAGCAGCAGCAGCCTACGCAATAGCTGGAGTGCTGAATAACAGAATTTGGGTGCTAAATGGCTTTTCTCTTTCCCGTCCCCTCTTCATCCTCTTCCAAATTTAGAGCCTCCGTCTTCTTCGTCCTGGCTAATGAATCTCACCATCACAGAATGCTAGCATATCTTGATCATAATCATTAGCTCCGGTAGGTGCGTCTAATACGGGTAGAAGAGTCTGGCAATTATTGCATGGTTTGCGATATACCCCTCCTTTATTGGCGTGGAAGTTGTTAAGCGTGGTGCTGTCAAAGTTGATCGCTAGACTCACGGCTGTTGTTCCGCTGGTGTTGTTGCTAAACTTCCTGACATTCATTGCGAATCCACGCACTTGGGATGGATTGGCTGCACCTAGAAGAGCTCGTCCTGGTGTATAACGCGGCCTATATCATTTGGTTACTCAGATTTTGTCTATGAGGCTAGGAGGGGGAGGAGGGGAAAGAGGCGGGGACAAGAAGGGGAGAAGTTATCCAACACCCCAGCTGTACGGCAACAAAGCAGCCAGTCCATATATTCAAATGCACAACCGCTGAATATATATATATAAATAGCGGTAGCAGCAGTAGTAGCAGTAGCAATACTACAGCTGGAGTACTGGATAACAGAATTGGGATACTAGGTAACTTTTCTCCATGAGAAGAGGGGGTCTAGGTTAAAAATAGAGGAAGAGGATAAGGAAGAGGAGGGCGAGGGGAGAGAGGCAAGAGGACCTACATTATACCTGCAATTGGGTATGTCTCTGCACAGCGGCCATACCTTTGAATTGCTGGACCTGCAAATGCAAGGTAATCATTTCCATCGTTAACCCAGGTATATAAATTATCCAACATGCGAAGAACAGGGCTTGTGTTGACGTCCCCATAGAGTTCTTCGAAGAGGTTGTCTTTCAGGGTCATGTAAGTCGGTACCAGTTGTCCAGGGTCGATTTCCCCTAGTATTATATTTGGTTTATTAGATGGATCGGGCCGAAACATCCTTGGGACAAACATGATGTCAAACACATGTCTGTATTCATCCCGTATAGCAGCATTATCGCGGCCATTGCCTAACAGCCACCGACGCCGCACAACGTTCACCAGCGCCGCGTGCAGGGCAGCACTGAACGGTCCCGCGTCCCAGAGTTCATTGCGGGGGAAGGGCACAAGATCAAGATCTTGAGGGTTGGCCAGCTTCCACGCAGCGTTCACTGCTTTTTCAATGATCTCGAACTGAGTCTCTGCGCGATCCTCGGGCACAGTGACCCAGGGGTCCGCAGGTGGGAGGTCTGTATGATCGAGAATAGCATCATTATTTCCAAGAGGGATATTGAGGAGGCTCCTCCAGATAGCCTCGGCAACGGCTAGTTCCAGAACAGGTGGCAGAACATGAGGATCTGGGGGGAGGTCGCGATCAGGTTCGTATGATTGCAAAGCTGGGTCAAGGACCTGCTCTCGTCTCCAGCCATTCATCAGGCGTCTCTTGGCATTATGATCGGCTGTATCGGCTCCATCCACAGCATATGAGAGAGTATATGTGCTGCCGAGGAGGAACCATAATTGATTGCCTATGTCACGGAAGTAGATACAAGAGCTCATGACAGGGGGATCCCCAACGTTATTGACTGGCTGGGGGGTCCCGATCTTGCGAATATACGCCAGATAAAGGCAGCGACTGTAAATTGCTTGCAGCGGCACAAGGTAGTTTTCGTAGGTAGCGCCGTTAGGAGGCATTGCGACGCTGAATATGTAGCCAAGGGCTGCAGGCCCATCGATGATCTTCAAGTCCTGGTTGTTAGGACCCCATGGCACGGTCACGGGATCAGGGTCTCGTGTGCGGGCGTTGTTTCCAAGGTGGCATGAGATATCAACACGTCTATGACAAAGGTTAGTCATATGACTAGCTGTTTAGTTCTCGCTATATCGAGGTTGTGAACAAGATCCTGTTAAAGAATGGAGCTCCTATTCTATTCACAGTACTATATGGTGAGGCATGTAGACTGATACCAGAATGACTCATAAGAGCTAGATCATTTTGATATATCCATCTATCCGTAGATAGGAGCGGAAAAACAAAGGAGTTGAGGGTCGGATGAGGGTGAAGAGAGGAATAATGAAGATAGTATAAGCAATAACCATATTAAAAGGGTAAAGGGGGTAAAGGGGGTAGAAATAGTAGAAATAGTAGAAATAGTAGAAATAGTAGAAATAGTAGAAATAGCAAGAAAGGGGGGGGGTTGAAACTCGTTGAGAGATTGTCTTCGTTGGCTTACCCATTAATAGGAAAAAATGTGTCAAGCAGATCCATGACAGGAATCACACGGTCTCCAGGAATCCCGCAGGCTGCCGTCCTGCCCACTGAACCTGCCTCAACTTCCACGCTACCCTAATTATCAGTATAGGCCTATTATGGTGTGAATGGATAAGGTATACAACACACCGGAGAGCGTTCAGCCACTTGTAGAAATGCTTGACCATGGCTATGAGGCCACCTTCAGCTTTGAAGATGCTGCAGTCAAGGCGGCACGGAGCCGCAAAGACACCAAAGTCATTGTCCCAGACTATGGTTGCCATCTTGTAAAGGAGGGGGGAACAAACAATAAGAGGGGTTTGACGAGACGGATGAGAATAATTTGGCAATGACGGAGGTGCCAATGCCTTGAAAACAGGCCTGATATTCCATCTTATATCAAATTATCTGTCAATTCCTCACCTTTGATCTTCCCTTTCTCTCTGTGCTAACCTTCCTCTTCTCTTAAGCCACCTCTCCCCCCTGGCAAGGATGGCTATGGCTGGGGCGGATAACCACCACGAGCTGACATGTTGTACATCCAATAGGAGGCTTGGGCACTTCAGCCAGCCATAAATCAATATTGGACTCCTCAGCCAGCCATAAACCAATAGCTGTTGCAAATTCGTTGCGGAAGATTTCCTCCTAGGGGGCCGGGGTTCCAGTCGGCCTCGCACTGGATGGTTTGAGGCAGCAGTGAGCTGACTGCTTGCATCACCTGCATTTACAACAAATGCCGTTTAGTGGCCACGGTAGGCGCTTAGAGGCTATTTGGGGCTAAGGCAATCACAGCAGGGTCTCCGAGGATGCCGTACATGTATGTTATTCTATCGATAGGTATGCTGTGTAGTGGCGAATAGCCTGGATCTCTGAGTCCCGTAAAACTATCGGCCCACGTGCATGCATGCACCCCTTCTGCCTCCAGTAGTTAACTTTGCACCGGACGAGGGTAGGAAGGATCTTCAGCTCGGGCAAGTCCTAAGATCAATACTTTACCTAACTTGTGCAGATGAGGGGGCCGGGTAACGCCGGCCCGGGGAAGGGCAGATATCACGTCCCCAACGAGCTCTGGCCTTGAATTCCATACTCTTCTTCTGCTCTATTCCTAGGTCAAAAAATATAATCCCTAAACAGTATTCTCTTTATTCGTCAACCAAAATCCGAAAAGCCCATCTTCGTCTGCTTTTCTTTGCTGTCAAGACCAAAGATGCCGGACACTGATCCCGCCAACCCAGGCCGTGACACTTCGGCCGAGGCCGGCGCTCGAGACAACGCCGGCGAAGGTTCCTCGTCGGCCGGTCCCGTACCTCCGGTGCCCGAGGAGGATCCGATGCGTGTCCCGCGGTACCTGAAGCTCAACCGTGGACTCTTACCGTCGGATTCCTCCTGGTCCAACGACCCAAATCTCATGAACTTGGAGACGTACTTCTCCCGCGACCCAGGTTCGCCTTTCTTTTCTCTCTCCTGCTTTTTGCCCCTTTCTCTTCTTTAATCTTTGCTCTTAAGTACCTATCACTAATACTACATCAGAGGTTCCTAGTCTTGCCGAGAGCTTTAATCTTGACAATCTCATCCCTATCATGGTAAAGGTCGATTACGACCGCGGCGACACCTATCTCCTCACCGTCTATAAGACGAATAACTACTACCTTTGGAACGAAACAGACACCGCCATGTGGGCCTTCAGGAAGCCTAACAAGGAGTCGCTGGAGCTCGAGCATGTGGTTGAATTGGTCCGTACTGAAACCTACGGCGGCAAGGATCTGATTCAACAGTACAGAAGCAGGGAGGGCAGCTGGGGACAAGGCTAGTCCGCCAGACTGGAAATCGGGGGTGCTTCTTCGAGGCGATTACTGGCTTCTCTAGGGCCTTGGGAAGTCTTGAGAGTCTATTGCCAAGACCTTTAGACAATGTGGTAGCTTCCTTTATTCAGTCTTTATTATTTTTATTTGCTTCAATAGCAGCTTTATCATGCCTTGCAGCTGATTTAGGTGACAAAGATTAAAACTATATCAAGGAATGAATCTCACTAGAGTATGGTAATTGCTAAACAGAAGCCTGCACAATCAATCTTGTTCAATCCGAGCGAGTAGCAGTAACATTCGACCCCAAGTCGGCAGGTGCGGATGACCCTGAGACATCAAAGTTTACCGGCGACGTCGCCTCCTCTCCAGGAACCCTCATCCTGATAAGCCCACCTGTATCATTATGGGTTAAGGTGACTTGGTCCGTCCCCAGCGCGCCAAAGTCCACCTTGCACGTCGATTGGCTGTCTTTCAGAGTCGGGCTGGTCAGGTCGTAGGGGTTGAATTGACCCACCACGACGTAGAATATCTTGGACGGCGCGATCTGGTACTCTTGGCCCGGCTCGGGGACGAAGGTGGCATAGGGTCCAATATTCTGGCGCATGGACGAACAGAAGCCAACAACGTACTGGTCTTGTCGCCCCTGGTCAGCATCAGACGCCCGCAGCAACTGCACTTGAGGATATCAGAAGACCAGGGTGGGGGATGGGATGCAGCAGCATTGGAACACGAGTAGGGTCCCTAGTAGGGGAGGAGGAGGAGGATGAGCAACTCACTGTTACTAGCTTCTTTGACCGAGAAGTCTCGACCAGTCAGGATGGAAAAACAACCAGGGGCGCCCGACCGGGTGATTTCCTCCTTGGTAAACGCCGGCGTACCATCAGAACACTCAATCCGGAGCGTTGTTCCGGGGACAGGCCTACCGTGCTCATCTGAGCATCCGAGGTCGACGGGGCGCTGGTCAACGACCTCGATGCCCGTGCCAATGCGCTTCCTGTGCTGGTTCTGGGGTGATGGGTCAGCTTCGACGTCGTAAACGCCGCATGTCGCAAAGAGCTTCTTGGACAGCATGAAGCTGGCCTGGCCCTGGGGGCTGGCGACGCCCCGGACGCTGGTGATGATGCGGGTGACGACGTCGACGGTCGAGACCCCATTGCGCTTGATGACGGGGGCAGCGGCGAAGATGGCGTACGCCTGCTTCCTATTGGACTGATTGTTGATGGAGACAATATACGGCGCCATGGTGCTCTTCGACAAGGTCGAAAGCAGCATGCTAAAAGGGGATTACACTGGTAGACTGGAAGAGCCTCGCTCCGGCGAACTACAGTAGGGGTATCTTGAAGGTGCGAAACAGCAAGCAAGAATCGTGATCAACAAGAAAGACGTCGGAGAGAAACATGGGACTTGAAGTTTAGGTAGCCTACGAAGAGGCTCCGCGTCTATCCGCACAGCCGAATCCCCTGCCCGCGGTAGTGTACATGCAGGGCACGAAACATAGGGCGAATCGGGTTAGTCGGTGGCGCTTAGAGGAGAGAACCGAAGCCGATAATATTGCTATAGTACATCTGTTTGTTTCCCCAGCTTGGCTCTTCCTTGTCCCTCCAAGCCATCGTTCCAAATCCGACCAGCCACGCCTCAGCCCTACCGGCTTACTCTTACCCGAGCCGGTCCAGAGCTCCTAGACCCCTTCTAGACCCTACCTCAGCTCCCGCTAGCCGGGACACTAAGCCTTGTGCGGACGAGCGACAGGCGGGTATACCCGCTAGCGTCCATTAGTTTCCGCTGATCTGGTTCGTGAACGTGAACTGCACGTGTGCACCATCAGGAAGGACCTGCCGTCCCGTCTTGCCGCAACCACCCGCACGCGGCAAAGTCGCATCCCAACCCCCGCAGTCAAAGAGCTGCGCATTGCCTAATTGGGTCCCTTTTACTTCGATACTCAGCCCAGAGGCGCGATTGGGTGGCCCCATCAGAGCAACTATCGAACGCCCCGGCGGCTATTCAGGCCTTCTTTGTCAAGGCCCTGCTCTGGTAACCGCTGCTCTCTCCTCCTCACGGACACGCCGATGCAGGTTCTATGTTCTATCTCTCTGAGGGGAGGGACGTGAGTCTGATGCTCAACGTCCTATTCGACGAAATCATCATCTCGGGGCTTGCTGAAAGAGGGACTATTCGATTCTATCGACCGCCACTTCAGGGGAGGCTGATGCTCAACGTCCTATTCAGCATAGTCATCCCCCGGGGCTGGCTGAAGAGGGACTATTCTATTCTATCGATTGCCACTTCAGGCGGAACAAGCAGAATCCTCACCTCATTAGGCACGGCGCGGTGATTCCAGACCAGGTGAGGGCGCCTAGACTGCTGGATAAGCCACCATCACCACAGCTTCGTGACGGAAACACCGTCTGCAAACACAAGTCTTGGGAGCTTCGTCTCCGAATGCAGTCAGCCTACAGTCTTCTGCGTCTCGCCTTGGTCTAGGCGGCGGTGTAGTGTTTGCTATCAGAGCTCAAGGGGGGTTAGCACCGTGGAAGTCTGCCTCGTTTCCAGGCTGAACTGGGGACAATTTGTCGCTGGTCAGAGGAAACGCCGTCCAGTCTTGCCAATCTCGACGTATATAAGACCATCGTCCTCCCCGATACAACACTGTCGTTTCATCAGCAGCAATCATCAACACAGTCTCGACTTCAAAGCAATCTTCCAGCTTCCAAACTATCCATCCTCACACTCAATTTCTCCAAACATCCACACTCACTACTTCTTCCCCAAACCACTTTCAAGATGCCTAACAAATACAGCATTACCGTCAAGAACCAGTCTGGTAGCCTCCAGCAGTATGCTCTCTTCAATAAAGTCCCCGATGTGATAGGTAGCGTCCAGGAGAAGATCTGGTCCAACGTCTTCGCCCTCGAAAAGGCCGCCAACAAACAGGAGATCCTCTTCGAACTGGTCAACGAGTACAATGCCATTGTCGGCAAGAAGAAGGCCAACGCTAGCGGCAGCGTCACCATTACCGTCACCGGCACTGAGCCCGTTACCCTCGGTCACACCGAGTCCGACGGTCAGCCAGTCCCGGGAACTAGCTTGAGCATGCTTGTCGCCGACGACACTCCTCAGTTTTCCACCAAAGCTCTCCCCAACGGAAGCTTTCCCGGTGCCTTTGAGATCCGCACCGGCAACTTCAGCAACGAGGATGCCAAGAATGGTACGTTTAACCTCCACCTCTACCCTGGCGGGCTTCGTCCCCGGTTGAACCTGCTAACATGAAATGTTCTGCAGCCGGATACATGATTGGTTTGGGTGCCAAGGGTGGCTCCGACGGACCCGCTGCTACCTTCATTCCCGAGGCCAGGACGAACTACCAGATCCAGCCGGTCAACACTTACTATGTTACCATCGGCGACTTCAAGAAGGGACAGCTCATTGACGTCACCAAGATCGGAGTAGTCTGCCCCATTGACTTCACCAAGCTCCGCAGAGATGTTGTCATTATCCACAACGACCACGGTGAGCTCACCGTCCAGAGTGCTTAAGAGCAAAACCCATTAGCCAAGAATTGCGGGGGAAATGTGCAGGTAGCCGAGTGTGATTCTCATTCAATTCTCTCGTTTGTTTGTGTTGTGGAGGACCAGTGGTCGATAGTTGAAGGTGTGCCCATAGTCGGAGGCATCATCCCTAGAGCCTTGGAAACTTTGTGCTTCCTTCGTCAGACAATTTTTATAGCACACTAGAGACTTTTCTTATGACTTTTCTATTGCTCTTGCTTCCCATTGTGACTAGAGATTTGAGCAGCTTATTGCCTCCTGAATTCCCAAATCCGCCAAACTAGCAGCAGTGGGCTACGGGGAAGGCCACATGGTTATGAGCATGAATCATATATAATAGTTGAAGTAGATGCCCACCCTTCCCCCCTTGTGCTACATGTAGTCAAATATTCCTGGTTTCTTCAAAATCTCATTGCCCTACCGGTGAACATGTCTAAGGCGGCTTGCCCCCTGCCGGTGCCATTGCCAGTTAATGGGGGGCTGGTTTGAAAGCCCTTCAGCTCATCAATACAATGCCCAAACAGGCAATCTTCGTCAAGACTATTGAATCCAAGAAGCAGGGGGAGACAGGCCAAGCACCGAGCTAGACTTTCTATTCGTGTATGGCCGGGAGGGGATTGCGTGGTATCCGATGGCTATTTAAGTTTCGGTCATCCCCTCGCCTCCTTTCTCCATAATCTTTATCATTTTTCTCTTCTCGATATCCATAGGTAGCTTATGCTTCTATCTCAACATAACCCGCAAGCAATCCATTGCACGAAATATTCTCATCTTGTCTCATATCGTCTCATATCAACTACCATCTCAACATCTCCTTGCCCTATCTTTCTCCATCGTCAACTCCCTCAAGATGCAACTCAAGTCTTTCGCCCCGTTTGTTAGCCTTGCTTTCTGGTCTGCGATGCCCTCACCCGTTGTTTCAGCCCATGACACGGATGCCGCCGCCGCCAAAGTCAGGCTTGGCCATGAGGGCGGGTCAGCGATGCAGGTACCCCTGGCTACGGTTCCAGGCTGGTGGTTGAAATACTGCTCGCTGCCTGACTGCAACCAAGCGAGCGGCGGCGTTTGCGGCGTACGCACTGGGCAACAGGCCATTGGCTGTCAACAATTCAATATACCAGCCGGCGTCGTTTCCCTCTTATTCACCTCCGATATTCCTGGCCTTAGGGTCCGAGTCTTCACCGGCGACGACTGTACCGGCAACGCAAGAGATTTCTGGCCTGTCAACCCAATCGATTGCCAGGATTTCCACGACTGGCTGCCGTATGGGGCCGAGTCGTTCATGGTATTCTAGACACATATAGGGCTGAGTGGTGGACCTGTTTCTGGGCTTTGAGATCATTCGTGTAGAGGTCCAAAAATAGTCCTGGCGGGGCTTGGTTGACTGGAGACTTTCGGACATGAGACTGCGCACTGTGGATTAAAGATGTCTTCAGATTTTTAGTCTGAGAACTAAATAAATAAAGAATCCATGTTCCAAATAACGAGAATGCTGTCATAAAGAGAAAATTGCCCATGTACTCTACTGCAGGCCAATCTACAGGCAAAAACGATTGACAAATGTATAAGTGGGGAGTCTTGAAATCCAACGTCTCACTTCGAGAGGGGAATAGAAGTCAATGCAACTCAAACTGGATTAAGTCTTAGCCAGCTCAAATGGCTTAGGTAGAGCGAGTTAGAATTGGGTCTCGGCCAAGTTCAAGAGGAGCAAACGCGCCATTTCTAAGATAATATCAGTTGGTGGCGAGCTGAAACTAGGTCTCGACCACGCCCTACCCAATCCTCTTACCTTTTACGCTCATGGCGGCTACAGAGTGATCATCATTGGGCAGCATGGCAGCCGCACAGAGTCCGCAGCCAGCTGATTGACAAGGCCACTCCATGCCAATTTCGATGGCTAGTGCTTCCCCGTGCTTTCTTACCATTAATTGTAATACTATGTACTAGATCTTCACACTAGAGTTGCTCAGTGAACCAAAGGAAAGAGTTGCTAAGCGTTAGACATAGTATAGTTCTGTAAGGATTTAATTCGCTAGCCAGCACTCCACGCTGGCGATACAGCATGCCGCATCAAAGGTATCAAATCTACCTGAATGAGTAGTAGTAGATTATATAGGAATTCCCAAGGTGAAACAACATTGCCACCTCATAGCACACCCCATTATCACACTCATCAAGTAACATAAAATTAACCTCGTCGCGTAAAAGCTCGCAATAGTCTTTCCACGTCTTCATGTCCTTGGTCGGCAGCCCGATATAATGGCGTGTATCCGTAGTGATCTTTCGCTTTGACATCTGCGCCATGCTTAAGGAGCAAATCCACTACAGCAAGATGCCCTCTATCAGCTGCTCTGTGTAAAGCCGTTTGGAGATAGCTGTTCTTGACAAGTAGGTCGGCATTTGCACCGAGAAGAAGCCGGGTGACTACTTCGTCCCCCACCTCTGCGGCGCGGTATAGGGGCGTTGCATTATACCCATCAACCGCATTAACATCGGCGCCTTTCAGTATGAGCAACTTGGCAGTTTCTCCGTCAGCGTTGGTGGATGCCTGATGGAGAGGCGATGAGCCGTCGAGATCTCTCGAATTGATCTCAGCACCCATGTCTAACAGCAATGCCGCCGTATCTGTATGCCCATTTTCAACGGCGTGATGCAGAGCAGTTTGCCCGTTTGAGTCTCTTTCGTGCAGAGACGAGCCTGAACTGATCAAATTAGATGCCACAACCGTGAGACCAAAAGAAGAAGCTAGTGTTAAGCCGGATACTTGTGTCCGTGGCCTAAAATAGGTTCCTTTGACGAGGTTATCTGCATATTCCTTCAACCAAGCGATAAGACGCACTTTGTTTATATCGTTCAGTAATCCAATTGCCTGCTCGTTGATCTCTCTATCGCTAACTTGCCTCAGATGGTTTCCCCAGTGTTGCGCTGCGTAGCCGAGAAGCGGGTTGTTTTGCAACAGCGTTAGAAACGCATCATGGCTCGTCACATTTGTGGCGTCGCAACTGAAGCTGTCGAAATGTAGATACGTCAGACAAGTAGCGGCAATATCCCTATTTGCATGGTCTAAAAGGCGTTGACCGCTGCGTTGGAAGTATTCCTGTGCTGTATAGTGAACAAAACTGATCGTGTCGCTATTATCATTGATCATCACTATGCCAGCGCATACCGACACGAGTAAATCACGGTTCGGGATACCATCATCATCCAAGCAAGTGTCTCCGGGTTCGACCGCCAGAGCGTTTTGCATCTCAATAACAGTAAGAGGCCTAGAGGTATAAAATATCCAGCCAATCACTCTCATTGCCAGCTCTGCGTGGTCATGTGGGTTTTGCAATTTGACCCGATTCATCAGCTCTTCGTATATAGAGTCGAGACCTTCAGGCAGCGTTTCCAAGGCAGTCTTTATTTTTCGACGAGTCGTTTTCTTTACCAGCGTGTCCAAGTATAGTCGAGCCATGAGAAACCTAAAACTGCAGATCAGCATCCAATGGTTCTTGCAATGTCTAAAGCTCAAGTCCAAACCTACATGCCCTTAATTTTCTGGACGATAACCGATACTATCTTATCTCGTAGACTTGGTTCCTCTGCAAGATGTTTCTGCATACTTCGCGTACTTTCAAGACGCTGCAGAAGATAGTTCTTGATGTCGATGAGGCTGGCTTCCACATTGACGCGAGTAGCGCCCTCCAAGGGCTCTTCTAGATCAGGAATCGGTCTAGACATTACAAGCAAACACATCCGATGCTGTAATTTCTTCAACTCTGTCAAAAGTATAAATCGAACGTCATCAGCGTCAGTACATTCATCTAGTGCGTCAATGATGATGAAAACTTTGGAATAGCTAAGAACAACATCTTGAAGAAGCGAGACTATGTCGGGAACGGATGGCCGCGTGTTTTCTTTGATGTGTTGAGCATATAAACTTTTCAGATCTGAAAGAAAGCTTTGTTTGTCGGAAATAAGCTGCTGAAGAATGCTGGCCATCACGTTAACCGGGGTCTGTGTCTCAATGTCTTTGTAGCTGAAGTAGACGTAAGCAATCCCAAGGTCGCTCCCATGACTCAGTTTCCGCAATGCTTCGATTATATAAGACCTGTAGAATGAAGGCTTCTTTTAGATGCTTCATCATTCATTCCAATGGAACGATTACTTACACATTTATCGTCTTTCCGATACCAGCTATAAAAAAACTAATAAGTCAAAACGGTCTCTATCTGATCAAGGAGTATTCTTACGCAAACCAGTGCACCATAGGGTAGTGCCAGTCGAAGTCATCCATGACTTGAATTGTTCGTGTTGCAGCAGTTGCTGAGCGCCATTGTCTTGGCGAACCTTGGTTGAGAGGCTCTCTAGGTGCTTGTTTCGAGAAATTGTTGTAAGAGGTGTCAGCCAGGCGTATATATCCGCCACGATGCTTTCTAATACGGGGGTTCTCAGCTCTGGCCTTGCGAAGTAACAGTGTATTTCTCACGATACCTTCTTTCTCCAATCGAATTGATCGAATATCCGTAGTGACACTCGCGATATCAGTAGCTATGCTCCCGACTGTTTTCGATACACGAGAAGTAAGATGAGAGATGAGATCGAGACGCTGCTGGGTTATAAAAGCCGCATGACTACAAGATACCTTGAGCATGAAATATTCTCTGCGCACAGAATGTAGGTAGTAGCTAGCAGAGCCTTAAATCGAGACTTACACGTTTAGGGCATCAATAGCTAAGCCAAGGTTGCTTTTAAGATCGTGGCAAATCTCTCTCAACTTGGCAAGAGTGCTTTCTTTGAATGGATAAAGTAGCTTCCGCTTCGTATTTTCCAGTCGAGTCCTCAGTGTGCCATCCGTCTGTGTTGAGCGAATCTTGACAAGCTTCTTTTCCAAAGTCTGCAATCCTTGCGTGCAGAGGTTGATACTACTCTCAACCGCGGCGATGATGTTCTGGTCAAAATTACCGTGACGAAGAGTCAAATCGATTGCCAGAAGCGTCTTGGCCACATTCTCCATGGAAGCACACATCTGGCCAATGTCTTGTTCAGAATCTCTAAAGGCATCGTAATATGTCAAAACCCCTTGACATATGCCGATTCCAAATGATATGACGCCGAGAGCCTCAGCCATTTTGTGAGACGATGTTTCGCATGTTGCAGAGAAGAATATCCAGGCTGGGCTGCAGTCTCGATATGACGAAAATAAGGCTGGCAGCATATTGTTATTTACAGGGTGCACGTAAGAGGCCGAACTTGTGTAACACGCACCAATCTGCTGCCCTACCTGTAGCCAAGCTCGGGCTTTCAGCGCCTGCTGTTAGAGCTGTTATACTACTCCGTACACATAGGCTGTTCCATGTTTACTCTGTGCATATCCATGTTATGCGCCCCGTGCACTTTAATCGCGACCAATTGTCATCGTGCACTTAAAAAGACTCCATGAACCAACCACTGTAATAGCGCACATGGTAATTCGTCATTGCCCTGCCTATCTTTAATCCCTTAATCTTTCTCGCCCTTCTCGCTTGGTACCTTTCGTCCAAAGCTGAGTTGGGATGTTCTTGTGTAACTGAGGGGTCATCTAATACATGTACATATTCGCATATAATTTTTCGATCCCTCCAGCAGCGTCCTTTTTCACAAATCGAGCCAATAATGCGCGCGAGCCGCAGCCCGGTATAATTTTTCAGTACCTGGGTAGTCATGAATCTTGGACAACTACAAATTCAATCCTCCAGGCTAGACTAGAGAAAATTCGTCTTCTACTTCAATTTCATCCAAACTCCACACCAAATCTTACAACGCGGCATCAAAATGCCACAGCAACCAGTCCGCATCATTGGAGCAGGCATCGGAGGCTTGACGCTCGGTCGCTGTCTTCTCAAGCACGGGGTCCCAGCGGTGCTTTATGAGCGAATGCCCTCAACCCCCCGCCATAGCTATGGCGTCACGCTTCACGCCTCGTCTTATATGCCACTGCTGGATATTTTAGGCCTGGATGAATTCACCTTCAGGCGTCGTATAGCCGTGGACGCATCGCTAGGCGGGAATGGGCATATTGAGCCAAAATCCATGGTCTATCCTGGGAAGACAAATTCCGTCTCGTTTCGTGCTCATCGCGAGAAGCTAGAGAAATTGCTTCGCGAGGGTCTCGATGTCCAATGGGAGCACCCCTTGGAAAAGGTGGAAGAAGCATCATCGGGGGTTGCCTTATACCTGCAAAATGGACAAAGGATTGAGAGCTCGTGTGTAATTGGGGCTGACGGACCGCACTCAAATACTCGAAAATCCCTCTCTCCTGACACGCCCTTTGGGATCCTCCCATATGTCGCTTTCAATGGCAAGCGACGAGTAAAGCGCGCTCTATTCGACAGCATCTACGCCCCAGCATTCAAGGGTTCAAATGTCTTGGAGATGAAAATAGACGATTTTGTGTTGAATATATCCATCAATGAGCAACAGGTTGATGTGGTAAGCGTGAGTTGGATCTTCTCGCGCCCGGCCAGAGGCCCTACGGATCCTCTTCACAAACCCAATCGCCCAGTGTCAGGAGCAACAGATATTCCGGAGGAGTTTTTCGATGAAGTGGAAAACCTGAGTGGATTAAGTCAGCCATTCAAAGAGGTTTTTGACGCGGAAAAACTGAGGATGGAGCGTGTTTTGCATTGGCTTATGCGTACAGTGCTTGTCAAACAGCAGGAGCTTCACGCACTCGCTAAGAAGGGCGTCTTTTTTATGGGCGATTCTGTGCATGCAGAGCCAATACTAGGAGGAGAGGGCGCAAACAATGCCATCACGGATGGCATCGAGCTTGCAAAATGCATCTCTACCTCTGGCCCAAGTGGCATCCTATCGTGGTACGAAGCCAGGTATCCTGTGTGGGAGAGAGGTATTCGCAATAGCGAAAATGCCATCATTGCGATGCACAATAGCCACAAGGCTTCTCTATAGTGATATTTTAATTGAGACTAGTTTGAAGACAAGGTAGCCGAGGTTTTTATAGAAGCTGGTTCAATATATGAATGCCTCTGCTCCCGTTGATGTATTCTTTTCAGACGATGGAAAACTCCAAACGGCATATCGATCTAAATCAGAGAATTCATATATGCAGAACTAAATCACAGTTTAACAGACAATGTAGCCAATCCTAGTATTCAACACTTGATTAAGAAATAGGTCGAAATACCCATCACTACACCAACTACGCCTATCGCAGCCCCAAACGCTCCCAGGGCAGTATCTAAACTCTTCCAACAAAAACCCGTCAACGCACCATAAATGATGGATTAGATGATGGACAGCATAGTAAACGCTAAGAAAATAAATTTGTCAAACTCCAAGCGAACCCATAATGCATCTCTAGCAATAGTGCCGCGTGCCTCGTCTAAAGCTATAAAACGACGATACGAAGTAACGAAGTCGCATCTAGCTATTCTCACTCTTTTTTCCCAATCTTCTCCGCTCCCAAAGGCGGCATCACACCGTCGTCGCCGCCATGTGCGCTGCTCAGTCGCGGACACACAAAGTGGTCGGTCATTCTATCTTCACAGCTAAGGTGCTCGAATCAATACACGTAGTAAGCGCACTAGAGCCCTCGATGATAATAATGGTTTACACATATGGCTAACACTATCTGGATTTGTTGACGGCATCCCACGATGGGCTGCTCTACTAAGCCCAGATGATCAGGATCGGTTACTCAAAATGGCTTGTTATCTCTGGGGCGTCCCAGCCTTAACAACCTCTCAAGAAGGCGCAGACAGTTTTTCGCGTCCTTTACAATCCTTACAACTCCTTATCAATCGTCTGGTAAGAGCATCCGGACTCTTTGATCATGGGGCCCGGAAATTGAATTAGCTCTTACCAGCTGCAAACCCTGCGACAACAATACTTTTCTAACTGTTTCATAACACTCATACATGTGAGAAAACACTCATTCCTTTGAACCAAGTAGTGTCCATCACCCACGCAAGGAGTACGAGAGAATTTGCATCCCGATTCCTCCAAGTCGCCCGATCCAGAAGCAGAACAGTCCAGTATTTCGGCTCGCATCACAGTTCTCATGACAGTCGCCAAACTCGGCGCTGCCCTGCTCTATTTGCTTCGTAGGTACTCAGGTACTTGACCTGCGTCCATCAGACCAACATCACGACAGTGTCTCGATACGACTTTTCGACCCTCCGCCTACCTATTCTGACTCCAGAAGGCGGGCAAGGTTAGGCTTTGGATCAGGTAATATTTCGAAACTACATCATTCTTGTCAATTACATCGAATGGGCGCCTCTCATCGACCTTGGGAGCTGGAAGACAGACCCTGGGCGGAGAAATTTCAGGATCATACTGCAGCTGTTCAGTCATCCCACGATAATCATCATGTCATGGCCGACTCCCCTGGGTAAGCTCCCAATCACTCTCATCTCCAAATTCATCACTGATTGTTCAAGTACGGTCGACACCGTCATGGAACCCGCGCCAGCGGACAGCTCTCCCGGTGTGTCGTCAACTCCGGCCACCACTGTTATCTCGCCTTGCTCAACCATCACAGCGGGAAATGCCTCGACCAGCACAGGCACATCGACAGATGGAAGGATGCGTTGCGATCATTGTACTGCGACATTTAAATTTGGGACAAGGGGCCGCAAGGGTCAGGAGGACCATCTCCTGCAACACATCAGGCGTAAACATCCCGAGATGGTACCAAATCAACGCGGAGAAATATACAAGTGCCGCTACAACTGCGGCCTAAAGTCTATCTATAAACGGAGTATTAAAAAACATGAGGCAAAGCACTGCGCAGTCAAGAAAAAGCATTACACAGTCAAAAACTAAGACCCATTTCAAGCAAAGGCATGGCAATACAAAAACAGGAACAGAAATAGGAGCACTCTGAGCTGGAAGTTGGCACCGATGCGTATTCTCGAGAGGCTCAAAGGGCATTATAGTTGAATTACGTTGAATGGGTGGACATTGGGAATGGCGACAACGGCTGTTTGGCTTTTGTTTTTCTCAAGCGTTGCAATAGCAGGTATATTTCTCTTCTTAAGAGTCATAGATAGACTCTTATTATTTTTCGTATATTATAGCCAAGTAGGCGGGATACCACTCGCCCTGGCAGTATGGCAAACCGCATATCAAGCATTATTTTCTTGCGTCGGTTTGTCTATTGATAAACGTGGGTTTGTTGTTTTCGTTTGTTGCTCGCAAGGTTGCTGCAAAGATGTAGGTATATATTAGACTATAAGAGATATCAGCCAGTTCTGGTAGCATTATACTTTTGGATATTACCATATCATCGTCTTATTAATCAAAATATTGTAATGATTCAAACTGTCCGTAAAGCTTAAATATGATTCGTATTGGATAGCTATGAATAGTAAAAGAGTTCAAATTGTACAGACTCATTAACAACTGTCTTTCGTAATTTGTCATTTAAACCGTTTGTTTTTTTTCCCCTTCTTTTTCTCTCCTAATGCTTTCGTAATAATTGATGAGGGAGTGATGAAGCTACCTCGCTTTTAGTTGCAAGGGTCAACTTTCCAGAATGTTGATACATGGTCCCAATCCAGCCACTGGCAATCATAAACAATCGGACCTGCTGCAGACATCTTACAAGTTACACAAGCCAGCTCATGGCTTAATAATAGCGAATGGACCTGGGAGCACCATCACCCCAGAGTCCAATCACTGACAGCACAAAGCCAGCGGCAGCAAGGCCAGTCCTGGCAAGGTATGCTCTCGCGGCACCGTCAATGTTGGCTCTGACCTCCTCGCCATTGATATCTTCAAGCTCTGACTCGCTAGGCAAGTCTCCCTCGCTGTGCGAATCACCCAAAACCTCGTAGCTCGCTTCCATCCTGGCCCTGGACGAAGTGGCTTTGCGCGCGCCGGAAGGCTTCGAAGTTGAGGTGGCTGGCTTGGGGAGGTAGCTAGGAGCTACGGCAGACAGCACAGCCAGCAGGGACGTATAGAAGAGGTACGGGTGGCGAGCATAGCGCGGGGACAAGACGAACGACAGGAATAGCGGAGCGGCGGCAAGAGACGAAAGGGCGAGGACTGGAAGACGGAGAGCGGATTGGAGAGAGGTCAAGGCGTGGGCGGCGGAAGACGATGATGGAAGGTTGACAAGGGTCGGGAGAGTGACGGCCGAAACGGTATATGAGACGCCCTGCGACGGTAAAGAGTCAGTCCCAGAATCACACTTGTTGTTGAAGGCCAGAGCCGAGACTGTTTGGTAGCAATGCAATTCATTGGCATTTCGCTGCTGTAGCTCGCTCCGATTGCTTTGGCCTTTGGTTGTTTCTATCGGCGGCTAAGCTGCGATGATGCAGCCGAGTATGCGACTCTGGAGAGAATGAGGGGCAGTCGGCTATTTTTCGTCGTTGCTACCACGACCCTTTCTCCTCAAGACGGCACAACAAACAACGAAAGGAAACATCACAACAATGGAAAACTCACCGTCAACAGGCCGAGGGACACTGTGCCCACAAATTTGAGGACCGAAATCCCCTTTGCCATGGCGATTGATGATGCTATTTCTGTTGCGATGCAAGGCGGGGAGGTTGATGAGAAGAAGCAGAGCTACGGAGCTACGGAGGACTAGCAGGGGAGAGATGGGTTGAATTAAGCTAGAAGCAGGGTCGCAAAAAGAAATAGCCGTTGCCTGCCTGATGGAACGCCGCTCTGCAGATAAGGCAGATAAAGCGCTTTGCTTTCAGCGTCACGTCATGCCTTTGCAGCAAGCAAGCAATGACGGGCTGCGAGTTAGGCAGTTGGTTGATGCTAAGGAAATTATGGGGACTTTGCTTGGGTGGATGACTAAGGAAAGTTGAAAGTGGGGGTTCTGAGCTAAGATCCCCACTTATTGTGAGCGATTCACGTGCTGTGGGAACAGCTTTGCCGTACCACAGCTACAATTTTTCTTTTTTTGCTCCTAAACTAAAACTCTCTCTTGAATATATCGAAAAATCAAGGGAAAAGATTCGCAGTCGCGCTTTTGATGTTGAAGCTTGCTTTCATTGACTGTCTATCTTGTTTCTTTCTCATTTTCTCATTGCTACTCCTTTTATTTTTCATATTAACAGACAGCCAACTGCACAGCTGTAAAACGTACGTTTGTCCTCCTCACTATTCCCTCCACGCAGCCATCACGCATACACGCAAAAAGAAAAATACAATTCCTTCTCCTTACATGATGAACTACATCACCCATTTTTTTCTTATAGGAAGAGCCGTCTGAGACTACCTCCGGTCAGCGGATACGAGCGACCCTTCTGGGAAGCTTGGGGATGCTGTTCCTTTAGTCGCTTCCAGCAAGGCAATCGTGGGTACCAATGCTCAATTTGCATCGTCATATGCGCAATTGGGTGTTCCGCGATGGTCTCGCTGGCGGCGATGGGGGTCGTTGTGCTTATACCTGGGTATCTGAAAAATAGTTGAAGAGATGTTGTTTTTAGAGCAGTTCTATCGTCACGTTCATTTTTCGTACGAATGCTAATCAGCTCTCATTAGGTAAACGATATTTGATCAGTCGACAATGCCAAGACGGTACTCGAACGAATTATCCGTGTAACATATGTAGTCATCAATTCGTGGCTTTAGAATCTTCCTGCATCCGCGCAGATAGCTAGCTCCTAAGAAAAAAATTGAATTCTGTAATTTTAAATACCATGCTTTCCTCTTTGAACACTCCTTCCCTCCAAGTCATGCCACTGTTCAGCTCCCGTGCCCTTTGATCGCGCCTCTTAGAAATCACTGTCATCGCTGTCCAAGATTGCAGGCCTTCCGCGTCGCGCCCTCTTAGCTGGTGCAGACGCTTCGTCCAATCGACTCTTGGAAGGGCCAACAAGCAGATCAAACTCGGGAACGTCTTCGCTCTCTTGTGTTGCTGTAAATTGAGTTGGTACAAAATAGGGCTTGCTCGCTTCTGCTCGTGATGTCCGTTCTTTCGGCCGTATAGGCGATGTCGCCTCAGAATCCAGCATGCTGGAAGTCGCCTGGTCATCTCCCACAACGAAATCTAGCAGATCAGCCCCGTCGTCCGAGTCACTCTCATCCAGCAGATCGCTGTCTCTTTCACAGTCGTCTCCTTCTTCATCACTGCCAATGGCAGCTTTCCGTGAGTATTTGCCTTTAGACTTTGCATTCAGCCTTTTCCGTCTTTTTGCCTCACTTAGTCGAGGCGGCAACCCAGGCTCCTCTTCTTCGGCATCTATATCAAGATCAGAGTCAAACAGCTCTTCATCTTCCGAATTCAATTCAGGTAGGGTGGCGGGCCGAGAAGTCTTTTTAACTAACGCCTTTTTGGTTGATGGCTGAGCTTTTGACTGAGCTTTTGACTGAGCTTTTGGTTTTGGTTGAGCTTTTAGCTGAGCTTTCGGGGCTGTGATCCTTCTCCTCTTCTGCTGAACCTCACTTCCTGGAGCGCTGTCATCCGAATCAACTTCGATCACTGGTCGCTTTTTTCCGTCTGGTGCACTCTGAACATCACTCGCATCCGTCTCGCCATTATCAGAATACACAAAAGGCTTTACTGGGATCTCAAGGTAGTCGCTTATATCCTCATCGCGACACGGCCTCACGAGGCTATCGGGATCTGCACCCATCTTGCGTAACATTTTGATACAGCGTTTTGTGCGAGTCCCATGCGCAACCAAGGCAATTGGCCGCGGCTCTCTTTGTAATGTCGGATGAGCAGTGTAGTCCGGCAACTTAGTTTCTCCAACCACACTGAGGTTGAATGGCAGATTCCGGTAGATTCGATCGAGCTCATAACGCTCGTCTTCACCAAGCACAACGCGCTCCAATTCGGGAACTGCAGCGACATCATCTAGCTCGGAAGTCCGTTCCGGCTTCGAGCTTGATCTAGACACAGGCTGCTTTGTCTTTGGCGTGACCCGCATAAAGTCGCTGACTTTTTGAAAACCAGTCTGAACACCATCTGGCATGTGGAATTTTTTGGGCGGCTTCTTCTTTCCCTTGGGCACTTGTCTCTTCTTGGGTTCTGGTAATGACGTGTTCTGGGTGTTTTCAATCGGAATCTCCACATGTCGCATGTCCACCTCTGGGCGTATATCCCGGGGAACAATTCTCGTAGAGAGATCAAACCGAAAGTTGAATCGGCTTCCTTCGCAAATGAGCTGTTGCATCTTCTCATAATTGTCCTTTGACTTTGCAAACTGTTCCTCCTCTTTGCCTCTCATTAGGAGCAATGTGATGTTGCCTGCGCGCTTTCGTCCTGTTCTGCCCATTCGCTGCAGCATTCGAATAGGCGATGCTGAAGAGTCGTAACATACGATGAGATCAACTTGGCCAATGTCCAAACCTTCCTCTCCAATCGACGTGGCGACTAAAACGTTGTAGGCGCCGGTCTTGAATTTCTCAATGGTATCTATTTGCTGTTTTTGCTTCATGCCTTCGCCGCGCTTTCCATCAGCCTGCCCAACAAAGACAGTAGCTTTGATGAGAGGCCGGTGGGTATTAAACATGCGAACGATTTCTTCGGCAGAATCACGATACTCGCTGAACACAATGACTCGTGTTGCCTCTCCATTGTCCATGAAATGGTTCAACACGCAATCAGCCAGAGCGGTCAACTTTGGATGTCCTACAAAGCCATCCGTCTTGAGCCATCCAGAAATCTTGTCCATCATTTCTTGAAAGCTAGTGCTGTCCAAGATCTGGCGCCTGTACTTGGATCCCTTCTCACCCTTCCCTTCTTGTTCGCTGCGGAAGTCGACCATGTTGTCGTAAAAAGGTCGGATACCATGATATTGCAGTAATTTGATCGAATGAGCAAGACTCGTCAACACGCTGAATATTGCCCGCATCATGAACTGAATGCCTTGATTGGCACGATGTCCACGCGTAGCAAACCACTCCCTCTGCGCCTGTATCAAGCCATAAGTCGTGAGAGCCATTGGATTCCGTCCATACCATATATTTTGGGCGCTGAGCTTCTCCGTCAGTGGCTTGAGAGCCTCAGTAAAGAGCTCTCCAATAAGGTTTATCTCATCCGAAGGCTCCAGAACTATTTGGTCGATATTTCTCTGATGCACATACTGCCGAATATCCAGAGATTCTTCGGTTCTGATTTCGCAGTGCGAGATCCCCAGATTATCAATCACCTCTTGGACCGTTTCAACCTTTGATCCAGGTGTGGCCGTCAGAGCCAACACTCGAAAACTGTTGGAAAATCGACGAATAAGTCTGGTGGCCTTGGCATACGCATATTCTCCCACGGCGCGATGTGCTTCGTCAATGACTATAAGGCCAATGCTCTTGGGGTCTGCATATCCATGCGAAAGATCGTTAAGAAGCGTTTGAGGTGTCATGAAGAAGACTCGTCTTTTTTCCCACTCATCACTCCGCAGTGCAGGAGGGATATCGCCAGTAAGAAGCGTCGTCTCCGATCGGGGAATTCCCGCAATGTTGTAACAAGCGTCAATCTGTTGAGTTACAAGCGGTTTCGTTGGCGCCACAAAGACGATTTTTGCCGTTTTCGTCCAACGATAAAAGTTCAACATGACTGTAGCAGCAATAAACGTCTTTCCTAGACCTGTTGGCAAGGCTACCAATGTGTTGTTGAACAGGCTGTTTCTGACAATGCTGTACTGGTAGTCGCGAGTTGGTCCTAGATTTGTCGGATACACCCAAGTTTTCATCGCCTCTCTGTCAAGCTGATGCGGACTGGGTTGTTCAGGCGGCAGATCAGCACGATAGACCCTAGCAGTTGTAGTTTGAGATGCACGGGGAGCATCATCAGTTGCTGCATGGCCACCCCATAATGTAGTCTGTCTAAAAGTCCCTGAATTCGTCCGACTGAAGCCAGAGCGTGCATTTACTGCCGGCCTTGCAGGGGGCTGCGCGTTCTTTCTGGGAGGTTCCGGTGAAGAGAAAGCGTCTGAAGGTAAATCAAGAAGCTCCTGGGCCACGCTCTGATCATTGGTCAATCCATGGATACGATTCGTATTCACTGCATTCGACGTAGATGTGGATGTGATTTGCCCTCCATTAGATGAAGATAATTGATCAAAGGCAGCAAGCATATCCTCATCGGCGATATCGTCATCGAATTCATCGGAATCCATGGCTGGCAAAGGCCATGTAATATGGTCTCCGAATGTCAAACAACGCTCAGTCTCATAATTTTGAAAGAATCTTCAGAGCATATATGAATTCCTTGGTCTTGAGCTCGTTTGTTGTATTGCTAATGCTGAATCGCGTAAAGTACTCTGTAGATCTTGCTTCGATTCTTCAAGCCTGCGTCGCCAATGTGACGCGCCAAACGGTCACCAAGACGCGAAAAAGGTACCCTGTCACGTGGTTTTAATGGCCGGGCCTTGCTATCCGGCGGCTCAGAATATCGACATGTAATAAAATCTGCATATCAATTTTATTCTTTGAGCGATTGTGGAGAAAGGGAATACGGTGAAAGAGATCATCTATCAAAAATAGCATATTTTTCTCAAAGAAAACAAATTTCATTTGCTTCTTTATGCTCCTTTTGTTCGCTTCCATACCAGCTCAGCTGCAGCAAACAAGGCTTTGGACCAGAATGCAAGGCAGTGGAAATCGCACTAGTCTACAATGGGCAATAGTGCACGCCTAGGCAGGAAAAATCCGGCTGGCAGCCTAGGCCAGTAGCTAAAGTCAAATCCGCATGGAGACGCCGCCGCCATATTTCTTCTCTCGCAAACCTCAAAGCGAAACTTGTTGGCTTCGTTTCTTCAACAGCGCACGGCCGCTCCCAAACAGCGTCTCATAAAACGAAGCCCCGGCTCTTTCTATCAGCCGCCAGCTTTTCTCTCCTTCTCTAGACATCCACACGTTCCCCCCGAGCCAGCTACCACGATCGCAGCCGACACAGCCTCGATAGACCGTCTAGAACTTGTTGCGCTCCTGCGCTCTTGCGCTCTTGCGCCCGGCCAGCGTGGCTTTTCGCTGAACCAGAGCGACGACAATCATTCGAAAAATTCTCGACTCCTTCGCCAAACTCACTCCTTATCCGTGTTTGCGCAAAGATCCTAGAATATCAAGCCTCTGAGCTCGATCCGATACAAGTATCATCAGCCTCGCCGCGCGGATTCAATACCCTTCTTTTTCCATCAAATCAACACCAAAACCCCACACTACAGCACCTTGCCACTCGCTACCATGGCTCCCCGCGGGAAGAACCAACCAACTCGAGAAGGCCGAAATCCTCTGGGATCAAAGTCGAGCTCCAGGGGTGGCATTCAGAAGAGGAGAGGCCCAACCAAGACCGACAACGATGGAGATCTTGACATGGACGCGCCTTCCAAGCGACTGAACAGAGGTTCTACAAATGAAACAAGAGGTAGAGGTCGGCCTTCAGGAAGAGGTCCTCAGCCGTCGCGAGGAGCTGCCAAGGTAGCTCAGATTGTCATGAAGCAACTGGGTAGCGGCAACCCCTCGGACCTGTCGGCTCGGGTTTCAAGACCAACCAGATCAAGAGGAGGCCATATTGAAGGACTTACCTGGCTGAGGGTCCGCGGCCTTAAACAAAGCAAAGCCGCGTCTAACCCGGATGGGGGTCTCTCTGACCTGCTTAGCTTCATGGAGAGGAAAGCCTCTTCCTTTTCAACCGGACGAAGACGACACCTGACGATCAGAAAAGTAAGTTCATCATTGACGAGAAAGCAGGGGTGCCAACATCAAACGACGTCTCAGCTGCTCGAATGGCGACTGGAAGACAAATATCTCCGGGGAGATTCTTCGCGTCAAATTTTATTTCGCCCCAGCGCTCAAGGTTGAAATCCTCTCTCTTTTATTAGCTGCTAACCCGCCACAGTCACATAGAGCTGGAGATTACGTATTCGTTGGAGCGAGCAAGGAGGATGCGGAAGAATTTCTCAAGCTCAACACATTTACTTTTGCTGGTACTCAGCTGGAGGTGGTGGAATCTAACGAGGATTTTGCGCCTCCCAACAAGGCGACGGAATCGCCAGAGACTATAGAGCTACGCTCAAAGCTGCAGGGCATTCTCAGTCAGCGCTATATTGGTGACAACAAACTACTAAAGCTCGATGCTCTTGCATCTGATGCTGAGCTAGTAACCCTGGGCATGTTTGAGAATCGAGAACGAGCCCTGAAGACCTTCAAAGGCCTCATGGCTATCTGCGATGGTCTTTTCAAGACCGCGCAGGAAAAGAAAGACGCTATTGAAAGCATCAGTCTTGCCAATAACAGCATTGACGATGTTATTCAAGTCGAGTCGGTGGCATCATCCTTCCCACACCTAAAGAACCTTGACATGAGTGGCAATCAAATTACCAACATGGAGGGACTCAAGCGATGGAAGGGGACATTCAAAGAGCTCGAGACCTTGTATACAACTGGGAACCCAATTGAGGCGACGGATGCTAATTTCCAAGCGACTTTGTTGGAATGGTTCCCCAAACTACGAATCATCAATGGGATTGAGCTTCGTACTGCACAGCAGATTGCCGAGCAGGAGGCCGCCCGTCAACCAAAACCGATCCCACAGAGCGGCCCTGATTTCCGGGATGTCAACGGCATTGGCGAGCAATTCCTACTCGATTTTTTCGCAGCCTACGACAGCAATCGCGAGGCACTTACGTCCAGACTATACGACGCTGGTAGTCAATTTTCCCTGGCCGTTGACGCCATCTCTGTCAGAGACCCGAACGCACCGCCTCCCTTACCTTGGGCAGCCTACATCAAATCATCTCGCAACCTCCAAAAAATCACAACCTTGCATGCTAGATCACAGCGACTCGTCAAGGGCGCAAACGCTATCTACAACTTGTGGAAAGACCTTCCTATGACTAAGCATCCCAATATGAAGGATGAGCTGAGCAAATACATCATGGACTGCCATCCATTGCCGGGCTTGGCGGACCCCACAGGCCAAAGCCAGCTGGGCGTGGACGGCTTGATCATTGCCGTTCATGGCGAATTCGAGGAATACGACCAGAAATCAGGACTGAGTGGCAAGCGAAGCTTCTCTCGCACCTTTGTGCTGGCGCCGGGCATATCCGGTTCTGCCCAGATTCGAGTCGTCAGCGACATGCTATCCTTGCGAGCATTCAGCCCCCTCCCGAACGTCTTCGTGGCACCATCATCGGCTCCCACGGATACAGCAAATCAACATCAAGCAATGATCGCCGAGCTGTCAAAGCAAACAGGCATGGTTCCACAATACTCAGAGATGTGTCTGTCACAGGTCGAATGGGACTTTGGCAAAGCTTTAGTCATCTTCAATGAGAAGAAGGTATGTTACAATTCATCATTTAGAACCTAGCGCTACTCGAAACTAGGAGCTCACATGTTTTTTTTTCTACAGTCACAACTACCACCAGAAGCGTTTGCCACAGCCACCTAGCAGAAAGGCTATCTCACGTCGTTCTGAATTAGGCAATTCCCACACTGAGCGGTTAGATAGAATGGATTGGCAGGAGAAATGGAGCTTGTATGGAGCTTTCTGTCGTTTTATGGGTCGGATATTTATAGAGATTGGTACTGTTGGAGGTAGGGGGCTTCGTTTATTACGTGTACGTGTACGGAAAAAGGGAGAGAGAGATGACCGAGCAAGGTCCATAATAGTTGCGGGCAAGACAAAAGAACAAAAAAATGCCTGCATGGGGAGGAGTGTTGGGAACAATTAGATACAAAAAAAAAATGAGTAAAGCCCATTTTGTGTTGTTTAAAAAAAAAACATGGCTGCTGCGTGACTGATTATAATAATTCTATGTTGCAACTTTTTGTGTTTAGGGAATAACATTTGATACTAGTGGCATTGCCTACCTCTACTCAAGTACCTACTTGTACGTATATGTAGGTAAAGTGTTGGAATACAAACTTGGTGGCAGTGTTGGAATTCGCCCTTTCCAACCAATCAATCAGAGCGGAAAGAAGAAATTCACAGCTTGAAACCTCCTATCCGCGCGGGTTTAAGATGAAGCCAAGGGAGCGTTACGCAAGTCGCTGGGTACAGCGGCTCAATGCCAAGACCACGCGCAATATCATCAAACAGGGGGGTTGTCAAGATGCCTTTTTGTTCCTGTTTGTGCGGCCGCTTTAAACAGCGATGAGGTTACTTGTAGACACGAGGTGTTTTATGCGATGTACAGGTAGCTCTGCCTTCAATTGAGCTCTGGTGGTTTGAGCAGGAATAGCAATAGTAACGGATGATTGGTTATACGAGCACCCAGATGTAATTGTGAGCTGCCTGTTCCGAGCAGCCCCTACATTATCGCACATGCTTGTATACGAACCGAGCCTATACAGTATGATAAAGAACTGGAGCTGGGCAAATACGAGCAATTGTTTACGCCTAAGTGAGCACGAGCCTGTTGCTGTTTGAGCGTCTACACCAGCAGTTCTAGCGGGCAATCAGTCGGTCTTGAGAACGACATGTAATTCCTACCCTATACATGTCGATCGACCACCTTTTTTTCTCCCTCTTTTTTCTCCGATCCAGTCTTGTTTTTTTTTTATATAAAACTTTCTTTGTCTTTATTGGTAAATGAGACAATAAATCACTTGTGTTCGTGATTCAATGCTGGATGAGAGGCTGGTCGTTTCATCACTCTTCATGAGCTGCATCGCGGCTCAACTTACACCCAGCCATTCCAAGGGAGCAGTATGTTATGTTATTTAGGTTCCCAAGTAGACACTAAGAAAACTCCCTCGTTCTGACTCGGATCTGCGTACAGTGCTCCCTGCTTTGTTAGTCACTCTTGTGCAGTAGTGGTGCTGTTGCTACTGCTTCTAGTCCAGATCTTCATGCTGTGTATCGCACCGATCGCAGATATCCGAAGGATATTCGACATGAATGATTGAATCGGTCTGCGTATCCAAAGAAGGTATAGGTCACTAATCACCAACTCGACTTGGACCTCCCACTACTCCATTATTAGCACTTGATCCGTCCAATCCCCAATCGGTCAATCGCTTTTGTTTCTCTGCAGCAAACGTGATTGACGCGCAGTCCAGCCCAGGCCAGGACTCAAATCCGATGCAGGCGGAGTGATGGTCGTAGATGGCCGGGTCCAGTTAGGGGAGTCGAACAATGCAGAGCCAGGGTGCATCCCTGGTAGCGCGTTTCACAGTGATTGAAGCCGGTGGGGATGAGGGACTGGACTGCAAGCGATCAGCAGGGGTCTGAGAGTCCCCAGCCAGGACCCGATGTCATGCCTCTGCGGTGTTGACAGAAGATGGGCCAAAGACTCCGTGCTGTAGTACTGTATGATGCCCTTGCTTGGTCAAAGGCAGCACTGCAATCTCAGCGGCGCAGCATCAGGGCGATGTGGAGGTGATGGCGATGCCCAGTCCGTCGGCAGTCCGGCTACACCTGAGGCAGAGCTCACGGGCGCGAACTTGGTGCTAGGTGACAGTCAGTGCGGTCGTTTGGGGCAGAGGGGCCTTTCTCGTGTGAGGATAGCTACAGTAGCTCGTGCCCATCGTGGGTTGTGTTTAGTTTGTGGCTCGCGACTTGAGCGAGTTGTTGGCTGATACAGCGCTTGTACCAGTACAGATGGCATTATTCAAGCGTACGGGACGCCCAAACCATCGTTGCGGGCCAATTCGAGCGAATGCTACTCTGGGCCAGGGCTGGTAATTACTTCAGGCGCCAGCATTTACCCGTATTCAATGCCCTCCCAAGCCCTCGTATGAGCCGTTGCCGGCATCTGCGTCTCTGGTAGAGTGCGGATACGGAGGTGCCAGGGTTGCCGCCAATTTGGGGGGAATGGAAATGCGCATTCTTGTAGCAATTGATGCCAAGTATCGCGCTCAAGCGAGGGCTGCCTGGGTGAGATGGAAAAGCCCACAGGTGGGAAAGGGCGCTGCTGCTGATGTCATTGGTGTAGGCTGTGGTTCAGGGTCCATCGAGCCGTGTTGGGCACGAGAGGCAAGATGAACGAGCATACTAAAGAAACCAGAAAGAAAAATAAGAAAATAAAGCTGGTGCTAGCCCGTAAGACGACCAACTGAAATTGCTTATATGGAGGTGCTTATTCTTCCCCTCCTTGACCGAGCCCTCATTCGATGGTCTGCTTCGTGCATGGGATGGAAGCGGAAACGCTTCATACAGCACCTGCTAATAGCCGCTATGCTGGTACGAGGAGAGCACCGCCAGCACTTGCATAGCACTCGCATAGCACTGCTAGCACTAAGCTATTCGTAGCTCTGCAGGCGCCAAGGCACTTGAAGCCGGCGGCGTGATTGGCGGCTACCCCTTTTTCCACCTAAAAAAAAGGTGTCACTTCAGGAACGAATCTTGGCGCAAGGCAGGGGCTTTGCTAGCACGCCCGGGTCCTCTGCAAGTACCCCGGAGCCGAGCAGTACCTGTCATTAATGCCTCGATCCACTGCATTCCAGGTACCATGACGTCCGCTGAAACCTGGGGCCTACCCCGGGGCTGCGCCGATGGAACGCCACCTGCGCCCGCTGATTGGACGACGCGAGCGTGATGCACCGCAAAACACCAGCGATCCCCCCCCGGCTCGGCCTTGTAGCGGTACCTGCGCTCCATGCGCAGCGCCTCCTGCCCATCCTCGTGTCTCAAAGCGGGTTCCGCTGGCCGAGAGCTAGAGCCCAGCAGGGTAGGACGCAGGGCACGGCGCTGGAGGACGGGCAGGGGGGAGGCTCGTTCGTCCGCTGCAGCGTGCGAGGTGCGCCGGCCTGGTACCTGAGCGCCAGCATCGGCCAGGCACGGGCAGTGAGTACCGGTACCTGCGATGCGGCCGGGGTGGTGTCGCGGCGCAGATTCTGTGCAGCCCACGCAGCTTCTCGCTCTGTCGCTCTCTCTAATCCTCCTCCTCCGCCTCCTCGTTTTCGCCTCTCTGTCTTCCCTTTACCTGTGGCTTGGTGGCTTTTTTCCCTTTCCTTCTTTTCGTGCTTGCGTTCGTCTTCGCCTTGACCTGCCTTGCAGACGCCGTAGCAGCAGCTTCGCCGGCCGTTGATTTCCACTTGTTGGCCGAGTTGCACTTTCTCCCTTGCGTCCTTTGCCTGTCTATCGCGCCGCTCTTTTTCGCCTTCTCTTCTCCTTCCGACTCCGAAAAACACCAAGATATTCGTTGCCGATTCTGGAATCTTCGCCGTTGACACGTCTGGGACGGGAGCGTTGAGAAAACGTTGATTTGCCTCTTCACTTGTTGATTCGCCTGGTCCATCTTCCCGACACACGGCCTTGCCTCTTCTCGCTCAACGGAAACCTGCCTGCACGCACCATTTTCGACGACTCGCCACGATTGCGCTTTTAGACCTCTAGATCGAGACTGTCACCACTACCACTATTCGCTCTTTTGAAAAACCAGAAAAAAACGTCTTCTTTACAGAAACTACTCTCGCACGCCTGCTTATTAGATACATTCGTTATTGTTTTCACCGTATTATCATACGTTCTTGTCGCTACTTTTGTAACGACTGCCATTCATTTTTAGCTGTTTACCCGCCGATCGACGCTCACTTTTGGATCACGGGCCCTCTCTATTCACCAATTTTCACACACAACATCTAACAGCAACGACCTGGCAGTGCCCTCGTTGCCAAGCTAACATTCGCCTCTCGGAATTAGAGAAGCTCTACGTTCAGAATCAGTATCACCGCAATGCGCTTATAGGAAACGATTTCTACATCACACCGAAAAAGATCTTGATATCGTCCTAACGCTACCCTTGTGATTCCTCATCGAAGAGCAATGTCCTTACCGAAACCCCCTTCGTCTTTGGACGGTTCGTGCTCTGTCATTTATGACAACACGCTTTATTCATACTCACCTCAAGGATTCTTGTCCCTGTCTCTGGAAAGCGGCGCGGAATGGAAGAAGCTACCTGAGGGAGTGGCAGTGACTGGAGGGGCTTGCGTCGAAACCAACCCCAATGATGCTGCCAATGCCGCCCTCTTCATTGTTGGAGGAACCGCTGCAGGCGACTATAATGGGCTCCAAAAATACACCTTTTCAACAGGCAACTGGACAACCATTACCCCTTCGGTTCCGGTCACGCAGAACCGTTTGCACCACGGAGCCACCTATATCCAGGCCGACGATGTCATCTTGGTTTACGCTGGTAGCCAAGACGGCAGCACTGGTCCCTCCTCACAAACATTCACCATCCAGGCTTCTGAGCCGTACGCAGCTCGTTCGTTTCAATCCAGCGCCACGCCCGCCATTTCCCCCTTCCTTACGAGCTGGACCAACAGTGATGCTGCCATGATGAGCGGCGACGGCGTCGACGGCAACATCTACTGGTTCAATCCTCAAGCCGGCTGGAGATACTCTGGTGCCGGCTTGTCAAAGCCACTCAACACGGCTTCGGGCTCGGTGACTGCTGCGTTGATTTCTGGAGATGATGGATCCAAGAGTCTCTATACTTTTGACTTGTCACAGTCTCCCAACGCCGTCACCCGTACTATTGTACAAGATGCTGCCGGCAACCCCCTCCCCAGCTCAGCTCCTATTGCTGCACGCAGCATCGAGCAGCGCGAGTTGACCTTGGGTAACTGGCCTGACTACAACTCAACATTGGCTCCCACTACCACTCGAACAAATTTCGCCGTGGCCCAGGCACCCGACGGCACTGTAGTCTTTTCTGGTGGAAACGATCAGGTTCCACTTGCTATTTTCAATGCCGACAAGAATGGCTGGGTCGATGCCAAGGCTCTGTTGGATGATCAGCAGATATCCATTCAAGATATTTCTTCATCATCAACAACAACTACGGCGTCCAAGACCAAGACGACCTCTAGCACGCGGCACACGTCGACAACACACTCCACCTCGACCGCGACCACGGATTCCCCTTCGACAACTGGTTCGTTCACCGGTTCGTTCACCGGCACTGCGACGGGAACTGCAGCCGCTGGTGTATCCGACTTGTCTGTCCCTGCCCTCCCAACTGGCAGCGGCAGTGCGAGTGACGACTCTGGTCCTAGCTCCAACGCAATTCTTGGCATCACTCTCGGAACCATTGCTGGATTCCTTGCGCTTCTTGGTCTTATTCTTCTCCTTCTTCGCTGCCGCAGAAGGCAACAGCTCCACCCTGAAACCGGAAAGCCAAAGACGCCTCCTATCAACGAAAAGAACAATGCTGTCTTTGCGCAGAGCACGTTTGCGAAAGGTACTCTTCCCCCACAAGTGGCAAAGCAGTTCCAAGGCCACCAGCACACGGCATCTTCAGAGTCAACCTCTTCAATGGCGATTTTAATGGGCCGCGTGGGCCAGCACAAGCCAAGAAAGCTCAGCAACGATTTCAAGAGCCAGATTAGCAAGCCAATTCTCCAACCACAGCAGGCCCCTATTCTTTCCGTTTCTGACGAGAAGGGCGATCCTTTTGACGATTCAGCCGCCGAGCTTCGACCTCAAGAAGGGCTTGCAGGAGCAGATGATGGCACTCGAAGAAGTTCGGGCTGGAATAAATACTGGTCAGGAGGAAGTGCGCTGAACATTCTCGGATATGGAGCGTCACAGCCACCTGCACAAGCACAAGCACCCGCACCCGCCGCACCCGCACAAGTATCCGCACAAAGAGCCACGGTAGTATCGGACCGAAGCTCTCACTACTCACAGTCTCACTACTCACAAGCACCTACCACACGTAATGCCAGAGCAACGCAGGATTCAGCCACGGTTCCGCCTCTCAACTTTGAAGCCCCTCCTGGGATGAACAGAGTCAATACGGGAAGCCCTGTGGTTTCATCCTACCCGGATATCCCTTGGAAAGAGGGCATGGCGGGAAAGATTGAGCGGCCTGTCTCAGCAGTCTCGGCACTTTCAGCAACGTCGTCGGGCTATTCAAGCGGCATTCCTGAGAGTATCCAAGAGTCGTGGGATCCCACGCATGCCGGAAAGTCCTGGGGTGCCAACCGGGCTCCGAGCAGTGCATATGCTCCCAGCATAGTATCCAGCGCCCAGCCCCAAGGACTGGGCGTAAGCAAGCAGCCTAAGCTTGCCACGGCGTCGACATCGAATGACATGAGCTGGCTCAACCTTGGTGAGAATTCACGGGTGTGAGTCAAACGACATGATCATGGAGCAAAGTCTTTTGAGCGAAATTAATTTTTTTTTGATGAATTGGTCGGCTTATATCCTCGAATCTATTTTGGGCGCGGTATTCTCAGCGGCATGCCGCTTTAATTTTCTCTCACTCTCACTATCTCAATTTTTGTTTTATATTCCTCGCGGCCCGGAGCAGAGCAAACTCGCGTGTTCGTAATAGACATTGTACTGCCGGAAGCGCTGGTTCCTTTGAAGGAATCACTACGCATCGCAATCTCGACCTGAGCTAGCCTGGACGCCTAGATACGTGTTCGTTATCTTGGCCTCACAGCATAGCTTGGCGTCGATATCTCTGTTTGGACATATTGGACTCATACTCTTGTTTTCTTTTCATTTTCTTTTTCATTTTCTTTTCTGTACATTCTAGAAGCAAAGGCCCGGGCTTGGCCGTTTTCCTTGCGTGTCTTGCGATTGATGTTACCACCTCCCTATAAGTAATTCGCTGGATGGAAGTTGGAGCAAGTAGATGTTAGATGTTGGTGCGGATGGGGTAGATGGGGTAGATGTGGATAGAGTTGATGATGGGGGTAGGAGGTGGATGGAAAGAAGGGGGGATTTTGATAGAGCTAGGAGCATGGGTATGGATGTTGAGCTGTAGGTAGCTGTCGAGAGGTGAAGGAAGAGGATGAGTAGGAGAAAATATGACAATCTGTGTGTTGTTCTTAAGTAATGGCTCGATTCTGCATAGTGAATGTGAGTGACTGAATATGCAAGTTATCTGAGTAAATGTAGGCAGGTGACGTTGAGCGATCTTCCAGCGACATCTCTCCTATCGATAAGGCGATCATCACATTGCGCACCTATTCAGCCGGAATGCGGCACGTCAAAAGCATGGCTGCAGCCTTTGCAGAATGAATAAAACGGCCCTGGCCAATGGGATTTGCGAAGCTGGAAATAAGCTTGCAGCTTCAGCTTGCTTCGAGTTTTGCCTATCAGCTTATCAAGCGAGCGAGCGGGGCTTGGCCTGGTTGAGCCAAGCTCAGACATTCTTCTTTAGGAAGTGGGGAGAGTGAAGATGTATTGATTGGCAACATGAAGGGGATCCAATCATATGAAATTTTTAGAACGACTTATTAGAGCGTGCTGTACCGTGCCGTGGCGACTCGAGTTCTTCTTTTCTGTGCCGGGGCCTCATTTCAGAGACTCGTACGAGATAGAGATGGAGATAATCTTTTGTAGGGAATGCATTACGAGGTCGGAGATGGGCTGTCCACTGTGTGGATATCTGTTTCTTTGCTTCTTGTACAAGTAAGTTGTTGGCTTCTTCATGCTTCTGAAATGGCAATATACGGTCTAAAAGGGGAAATATAGAGTAATGCATACTACCCATACAAGTAGAAGAAGCAAGGAATAAGAGAGAAAAAAGACAAGTGATAAATGACTTATGCAGCAGAAACCAACATCGGGCTCTTTTCGTCCATAGCTTTCGTCCCATGGCCACTAGCGCAGGATGCTAGTAGGTGTTATTTGGCACTAACGAGGAATATGGAGAATGCAAGGAACGCTGCTTGTGCTCTTCTGCTTCGTTTTTTTTTTTTTTTTTTTTTTTTTTTACACCGTTCTGCCGCCTGTCACTTTATTATACTTTTGCTTTATTTCTTAGGAGCTTTTCGGTGTTGAAGGTTCGTGGGGGTGGACAGGTTGAAGTGCCGAAATGGAAGGAAAAGAAGGCTCATGTAAAGAGTCTAGAAACCTTGGGTAGTCCTCTGGGTATGCGCTAATTTCTTCCTTCTCTTTGACAAGATGCGGCTATTGATGGCCACGGACGTTGGACTTTGTCCTTGTATAAACTCACTGTACCTGTTTCCCATTGATACTCGTTACTACAATTCAATATCGATACAAATAAATCAGCGCTGGAGCTCTGGCGGGGTTTCAAAGCCCACGTGCGAGGGCGAGAATACGCTCCACGGGGAATTACAGCGAGCGCCGAAGGAGAAAAAGATGCACAGGTGAGGTTTTTGGTCCGCTTCCCACTGTTTTTTTTCTTGGAACCCCCACTTCTAGCGAGCGACCCTGGATTCAAAAAAGAAGAGGGTCTCGAGTGCCCCCCTCGGCTAGGTTTACCGGCCGCTGGCTCCAAATCTGGGAGGATGAGGAATTTAATATGCAACCGGAGCATGATGGAGAGACGGGCGCTCTCAGTTCGCGACAAGCCGGAAAGTGCGCCGCGCGGGTGGGAGGGTACATAGATGAAGGGCTGGATGGTAACCCTTTTTAGATTCCTTGCACTCCGTGCATATGGGCGGTATCTGGTGATCGCGAACAAGCCACCGTCGCCAGGCAGGCTTCGATCTGGAGGGTAGATTCGAGCCAATGGGCGGGCTGGACTTGGCCTGCTGTGTTTGGTGTGTTGTGTTGGGCGAGGGCCATGCCGCCGTATGTAGATGCAGGGGAGGGTCGGGTTTTCTGTCACCTTTTCAATCCATCTTCTTGCTTCTCGGCATCTTGCCTTTTCTCCCCTTGCAACAGCACTAACCGGGTAACGCAGATGATAGTGCCGAGTAAATACCTGGTAAAAGTGGTGGAATGCGGAATAGGAGAGGCCTCGTCTTGATTCATCCAGCCTATATGGATCTGACTCGAGGAGCGACGGCTCCCCCACAGGCCGTAATAGCATACGGCGTAGTCTAGACATTAGCAACGCTGCCAGCTTCGGAGGCCTTCGTGTTCCATGTTTTTTTTTCCCTTTGAGATTATTTTCTCCAGCGCTTACAAGTCAGAACTCGGCCCGTAGGCACATACAGTATAGGTGTTATGGAGTCTCCGTGGAGCATAGCCTGCAGAGGGCAAAGGATTTGGGCTGGGGACCCCATCTTGGAGCTCAACGCTCCTAGAAGGCGACAAGTCTCCTATTAGGAAGAGGGCAGCTGGAACACGGATGGCTTCCCACAGTGCGGTCACAGGCTTCTATATTCTCTTCTCGGACGCTGTAGGATCACGTCTATAGTCCTAGAACCTGCAGCCCGCAGTTGTAGTGCTGTTAGTGCCGTCTCGGCTTGTCCTGCGTCTGCACTATCGTTCCAGTCCTTTTTGGGCGTGACAGCCGACCTAAACCTGGTAGACAATAGGTAGTTGAGGAGCCCTGGAAGAGAAAAAAAGTTGTCGCTGTCCAGTGAATGACAGGGCCATGCGCCGAGCTTCTTTAGCACCTGGCACCGCTGTGGCCGCTAGTCCCCCTAGCACTCGGCCACGCGAGATCCGCTGCTGCGATCCCCCACCTGCTGCCACACTGGCCACATGCACTGGCACCGCTAGCGAACGGCACTACAAGCACCAAGAGACGTGCCGCCGGGCCCTGTTACCTGCCTCTCAGTGGCCTCTTTTTTTTTTTCTCTCCTCAGCCCCGGAGATTGACCCCATCCGGGCCTTTTTCTTCGCTCGCGCTCTTGGCCTTTTTCTTCATCCCTCTTTCGCCCTGTTGCTGCTTCTTCTGGCCATCGACGCTGTCGTGCTTGCGGCCTTGACCATCGCCATATGCTGCTTCAGCGACCGGCTTGCCAACGACTTCTCGACCCCCTTACCGTTGCGTCACTATTCGCCAATTGCTGAGCCCTATCTGCGGTACGGCCTTTGTCCGATTTGCTGCCGCTACTCCCCGACCGAAGCGCTCTTCGCTACCCCGACATTTCTTCAACCAACGGCGGGATCGTCATCTTCTTTCGGATTTCTATTTGCCTTTGCTTTCTCTTCTCCGCCTATTCTCCTTTGGCTTTTTTTTTTTAAGAGACAAAGTCTCGGGAGAGCGGTGTCCGAGAACCGCTACTCGCACTGTGGGCACACTACTGTGAAGGGAAAAAGGTGTGTCGCAACGACGCCTTGGGCTGGGACTCGATCGCCGAATATCTTTTGAATTGGGTCTTTATCGCTACGGACGAGGGTGCGGGTTTTCTTCTTCTTCTTTTTCTTATTCAGAGAGGTCCCCATTTCGGCGCACCTCCAAACACAGAGCCATGATGAGCTCTGCGACGTGGAATACGCAGGACCAGGCCATGGCCGCGGCCTCGGAGGACGACTTCCAGCAGTTTCTCGACATCAGCGGCATGGCCAACATGGGCGACGGAATGCAATTTGATTTCCAGGGTTTCCAGGATGACGGCTCCCACTCCATCATGGCGCAGCCTCGACAGACGGCCGACGCGCTCATGAGCGACACAGATGCCTCCAGCATGATCGCCAGAAGCGACGGCTTGCTACAGAACCACACGCCGGCCATGGCGCCGCTGCCGTCCCACATGATGCCGGCGTCAGCGTCGCACGAGGCGATTTCCAACATCGACGCCCAGATCCAGTATCTCCAACAGCAGAAGTTCCAGCAACAGCAGCGGCAACTTCAGGAGCAGCAGGCCACTTTCTTCGTCAACCAAGGCCATTCTGTGCCTCCGACACCGCAGAGCCTGGAGATGACGCCTGGTAGTGGCCAGTTTTACTCCCAGGCTGAGCAGATGCCGTCAAGAGGTGCCTATGATAGGGGTTACCATCAACGGCTGGCCGAGCAGGATGTGAGTTACCCTTTGTTAATTTTCAATTCTTTCTTCTCTTTTCTCTTTTTCTTGTCCTCTGCCTTTTTTTTTTTTTTTTTTTTTTTGATCTGGTGAGTTGGAACTATTTTCTAACAGGATAATTCTTAGATGGCATTTACACCTCTTGTCTCGCCTGCTGTCACCCCTCTGGATCCCCATTTCAATATGGATGGTGCCTTTACTGTGCCAGGAGCGTACTTTAGTCCCCTCACTTCGCCAGCACTCCATGCTCAGAATGATTCATCATCAAACTACGACCACAACACTCACTCAAACAACTCACCGATAGACATGGACCTCGAGCCCCTCATCGTCCCTGCCGTCAACTTGGACCTCTCAAAAAAGACAAGAAAGACACAGGCCACCAAAGCCAGGAGTAAGCCTGGCGTCAAGAGCTCACCCATTTCGAAACCACTGAGACGAAAGACTGGCCCTAGCCCGGCTATGGTATCCCAGGTGCTGAGCGAAGTTGAAGAGAGGAATCTGCAAATTGAGCACGGGCTACTTCCATTGCCTGCTGCTTCTACTGATGGGTCAGACGAAAATGCATCCGTCTCGCCAGAGAACCTTTCAGAAATGCCTCCTCCCCCGATTCCCGCCAGGCGCTCAATGAGCAAATCGCCCTATATAAGGCCGCAGACGAATATGCAGCCAAATCACGCAACTGCTCTGCTCGAAGAACAGCACCTCCCTCACCCTGCCACGCCAGCTTCGCTGATGAAGCTGCCTGCCTCCAAGACAAAGAAGCTCACAACAAGCCATCAAGAGCCTCAGCTATCCGACAATATCGAATCACTTGAACTTCCTGAATCAATATCGAACCCGACTCTGGCTGGTAGCCTCGCCAACGTCCGAATTGCTTCCCAAACTCCTCGACCTGAGCCGAGCACGGCATCCAAGGGAGTCACGTTTCAGTCTATGCCTTCACCGATTGTGAGAGCAACAGGAACATCGTCAGCAACCCAGAGCCCTGTTCTACTGCCTGGGCCAGCTAGCTCTAGCCAGCGAAAGACACCGCAGCTCTCCGCCCGCAACAGCCGTAAGCGGTCTACGGGTTCGATCCACGCCTCTCCGGCTTTGCTACCCAGGATATCTCCCAATATCAAACCCCTACTTCCCGGCACGCCTGGAATGTCTGTTGAGGACCATGCGTCGCGACTGCTAATGTCAAAATCGAACTATCAAAACATCTTGGAAGGCAACCAAGTCCCCGGTGTATCTTACCCCAGCGAGCTGTCGACAAATCTCACGTCAAAGCGGACATCACACAAAATCGCCGAACAAGGTCGCCGTAACCGAATCAACTCTGCTTTGCAGATCATGGCAAGCCTCCTTCCGGAAGGCAAGAATAAGATAGTTTCGGGTGACGACAGCGAACAAAAGGACGGCAAGCAAGCTCACGCGTCAAACAGCAAAGCCAGCGTCGTGGAAAATGCCATTGTCCATATGAAGACGCTCGAGAAGGAGAATGGGGACTTGAAGCAAGAGCTTCAGGCCTTGAAAGAGCAGCTTGAGAAGCTGACAGGATCAAACGGCGGCAGTGTCGATAAGACGCTGCCAATGATTAATGAGGAGCAATGCGCCGGCGGGGGACCGGATGCCCAAGGAGACATGAAAATGGCCAACGAGGCAGCAGACGAGCCTCAAAAGGCCAGCTGACGTTGACACCAGAGAGCATACATATGTGTGGAGCAGAAGCATTACGAGCTGGAGCGGGAATAAGGTGTTATTAATGGGATACGATCATTATACATGATTTTGCGTCGTGTGGTGTTTCCGGTTGGCAAGGAGTGGAAGAACGGGGAAGAATTATGACATATTTGGGTGGCCTTTTTCACGATTTCTCAGTGTTTGATTCCCCCCTTTCTTACTTTCTTTCTTCTTGGTATGCATTGATGTCAAATGGGGAGACGTGTTTCTTGTTTTCGCTCTTGATTTGGCTTTCTTCTTCTTTTTTTGTTTCTTTATTATCTTATTATATGCATGATAGTGTAATCTAGACTCTGTGGAGAGTAAAATCCTGAATATCACTACGCAACTGAAGGCGTATCATTTCTTCGTCATACAATTTTCATGATGTCTATCGAGAGGTAGTCGACATTGTCGTATCGTTCGTTCTAGGTGGTTGGTACTGCTCAAGTGCCATCGTGGTATGGTATAGGTATATAGCGGTGTTTCACATTGTATTAGGCATGGGGCAGCTGTGGGATATATTTTTACGGAGACTTGATTGCTGCCTTGCTCTCTGCCGCCAAAACGTCGACGTCTAGTTGTTCCATGACCTCCAAGACCAGCTTGAGGCCTTCCATGAACGAGTTGACGGCAACTCGCAGCATGCGATTCGTCGTTGCCTGGTATTCCACCCGCAGCACTTGCGCACTCTCCTCGGGCTCTGTCGACGAAGTCGAGACGATGGAGAAGTGTCTCTGGACGAGGGGCGACAGCTCGGGATCGACTTGGAGGGCCTTGAGGGCCGTGGAGGCGAGTCGGGGCGTGGGCAAGGGAATTTGCAGATGTCTGTGAGGAGCCAAGATTCTGAGTGTTAGAGATTGAGAAGATGCCTATTGGAGAGAGAGAGGGGAAAGTTGGAACTAAAAATATCATCGATTGGCAGGGAAACGAGGGGACATTGTAACTTGCATGCTGCATGGGAACTTGGGATCGGAACTCATTGTGGCGGGACAACCGGCCAGCGGCGGGGGAGTGATTTGATTGAGACCCGAGACAACGGCGCAGTTTTGTTTTTTCTTCTTTGTTTCTGTTTTTCTTTCTTGGTTTTGATATGGGTATTCTTCTTTTTTTTTTCTTTGTTGTGCTGGTGCTTTGATGATTTTGGTTTGACAAAGGACGGGCCTCTGCGCTCTCTCTTTTTTTAAATTATTCTTGCTTCGTCTTCGTTTGTTCCGTCCGGCAGGGTTTTAAGCGATGGCAGCTGAGTGGCTGATGCGCGTCAGGATAACAGACCGGGGGGGCGGTTGCTGTGGATCTGCAGTCGTCGACGGCGTCTGGTATGCGAGGAATGGGAAAATGGAAGCTTTTGCGCCCTGATGATGTGACGATGTGTAGTGCGCGTGGAATGGAAGCATCAGCCACAAAGTCGTGTGGCGCGAGCAGGCGTCGAGGCCCAACTGTGGGCAGAAGACACACACAGCGGCGGGGGTACGTATCTCCGCAGCAGCAACGCAAAGGCTAGCAGAGTGCCAGCAGAACATCAGCTTGGACCATGTTGTGATGTTGCCGTGGCGACGCAGCCGCGACCCGCCATAACAGCGCATGCGCTGGCTCTAGGCGTTGGCGAAACAGGCTTCATAGGGGCTGAAGGCGCCCTGTAAGCATAACATCTGCAGCTAAACACCCCCCCCTGTTACAAAAACACCGTGACGGCCCATACATATCACCAGGTTCCAAGCATCACTTTTTCTCTTGATTCTCTCCTCTCGCTTCCCCTCTCGCTCACGGCTTCTTCCTTTCCTCCTTCCACCCTCTTCCTATCTCCTCCCCTCCCCAAACGAAGGCTTGGCTGTCCAAGTCATAACCCTGTTTGGAAGCTCTCTGGTTGAATAGCATTGACGGGAGAAGAGACGGGAGACTGAGAGAGAGAGAGAGAGAGAGACGGAGAACCGCCAAGGCGTATCCATCGTGCAGTCGCCGCAACCACATACACCCCGGAATATCCGCTATCCCGCGACGAATTAATTCTTCCCTTTGCGACGAGACGAAGAGACTCATCGACGGTGGAGTAATTGTGGCTTCAATTGAGTTTACTTTGGTGGATTTCTTTTTCTGATATCAAAAAATCCCACCGAAGCCAACCCCCCCCTTTTAAAGCTGTCGTTTGTGTTGTTTACATTAACCGGATCACACGACCCTTTTTTTTGGAGCTTCACCGCAGCTTTTTAATCTCCCTTGTTCTTTTTGCTTTGCGCATCTGCACCCGCGTGCGCAATTCGGTATCCCGTTTTGCATTCTCAATCAGCATTTTACAGTTTTGTGGTATATTAGAATTGTTTGTTGAAACACGGATTTGCTGCTGCCCTCTGCGAGAAGCGAGCCTGGAAATATGGCTCCTGCTACCAGACATTCCCAGAACCTGGGCCATGTAGTCGAATACATTCCTGGTATGTGTTTTTGAACGAAGTACCGAGATTTCTTCTCGACGGCGTGCAATTGCAGTCTCTTCGTTTCTGGCGCTGACATTTTGGCTCGATTCACAGACCGACTATATCTCGGCGCCTACGTGCGCACCCCGGATCCAGACACGCCGCTGCCCGGCACCGAGTCGCCCCGGAAACGAGCGTCTCGATATGCCGACGGCGCTGCTCCGGCGCCTCTGGTGACCAACAAAAACCCGCCCTGCTACTTCACCGTCGACGACACTCTGCTGTACAACGCGTTCCACCACGACTTTGGCCCTCTGCACATTGGCCACCTGTACCGGTTTGCCATCAAGTTCCACGATATCCTGGGCGCCAAGGAGAACCGGGATCGGCCCATTGTCTTCTACAGTCTCGCGGACCCGAGAAGTGAGTCTACCGTCTGCACTCGATAGTGGCCCAACTAACGGATTCAAATCATGATAGGCCGCGCAAATGCTGCTTGCATGCTGGCTTGCTACATGGTTCTGATCCAAAACTGGCCGCCTCACCTGGCCTTGGCCCCGATTGCTCAGATCGACCCTCCGTTGATGCCCTTCCGAGACGCCGGCTACAGCCAGGCCGACTACGGAATCAGCGTCCAAGATGTAGTCTACGGCGTTTGGAAGGCCAAGGAGGAAAAGTGCTGCGACTTGGACAACTTTGACTTGGACCAGTACGAGATGTATGAGCGGGTCGAGCACGGCGACTTCAACTGGATCACGCCCAACTTCCTTGCTTTTGCCTCTCCCCAGCACGCGCCGGTGGCCAAGATTACCGAAGGCTCTGAGCTCTATCCGCTGCTACCTAGAGATGTCGCCGCAGTTGAAGATCACCCGCTTCTTCCCCAGCCCTTCAAGAATGTGCTCTCCCACTTTAGCGAACGCAACATTGGCCTGGTCGTCCGCCTCAACTCACATCTTTACTCTCCGTCTTATTTCGAGTCCATGGGAATCCAGCACATTGACATGATTTTCGATGACGGAACCTGCCCACCTCTTTCCATGGTTCGCAAGTTCATTCGCATGGCCCACGAGACCATCACCGTCAAGAAGAGGGGCGTGGCTGTTCACTGCAAGGCCGGTCTGGGCCGTACCGGCTGCCTCATTGGCGCCTATCTGATCTACCGCCACGGTTTCACCGCCAACGAGGTTATTTCTTTCATGCGGTTTATGAGACCTGGCATGGTTGTTGGGCCTCAGCAGCACTGGCTGCATCTGAATCAGGGAACTTTCCGCGAGTGGTGGATCGAGGAGCGCATCGAGCGAAAGCTCAGAAGGGAGTTTGCCGCTGCCGCCGCTGCTGCCGCTGGTGGCCACCAAGTGCCGAGCACACCTATGCGAGCTACCAAGAGTTCGCGAAACCTGCAGGCTACGACACCCTCCAACCGAAGCCCATCCAACCGCACACCACTCAGCGAGGTGGACCACGATCGAAGTAGCAATGTCGGAGTCCATGAGGACTATCTACCAGCGCCAACACCTGGCCAGCCACGAAAGGGAGCACGAGATCGTTACCAGCACTATGGTAGATCGGGCTCTGAGGAGCAGATGCTGGCACAAGCAGCAGAGGCGGCTGCTGCGGCGCCACCGCCTCAACGTCGATCCCAGGGGAACCCAGAGCCGGAGGAAGAGCAGCTGCACCACTTGCGGATGCGAAAGCAACGCAAGGCGGCCCAGACATCCAGCCGAAATACCGAAAAGACGTCAACAAGTCAGAACGCAGGTTATGTGATTGACAATGACGCTTCTTTTGATGCCGAGAATATAGGCACCGTCAAGCCCAAATCTGCGGAAAGGCCCTCCAGCCAGTCTGGCACGCTTGCCAAGGTGCGCGCGAGACGGCAAGCGGCGGATTCACCGCTGCGGTCCAAGGAATCTGCTGGTGTCCGCAAGACGAGTGGCCGCGTGGGTAGCGCCGGGGCAGGCATATCACCGGCGGCATCGTCGACTGCTCGAAGAGTCTCGGGCACGTCCTAGGGGACCGTGACGAGGCGGCGAGCCGGAGCGGCCATTCACCGGGAAATGGCTGAGCACCTTGTAAACTTTTCATCTTAACGATCATGACTTGACGTTTTATTCTATCACGAGCGATTCATGCGTATGCATATACACGGGCGTTTTAGTATTCCAAGGCGCGACGGGCGAGAAGCAGGATGATTGACTTTTATACCACCATTTCACCACCACCACCAATACCACTTGCTACTACAACGCTGGAAGTTGTTGTCTTGAAGTTGCCAGAAGAAAGCTGACGATGAAGAGCTGACGTACACTCAAGAGAGAGAGAGAGAGCGAGGAATGAGGAATGAGGAACGAGAAAGCTACGATGGCGACGGCGCAATGGACGGAAAGGCAAAGGACGGAATCTGGTGTATATTGGTTTTTTTTTTCTACTCTTAACGTTTTTTTTCTCTAGCATGGTACTGGTTATCCCTTTTTTTTTTTTTTTTTTTTTTTTGCGGTTTCATCTAGCTCTTTTTCCCCTTATCTCTTCTTTTTCTCTTTCTTCTTCTCTTCTTGCTCTTCAATACCTTTTGTCCTCTTTTTTTAAGCTACTACAACTGCCGACTTGGACTACTGAGTGTTGGAATTTTCAGGATTTGGGTAATGCAATATTGCTGATGTTGGTTGCTTGTTTGGCTATGGAAACAAAGGGGAGTGGTGGCGGGGGGTTTTTTTTGTTCATATATCAATTTGTTGCATGATATTCAAATCAAACTTTTCTAATTAATTGTCAACTGAGTTTTTGCAAAAAATAAAGGTTCATGATTTTGTGACTTGTTACTATGGATGAAAAATACTATCTGCAAGAGTCATAACATTAGCATTTTCTTTTCCTATACCAATCCCGGCTCTTCTATCTCTTTCTATATGCTGTATATGCCTTTTGCTATCCCGTCATTGCGTATCATGCTATGCTGAATCATTATCATCATCGGTCATTATAAATCGCGTTATACCCGTATGCTCTCCAGCTTGCTCACAACCTCCTCCATCAACTCCCCAGCCTCAATGCTCGTCATGTCCTCATCCACCCGCAGACACATTTCCACAACCTCCTTGTAAACCTTGCCGACCTTGCTGCCCAGCGCGGGAACCAGCACGGCAAGCACGACTTTGTCGCGCCAGCGCTCGGCCGAGTAGTGCGCCTTGTAGTACGCCTGCAGCACCTTCCAGAGCCCAATCTCGAGGAGCACCAGGCCGAAGCTGTAAATGTCAAACGACTTGATGTGCGGGCTGCCGCGCAGGGAGCCCGGGTGGCGGTGCAGATCCTCAATGGACGGGTTCTTGGGCGCCACGGACAGCGCCGTGTCGAGCTCCGGGCGGGAGGCGTCGAAGCCGCTGAGGTACGGGTGCGAAATGTCCGGGACGAGGGCGGCCGAGGCGGTGGGCGAGTTGGCCGAGGTGGAAAAGGCCGAGGGGAAGAAGAGGATGTTGGAGCTGCAGAGCGACTTGTGCAGCCAGTCGAGCGAGTGCAGCGACCAGACGGCCACGGCGAGGGTTCGGGCGAGGTGGACGCGCTCGTCGAGGTCGGGCGTCTTGAGGTCCGGGCTGGAGATGAGCGTCTTGAGCGTCGAGTGCGACGAGGCCGGCGCCGTGTAGACGAGGCCGTAGCGGCTGTTGGCGGCGTCGTCTGTGTAGCCGAGGCAGTCGATGCTGTGCAGGTCCGGGTGGCATTCCGACGCCGAGTGCATCATGCGCGCCAGGTCGTCCATCCGGCGCACATGCGCGACGCGCTCCTCGATGGCTTCGCGGTCGTAGTCGACCCACTCGATGAGGACGTCTCCCGCGGCGGCGTGATGGCCCTGGCACCGGCGCCGAGTGCTGCTGTTGCCCCTTTCGACGACGTGGCTGATGTCGAGCGAGGAGAGGCCGACTTTGAGCGCAAAGGTGGGCTTGAAGGAGGCCTGGGGCTTGCTGTCGAGGTTGATGCGCAGCTTCTTGAGGGTGGCGGAGTTTGTGAGCTGCGGGTAGATGCCCGAGGAGGCGTTCTCGAGGAGCGAGAGCTCGGCGAGGTCACGCTGGGCGCGGTCGAGCAGCTGGTGAGTCCAGGCGCGCTGAAAGGAGGGGACCTGCGAGGGGGGGAAGAGGCGCTCGAGGCCGTCGTTGAAGTCTGGCTGGATGTTAGTGGTGCGTCTTCTTGGCTGGTGGGTTTTGTACGCGCCTTTGAGGTCTTTGAGCAGGTTGCTGAACTTTTCCTTGTCTGTCAGGGGCCATGTCAGTGCATGATATATCATGAGATTCTCCTCGCTCTCACTCGCATACCTCCAATCACCCACTTTGTCCTCAGCCCCAGCTCCCTCCTCCAGCTCCTCTCATTTGTGCCCGCACCCGCACTCGCACTCGTCCTCCTCTTTGACGCTCCATTGGCCCTCTTCTTGTCATCATCGCCATTCCTCTCCGCCTCCTCGTCCACCAGCCCATAGCGGTCCTGCAGCTTCCGAAAGTCCGTCACGGTGCCGTGCAGCTGCTCCAGGATCTGCGTCGCCAGCGCCCTCAGCTGCGGGTTGCGCTCGCTCAGGTGCGCGTCAAACTTGCCCTCGGCGACGCCCCATTCGCGGCCCCAGACGGTCAGGCGCATCTCCTCGATGCGCACCTTGCACAGCATGCGCTGGCTGTCGCCGTCGAGGTTGGCCGCCGTGGTGAAGTAGCCGTAGGCCTTGACGCAGCCGTCGAAGAGCTGGCCGATGAAGCCAATCACGCCAATGGCGGTGCCGAGGGCCTCGGCCATTGGGATGTGTGGACGCTGCTGCTGTAGATGTAATGTGCAGTTTCAGGTAGTGGAGAGAAGACCAGCTGGTGTTTCGGGAATACCTAGTGATTGCGCCTAATCTAACCTGATGAGAAGCGGGTTTCACGAATAAGAAAAAGAAAAAAAAGAAGAAGAAGCAGTGACAGATTGAAAATACAAGCATGAGAGGCTGTTATAGATGGGAAATGAAACCCAGAAATGGCCCACCGATGTGCAGCTTTCGACTCAGCCTCAATTGCATTTGATACCATCTTTCATGCCCGTTCTGCTGCTTACACGCTGTATCCACCTAATTTGACCTAACAGGTAGGTACATGGTATTCTGACCGCCCGCCCTATACGCGTGCAAGTAGGTATTTTTCAAGACAACAAAACATTCTCATGACAAATGTCTCGTCCAATTTTGAACATGATTAGTGAACAGGACATGTTGAATCTGTAGATGCTAAACACATAACTCGAGATACAGGCCATGGCTGGCATTGTTGTGGAGTAAAAGCCTGTGTCAGCTACCGAGGTAGAGGTATAGAATCAGTATCCTTGCTAACTTGGTGTAATGTATCCACGACACGATGGCACCAGGAAACCTCGATATACCGCCATTGAAGATCATAATTGGCGTCGGTAGATTCAATATCTTTCATTTCGCTTAATCATATATTGAGAAAAAAAAATGGGAAGAAAATGAGGCCTAGGGACGATTACGGCGGTTGACTGGATGGAGATGGGTAGATATAAGCATTTATAGTGGGAATTTTGTATGAAAAGTGCCATCTAGCTATTAAATGGCTTTGAAACTGGCCGATGGAAGCAGCAATAGGTACGGTACACACATGTACGTTGCGTATTACTAATGCTAATGACGACCGATGCTACTGATACATCTGTTTGGGGTAATAGATGGCGAGCTGCTACATTCGCTGGGCGAGTTACTTTCCAGCGTCTGAGAAGTAATATCTATATAAACTGATTCACACAGAGTCACATCCAAAATAGTATGCTTGCAAGTGAAATATCAAAGTACCGACCTGTATATTCCTATTCGAGTTTTGGTTTTTATTTAATTTATCAAGTAAACCACCAATTCAGAGAACATCAATACATGTAGTTACCGTTTCTGTATCATGCCGGCATCGCTAACCCCGGTGCTTCTTCTGATATCCCCGACAAACTTGGCATCGGATCCTACCACACTAGGCGACATTATTGCCTTTTCCGGCGAATGATGCTACGCCCGGATCGCGGAATCTTCAAGCCAAACTGTATGTGGCGTCACTCATATCCCAACCACAATGGAGTATTATTCATACACGGATTGCATCTTTCCCGCCGTCCTAATATATATAGATGCCTAAACAACAGACTTTTCAGTCTTTGACGACGCCGAACCTGCTGATGAGCCACCTACCAGTCTTTATCCAATCACTTCATCATGAGTCGGCCGCATATCCATTTACATCCCCGGTGCGGAGCCTGTGGTGATGAGTTCAGCCTTGGGCAGAAAATCGTTGCGGGTACTGATATATCTTTCCAATCTCATATTACCGAGCTGTTGCTAATACTTTAGCGTAGCCATCCGCAAGAGTCGCTATATTCAAGTCCTCAATGCGTATACGTTCCCAGACCACGGTGCCAGTGGCGATGCAGCACCGGATATCGAGTGGCACTTCTGCCGCAAGCCCTCATGTTCTCAGTGCAACGATGGAGCGCTAGACGCTGCAACGATTCACGTCGATTGCTACAACTTATTTCGGCAGCGTTGCAAAGCCGGCGATTCGCTACATCGACTGTGGTTGACGGCGGCGTGGAGAAGACCGTGGCACGGGGCTCCGTCCTTTCGATTGGCCCCTGATGCTGATGCAAACAAGACGATGCAGCTTGCTGCGACAGCCTGTTCCCTACCCCAGTTGACGGCCTTGCCAGCAGAGATATTGCATATAATAGGGGCATATGCTCAGCCGAGCCCTCTTAGCCGCTATCGTACTGTTATTGACCTGGCTGCTGATTGGGACGGCCGGGCCCTGAGCTGGCAGCCATCACTACCACTCTCCAGAATCGTCTCGTGGGAACGAGATAGCAATGCCGTGGTGGAATCCGGCCTTGTTCCAATTGTCAGGATTACGATTGACTGCTGGGGGCTGAAACGAATCGAGAAGCTGGCAGACTATCCCCCATTTGCCGGTAAACGATCGGACACGGAAGTTTACATCGTACAGAGGCAGGATCGGTTAGGAGACGTGATGGTACAATTTCAAGTACGTGGCACCATCGACCAACACATATTCACATATTCACCACATCTACAGCATTGTTGACTAAACGCAATAGTCGGGCCTGGCTCGTTTGCAAGTACCAAAGGAGGCGGCCGATCTGCAACTCTGGGACACGCCTGCGCCGCCTCCTTTACAAAGTCTTCGAAACATGCCAAAGATGACAGGCACCGTCCAAGTCGCCACCATTGATCTCAAAAAAGTGCATGGCCTTACTTTCTTCGTAGCAAATGGATCCACCCTCGCCATACACGGCCATACACGCAGACGTCCTCATCCCGATGCCACGTTTAATCGACTTTCACGCCAACGTCAACGCCACACTGCTTGGGTCTACGTTCCATTCCCTCCAAAAGACCGGCTCACGCATTTTGGAATTCGTGCTCCACACAGATTCACGAAATCTCCCTGGGCTGTAGCCGACTATTCTTACTTGGTATGGGATTGCCCCTTTTTCCTGCGAACCCCAAAAAGACTCCCATCTAACTCGTATAGTTCCGCTTCGAATTGGCCGGAGACGTCATGGCCGGGCCCCGTTTTCTAGGACCAACGCAAGATTTCACGTGGCCTGTAAAAGAACAGCTGCTGCTCGTCTTCAACGTGGCAGAACCTGCGGCCATCTCGGCCATGAGTGCCTATCCCAACCAAGATAGTGACGTCAAACCGTTTGCCCGGCTCGACAAGCCCCCTTTCCAGGAGGCGTGTTTCTCGTCTGCTCCCCTGGAGGACGTAGCCCTCGTACACATATATTCAGACGCCGAAACTGGCCTCTGCCGGGGACTTCTCGCAGAGTACCACCACGGTTCCCAGCGTGCCCTCGGCGAATGCCGGGTTGGACTAGATCCAGTGTGCACTTACAAGAGCCCTGCATGCTTGTGTTTCAGCCGAGTCACGCGGCACCGTCCAGGAACGTCGACTGAGTTGAGAGGAACAAGAGTCTGCGCTGCTTACCAATCGAAACATGAGCATGATGAAGAGGGGTGGTCATGTTTTCCGATGCGAGGGACGCTTCGATTCTGGTTTACAAATGAACAATCTGTTGTGGATGTGGTGGTAGATGAGGTGGGATCGACATTTCCGAGTGGGCATCTTTAAAGGGAACATCAATGGAATTAACACTGCAAAAGCAGAATACAACCCAAAACACTATAATAAAGCGAGTCATGTATTGGTTGAGCCAAGAGTTTTTGGGGGAAAATTACATTTATTTGCGCAACTTATAGTCGTGTTGATGCTCATATATCCAACTCACTCTAGTATAAGTGGTTTTATGCCAATCCATCTAGGAATGAGACTCAAGATGCTTGGTAAATGAGATGGATGCATATCTACAATAAAATTATCAATAAGAGAGGCTCTAGGGATTGGAAACGTGCATGTCCATTACTGTTAATGAAACGTATACATGGAATAACTGCGCAATCTCGTATCCATATATAAGTCGAAGCTAAAGTCAGACGCCTTGATATTCAACAGGTAGGAAATGAAACAAATCCAAAAAAAAAAAAAAGCAAACCGATTCGAGTCCCCAAACGGCAAGTTGATACCATCTTCCATGGAGTAATCCCCTTAATCCCAATCCCAGGTCCACTGTGGCGGCACCTCTGGCATCTGCCTCTAATCATCTGGTCAGCATCTAATAACAGCAATGCATTACACGTATACAAGGTTTCAAAACATACCTTGGACTTCATCACATCACGGCATTTAGCACACGCAACTGTACGACAACTCGGGCACCGAAAAGCGAATCGAAACGTCGTCGTCGAACACCGCTCGCACACGTGCTTCCCTTCTTCTCGATCCCACCAGGACTTGTGAAGACAAGCCGTTTTGCTGGTCGTTGCTCCAGTAGACGGTATCGAGCTTGCGCTTTGTGATGTAAATTTCTTCCCACGCCTCGTACTGGGCGGCTCTGTCCCCCAGTGCGCATCTGGATATGCATTTGCATTCGCTTGCCTCTCCTTTTTCGCCTGGGGCGGCTTTCGAACTCGCTGCGCTTCTCGTTCTTTTTGCATTGCCTCAGCCATGTCGCGAAACGCTCGTCGTAACTCTTCTTCCACCTCACGTTCTCTCCTCTCGTTTTCCTTTCTCTCCTTTTCTCTCCGCTCGTTTTCCTTCTTCTCTCTCTCTTTCCTCTCCCTTTCCTGCTTGTCCCTCTCCTGCCTCTCCTTTTCTCTCCGCAGCGCCTCTCTTTGACGCATCTCCGCCCACCGAACAGCTTCCTCCCGCGCCTTCTCTCGCTGCTGCAACGTCTCCTTGTCTGCCGTTTTCTGCCGTATCTGCTCATTGAGAGCATCGATGCTCGATTGTTTGCTGGCCATTGTACGTTTGCGGGAGTTGATTTCTGCCTCCCGCACAGATTGAGCGACCCTATTGGTCAGCATGCGTCTCTGCCTCTCCTCCTTGTCCCCTTCTAATTGCGACGCAGAGAAGAAGTAGCCAAACCAGCTCTTCTGCCTGGCCTCTTCCTGGGCGTCTTTATCTGCCTCGCTTTGCAGCTTGTCGAGTGCAGCTTGGCTGCGGTTATACTCGCGCCTAATCTCGAATAGCTCGCTTTCGAGCCTATTCCGTCTGATATAGAGCTGCTGCAGCGCCGCGCTCAGAGTCTCCATTTGTTCATTGAACTTTGGGGAAGTCTCAGACTTTGCATCACTTGTCCGCTGCGACGGGTTGCTTTTGCTACTGGCATCGGCCGTATTTGTGCGTTGGGCTCGTATGGAAGCATATTGGACATCGTATACTCGTCGTCGGTCGGGGTCAAAGAGGGTAGAATAGGCAGATTCGATCTAGAAGAGGTTACAATCCCACTGCAAAGATTCTCAGTAAAATAGCATTTGATGACGTACCAGCTGAAACTGAGCTGTGGCTTTAGGATTGTTTGGATTCCTGTCCGGATGATGCAACAGAGCAAGTCGTTTGTAGCTTGCCCGGATGGCATCTTTTCCCGCGGATTGTAGGACGCCGAGAATCTCGTAATAGTCGTCTGTGACTTGAAAAGGAGCCATCATGAGCTCTTAAGCCAGGCTGGCCGTGATCCAAAGGCAACCACAAGCCCGTGATTTCGAACCATTGATGATTTATCAAAATACTGCTTCTATCCAAAGAAACATCGTAACCGTGTTTCGCCCTTACATCAACACCCAAATCCAACGAGGCTGCGGGCGGCCGACAGCCTGTCACGGAGCTGCCCCTCGCGTTGCTACCCGACATCATACCCACACGATCCTCAATTCTAACCAATGACATTGATAAAATCTTTACATGTACATGTACCTTCATGATCCTCGGGTTACACTGGTGTCTGCTCCAAGGCAACAAGTCAAGCCGGTGGCTTATACCATGGTTCAAACACTTGTAAACGGAGCGCGGCATAAAACATATGCATTGAGTAAATATAATTTTTTTTCTTGTATTTCCCGATTCCCTTCTCCCGCCGTGACTCCCGACATTGATAATTCTTTTTGTTTTCTTTCTCCATGTAGTATGTGCATAACTTGCAGCGTCCTAAATGGTCCATACTTCGTCATGTAGACTCATACCAGCAAATCCACTTCCCATTGATCCCATACAACCCAAAAAAAGGGTAGAAAAAAAAAACAACTCCAACAAAAGAGTTTTTGTGATGCAATTCCAGATCGTAGAAGAGCAGCGTTGCTCGTGTGCCATCAAATCCAAACACTGGGGTTTGTCCGTTATTTTTGTTTTCGTCGGACTTAGTAAACCTTCTTCTTCTCGTCGATGCTGAACTGGCCCGGGCCACTGTTGACCAGGAGAAGCAGACCACCGACGATGGAAAGGATCTGGAAGAAGTCGTACTTGGCAAAGTCCTTGTGGGGGTGGTGCTCGTGAAGCTGCGGGGGGAATCTTGTTAGCGAAGGGGTGCAAATGATGGCAGCGCAGAAACTTACAGTCCAGAAGTTGTTGACCAACAGGTTGAAGCCGCTCAGGATGACGACAAGCAGCGTAGCGCTGTACTTGGCCTTGAAGCCCACAACGACCATGACGCAGGCGCCAGCGCCAAGGATGCAGACAAGGACGCGCCAGAAGGACCATTCGCCGCTGAAGACGAAGCCAATGAAGAGGAAGATGAGGAGAACACGACCGGCCAGCTGGAAGTACATCTTCTTGTCCTTCTCGTCCAAGGTGGGGAGACCAGCAAAGGCCTTGGTCTTGCGGACCCAAGAGTCAGAGAGGACCATGAGGAGGCCACCAATGACGGACAGGTTTCGCAGGAAGAAGTTGAGATCGAAGATCAAGCCGTAGCCGAAAGCCTGAATGACCACAACGCTCATGAGCCCTCCAACAGCGTAATCAGAGTACTTTCTGGCGATGACGAGAGTGGAGCAGGAGACCATGGCGATGACGTTGAAGAGGAGGAAGAGGTGGGTGATTCCGGATGGAACTGGTCAACGCGTTAGCACATGCATTCCAGAATAATACATACACATTGGACAATGTGCGAATGCGCTGGGACCAATTCTTACTGTGGCGGTAATCGTGAAGATACAGCAGCTGGTCGCTCCATTGGGTGATGATTCGGAGCGCATCCTCGAGGAAGGTGACGACAATCAGGAATCTCCCAATTGCGGGCATGTATCTACAATGCGCCGCCGCGTTAGCTGCTGAGACGCCTCCACTGACGCGATCGTGACCACTTACGGCTTGATGGGCTCGCTGGCAGTGTCCAGGATATCCTCGACCTTGCTGGTGTACGGCCGCAGCTGATCCAGGATGCTGCCTCCGTTGGACTCGTCGGAAACCCCAACACTTCCGCCGCCTCCAGGATAGGCGCTGGGGCCGCCAATGCCATAGCCAGAAGGACCACGGTGCGACATTTTGACCAGAGCTGTCCTGCGACCTTTTTTTTCTTCCTATTCCAAGCTCGACCTTGCTTCCTCGACTGCCTCTCGAGGATGATACCGACGGCTGCGGGCCCTCTTCAGCGACTTGGGCAAACTGGAGCTCCTGGAGCAAGTTCAAGAGGAGCGTTTCGGCGCAGCGCGATGCGATGCGATGAGATGCGATCCGATCCGGAGCTACCAAAGCAAAAGAGCTGGCGAGATCAACAAGCAGCAGCGCGCCCGAGGCAGCTCAGAAGAAGCACCGGGTGGTCGAATTGGGTGGGATGAGGACAATTGTGCGCCGGAGAAGCAGAAGCGAGATTGCAGCAAGAGGAGGGGCGAAGGGGAGCAGGTTTGGCGATGGCTATGACCTCAAAAACGCTCGGATTATCCTCCTACATACCACAGTGTCCTTTCCAAATCCCGTGATGTTGCAGGTCCCGAGGTGTCCACTTTTTACAAGGTGGTGGAGTCGAATCAGTGAAGTGATCCCCCAGCTGTGGCTTTTCTGGCGGCGCTCACGCAGGTACCTGCCGTGGCCCCTCGGAAGACTTGTGCGGCCGGCGCGAGGCTGTGCGCGACGGCATGTAGCTTTGCCGAGGGAGGCTTGTACCGGACGGAATGAAGGCCTGCTGCCGGTACCTGTAGCGCTGGGTAGAATAGCGCGCCCAAAACCTCTGACGGCGGCGTTTTGACTTGCCTGAGCTTGACACATCTCGCCTAGAGACCAAGTTCCGTAGGTAGATCCCTAATAGAGCTGCGTCCGGGTCAGCAGCAGCTGGACCTCCCTAATTGGGGCCCTGTGGCGATGCGCCGATTCAAGCTTTCGCAGGCAGGCCATTGAATGCTTGCAGCACGCGGTAGCAATACCCGCGTGAGCGCCATTGCGGGCTGCCGGATCTAGTACCTGTACGCACTGCGGCAAGCGGGGTGACGGACGCCAAAAATAAACTACTACTAAGATAATAGAAGGTACCACTAGCCATCGCGGCAAAAGTTCTTGGCATCAGGTTATCCATGGCAGTAGGATTGATTGATTCTGTTCTCTTTTCTGACTCGGTAGACAGAGCATTGTTTGGGACACGACGTCTTGTTGGGGATGAGAGGCTCCAGAGTATGCGTGGTGTTTGAGTTTTCCTCCTGGGAAATTAGGTTCCATAGCAGTTAGTGGGATAGGCACGTTTGAATTCTAAATTCTATCTGTGCGCTGCTTCTAAACTGTCTCTTGACCATGTCCAAGGCAGTTAGCATGTGACGCACAGCCGCATCATCTATTGAGGATCCCTATTCAGCTAAGCTTTACCTGGGCACACAGACTTTTTGCTTCTATTCTGTTTTGCCATGAACTTGAATTGTTGTTTTTTCATTCTTCTTTTGGCGCACTCTGACACGGTTCCTTTACCATGTCGGTGGAAAGCTGCTCTTTGTGTTCCCTAAGAGAGCTCAGACAATGTCGTCTACATAGTTGTTAGTTCCCTACAAGAATAAATACTACTTCAAATAATGGAAACCGACGCTCTTTGGGAGATTTGACTCGCATTTTCTTTTGCGAGACACCGGTAGGCAACTTTGTCCAACCGACCATTTTCTGCCTCCATTTGCAAAGCAGAATACCACTTACAAGTACGAAGCATTCAATACGACCAAGTGCCCACCTGCCTAAACAATCACAGGTAGTGGCGCCTACGGGACCACTTAGACCCGGTCCACTTGGAGAGATTCCGGCGCTCTTCTCTTCTTGCACAATGACTGGAATAATGATGCGAATTTGGGAACTTTGGTTTGTGGTGCCCCGCATAGTAGACAAAGCAGGTACCTAGGTATTATACTAAGTACTACTAGTGATTCACGGAGCCCTGCCAAAGTCCCTTGAAACAACATACTCGTCAACCGCACTATTGGTAGGTGGTGAGACATGCGTCGTTTGTTTTGAATTCCCGTAACAGGCAAGCCTGAATCGGGTCGGATGCGGCATTATGAATGACGTGAGTTTGTCACTCGTCTAGGCGCTTCGCCGTCTACACTTATTCTAGTCCATGTGCTTTGACAGAACGAACTCCCCTAATACCAAGACTTTACCCAAATACCAAGATTAATAGGTATGTATCCAAGTTGTCTAACATCCATCTAATCTACGTGGTTGAATATCCCATCCCACACCTTTTCTCTCATAATATGCGCTTATATACTTACCATCAGTTTCCTCCAGCTTTCTTCATGTCATCTTCACATCATTCCCATCACTCGGCCCGGGCAAAATTCTGAGTGCTCCAATATCATCATACTCAACCCTCCCTTCATTCACAGCCCTTTGCATCTCCTCCCTCAATACCGTGCGCTCTCCCGTCGCCGGATCCCATTCCCAGCCTTCACGCATCCACATCCAGCGCAGACACGCTCGCAGCTCTTTGTCGGCCGGCCTCACTCTCATCCATTCAGGTTGAAACTCGGGTTCCCGGCCCTTCCCGTTCCAGTCCTCGGCTCGACCCAGCAACTCGTCGCGACAAAATATGCGCCAGCTGTCAATGGCATACTTGCCCTGAGTCATGTGCCCGATCTCCCACGTTTCGAGATCCTGGCTGCCGCCATCGGATAGTGGATGCGATCTCTCCGGATCTTCCGAGTCGCCGCTGCTGGCATCTCTCCACAGAGGACTGACGGCGCGTTTGTCGTAGTTTCTCACTCTGTGCCGTACGCCAGCCTTTGGGGGATCTTGTATAAATGCCTTTGCATATCTTTGGATATACGCTAGCCGTACGTTGGGAAGACCGAGGTGGCGTATCATGTCGAGGAGCTCTCCTTCGACGGACGGATCTAATAACTCAGCCGGCGTAGGAAATCGCTCTCTGACCCTTCGAAAGGCAGGTAGGGCTACTTTTCCATTCGTTTTTATCAGAAACGTGATGGCGATGAGTAACCAAAACGGGTCATGAGCCAGCTCCTCTTGAATGATGCCAAATGACGGTGAATCGAGAGGGGGAAACGAGATGCATGAGATGGTGCCTGCCGGCGGCCGCTTCCTTGAGGGACTCCGTTTTGCTGGCGATTGCTGCTGGAAGTAAGGTGATTTACTAGAGAGCCTGTTTCTTGACGGTTTCTTCTCATCCTCCGATTTACATATAGTCAGAGGCTGCCGTGGGTTATTCAAGCGAAGACGGTCAAGTGAGTGCAAGAGATTTGAAGATTGGCCCTCAAAACCAAAAGCCTCAACGGCAGTGCTCGCGCCCAGATGGATGGCCTCCTCGTGCAATCGTGCTTGGCTGCATTGGCGATAGCCGGATCCAGGTACAGAGCGATCCAAACGCGTGCTCTGTTCGGTCTTTATGCTGCCGCTTTGGGTCGAAAGCCTCTCAACCCAGTAATGAGATGTTATTCCTGATCGCAGTTTTTGGGCGCGCAGTCTTCTTGAAGATGTAGTCTCCTGATCTTGTTGCGAGGCCGCAAACACGGGTGGTAAAATCTCAACACGTCTCTCCAAGTCTTTGGCGAGCGCAATCAGGCGATCAGTCTCTCCCCAAGGCTCAGCAGCCGATGACCCTCCATTGAACCCATTCAGTATCTTCCAAACAGAAGTAAGAATGTCGCCACCGTCAAGGCTCTCGGGATCGTGATCTTGCATGCATCGCATTGACCGTGCACAGTCGATCAGATAATGCCAGTCTTGTGCGCCGCCGGCCAGGCTCTGGTCAAAGAGAAGTTGAAATTCATCGTATGGCGCTTCGCCGGACTCTAGGATTTCGCAAAGGAATGCTAGTGAGTCGTCCCAAACGTCAAACACAGACAGGAGGGTGTGGCCAAAGGACGTCGACATGGTGCTGAAATTCACGGAGCGCAGCTCAGCGTACGTGGCTCCGATATTCGATGTCCAGGAGGGAAAGCTTTGATGGACGTAGAGCGAAACAGATAAACTGGCATGATAGCGATATTTCCAAGAAACACATGCAATTTTATAATGGAGGAAGGGGGAAATGCATCTTGAAGGATGTCAGAATCTTAAGGCAAGGGTGCTGAGTTAACAATTGAACAAGGAGCGTTTGTTGCTTTGGAAATACTAGCCGCCGTTACGGCTTTCACTACAGACTCACATCCACTTAGAGCACCACACAGCGCTACCGTACTACCCTAGGCAACGTACTAGCTTTGGATATTGCTTCATTTTTCATCCTCAAAGAGCACCCATTTGTATAATCCCATGCATTTCTATCAAGTATCTGTTAAGAGCCTGCAATTTTTTTTTATTCGTAGCCAAGGTAGTATTTCGTTTCGATTAATGCTTCGTTCATGTAGATTATAACTCGGTCATGAAAGTATAGGATTAATGGCCCACGTACAGTCACTTGAACGGCCTTGATGCTCGATTCTCAATGTCATTGAAGCGAAAGCAGCTATTTTTCGTACCTTGGTGCCCAGTTAATTCCGCATGAGGCTTGAACCCGTCACCAGTGGCTGAATTGCATCTCTTGTTCAAAGATAAGATAACGGATACGTGCACTTGCATCTTGGCTTGGAGCACCCAAGCAGCGTTGGCTGGCAGCACGAGTAGGCTAGTCTCATGGCAAAAGATCAGACTGTGCCGCAAATGGATTTTTGCTGGTCAACCGGCCGTCAAAGCCGAGACGTTCGTGGGGTGCATGGCCAGTCTGCCCCCTGAATGGCCTGTCGCCTGACTCATCACAGACGGGTCTCCACCGTGAATCGCTGCAGCAGGCTGGCGCGTGATGCAATTTGGCGTGCCTTGTGCGTCGCGGGTGGATTTGGTTTGATTTGATAGACCGTGTTTGTGTCCTCTTCTGCTGCAGCCGTGTCGCGGTTGGGCGACCGAGTTGATTTGACGTTGATGGTGTGACTGATTTTACCGGCAGCGGGTATTTGCTTGCAGCGGCGATCAGGCTAAGCGAGCGGCGTTTGCGAGCGTGGACGAGGCAGATATGGCGTAGGAATAAAACCGCACTCGTTTCCCTCTTCGCCTGTTCCAATAACGGCGTGACAGCTTATCAGATCCATATAATACATAGGCGATCCATACCGTACTGTTCCTCTCACCGAGGCAGCGCAGATTGCCCGAACGTGTCTTGATAGCCAGCGCTAGCCATTCGCACCACTAGAAAATATTAAAAGTGGGGGCACAGCAGCGCCGGTACGTACCTCAAAATAAGGCGAAAAGAGCGAGTCACGTGTGCTCGTCCTATCAGGGCCCACCCGCAATCGCCCATTCTCTCTGGCCGTCTTCCGTCTTGTGCCTCCACCCGGGATTCTGTTTCCAATCCATCTTTCGCATTCCCTCTCCGGCGCCACCTCCGACCCTACTCGAGTCTGAAGCATCACCACCACAACCTCAATCATCCAAGAGATGAGTAGTCGCGGCGGGAAACTTGCCCCCGAAGTCAATCGGTGAGTTTTTCCGGCCTTCTTGCCAGTCTTGGCCGTGCGGCGAGCCTCGTGGTCTCCGAATCTCCGACCGAAAGGCCGGCACGCCTCGCCTTGATGACCGAGAAAAGGACATGGAAGAGCCTTGGCTGACCAATTTCTCATAGCGCTCTGTTCGTAAAGAACCTGAGGTACGCCTCCATCGATCGCTACATCTCGAATCGAGTCGAGTGCCGTGCAACCCGACGCTAACCTGTTGATAGCTACAACGTTACTCCTGAAGAGCTCTTCGACCTCTTTGGAAAATTTGGGCCTATTCGGTATGTCCACGAACCCGGTCGATTGCTGCCTCTTCGCCATCGCCATTGTCATCGCTGTCTTGAATATCTTTTGTTTCTACGAGTTACGCCATGCTAACCCGACCAACAGCCAAGTTCGTCAAGGTATTGCCAACAACACCAAGGGTACCGCTTTTGTAGTCTATGAAGATGTCATGGATGCGAAGCAAGCCTGTGACAAACTGAACGGTTTCAACTTTCAGAACCGTTATCTCGTTGGTACGTGACGGCGCGTCTCTTTTGGATATCATTATCCAAATCACGCTAGTAACACCCCTACTCTAACACGTCTGCAGTATTATATCATCAGCCCGACAAGATGGTAAAATCTAAAGAGGATCTCGACGCCCGCCGGGAATCTTTAGCGCAGCTCAAGAAGCAGCACGGCATAGATTGACAATCCGACCGGTCTGTAGGCACCCTGCAGAAGAAGACCATTTCTTCGTCTGCGGGCCGGTCTTCCTCATCATCATCGTCCTCCTCTTCTTCGTCAGAGATCAAGACAATCCTACGAAAGGGCAGGTCGCCAGCCAAGGCCACTCCGAGCAGTGGGCACGTCCACACCCGAGCCGTCCGATTTGCAGAAGGACTACGCGCAGCTCTACCGACGTTTGCCTAAACCGAGCATTCGAAACGTTGCCCACGGAGTGATACAATTAAACGTACCACCATCTTTTTTTTTATCTGTTTTTCCGCCTTGGCTGGCACACAACTTCATTTTTTCCACCTTAATACCAGTAGTTACCGGATCAATCACCCCTTGAGAAATAAATAAATCAAATCACGAAATGAGTCTTACATTTATGGGAACGGAAGGGGTGGGTTCAGATTGGGGAGCTGGGAAATTCAAAGGGTGTTTATACGGCAAGTGACGACATGGCAAGTCACATAAACTGCTTTTTTTTTCGGAATTTGGACGGAGCCTACCTTGCGGCCATGTTTACTAGCGAACATCTCCTGCCTCCCGAGGCCTTAACCAGAGAAATCAACAGCATGTCCCAACTGCGCACGCGTGTTCCAACCTTTGACCAAGTTGATAAAAAGAAGGGCTAGAATTTCTCTTTTTCTCGTTTCACTGAGCCAGTTTTCATATTCATGATTTGCTGCAGCTTTATTCGCCTGGCAGCCAACATGGGCCCTTGCCGTTGTGATAGATGACGAAGAATTGACCAAAGTAATTACATGTATTAACCAGAACTCTATGACGTACGATAAACACGATGTAGAATCCGTGAAGCTCATCACTGGTAGCTAATATGACATCATTTTCAGTGTTTGGATGTCTGGTAATAATGATTTCAATTCTGTAGACGTTCTCACCAGCCTCGGTCAGCGGAGATATTCATACGTACCTATAACCGCAGTCTGCGACAGCCTCTCTCCATACCTATTTTTGCTATGAAACATTACCAAGTCATCAATATCTTACCTGCTACAGGCGACATGACGCACCGTTTCATCTCCAGACGACGTCAGAGAGAGAGCGCGGCACTGGTTGCGCATCTCTCTACTCGATGGCCGGGCAAAAGAGGAAGAAAAACGCCTCGCGGGCTGCCGACAGGGCTCGAGACCCTCACAGAATCTACCGCAGAGGTATTTTTGGGAGCAAGTCTCAGTCGCGTCCAAAACCTCTCAAGCAGGCCGCAGAGATGGCCTCGCCTCGCCGGGCGGTGTTCTAGAAAAGCGTGAATTATGAATGGACTCGATGCTTTCACGGCCCTTGGGACCAACAGCCGGGCCGCACAAACGGGCCGGCCAAAGTGGACATTGGAGCGGGCGGTGCAGCCGCTGCGAGAGCGCTGTTCGCTTCTGCTGTTTGAGCCCTGAAGCGCTGTGCCGGGGGTTCTGGAGCAGCAGCATTCCAGTGGCAGCGGTGCTGTAACAAGGGCCGCTCTAGGCGACTTCGTGGCGCAGCGCTTTTCGGGTCTCTTTTGCGGTCGCCTTTGTGGAGCTGGTCCTTTGGCCGGGTTTCAAAAACTAACATGCAGACTACACGAGGTCGCAGTTACAGCGTCCTCCTCTTTCTTCTAGCTCCAGCACCTCTCTAGAATCTTTTCAAGAGAAGTAACATCATGGAAAGCCTCAGGCCTCCAGCTGAGGTCGAGGTATCGATATAGCAGCAGAAGGGCCTTGGCTGCAGACGCTAGGTCCGTCGTCCCGGCCTGGCCATGCTCCAGGAACAGGTTTGGATCTTCCAACAGCTGGCGGGCGAGGCTGATATTGACTTGAGTATAGGGCAAAGAAGCCTCGCGATATGCAGTCTAGAGCAGGACAATGGAGTCATGCCAGGAACTTGTGCTGGTGATTGCATGGTCCTCTGATATAGGTGCCAGGGACAAAATAATCCGGGCATGTGCGATGAATAGAGTGGATGATCTGGAGAGTCCAATGAGAGACTGGAAGCCAACATTCAGATCCCAGTCTTTAATATAACGAACTCTAGTATCACGACGTGTTCATCCCATGGACCTGGCCGAACTGCCAATAGCAACAGCCTCCGGCCGGGTCCCACATCACCGGCTGAAGGCCCCGGCCCAGCCCCGGCATCGCCAAGGCCAGTCAGAGGCCGTTCCGTTGTGCTGGTACTAGGCTTCTCTGCCTTTGATGCCTTCACAGCCCCTTTCCAAGGTGCATTGATGACATCCCTGGGCATGGCAGGGGCCGGATTGGGGGCTTCCAATGAGGCGACACATTGCGGTCGATGGCAGACAGCCTTCCCTCCGAGCTCATGGCCCCTCGTCCAATGACAGGCGAGGAGCACGAGTTTTTCTGTGCCCTTACGAGGTATGATTCCCATTTGATGTACCAACTCTACCTCATCATTGCCTTTACGCCAACTATCTAAGGAAAGAGAGGCCCGGTTAGATCCCCCTTGCTGTTGGTTAATGTTGTTGGTTTGGCAGGTCATACGCCCCCCCCTTGACATCATCATATCTTCGCGCCGTTCTATATAACCACCAGGTGTTCCCTTCTTCGATTTCTCTTCTCACCATAACATAACCATATATTGGTTAGGGGCTGCCAGACGAGTTCGTATTAATATCCCGCGGCCAATTCAATGCCAATACCAGTCGCCCCATTCAGCAGACTGGCCCTCGAAGACATGTCCCCCACCAGTCGAACGGGTCTATCTGCTACTTCAGAGGCTGGCTACCAACAAGGGCCACCCGTGGAAGATTCAAGCTCTGAATACGAGTCGTATTCGGACATGTCTGACGACGATGGTGACGAAGACGACGAGCTGCCCGCCATTGTGCAATCCCCCTCTGAGCTCTCCTACGCCATCGACCATCTTCCAGAAGAAGCCCAGGACGCGGTACGAAGAGTCTTTAGTGAGCCACCCAAGATTGCTCTGCAGCAATGCCGGCTCATTGGCGACACATATGCCTTCCAAATGACTGAGCTCGTCACGCAGTCCGTTCGCATTCGCGCTTCCGGCAACGGGGCCGCCTCGCAGCTAACATGCTCTTGTGGGCATGGCGGTGAGCTCGAGCCATGCTCGCACTTGATATGGCTCTTGGATCGACTTGCAAAGCAGACGCTGTACGATTACGATCCCAAAACGCCCCTCACCATGACTCAAGATGGGTTCGCGCAAGAGCTCGGCGATCCTTTCACGGCCATCTCGCAACATCGCCTGGACGTCTTGTCCGACGGTCTCCATTGCCCCGTCGTCGACCCAAAAGCCGTCTCGGGGGATCATGACATGGCATCTTGCCGAGTCCAAGAGTCGCGGGAACTCCTATCAGCCGTCTACGGCATGTCGCCGGAAGAGTTCCGCCCAGACATCTTTGACAGCAACAACAGCAGCCCGCTTCGTGGAAAGAAGGTGTTGAAACGCAATGATCTCGACTATACAGTCCTCCGCATGCTGCTCGACAACCACCACTTCTTCAACTACTTCCAGTCCGTATCTCGCCCCAGAGATCCCATCAACGACCCTTTCAGGAAACTTTCTCAACGAGTCGACCGCGTGCTCCGCATCTTTGACGCACACGCTTCAGACCCAGCCTACGCAACAACAACAACAACAACAACAACAACGACATCTTCTATAGAAACGCCACCAAACGTCCCCTGGGCCGCAAAACACATCCTCGGCTGCACAAAACTCATCAAATCCTTCATCTACACGCGCGACCGGCCGCTCCAGCCCTCCGAGACAACCTCCGCCGCCCGCACGCTCGTCCACATCCTCTCCGCAGTGGTGTCCCGCAATCAAGACGTCGACACTGGCAGCGCGACGACGCGAACAGAGCACAACCTGTACCTCTATCTGATCGGTGACAGGGATACCGACTTTGCCATTGCGGAGCTTAATTTGCTTCCTGAGGCGGCGAGCCAACACCTCCATAGCCTGGAGGCCGTCTTCGACGACATTGGCAGACTCGGCGCCCCGGTGTCGTACTTTGAAAAGTTCAAGTCGCTGCTGAGCAGGCTGAGGACGCCGATTATGGGGGCTAGTCTGAAGAGGCAGGTTGAAGAAGAGGATGGCACTTATCGACACTTTAAGAGGATGAAGTGAAATACTGCATAACATTGTGTTTGGGGGGGCAGATTGCATTTCACTCTTTTAGAATTTAGCCACGCTGGTTCGTGGTGTAACACTATTACTCTTCTTTTCCTCGCTTTTTCTTCTTCTATCATTTAATATTCTTGCCATCATTTCCTCACATTTTGGGAATGGAGCACATGTATCATTACTGTACCGGTTATATAGAGTAGCATTTATACTAAAACCAAACCTTTTTTTTTTAGACGAGCGCCAAAATAAATAAACCAGAGTTCAAACAAAGTCAATTCACTGTGAATCGAATTACGAAAAATGTCATCAATTTGTTCCCTTATAAAGAATATCTCTTTATGTGCTAATACCATGCCGTCGTATATCTAGACTAATATGTGCGTCTCAAAACCTCAAATCACGTTCCCCCCCCCTCCCCTCCCACAAGCGCAAGCCCACGGTTCGCACATAGGACCAGGCGTTTTTTTATTAGACAGGCAGCTGACATGTTGAACCTTAGCCCAAAGTGTTGTCCTTGCGAAATTTCTCAAGCTCGTCGTAAACCTCGCGCAGCGTAGGCCGATCATAGTAGTTCTCGTTCCAGTCGCCCCTCTCCATGCCCTCAGCACGTTCCTGGAGCCACGCCTCAGAGTCTGCAATCTCCCTCGCCCACCAGTCGCGCGCCACATTCTGGACGTCTTGCGCCGTGGATTCTCCCGTGTTTTCAAACTCTCGGAGCACCAGCTTGTCTCTGCGGCGGACGATGAGCCTAGTAAGCCCAGCTTGGCGGCCGCGGGTGCAGCGATCGATGAGATCTCGCATCGCGGGTGGTGTGCGGGTGTAGCCGGGGAATTCGACCAGGGGCTCCCAGCGGTAGGAGAGCCAGACGGCGGCTCGCTGGGGAGCGCTGCTGGACTCGAAGATGCACCAGAGGACGCGACCGAGCATGTACACTTCGCAGGCTTCCTGTTCTTTGGGGGTCAGGCACGCCCACGGCACGTTGTACCCCTTGCACGGCCAGATGTAGTCTTCTCCCTGGCCCATCTCCTCCCATCCGGGAAGCATATTCGTCAGGATGGTGGCATACTTGTCTCTAATCTCCGAAGGAATCTCGTCGTCGATTGCCAGCAGCCGGACGTACTCGATGGCATTGACCTCGGGTGCTGCAAACTCGCACCATACGCCACGCTGTTCGAAATCAACCATGACCACATCACCAGATCCCGTCAGGACAATGTTGTCAAGCCGGAGGTCCGGATAGAAGACGCCGCACGTCTCACGAAGGTGCACCAAGGCGGAGGCGAGTTGGACAGACCATTTAGCCTTGTCCGCCAGCGATACCTGATTGTGTACTTGCAAGAAGGGGATCAGGTCACGCAGGCTGCCATGAACGTGGAGCTCTAGCGTGAATCCGAGCACGGCCGTCTTGCTGCCAAAGGAGCATTTCTTTGTGATGAGGTGAGCTGGCCTTGCCATGACGTTGGGGTGGGATTGGATAATGAGAAGCTGTCGCAGCTCGTGGTAGAGGTACTTGGTGTAGCTCGTCAAGGCCTTGAAGATCCAGGTTTTCCCCCCATACTCGATCAGACAGACGCTGTCGTGCAACTGTGACAGATACACGACGTCGTGAATGTCAACTGTCTGGGGCAGATCCACCTCTGGACCCCAGATCTTTTGGAATGATGCCACTGACAGCATTTGGCGCTCGAGGTAGTACGTCGGGGCGATGGAGACCTGAGCTTGACTGACGTCCTTGGGAAAGTTGTTGAAGACGATCCTCGAGCCAAAGGGTATCTTTTGATATATCTGGCGCGGGTCCTCCAGGGTCGACGTCCAATGTTGAAGCAGCCGGAGCAGATGCTGAGTAACTCCAAGCTGTGAGATGCGAGATTCGTCTCTCGTGTAGAAAGCCACTCCCATGTCGAGGACGTTGCGAAGCTCGGGAGAGAGTGTCGCTGGCTCAGGAATGAAGACGTCAACCCGAAAGGGAGGAATTGACTCCATGAAAAGAGGTACGGCATAAAACTGGGTTCCAAATGCAGTGCAGCCATCGATACGCCACAAGGGCTTCTCGAGAGGCTCAAGGCTGTCGATACGGTTCTTGGGATTCAACAGGGACTCTTCCCACGGTATCTCTCGGGCGTCGTGGATGGCAGCCGCTGCGGCAGCCTGCTTCCAGACACTCTCATCGCAGAATGCTGCTGTTGGGTGAATGACATCGTGGATTGACTGCTGGCTGAGCTCCATGCTGGCGATTGTGTCTCGATGGAATTTCGACAGAACTGACGCACGCTGCCCTGGCACTGCTTGAGCGACAAGATTGAAGGGCTCCAGAAACAAATGCAGAAAGATGGCTCTGGCAGCTTGGAGGAGATGCCCGGGTATCTATTCCACGTATAAGCTCTTCAAGCTTGAGGCATTCGGCCGGAGCGCCCTTGTTTGCTGGTTTGTCACAAGGTTAGCGACGGTCGATGCGTTGAGCCCCTCATCAGCTAGAGAGACGAGGAGCTTCGGCCGTGTCACTGGCTTATTACCTACCTATGCCTTGATTTGATTTGTGACCAGCTGCCCAGCTCCTGTCATGCATAAAAAGGCTGCATCTGGCTGGATTTGGTAGCCCAGTGCCATCTGCCCATCTGCCCGATCACATGATTTGGCCTTGAGCGCCAAAAGCACCTGCATTTCTAGGCCAAAGGTATTTCCAATGCCATTATCAAAACTGCAGCATGATTTGATTGACTTTTGCTGTGAAAGCTGCTCGGGACCTAACCAAAGGAGTCGCGTTTGCAGTGGCGAGCGAACCCCCGACTACAGCGCAATATTGCCGCCACAACTTGTTCTTAGGCTGTTTGTACGGCTGGGGCTAAGGTTGTGCCGGAGCTCCGCATCCCCTAACGGAGCTGTCAGTGCTACAATTGCCGCTGTCAGGTCGCTCAAGGACGTGCACGCGGCAGAAATGACTGCTACAGCAATGCAGTAATCCTGCTCCTGGGGGGGGCGAGATGGCCTAGACGCTCCGTCTTCTTTGCGTTGTGCATTATTTGTCTGAGTGCTGATAGGAGGGATTACGATCCTCTGGCTGCCTTAGCATAGGGCAACAAGGTTTGGCCCTACTCGATGGGCAAGCAAAGTAGAAATTGCCAACATCAACATGCCAAGTGCGTATGGGAAGCGGATGGTTTTGGATATAGAAGGGAGCAGGACGGGGCTCTATCAGTGTTGCTAGGTACTACTAGTGGCCGCGAGCATGGCAACCTACATGTCCCTACAACAAGGGGGCACGCAGCTTCGACACCGAGCGTGGAGGCTATTCGCGGCTGATCGTCCCGTCGACCAGCCTCTTCCCCTGTTTCTTACCATCATGTTTGTATAGAGTCAATGTCTTCAATGTCAGCTCTGGCGTCATAGCTGGCCGCCACCGGCGCTTCGTATGCAGAGCAAAACTAATAGTACGTTTCAAGCACGGCTTTTGTTTGCTCGAGCTGAGTCGTAGGATGGCAATGGGTGGAGCAAAACACCCTTTTGGCCCCCAAAGCCTTGTCTTTCTTTATTTACAAAGTCAATGCAAGTAACAAATCAAATCAATTGCGTCTAGGGTGGAGAGAGGGTGAATTGCGCCGGCGGCAATGGGTACTATGCATTATGAGACTTGGTACGTATCCTCATTGGCAGGCTGCCGCGGCTTCAACCTATGGGGCGCTTCATGATATTGGCATGCCATAAACATGCAGCCATCCTCGGCCGCGACAACCTATGGCAACGGTCATGTGATGCCCGTCGGAAAGCAAGACCCTTGGACAAAACCGAGCGCGTCGATGATGCTGTTGATGAGCCAGGACCCTGCTGAGCTGACCAGAGATACTCCATAAAGATGCAGCAGAAAGCGGAGCGGAGCTCACGACACGCTGCCATGCTCTCATCTGGTAGAATTATATGCACGACCCATGGAGTCTATTAGCGGCAAGAAGCTCAGAAAGCGGCTTGTTGCTTGTATTCCAGCGGCGTAGCGTAACGTAGCTTGGATTGCTGGCACGTCATAATCATACTATCTCTCATCTCTCACCCACTTACACGCCTGTTGTAAGAACTAGTTATGCTAGCAGTTGAGCAATTATGACAGGGCCCAAGCAGTCGACAGCTTTAGGATGAATGATGCATCTGTATAATGGCTGGTGTTGGGGTCCTTGGCATGCCGCAGCACTCACGGCTCTAAGTTACGAAAGCGGCATGTTGAAGTTGACTGACGTAGGCGTTCGCCGAAATGCATTTTGCACGAACACACGCACATACACGCCCATAAGATAGCAGCCGATCACAAGTCGCCCTCGGAAGTTGATAACTGACTCCTCGACCAGATGCCAGAATAAGACGCAAGTCTCTGAGCTAAACTGAAAGTATCAGCGTCCTCGCCGTGACTTGGTGAGGGGGCCAGCGGTACCTTGCAGCCTGGTCGCAGAGAATTTTATCCATCTGAATAGCATAAGCCGCGAGGAATCCGAGGGACATACTGACACACTGACACCATCGAGCTGGATAATTTCCTAGCCCCCGCCAGAGTCTAAGCTGTCTCGCATAGCTAGCGGCCTTGTGGCGCCCCTACCTAAGCTCACCGGTCGACGCAGGTTGCAGGACGCCATTCGGGATGGAAGACAGAAACGACTTGGGGCCGTGGCACTCTTGTACGGCAAAGCTGCCTTTGCATGCAACCGGGTGCGCATGGATATCTTGGCGGACAACCTCCGTTGTTGGCTGCGAGTCTCTCAAGCCGCACTCCCTGTCTTCCCATGGCCGCTTCGAGTCGTGGCCTATCCTTTCCATACCGCCACGGCTTGCGGTGGACTATCGCAAGTCGAGTCGGCCCGCACATGCACACTGCACCTGCGGAGAGAATTGGCCGGCGCGTCTTGCAAGAGGTAAATGGCGAAATTATCTGACGTTGTGTAGCCTTGCTCAAGCAGTAGGTGTCAGCTGGATGAAGAGATTAGCCTCAGGGTCGCTCACGATAAGAAGAGGAATACGGAGCAGACGCTACCGTTGATAGCTCGCTTGCAGTAATACGAGCGGTTCTTCTGACAGCTGCATTTTCGTAATATGCGCCTCCCCGAGACATTTGCGTCGACACAGCAGAGTGAAACTTGGAGGAAGAGTGCATGTACGGAGCATGGACGAGGCACATGCTTGCCATGACGTTGACGCGCAGATGGGCCCTGAGCAGTTGAACTCCACTTGTCCGAGCAGCCGCAACTGCAGCAGCCGCCGCCGCAGCGCTGTGAAGCGACAGAAGGAGCCAGATTCTCCGCAGCACTTGCTCACCGGAGGCTCTGCAAAGGCCGTTTAGCCGTCTGCTATCATTGCAAGTTGCATCAGTTGAGTGGCAGCCGCTGGGCAAGAGCAGTTGGCTGGGCCTGGTGTTGTAGAAGGCACGGAACGCTGCCTTCCCATCCAAGACAAGGTCGGGCCAAAGTCTCTGGCCACAGGCGGAGAAATATGGGGCATTTTCACTGCTAATCACACTGCTCCATAGTGGGCACGGGGATCTGGCCCGCCGCTATTTACGCCCTACCTTAAGTCGACAGCTTTCAACCTTGGCTTAGTACCAAAGGCGAGTCTAGTAGGCACAGTATGGGACGTCAACTGGCTAACCCCGTGGGGATGACTATGTGTGTACCTACAGCAGCATCGACACCGCATTGTACGACGCCGAATGCCCCCTATTTGGTCAGCATCAGAGAGGCACCGTCGAAAGAGTACTGATCTGATGATTGCGAGCAGCGCCCTAGCTGCATGCTGTGCAATGCGCAATTTGCGCGAGCTGCAGCGACTGCGACACAATTACCGCCGTGGCGTGGGGGAGTGGAAATGTCTCGAGTGACGATTAGCCACGCGAAAACACAATGAACGGCCGCACGCTCGACCTTGACCTTGACCTCGACCTTGACCTCGACCTTGATTTCGACCTTGATTTCGTCCTCGTCCTTCTGATGCGCCACGCCGCAGCTGGACCCAGCATTCATATCCATACGCCCCGTGGCTTGGCCAACCTGTGTTTACAACCAAGACTGCGCTACTTCGGCCGCTCTCCATCAAGTTCCTACAGTACAGCTTTCAAGGTGCCCCGGCACCCTGGTCACTGAGCTGCGCTACCGAGCCGGATAGATCAGATCCCTGTGGCTGCGAAAGTCTCCATCCGAGTTTTTACTAGGAATAACAACCCAGATAGCAGTGCGAGCTGGGATTTCCAAGCAGCATGCACCTCTTCACCGGTCCCCACTTCAAGCGGTTCGTCCATTGAGAGTTTCTGCGTGTGGTAGCACTGAAGCTGGTTCTTTGATTCGGCGGCTCTCGAGCCTGATACGATTATACTCGTGCCAGGAACAAAGCCGGCGGCGGACAAAAGTCCGTCAACTCGCTGACGTGTGCTTCGTCTTGCTCATTATCGACATCCCAGCCTAGGAAGCCAAGTATACCGTTCAATCACTCAACTCTTCCATATGGGGTGAGGCTCCTTCGATTTGCTTTAGAAAAGCCACAGAACAGCCTCGGATCCGCTTGTCCAAGACGGCCATCTGGGGCTTGAATTGTTTCTGCGCTTTTTAAGGTGCAGGTTGCAACACATGTGACCCCGCCTGCATGGAAATGAGCGAAATGAGCGAACCGCGTGTAAGCTGCATTCTACAGGTATCTGTGGCACCATAATAGCTTTGAAGATAAGCCGGTTCCTATTGGCCTATCCGCAGTTGAGCTGGAGACTCAAGGTCCATTCTACCCCGAATAGTACCTACTTGCCCGTGCTGCATGCTATGATTGTCAGCTCGGTTGGGCTCGCAACAGAGGCTTGCCGTCCTGGCCTGAAGGCGGCCGCCGTCTCGGATGACCTGAGCCAATTCTCGTGCCGTATATGCCCAACTCTCACATCACGCTGGCCATGTCTGTGATGAAGTCTCTGGCGCATTGCGTTATGCTCCTTTCGCTCGTCGCCAGAGCTGTGGACTGCGCAAAACAGTCTGGCCCGCAAATACTTTCAATGGGATGCCAGCCCAATGGGGAAGCCCGCGTCCATCTGGCTCTGCTCAATAAGAGCATGAGAAATTAATTGGGCACGCATCCCAACTACGGATACTGGACCACACCCTGGCTGGCTGTGTGCGGTACCCCTCAGTCCCATTCAAATACATGCGATTTAGACCCGGCATGGCCTTTGCTTCTTCACCGAGTTCGCTTCTCCTCTCCTCCTGGAACCGCCATCGTCGTCTAGCCCTCGGAGCCAGCCACTTGGACTGTGTAGGCGCTGACCTACTATGCACTTCGGCAGCAACACGCCCCAGATTCCAATCCGCGCTACCCGTATCCCTGCGTTTGACGAGGAGCGAGCCCTAGGCAGCGAGGACTGAGCCGGCATAACAGCGGCGGCACCAGAGCACAGCACAGCACAGCACAGCACAGTACGGCACAGCAACAGCAACAGCACGACCGGCAACACATTCATCATCGGCTACTAGAGTGGTGGCAAGCACGAGACCCTTCCGCCTCCTGGACGAGTCTAACCAGGCCGTTGCACTTCGCAGATCAGCACCGTCATTGGACTGGGCCAACCCAACGCTAGTTGGACTCCTTACTTACATGCCCCCTTCGTCTCTGGCCTCTCGCCCTCTAGCCGCCAGCCTACTGCCTTCACCGGTGTCAAACCCTCGCCTTGGAGATTTGCAGCTCATTGTGCTCCCGCTCCTGCCCGGCCGCCTAGCCCTCCGCTCCACCTATCGATTCACATAGCGAGAGCCAACGCTCGAGTCGGTGCCACCGGACTTGTTCACCCCTCCCCTGGCGTCACTCAACTTCATCCGGCGTTTTAGTGCACAACTTTTGTACCTTGTTGATACTGCTTGTCTCTAGAGCACAGCTGATACTTGGGTTTCCACGTGCGAATACATTGGATTCTGTCCCTACTACCACGCTGTATCTGTCTGACACGCCCCTCAGTTATCTACAGGCATCATGGTAAGCGATTTTCTTCACCCCACGGCGGAAGCCTGCATGGACATATATTTGGCCCTTTCCCGCTGTCTACCGTTTGAGATTGTGTCTCTCATAGAGCCTTTTTTTTGTTTTTATGCTCGCTCATCAGCTGCTGAATTTCGTTTATACACCCTCTTCCCGTACAACATCACCCCCATCTTCTTTAGCACATCTTTTGTTTTCTTTTCCCGTCTCAGTTGCAACAATACAGTCAAGTTAATCATTGAACAGGGGCCACGTAGGAAGCGAGTTGTGTCCCTGGGCACTTTTGAGGTGGCAGTCCCCTCGCCATCTGTGGTGCCTCCAAATACAACTGTTGGTACGGGATTTGCGGGACATCCCTTGAATTTCGATCCTCAGGGTCAGTCAACAATAGCTCCTAATTGCTATTCCCTTGAAAACGCCGGTTATACGTCAGGATATTCTCCTGATCATAACCCCGTTTACTTTTCTGGCCTTGAAGAGAACCCACAGAAACGTCGACGATTAATAGGTTTCAACTCGATGCCTTTAGCAGATGAGTCTTCGTCATCTAGCATAGGCAACCAGGAGAAGCTGCCTATAGGGGATCATGATTCGGTGTCAATTACGCCACGGTGGGCACCCGCCATTTCTAATGTACAATCACTAAGCTCTCCTCTGGCCTGTGTGACAGACTCTATTACCAACTGCTGTGCCTTCGGGTGGCAGCAGCAGCCCGCCGGTATGCAAGCTTCCTTACCGCTACTTTGTAGCTCCATTCTAGCACTACGGTAGAAGACTAACGATATGAGCAATAGGGTATGAAGCTCTCCCGCCCCCAGTGGCTGTGGTGTGTGAGCCGCCTCAGCAGCCTGTTATGGAAGTATTGCCGCATATGCCCACTGTACCCGATCATGGCGAGTCACCACAACAGGCACAACTGCCCAGTGATGAGTTTGTCTTGAGCTCTTTCATTGCACCCAGTAGTAGCGGGCTGTCACAACAGGCATCCCTTTCGACTGATCTGCTCAGTCTGAACCCACTGCTGGACATTACGCCTCAAATTGGGCAGCTGTTGCAACAAGAACCCATCCCTGACAATCTACTGGGCTTGAGTTGTTTACATTTTATTGCGCCTGATAACGGACAGTCTTCACAGCAATCAATGCTTTCAAGTGAGCTGCTCAATTTCGACCCTTTGGCTCTCCAAATGTACCCTGCCTTCGGCGACGCCTTGCTGCAGGAGCTGCCCCATTCTGCGTATACCAATCCACTTGCCAGCACAAGTCACGAGCAGCATAACCAACTTGTCTCCCATCCTAATGCCCCCAGTCAATTTGTTTCTTCAGAGCCGTATGAACTGTCAATGAGTCGGGCAATGATTGCTGTGCCGCCAGCGGATGAAATTCCAATTGGCGGGACTCAAGGAATTGGGGGCAGCTCACCATTGCGGCATGGTCCGGCACCTGATTTGCGACCTAGCCGTCCTCTATTGGTGGACATTGAACCGACGTCTTCCAATGTGTATAATTATAATGTTCCGTCGGGACAAAACTCAGCTCGACCAACGACTCAGCCAGCAATCGTTGAAGAGAGAGCCAATGCCGTGGCCCAGAAGCAGAACCTCGCCGCTGATAACCAGCAGCGAAGTGGTAAGAGGGGTCCCTTTAGAGACCAAGCTCTCCGAGAACAGACCGCCCAAACAAGACGCATGGGTTCCTGCCTCAGGTGCAGGATGCAGCGCATACGAGTAAGTAGCAAGCTCCCATAAGCGTAAAACGTCGTATCCGTACCGCTCTATACAACAGGGCTCAATATACCCGAAGTAGACTGACGCAGCTTTGCAGTGCGAGTTTGATGTTCCAGGTGGGTGTTGCTTGCCCTGCAAAAAGGTGGAGAATACAAAGGCCGCACGCTTGCCATGTGTCCGATACAAGATCACCGATATGGCACTTTATAAAACGGGCCAAGTTCCAGGATATGAGTGGACCCAGAGATGGACCAAAGGCACCTCTGACCCCATCCAGCTATGGGCATCGTCCGAGATTAGAACTGTCTACGTTTCCGTGCATTATTCAAAAGAGCGGCTCCCACTTCAGGTTCGCAGGTTTGTTCCCCAGGAAGGCGACAAGCTAGAGCGGACATGGGCCTATCGAGGCACCAAGAAGTCGGCTCTTATCCCGCCGTATGCACTTGTGGATGTGGAGGCCGGCACATCAGCGTACACCACCTATATCCGATCGTCTATGAAAGGCATTTTTACATCCATGCTTGGCAAGGAGGATGATCTATTGTACCAGACCTACCTCTTGGCCTACCATATGTGGCAAAAAGAGGAAAGAACGTCAGAGGCATTCGGGCTACTCAATTGGACGCTTCGACTGTGGGTAGCCATCCGCCTGTCAACTACATCCGCATTTATTGTCGGAAAAGAAACGCTAGACATGCCAGCAAATATCCTTGACGAGTCAAGCCCCGATCACGGAAAAATTCCACTGCCTCCCGTAATGGGTGCACAGATGGACATGATCCTGATACATCATATCCAAAACAAACTTAGGCACGAGCTTTTGGATAATCTCCAAAAGGTGATGCTCAGGAACAAACCAACTAGTTGGCTAGTGACTTATCTGGTGTCGTTTATTCTGCTTCATAATATCGCACTCATCACAAAGCATGATGCCAGCTACGCCATCAAGCATGGCATGAATGTGAGTTTCCCCTAAAAGAGACTCCCAATATATGCACCCCAGACATTGACATAATGCTTTTCCACAGCGTCGGTTTGCCAGAGAGGAAAAGGTACGAGAATACCATATGGGTAAGTCCCCCCCACTCCGTATTGCACAGACGCGGTGGCTAACGGTTGAGATTCGGTGACGGCGATGCAGGAGCAAACGTCATTCTCGCGCACTTTCATTACTGCAACAAGGGGAGAATCCCCTTTTCCGAGGAGTGTGAAGACAAAGATTTGCGAGCACTAGCGCAACTAGATGAGGAAAAGATTCTGTTTGTCCGTGCGACTAGGGGATTCGTCCAGAGACACCGTAAGTACCCGATTCTCCGGCCCTCATCATACCCTACATCAGAAACCCAAATTTCTGAGCCTATGCTAACACTTTATAGAACAAGAGTGGAAGCAAGCTCGGTCTAATGAAGTATACGAGGACGACTACTTTTTCGTCAGCCAGCTCTTTGACGAGAAGTGGCAGCCAAGCACTACTAATGTGTAGCTCTGCTCTGAGATTTACGTTTCGTTTGTTTAGCACCTTAATACCCCAAAAGGAATAGAGAAAGGCAAGGAGGAAAAGAGAGAGAATTTGGGTCATCCGGGTCATTCTTCCTAGTACCTAGTCAAGTGGCACCTGTTGAAGCGGTGAGATGATGGTGGTACTAGAAAGCCTGGCTGCAGAACATCATGCAGGTCCCCAAAGGCAGTGATTGGGTCCAGTCAATGGAGTGTTAGCAAGTTATCTACCGTTTTGGCAGTATACCCCCTGTATGGCAGGAATTAGCGCGAGATGTATCGTGATCTGATGGATCTGATGCACAGATGGCTTGCAGGCTGCGTTGACTATGAATTATGATTACGAGCAATGGCATTAAACGCAGTGTTGTGATTGCTTCTCCAGCAGCTATAGCAGTATTTCATTGGTAGAAGGACGCACTCTAGTCTAATATCATCGTATTTATCGAGCCTTCTCTCACCAGCCTTTGCCAATAGATCATTACAAAATTGGTACGGAGTGGTGGCACGGGATGTCACTACCCGAGGAAAGCGGTGAACTTCTTGACTCATATAAACTATATCTAGGTAATTACTTATATGTAGGGGCTCTTGCCATCCCGTCGCGGCAAGACGCATTTCGGCAATTACTCAGTGCAAAGACAAACGCAAACAAGCGAGCCGGCGGTGTGTCATTTTTCGTTTCTTTTTTTTCTTTTTCTTTTTCTTTTTTTTTTATTACCTTTGAAGCTTGGATATGAAGCTGAAGCTACTGAGCTACTAGTGAGTGAGACATTGTCATGGGCTATTGCCTGCCTATGACATGGGCCACTGCATTCTTTCCTTTTTTTGTTTTCCTTTCTTTTTTTGATAAAAGGAAAAGAAAGCTTGTCTCTGACCTAAACCATCTCGAGAAAAGCATGACCAGGGCCTTATGCTCGCTCCCGTTTTTCGCTTCCGCCGGCATGATGTTAGTCAAGATGCCGTCAGTAGGGAGAATGGTCCCACCACATAGGTAGGCAATCATCACGGATAGCTTCCGCTGATTTGCTTTTTTTGCGGTGAGAAGCGATTGAAGCTATTGGGAAGGTACGCTTGTTTTGTTGCTTGCTTTTCAGAACTTGAGACACAAGTAGCGGTCTATGGTATACACTAGGTGGCTCATCAACTGCTCCTTCCTCGACTTAAAAGGGCAGCACAATCTCCTCAAGTCTTCTACTTTTTCCCAACCATCTTCCACTTCTTGCTTCGTTTCTACCTTTGCATCGCCTTCGCTCAGCAAATCAGATCCGTGACACTTGTGCACTCTCGTTCTCTCAGTCTTTTGATTTCCACCATCTTGCCACTCCAATCCAGCGTCAAGCCCATCTCCAACAGCCAGAAAGCCATACTACAGTCCTCTACAATGGCGTACTCCATGGCCGGCCCCATCACTGACTCGAAGCTCCTCGCTTCTCACCAGGACTTCAAGCTGCCTGATCCTCCCGCTGAGATGTCCAGCCTGCCCAATGGCTTCCCCTCTGCCCTGGACTCGCCTTTGGCATGGACTGGTCAGCAATTGGCTCGCCAATCTGACTATATCCACCATTTGAGCGAGAACGAGATTGAGGAGATTGAGGCTGCTCTCCAGCACTTCAAAGGTGAGCCGTCTGCCATTGGCAAGCACCTGCTCTCGCCAGCTCTGCTAACAACATACAGCTCTTGAATTGGACGGCGATCTCGTCACTCCTGACACCTTCCCGCTCCCCACTGTTGGCCCCAACGTGCTCAGCCGCATGCGTGACGATCTTCACCAAGGCAAGGGATTTGCCGTTCTTCAAGGACTCGACTCCAAGAAGTACTCTGTCGAAGACTTGACCACCATGTATCTCGGCGTCCAGGCCTACATCGCGAACCGCTGTGGCCGCCAGGACAAGAAGGGTAACATGCTGGGTAAGAAAGTTCTGGCTGTCTCCATGTTGTTCAGTAGACTCACAAGCTCCCAGTCCACATCGTTGCCGATAACTCGTCAAAGGAGAAGGCTGAGCACCATCGCCACTCAACCTCCCCCATTGTAAGTTATCTGAAATGCGTTTCTAGCACCATGTGACTCACTGACTCAAATTTGTAGACTTTCCACAATGAGGAGGCTGGAGACATCGTGAGCTGGCTCACCAGGAATGCCGCCAAGTCCGGAGGCAAGTGCATCATCGCCTCAACCTACACCGTTTACAACGTGCTCTCCGCCACTCGCCCCGACCTGATTCGAACTTTGGCTCGATCTGACTGGCCATTTGCATTGTAAGTGACTTGAACTCCAAGATGCGACTTCACAAGACAGAGGCTAACGCTTCTACAGCCCCAAGTTCCAATGCCGACCTGTCTTCTTCTACGAAGATGGCCGACTGATCACCAACTTCGGTCGAGCTGCTCTCATGGGAAGTGCAGCCCACGCCAGACCTGCCCACCTGCCCACCCTCACCGCCAACCAAATCGAGGCCCTGGATGCAATCCAGGACATTGCAGAGGCAACCAAGTTTGAGTTCAGCACAAAGGCAGGTGACATGCACTTCATCAACAACCTGGCTGTCCTCCACCGCCGCGCGGGCTTTGTCAACGGCGCAGAGGCCGATCAGCGCAGACACCTTGTGCGCATGAGACTCCATGACGACGAGATGGGATGGAAAATCCCTGTTGACCTTCAGCTCGAGTGGAACAAGGCTTTTGGCCCCGCGGGAACTCAGGTGTGGCACCTTGAGCCCATGCCCACTGGGTACTTTCCTCTACGATCCCAGCCCAACTAGGCTGGTAAGCCAGCGTCGCCCGATTGGAACAGGCCCTCCGATCCTACAGCCGGGCGATCCCTTGTGATTGGCATGATTGAAAAGGGTGGCTGGTTCTAGGCGAGAGCGCTACTGATCCAGAGAAACCTCCCTACATTGGCAAGTGACGTTTTGAAATTTTGACCTTGATGGCGTCTTACGGCAGGCAAAGAAAAAGACGATAGACTGGGGGATCTGCGAGGATCTACACAAAAGCTCACTGCATTTTTCTTTTTTGTTTCTTCATTTCTTTTGTTGGCAGCATTATAGACGGGATGGGTAGAGAACACTATCCTCCCACCACTTTCGCGCTTATTATAGATTCGGTATAGACTAGATAGATTGACCAGAATGCACATTTTGAGATTACAAGACTTCGCATAGAGGGTGCTGGTGACTGCTAACGTCGATATGAGGCTGCACCTTTAACATGAGCTTTGGTCAGCGACGCCAAGATGAAACAGAAGGCAGCAGTTCAGACTCAACACTAAATTTTGTTTGCCAGGGCATTGATAATTTCAGTCCGTTATGGGGAAGATGGCAAGCACTTGTTTGGTGCCATGGATGTAGTCGAAAGTGGAGCCCACCTGATCCAGCAGTGATCCAAGCCATTGGATACACAAACCCTGTCAGAAACGATGTATGGATCACGAGACTAGTGACGGGGTATAGAGGAGCACAAACAGCACTCGTTATTGGCGGGTCTTGCTGCGTGTCTTGAGCGGCTGATACGTGTAGAAACATGAGTGCTTGGGTTACACGGCGGTAAAGGAGATTAAACGCGGCAGCGGCCACAACGGCGCCAAGCAAGTAGGGAGGAGACAAAAAGGAAAGAAGCTGCAGACACTATGAGCATGGCATTGCCAATGAGACCACTACTAGCCCATAAAGGCGTTTTTACAAGTATGTCTTGGAAGAGTCGACATGGGTATGTCGGTGGACTGGGGGGCTTAGCTGAGACCAGTGGAGTGGGTATTTTACAGGGTATAAGAATTTGGGACAAAAGAAAAGACGGAAAGAAAAAGAAAAAAAGAGCAGAGAGAACGAGAAATGGTATGACAAGAGATTTGCATAGGATGTGTATTTTTGGGTATACCTAGGCTGGGGAGAGATACTTATTTGCGTCATGACAAGGGGGATCCAAGCTATGGGTAAGTACATACTTGGGTAGGTAGTAGGCAACAATCCGCGCTCAGCGCCTGATTTCTCTTTTCTCTATTCTCCTTGACACGCATTTTTTTTTTCTTTGCTTTTTTTTTCTTTCCGGTTCTCGCTCTCTTTTCTTACTTACCCTTGCAGGGAGCTGGATACAATGTTGCTACTATTGCTTTTTTTGGTACAGGTAATAGAGTGCTTTTGACGGCGGTACTGCCATCTAACACGTCCCGCGTTTTATGACAGGTCACAGATTCAACTGCCTCTTTTTTTTTTTTGCCACACAAAGATCGCCTAAAGCACGATTGTGACAGGCTCCCGGATGTGAGGATCGCCGAACGGGACGAGACATGCATGATTTCCCCAGCAAGATAGATAAGGAGGGGAGATCAGATGGACGGCTGGTGATCCGATGGCGGCTGGATAGTTGGACTCTGGAGATCGGGATGCGATATCGAGTATCGGCAGTAGGTGCAATTTCTGTCCAAGTGGTGTCATAACCACACTGTTTTATACGGAACGTTGATATCGGCGAGTATACGAGCAGCTGCGCATGTAAGAGAGTAAATTGAAGGCTGGGAAATAATGCAGAGCAGCTGGCATGAATGAGTATCTAGCCATGGGGTCATCGTGATCCTTCCTGAGCGTTTACGAAAAAGCAAAAGGCAAAAGAAAAAAAGAAACGAATATTAATTTAAAAAAAAGACGGACCGATCCATGATGGACTGGAAAAGAGCGTCAATGTTTCGACCTGATGCATTCGCTCCATAACCAACAGCATTACCTTGGAGGTAAACAGTACGGCCCTGCAGCCCCAAAACGGCGGATGGCTTCCCCGTGACTTTAGCGGCTCAAGCCAGGCCTCGATAGCCTTGCCGGCCATCAGCTACAGGCGCTAGCAGTCACGGGGGGACCGCCGGAATTACAGCGCTAGGGCGTTGGTGACAGCAGCCATTCAGGGCTCCGTTTTCGAACCTTGGCTTCTGTCTCCTTGCCTTGGGTGGGGCGCGCATGTCTTCAGCTGTGGCAGCTTCATCCTTACATTGAAGCTTCATCTCGCTGCAGTCTAACCGCTTCCCTACTCATCATTCATTCAACGCTGTTGAGGTTTCCTTTCTTTTTTGCTTTTTTTGCTTTTTCCCCCGCCTCCTCTTTTTCTCCCTCGCATAAAGCACGACCAGGCTCGGCCCATGAATCGGAGCCGGTAGCCAGGGGTGTGTCTATGTTGCTTGCTCGCTGATGCCAAAAGGGGTTGCCGCCAACACCGACCGAGTTTGCCCAATCCGAAATCGTGTGTCGCATCGAATCGAACCGAATCGAAATCGCATCGCGCGCATCGTTACCGCGCCGTCGGACTGGGACGCACATACGCGAGATAACTGCTACGTAATTGAACTGGCATTGAGACAAGGGCGGGAGGGCGTCACCCGAGACACACAAAAAAAAGGACGGATACATCACAGAAAAGAGAGTTTTTGCGGGAGCGCTGAGTATCAGCTTATCAGCCGCACTTCAGGAGCTGAAGGCCCGGCTTACCGCGTGTGGCGATCCTGTCATCTTGTTTTTTTTCCTTCTTTCTTTTGCGTTGGCTTTGGCTCTATCACCGGAGCTTCTTTTGAGTGGCTGGTTTACGTGGCCCTGTCTTGGGCGTGACTCGGGCTTCACTCTTGTTTGCCCATCGAGACCAGGGTAGGCGTCGCCGAAACCGATCGATCGAGCAAGCAAGCACGCAAGCAAGCAAAGCGAGCAATCAAGCCATCGCCATGGCGAAGCCGACAGCGTCACAGGCCGGCAAGCCCCGGACGGGCAGCTCGTCGGGCTACCAGCCCATCCACCAGGACGAGTCGCAAGAAGCCATCGAGGAGGAGGCTGTCTTGTCCGCGACGTACCTCCCGCCGCGCCGGTCGCGCGCTGATCGCCGCTACCGCACGACCATCATCGCCCTCGTCGTGGCTCTGGTCGTGCTCCTGGCCTCCAATCTGTATCTGTCGCTGCCGTACCTCTTCCCCGGCCGCGGATCCGACTCGTGCCCGTGCCGCCCCAGCAAAGTGCCCCAGTATTTCCAGACGTCGCCGAATCTGTGGCCCGGGCCAACGGCCACCGGCAACGCCGCATTCCTGGCCCAGACAAGGACCTTTGATCCTACGGCGACGTTTGTGCCCAATGAGCCGCTGCAGACGGCCATTCCCGTCAAGGGCATGAAGCCCGGCAACGACACCATCTTCAAGATGATGGGTTATTTGTCTCCGTACTTTCCTTCTCCGGGCTTTGGCGTCGACGAGTACCCGCTGCCCGCAGGAGCTGAGATTGTCCAGGTTCAGATGCTGTCCCGTCACGGAGCACGCTACCCTACTTCTGGCGTCGGCGTTGTTGACTTTGGCAAGCGCATTGCCAGTGCCTCTGACCAGTTCAATCCGAAAGGGCCGTTGAGCTTCCTCAAAGGATGGGAGTATCAACTTGGGTCTGAGATTCTGGTGCCAAAGGGGCGTGAAGAGCTGTACAACTCGGGTAAGCATTGAGGCTCTGCTCTAATGTCATTTCTATATCCTGTGAGGAAACTGACCATCCATCTGTATAGGAGTCCTTCATAGCTACATGTACGGCAGTCTGTATAACCCGAATAGCAAGATTATTGTCCGCACAACGGTAAGCTTTTTTTTCCTTTCAAACAGCAATTTGCCACCATATACTAAGTATGCATATTATAGACCCAGGATCGTATGCTCAAGTCAGCGGAGAACTGGATGGCTGGATTCTTTGGGTTGGAATGGTGAGCGCGTTACTCCAACTCTCTCTCTGTCTCTCTTGATGGTCATGACTTACAATGGGCAGGACAAACAACGCAACTATTGAAGTCATCATCGAGGCTAGCGGCTTCAACAACTCCCTTGCGGGTGCTCTCAGCTGCTCCAATGCTTTCTCCAAGACGGCTGCCAACGAAGCCAGGCAAAAGTGGATTGATACCTATCTCCAAGATGGTATGCCTTCATTATATCTGTTTTTATTCTCAACTCAAAGATAATACGGCTACTGACGCTGAATAGCTCTTAAACGCTTCCAGGGGATGACAGAGGGATTTGAATGGACTACTAATGACGTATACAATGCTCAGACCATGTGTCCCTACGAGACGGTTGCATACGGCTTCAGCACGTTTTGCGATCTGTTCACTTACGAAGAGTGGCAAGGATTTGGCTATTCAATTGATGTGTGGTTCTCAGGTGGCAATGCTTTCCACAGTCCTGTCGGGGTACGTATAAAAACCAGCGAATCTCAACTCCATCCATGATATATCAGCACGCTAATACGAAATCCTATTCTACAGAGAGCAACTGGTATTGGCTACCAGCAAGAAGTCCTCGCTCGTCTGCAGAACCACACTCTCGGTTATTCAGGTTCACAAATCAACGTCACCCTGGACAACAACACCGAGACTTTCCCACTAAACCAAAGTCTCTACTTTGACTTCTCCCATGATACAAACATTGTTTCCATCCTCACTGCATTCGGCCTCCGCCAATTCGCAGAGGAGCTCCCAGCCGATCGCTATCCCGGGCCTCACAACTTCACCGTCGCCCACATCACCCCCTTTGGCGCCCGTCTCGACATTGAAATCATCAAGACGCCCAAGCCTGTCTCGCCAAATCGCGACGGTTATCTGCGCGGCGAAGAGCAGAAATACGTCCACTTTGTGCTGAACCAGCGAACCATTCCCCTGGGCCTGAGCTTCCCCGAGTGCGATGCCAGTCGCAAGGACGGCTGGTGCGAGTTTGACACTTTTATCAAGATCCAGGAGGGAATGACGGCAAAGGCCAATTTCGACCATGCCTGTTATGGGGATTATCTTAAGGAGCCGTATGGGAAGATTACTGACGGTGCTCCCATCTTTTAAAAGCACATGTCTTTGTTTTATGAGGATTGAAAGGATTGTACCTAGAAGTACGATGCATGAATTTGTAATACAAGATCGATGGATATCTTATCACAAGGGCGGAATATGCGGCGCTAGGGCATTGATTATGGACGACTATAGCTTTGATTGGATTTTTTTTGGAAAATAATGAATGAAACTTTTATGTGTTAAAGAAACGATGTAGGAATTTGGACTTTTCACATGGCTCATTCATCATCTATCCATACGTATCGTTGTATAGTTATTCAGACATCTTGATTATCAGAACTTGGCCTTTTATTCATCCATTTCTACGCGTTTGCTTGTGCAACGATTTAAGCAGGTGATTAGCATTATTGTAGTACTCTTTCATTCTTAAGAACTATATCGAAATGTTGGGCCAAATATAGAGATATGAACATGTTGCAATTTACACTCTGAAGACTGAAACGAAATCTGAAAGCTCTAATAGACAACAACACATCTATCTGGTTAAGAGACTCTACGATTTCGTTTAAGTACAAGATGCCTAGTCAAACCAGAGCAGCTCATCATAGACAAGAGTAAGAATATTTTGCTATGCATAAGACACTGTACCAAAACGTTAGTCAAGTACAAAGATATCAATCAACACATTATAAACCTGAATACTCAAATGTAGTCGAAAGCTCAAGTAGATATCAATACATCTATCTATGAGACTGCAATCTCATCAAAGATGCATTTATTCAGTCAAGCAAGAGCAGCTCATCACAACGGTAAATAAGAGATTAGTGTAGTATAATATAAAATTTATTCTTTCATAGTCTTCCGCACGAATGGTATCTCCAAAATTGCTCGCACTCTATATAACCCATTCCGACCCGTCTATCCTACGGGGCTAACGCTCCAAAACGCCCGCTGATTCATGATACCCAAAACAAGTGTATATAACGTCAGAAAATTACAGTGTCGCCCGAACTAAAAATGCCGACGCGAATAATGTTACAAGAAACAAGAAAAGGCTTTTGTATAACCCCCAATATGTAAAAAGAAAAGAGAGGGCAAAGCATAGAGACACGCAACTCTAGTCACGCTTCTCGTTACTTTGGCTGCCTTCGGTGCCCTCGGTGCTACCCGGACGGTCTCTTCCAGCGTCAGACAAAGATACGGCCTTTGGCTCCTCCATATGAGTCTCGGCCAGGCTAGCAGAGCGAGCCATATTCGCGTGCTCCTGAATACCGTGCGTAGGCTCAATCAAGATTGTGCTTTCGTGGGCAGGCTCGTCACGGTGGGGGCTCCAGGCCAAAAAGTCACGTCGAACTTCGACATAATCGTATGAGAATTCGCCGTGCTGGTCGTCGTCCATGCCGAGAAGTTCGGCTTCCTCAGAGGCGCGCAGCTTGAGACCAGGAATGAGATCGATGATTTTGGCGATGACGGCGGACATGACAAAGGCATAGGCGGAAGCGGTAACGATGGCAGCAATCTGCCATCCAATGAGCTTGTAGTTGTGGTCGAGAAAGCCGCCAATGGCGCCACTGTTGACTCCGTCGAGGCCAATGATGCTACCGCTGGCGAAGAAAGCGTTGAAGATGAGGCCAACCATGCCACCGATACCGTGCTCAGCGAAAACGTCGAGAGAGTCGTCGATGCGGATAAGGAACTTGACTGTGAACATGTTAGCGTTTCTGACTTGTCAATTGGCCATGCCGAGAATCACTCACTCTTGGTGCTAAAGTTGCAGCAGATACCAGCAACAACACCCAGGATGATGCTAGCCCATGGAGTAATGAAGCCAGATGCAGGAGTGGCAGCAACAAGACCGGAGATGGTTCCGGAACACCAGCCGACCATGGACCACTTCTTGGCAAGACGGAAATCAAGGAGACACCAAGTCATGGCCGCAAACATGGCCGTGAGGCATGAGTTCCAGCAAGCCATGACGGCTCGAAGGTTGGCTCCGAAGGCAGATCCGCCGTTGAATCCCAGCCATCCAAACCAGAGAAGAACGGTGCCGAGGGTGATGAGAGAGATGTTGTGGGGTCGAAAGTTCATCATCATCTTTTCGTTTCGGCGGCCAAGGACCCAGGAATAAGCGAGAGCCGAGACACCGGAACCGATCTCGACAGGGACACCGCCCGCATAATCGAGGACTCCATTCTTGAAAGCCCAGCCGTTGGGGTTCCATACCCAGTAAGCCATGGGGCAGTAGACTAGAGTGGCCCAGAAGAAGCAGAAGACCATGCTCGGGACGACGCGGCCACGCTCGGCGACGGCTCCAACTGTCAGGCAGGCGGTAACGGCGCAGAACATCATCTGGTAGAACGAGTAGAGGAGGGCGGGGACGAGGGGGGATCCAATAGAGGGTGTGGCCAGGACTCTCTGAAGCCCAAAGTGGTTGAGGTTGCCGATGTATCCATTTTTGGAGGTCGCGCTGAAGGCTAGAGAGTAACCCCAAAAGTACCATTGAAAGACGATGACACTAAAGGACATCATCGTGACCCAGAGCATGGAGAGGGCGGATTTTCTGCGAGCGAGACCCGAATAGAGAAAGGAAACGCCAGGCACCATGATAAGCACCATACAGGCGGCCACCAGAATGAAGGCCTGGTCTCCGGATTGATACCATTGGTTCAGATTTTCGGTCCCTGAAGCAAGGGCTTGTCAGTCACGTCCGGTCATCCATCGACGGCCTCGATATGACTTGCATATCGGGGTAAGGAGCTTGTACAAGTATGTGCTACACGAGAACGGGGTCGAGGTCAGGGCTACGGTCGTGACATACTGGGATCGCCTCCATTGGAGCCTGTTCCGTTAAACACGGTCGGGGCCCCGAGATGGGCGTAGGACATGATGGGCTAAGCGAAATCCGGGGGTTTGTCGAATCGAAGTCGGAGAAGACAGCCACGGGGACCAGGCTGCTGGAAGCTGAGACGCGGAGATGAGACGGTTCGACGAGAAGCGTGAGGAAAGGTCGGATGCCGGCACAAGCAAGGCGACGTCCAGCGAGCCCAACACGTCGGCAGGTGATTTGATAAGGTTGCAGAAGTAAGATGCCCTTGAGGGTAACGTCTGGCTCGACTGGAGAGATAAGGCGTGCAGGAGAGAGGAAGAAAGATGAGAAGGAGGAAAGGATAGCCGAGCAGACGCAGATAGGAGGAAGGACGGAGGAGAGGCTTGGAGATAACGAACAGGCTAAGTTGAGTTGTATATACTCGCATCGCCGTCCATCTCGCAGGGAGCAGCCGATTCTGTCCCCGATTTCGACAGCCCGGCGACAAGCCGCGAGCAAAACCGCCGGCGCCATGGCCAGGACCGCCACGCCTCATCCCATTTTGCCCTCAGCAGCAGCCCTGGCGCATGCTGGGGCCAGTTACCCCAGACAGGCCCCGTTGAGGCCAGAGATAAGACACCAGGGGTGCGTCGCCCGCGTAGAGACTCTGGGAGACCCGAGCAGTTGACTGGGGCGTGCGATGATCGGAGGGGCGTGGGACGTGGATCCCATACATTACTGTAGGTATCGTCTCACGGTTGTTATCTTGGGCTAAGGGCTTAGTTCGAAGCGCGGCGCAAATCTGCAACTCTGAGGCATGGAGCAAAAAGGCAAAAGATAAGACAGGCGAGAGGAAGAAATGGTGTTGACGATGATGGCTTGTCGTGGCCGGCAACGGTCTGATTCTTTTTCTGTCTGTTCTTCTCCTTCCCTGTCTTTATTTCAGCATCCAACCATTACATCACCCGTCTTGGGGGAAAGAGCAATCGGGCGAGGCCCTGGGAACAGCAACAAATGAATCGGGCAAGAGCGCAGCGCCACGAACGCGGATTCTCAGCGCAGAAGCTGCGTCGATACAAGGTACCTCGAGATAAGGCCCAGCCAGAGTGGGCGCGCTTTGGTGCTGTAATCGAGATACGTACGACAAAAAGGAAGATACGGTCATTGAAACCGCCCGGTACGTACCTTTCTCGCATGTGGAAGTGGGCTCGAGATAGCGCTATCCCGTATTCGTACTAGACCCGCGACAACAATAGAACATGCAAGTGCACCGCATCTTGCTGTGCGAGCCAAGTATCAGCTGAGTATCGGTGAGGCCGCACGCAGAACGCAGGGGGCGATCGATTTTTGCTTCTAAACAACTTTTTTTTTTCTTCTTGCTTTCCGCTGGGATGGAACGGGGCCTGATAAGCAGCAAATTTCCAACCCTGATCTTTTTCGTACGACTTTTTTTTTTCCCTCGCGTCTCTCTATGATCCTTCCTTTTCCCACGCTTGATAAGGACTGATAAATTGGCCGAATATACCCGGCCTTATTATCCAGAGGGACAAGCCATATTACGAGTCGTTCCTTTTGATGTGCGCGTCTCTCTGCCCTCGCCAAAAGACCATTTTTCGGCCTGGCCAGCCCGAGACAAACTCACTCGTGTCCTCTGCGAGAAACAATTGAGCCGACAACCCGAGAGAGATGAGACAGTTCTTCATTCATTCCTTCTCCTTGGTGCAAGAAGCAAGGAGTGCATTACATTGAATCAGTGAAGCTTACTAAGACGCTGTCCTCATTCCTATGTCTGCTTATATTGCTCGCGTGCATCAGGTTTGAGGCCCAAGCTCTGTTCAGCTGTGGCGGCAGACAAAGGCGATGGCCCCGTTTGTTGTCACTTCATCATGTAAGGCCTGATAAGCCCACTCTTCCACTTCCACTCTTCGGAGCGGGAGCGCCGCCGGCCTGGTTGGGGCCTTGCAGTGGGGGAGCAGCGCCCTTGAACCTTGCCCTTTGCACAAGGCAGCTCAGGTAAGACAAGCCTCGCCAGATACAGTGGGCAGATAGGCATCTGAGCTTCTTACGGCATTCTCGTCTGTCAGGAAGGGCGTCTGCGTCCCGGCCGATTCGGAGGCCCGCCGTTGACACTAACAGCATCTAGTGGCCAGTAGCAGCGGCTTCTCGTAAAGTGGCGTCGCGAATAGCAATTGTCAAAGTGCGGGTGCGATGAGCCGTGGGATTGTTCGGTGCCTTGGCTGGCCTATTCTCGGACAAGGGCATCTGAAGTCGCGTCAAGGTGCTTGTTACACCGTCACCGTAAAGAAGCCGTGGTGGGTATCACGGGCGCTGCTGAGAAGATGCCCGGGTGCCAGTAACCTGGGATCAACTTGACAGCGCCGCTGACTCAAGCCAAACAAAAAAGGGCAACGAACGCAAGACATCGCCTGCCGACCTTCCGGAGAGGCGAAGCCCCAGACTGAGTCGATGGCAGCAAAGTAATGCCTCACGTGCGCATGCCGATTGTGAGAACGACTGCAAGATTCGCATACCCGGGAAAATCTCGTGGCGCACAGCATGGACCAAGTGCCACGACTTCCCCAGCCCCGATCCTTCAGTCCCCGCCTCCCCAATGCTTTGTATTTGTCCCAGTTCAAGATCCTCGGCTTTGCTCAACGTTGGCATGTTTGACTACGGAGCACTAACAAGGTTGCACATGAATATCTCGGGTATTCGCTGTACCGTCCGTTATCAGAGGTCAGTCAGCCAATCACGGCTCGGCTTGCTCATTACGTTCGAAAACCCCAATCAGGCGATTTGCGGAGCTGCCAGCCGCTGTGCCGCTGTTCTGGATTCGTCCAAGTTCGAAGCTTGGTATTGCCTTCTGCCTTGTTATAAATGGGCAACTATGGACTATCGGCGTTTGCAGATCTCAGTTGCAATGGCTAATGGATGATGGCACTATCCCACGTCTTGGCGCTTCCCCGTGGAGGCTTGGTTTCTTGTTCCTTTCTTGTGTAAGCTGTTACAGTTGCAATTATATAATAGCGGCCAGCGCGTACGGCCAAATTCTATCCTTGACATGTGTAGACTTTCCAAGCGTTGATATAGTGCATTAAAAGCCATACACAATACTGAGATCATGTTGTTGGCAGCATTAGAAAGTTACACAAGACAAGTCCAATCTCTAGTTTGTCTCCAACCAGGTTTTCTTTGATAATCTGCAGTCAATTACTATCGCCAATCCGTCTAGTGATATGTCAAGACAAGTGCGAGGAGAAGAAGCGAAACAGCTCCTTGTAGATGGACTGTTAGAAAAACTGTAGGCTTTACGGACATTAATGTCTCAAGCCTTCACTAGCTTTGAACATTCGACAGTGTCCAAAAACATGAGACATCGTAATAAGGGCTATGATTGAATATAGAAACCTCTGTGAAGATTCTACTGCTGAATTGGGATACAGGCGCCAGCATTGCAGCAAAAATTTGGCGAGATTAGAATGTCTAGGGCCAAGTTGAAAAAGGGCCTCTTCAATCACAGAATGAATTGGGAGGCAAGAAAAGAAAGACATGCATAGCAATACTATAAGTTACTCTTTAAACAAGACTATTGGTCATTGAGCTAGTTCAGGGGATATGCATCGCTATGACTCTATCGACTAGCATTGAGCTTTGCGTGGCATTCAAGAATAAGAGTTACTACGTCTCATCCTTTTTCAACCCCAAAGTTCATTCATAGAAATGTCTACTTGTTATCTCCAATGAACCGCAAATCTTATTTAATAGTGTAGATAGGAGAACCGAAGAAATAGCCTTTGTGGAAAAGAAGGTCGGCGTCAAAGTAGAAAGCTTCCGAAAAAAAAAGTTTGCAATAGATAAGAGCCCACAGTAGTCGAGAACAGTATTACTACGAGCAGAGTTTATTTCCTAACAGCACCAGCCACTCACAGAAACTTCTCAGCCCAACGATACACTTCATTTTAAATTTCTTCGTCTTCAAATTTAGGGTTTTACATTGACGGATCATTGATTTGCGTGATTCCATGCTTCTACTCCTGTTCCATCATCTCGTGATGGTCGGCCACTAGGCTATAGCAGTCGCATCAAGCCATATCATTAGAATGGATATCCAAGCGCTACCAAAACTCTTACTCTTACCGCTCTTGAGCTTGAACGCATTGCGATATTTGGATAATAATTAGTCCCTTCAAATATGCTAATCGTCCATTTCCACAGTACAGTATATTTACCGCTGCTTTTGCTATCCGATGTGGCATTTCCAGCTTTATAGTCATACAGTCTCGACATTCTCATCTCACTAAAACAACCCTCCCAATTTTTCGTGGCTCATTCTCATCCTGCAAAGGGCGTTTGCGTACCGACATACTTATCACGCAATCTATCTGCAGCTGGTTCCATCCAATATAATACAAGACATCTTAAGTTGGACTGCAGTGGGACATCATAGTCTGGAGTATATGGACTGTGAGGATATATCTGAGTCCAGCATGCGGGAGACATGAATCACTGGAGGAGCTCATCACAAGATGAGAAAAAATCCACATTGAGACAATCTCACAAGCGTTGGGCAGGCTATTCCAGCTAGCGGTGCAGACTAAACCAGTATGAACATGAGAAAAGGAGGAAAAAATGCACACCGAGACAAGCCCCGATGCGAGCTGAAAATAAGACAAAAGGGAGGGGGGGTACCATAAGGCAGGTTCTTTGGTGTTAAGAGGAGATTCGGGCTCCTAAAAACCACTTTTCGCACATGACGATGCAAAACCAATGTCGCGCCGGTCTCATGGTTGAATTTTGACCGAGGCCGGTCTTATGACGAATTACGCATTGACTAGCTTAGCTCATGGCGTATAGACCGACCTTTGAGGACGATGATGATCATCAATACATGGGAGGTGATACCTTTTGGAAAACTCAGCCCGGTTTTCATTGACTGCTTAGTCCCTAGGCATGGCAACCCCCAAAGTGAACCGAAGGAGAGACTTCTCCTCGTTCGGCCCATCCTGTAGAGAAGGAGGGGGACACGAGACGTGTTTGATGAGCAGACACGAAAAAAATGTAAAACCAAGTAATAACAGGGGAATACTACGGAATCATCATCACTCTCTGGTTGGCATTAGGTAGTCTATCGCTTCAGCTTTGCATTTGCTGGTCCAGTCTTATTATTTTTACTTCTTAGACTTCATGATAGGTAGGTGTCTACAAATGCTAAAAAAAAGACTTGTCGAACAAACGATTGCTTCATCCTCGCAAGGCCAAAAGTGCATTTGTATCAGCTACAAAGGGGTGTAATGAGAGTAATTGAACTACCCGCTGGAAGCCTTAATGGAATTTATGAATAAGGCAATACTTTATGTCAAGCAGTACCAGTCATATCATATATACAGATATATATATCTATATCTGTCCATTGACATAAACTTGCGGCGGACTAGAAGATTTAATTCCCAAAATATTGTTATGGATAATACAAGGATTGATCATATACAATTGAAGATTGGCAGAGGCACTCAACCCAAAATCTTTCCCTTCCTACCCATAAGCATATCTGTATCTTATGCTAAACCATTACTCACCGAAGCTAGACCATCTCATCAACCCATTGAGAAATCGAAGCGCATCCGTAGCTGTTTAACAGCCGCCTTACGAGCTTAAATTCAGTAGATATCACTACACCACCGCCGTTTCCATAGATGCAACAAGTCATCAATCTTTACCTTTCGAATGCAGTGTATCTGCCGAATGCTACTTGGACTGACTACAATCTAACGCAGGCCATGACAAAGTCTCATGACTGGCGCAAAAGTAGAAGCTCAGTCTTCATTGCCCACCACTTACACAAAAGTAGGCACCGTGAGCTGCCTAAACAGTTCTCGTTTTTGCCAGTCCATTCATGGACCAGGCCAGTCCGTTATTCACGCTCCATATTCACGTCAACATCCACAAGCACAAAAGAATCTCGTTTCATCATAAAATAGAAAGTAAAAGGACTTTCAAGCCGCCGCCCATACACGGGATATCGGTGCTATTAGAAAGCACTCATCTATATACATTGTGAAGCGCTAGCAGCTCAATCCTGTGAGTAACAAGAGCCGCAGCTAAAATTTGAATGCCAATAGATTGTAAAAAAGAGTGTTGGAAGAGAAAGATAAGACACAGGCTATTCTAAAATTTGGATTTTTTTTTTTTAGAAACAAACGCCGGGCATTCCGTAAACGAAAAAGAGGGGCTCTCAAATGATGCAAAGTCGTCCCGTTCGACCCTCTCTCATCAGTTCATACGTCAAGATATCGTGATTTCGATAATGCAGCATCAGTCTAAATCGCTTTGGCGTCGTCGTGCCATTCGTCATGTTACCCCCTCTATTCTCGTTGCTCTGCAATGGTCCCACGGCCAGCCCGTGCAGCGGTCTTAGTACCGGCCGAAACTTTTCTTCATCCGATTGTCGCGGCAAAACGTATTCAACTCGAAGCCCATGATGCCAACACTTCCACGGTGTTTTCGACGTAACCGGCGCCGTAAGCTTGGTTGGCGTGACGAGCAGAACTCGCCCAATTGGCGACCCTACCACTACCAGGGAGAGCTCCGGGATGTGTAGGATGAAACTCAAGCGACTAGTTGCGCGAAAATAGGGCCGGAGGCTTCGCTGGTGAAAATTGCCAAACGTGACTGCGTTTGGACACATGACCCCAATTTCTTGCCAACCTGCTTCGTTCCCTCGCAGGCTTCTCAGCTCCAGATCCTTTTCATACGTTCGGATAAAGTGATATCGTCTGGTTGGGTCCTTTTTTCGATATACCGCCGCTGTTTCTTCCTCATTGTTGTACTCCATAGGCCGATTCAAAAATGCAAGAAGCTGCGCTGGGGTTCTGGGGATAGTCTGAATCTTTCCGTTGTGTGGGAAAAATGCCATGTCAAGTCGAAAGGGTGGTGTATTGAGCTTGTTGTACCTGTGTTGTCCCGAATACGCAGAATCAAAGCTCTTGCCCCTTCCATGCCTTGGTGTTGTCTTATCTTGGTCTTGCGGCATCGGCCCAGGAGAGACCGGAGGTGAAACAACGTCTTGATATTCCTGCACAGCATAAGAAAGCTGCCCTATTGCTTCATCTATGTCTTGTAGTGCTTGTTGGAAGTGTTCTCCTGGAGTTGTGGCTCCAAACGACAGGTCCTCATCTAGTTCGACCATCTGCGGAGTCTCCGAAGCAACAATGGAATCTTCAATGACGGCCTCTCCTTCTTCCTCTTCCAGAGACGCGCCTCCATAAAACGGCACGTTAATGTCTGGGTCGATTATTTGTGAAGCAAAAATGGCATCTTCAATGACGGCCCCTCCTTCTTCCTCATCCTCATCTTCCTCATCCTCCTCCTCCTCTTCATCGTAATCGTCAGCTTCCTCATCAATGTCCTCACTCTCACTCTCATCCTCGTCGAGTTCATTCAAGTTGTTGTTTTGAGTCTCCAATGCTTCAGGTTCGGTTTCACTTTCGTCGGTGTCGTCGTCCGTGAAAGCAGCTAGATGATTCGCATTACCTGCTACCAAATGTAAAAATTCATCATGCAACATGACTGGAACATAATGGTAGAACTGACCAGACCTAGCCCCGGTCGCAGGAGGGCATGGGTTGTCCGGTATTGCTGCGAGACATTCTGTGATATCGGTCATCGGTTGTTGGTATTCCGATGCGGCATTGAAGATTTTCAACGCCCTTTCCGGTAGCCCAAACATTTCCTCTACGCTGTTCACTGGCAAGAAACTGCCTTTAGCAAGAGGTAATACGCCCCACCCCCTAGAGCAAGAGGTCAGAAAATCAACATTGCATCGTCGTATATTTATCGATTCACGAGACGAGACGCTGAGTAGTACTTACCTCGACGGAGCAGGCCAAAACTCCTCGCTTCGGAGTGCATCATGCTCTGAGGGGTTAACTTTGGTTACGGGCTGGAACATTCTCCAGATATCCGCTATCCACAATACGCCTTTAATGTCCACAGCGCAGACCTTTTCAGCCTGGCCGTCTACGTCGTCCAAAAAGCAGACATTAGGAATGTTAGATGCGTCCTGCCGAAGAGCTATAACTATTCTCCAATTTCGCGCTCTCCTGGGAATTCCCGACTCGGTGCTGTCGCAGCTCTGGCAGCAGTCGCAGAATCCTTGGGTTTTCCGTGATTTAGTCCGGCAGCTGGCCAGAGCAAAGGCAAAAACCGTCACCTCGGTGCGATTCGAGCTCACAGCTATGAGACGGGACTTGCGGTGAATAGCCAATCCCCAAGCTGATTGGCCAACGTTCTCATGAAGGAGCAGCCTTGGTGATGAGCGACTGGTGTAAGCCTTCCTTGAGCTTCTCTGCTCTTTGGACTGGTTGCGTTTGTTCTCAATCAAGTCTGTGATGTCTTTCACATAGTACGCAACAACATCTCCGTCATCATAACAAGCCAAGACGATTTCCTCTTCTCCGAGGTAGCCAGTAATGATATGGTTGATGGTGTGTGGTGTAATGATATCGACGGTTCCTCCAATGGCGAGAGCCTCTTTACTCGGCTGAGGATATATCCGAAAGTCTGGATCTTGAGGAACCCTTTGCTTGGGAACGCTTCGAGGAACATAGACGAAAATTTGACCTTGGTATGCGACAAAGTAGAGGTTGTGACCTTGCGACAGAGCAGCCAGGTTATTTCGGTAGCTTTGCATGCTTGGGACTAGCCCATATATCGATTTATTGGCACGAGGTGCATCGTCGGTGTCGGCATTTGGCCACGTAAAGGGCTCTTCGAGGCCCTCCAGGGGCATTCCCACCGCAGCCCGTTCTCGATCCCGGATCGCGCTCTTAGCTTCATCGCCAAACTATGCGAGTGGTCACGTTGGATCAGTATACGCTACTCTGCTTCAAGCGCATCGCTTGCATCATCATCGCATCCAAAATCGACTAACCCTATTCGTCGCTGTTTGAACATGGCATTTCCCCACTGAGACAGCGGGAAAGCTAGGGATTGACAGCTTCCCCGATGGACGATCCATGGCCGTCGAGCACAGAGGAGCCTCGCCGGTGCGGGCTGGCTGCGCGGTCTCGGGACATATAGTGCACGAAAGGAAGAAACGAGTGTGTAAGTAATGATCAAATAATGGGCTTGGGCGTCTGCGTGCAAAGGTTGAAGAATGGCTTGATTGTTGGAAAAGGCAAACTTTTTGCAGGAGAAGTTGAAGGTTTCCAGGACTGGGGGAATGATGCAGCGGCAGGGACCCCACGTTAACGTTTCCGGTGCTTTATCGATAAAGCAAGGGCGACAGAGCTCGGTCCCGTGATGGCGTCATAACGGCTGATGCTGGTAAGACTTACGAGGCAGAAGTCAATATTAAACGCTGTTCATTTTCTAGCATAGCAATGTATCATAATAGATAGATAAGATCATAAATGTAGTGTGTGGAAATGCGTATCATCGCCATAAAAAAATAAAAATAAAAATCCCACCGCGATTGGTCTTTGCGTGGGATTGGTTTCCATGCCCGTCCAAACGCCTCCAATGTACATCATGAGTATACTCGTCAAACTGGGTATGTAACCAAATAACGCCATGATAAATCAAACAAAGAAAACCCTCAAAAGAGATACCATTCTCCTTCTTCTTCTTCTCCTTCTTCTTAAATCCAAATAATCCCCAGTTCATTGCCTCATAAGCTCCAGCAAATCCTTCATTCTGTAATCCAGCACGGGTGTGATCCAGTCATCGTGCATCAACGAGTAAGACTCTCTCGCGTTGTCCTTCGGTTTGCGCGGATTCAAAGCCCAATAGCCAAAATCCGCGTCGATGGACTTGAGATACTTTAGCAGATTCCTCCAGTAATGCACATCTCCAACAGAAGGATCGTTTGGTGCGCCTAGTTCGCCAAACCAGACTGGTGCAACGTCGCCCTCAAGGAGATATGCCCAGTTGTGGCGCATCGTCTTGACAAACGACTTGTAGCTTCGCTGAGCGAATCGGCCGTCCCAGCTGCCCCAGCCTGACCACTTGTAGCCGTGGGCAGAGTATACGAGGCGGTTATCCACGTCCAGCTGGACCGGCCGTTCTCTGGCGCCCGAAACATCGTTGGCTGACTCGGTGCCTTCGACGACGATGAGCCAGTCCGACTTCATCTTCAGCAGCCGGTTGCCGCATTTCTCTGCCGCAGCCGCCCATTTGGACCATGGCATTGTTCCCCAGAGGCCCCGGACCTCGTTGCGGAGGTCAGCCCCAATGACCAGTGGGTTGTGCACGAACCGCTCCATGACCGACTCCCAATGCTGTATCCATTCCTCTTCCGTCTGCTTGACCCGGCACAGCGACCCCAGGTGATCGTTGGCCCAGCCAGCATCGCAAGGATCCGCCCCGCAGCACCACGTAGCGCGTGTGATGTGGTTGTTGATAATGACAGCAATGCCAGCATCCGTCAGGGCGGTCGTCACTGCCTCAAACACATCCATGGCGTGGAGGCCCTCCAGATCCGGGTTTGCAAGCACCAGACGGGGCTCAATGATGGGGTTCTTCATGACCAGCTCATCCGCATAGGGAAGTCTCACGCTGTTGAAGCCCAGCTTCTTGATCGTCTCGGCAATAGCGCTCCGGTGCTGAACGTCCAGGCCGCCGGGAACGAAGAGCTCGTCGCTGGCGCCATACCAGTTGATCGAGGACAGTTTAAATCGATGGCCCTCGGCGTCGACAATATTCCGGCCCTGCGTTCGTAGAGGCAGCTTGTAGCTCGATATCCATGTCCTCTCCAGGGGAGCAGGCAGGGGCTTCCGGCCGAACAGTAGCGAGTCGCGATCTGGCCTCCACTTGGCATCCAGGTCCTGCTCTTTGATCCACAGAATCGACAGGTAGAAGAAAATTGGGATCAACATGAACAGCATCGCCATCGTACATCGTGGCCGCAGCCGATGCGACCGACGCCAACGCTTCCGAGATTGCGATTTCCGAGTCACCTGCTTATTCATCCACATCCGGCCAGCACCGTCGGGGCTCCCCATCGACTCAAGCTCAGAAAACAGCGGCAGATGCTCACCCGCGTCTGAAGGGTACTGATACTCGTCCACGGATTGGCTCCAGTGCACATGTCGCTCGGATTTGGCAGCTCGTGAGCCGCTGTTGCTGTCGCTTCTGCTGCCGCCAGAGAGGGCAGATGCGAGAATCCGTCCGATAGCCATGATTGCCGTCCTAGGAGCGTGATGCCAAGCCGTTGCTTACGCAGCAAATGCAGATCGTCCGAAGGCTCCGGAGAGTGAAGCAAAAGGCAGAATTACGTTGCCCTCTACTTGTTATTTTCGATTATATCCTTTTTGTTTTTTCCTTTCTTTTCTTTTCTCTTCACGTCCGCATGGAGCTGTTGGTGGGGTTCATCGATTCAAGCGTAGCTGCTCCAAGATGTCGCGTGCTCACATTCACACCCAAGTCCAAAAGAGGCGTCTGGACACGTCGTGCTCGGTCGCTTTCTCTTTCTTTGTTGTCAGGGCAAAAAGCAGCGGGCTCCTCTAGATTGCACTACTGAGAAGGCTTGGTGCGTCGAGAAAGCGAGAGACAGGCTGCAGCTACGGCATGCCACATAGAGAAGGAAGATGGAACAAGAGTCGAGAGTCAAGATCAAAAGTGCTCCGGCCCAGCTCACACCGAGGGAGATATAAACACGTCCCTCGCCTTTATAAACGGCGACGGCACACTTAATTCCGCTGATATCACGTCACCGGCCAATCGCACCTGCGGCCAGGCACAAGGGCCGTTCCGGAGCACCCGGAGAATTGCTGCTGCCATGGCCTTGCAGAAAAAAGCAAAAACAGCAAAAAGAAGTCGAGGTCGGCCAGGGGACTACCCGGCGCTGCATCCGCTAGAGCGACAAGTAATCCTGCTAGTGCAGGTACTTGCCAACGTATGGGAATCTCTGCATGTGTACGCGTATATGTTACTGGAGCGATACTTTGCGAGGTAGCGATCATGGACGTCGGATCGGCAACTTAGGCTCCAATACCACCTTGAATACGACGTTCCTACTCAGGTATGTGAGACACATCTCGCCATGCATCTCCCGGAAATTAAATCTACGATCAAAAGGCTTGTGGGAAATTGCTGGGATGGGCTTGATTCTTGTCCATTAGGCCTGTCTGGTTTCTATGTCCAGACATGGCTGATTTTAGTAGATAAGGTATATACATGAAGATGCTGTGTAGCAGTAATGAATATGCCCCGCGTGGAGCCAGCATATTCGTTTCTTTTTCTTGCCCCTTCTCAGCCATCCGCCGCTTCCGGGCTGTAGCTTTTAGTTCCCGCATTCCGCATCTCATCCTGAGCTAATCGTCATGTTTTTGTACAAAGGGTTACCTGTGAGCACAGAAGGTGTAGCCAATGATGTGCCGTACGCAGGTCCTCCAGGGATTTCCGCTTCCTAGCCTCCAGCTATGTTGGAGGCTGCCTCCGATGCATGAGACTAGCCTGTCTCGTCATAATGCCCTCCCCCCTTTTGATGAATTTATAGAGAGAAAAAGAAAAAGAAAGAGGAAAAGGAAAAGGAGCGGAAGTATAATCCATATGAATACAAAACAAAAGGTTCGACCGTGGCGCCACGCTATCCTGCGTCCGAGTAAGGAAGCCAATCCGACTACAAATAGAGACGGGCATCTCTTCGAGATTAAAGGCAAAGGAGTGGGTAGAATTAGATATCGACATGTAAAGAGTGTTTGTCGACGCAATATCGTGCCGCATCGTGCAGATGCTGGGCATGTGGCGTTACCACCAGGGTATAAGTGTTGTTCCATGGCTAGCCATGGCTTGGGTATATAAGCAGGAGTGTTGGCAAGTCGAAGCCATCGGTCGAGAGAAATCAAATCCATTCCCCCTTTTCTTTTTCCTCGTTAGAGAAGAAGCAGATTCGCTCTCTTCATCTTTCTTTCATTTCTTTGCTTCGCGCGTTCGCGGATCGCTTGTGTTTGGTTCTCTTTTGGCCTAAGGCCCAGCGTCTTATATGCGGTTCATGGCCAATGGGTTCATCGGCTCGCGGGATTGCGGCGGTGCGTAAGTTTGCTGCGCATTCCACTCTGGCACAGAGCCTTGCGGTGGTCGCGGGTTCGAGTAGGATCGTGCCGGTGCGTTGTACCTAGCTGTTTCGCCGAAGTAGTCGGGGGCGCTAGGGGTCGCTGAGGATTTCACTGGAGAAAGTGGTGTTACCACGGCGCTCGTATCTCTGGAGAGCATCTCGTACGAACGTATATCATTTTTGCCATCATATCGGGCATCCACCGATACGAATTCCTTCTTTCCACTGTTGAAAGGAGACTTTACCAAATCAATCCAGCCGGTAACCATGGTCCATCGACCAAGCAAAAACAGGATCCAGATTCCGTTCAACTAAGTCGCAGTCAGATTGACCATCAAGAACTCACACAAGGGTTTCAGGCTTTTTTCGGAACTTACAGCAAGTAGCACAAGCACGGCAGAGACTGTCGCTTCGCTGACGACTAGAGAGCCAGCTTGGTTGAGACATTTTGTCTTGTCACCCTGTGCTCCAATAAGACACACGATCCAATTCTGGGCCACATGGGGATCAGTGGCAATGGATTGAACAATGTTATCCTGAAAGACGAAGACGACGGAGAAGAAGATGACATCGGCAATAATGATGAGGACAATAGCGATGCCTCGCCATTGAAGCGCAATCACTCTCTTGACACGGCGATAGGCCTGGCGCGGAGACATGGTGACAACACTGTTTGAGTAAGCCGGAAGGCTAGATCCTTCGGTCGAGGCGGCGTTGTCGTTCAGAGAGGCCAGGTAAACCTTGATGCAGTAGCCAAAGGTGGCGAATGTCGTGACAACCGTGATACTGGCAAAGATGAGAAGCGGGATCCAAAAGTCTGCCAAGCTGTTCTTGTGGTTAATATGGCATGTTGCGCCAAAACGGAAGGACACGCCACTGAAGACCAAGGCGAGAACAAGGCCGATGATGGGGATGCCCCATCCGGCGGCTTGGGCAAAAACCATAAAGTTGCGGCCCACGAGAACTTGCCAGCAGATCTGCAGGTGAAGAGATAAAGAGCGAAGGAACGCCCACATGACACCACACCAGCCTCCAAACATCAGCATAGCGCCCGACGCTCCACAGACGCTCAAGGTGTGCATGTCATTTGGGGTGATGGTATCAAAGCATTGGTCCGGCTCAGCTGCGAGCGGAATGACGAAGCCCATCTGAGTCAACAGTCAGCCATCAAACTCTCTGTGTAACTGCAGCCGTGCCACCTACATTCATAATCAAGATACCCAGTGTGAAACAGATGCTCAGGTAATGGCGATTGGTCTTGTCCACAGGCAACACTGCCCATGATAGCAGCAGGAAAACACAGCAGATGACGCTGACGGTTGCGATCCAGTTGGCCACGGTTCCTATGGTGGAGAAGCTGTCTGGATATACCCAATCTGTCATGGGGCATGGCAGACAGCAGTCAATCGAGCCTCCAATCGCCTGGCATAATCGGCCATCGACGTCTAGATGTCCGATTAACGGGTCAATTCGACACTACGGCATATATTTACACTTACAGCCTCCAGTGCCAAAAAGGCTCGCGTCGATGAATGGCGCCGGGCAAAGATTGATCCCTGTAACGTTGGTCATGGTGAAGGGTAGTGCTCGGAAGCAAAGAGAACGGTGTCGATATGTATATTTCTCCAGGTAATCTCGTTGTTCGTTTTCCCGGGTGCGTGTTTGAAGTACTCCTCTTTTTTTTTCCCTTTCTTCAAGAGGGGAAAAAGAATAGTAATGTGTAGAAGCTAAAAGAAAAGAGTTGTCCGTCGAGGAACGAAATCAAAGAGAGAGAGGCGCCAATAAGAGATTGTGTTGCTGAGAGTATCGTGATGCCTCGTGCACTCAAACAGAGGTGTGGTCATATGACTCAAGTGATCAAGTAGTTCGAACCATCCAAGGGTGGTGCAAGACAGCCGTTTGATGTGGCAAGTCCTTGGGCCAGTCGACAGAAGAGTATCGATAAATAGCTGTGGCTGTGGCGGAGTATCACAGCATGGCGAGGCCAGAAAAGATTCGAGATGTGTTGAAAGGGAAGTTGGGGGCTAGTGCAACCCAGGACAGTGATAGAGAGCGGTAGTATCAAAAGACGGAATCCAACGAGACACGAAGACAGGAATATAGAAAGAACCAGAGCTGGCCCGAACCCAGACGATAACAGACACGGCAGCATTCAAGCATGAATGCGAGGGCATGCGGGTCATAAAGTACTACTGCCTGCCCGAGAGAGCAGCCAGATGCACTCTGCATGAGTGAGCTGCCAGGCCAGGAACTAGCCTCGAAGCACAACGTCCAAGAGGCGGGCTGACCCCTGTAGGTGCAGATTGCCGGGGTCTCTCATATTCCTGGTAGGGTCGTGGGTTTGTGGAGCTGCACTGGACAGGGGCTGGAGAGCAAATCTTTCGTCCTCCGCACTCAAGGCCGACTGAGCCATTCAGCCCTTGAGGCAAGGGTTCGGAGTACATGGTGATGAGATATCACAGGGGCTAGCCAAAAGGCTTGTTCGCATTGCTGAGGTCTGATCCAGTGAGAGGCTCCAATGGGCTCTCTCCACTCGCCTCTGGCATGTCTCTTTGGCGAGATCCAAGCATCTCACAGGCCAGCGTGCTGCGGCTTGGAGAGGCTGCTGCTTGCTATTGGGGGATGCTTGGCGGGGTCCTCTTCTTGGTTACGACTTGTAGTCACAAAATTCTTTAGTGGCAATTAGCACACCTAATTGTGTAGTGGCAGTGTTGGTCAATCACCAGGGGTGTGCGAATTTGTCGGGAAAAGAGGCGAACCAAGCAGCGCGGGCGCCTGGTGACTCCCGATGGTGGTTGCGCAATCTTAAGGAGACCAGCCATGTACGGAGTAATACCTATTCAGCTGAAAACGCAGTGCGTAGACAGAGCAGAGTGACACGACAAACTAGTGCTGTAGTGAGCCAGCAGATGGACCCTGTGCTTTGGCAGGCCATGTCTGCCCGTGGTCAGTCAAAGCTGGAGCAGAGCAGCCACTTGAGCCTCCAGAAATCGACAATCGTGAGAGAGGTGACAGTGACCCCTGAAAAGCGTTCCTGGCAAGTCTGCGCGTGGCGGTGGGGCGTTCCCGCGGCAGAAGCTTGAACTCGCCGAATGCTTCGTGTGCTGCCAGTGATAGCAGCAGGACTAGCAGCATAGCACCTGTAGGCACGGAACATTAGCATCCAAAGCTGCTGGGTCAAACACTTAGGGGCTCTGTCGGGCAGTTGCCCAGGGGCCTTTTCGTCACTCGATCCCACACAGTCTCCTCCGTCCTGAAGGCGAGCGGGGAGTCGTGCCTTAGCTTGGATAGCCTTCTGATTCAGGATAGTTAAGGGCGAAGGTGGAGTGGGGGACAGCCAAAGTCACGGCACAGATCCCAAAATGGGCTATTAGACCCGTGCTGAAGAAGACGATCTCCTCTAGCCACTTCTGGGCCATAAGATGCTAGCACTACTCACAGCCATCCGCTGTCACAGACATGCCTGTGGCCTGTGGCGCTCAACTAGCAACAGATGGCACAAGCTGGCACTTTTGTATGCAAATGGATAGAGCTCGCATGGGGAATTCGCTCTTTGTTAGAAAGTGTCTGCACCACAGTTGCCATTTTCTGAGAATAGTTGTGCGTTTCTGCGCTGCATCCTGCGCCTGTCCAAAAGGGTCCTTCTTGACCACCATTAGCTGACTGACGATCACTGACACCGGAGCTGGAAGCATCCGCAAGAAACAAATCTCCATCAAGAAGGTCCCGGCGTTCCAAAGCTGCCCAAGAGACAGACAAAGTTTCCTGGTTGCAAACGTAGTTGCCATTGACGCTCCCGTGCGTGGCCGTGTTTGCTAGAGTGACATGCAGCCCCAGCTCTGGTATGGATATACGGTTCGCAGCATCGCTGGTCTTCACTGTATGGCCGTGTAATCACCTTCTCCACCATATATTTGACTAGTGTATGCTTCATGGAACATCTGCCAGGAGGAACCAATTAGGCGAACCGAGCAACGCGCAATCCGGGCGGCACCCACCGAAGCGTACATTGCAGGCCGTAATGAGCTTTCTTCCAGGCGCGCTGATTGTTCGCTGCTCCTTGTGCTGCCCACGCAAATATACGCCGGTGCCAGCAGTCATCAGAGTCATCACTCCGCAGGTAATCGCTGGAAAGCCTCAACGTCAATGCCTCTCCAAGTAGTACAGGATGCTCGGCATCCTACCACACCATTGTTTGGAGGCACCAACACAAGACGAATCTCGGATTCTCACGGTGCCTGTCCTACTCTCATACCCTGTGAGCTGCTACCTGCTTATGTGCCCACGGTCTAAAACATCAGGCGTGTTACTTCGTGTAGCACACAGCCCATAAGCACACCAACCTTCAGGCGTTGCCTACGAGGCAAGAAATCTCTTGACAAATCGAATTTGATGATAAGACGGTTGATCCGACGTTCATAAGGATTTTTGCTTTTGCGCATATACGAAGGAGTTTCGTGGTCTAGATTCTCTTCTCCCAGTTCACCAATGGCCTTTTGTTCAGCTCTGTCAGGGCGTGCTTGCCGGTCCATAGATACAGCAGATGCTTCTCAACTGTACTCGTATACTCTACTGGTGCAGCTTTAGCACGTCTCCTCTCGCGGTATAGCGGGGGCGTGTAACTCAGGCGGTTTCCTTTCAGGCGGTTTCCTTTCCTCCCGTCCCTCCATGAGTTAGGGCTGGGCGGCATGCACAAGCATCAATGCTGCATCAACAGCAGTCCAGCAGCCGCACCAGTATGCGATTGAAGCCATGTCGAGGCCTAGATTCTGCCGCGACAAGAGAGTGGCGTTCTCGTTTACCCAAGGATGCACTGCTCCATAATCAATGATACGTCGCAACCAACCATCTCCGAACGGCTGCAGGATGCTGCTGCACGCTGTTGAGAAGCACGCAAGGCCAAGATGCTTGTTGATGGCGGCTCATTTGCCATGCGTATTCTCCACCCAGCAACATACTGTACTATTTTGTAGATGGTGTCTTCAAAAATCCCGTCAATAGTGTGGGAAGCTTGCCGCTTTCTCGGGTCCTAGCAGCGGCACGACGAGCGGTGCCAATATGCCTATACCTATGCCTAGCACCAGCACCAGCGCCAGCACTACCAGGAATAGTCCGTCATGTGAGATTGTTAATCTCCAGCTGGGAACGCTCGCCTGGGCCAACGACGGGCATCGTTCGCAGAATCGACCAGTAGATGCAGAGAAGAGATGAGCTGGGAAGCGTTGGAAGCGCCGCATGAAAAAGCACCTGGCAGTGGCACCTGGGCTGGGGGAGAAAGCAGCGAGAGAGCGCCAAAATCCGCCTATGAGAAGCTGAGAAACCGGTGCTTCCCTCTGAGTGGCTGTTAAGCCGCTGCTCCTTCCACCCAGGTCCTTGTCCTGGAGAGGGGCATATAGAAAAAAAGTACTTGTAACATTAACATGGAAAGAACAGGGAATAAACGCCGCAGAAATTGTCCCAAACGACAATCTGGCCTCGGTCACTCAAAATCGAATGATCCAATCCAACTTTCGATTTCGTCTCCTGAACCAACGCTCTCGTCGTGTCTCTGCCAAGCCTGGATAAGAGCCATGCGGGCGCGTCCCAGGCAAGCGAATAGGCTCCTAGCACTGCTTTTCAGCCTATAACCCAGCAAGGGCTCTGCCTAAACTTTCCTAGCGGCTGTGCAAGGATGCCGCACACCAAGGATGCGTCCATCGGTCTCTCACCAGCGATCAACGCGAGCGTTTTCTGCAAAGGCGACGATTGCAATTCCAGGCACCCCTGCCCATAGCGGGGTGCAGCTTCCATCGTGGAGAACCGCCATCCTGCGAGCGTGAGCGTGCCTTGCGTGCATACTGGCTACAGCATTAGAGCATCCTGCGAGTGGTAGGTAGGTATTACTGCTACCACATTTGTTTGTGTGATATGGCCAGATACATCCCACGAGAGGCATTGGCTGCCACTGTACACTAGTACCGTGTAAGTTTGCTCCAAGGACCTTTGAAAGAGCAGTTTGGCTAAGCCCACAGCAAGAAGCGTCCCATCCTCAGATTTGAGCCCGACGATCAGCAAGATCTCGAAGAATATATCGGAGTCAAAGCTTTTTACATCTGTGGGGAAGATCAAGGATGGGCCATCTAGAAGCAACCACTACTATAATAACGACATGTCAAAACATGCAAGCTTGTACGAGCTATCGACGCCATTGACGACATCAGATACAACTAAGGCGAAAAGAACAGTTCCTCCAGCCATATACGGGGGGCATCTGTGGAGGCTGGTGCGTATATAACCGGAAGGCACATGCTGCCCCTCAGGAGGCTTCAGATGGAGCCTCGGTTCGTCGTTGAATGGAAGGTCTCATACTCAGTACGGGTGCCTTCTTACCCATATCAAAATCATTCCAAGTGCTGCTCGCCACAACCTGTAGGTCAGAAGAAAAGCGCACATCTACGAATTGTCATTGAGATCTACAATCAATCCCAGGATCTAGACAGTCAGCCTCCAGGGTTGCATTCCATACCCAGCGCAGCAAAGTTCGCCTCTACGAGCGTAAAGAGAGCCCATTTCAAATTTCGCTTACAGCACTTCATTTCCTCGGCCGACTGCCTGCTGATCGTCAGTATAGGCCGTCTGTTTGATGGGGTTAGTATGAGAGAACAAGCTTTGAACTAACGACGACATCCGAAAGCTATGATAGACCTAAAAATCTTCGCCGGCGTTCGGAGGGGATATGAAGCGGGTGCCACAGGGTGGTATCCCGCCTCGTAGATACCCCGCGATTTACTGACACTGAGACATGGTGCAAATATCAGCATCTCCTGGCGCTACTGAAGATGAACCATCACAAGCACGCCTTCTATGATCTAATTTGGACTGCAGCGGGCTTTTTGGATGATCTCGAGTTCATTGGATCCATTCGCTTTCTCGTACAGGTAGCGGGCAAGAACCGTGTTTCCATGCCGAAAAGCTGCTGAAAACGCATCTCACCGCCAGCGTTCGAGTCCGCTGCAGAAAGTTGTTCATACTTGTAGAAGCCAGTGAGGAGGGAAGTGAAGAGCTGGGGTTTCCATTTCCACGAGAAGACCACCGGTCCACCCTCCGAAACCCTTCGTCTCAAACACAGCGCTGTCGATCTCAACGTGGTTTTGTTTTTAGCGTCTCATCTGATTCGTCCGCAGATTGTTAGTACAATAAAGATTCTGCGCTACGGGTACCAGACCCCAGAGTCGGCGAACAAGTCAAGCACAGAGGACCCGTATAGAAGAGATTGGAAATGTCACGACGGAAAGGGAACCACGGCGGCGGCATTTACACGACGATCAACCCCAATTAGGGTATAGATGGTAATCTATCTTTCTGGTATGGGAGATGATCATTCCCAGCGGCTCACCGAGTGAAGCCCCTAACGGGCTGTTCCACGATTGCTAAGGGTAGCTGCATGTGCTGCTCGGCCCTAGTTTGCGGCCGACTGCGCCGTACCACTCTCTGTTCCGAAGAGAATAGTATCCAGTATATCTCAGAATTTCTGACGATGACGGTAGCCTCTCATGGCTTATGTCGGTCTGAGCACTAAAATTGGCGGCTCACCACGAATTTCGACGGTTTACAGAGCCCAAGCTCAAGACTCGCGGAGTTGTGTGGGATTCAAGCTTGCAAACTCCTTTGATCCGGACCCATGGTAAATTGGTCTTCATGGGGGCCTTGAATTGTCAATGGCAAAACCTTGCCTTCACATGGCGACGCATGGCCAGCTCTATCCACCCCCAGTGTAACACTGGCCAAGAAAAAAAATAAAGGAATCGCACGATTACCCTTGGCGAACCGGAGATCGATCAATGCTGTTCCATTCTTTTGCGCTTTATCACCGAAGCGATGAACTGCAAGCGCTGGTAGGGATGTTACGTGCATACAGGTGCATGCGCATATGGGTGCCCTCTTACACAGCGAGATATCACCTGTGTGGATTTAAGCACTCCAATGAAAATCGTACTAGCATGGCCGGGTTTCTGCGCTGCAACTTGATTGCTGGATGCTACTGTGACCGGCGGTGTGGACTACATAGGTACGAATGGGAATTTCAGGATATCGCATCGGATGCGCTTGGCTATCTACATTTATTCAGTGCACCGGGGCATCACCCCTGACGGAATTTGAACACTGCCGTTATCCGTCGCTCTATGCAAACTGGACGAGCAAACCAGGGGAATATCAACTGAAGCAGGCTACCAAACTCCAGGCTTATAGCAGGCAAAGGGCTCTTTACCTTCAAGCCAAGCTTTTTACGAAGTTGCGGGTCAGGTTTGAACGTATCGCGGCCACTTGCACGAATCGGGCAATATCGTTTCGATGCATGTACTCGGTTGTGATGCCGTTTCCCAGGTCCTGAAACCAACCAACGTTTCCGGCCTTTCTCTCGGCCGGAATACACTTCTCGGCCTTGTTGGTAGTATGAAGTGTGCTAATGGGGTTTGCAGGCCAAACTTGGCAACAGCACTGACATTTCCATATTAGTACTGCTACTGTTACTGCTACTGCCACTGCTAGTAGTAGCATGTCAACTTGTCATAACAAAGAGCGCCCACTTTTCATTCTGCGACGAAATCCCCGGCAGGCGAAAGGGAGGTTCGCCCGTGGACTTTGAAGCCCTGTCCGCGGTTGTCCGGAAGCTAGCATGGAATTGGTAGAGCTTACATGGACTTCCCCGAACGACCCAAAAATCCAGGGCAGATTATACCTGTTTGTAATGCTTCCAGAGTCCACGGTCAGGGCAGGGCTGGAGCTGAAGCTCACTGACCCAGGTACCGTACGCTATCACAGATAATTTGGACCCGGTACGAGATGCAGAGTACGGAACACGGAATTTTTGCCTGCTTCTCCATTTTTGGCAGAGGAAGGGGGGATTGGCACGCGTCGCCATACTCATGGCAAAAGCTCTCAAGAAGAAGAGTGAAACAGTGGCCTACGCACGTGGCTTACGAGGCACGCTGTCAAATTACATGGAAGGAAACGACGGCTGACAGTACCAAGAAGACGTCAAAAGCGGATTTGCCCGCGGAAACTCTCCCCGGTGTACAGAGTCCGCTGTACACATAAAACTGACACAAAACAAATTACTGTCTAGGCGTGACACCATAATTCTCATCGAACCTTCCAGGCACGCTATCTCAGCTAACCGTTAGTTTCGACAACAGCTCTTCAAACGTTTGGCGACTGAGATAAATGTGGCTCGGCCAGCTCCTTGGGAGAACAGAGAATCGCTCGTACAAGTAATTCTCACCAGATCATGAGCTGATGACAAGGCTATGGATCCATGGGTCGAATACAGGGCCTCTAGCACTGATGCATCTGTGATAGGGATGGTACTGTATATTTATGTACCAGCGCAAGCGAATGCCGATCCCTGCTCAAAAACCATCCAACTAGAACTTCAAGGAGTACTGTATCAGTACTACGTTACTGCTACTATACAAGTAGTACTCGCAATGAGATCTCGTGTCTGCCGTTGTATCCGCGAGGATTCTCCAGCCTGCTTACACGGCTAAGTTGTCAACAAGCCTTCGAAGAATCTGACATCCATCCCCTGGTGAGAAGATAAGCCGGTATAGAAGCACATATTGGAACCTGCACGGCTAGTACAAAAGAGAGAAAGACCACATGGTGATAAACGGCACCAATTGATGCGCCGAGTCATGAGGAATACATGAGTGACGCATTTTCGCCGGACGTTCTCCAGGAGTAGTGCCAAGTGCCACTGCTACAGAATACTACTACTGTGTATACATAGGTACTTTGTCGAGGGGGCCAAAAAGAGTTTTTGCACCCAATACAATCTGGAAGACTCACAAGCGACGGCTACATGAAGGACCCCTGACGTACCCCGGCGTCCGGAATACACCCGCAGGTGGTGACGGGCTGTTGGAAGAGCTAAACATGGAACTAAAAGCAGAGCCAGTGCATTTCATTTCCTGCTTGGGCTGAGTCTTGCGGGAGGCGTTCCTTGGTCCGTTCACCGTTAGCGGCAGTTCCCACGCTTTTGTGTTTCTCGAAGACTGCTTAGGTTCGGGTTAACGCTGCTGGTCTTATTGAGATTTGCGCCGATGTTACCACGATGGATGGATTTAAGCAATGTTTCCTTAATGCGTTTCCTCTCTCCAAAGGCTTGGAGACTAGGCGGGAACAACATGGCACTGAGTCAGTGGGAGCACTCACAGATATGATGCCTGATTTCACACTCTCGCTCGCTTGCTATGAGCATGCGGAAGCCAACTGTGATTGGCCAAGAGACACGGGATAAATCCCCATTAAGTCAGCAGTGAGCGCTCCACAAATGCAGGTACGAAACGCAAAATATGTACGAATGTGTGTGGGCGAGCGAGGCACTGCCGCGTCGAATGCGAGTAAGATGAGTCGATCCAAGGCACCAAGGCAGAGAAGCTTACAGTAGCTGGGTCCATTACGCGCAAACATTAGGCATTGCGGAGCTTCTATGGAGTCCAAGTGCCTATTTTTGCGTAAGAGGAGGAGCACAAAAGACGGGTATGCTCATATGAGCCGCTGCGCGTGGGGAGCGGGATTTGAAAAGAAGGCCCATTTTCTGCTCCCCCGAACGTTGCAGATAGCTAAAACCAACAGAGATGAGTGCTAACTTGAATTAAGCGAGAAGTGTCTCGTAGATGCAAACCGGCTGAGTGGCTTCAAAGATCTGCAGCAATGGATACCAAACTCGCCCGGTCCCGGCCTCTCCATGGAGTTTTCTATTATCCGTTCACACAATCACCAACAGAAGACAATTACTATGGAGCAACCCGCCCCTAACGTTATACGGCGGTATACGACGTACGAACAACTTGGAGCGTTTCCCCCAGCAACACTGCATCTACATGAGACGGCAGCAAGGGTCTTACGAGAGAAGCGAGCTCAGCAGAGATTTCAACCAACATGTCTGGATGCAAAGCTGATTGCGCACGGCGCCGGGAAGCGGTGCTTGTCTTCGGCAGCATCGCCAACTTGGTCTTAGCCTCCCCTGATGCTGCTACGGCGGAGAAAAAAATAAAGCATACGGCGTGGCGTTCCTCGTTGTGGCGTCTGATCCTTGAACGACGATACCCACTCGGGGAGACTGGGAGCGGAGGGCAGAGGCGGTCCAGTAACGCCGATGCAACGCAACCTATCATTCTGGGTGGGAATGGGCGGTTTATGCCGATCTTTGGAACTACGAGATAGCGTTGCTCGAGGAGCCTTCTTAGAACTACTTTTTACCTCTCTCTTTGTTTCTAGCGTTTTTCGTCCGTTGGCCCAAGTGGTGCTAATAGATGACTACTGGCAGCACTACTGGACTCGCCGAGATACGACTTGGAAATAGGCGCGCGCTGGTGCGGCATTGACACTGGGCAAGGGGGGGGAGCACGTTTACTAGCACTTGTGCTAGATACGGGAGTGATTTCTAGAAGATTTCTAGGCCATCGGGCATGAAGCAGCCTAATGTGAATGAAATGAGTTAATCACGTTGCAAATAGGAAGCCTCCGCCTTGGCAGGATGCAAAATTCCGGTCACGGTGCTACTAAGGGGCAAAGCGATTCCGGTGTTGCATCGCAGTCGAGCAGCTGCAGCGACTTCTCGATACGATGCATTCGTCCGGGCAGGCTGGCCCATGGGTGTTGGGTCATGGAAAAATGAGAGCTGATATCAGCCACTCACCCAACGAACGTGGCAACACAGTATGTGTGTATGATACAAGTTGATAGGTACTCGTGCAGGCATGCAATCGGGGTCAAGGTACGCTCAGCCCTACCTGGCGAATCACCCTGGACAAAGGGGGGAAAAAAACATAATGGATATCTGTGGTAGTATTGATTATCAAGCATCGACTTTTGCTGTTGGTTCAGGGTTATCCAACAACGCCTCCATCACGATGCTACTGTTCGTTATGTGTTGCAGGAGGCTTGTTCCTTGGTTTGTTTACTAATTCATTATCATATCCCGCCAAGCACTTCGGATGAAATGACACTCAACTGCACACATGCGGCATCCGCGAGGACAACGGCAATTGGCTTCTCCAGTGCAATCTTGATTGGCCATCCCTTTCTGTTCATCGAACCGGCTTGGGATGAGTGCAGGTAGCTGGCAAGCCGGAAAGCCAGAGTGTTGGCCAGCGCCTCGAGTGTTTCAAACGATGATGAGCTCATGACCTATCACATCCAAATGTTCAGTATCCAGGGCTGCTCACCGCAACATCAAGTTGGCTGTGGTTCATGTAGGATTCACTCACCTCAACGGTCTCGGCTTCAATCATTGTGAAGACATCCTCGTCAATATTAAATTTGTCAATTTCAATGGTCGCAACAACGACCTGCTTCGCCTTCCTCTCGTTGCCGTTGACGCCGATGAGAGTAGGAACCCTGAGGTCATGGATCTTGAGGCTCATGCCCCTTGGCTGAGGCCTTGACTCCCCGTCACGTCCAAAGAGGGCTATTCTGGTGAGACTCACTCCGCCTCCTAGCAGCGAGGCTTTGGGGAGGTGGGCAGTGAGTTCGAAACATCGAATTGTTGAGACCTTTAGGAACGACTTCACTTGTTGCTCTTCTTCTTCATCATCATCGGTAGCCTTGGATTTTCCATTGGCATCTTGGTTGGTAAGATCTTCCCAGATTGTATTCACAACGTCTCGTAAACTTGAAAATCGATTTGTGCTAGCCGCATCGCCAGGTTTCTCCATGTTGGCCAGATGCTGCGGTCCCTTGCCCTCCAACGAGGCCAGAATCGCTTTGCTGAGCAGTCCATAATGCACCGTATCACCCGCCACTCTGTCGGCAGATGACGATGTGTCAAAGGCCTCCTTGAGCATGACAGAGGCGGATACAGAGATGGGCTGCTGCTTTCCCTTCCTATTCCAGGCATCGGAAGGGCCTTCAATGGACGTCTGGAGATTTCGCACCCGGACCTTTGCGGGAGGCTGGCCGGCTAGAAAGCGGACTCGCCAGTTGGGCTCCAGATCTGCCATTTTTGGTGTTTATCCGTCGTCCCCTCCCCCCTGTTTATCTCCCTTGGATTCAAAAGTGAAAGCTGGGAGCCTTGTAACGGCACAATTGGCAGAGGGCGTTGAAACCGTAAAACAAGGTCCTGGTGTTTTTTTAGGTCGCCGTCGCAGCCTTGCTTAGTGAGAAAATCAGAGTTTTGTTGGGCGGCTGGAATTCTTTCGTTCTCTTTTCTTCCTAGCAGGCGCCGCCGCCGATGTTGAGATGAAATCTCACTTCTTCTCTTTCTCCGCCCCTCGTGTCCCAGAATAAAGAGCCCGTTCCAGCTTTGGCTCTTTTCGTGTGCTTTTTTTTTTTCTTGCTCTCTCCTTGGAGGCCTCAAAGTTCGTAATCAAGCGGTCTGTTTCAATGAAAGGAAACGGTGAGGGAAAGAGGGAAAATGGCCCAAACCGAAGGCGGGGTTACTATTAGGAGGGTAAACCAAAAAAAAAAAAAAAAATTATGGCTGTGCAACCTATATTGCGGATGCAAGGGAGGATGGCCGCGCAAAACTGGCAGTGAGTTTTTAAAATTGCAGTGAGACAATTTTGTCTTATCGACGCTTTTTTTTTCTTTGCGAGGCTATTGTTGTTTCTGATGCGACTTTCCAATTGTCGGTCTTTGACATCCTGAGCAAATTTTTTTCCAACCCGGATTTTTTTCTTAGGAGTATGCAGCCATTTGGGCTCCGCAGTTATGCATGTTTCCGCTCGTTTTACGGTTGAAAACTTACCCTACAAGAGAGTAGCAGGCTTTTGATGGCCTGATATTACACATAATTCACGCACGAAGCATACGCGGCAAACACACACATGTATACGAATTTTAACGTATCAAAGCTTCTAAAATTGATTGAAAATGAAGTCTATGCTGATGAAATAGCATACAGTTCCGCTGTGCGCCATAATCTATAATCTATACCCGCGATGTTGTTTATCAACCATCTATTTTGTATAAGTCCGTATAACCTCTATCCTGTATAAAAGCGAAGGGCATGAAAAAAAAACTCCAAAGTCTAAAAGTAACTCGACTCCTCTAGAAATCTAAAACCAAGAGAAAAAAAAAGCACCAAATCGTGCAAGACTGAGCAAAATCAACGAAAGAAAAGAAAAAGAAGTTCGTAAAATCATCATCAAATCATCATCCGACGGCGCGTTTCGTCTAGATGTCGGCCTTTTCACACTGAGGCACATCGCCGTTTGTGACTTCCTTGATGAAGTCGGGGTCTGGGTTGAAGAGCATGACGTGGAAGTGCTCTACGGCATGAATCGACTTGAGAGCAGCCCAGTTTTTGAACCACATGACCTGGTCCGAGTCAGCATTCAGAGTAACTACCCAGCAAGAAACTGAATTCCAAGTTTATAAACCCACCTGGTTTGAGGGCACCCGGGACCGGAATGTCTTGGTCACAAAGTCGTCAATCTCCCTTCTCGCCTTGTCCGTCAGGTCGCCAGTGGCAGACACCGCCTTGAGCTCAAACTTGGTCCAGACCACCAAGTGCACGATTCGGGGATCAAGTCCATAGGGCCAGTCATTGTGAAGGATCTTGTAATCGTCTTCGTACTGGAATGGGGCGCCGCGAGGCACGACGGGCAGTTCCCAGCGCAGACGTTGGCCCAGAACGAAGTTTGCGATGCTGCCGTGGAGCTTGCCCAGGCGGTAGGTGAATGCTTTGTAGCGTCGCAGGTTGGAGGGGATGCGCTGGAAACGCTCCAGGTTGTTTGTGCGGATGAGGTAGGAGACTTCCTCCCACGACTGGGTGCGATACTCTGCGTCTGGTGTTGATACGGTCCGGAGATCTTTCGGGTTGAGGCCGACGAGAAAGGGAGGGCAGTGAGGCGTCCGCTCCGTTTCGGGAACGTTGATGTGCCAGAATGGGAGGCTGATGGTGATACTCAAAGAGCCCATTGTGGTTGCGGCTGTGGTTGTACAAAGGGATATTTTTTTTTTTCTTTTTCTTTTTTTTTTTTGTTTGTGTTTGGCCTGGGGAATATCTCAAAGTTGTTGACAAACGGGCAAACGAGATAACCTATAAAAGGGCCGTTGGGCGGACGACGCCGAGGTGTGGATTTCCGGAACCGGACAGCGAAACCAAAACGTTGCCACTTGCTTGCCACTAACAAACGGACGAAGAAACTTTAGTCTGGGGGGGATTTGGATTTATGGTTACAGACAAAGTCTCAGTGGCGTATCTTGGCTGCAGCGAGAGACAAAACAACCTCGAGAGGACTTCGTGGGGTACATGGCGGAATATAAAAGCACATCAGGCTCTGGTCCAGAAGATTCCCTCGTCACTTTCAATCACTGCAACAACAAACTCCACTAGACTGCGTCTTTGCTGGAAGCTCCGGATGTGTCATCGTGGAACTCGAAAGATACTGATTAAGGAAGCCAAAAAAGAAAAAAAAAGGCAAAAAAAAGTGCATTAGACGCCCTGCCGGCGCTATCTAAAGCTGCGATTCGGCGATGACGCTTGCTTCTTTCTTTCTACTCCAGATGCAACGTTGTCGTGGGAATATCGGGAGGCACGGACCATTCAAGAGCCGGCGTGCTGCCACGGGTCTTGTGACTGGCTGCTGGGCCTCATGTTTGGGGCGATTCAGTGGACGTTGCAGAGGCGCTGATAGCGATTCTAGACCCGCTGGAAGGTCTTTGATGGCGGTTTCTGATTACATGTACCCTATCTGGGGCGCTTTTACATGGACAGTATCGGATGGCAGCAAGTGGCTTAGGTGGATCACGTAAGCCGATGATGGCAGTGGCATTTGCCGGCGATGGAGACTCGGTACAAGTAGAGCGGAAACTCCCATGCGCGTCATTCTCAAGAAGGGGGAGGGAAGAGTCGACCAAGTTATTTAAAGATGTTTGCTCTCCCCCGTGCTAGCAGCAGCGCGTCGCTTCTTTTGCCTTTTGCCCCGGTCAGGAGAAGAGCCTTTGTGGAGATGGAAAGCTGGACGGCCGCGTTGATGTTATCCAGAGGCGGAGCAGGCCGCGGGAAATTATCGTCATTTCTTGCAGTGGACCAAAGAGTTTGTTAGCGAAACGGTAGCAACATCTGACCTATTTTTTGCCTTTGGATGTCTTGTTTTTTTGGTTTTTTTTTCTCTTCACGAGACCAATATTTGCAGAGTCAGTTTGGCTTCCGAGCAATGTCAGTGTTCCGTTTACCCCACGTGTTTGGGCCAATGTAAGCCCGGGCCGTTTATAGGAGATACGGAGTAACGGAGGCGGTAGGTGGTATTGGTGAGTCTATAGGCAATGTGTCGATGCCTAACCCAAGATGCCGCTGATAACACGAGAGAATTTTCAATTCCCTCAACAGTTGCGAGGTTTTTTTTATTCATGCTGCTAGTACCAAGGCACTCGCTTTGCGGCCGCCAGAAGATGAGATGTGCTTGTTGCTGGGCCACCTATTAGTTTGACACCTGAGATTCTTCATCGTGGCGCTCTCAAGCGTGAGGCCACTCGGATGACCTCTACCGACCAGAGCCGGCACTACTGCCGGCTAGTAGAACTCTAGTTCTCTTGTAGGCAGTATGGGCATGTCTGGCAAAGGGACATGTCAAAACTCGTTATTGACGGAATCCGAGCGGATAAGCATCACCTCCTGACTTTTCCTATGCGATCCGACTCTGCACATGCTCTCAGCAGAAAGTAAACTGGTTCGAGACCTGGTCCGAGGCATTTTCTTCTTCTTTTTCCTCCTGCTTGAGGGATTACAGCTATCGGCACGCAGCCCAACGACGGTTCCTTTGGGCAGCCAGGCGCAACCATCTCGATATTTCGCCGCAGAGCATGTATCGCCTCTGGGCGCCGATGCATATTGCCATGCATATATACAACTTTGCAACCCACCACACTGTATGTGAAAATTTCGTTTCTGCTGTGCAACCTATTCATAGCAAATGAGTAGGAGAAGAGAGAAATTTTTTTTTTCTCTCTCTTCCCACAGTTCTGTCACTCGCTGCCTGGCTCTTAGTTTATCTCTCATCTTTTCTAAAGCCAAACGGCGTGCCGTCTTGTTGGGAAAAGATTGGCATGCACTGGTACCTGGGTACTTGACTTTGGCTTGTAGCAGCAACAATTGGCCGCGCTTTTTTTTTTTGGCTTTTTGGACAATAAGCTTGGGCCGTCAAGCAGGCAGAAAAAAAAGGTGGCGGGGTTCGTTGCTGAACTGCGGATCCCCCTCGCGGTTTTGCTTCCATTGTGCAAAGTGGATGGACGGGCGTGGTTTTGGCCCCTCAGAACAGGCTTTTTGCGGCCCTGGAACGTGTTTCTCTCGTGGACAATGGCCGCGTGGAAGCCAAGCAGAGACAAAAAAAAAATACCTGAGCTGTTGTTAGTGTAGAAGAAGCAAGGAGAGAGAGCTGTTGGAGCTCCCCATGGCCAACGACAGAGTTCCGGTGACGGTAGCCCCCCCCCCGGCCGAACCTTGGGCTCCTTTTCCAATTTCGGCCGGGATAACTCGCGCCTCTCGTCGATGCGAAATGCTAGTGGGGAGCGTCGTGATTTGATTGTTCAGGGGAATCGACACAGACGATTGGGATCCAGAAAAAGGAGCAGCAAGCAGCAGCGGCGGCCATTGAGCTAATGATAAAGGGGCTGCCCCCGTTTTGTGATAAAACCAGAGCTCTCTGGCGTTGAAGAAGCTTTTGTTCCATTCCTCACCTCGTCCAGTGAAGCTCCAAGCTCCTGCTGCTCATTTCTCATCGTACGTATCACCGCCATCATCATCACTTATTCGCCCCCCGATTTGCGCTGCTGCTGCTGTAAGCCTGCTTGCTGCACGTCCCGGCGTCCATTGACGTCAACACTGCCAAATCGCACATGCAACAGGACGCAACACGCAACACGCAACGGCACAGTGCTCCGTCCAAGTGCTATTTATTAACTGGGCCGCTGCTAGGCTCTTGGAACTAAAGATCCTGCTTGGGGGAAAGCTCAATCCACCCCGCCAGAAGCCATCTTCGCACCCCACCTTAAGACCTGATAGTCTCCCCCTTCTTCGAGATCATCGACACTCCTCTTCTTTCCAACTTCTTCTACTTTCACGCTGCGATCCGCCGGAAATCGAAGCCCGCCAGTGTACGAGGCGTCTCACAAGCAACCCACAACCGAGCAAACACACACATCACCAGACACAATGCAGGCAATCAAGAGTGCTTTGCCAACGCACCTCAAGCCGAATCCAGAGGACAATGGATTCGAGCAGCGTCACCACGGCAAGACTCGCAGTCATATGGTGAGTACTTGATCAATTCAATTCTGTGAATCATTTTCTGGGAATTTTCCCCAAAAGTCCTTGTTTTTTCTTCTTCTTTCTTTTCCTTCTTGATTTTGGCCTGCCGACCGCGATTTCAAAGCTCCAGGTGAGGGGCATGAAGCTGCGCGGGGCACAGCTGTCATGGAGAGTTGCCAAGTCGCAAAAGGCTACATACCCCTCATAGCTGTACTTTGGCCGTGTTAATGTGCGCACTACGCCCGCTGGTTGCTGCAACATTTGACATGATGAGCAAAAGGGCAGGAAAAAACAAGGTCTTGGGAAAAACTAATGGCCGCGGGAGTGGCTGACGCCTTGTGCACATTGCCACCAGGTGATGGGCGGCCGTGATTGCTGCGCGCCATGGCAGGCGTTTCATCTATTCACAGCCGTCCAGTCCTGCCCATAACTGCAGCATTTGCCTTTTGCCTCGTTCCTTTTCACTTCAGTCCATTTTCTCTACGCCCTGATGCTGCATGCTATGCTGCTGCCGTCGTTGAAAGCCTCAAAATGTCGCGAGATAAAGATTCCAGAGAGCGCGAGCTAATCGATCACACCCAGGCCTTCGAGAACACCTCGACCAATGTCGCTGCCGCTCAGATGCGAAATGCCCTGACCAACCTCGCCGAGACTGTTGAGGACCCCAAGGAGAAGAAGGTTAGTTTGATAAGAATACACGCAAAAAAAGATGGACGCCATGGTGGTTGCTAATGCGAATCGCTTGTTTAGCTGTTCGAGACCGAGATGGACAACTTCTTTGCCCTCTTCCGACGATACCTCAACGACAAGGCCAAGGGAAATGCGGTGTATGTTGCTTCCCCTCCTTTTCCCCTACGAATTTATACAAGATGGATTGTTGCTAACGAGGCCACAGCGACTGGGACCGTATTGCCCCTCCCGCCCAGGGCCAGGTCGTCGACTACGAGGACCTCGCCAACACCGAGTCTGTTCAGTTCCTGAGCAAGCTCGCCGTCCTCAAGCTCAACGGAGGTCTTGGTACCTCGATGGGCTGCGTTGGACCCAAGTCCGTCATCGAGGTCCGTGACGGCATGTCCTTCCTCGACCTGTCTGTCCGCCAGATCGAGTACCTCAACCGCACATACAACGTCAACGTTCCTTTCCTCCTGATGAACTCGTTCAACACCAACGATGATACCGCTGCCATCATCAAGAAGTACGAGGGCCACAACGTGGACATTCTCACCTTCAACCAGTCCCGATACCCCAGAATCTACAAGGACTCGCTGCTGCCTGTCCCCAAGTCCTTCAACTCGTCCATCACCGAGTGGTACCCCCCCGGACACGGTGACGTTTTCGAGTCGCTGTACAACTCTGGCATCCTTGACAAGCTGCTGGAGCGTGGCATTGAAATCATTTTCCTGTCCAACGTCGACAACCTGGGCGCCGTTGTGGATCTCCGCATCCTCCAGCACATGGTTGAGACCAAGGCCGAGTACATCATGGAGTTGACCAACAAGACCAAGGCCGACGTCAAGGGCGGTACCATTATCGATTACGAGGGATCTGTCCGCCTGCTGGAAATCGCCCAGGTGCCCAAGGAGCACGTCAACGAGTTCAAGTCCATCAAGAAGTTCAAGTACTTCAACACCAACAACATTTGGTTGAACCTCAGCGCCATCAAGCGCGTGGTGGAGAACAACGAGTTGGCCATGGAGATTATCCCCAATGGCAAGACCATCCCCGGTGACAAGAAGGGCGAGTCAGACATTTCCATTCTCCAGCTCGAGACCGCCGTCGGTGCTGCCATCCGCCACTTCAACAACGCCCACGGTGTCAACGTTCCCCGTCGCCGATTCTTGCCCGTCAAGACCTGTTCCGACCTGATGTTGGTCAAGTCTGACCTGTACACGCTCAAGCACGGCCAGCTCCAGATGAGCGCCGCCCGTTTCGGCGATGCTCCTCTGATCAAGCTGGGTGGTGACTTCAAGAAGGTTTCAGACTTCCAGAAGCGCATCCCCTCCATCCCCAAGGTGCTGGAGCTTGACCACCTCACCATTACTGGTGCCGTCAACCTGGGCCGTGGCGTGACGCTCAAGGGCACAGTCATCATTGTCGCCACCGAGGGAAGCACCATTGACATTCCTCCCGGGTCGATCCTCGAGAACGTTGTCGTGCAGGGTAGCCTGCGTCTGTTGGAGCACTAAAATGCGTCGTTCATTTTCTTTCTCACTTCTTTATCCCCCAAAACAAAATACCCAGTGCTCCAGGCTTGGAATTCATCGTCGTATCTACTATTAGTATTTTCCCATTTTTATGTGCTGGCATATCGAGCGAAGTGGGGGGACTAGCCGAATAATGAACAATCAGTTGGAAGATGGCGGTTGATCAAGCAAAACAAACAAGCAAGCAGATTAAGCAAAAGAAGAAAAAAAAAATGTTAGTCAAGGAGGAACAGATGGATGGAATGATGGAATGTGTAGGACATTTATGATTGTCCCGATGACAGCGTCGGCATTTTGTAAATACAGCTAGTATTAGGGCCTTGGTGATTGATACAATGAGTTGGTATCCATTTGGCGATGGGCATATAGCTCTGTTTCCCGGTGACTGAAATATGCAATGGGCTAATACAAGTATGCCACAGACAAAAAAGAGCACGTCAAGTACGGAGGAGATGGCTTGAGTTTGCCAATCTAGACGCTACTGTAGATGTTGCGATTTTTGTTTTTGATGATACTAGCTCCCTCCACCATAGCTGTGCCAATCTGGATGGAGCAGGTCATCTGGACTGCGAGGTTTGGGAGATGTTTTGGCGACCATGACGCTTTGGCCGAGGTTGTCTGGTGAGATATTATGGACTTGTACTGCTAGAGAGAGACAGACATGGGCGCGTTGACTTTGTTTAATTTGATTTTGAAAGCGGGCATATTGCTCCGGGAGACCAAGACAGGATGGAGTCAACTTGCAGCGGCAAATGGGTTCTGCCTGCTACAGTACACAACTACAACTACGGGCATCTACCGATTAGAAGTGCTAATTTCCTTGTTATCTGCTTAGCATTGCATGTATACTTGTATGTCATTTCCCCAGATACGCCTCGCGAAGCGCCTCAAAAGCCGCAAATTGACATGCAGGCGAGCGTTTGACCAGCAGCAAGGCAGGTGTGGAGCCCCCTTTGTTAGGGATAGGGGAGATTGCCCTATCGATTGCTTACTCCACACGAAGCGTGAGACAAAACAGAACCTGTGCAGGGGGGCGCGAGAGAGAAGCCCAATGGTGAGGCGGGCTTGGCTTTTGGCTGATGGCTCTTTTGGAGATTGCGGGGATTTGGGACAGGGTTGGAAGCAAGACAGGGGGAGAGTAACTGGATTGGATTGGAGTGAGGCGAAGGGGCTATTGCATCGGGGAAGTGTAGCAGGCGTAAAAAAGAGGAAGAGAGTGATAGAGTAGGATGACGAGAGATGCAGGAGATGAGGTAATAAGGGGGGGACCTGGGGGCTGGAGCTGGGGAATGAGGCTCTGGCCGGGCTTGTTATGGTTTTGCTTCTGTTTGGTGTACTTGGTGTACTTGCTTGGTTGAATGATGTGATGCGAGTTTGGGAGGAATGGAGGAGCATAGCCTCGATGCCTTGGTTGGGAAGAGGGGAAATGGGACGAATGATTGAATGCGGAATGCGCCGAGCTCTTTTGGAGTTGTCGTTGCACTTTTGAAGCCAGAGTGCATGTTGGTCGCCTACATGCATGATGGGAAAGTGGAAGCATGATGATGCGATGCAGACGATGATGCAAGTTGGTTACGTGTTCGCGGGTGGGAGGGCAGCCTGCAGAGGCACAATTCAGAGTTTTGGCCATGTGACTCTGCAGTCAGGATCATGCCTGTTGCTCGCTCATTCGTCGGGATATATGGGCAAAAGAGAGAGAGAGAGAGAGGAGGTTGATGACAGCTTCGTCTCTGCCTTTTTTAACCTCTAGACCTAAGCAAGCTGTAGAATGGCTGTGTGGAGAGGCAACGGGCTGTGCAACAAGACAATGCATGCAGGCTGATCCTTGGGGAAAAAAAAAAAACCTTAGGCAGTGATGGGGAAATTTCAAGCTTAACCGGCCTCTCATACTCTGTGAATGTGTCGAATGGGCTGCCGAACTGATTGCGAAAGGCGGACGGTATAAAGGCGTTTTGGCCATGGAGATTGCCCGTTTGGGCATGAGCCGAGGAGCCAGGGGTGGCTGATTGGACTTTTGCGCCGCTGGGGAGCCACTTTTTCTTTTTGGCAGAGGGGAGTTGAGGGGACCGGCTGTTGTTTTAGGGGAGAGGCTAATGCTAATGGCGCTGTGATGATGTGTTGAATAGTCTGGGACGAAGGCGCATTTTCGGTATGGAGACGAATGCAGGTTGGTTGCTGCTGTGCTGGTTCTAGGCCGGGGAGGGCGGTTCGGAGTGGGCACAAGAACAAGCTTGAGGGAAGAAGGGAAAAAAAAGAGAGACACAAGCTGTGTGGTTAGAAGCGGGTTTTGTCCTGTCCTGTATGGATGTTTCTTTTTAATTGCAGTGGAGAAAGCCTGTGATGTAACGAACGCGCGCGGCTGGGGGGCTGCGTGTCCTGCTTGGTGCGGTACAGTAAGAAGATGAAAGATCAATACGTGTTGGAAGTGGAAGATGGAGGGAAAAAAGGGACAAGAGTGAAGAAAGAAGCTTTCTGCTGGTGACGATGCTGGTGCCCGCTGCGCAAACTCAATGGCGATTAGAATCCCGTATTTGAGCCGTTGTGGCGATCGCGCTATTGGGGGTGCAGTGGCCACAGCTGGGGTGGTGCCGCGCTCGCCACGGCTATTGGACGACGGCTCTGCATAAGATGATCATTTTGTTTCTTGGATTTTCTTCTGTGGTGTTTGATAGCTCCAGTCTAGCGAGAAGCTTTGCTGTGCCTGTAAGCGAGGCGTACGTAGGATTGCGGGAAAAGGACGCCTCTTTTTTTCTTTCTGCGCGCGTGTTTGGTGGATGGATGGATGGATGCATATGTATGCATTCATGTATGTTGTTGGTGCCTCGCTTCACGCTGTGTAGCTGCGTCAGGCAGACTTCCCTCTCTCTCCTCGGTGTTTCCACACTCTCTCAATCTTCATCTTTTTCCTCGCTTGCCGTTGCAGCCGTTGGCATTGGCCCAGCGGGAATTGGAATGACAGGCACAAAGCACAAAGCAGTGTCGGCGGGTGGGCCAAATTTGCTTTTGCGTGTCATGCCATGCCATGTCCAGTCGAAGCCATTTCCCGGGGGTTGGACAGAAAAGCTTGGCCTCTGAGCGAGTGCCTGGCTTCGACCTGATTAGTCGCGGGGCCCTGGCTAATGGCGCTTTGGCGAGCTATTTGGCCTAGCGCTAGGCGGGCTGGAGCTCGTCCGCTGGACCAGGGGCCGCGGCCGCTGATTGGGTGGCGCCGGAGCTTGTGCCAGGCCCTAGCGCGCTGTGCCTCGCCCCATGCAGACCTCCAGCTTCTGCACTGACATTTGAGGAGCAGCTCGCAGCAAAGCTTGGCCACAGCACTGAGACCTGTCGACACACCCCCGGGAAATCACCCGGCCGGCGTGCATGCGATCGCTAAACAGGGCCCAGAGCGGTTGAGAACCTGGCACTGGCTCTGGCGCTGGCACTGGACTCAATCCTCTCTGCTCGCTGCTTCGGCCGCCCCTCTAATTCCACCGGCTGGCCCCCTGTTGCTGGGAATGGAGCTAGACTATCAATTCCAACGCCCGCTCCACTCCTGACCGATGCTCCTCTGGGCTCTCTCCAAGTGCTTTAATTACCCTTTGCCGTCCTGCCTCTGCGGCTCTTGTTTTTCTTTTTTGATTCTTGCTTTCTGTTATCCCGCGCCTGATCACTCGCTTTGTAGGCCCAGTTTCATTTGCAAGTAAGTTGCTGTTTTTGTTTGCCCTGACAATTCGTGTTACTGCCTTTTGCCGTGCTGCCAAGCCCCCCGTCTAAGCGGTATCTCGATCCATTTACACGGATCGTCTTGTCTGCGCTCAGCTATACCCACCCCTGGCCTATCTCGTTCGCTCTGCTTTCCATGTGTCTCTCGAGCAAAAAAACCACTCCGTTTGGGAAGAGAAAATAAGATGCCCCTATTTCTTGGGCCTCTCGCTTCGAAGCCCCCTTGCGGCGGTTGATGCGGCACGGCAGCATGCGAGAGACGACGGTGGAGAGGCAATCGATAGTTCCAATCATGGTGGAAAGCACGGCCGCTCTGCGTCTGTCAGCCAGCTGGACGCGTGCCTGGCAGCCGTAACGGCTCAGCTATTTCTGCCGGCTTCTTGTTTTTCTTTGTTTTGTTTTCATGTTTTCCTTCTTCATCATTTCACATTCCTCTCCGAGCAACCGATCTGCTGCGAGAAACCTGATCTTTCCTCCGCCACCAACATACCAGACACACCTCTTTGCTTTGCGTGATCGACGAGCCGAGACAGCCTGACTAACCAGTCCACCTGCCAGTTAAAACGATTCGTTTCGTCTCTCGTTCAGACTCTGTTCTTTAATCGTCCTTTTACGCTTTCAAGATGAAGTACTCTGTCGCTGCCGTCTCGGCCTTTGCTGCCGTTGCTCTTGCCAAGCCCTCCATCACCAACCTGTCCTTCGATGTCGAGGTTGGCAAGCCCTTCACCCTCACCTTTGCTGGCTGCGCCTCTGGCTGCGACATTGAGCTGCAGACTGGTGCCAGCAAGGACCTGAAGGACGTCAAGACCCTCGCCAGTGAGTAAGACGAAATCTGCGTGCCAAGATAGATGCTGACAATGGCGATAGCTGGTGTGACCGGTACTTCCACCACCGTGACTCTGGACAAGATCCCCTCTGGCACCTACAACTTCAAGATCACCGACTCCACCGGCGACAGCAACTACAGCGCCCAGTTCCCCGTCCAGGGCGACGTTGCTGCCAGCGCCAGTGCCAGCGCCTCCAGCGCCTCATCCGAGACCAGCGCCAAGGAGACCAACACGGCCACTGCCGCTCCCACTTCTACCGCCGCTTCTTCCTCTGCTGAGAAGTCCACCACTCTTGTCAAGTCCACCACCGCCCACAGCACCGTGGCCTCAAACAGCACCACTGCTGCTCCCACCAGCCACTCTGCCACTGCCAAGCACAACTCTACCAGCTCTGCTCTGACAACCGGTGCTCCCACCACCACTGGTACGTATTCTCAATCCTCGATGAAACGTGTTTGCCTCGCACAAGCTTCGCTTCAGATTTCGCTAACCAGTTTTGCCTTGCTACAGCCGCTCAAACCACCGCTGCCAAGACCTCCTCAAAACCCGCCATCACCACTGTCCCTCCCGGAAGCGCTGCTGGCCGTCTTGCCTCTCCCATCGCTCTCGTGGCCGGCGTTGCCCTGGCCCTTGCCTTCCTCTCTTAATTTTGTGGATAGCAAAGTCGCTGGGGGAGCGGGAAGAGCCCCTCCCTAATGTTTTTTATTTTGCGCATTAAGGCTTTCTTCTTTGGTACCCGGTTAAATTTAATATCTTGAGGCAAGATTCTATATGTTGTTTTTTCTTCATACAGCAGGGCAGCTTGTTAGGGAAACGGAGGGTTGGTGGCTGAGGGATGTACAAGTCCCGGCCTCTTGTCAGCTTGTTTTGTTTTTCCCTCATATCTAATGACGATTGTACGGAAAACTACCTAAACTTCTTTTTGACGATAATGTCAGCCCCTGCATGTACTCTAGTGGTAATTAATGCATTATATCCCCTTTTCTTCTTCTTCTATTTACTTGATGTACAATGAGATCTTCTTTTACGATGAATGTGAATTGTTTTCTGCAGTGAATTTGAGTGCTTTTTTACGTGCCGTATTGTAGAGTATCATTGCTTGACACTGAAACCTACAAAAGACGTGAGACTAGATCTGGTGCTCGCTTCCTTGTCTTCCTTGGCGGTGAGGTGAAACTGAGCCACACGGGATGACGGCGGCTCGATGCAGGAACTGCAACCCGTTTTGATAAGCTGACGCAAGGGGGGGGGGCGGCCGCTTTCTTGGTTTTTTGTTTTGTCTTTTCTCAATTTATCTTCGGATCGTCAGCCGAGAAACAAGGCTCAAAAGCTAGCAAACTGGTTCCCTCGTGTTTTTTAAAGCTCGTGTTCGATCCGATTGACTTTTTTTTGGGGATACGAGGCGCGCGCTCGATCGATTGCGTGGGACTCTTTTCTAAAAAGGGGAGGAGGAGAAAATCGGAGGTTTTTTTTTTTTGCGCCCAGCCTTGGGACCTTGCTTGTGTCGTATCCCTGCAAGGGGGGGAGTGTTTTTCATGTGGACTGACTTTTTTTTTTTTCGTCACGTACAGGCATGGGGTCGGAAGAGAATACAGTATATGTCGGATGGGGGTTTTGGGCTGATGGGAGGAAATTGGGCGTCAATCGGTTTATTTCGTAATTAGATGGATGGATGCCTGATTTTTATTTTCATGTGATTGATGGTGTGTTTCACGGGCTGTTGTTGTGTTACACGGGGAAGGATGACGGCCTTGGGCGGAAAGTAATAGAGCAGAGCACAGTTGACGATGGGGTCAAGGACATTAGATTCAAGTATGTAGGTACTATGTTGTGTGATGTGTGATGTGATTGATGTGCCTATCCATTCTCTAGGCTAATGCTCAATCTATAGAAATACATGTGTATGGTCCAGGGTGAAAAAAGGCCTCTCTTGCGCCATATTCTTGTTCGTGGGAATCGCGTTTTCTTTCTTTTTTTTTTTATCAATTGATATCCTCCGGGGTTAAACAAAAAGAAAAACAGAAAAGAAATCAAAGGGCCATGGCTCAAGTCGGACGATGGCCGATGAGAATCGTTGACTAAGCCAACACAACGTTCTTACAGGGGAAAGAGAAGCTGGGAGGAAAGACCGGTGTGCAAATGGCAAAATCGCCGACCGGCCTTTTCATCACCGCTTCTTCATTGTCGTCTCTTGTCTTTATTTTTATTCTAAATCTCGTTCGTGTGTTCTTCAACTTTTTTTTTTGTTTCGATTTTTGTATTGGAAGACGTTTTATCATGGTCTTTCTGGGGTTCATCTCGATGAGACTGTTTCACATGCCACTGGAGCCGGTATAGCTTCGGCTATTGAGGTTGATATATATCGAGTGATATATATCGAGTGACATCGTTGTAGGTATGCTCGTCTCATCGTCCGACTCGACTATTTTCGAATCGGTTATTCTTGGTTCATGTTACTGATCCTTGGCCCAGTCTCCCACATGGGAGAGGGTGATAGCGTCACAGGATTTGCTGTCTGAGCTTCCTGGATGCTTGTCTTCTGGCTGCTCGGGTAGAGCTGCCGTGTCGCCGGTGCTCGTCACGTCCATGTTGACGTTGGAGGTTGCGAAGCCGCTTGCCTTGTGAGCACTCGAGACTGGATCGCTGTCCAATGCGTTGAGGGCTTCGACGTTTGTTTGGATTAGACCACTCTGGGCGTGGCCAGCGGTGTTGTTGAACGCAGCTGCATCAACAATAGAGGCAGTAGTCTGACTGCCAATGGTCTCGGGGCCAGCTTTGCTTTGAGGTGGGATACACTCCCAGTCGCTTCCCGGGAGATAGGGATTCCCGACAGCACTCATGACCGTCTTGGACGGGTCACGAACGGGAGGTTGTGGGCTTCGAGGGGTGGATGCCTGGGACAGGTCGAAAGACTGTGGGTAGGAAGCCATCGCGGTAATGAGAGCACGATGGACGCTTGGGAAATATTGGAATGCGTTGGCGTGGGTTGAAAGAACGACAAAGGCGCGTGTTGCAGGAAAGGAGCGTGAAGTCTGCGGTCAAGAGGTCAGGATGGTAAGAGGGAAAGAGGGGGAGAGCGGTGGGAATTTATACCCGTCCTCACGCGGCAACAAGGCGAACGAACATGAAGCACGAAAGCAACTGGCGTGATCTCGACTTAGCGCGAAAAGAAGAAAAATCTGAAGTGCAGTGGCATACGATCATTGGCCGTTTTGATGGCGGTCGCCTTGGAGAAGGCGTGCAAATACCCCTGTGACGTTGAGAAGCCTGGGGTGGGAGGGGACGGGACGGATACACACCTACCTCAAGTACCGATGACTTGGCAGCTGGGGCCAGTAGGAGCACCTCAAGGACGACTCTTCCCAAGGTGCTTTAGCCAGCGGGCCATCAGAGGTGACCGGGGCCGCTGTCCAGACCGAGGATGCGAGAGTGAAGACTTGCAGACTTCCGAGCTATGCGCCAAGAGTTAGGCAAACGGCTGATGAGTTTGGACAACGCAGCAACGCTCAAGGGGGGTGGGCAAAGGCAGTGCAATTGTATAGAGACAGCTTACTCTTGCGGCCAACGTACAACAACAGCCCTGCTCAGTTGGGCATTCTGCCAGCGAACTCGTCTCAGCATAGCCCGGCATCGTTCGGGGGCGTCTCTAACGGGAGTGCGCATGACTGTCAATATTTGCAGCTATCCTTGTCAGGAGAGTGAATGCCGCTGAAGCTAGCCATCCTCTTGGCAGTGGCAGAGGCTTGACTTGCTTGCGGCCAATCCGATGCTGGCGTTCGAGAGAACTATTATTGGCCTTGTTTGCACTCTTCGTTGGCGTTGAACATTCCCCGTTTGGCTCTACCATTAGCAGGACAAGGCTTTACATCTGCAGGTTCCAGATCAATGCTACCTCGGCGTTCCATGTCGGCCCTCGCGGAAACCGATAGCCTGCTCTGTCGCTACATGTTCGAAGTGCCCTTGCGTGGCAGGAAGAAAGAATGAGCGAATGAGCGAAATAGTTTTCTCCGCCCCAGGCCGCTTGGCCAGAGCCTCAACCCCTCAGCCTGCTCTGCAGCATATGCACCTACGGTGAGCGTGCATGCGTCGATGAGAATGCAGCCTCATGTGAAAGGTACCTGGGGCTGCAGGGGCGCATGAGGGGAAGGACGGACAAAGCCAGCACTGTTTCCCTCGCCAGAGCAGTGTCCCATCCAAAATAGCCGGGCTTCAATAATCGGCGATGATCATGGCAGGATTGCATTCAGCTGGTCAGGGCTCACCGCAGTTTTGGAGGTCGTTGCCGCCTGTAATCGACTTGCAGTGTGTGTGACACGAGCAAAAAGTCGGGTTCCCTTATGCACAACGCCTTGCTTAACCATCGCTGATGCCGTCGCCGCTTGTGTTTCTATTCTCAGTACCCAATTGGAATTTACACCTGCCATTTGCATTTTCATCTAGCATACCGCATCGATTTGTCATAGTCAAGCACTCGGCTCTGTTTTAAAGCGAGCAGAGATACTTGCAAGCGCTCGCTCGTTTCAGCTGAATGGCAGACATCAATGATCCTTGCAAGGATCCCCAAAGATAAACAAATGACAGCTCTGTCAACTACTAGCAGCACACCCACTCCATTGGACCACAGCTGCCCTTTTCTCACGCGTCTTTCTAATGCGTCAGACCCGGATGGCGCACTTCCCCTGTGGTCAAGCAAAGTCGGCATTCTTGGTTCGAGATCCCGTGCGCCAGTCGGCACAATGGCCGAGGCAATCTCGCGGGCGTAAATCTCTCGTTCCTGCTTACTATTCCGCAGTCTCGAGCGATCCAGCCCTGGAATCTAGATACTTCTTAGACCCCGACGGCCACTATGATTGAATGGACGAGCTGGCAAACGCTATTTTATTGGTAGGCGTCTTCGAATCTGCAACAGCAGGGGCCGTCGAGCGCCATTTCTTTAGAATTCTAGAATCCCAACGCGACGTGAGAGATAGCTTCCATGTCCAATGCCTGCATGACGTTAGAAGTACGCCTCCAGTGACGACCTATCACGGTAGAGCGTGAACGCCAGCGACTGTAGTACAGACCAATAGACGGCCGCCGGCCAGTCATGCGAAATTCTTCGAGAAAGATTATTCCTTCTAGCGCGCCGCGAGAAGCATCCTTGTCCGAGATGTTCACTGCCCGGGCGAATAGAAAACGGCTATTTACACAGGCATCCCTGGTTCAATCGCGAACAGGCGGTTGAGAGCCTCTCTTTCTGACCACTCGCCCGTCCGGAGTAGATCATCTAAGGTGGAGGCTTCCCTATCGTTTGATCTAAGATTTCTTTTACGTGGAGAGAATTCATCCGAGTCAAGATTTGGTACCATTTCTTCGGCTTGCCTGAGAGTGAGAGATGTACAAATGAGTGCTTTTTTTCTTGTTTTCTCTTCCTTGGCGTCTATCTGCTGTGTGTTCTCTTTTTCGGCTAGCCACTAGGCTGGGACCAATCATGTGTTATTAACCCAATACGCCTTGCAGCTTGTTTATGTATTCCTATTCGCACGTGTGTGCATGAGTACGCGTGTGCCTGTCTCTTATTTGGATTGACTCGGACGGTACTCCGGGCGTTCATGACTCGTCCAAAGCGGCCAGGGCTTGGTCCAACGTCCTGCCCGTTAGCCTATTGTTTTGTTAATTGGTGGTCAGCATTTGGCTTCATCCTACCCCGTAGGCGGGTGAGTTGTGATATGAGCTGCAGTGGAGTGGAACCTACTTCTCGAACACGTCCTGGTACTTTGCCGCAGTCTCTTTGACGACGGCTTCGGGAAGCTCGACCTAGGGCGAGGAGCACCAGCAGGTTAGTCATATGTCGGTGCAACGAGGGGGGGGAGGAGGAATCGCGAGTCAGGACATGGAGTTGTCGGTTCGGGATTGCCCTCGGGCTGTTTCACTCGATGCGGGGAGTGGTAGGGCTTGGTGAATGAGGTGGCCCTGGAGGGGGCGTGTGCGACTTACATCCGGCTTGCCCTTGAGGCCATTGCTGGTGAGATAGTCCCGAACGTACTGCTTGTCGTACGATGGGGCTTCGACGCCGGCTTTCCACTCGGCGGCATTCCAGAATCTTGAGCTGTCACTATTGAGGAGAGTCAGTATACGCCTAGGACTCTTTGACAAGTACGATGGGGCTTGGCACAGCCGGTGGGAGGATTCCTTGACCGGGATTGACGTACGGGGTCAGGACTTCATCGACCTGTGACACGTTAGTCCTATGTCTGCGACTATTTTTTGGGGAGACAACAGTGGCCGCTCCTAAAAGTGGGGGAGGCGCCTCACCAGAACAACTTCGTCGGTGGCCTCGTCCAAGGCGAACTCGCTAAGGATTCATTGTTAGCGGATACGGACGGACGGACACCGAGTTGTGATTCAGCACGTGAGGGACATTGCATCTCCAGGGATTGCGAGCCATGTAGCAGCACTACTTGCCAGGGCTGCCGCAATGGGCATCCGCGCGTGCATGAAAGCGAGAGAGAGAGAGAGAGAGAGAGGCTGGGAGGTGACCAGTTACAACTCACAACTTGGTATCAGCCACAATGATGCCACGTTCACGGGCATAAGCGGCGGCGGCGCTGTACACCGAGAGACTCAGCTCTGCGATTCGAGCCGCGTACTTTTCGCCGACGATCTTGACGGCCTGCTCGGGGGAGATGTTCTCATCCTTCTCTCCGGCAGGGGCCTTGGTGGAAGGAGTGTACTGCTTGGGTATTAGCTTGTGGCTTCTGCCTCGTATGAACGTGAAGCGCCCTGGTTTAGGACGTTGGTGGCGTCGAGCTGCGTGGCAGGACATAGTAGATGGGAAGCTATGTGATTTGTGATACTTGTCGACTGGGAGCAACAGGGGCAAGGGGACATCAATTGGGTGTGGTTGCACGGCAACTTACGATGGGTCCGTTCGGGAACGCGCCGCATTTCTCTAGCCCAGCCGGCTGGGGGATGCCATGGACGGTGCCATGAGCGACGCTGGAAGCCGGGGTTTGTCAGCTCGTCTCTTGTCCTTGTTCTGGTTGGGTCACATCGGGAGATGGCTGATTGCCGAAATTTGCGATGCTGGGCACAAGATGCCAAGATGAGAGGGGGTTGAGGGCTGGATGCGGCATGTCCATCGACTTACTACTCGCTCCATGCGCTGCCGGTGATGTAGCCCCTCACAATAGCTTCCTAATGGAGCGAATATCAGAACCTGTCACTTTCTTTGCACGGCTTGCAGAGCTGGAACAAGGGGGACTAGAAGCAACAGCAACTCGACTGTTTTTGGCTTACAATGGGGAACACCTTGAGCTTGCGACAGGTCATGGTTCGTCCGCGCAGCAGGCCGCGTTCCTCGGGCGTCAAGGGAGCTGAGGCCGGGGCCGACAGGGATAGCAGGTGGTGTTTCAGGCCGGGCACCCTCTGCTCGAGCACGGAGAACCAATGGGCCGAGATCTGCGTGAGGATGAGGCCCTTTTGGGGCACGCCATTGGCGAGGACGACGTCGTAGGCCGAGATGCGGTCGGTGGCCGTGAAGAGGAGGGTGTTGGCGTCGAGGTCGAAGAGGTCGCGGACTTTGCCCTGGGAGAGCTTGGGGAGGGAGTGGAGGGAGATGGAGGTGATTGCCTGGGGGGACGACATGATGGGCTGGCTGTTTGTCTTGTCCTTTGTCTTGTCTTTGGGTTTTATGATATAGAGTAACTGTGAAGCTGTTGATGAGTGAGTGGATAAGTGAGCTGAGGTTGAGTGACTAAGAGTGTAAGTGGTGATGAAATAAATTTTGCCATGTGGGGACGTTGGGCGATCAGCTAGTCGCCGATTGTGGCGCTTGAACCAGAGCTGTATCCGCACGTGGAAACTCTGCGCGATAGCAACGAGGTAATGGCTCCCTTTGATGCTTGATTCCTGCTCTTGGTTTTCTGAGCCTGGGTATCTTTGAAGAAAAAAGTAGATAGGAGCTGTATTGGTGTTGTGTATGACCGTATACCGAGTTTGGCTGGAGCTGTGCTGCGTCATATGGAACCAGCGGAGCTTGGCCCGGCCGTGGGGATCCGGTTCGGCATCTCCACTTCAGCGCCGTTGAGCTTTCGTTTACTCGGTTAAGCTGACATTGCGGGATTGACTGTGTTTTTTTTTTTTTTCGCTTGAGATGTCCATCACTGAAACTTGCGAGCTTCAAGTTGGTTGCATTCAAAGGACGATGTGTGTTTTGTTATATTGAAAGCACTGTTCTTGCGCCTTGTCTAGTTGGGCGAATTCTATGGTCTGCGTGTATCTAATAGATGGCTATCTAGCAGCTCGTGACCATTTAGCTGTATATGGATGACCTATCTTGCCTAGAGAAATTTGAGGATGGCGGCCATGATGAATGTCTGGTGCAATGGTGTGCTTCCACAGATATGTAGGGGCGGAAGACTGTGTATGATCAGGTCGTCGCGAGGGTTCACGAAATGATTGGTGTTTTGACCATTGGTATAGAAAATTTGTCATAGTAAGTGTCATGGCATAAATTATCCGTTTAGGACGACCATGGGAGAGAAGATGCTGGGATATCGTCAGACAACCCATCATATATCATAAGAGAAAGCTGGCTCTGATACTGTTTGCAATTTGCTATATGGAGTGCGTTCTTGTACACTCACTTGCCGAGCTCCCAGTCTATAACAAGCAACGTAAATCAAGGCCAATATTTTACTCTTCCAACATCCCTTCGAACAACAATCTATCGTTTTCGTCCCATGTCCCGTCGAACAATATATCTTTTGCGTCTCTCATCCCAAACATAGATTCGCACCACCCGTAGCCGCCTGGATAAATAATATCCGCATAATCGACCAAAACACTATCCGTCCAATTTTTGGCTAGTGTCGAACAACCAAACGACAAACCAACATGATATATGAAATCGGCCACCTTCTCTACAGTCAATGGCTCATTTTCGCCCTCGTGGATGAACTCGTAAACAAGTGCAGTGTATTCAACATCGGCTTCCATGTACCTCCTTATCTTCTCAATCTTCACATCGGGAGCCTTTAAACTAGAATGTAGATTTTTCCATGTGTTGCTGTGTAATTTCAGCCAGCCGTAGCATTCTGCCATGCGTGGTAGTGACGATATGCGCCGCATGAGCCTGTTTTGGCCTTCCTTTGAAATGCCATGTTCGCGTCTTGAGTCGCTTTTTTCTTTGCAAAAAGAGTAGTAATTCTTCCTGGCCTCCTCTTTCCCTTTGGGCTCGTCAAGCACAAAAACGGGGTATGATGCGATCGAGGCGCGCACCATCTGAAGGACGGCGTTGCTTTGGCACTCTCGCTGCAAGGCATAATAGTGTCCCTCCGATTCGGGCGGAGCTTGATCCCAGAACTATGTTATACGGTGAGCGCATACCAGGTAGGCCATTGAGGCTAACTGATACTCACCACCTTCAATGCGTATGGCCCTTTTGTACCAAAGCGCACCTTCCAGACGCAGCCGTCCATTCCATATCCCAGTCGAGACTCGAAGATTATGTCATCGGGATTAAAAACACACTTTCGGAGTCGTGGTTGTCGGAAGTATTCTTTTGTATACTGAGGGGGGCCCGCCATCAACTCCTCGTCGAGGAATGGCTTTATAATCTTGTGTTTGCGGCGACGTTCACGCGTTGCCGACGACTCTATCGACATTTTATTTCTCCGTATTTAGTACCCCGTTCAACTACTGGTATAACGAAAAGAAGTCGTTAAAGCATGAAGAAAAGAATGCTGAGAGGCAAGCAAAACTCTACACAAAAGGCGCTAATGTGCCGCCACACTTACGCCGATACCTTTACCCGCCGTCTTGGCTCGGTACCTCTCACTAACAGCTCAAACTCGATTTCAGAATCTCACGGCAACATACTATGAGAAAGCACTAGAGATATGTCTGAACAATAAGAACAGCTACGAAGAAACTCGCATGCTCAAACCATCGCCCGGCCTTACCGGGCTACCTAGCACAGTGACTGGACGGTGATCGCGACGCCCTCAATACACCTCCAATAAGCATTTTAATTAAACTGTTCAGTCAACTCGTTAACTCAATCCAATAGCCTTTCTCTGCTCTGAAAGAACATGTGGTGAAAGATGACAAAGTCGGATCATCTTGACGGCTCAAACCCAAGAGCTATTAACAGTGCCACAGACCCTATGATCTAGAATGAAGTTGACCATCTGCCTTGACCTACCGCAAACTTGCTTAGTTTAACCATCGACTGATGGGTGTTCACACGCTCTAATCTTGTGGAAAGGAGTTAACTATGGACGGGTTGCCAAGGGCTCTACCAAAAGTTTTCCCCCTTGTATCTATTCTATGTAGATTTGCTAGATTTGCTAGATTTGCTAGATTTGCTAGATTTGCTAGATTTGCTAGATTTGCTAGATTTGCTAGATTTGCTAGATTTGCTAGATTTGCTAGATTTGCTAGGTGATATACCCAGATCTAACTACATGAACTTGAATCTATTAGATGGTCTTGATAATTTTATCCCTGAGACGCCATACTAAGCAAGAAGCGATCGCCTTTTGATGAATACCTAAGAACTGCGCGTTCTGTTATTACGTAAAACACAGTAAGATTGATCGATTCAGCTATTACTAGTAGCTCACGTTCTTGTCAAGAAGTACCTGCCGATATCCATGTCAAAACATATCAGATCCCCAGTAGCACTGCCGATGTTAAGCATTCAGCGGGTTGAGTTGTTATAGCTGATGTAACACAACCTCCACGCATTCTCCATGGATACAACGGTATTATTTTTCTGGATCAACTAAATTCCTGGATTTGATGCTCTTAAAGATCTCCTAGTTCATTTCTCATAACATCGAGACCTACAACACATCTATGCGTGATTGAAGAGAAGACTAGTATCATTCGATATATGAAAAGGCTCGTTAAGCTTTGGATGTTTTACTATCCATGACAATAGTAGTCGGGCCATCGCTTCGCCTGGTGGTTGCATTACCGATCGCCACATAAGCAATACTATATTTAACATCGCCAAGTATTCTTTTCAATATTATTACGTACCTCTGGTCATCGGTGTAGCTCTCTCGAATCTCCAGGAGTAGAAAGATCAGCTCTATTCCTGGAAATGCACCTAGGTCTATTTCAGATTAAGATCGGCGAGCTGCCTTGTCGAGTAAGTGGCTTTCTGAATACATATATTTCTGACGTCACGAATCTTGGCCCTGGCCTATTTGCACTCTCATGTAAACTTTAGTAATAACCTTACAAGTAAGTATTAAATTTGCCGGAGCTGGGGTTGGCTGTATAGGGATCTTGGCGTCAGCACTAGAACTTTACAGCTCGAAGACAACGATATAGTAACAAAATAGTATTTAGCCAAAAATATCATCTGGAATGAAATAGGAAATTGTATGTGGTAAGATATCACTGAATAACGGTTTCACCAAGGCTTCTCGCGTCTTATTTTGATTCTGCTTCAGAAGCTCCCTGTTCTTCAGTTTGGGGCATTAGCTAAGCTTATAACATCAAAAGCCTCGAACAGATATATAAACTAACTCATCTCCCCATTAAATTCCATATCAGCACAAAAGAGCATCGAAACAGAAGCAATCAATCTTTCTTATAAATCATATTCTTCACTTCGTCACAAATAAACTATGCTCGTCCTTCAAGCTATCACGTCCGCTCTCCTCTTTGTCGGAGCAGCATCAGCTTCCGCCATCGATTTCTCCAAGAGAGACGGAGCCGTGAGCCTTGCAAAGAGAGACCAGAAGCTCACTGTTTCTCACTGTACCGGATGTCTCGCCGGCCCTGGAGGGGGTGTGAGCTGCGTCAACAACTGGTATGTCCACTGGGGTGATGACAAGCTCGGTTCATGGTAAGTTTATGTTCTATTAGCAGAAATTGCTGTACCCTGTCTACTTATACAAGAGGGGAAAAGCTTGTACTAATCGAGAGATTGTAGCAACGATAGTAGCTTCCTGTACGATGATTCATCCTGTACTGGCCAAATGCCTACGCCGTCCGGTACTGGTGACTTCTCAGCAAGCAATTGTGGCGCAGGACAAGATCAAGTGTTTGCAACTGTCAATGCTGGCGGGAACACCTACACTTGTTATAAAGCTGCTGGCTCTTTTAGCAATTTTTGTGGCGAAAACTATGCCTGCGATGTTTATGCGAGCTGCTACGGCCCATAAATGAAGACGAATATTATATTTGGCCAGAATAGGTAACTTTGTATTTGCGCATTATCTTACTATTCTCAGTTGAGAGGCAAAGAAGCAGTAGGCGGAATAGGAATCTGTCTGACTCATCTATGCATATGTATAATATACATATGTAGCTTAGCTAATTTATATCTATCTTATAATTTGCAAGATTTAAAGAATTGTAGGGAACACTCATCCAGCACTCCAATTCTACTATCCAACACTCCAGCTACAGGCCTAACAGGACAGTAAGTCTACTATAGGATTGTGTTATTATTGCACATACGTGGAAGTAGCAGCAGTCGCAGCGTTAGCCTTTGCTTCAATAGACTGCTGGATTTTGAACTTGTGTGCTGGATAACTTTTCCTAATCTATATTGTCAGCATGTAATAAGAATTAGCAAGGCTATGTCTATAGCTCTTGTTAGCTATTGTTTCCAAGGTAACCCTGATGACCCTACCAAGTGTATAGCGATCTTATGCAAGAATTGCTTGGAGCCTGATGGGATTGATCTATTCATAAGTATCTATTAGACGCCTGCTCACTTGTTACAAGTCTTGATGTATTAAACTAATACTACGCCCTTAGTAATAAGAAAGGCTCAATCGATGGTCATTATACAAATCCAGTTTTGTTTCTTTCGGCGAGTGGAAGCTCAAGCCGCAGGAGTATCTCACAACCATCTTCAGCTCTTGTCCTATATAGCGGAGCCAAAACTGTGGGTATCGTGAAATAATGAAGTAGTACTTCATGCTCGCAGTCAATGCGCCGGCCGCGGCTGCAATTACTTCCCCGGCAGCATGTAACCCTCTCTGTTCTCTTGTAAGCGGTAAGGCGTATTACTACTAATAAGGTGAGTATTATCAAGGCGCTCAGAAGCCCATGTAGCTTGTTTCTGAAGAAATTTAGAACTAACAAATGAAGCACCTGCGGACTTTCAGCTACGGACTTTCAGCTGCGGATTTGGCCAGGGAAGCTGGCGATGCTGCTGGGCTACACATAACAACCAGCGGAGTTTCAGGGCACTTATACGCAAAAAGCTGATTTGCAAGCATGTGGAGCAGACTTCTCCGATCTCATTTACAAAGTGCGGAATCCTTCAACGGAGATCAATCGGCTGGCCAATAGCAGAGCATTTATCATTGCCTGTTTGTTGCTAGTTCAAGCTGGCGGCCTCTAGTTGCTTTCTCTGCAGCCTAGAGTCTTCTGTGTAGCAAGCCAAGCCATATACATCGACTAGAAACGTGTAATTACGACGTTGGTTGGCAATAGTTACACGTCTCATACGTCAACTCTGCTTTCATGGACCATCTTATAAAATCCTCTGTCGCAGTTCCTACAAAAGTAATGCGCCGGCTATATCGTTCCATTATCCACAAAATTTACACGATTGCATTTGGTTGAAGCACTTGATTATTTAACCTTGACTGGCTTCTCATTTCTCCTTCTAGCGCCATGGGCCAACCACGCATTCCTCCGACACCCGTTGAGACTAATCTCAGCGGCAAGACCATCATTATCACAGGCGGCAATTCTGGTTTGGGGTATGAAGCAGCAAGACAATATCTTACTCTAGGTGCAAATCGCTTGATCCTTGCCTGTCGCTCTACTCCTAAAGGCGAGGAAGCTGCTGCTTCTCTACGAGCAGATCCCGCTGTCAAAAAGGCGAATCCTGGTGCTTCAATCGAAGTGTTTGAGCTCGATCTTGACGATTATCAATCTGGGCTTCGTTTTTCCAAGAAAGTGAAAGATGAAGTCAAAGAGCTCGATATACTTCTAAACAATGGCGGGCATATGGCATTGGGCTACGAGAAAAGCAAAAGTGACCACGAGCGACAAATGCAAGGTAAGGAAACAAGAGCCATGAGCGAACTTTCCCAGCGGGCACTAATTAATCTCTTCGCGAATCAAGTAAACTGCTATACTCACCTTCTCATCTCCCTCGAGTTATTTCCGCTCTTACGGTCGACTGCTGCGATTCGAGGGTTGCCGTCACGCATTACATTCACGGGTTCCGGAACTCAGGTTACGCAAAACACTTTGACTAAGAAGCCCATCTCACCTGACAGCACAGTTCTCGGCCATTTCGACGATGAAGCCAACTACAATAAATACTTTCGCTACGCTGATACCAAAACTGTTGTCAACGCTTACGTCCGGCGCTTGGCTGCCCTGGCGCCCGCTGAAGTTATTGTCAACAACCCCTGCCCCGGGCTTGTGCAAACGGGATTTGACAAGAACCTGCCCTTCTATCTCAAGCTCCCTATGGCGCTTGTTCGTAGGGCCATGGGCCGTACGGTAGAAGAAGGTGCTCGGACATTGGTCTATGCTTCTGCCGTGGCAGGATCCGAGGTCAATGGCAAGTTTTTGCAGCATAACAAGGTCGATCCGTGAGTGCCGTGTGACAATTCTTAGCCAAAAGAGCGTTTGCTGACTATAGTCGACAGTGGCGCTGCTTTTCTTAATGGACCTGAGGGGGAGAAATTCATCAATACGCTCTGGAAAGAAAGTGTGCAAGATATTGCCGCTGTAGATCCTAGTCTGAGCTCTTATGCTTAAAGCGACTACTTAAACCCGGATGTTGTGAGTAATGGGGAGTAATGGGGTGGGATAAGTTACGTATGAAGGAAATTCTATGGTAGAAAAAGGAACCAAGAATCTGCATAATCGGCCCATGTTAGAGTTGCTTTCTCTTTCAATTCATTTTTTTTTTTTTTGGAACTTGCTCAATTTCCCTTCGCCTGCTCTTTCTGGTCATCTTGTATTTTAACCCGCGTTGCACTTAAGAATGGCAACATTTATAGTTGCTCTAATTCTTGAATGGTGTGATTACACAAAAGCATCTGGTTTTTCTATATGCCTCAAACTCTCCACAGCCTATATACAATGGGAGAGCCAATCGCGAGCCATGTTGTATTGGTAAGACATGACAGGTAAGAGATCTTGCTCGCTTTATTACATACAGTGTGCTGCATAGTCAAAATCACAACTAAGATTGGCGTTGTTAGATGCTTTTTCAGTAAAGGTCCTTAAAATCTCTACCGTACTTATTGGTAGAATTGTGGTGGAAAGCCGAGTGTCTAAGCTCAAGAAACACCTTCGTAACTCGAAACTGAAACCAGACCCAAGGTCCAAGATAGCGAAGGCATAGCTCGCGTTCGGACAAGAAAACAGTATACGCCATTGGCTTTCATCCTCTCTAAGCTGTGGGCGTCAGTTCTCGAAAGTGTCGAAGGCTTTGGTGAGGAGGGACAGGTCCCTATAAGAGACTTGATTCAAGTGTTTATTCGGAAATTCACAGCTACTATAAAAAATAACGATCGAACAAACGTCGCGATATGGCAACGAGTGGGGCATAGAAACATTGAGGGGAACAGCTTTGCAGCCTAAAAGGAGAGCAATGGCCAAAGTCAGTGGAGAATTGACGAAACAATTGTCGATTCTGGCCAAAATGGGTATGGGGGACTTGGCCGAAGAATTACTTGAATCAAAATGGCACGACTATAAGCACTGCATAGAGAACAGAAAATATGAAGAAGGTCTTGGCTTAGTTCTTGCAGCTTTGGAATTGATCTAGGTGGCCCTCGAGCAGGGAGATACTTCAGTTCTCATTGGTTTCTTGCCTTATTTTAGGAATGGCGTTAGCTGGACCATTGCAGTCAGGGAGGATAGCAACAAGCTAGCAGAGTAACCCGACGGTCTTTCCACAGTTGAAGATAAAAACCTAGATACTGAGCTCATTTTCGACTTTGCTACCCGTTTGTTTCACACAGCTGAGCAGTGTCAATCCAATCGCGTGGGTGTCGAAGACTTGGTCTCATTGATCACGGAGAGTCTCAAATCTATGTCAGGTGATGACCTACAGCATTTTATAGATATAGATCACCAGCGCATCGAAGGAATTTAGAGAGAAGCCTGCGACGCAGATTCAGAGCGGTCATTGTTGCAGATCGCCCGCGTGGTTATTCACATTGTGAATGATGCAATGCACCGAGGCGGAGGGGCAACTGGGAGGCAGCCAGTAAATTGACAGAGATAATTATATCTCAGTGAATTACGGAAGAGGGAATCTAGTCAACATATAGCGATCTTGTCTGATGGCGATATATAACTTCCCCAGGTGTACAATCTATTTTACTTAATAGCAGGGGATGAAATATATACGAATAGCATAAAATAGAGGGAGCGAATACCTAATAAACTTGATATTATTGTGACATATACTCTATTCCGAAATAGTTATAAAGTGGTTCGATGTATAGAAGAAGAAGTATGAATGTTATCCAGCACCCCAGTTCTATTACCCAGCCCTCTGGCTACCAATTGCCTACATGTAGGCTAATACTGCTATTGCTGCTACTGCTGCCCTTTTTTTTTCATGTAAAATAATTAATTAGATATTTTTATGCATGGACTGACTGCTTTGTTGAGCTATAGCTTGGGTGTTGGATACCTTTTGCTTATAAATATTATGTGTTTATGTCGTTTGGCTCTTTAAAAGTTCGCTCCACCGCACTGGATTGACCGGGCATTGTGGAACCAGTAAGCCGGGAAATCGGCTTTCCTTGGTTCATACCACTGGCGGATATCTGCCAGGCCTGAAGGGAATATTGTTTGGGATCGGAAGTTGCCAATATCGTCTTGGCAGTCACCAGGCTTCACGGTGAATGTGCAGACAATATCTTTGGGAGGAGGCAAAGTCAGCAATCTTCAGAATAGTTGTCTCATTGCGGTACTTACTATCGGGCATCCAGATAGATCCAATGGTATCCCAGTTAATTGCATGGCATTCATTGACGGTGTTGTAAGTGAGGCTTTGGCTCGGGCCAGTATAGTTCCTTTGACGATTTAGCCGTTGTTTTACGATATCCCAATCATGCGTAGGCGCAACTTACGGGCCAGCCCATATCCAGATAGTGTTGGGCGCACGGCGAGCAAGCTATAATTGCTCATTAGTAATGGATAACGAGTAAGTTGAATACATTGAAGCACAAACCTCTGGGATGGGTGGCTCAGTTTGGCCTGTGGGCGAGCTGCTGCCGATTTGAGCAAGAGCAGCAATAGAGAGCAACACGGCGTTCTTGATGCCAATCATGATTAATTAGGGTACAATACTGAATTGAGATGTCGCTGTTGAAGAAGGCGAGAGTTGGAAAGAGTAATACCTAGAACTGGCAGATGGTCGCTGGCTTATATAGGTTTACTTGGCGGAGATCACGCACAGCGTTAGAGTAAAAGTGGTTCCATCGAGTTCCTACTCTTCAAAGTCATTGTGAGATAGTATTCCTCGATAGTCTATTACCATAGACGCTAGAGAAACTCCTATCCAAGCGGTCAGCATGCTCATATCGGTTACCTTCTTGCACTGCCACGAGCGGTGAGAATACTTCCACCAATGCTGTTCTTCGTAGACCAGACAAAAGGCCAAGCTAAGGAGTAGTTTAAGGTAATTGCCTACTTAGATCGAGTAAAAGTCTCACGTCAGAACCAAACTTAAGAATATAGAGCCTAGTTCCACATAAACTGGTTTTAGCTGAACAAGAGGGATGGATCCAATTGAATGTGATGTAACCTTCTTCGTATTCTAGGTTCTGGGAACAAAAGGCAGCATTGAGCGCTAAAACATAATTCGCTAGCCAGGCACAAAAGGCATGCGGGAGGGCTAAGCTAAAAATAAGCCTAAACAAGTAGCCGAGAGTCAGCAAGGAATGCCGTTGCATTCGAACGGCTCTTTTTTTTCAGCTCTATCTTGTAAATAGTTCAGAATAGTTCCACTGAAACAAATATCCATCTCACTCTCTTAACTTCTCCCTTACGTACATCGTATGGCAAAAATAAGTTGCCAGTGGAGCTACTACTACAGCAATTCTAGTTAATAGGCTCGCTCTAGATACGTGAGTATGTGATCAAATTGGCAACTTCGGACATAACAGCGGAGTCTCTCTTTACCAGCTTACTCAAAACGTGCCTACTTGTGGAGATGAACGCAAGCGTCTCGAGAAAAGCGCCGGTAATAAGACGGTTCGTTCAACCCTAATATGAATACGATATCCGATGCTTGGCAGTTAAAGTAGTGATATGAGGCGTGGAAAGCACGAAGTTGAGCATAGAATCGCTTCAAGAGATGGGGATATGGAACGAGATATCAGAAGCTCTTCTGATAGACAGTAGAAGACACTTGGAAGATAGCAGCATCAGCTGTTATCGAGTCTCAAGACTTCAGCTTCTTGAATATACCTGCTAGCGTTGTTGTAGAAACCGGATCCGACTTCGCCGTCTCCAACGGCGGCATCAAGAAAACGGGCAACGAAGCCCTTGGCATAAGCACGGAGCCCAGCCGAGGCATTTCGTATTTCTACTTCCTTTTCTCTTTCTCAGCTCTCAAGATAGATGAGAGATAAAAGAAGATCGAAAAGTCCCTTTTCGCAAGACTATTGATAATACATTTAACCACCTTCTGCATTGGGTCGCCGGGTGAAGAATTTGCTATACCATTCGCCAAGTACAATGTCCCTGGCCAATTTTTCAAGAAAAGCGATTCTCGCATTCCAATGCGGCCAATTTCATATTTTGAAGACAAGCTTATTACGTTAATGTAACCTACCTAGTTTTCCCAAATGGATTCTCAATGAAATAAACGAGCTCTTCGGTATCTTAGCCCTATCGGAGTTCTATTCGAGCGCCCTCGTGATAACACCCCCTGTATGAACACCACGAAGGCCATTGTCTCGGTGAGGATGCTGGCAACCAAACATGGGTCCATGCTTCTCTAACATCTTGGATAGCATCGACAATTGCGCCGAGATTTGTTCATCGACCTTTAAAGTCACAAGTTCCCCCACGTCATGGAATTAACAATACTTGCAATTGCGGTATTGGTCAGGTCATATGTACCATTGAGTTAATGTTTAATACCAAGCCATTAGTACCTAACTACTTCGGAGGTGACTGTTCCCCAGCTGTTCGTCAAACTTGATGCGCCTCATTCTGAATGGATTTCACTAGAGCGGAGCGTGTGACACTTTTTACCATCACGATGAGCCACTTCAGAACGCTCGATCTGTTGTACTCTGCGAAGCTTTTAACCCTTTATAGCCTTTCCCATGGGCGTCTATGAACCCTGTTCTTTTTCTTTCCCCCCTTTTTTTTCCAACTAAATGGTATAAATTGACTGAAGAAAGGTTTTAACAGATCTTAGTATATACAATCACCATGGACACGCGGAGAGTATTCTAAGGCAACGAAACGCGTGCGAAATAGGCAAGTCGATTTGTTGAACTCGAGAGTAAGCTAAGTACATCGGCGCGCTTTTTCCCGATAATAGTTGAGCAAATCATTGGTAATACTTTATAGAAGTTTACCGAGTTTACAGCAATACACAGAAGCCATTCACATGTCAGGATCCCCTCAGTTGACGGGTGTCGAGGTTGAGAATCATCGTTGGTAGGCGCCAAACGAAGGTTTTTGAGCCAAATATTTTGTGCCTCATGTTAAAATGACTGAGTAATAGGAGCCGCCTTCTGAACTCGCGATGTATGCAAAGGTCATTCGCGCACTAGTTTCCAGTCGACGCGATTCATCGGGCACAAATAGTGGATTGCGGCTGGCGGGATGAATGACACTACATTGTGTCTACCCTTGCATTTATCGGGTTGCTGACTGGCTGCTGGTACGACTTCTCACGCCCTACTACTCCGTAGGAGTTTAAGAGTTAGTTGAATGTAGGCATGTGCCCTATTTTCTAGCATTGACTCCGCAACCTCAACTACCATATTTTCGCAAACTCGATCTCGCCGAGGGTCAACGTAGGAAACAAGAGTAGTTGTCATTCCAAATAGCGTTCTGCAACCTCGGCCTAGATGCAGCTATTCCCAACCTTTCCGTGGGTAGTACGTACAAGAAGACGTCTATTCCTATTTTATTCCACACTTCTCGTGACTAGTATGAGGGTATCGTAAGTTAAGCAGGGAGGATAATAGCCTGAATGGCCCAGGTTGGGCAGAGTCGACGCGGCTCAGCTTATGCCGGGGCACTAATAATATCCTCGCTACTGGTTCTACTAGGAGTTTCCAGCTTTTAATAACCCTGCGCCCACCCCGCCAGCTGACCTACAATTGGTGCTCATGCAATCCTGCAGAATCCTTCGAGTTTCAATTCCAGGGGCTTACCGCTTGACTATTGAATGATGAGGCTGATGACAACGATAACGGCGTGGCCTAGTCTGCCTCGCGGTCGCAGGAGGATTAATTAATTTTTTATCCACTCAAGCGTGGCGTCCTGTCCCAAACTCTCAAGTTCTTCTCTCGCCTGCCAACCACACGCTGTATCTGTGATGAGCACGACACTCACTCATGATAGTGAGGGGCTGGAGGTGGTCCCGGGATCTGATCACAATGCCGAAGGGCTGGAGGTAGCGCATAACCATGGTTTTGACGGCTTAGAGGCATCAACCAAAGTTCAGACTGCCTACGGACTGGAAGCCGTGGGCAAGGACGGCTCGAGCAACATGGACAACATCGAGGGCGCGAGATGGAGCAAGAAACAAAACCCGCACAGAAAGAGATTATGGCTCATCGTAGCCGCTGTCGTTCTCGTGCTGGTCATCGTGGGAGCCGTGGTGGGCGGCGTTGTTGGATCACGAAGCAGTCACAAGACCGTTGCAGCGCCAAGCTCTTCGTCAACTTCAACTCCGTCTTCAAGCACGGGCGCGCCATCATCTTCAGCTACAGCTTCTTCTATTGACGCCAACTCGGGGATTGGAGTAACGGGCTGGTGGACATCTGATTCAGACTTCAGCATTCGCCTGGCCTACCAGGGAGACGATAGCTATCTGCACATGATGCAGTACAACTCGGGCGATGACGACTGGTCGACGATGACTATCCTGACAAATCTAGATGTCAAACAGGGCAGTTCGATTGCGATGTCTTGCTTCAACAATCCTGTGTATTCTAATTCACAACCGGACAGTGATAACGTGAGCAATACTTCCATAGCTTTGCGCGACATACATGCCGTATCTAACGAGTGGCGATACAGAACTTCACGCAAATCGAGATCTTCTACATCAATGACAGAGGCTATGTCGCAGAGTGGTGGATGCGAGAGCAACAAGTGCCCGAGCAACGAACGTTGAACGGGAATGGTTCCATGTCTCCCAATGCCTGGAAAGCAGGAGTGGGCTCCAGGTTCACTTCGTACTGGCCCAGTGTCATTATTCAGGATGACACAAGCCAGTTACAAGAAATATACTATAACGGCAGTTGGTCACAGAACAACTTGGGCCTTGCTTGCCAGAATCATTCAGCGTTTGCGGAAATTCCTGTTTCTATAAAGGGAGGATTGATAGGAGCTGAGAACTTCATTTACCAGCGAGATGATCAGAAGCTGTTCATTGAGGGGAGGAAGGATTCCACTGCCAGCGTGAGCACAGGTAAGTTTAAAGTCTCTTCCTTCATATCGTTGACACGTTCAAATCTCACACTTGGATAAAGTAACTATACCCGCCATCACTCTGCCGGCTGAAGCAGCCATTGGAGCGTTTTCTATCCCACGCTCTACGGCGAGCAATAGCGCCATGAATAACTATATCTTATGGCAAAACGCCACGGGCGCTATCCAGATGACTTGGGAGGATGACAACACCGGATGGCGAACCTCGTCGACTCCAGCGTCACTTGGCATCCCTGACAAAGGCACAGGGATAAGTTGCCTCACACCAACCCTCTGGGCCGTAGGCTCTTTGCAGCCAGGGTACAGCATGGCCCGCTGCTACTACTTGGTCGAGGGACGAATAAGAGAGATACAATACGATGGCTCAAACTGGTCTGTGGTTGGAAACGTGATATGAGTTGACACTTTGGGGGTTTTTGGGAGACTTTGTGCAAAGTGTTGGATAATACGACAATTTTGGGGGTAACTACCTTGTGTACATTAATTAGGCTTCAGCGGGACAATTTTGAAGATCTCGGATCTTGGCAGCGCACTAATACCATTTAATCAGAATTAAATATTTTTTGAATGAATCCTATAACTTGTAATACATGTGAAAAAAGCTATTTGCCTTCTTGTTCTCGTTCTCTCGGAACCTGCAGCCTCTCAACAGCCGCGTCTTTCCCAACCAGATCCACGAGAAATGATAACCATATACTCTTGAGTCGTCTAGGTTCAATTTCCAGCTCTAGTCCATCCTCAATACTATGGTTTTGCAAACTATGAGCAGCCAAAATGCGGCCTCGTGGGTTTGCGTTTCGATATTTAATCCATCTAGCACGCTATCAACTCCACTTATCATAACCACTTTCTAGAACTCTGTCACGCAATACAGTATTGGAATTGCCTTGATTGAAGATATTCTGAGAATCGATGTCGAATTGCGGAATGTTTATGAAGGTTTATGCTCTGAGCCAGACCTGTAGTGCGTCCCCCTTTCTTAAGGATGCTTCTCGTCTACGACCCGCCTATGTTCAGCCCATGTTCGGATGGCATCGAAATTTTTGCACACATGCGTTGCTCCCGTTCCGTCTGTACCATTCAAGGGACTGTTAGGAATATGTCCCTCCAGAGTTGTATCCCCACAACAGGTGACAGATTGCCGCAAATATCGAAAGCAGTGCTGAACATGGTCTTGAGCATCCGAGTCGAAAGCGGATAATTCGGGGTCTGTGCGATATTCGGAGGTTGGATCGAGAAGGCTGTTATACATGTCCATGACGATATACTAAAATATACTTGTGAGAAGTCTGCGAGTGCCATGCTAGGAATGGATGAAATACCAAGCAGTGTAACTGGTGGAATACAGCGATCGAGTAGGTGTTGTTTCCATGATACAGAATAGGCTCTGGTAGATCATATTTGTTGAAGTCATTTATAGCGAGAAACCCGTTTCCTTCTACAAATTTCAATGTATTAGAGCTTGAACGTTTCTCACATAGATTCTCTCTGCGATTGCAACTTACTCGGCATATATGTGAGCCAGTTTTCCCGAGTCTCATTCCTGTCTTCTTGGCTTAGACTTTTGGTCGTCGCTGATCCATCTTTTTGGAAAAGCACCTGATGAGTAGGAACTGCATCCACTATTAGCGACTTGCTCTGCATAAGAGACACGATTGACTAACATCTGGGGATTATATGGTTTCTTTCGCTTCCTATTTGCGGCTGATGCAAGGAGCGTAGTTGGAGGAGGATAGTTGCTGACGCTATCAATTCAACAACACCAATAGCACTCAAAATGATCGAGAAAGTCCAAAAGAGGCTCTTTCTTTGAGATTTGCCCTTTCTTGATTTTAATTCATGGTCGATTAGAAATTCGTTCGACCCGCGAGAGGGCTCGTCCTCGTTGAAGTTGTCCTGCATTTCCGCAGCGGACTCGACTTTGGCGAAGCTGGATGGCATGGTTATGGCGATGTATGGACTGACATGAATTTCTCTGTGTTTGTCATAAAACAATGGTACAGTTGGATTAAATACCTTATTATGAGCAGGTTGAGCAGATTTGGAACCACAAAGACTTGGATGCAGAGAATGAAAGCCATAAGTAACAAAACATACCATTCTATCGAAGGTCTCATACACTGCTCTGGTTGGTCTGCTAACTAGGCCTAGGTAAGATGCGGATTGTTGTGGATCTTATGTTGTTGGTCCAGCCAAACCTAGTTCTATTGAAATGACTGTAACCAACTTATTGTCATTGGTATAAGGGCGTTAGACTCCTTATTGAGTTAGCTCCTTTGGCTTGTATTGAGCCTGGGCCATTATTCAACAAAGGATAGATGGTACAGTCGAAGGCGAAATGGTGTCGCGAATTGATTTGCTTACATGCATCTGATGATACGATGCACCAGTGGCTGGTTTAGTAAAGTGGCAGTGTATTGCAGTTGTTCACCAGTTATACTTGATAATACATACTCGTAGAACTCATAGACTGTCGTTCTGGTTACACGTAATAGCCTAATTATGGGTTCACCCAAGAACTACTCATGACTTTGCGCCTGGCAAAATAGCCATGTATATGCAATGGGAAACAAACTTGATGAAAACTTTTCGAGTCATTTTCGGTGACTTGCGCCTGATTTGTCGGGCCTATAATGCCCAAAATCTTCATCGCGCCCAGGCCATAATAACTTGCTGAGGATAACAGCCCGTACATTTGAAGCAAACACAACTAGCCATCCGATTACAATCAAGATTGTCATGGCACTTGCCACGCCTTTGATACCCTCGCTGCCAAGCTCCTCGCCGATGAGACATGTGGCAATAGTGAAGGCTGTGTTTGGGAAGACAATTGCCCACCAAGCCATGGAGAAGCGGATGCGTCCCTTTGAGATGCCTACAGTAAGCGCAATGAGGCTGAAGGAAAAGAACCAGAACGCCAAAGCCCAAAGCCAAATGCCAATCCAAAGAGCAAGAACCTTTAGTATCTGTGGCGCAGCTGGAAATCTGGTAAAGTAGGCATAGTTGACCGGGATGGATCGAGAGAGGCCGATTAAGCCTGTTGCTGTAAACCCCGGCGGGCCTACTGCGATGAACATGCCGGGGCGCATTGGAGGAGCCGGGAACCCCTCCTGCGTTAGTCGATAGAGGTATAGGGCGTACAAAATGAAGGCGACACTGAAGCCCAGACCCAGATACGTAACTCCTGCGACGAGGATGGGCAGCCGATTCGAAGGTGGTTGCGACGGCGCAATTGTGGAAGCCAACACTCCGGTCAAAAGAGTAGGGAAGATGGGAAAGATCCAAAGGGGACTCATAGACTTGATTTGAAGCTTGGCCCCATGAAAGACGATGGTGTATTGAATAATCGATGATAAGAGAGCCAAGGCGGCATAGATCCAGAAGCATACACGAAGAGCCACGGGTAGCCAAGGACCCGATGCTGGAATGCCGTATATAGCCGAGTTGGCAAGAATAATAGCTATGCTCAACAGGAATGCCGGGAAGAATAAACTCTCGGTAGGATGCAGCAAGCTCGTCTTTAATCCTCGAGGCGTCTTTATAAATCGATATGAAATAGCGACGGTAGAGAGGACAAACATAGTAATAGACATTATAAACGCTACTTTGCCAATGGCATTAAGGCCATCGAACCGGTGAGGTGTGTTGTGAAAAAGAAGACCCAGAACTCCAGTGCTGATGGTAATTGCAAACCAAGCCCATGTAAAATGCTTTAGGCGTTCGCGAATTGGGCACTTGTATCCTGGGCTGCAGAGGCGCTGCTCTGGCGCTCGAAGCTGTCCCGTTTCCCAGTCGTCCCCTTTAGCATCAGAAAGGCCAAGGCTACCTGGAGTCTGGATTGTTCTCTCTGTTGTCTCTGACAGCGGTGGCTGCTGAGTTGACATGTTTTCTCGTGGTATTCTTAATTGTCGAGTGTATAATACCAGTGTATCTAATCTGAGAATTGTTACAACTTGAGAATCACCGATGAATATGAATCGCAATTAGCTCTTTAAATAGTTTTTCTTCAGTGAGCCGCATATACTCCCGAACAGGTTGATAATCCTAACGCCAAGTTGGAGAGCCAGTCCTAGATGCTGCGCTACCAAACTCGATGCCCCGAGGCAGCCGGAGTACCTTGAATCTAAGAAACACATCAACTATATCATGGTTTGCTTCCGCAAAATGCAGTGGTGGTACCTTTCCGATTAAGCTTCTGCTAAAGGGACTTTAACCTGCCTATGAAGAGCTATATGTGAGATCTAGCTCAACTGGGTGCTAGTGCGAAGTAATGATTGATCTTTATCCGATCTTAGAGGAAGAGAGCTGAATCTAGCTCGTTCAATAGATACGCTAGTGGTTCATTAATTCGTATCATGTTACTGAAAGGTGCCTGTAGCTAGATAGTCCCGGCTGTCACTCAAAAACCTTAAGTTAGTCTTTACAAGTAGTGTGCTGATGTGCGACTTTGAAGCCAGTCTCCTAAAACAATTTCTTTGCTTCATACTATGGGTTTGAAGAGTCTATTGATTTGAGAGCTGAGTAACGCCAAAACTAGTTTCAGACTCACACTATAAAGTCTTCAAGGCTTTATGACTAAACATTGATCTTCTTGGAGTCACCCCCTCACGGAAGAACATAACCTCCGTCAATGAGGAGATCGCTTCCAGTCATATAAGTTGACGCATCGCTAGCAAGATACAAGTATAAGCCCTTAATCTCCTTTACATGACCTTGTCTGCCCATTGTCGACATCCGATAAGCCTCGTTGATAGCCAGAGGGTTGGCGCCCATTTTCGTATCGAAGAATCCAGGCGACACTATATTAACTCTTGCAAACTCTTGCCATTCACGAGCAAGAGACTTTCCGAAATGTGTGACAAAGGACTTGGTCGCGTTATACACTGGCTGATCCACAGGCACGTTGACAATGTGGGCGCTCATGCTTGAGGTGATGATTAGGTTGCCAAAGCCTTGGCTTTTGAAGACATCGCCGACGTATTTGGAGCAAAACACTACTCCATCCACTTTGCAGGCAATCAGCATAGAATTTACCGATAGACAAATGTCGGGATTACGTACCATTTACAGACATCTGTTTACGATACTCATCTAGTGTTTGCTCTAGAATAGGCTTCGAGATCGCCATGCCTTGAGCCATTTCAGTGTCTGGCCTCTTATTTCCGCCATGCTTTTTGTAACTCACCTGCGTTTGCAACAAATACATCGATCTTGCCGAAATCTTTGACGACCTTGTTGATAGTTGAGCTCACTTGGTCAGCTTGAGAGACTATGAGGCATGTTAGTGGTCAAGGTGTATTTTCATGATGGATACAAAAGAGACTCACCATCGACTTGATAAGTGACAGCTTTGATCTTGTAAGTATCGCTGAAGCTCTTGGCTTTCTCGACTGCTGCGTCGTTTCTTGAGGCCGGTGTAAGCTTGTTGCAATTTGCATACATCGGCAATGAGGTCCGAGGGCGCAGCTCACGAATTATACCACATGGCAACATTTGCGCCTGCTTCTACCATGGCCTCTACCACAGCAAGGCCGATTCCATCTGAAGCTCCCGTCACAACCACGACCTTGTCCTTCATCTGGAACTGCTCAATAACATTATGCGGGGTACTGGGAATCGGACGCGGGAATCCCGGCCGAACCTTTGTGCAGTCTTCAACTGTCATAGACATTTTGATGCAAGAGCCGTATTGCCGATTTGAAATCAGATTTTCTTGGTGTGTTTATATGTAAGTTATTGTTATTTTCTTGAGCCATCTCAAAGCAACCCCTCATCAGATCCCAAATGCGCAATACTCGGGAGACCCACTCCGACCCGGGCGACTGAGGACCGATCGGCAGCCAAACCTCAAAACTCCGAAGCCAGTCGTCACTTAGGTAAGGGATTTCATCATTCGGAAGAGAAGAGCTGGCAATATGAAGGGATGTATTATTTCAAACAAGACTCAATGATCGTTGGCAGAATTAACTCAAGTAGATGGAACTATGAAGGGTACATCAACATGGTGAGAGAACCATAGCGTCTCATAGCTGGAGAGAGCCATTGTTATCTTAACATGGATGATGGATTTAACGATTGATGTGGAATTTGCGAGTATAAAACCTGATACTTTTATTACTGCCTCAGAATCAATTTTGAATCACCTCCAGCCTCGCTCTCCCTGCCCACAAAGTCCACATCCAGATGCCAACCACGATAAGAACGTCAAAAAAGCTGAAAACAAGACTGCCTCCGAATATGAGGCTATGATAAGTCCACGCATTCTTCTCATCAAGATGAATAACTTGACAAACTATTGCCCACGGGAGAACATATAGCAAGTTGCTTGCTAAGCTTTGATATAAATACCATTTCGGCCTCGTGGCCAGCAAAATGGTCGCAAGTTGCGTTGACATTGCGTAAAAGATGTAGCACCAGTCAATCGTCCGCCACATGTGTGCAGTAACATCAGCCACTTCGCTCGATCCACTGATATAGAGCGCAAACGGCCGGGCACCGAATGTCGAGAGGAATATTGCCATGGGAACCTCAATTATGAGGGCTATCATAAGTGATCGTAGCGCAGGGTTGATGATGCTGTAGATGTCTTTCCAGCTTGCTCTTGGCCTTCTGTTATGGATCCCAACGCGTCGTCGCCACTGTCCCCATTTATGGCCGATGAATTGGAGAGATGTTGCTTCGAGTGCTTGCACGGGAACCATAACCAAGCCCCAGCGAATGGTGTTGAAAACTCCCCAAGCAGTGGCATACACCGATCCCAAGGCAATAACAGTGGTGACCAGCCAAAGATATAGTGCATTTCTGATGGCTGATTCCGCGAAACAGATGAGCCCAGGCTTTAGCAAGATCCGTAGTCCTCGAATGCTTGGAGAAGTGGAAGTATGACTCCCCGTGGAATGACTCTCGAGAGGATCTTGGCGATGTTTGCGGAGGGCAGAGAAGCTCACAAAATAGAGAAAATAAGCCAGTCCCACGAGCGCGGCTGTCAAGCTACAGGCCAGTTGAATGATGCCCTGCATATTGACAGTTGGTTGGAAAGAGCCGACATGGTATCGAGAGATGATTATCAAGTCCAGAATAATATTGACCGCAAACTTGACAGAGCTGATGACCAAAGGGACGTCAGGCTTGTCCAAGGATCTCGTGGCCGATGCAACAGCAGTCTCAATCGCACCGCTCAAGACGGTAAAAGAGGTAATGCGTACATAGGTCAAGCTCGCAGCCCGCACCTCTTCAGGCACAAAACTGTCGGCAAATCTTGGTGCAGCGCCGAGGAAGATGATGCTCAAGATGAACCCCAGCAGAGACTGGAATGCGATCAAAGTGTGAGTCAACTGGAGGCGCTCGGCAAGGTTGCGGGATGCCTTGTCTCCAATGATGACCCAGGCAGCCCTTGGAAGACCCTCGTTGACGGCCTCAGAAGCAGTGTTCATATAAGTATAAGCATCTGTTGTAACCACCATTGAGGAATCGATGTCAGCCACCCAGAGTTTTGACAGCGTTCCATAGAGCGCGGGGAGAATAAACGCTGCCACATTGAAGAGAAGCGACCCCAAATAGCGATCGCGATGCAGTGTTAGCTTCCATGATCGTTTCTGTTCTTCGATATTGATAACTCCAGGGCTAAAGGCCGCCGAAGAGTTGAGCGCATCGGTTTCTTGGCCCTCGGGCGTACTGTCTCGGCTATCGGTACCTCCCATTGCTTCTCCAGAAGTGGCTCAGCCTTTTTGTATAAATTGAAGTATATTGTACCGACCGTCACAGTCGATGTGAGCCGAGACAAAGTATTGACCAAGGGGAAAACTGTATTCTAACTCTCAAACCATCCTATGCATTTCCTGTTTCTTTCCCTTCTTATATCTCAAGTCTCAGAGTATGGTGTAAATCGCGCGGGGTAACATTATGAGGAGTTGCACCAGCATATTGAGTTTCTTGGCGCATCTCTACTTCCAGCTCGAGAATGATTGGCTCGACGGCAGCAGAGCGTCTATATCCGGTTGTAGGCCGCCCACGCGATGGATGCAGAAACCATCCTATTGCGGCATAAACTCTCAACCTTGATGCTACCGTCGCTTTAGATCTAGTTAGCCGTGTGCTTTATTTTACCTCATGACCATTGTTTAAGATGGCTTGCATAATTTCGTGCTAGATCTACTCAATCATGGAGGTGTTACGAGTGCGCAAATGCTACCACATATCGGAACAAGCGATGCCAGTCAACAAAGACAATCACCTCTTAAAATGATGGACTCTAGTCCTTTTCTAGACCTACTGAACCAAGTTGTATCCACTGCATTTAACATTATAGGACGCTGATGAATCCATTAACGGTCGTTCAAGTTCAGAAGTCGTCTGCCAATTGCCCTCTTTTGCTTGTTCATTTCAGTCAACAATGTTAACATCGCTTTTACGTCCGTATGTAGTAGCCTTTCCTACAAACTATTAACTATAAGGGAAACCAAACGGACGCTTCAGGGGCACCAGATTTTCTAGTATCTTCATCCCAGAAGACTCAACCACCAGTTTCGCCCTGTCAGTTAAAGTCAAAGCGCGTCCACATTCGAAACTTCACTCTCAAAGGCAGCAAAACCTTCATGCCCCTAAAAGAAACGCAGCTCTAGAAACGCGACGATAATAAATGAATTAAAAATCCCAAAAGACTACGTCCTTCGCCACAATTAGTTGCCAGGTCTGTATATCGACTTTTCATTGGGCCATGACATCCGTGCCCGGCAGCATGTTAGCGTCAAGGCCATCTACGACTGTCGCCTCTCTCTTGAAGGCTGCCAATGCCCTGTCTCCATCGGGTGTGTTGCCCAGGAATCTGAAAGGCAGTACGACGTATTTATCAGACGAGCGTTTGTTGTCTTGGATGCCTCTGGCCGTAACGTCTGTCTGTCTTTATTGTATCTGCACCATGGTTGATTTGGGCGGTGAGCTGGGGGTTTGCTCGCGATTCACCATTCTTTCTCAACCCTTTACAAGTGCAATCCTTTCTTCTCGCTCTGTTCTTCTTTTGACATAAGCTTAAGCTCAAAGATTATATTTCGTCTTATTCTTAGACACCACCGCGCTGCCACAGTTTGTCAAACCCAAAACGCTCTTTCTCTTTTATACTTTACTTGCTACTCAACTTTGTTTCCATCTAGATGTCACCAATACTGAGACTGACGACTCGGATATTGAAGAGCATCAAAGTGCCATCGATCAAGAACGCATTTCTAATGAAGACTGGCCCGATGATGAATATATCCGACGATGGATTTTCCCGCCGTATGAAAGCTCGTCGTCAGTTAAGTCCCTCTCAGGGGTAGAAAATAGGCTGCTGAGACTGATATTCCGAGGGGTGGGATATGTTGGGGAGAAGCGCGAGCTTTATAATTCGCCTATCTTCTGCGAGGATGGGAATCTAGTGTGTGGGTTGCAAGAGTAAGGTAAAAGTGCCGCCCATTGGTCTAACAGCACATAGCCACATCAGGCAGATTGCGGCTCCAACATTGTATGCTATTTTCATTCAACTTGAATCCAAGAAAACAAGAAATGTGCTATTAGATGAGCTTACGAGTAGGTGATCAAAGCAGCAGGCAATTGCCAGCGTCGTTACGATATTTGACCGTGAGAGTAAGTGAGCGACAATTTCTACCCCGTATAAGAAACATTTCCACCGGTTCCATACAACAAAGACGCTAAGGCGAGTTGGTGGAGTGGTCTAACACGTGCGACTCAAGATAATATCTTGATCCTTTAACAGGATTTCGCATCTCGCAAGAGGCGTGGGTTCGAATCCCACACTCGTCAGTCTTTAACTTTTTTTCTCTTTTTTGTTTTTCTCGTTTAGACTTCGCTATTGGCCCTACAAATACCCAAAGTATTTTGCAAAATATTATCGCCCATCCTTGAAGAGTCGTGACTTTTTTTTTTTAATTCTTGGATCAAGTGAATTAGCGGTTAGATTGGCGATGTGCAGTAAGTTGTTTTGCAAGATGTCCTTCAGTCAAGGTCCTCTTAGTATGCGCCCAGAATATTCTATACTGCTCAATCGACCCTTTCAACAAGCCGCTGCAAGTCCATATTAAGTTTAATCCTAAAGAAAATAGTACACAACTAAGAACGTTAAAAAGAAAATGTTGTCAAACGCCATGATGCTATTCCCTAACGCCCGTTATCGGCGAATCCCGCCATGCTTCCCTTGCGCCTCAAGTCGCCCGCTTTGAGCTTCCGCACAACCTGATACGACCGATCCAATTCGTTCTCAACAGTACACCGTATCTTGAGCGCCGCCACAGCAGGCCACACGCTCCTCTCGCCCCGTAATATCCAATAATTCAAAGTATCTTGCGTTGGTGTCTCGAGCAGGCGCACAAAGTCACTGGCAGTAACTTCAGGGACAAGCGTCATCGATGCCGCAGGCACTTGCTCGTCTATCAGAAAGCGGCGGATGCTCGCAGGTACAAGACGAAGCGAGTCCAGCTGCCGCAGGCGGTGTCTTATTTCGAGTCCCACCATGCGAACGAGAAAGGCCGAAAGCTGGGTTGTCTTGCTGCGAGTCTCCACGAGAGACGGCCCATGCATGTCGGATTGCAAAAAGGGGATCAGATAGGGCCTGGCTTGGCTGACAATGAAATGGTTCACATTGAAAAGCTCGGCAATTCGTCGAAGAGGGGAGTCACGATCTGTGTAAGACGCATGAGTCCAGTGGCGGAAGTCGGTCGTGTTGGCCGGAGCCCAAGGAACAATGTTGCCGTGAGCGTCTTTGCACAGGATAGTGACTTTGGAATGGCCATATAAAGATGGCGAAGATGCATTCGAGGCGACAGCAGCCGTCCAAATCAACTATTGTCAACAAGGTCAGTATGGAAACAGAAGATTGTGATTGTCTCTTTGGCAGCACTTACCACATTCGGAGCGGTGATGTAGTTGAGGAGAGTTGGCACGCCGGCCCCCTGGCCATCAGTCGCCACAGTGATGTTCAAAACTCTCTTGCTGCGGTTATACGCCTCCTCAAATGTCAAATCGCCAACATTTGCTCTTACACATTCCTCAAGCACAGTAACATCTAGGAAGTAACCTTCCCTTGAGAATCGCCGAATTCTCCGCATCAGAGTGTTCCATCGTGACCCTAGTGACTGCTGAGCAGGAATCTGGCCGTCCTCATTTCTTCCCTTGGAGGCAAAGGCGCTGAGATCAATGCCATCACCTCGGAGGACACCTGGTAGCTCTTCTTCGGTATGTATGGCCACCAGCGCAGCGATCAATGCACCAGTCGCCGTTCCAGTGATGATTCGCGGCAATAGGCCTCGAAGGAACAGGGCCTTGACCACTCCAAGATGGCAAAGACCAAAGATGGCGCCGCCTTGCAGAACCAGTGTGCTCCGCCCAAATGCCTGTCTCGTATCGTGGATAAAGTCCAACTTCATCTGATTTGTCAATGCTTTTTCATGAGCATACAGACTAGTCGCAGCACTCGTTGGAAGAGCACTTATGTCCTCCACTGATTCAGCCACTTGGGCAATATATTCTTCAATCAGGTACTTTGTTCCTGAGAAAGATCGATTATATAGTTTCGGCACAGAGATATTCCCGAGGTTGCGGACGAGACCCGAGCGAAGCAAATTGACGAGCTGCTCATAGTTGTTTTCTTCTCGTGCGATTATTAGAGAGTCTAGGCGTTCTGTTATAAGCGACCAATCGTAGTATTTGGATGTTGGGTTATTCCTCCTATAACGCGCAATCATGGTCAGTAAACGTCGTCTTCCAACTCCCAATGCACAAGACAGCCAAGTCGCCATACCATAAGTCAAGGCCCAGCAAGTTGTCGAGATGCAGTGCCGCCTCCTCCCAGTCCTCAAACGTCTCTGCATTGCGCAGCAGCTCAAGCCACAGCTTGACGGGGTTCTTTCGCGTATACCAGCTCAAGAGCTTCTTCAAGGGCGTCAGAAAGACGAGCATTGCGACGGGGAGCAACAATGAGAACGCCGTTACCTTGCGCCAGAAAGCCGCCACGTCCACCACCACCCTCCATATAGACAGCACTAGCCCCATGATTGCCGAGGAACGCTTTCACGCGCAGCGTCGGACCATTTCACGAGGGCTGCGCTGTCACTCCGTATCTGTCGGTACACGTTGCACGGTGGGTCGATCGGTTCAGTTGACGGCGTGCCGAGGGGGAGGTCAAGCCCGCATCATCGACTCAACGCTGGCAGGAATGAGGTCGGAGTTGGGAGCGCGAATAGAGAGTAGTAGGTACTGAGGTCTTGGAACAATTGCGTCGTTTGTCGCCTCTGTGAATCGGCGCAGGCGCGTGTTTGCTGCTTTGGTTGCTGTTGTCTGGTCAAACTAAAAGCCCCGGCCAGCGCGCCGACAATTGATTACATTGCCGGCCTGTCTTTTGCCGGCTTCCCACGGCCTGGCCGCTAAATTAAAGAGATGAGCATGTGATGGATTGTTGAGAAGGGTATGAGATCACCCCGGGTAGAGCCACAGCGCCACTTCCGGCTTAGCGCTGCTGGGCACATGGCATGCTTCATGGATAGCGGATAACGTTGCATTAGTATGAAGCAGGTGCATTATCGATATCCTGCTCCGAGCATCAATAGCATGCATGCAGTTAGTTGGCTTCAATGTTCAATTCCACGGCCACCTGCTCAGCTGGCATCTGTCACAAACGTGTCCAAGCAGAGACAGCTCATCTCAAGTTTGCTCTGAGAAATTCCACAGCAGCCTCTTGTGAAAGTGGAGGCATCGCAGGGACCACATAATGCTGTCTCAACGCTTTTGGGGGACCGTCTTTGCCACCATCAGGTGCCTGGATCAAAGCAATGTTGGGAGCCGCGATTTGCCTAGTATGTGATATGGAGCGAGCGAGTCAACTCATTAATGGGTCAGTCTCTAAGTGCGAGATCATTCGACTTCATATCAACGTATCACCGCCATTAGTATCATCATAAAGGACACAAGCAATGACAATTGAATGCATACGGCTATGTAACACCAAATGTGCGAAAAAGAGTGAATGTAGCCGCAACCCCTATCTGTATTATTTTTGTCGCAGATCAATTACCAAGCAAACCAAGTTAGATATGAAAAAGGGTCCAATAGGCCCTTGCCAACACGCAGTCATTCCATCTTCCTGACTGCGAGTCTCCTTATTATACGCCTCAGTCATCGTCATCGTCAATAACGTTTCGCCGCCTGCCCGACCTGCCAGACGTCTCCATCGGTTCCACCTCGTCTCCTTCCGCATCCTCATCGTCTTCGGGTTCTTTGGTTCGTTGTCTTTTAGATCGGGGTGCTTCATCTTCGTCGTCATCGTCCAGGATGTCCTCCTCTTCGTCTTCATCAGCGCCACTCTCAATCTCCTCATCGCTACCCACCAAAAAGCCATCGTCCAAGTCGTAGTCTTCATGTCGCGAGACTCCCTGAGGGAGGTCATCGTCAGAATCATATTCTGGACGCCGTCTCTTGGGTCGCGCAGAGCCAGGAGCCCCTCTCTTCCGGGCTGCACCAGAACGAGCGCCCTCCAGGCCGCCAATCGACAGGCCGCCGCGACCGGATCGCCCCAGCCCACCGTCTATTTTGGCTACGGCATTCTCGCGCTTTCGCTGAGCCTTCATCCGCTCCTTCTCTGCCAACTCGGCTTGCTTCTTTTGTAACTCAGGGTCCACGGTCGTTTTGATAATCATGCCACTGCTTGCAGACGACTTGCTAGCCAAAGCCATTCTCTCTGCCAAGACGGACAGGGCATTGTCACCAACAGCCTTGTTTGGTCTGACAGTATATTGTTCTGTCAAGTGGCCCACCGTCATGAGCAGATTGCTGCTCAATTCAGCAGCCGCAGCGTAGTAGTGGCCGTCTTTTAGTTCATCGTAAGGCTGTCCTTTGCCTGGAGCCAGCGCTTTCTTCTGGATTTCATATTGCTCGCCACCAATGGAAATCGTAACAGAGCCATCACTCCACCGGTAGATATTCGTATTGCTCTTCAATTCGTTGGTGGTGGCATCTCTGCGAACTCGCACGACGTGTTTTGGGTGCTCTGCCTTGGCGTTCTCAAGGTCGAATTCAGATGGCCGGAATGATTCTTCTTCGTACGGCTCGGGCAGGAATTTGACGAATTTCGGGACGCGCAATATCCGAAGCTAGTTGAACAGTCAGCCATTTGATCACCCAGATAATGCTTAACGATCCAAGCACTTACCGCGTCATCAGATGGTTTAGGGACACGATGGCGATAGGCTTGAACGGCCATAACGATCCTATCTTTTGTTTCATGTCGCGACTGGCTCCCATCGTAGTCTCGTGGCTCAGCCTCGCCGTAAGCTTCGGGGTCTGAGGCGAGGTCATCGTCGTCTAGAATGCGCGCCTGGGGCGAGGCATCTCCTTCGTCACCCTCATCTCCAAAAAGGTCATCGCCGCCCTCGTCAATGGCATCGAGGGGATCCTCCGAATCGGACATTGCGTCTTATTGCGAAAGCGTTGCCACCCGAAAAGTTGCTTCTGAGAAGTCTTGGACTCGGAAAAGGCACCAGTGTGCCAATGGGTCAAATAGCGGATGGGCGAGGATGAAATGGGGCTGCAAGGCTGCGGCTTCGAAATCTGCTGCGCGAGGCACGCTGGAAGAGCGCGGTTCACAATTGACTGCAGCAGCTCAGCGCCTGTGGCTGGTGAAGCATGCACCAGCCACACTTGTCTATCGGGCTTGGTTCTGCTTAGTCATATGGTTTGCCTCATCCGATTGGGCGCAAGGCTGGCCATAAGTGGGCTAATGCTAGAGAATAGGGTAGCAGCGTAGCATCTTGCATGTGAAGAGGGATGAGAGTTGAAGAGAGGATGTTGCTTTATGAGAACATGTGAGAAAAAGTATTTTTTTAAGAAAAGGAGCAATTTCCAAGACGACCTCCGAACTCACGTTGTTTAATAGGTAGCTCAGTCTGAATCCCAAGTATTATGTGCATGTATTGGTTTGGTTCGCACACAGATGCCAATAACCAAACATTGTAAAGAGGCTTTTCACTTGATACCTCATTGACAATTGCTGATAATCTGCTTCAACTTGGTCAAGTCACCGCCAATAGCACAAACCTCCCATCAGCGGCTAAATGGCCGACCTGAAACCTCCACACGGTCAAGCTATCGCTAGCCAAGGGGGAAGAGGCGAGATTGTGCCATGCCCAAGTTGCCCTCACCTCGCCTCATTACTCGATCCAAAATGCACTAATTCCCCGTGTCAATACGCCGCTCCTCGTACTTCGTACTTTGTTATAGCGCCCGCCAGCTCAACGGCTACCAGGTGCTACCTGTTAATAAACGGCGTCGTCACGTATTACTAGTCTAAAGCCTAAGACCAACAACCCGTCCGCGGCTTGGATATCTTAGCTTTTTAACAACTCACGCAAAGAGAAGCTCTCCTTGTTTTTTTGGCCTCCGAATTGGCCACTTTTCACGCCCGGCAACAGCCCAACAAAGACAGCCTGCACCACGTCCATCCCTTCTGCAGCTCTCTGGACCGGCTCTCCTGCACCCCTATTTTTCTCTCTGCATAGGATCCCGTGACAAGGCTGGAGCCACTCTGACCACTGTTTACTGCACCCACCATTTTCACCCCGCCTTTTTGCAATGTCCAACCTCTTTTCTGGCATGTAAGTGCTGCAGTCTGATTCTGGCCGTTGTTTGTGCATCTTTTCCCGTCGCCTTTTGCTTTTCTGCCTTTTCACCCAGCAATTTGTTTTCCAGGTATGTTCCTTTGATATCGCAGCTGCTGCACTCTCTTGTTGGAAAACTGCCCGATTAGGCTTCATCGAGGGAGGGGTCCTGAAACAGGCATCCCCAGCGGTGAGGGGCAAGCGTCTCGAGCAGCCTGTCCATGTATCCAGCATGCCATTGTCGCCATTGAATGCATTCACGTCGGCGTCTTCAGTGGGAGATGCCATTACCAGAAAGCTTCACAGCTTGGGCTTCTCCGCATTGCTCAGGACCGTCCAACGAGGCCAGCAAGTCGAGCTGGGCACCCCGGACGGGAGAAGCTCCCAAGGGGCCACTTTTAGGCATTATCGATATCTCAGAGACGGCTCTCATCACTTGAGCCACGCTGCTAGATACAGACCTTTTCTCATGTCGATGGCAGCCATGCAGTGAATGGCACTTGGCAGCTGCTTGGAAACGCTCCTCAGTCGACGTGGCCTGGATGCGTCCCGCGTGCCTTATATACCTACTCCTAGCAGAGGAAAGGCTGCAAGGCCAGTCCCCACCCCTGATGCCCATCCATCACATTTCCTATTTTGCTACCCCTTTCCCACTCACCTTTCTATTTATAAGAGCCGTACACACACCGGCCATTCCCTGCACGCTTCGGCATCTGTATCAACTTAAGCCTCATGCGAGACGCTAAAGTCCTTTAAGCGAAGCTCACGCGTCTCTCTTCGCTTTTGCTCTACTATCCTGCCCACCGCGCTGACACATCGCTGTCGACCTCTTGTTCTCTCAAGACTGCAAAGACTACAATTGACGTCTTTCCACTAACCGCATCCCCTAGCAACGCTCGTTTCCGAGGCGGGCCTAAAAGCCCATCCCCATCACAGAGCTCCCAGGGCCCCCTGCCGCATCCCTCATCCGACGTCGCCTCATCTCCCAAGATATCTTCGGCCAGGCTACCTGAGAGAACTCCCTCTTTTCCCGCCTCAGTCTCTTCTCCTCAGCCTGGTGGAATGGCCCAACCAGACGCAATGGCTACCGGCGATGATGTTATCAACTCTTACCACCTCCCGCGGCCGCTTCCGCTGTGGCTCAACTCCAACTGTGCAAAGCACATCGTCAAGGGAAACTTTATGACCCTGAGCGCACGGCCAAAGACAGTTGAGCAAGGAGAATGGGTAGCTCACCAGGGTCAGTAGCCTTTCCTTTGTATTCTTTGCCATGGATCACAGCGCTCACAAACATTACACAGTTGTCGAGCACTATCGTAACCTGTGGAATTTTGTCCAGGTAGTTCACGCAAAGGAGGAGACGGGGAATACCATTTGCAATCCGACTTCTTGTCCTCGAATGTCTGCTGGAGCGTAAGTAGTTGGAGTCCCCTGCTGCTCATCTTCAATCCAAGTGCACCTATTCACCTCAATTTTTTTAGAAACCACTCCTTCACTTGGCTCAATAGCCGACGTGAGCCAGTCGAATTACCGGCTCATGAATACATGACCCTGATGCAGCGATGGATCGCCGGAAAGGTTGATGATACCGCCATCTTCCCAACCGATCCTGCTGGCGTCTCTCATTCTCACAACCCTGCCATGTCTTCAACTCCGCTGTCTCAGCTCACCAACCCCGGAGAGAGCGACTGGACCGGCAAGCGATCTGGCTTCCCAGAAAAGTTCATTGACATTTGTCAGATGATATTCCGCCAAATGTTCCGAGTGTATGCTCATCTCTACTGGGCACACTTTTCAGAACCCTACTACCACCTCAACTTGGAGAAGCAGCTGAACAGCTGCTTTTCCCACTTTTTGCTAACGGCCACGGCGCTGGACATGCTGGGCAAGCAGGACCTGGAGCCGATGCAGCCTCTGATCGACCTCTGGGCGGCCAACGGGACGTTTCCTCCCGAGTCCAAGGTTTATGAGTATGCCAACCTCCAAGCTGGCGAGCGATTGATTCAACTTGCAGGCGTTGTTTAGTAAAGGATTTTCTTTGGCATTACATATGAAGTGGTTTATTTCTGTCTAGTCTCCGTGTTATTGTTGAAAGACGGATAGAAAAGGATATGACCTTTACTTTTGGGTACATGTAGCCACACAATAATAGCTGTCTTGAGCGCTGAAGCGATTAGCACCAACCTTTGAAGGATTGCACGAGCACGATAGTCTTATTTTGTATTAAAAGTAGTACTCACAAGACTCGACTCATATTCCGTGGCATACTCATACTTGAACGGGCTCGTTTGACTTGAAATCATAATACTTGCTTTATAAGACTTGTCAAAGGCTTTTAAGATGCTACATTGCGTCAAACGGCGTGAATAGCATCAAAGCATAGAGTATCTGTACGTGAGAGGCATGCATATACTGCACTGCAAAAACATGGCAGTCTTCCTCTTTATGCTTACTTATATAAGAACGATTCTTATGCTGTCGTCGCTAAATACATCGTCTTATAAGACATTGTCAGACAGCATAAGAATACCGCGGCCACCCTACTATAGGATCACATCTTCAATACACTCTTTTTAGTAGCAACTGTAGCTGCATCAATTGATCTAAAAAACACCAGGGAGTTCATAAGGGGACTAGCAAGGGTCCAAGTATCTACCAAGATATTGAAACAGTGTTCAGAAAGGGCGTAGCATCTAGGACAAAGAAGCCTAATGCATGTACTTTTGGTACAATATTAATCCCAAGGGTATAAGAGGCAGAATAAAAGCAGCCTCTCTGACCAAATACGCCATCTATAACAGTAACAAAACACTTTAGAGAAATAATTGCCAGAACAAGCCAGAGAAACCGGCGTAGGAAGTTTTAAATCATTGAGCGCTATCAAAGTCAAATACACTTATATAATTACAACCGTTGGGCATATATACCACCGAGCTAGGTATTTCATCTCTCTCGGTAGACATATGAAACTCATAAACCTCAATAAACGCACATCACACTCCCGAGATCTCACCTCATGAGTTATGGAAATTTAACCCTCGTCCACCATGAGCGTCTTCCACTCTCAACGCACCCTTTCATATCAGAAACTAAAAGTACCATCGTCTTCTTACTTCAATAATCTCTGACATTGAGCTACAACATGCGTATCTCTCTACGACTTCTCCCGTTCAACACAACAGACCGTGTACTGTAAAATGTTTTTATGGGTCAACAAGAATGAGTGAAAATGACGAATATCTCATACCCCAAACCTCAAATTGGAGCACTTGCCCATAAAGCCCCCAAGAATAAATGTCAAACAAATATACTCATCGTATATTCTACATCTTGTCCCTAAACCCTCTTTCGCCTCCCTATAAACCCTCTCCAGACGTCAAATATCACAATCCACTATCGAACAAACCATCTATGCAAAGCCCTATCCGAGATTTCACAAATTCCAATGCAGTCCAATTTATCCGGTAGATCCAGTGGCAAAATTCAACTCAAAAACCTTTCTACAAAAACTAACCAAAAATCCAATAAACGGGGGAGACGCACACAAAAAAAAAGGCCTTTCCTTATAGGCCAAGAGTTACGCAGGACCCCCTCCCCTCCCCATATCGCCGCCAAAGTGGCTCGAGCAGAGGCAAAACCCTGCAAAAAAGCACCTAATCTTGGTCCCCTCATGCAGCATCTGTCAAATATCATCCGCACAGAAAACAAAAAAAAAAAAAAAAAAAGACGAGGGTATAGCAGCAGCAGCAGCAGGGAAAAAAAGAGCCGGGCCATCTGCAGGTTTAGGGCCCTGCAATGCCGGGTCCTCCTCCTCCAGTGGCGATTTGAGACGGGCCTCCTCTTCGTCCTCGTCCCCCCATCTCGACTAATAGCCTTCAAGCAACTCCTCACATAATACATGGAGCTATACGCAGACGTACATTAAGCTATCCTGGGGCTCCTTGCTTGAGCAATGGCACACTCGAGCTTTGCCACTGGCCAAGCTGAAGCCCCAACGACCGTCTTGCCTCGGATTCAAGAAAAGACAAGTCCGTCGTTGAAACATAGCTTGCAGGTTGAATGCCTGTTAAGAAGGGGGAAGAAAAAAAAGTGGAAGTATCAGACCCTTGCCTTGTCATTGCAGCAAAAGAGAATCCTCTTCCGAGGCAACTATAGATAATATCACATCTCCTTGCTCTCAAAGCCGCACTCTTCGTCCGGATAGACCGCGGTACCCTTTCGCCCAGCTGCAGAAGCCGTCATGGTCAAACAAGTGGAGTCTTTTTCTTTTTTTCTTTTTTTCTCTTGGGTTGATCCTAGAAGAAAAATGTAAGCCCTGCTACCGACCAACGTAGTAATACAAAAACCAGAACTGCCCGCTTGGTTGATGGTCGATGGGGGCATGGATCCCTATATCGATATCGCCACTAAACCCACTTCGCACTGCCCATCGCCGTATAGATACATGATGACTGGTTTCAGATGGGCGGCATGATCATCTTCCTTGGCCATAAATAGACGATTATCTCTCCCTGGCGCGGGCAATCCGACTGACTAATTGCTCAGGTGAGGGAGGCGTGTTAATCCCCTCCCACTCTTTGGCATCAGCCTTCAACATAGGACAAATGACAAATTCTGCATGTCCTACGCTATTATGATTTTGTTCTCTTCCTTTTTCTTGATTTTTTCAGCTCTTGAACGCGCCAGGCAATAATTCATGCAAGCTACTACTACCTATTTTAGCACATCGCCCAAGTTCCTTTAAGCTCACGCCCGCCGGGGACTACATCCGGAAAGGCTGAAAGAGGCTTGGGGACTCCTTCACCGCCAGTATCGTCCGCTCTAACTAAGCAAACACCTGCTCCTTTGTCAATCACGGGCGATACCGGAAAGCTTAGGAAAAGAGAAACAGAAACAGAATTTTTTTAAAAAGGGAAAAAAAAGAAAAAGAAAAAAAAAGGCCAGGTCTTCGGCAAAAGCGGGAACGGATGCGCAAGCGCGCTTGGACAAAGCGACGATGGTCGAGATCAAGTGATAGCAGCGCCTACCAAAGACAAAGAGAGGCATCGGATGCCATGCATTCTTACGGAGTCAATGCTCACCTACCCAGGTCCGTACATGCGTACTTGTACAAAACAGTGGTAGCATGTACATACAGTACTGTACGCAAGTCGTATGCGTGCCGGGTTGTCTCTCTGCGGAGCGCCGCAGGTAAAAGGAGAGCGGACGGCGATAGGGTATGCGATGCTCTGGTGATGCAGTCCTCCCCCATGCTAAAGCCCTAGCACATCAGACAAAGACGTCCAGACGTCCACTGACTGGCCAGGCTGCGATCCAACCCCGGCTTCCCGCAGCCTGCTTGCAGCAGAGGCATGCAGCTGCCTGTGAGAGCGAGGCCAAGGGTTTGAGCCTCAGGCTTGCCAGGTCCGTCCAGAAAGTGCTCGCAGACCGTGTTCAACAGCATCGCGTGTTTTCCTAGTGAGACATGGAGCTATGCAGTGCGGAGTAGCCTATGTACTCCGTACAAGCAGATCCCCCGTTTCTCTTCCATACGAGTATCGCAGGCAGTAACACCATGCTACGGTAGGTGCTCGTACTTGCGAATGTCGTTGACTGAAGATCATGAGTAAGACATTGATGTAGATATCAGTCCATATGACGAAGGATTGCCTTTTTGACATGTGCCCATACCTAGATGCCGTCGGACGTGTGTCGCCTGCCGACTTCCTTTCGCCTTGTCCCAGCTTTTGGTATCACACCGACTTCTCCCTCATGGGATCTTGGTATAACAGGCCACCCGCTTGCTTGATAACTTGCAGCAGGCATCCATGACTCTTGCAACACTTGCCTAGAAGCCCCGTCTTGTCTAAATGAAGCATAAAAGGCTTCTACGCATGTTCCGCGTCGCGATCTGTTATACTCGTACATGTATCTGTCGTCCCCGTGATTGGGGGAGGCTCGCAGTTCAGTATCCATCAAGATCCATCAGGTCGATTCACCGCCGTCGATTTAGCTCACGCACTATTCATCCTTGTGCAGGAATGTTTCAGAATGGTTATCCACACAAAGCTTAAAGTCGGTGATGCGAAGAGCTCAGGAACTAGGATGATCCTAGAACTCGTAGCTTGAGCGACTCTCGTCCACGTGCGTTTTTTGGTCGTCTTGTCTTCTTTTTTTTCTCTTTTGCTTTCTAGTTTTCTAGGTCTGTAGGGTAGGGTCCCCGGTCTCCATACGTATTAGCGAAAGCTCCGTCCGGGTCGTGATCCCCGTAGGCAAAGAGATGGGGCTCTCCGGCGAACGGTGTTCGGTGACTCATCTCCCTGGGGTTCCGCTTGTCTCCCGTGATGCGGACAGTGAGCGTGAAATTCGTGCTTCCGCGTCGACCATGCGAGGAAAGATGAGATGCCCGCTTATTCTCTGCCCCTGGCTCTTCATATTCTGGCTTGGCCGGCACTGTCTCAGCGGCTCTTTCATATGCACATAAACTATGCTTGTCATCTTTTTTGTTTTCATCGGTAGTTAGTGTTTGGTGATTTGGGCATAGGCGTTCGCATCGAGAGTTTATCGTCTGATCGCCGTTGAGAGTGGAGCTTTGGCCGATACATTTGATCGGAAGTGTAATCGCAAATCAGCTGCTAATCCAGCTGTAATTACTCTCGTCACCTCAAAACCACGCTTCAATACTGATGCCATCCATGCTCAACCGAGGCTGGATTCCTCTCTGTGCCTGGCTAACAAGGCACTAACTCCTTTAACCGCAGACTACTTGAGTGGAGTGGCGTTGATACTTTGCAAGACCAGAATGGAACCATGGCCATATAATACAAGTAGAGTTGAAATAGACACTGTACCAAGTAGGTGTGCATCCTGAGAGCTGGTATCAGAGAGAAAGAAAAAGCAGGCTTCAGCATGGTGGCTCATAGCCGTACCAATACGATACTAAAACTCCGCCCCCCCCCCCTTTTTTTTTTTTTTCTCTCAAAGTTTTCACATCAAAGACTAGTAGAGTCTTCAAAACGACCTCTTCTGTGATTAGAAGGCACCCAGTATGCAATATTTTGCTTGATACGGCGACTCTGCAAGTAGCCTTCCGTACTTTTGAGGTATAAACGTAGGTCTTACGTATGGCGCCGTACTAGCAAACGGAGCACTAACGGTAGCAACAGGTACCCGTTTCGTGCTCCGTTCTTGGTGGGTGCTCGCGATGCTGACCGCACATTCGTAGCGTGCATGAAAACCCCAGCTCAGCTTGGACTTTAGCGCACAACCATGAGGGCTATATCATCCCTGGGCTTTGGAATAGCTTCTGAAGGACATACTGATAGTGTTCCCGTTCGATATTTTTGGCCTCTAACTTGCGCCAAGGAACAAGACTAGCCCACCAATTGCTAGCCAGCGAGTCAAGACTATCTTGGCCGGATTGGCTTGATATCGACGGGCGACTCTAAGCCGAAGGGAGTTTTGCGTAGACCGCTTGTGATCACCGCGGGCGAATTCATCAAGCTACACGCACTCCCGAGCTACTATAGTAGACCATCATCGCCTAGCACAAGCACTACCAGTCAGTTAGTGCTTGGCTTTCCTGCGAGAGTGACCAGCGTAGTCATTAGTAAACGACAGACAATATTGAGCGACGAAGCCCGTTGTGGACTGTCAGCCGTTGGTTGGGCGCGTCAATATTACCACTGGAGGAAATCCCTAGCTCTGAATGGCCAGAATTGGGGGGGAATAGAAAAAAAAAAATAACATGAAAATAAAAAAAATAAAAATCTTCAGCCGAGCCAACCGCAGTGGATGGTGGCGCCATAGACGGAAGAACGTGCTGGCCCTCCCCGCGAGTCAAACTGCTATCACGAGATAAGGATGGCCGAGGGAAAGTAGAGGGTCCTCTGGAATACCCGTCGTATCTCCTCACAGCCAAGAACGAGCTGCCAAGTTGGGTTCTCGGTTGAGCCTGAATTTTTGTATCCTTTGTTCCCATTTGAACTTGGGGTTCGGGCTTGAGCAAATGATGTCGAACCAACATTCGCAAGTACGTATCCACAGGAGGCGCAGTCAGAGTCTTGATGAGGGAGGTACTCTGTACATCCAACTCTGTTGATCTCCATTGGTCTTGATCCCGGGCCCCGTGCAGAGAAGATACACAGATACGTAGCTCGACATGAGATTTTATGAATGGTATAACCGCGGCACGGGCTGAACATCGAGCCGGCTTTGTTGTCTCACTAGAGACCACCCAGGTGGCAGTCAATCATGCAATCGCCTATGATTGAGGCATGATCAAGACCAATCTTGTCTGGCACCACCGGGAGACGTTTCCCTGTCCAGCCGCAGACAGCCAATGGGCGATATTGGACCGGATAGCAGCCAAGGCTAAACCCCAAGTTTGCCCTCAGTCCCGGCTGGCAGCAAGGCCTGAAAGATGGCACCGCCGCGGTTGAAAAATGACCAGCAAACCAGCTTCGAATGGAGCCAGGACGCTGTTCTGGTACGCCTGAGAAGCCACAGTCTCAGTGCTCAGTGTCAAATCCGGTGAGTCTGGCCATATTGATTGGTTGGCGACGCATGCACTTAGGGTCTTGTTAATTGGCCGTTCTTGAGGCTTCCCACAGAACACAGCAGCTCGCCCCAGGCATTGTCCAGACGGATTCGAACATGTCGTCCCCCGAGACCAGGTAGGCCTATGGAGGCGTCCTGTGCGTGGTAACTTCGTGGAGGGCTGAAGATGCATCGGCCTCACGGCCTAAGGGGTGAGAAAGTAGTGTGTCGTCGATGCCTAACCAGACGGACGCGCACGCGTCATGAGTAACCAAACAGATGGAGCGTGATAGGCGCAGCAGGAAAAACACACCGACAAAGCAGACAGCGGAGAATGGTGCAAGTTGTCGGCGGGCCATGGCCGCTTCATATGCGGCCATGGCACAGTGGAGCCCAGGCGCCTCTTTGGTTGGAGGTTGTCAGGTCGAAGCCGCCAAAGAGAGGCCAAGGCCCGTGTTGGAAATATGCACCAGCCACGAGCCCACTGCGAGGCAGCATGGCGCATGATGATGGGCAGGACAAGGACGAGCGAGAGCCAGAATCGGATGCGCAGTTGGAGAAGATGGGGCACAATCGATAAGCGATTATCTAATACGTTGCGTTGCGCTGCGTGTCAGTGCTGTCCCCGTCCGGTTGGTGAGCTGCATTGCTGTCCCAGCCAAAGTGGTGGTGCTAGGGACCGGGCCTGTGTACTGTGGCCTGTAGGTAGCAGTAGCAGTACGCCATGGCCGTGCATTGATGGCTGCACTTGCCTGATACGCGTTGCAGGATGCGAGGCAGCGCCAAAACGGCAAGGCGGATGACACTATCGTGTGCTTGATATTGGCTGCTGCCCATCCGGGACATCCATCAGATCAGTCGTCCAGCTCGATCCTGACTTAGTAATCCGAGCCCGGCCAAAGACAGTCGACGCAAGGCAGCACGGGCGTGCAGTGCATCACGTAATCAGCTCGAGGTCAGGTGCTGCGGCGCTGGCTCTTCTGGCAGCCCGTTACTGGTCCACTGTACGAAGGCGGTGGGTCTCTGCGCTCGTACCTCGCCACCCAAATCAGGCCAGGCGGTACATGCCTAACCTGTCAGCCCACCCCGTCGCCCTTCCTCGCGTCTTTCAGGTGGGCTGTCGCAGTGCATGAGGTCCAAACCACATCAGGCATGAGTGGCCTGGGCCAGACGCTGCGTCTCGCCTGATGGGTGCCATGACACCTCCCAAGCAGCCCCGGTATCTGCCTATCGATTTGATGGCCTGTGACGATACGATACGACCGATAGAGCGAGAGAGGGGAGGGGCTTGCGAGAAACCGTGGAGAAGTGAGGGGACTTGGATGGCCAGCCAGAGCGCGCGGCCACATCACGATGACCAAGCGACGCCGGCGCCAGTGGACGAGAGGGCCGCTCCGCTGTGACTGGCCGGATTCGCGGCCGTCTTCTCCATCCAAGCTCTGCCAGTGGTTCACAGGCCACTGCTCTGCACGCCAAAGAAGCAGGCGTTGCGCACCATCGCCCTTAGCAGAGCGCACACTACTGGCCCGTCCCGAGCTTTTGAGTGGTCACAAGTCTGCGGCTATGGCGTCCACCCGCTGTCCGGGTCGTGCGGGAGCGACCAGCGCCGTCCATTACTCTCTTGAGGCCTGGGGAGCAGCTCATTCCTTTGGGGGAAGGGGGGTCGTCTGAGAGAGTTGGGTCGCCAGGACTCCGGGAGCTTGATGCCCAATCTGCCAACCTCTTCTCGGCGGCGCGAGACTACTGTAGCATGCGGGCGCCTCTCATTCGCTCTGTCTTGGATCTCATCCCGTCGTTGAGCCTATCCATCTTGGATTGGATTCTGCCTCCCGGCGTCGCGGATGGCCACCCGTCATGGCCCGCTTGCCGAGACCTGACAGGCTCAATCATGGGCCATGGACATGACGGAAGCTCATTCGTTTCAGTACCCGCCCTGCTTCATGCGAGTCGAGCCGGAGGTCAATTCTTTCCCTTTTCTCTGCTAGTAAGGCGGGTGATGGGTTGACCATGGCGTCGTGGGCTGAGCGCTGCTGGACTGACTGACTGGCCATGACGGCGACGACGCCGTTGCTTATCGATTCTTGAATCAGGCCGACCTTGGACTGAAAGGCCAAGGCAGCGGCAAAGTTCAGCTTGGTCTCCCATTAGGCGCAACCTGAGGCGCGTAGAGGCCGTTTCGAGTCACAAGAGGCCGCTGGTCCCCGATCGATCAGGTGTGCGGGTTGTGGTCATTGTGGTTGATGATGGCCATGCCGAGGCCTGCTTGAGACAGACAAAAAAGTCGAATAGAGTACGAAGTACGGGACAAGATGTTGTTCCAAGTCCCATCCCGAGTGCCACATGAGGTGGAAAGAAGGGAGCAGGACCAGGGATCAGCCCAGCTTGGAAATGGTGTGAACTCGAAGTACCTCCATACGAGAGAGCTCAGTACTGTACAAAGCAGAAAGATGGAGAAGGCTAAACATAGCGGCTATGACATACTACCTACCTACTGCTGCATCACATCTACCTACATACAGGTGCTGCCAGCACCCTGCTCATACGCACGAGCACCTACAAGATATTGGTAGGCATGCCCACCACCGCAGCCCTAGCCAGAGAGATCCATTGTGCCATGCTCAAAGGGCACAAGGGATAGTCTACTTACTCTGTGTGTGTCCAACTCCCTTCACGCACTCGTGGGCTTTGATAGCACTAATCGTACGGGCGCACTGCCGCTTCAGAATGGAGTGCGGAGGATTACCTACAAGCACGGTGCTCAAAGAAATGAAAGAAAAAAATTTATTTAAAAAAAAAAAAAAAGAGTACTAAAGAGGCGAGAGCCAAATCTCACGACAGGCACCCCTGTCCAAAGCCGGCCCCGAGGACCAGACCCTAGACAAAACCCGTTTGAGCCCGACAGCATGATGACGAGCGGCCACACGCACTAACACCACTCGTACTGCAAGAAGACGAAGCAGAGGTAGTAGGTAGGTGGTACGGAGTACGAAGCATCGCTATCGACAACGGCTGGGCTGTACTTTGTGCGACACACTCCGACTGCGGTATGGGAAACACCTCTAAGCGAGTAAGGCATGTACATGTGTATTACACAGACGCCTCAGAGTACATACATGGGAGCCCAAAGCATGTACCTTCTACTGCGAATGAGCCCAACACCCAAGTCCTCAGCCCGTGGACGACGCTCTCGTCTTGCTCTCGCCCTTTCCAGACCCTCCGGCGATTATCAGCCCGAGGAGGACTCGACGCTGTCATCATGCCAAATCAACGTGCTTGTCCCGGAGATATCAGCCTAGCATCACTATCAGAGAGGTACGTACCGGCCATCGGCGCAGGCGATCAAGCATCAACGCCTCCTCTCTAAGACGGGCAACTCTTCTTGACTAAGACGAGATAACTAAGCAGTCATAGACCAATGACGGGCTGGGTCTCAACTCTCAACCATTGGCTACGTCTGACCCTCCTTCGTGCGATGGAGCACCCACTACCCAGTTGCAGCTACAAACATACGCCCCGCGAGTACGGAGAGTACATATAATTGAAATCCCCTCCTCCCCATCTGCTGCCTTTGCTCAGTATCTCAACTTTGAATCCCATTCGACGCCCTCGGTGCTCTTGAAGCCGTCTTTCGTTTCCTGTGTGTCTCTATCAGCCGCAGCAGAAAGGAGAGCCAGAGAGCAGCGGCACCAGAGGCCTCTCCCAACGCCCGTACCACGAGATTGCATTTCAGTGAGTCAGTTTCCTTGTTTATTTTTTGTGTGTGTTTTTTTCCCTCCTTGCCCCCTCTTCCCGGTTGGTGGACGATGACTGCTTTCGTCCACTGCCATGTCCTTATATCATCATCAGCAGTGTTATTGTTGCTTCTTCCAATATCATGACCGGTATTGAAATAACAATAACCATGTCCAGCAAAGCTGCCCTTTCCTCTCCATCATCCACCGTCTCTTATCGCCCGTCCCCTTCCTCTCTGCCTATCCGGCGTCGTCGATTTATTTTTATCTCTGTCGCCGCTCTTCGCTGCACCTCCTCTCTTGCATGTTTTTCTCCCACTACTCCCACTGCTCCCACTGCCACTACGCCCACTACTCCCACTACCACCTGCTGGCCTATCCACTCTCCCGCACTTAAACTAGCCCCCCACAAGCGCTGTCTTAGCGCTGTTCCGATTCCCTGCCCTGCTTCCCTCCTCCGATTCCCACACCAAACCCAACTCCCAGCCCTTTTCGCAGCTGGCCCGTCTTATATCACTCGACCCTCCCGCACTCTGTGGTCTGCCCATCACCCTTCAACGCCTTGACGATTTCATGACCTGCATTTGCTCTGCATTTCGCTGCTTCTTCACCCTTCCCCCTTGGCCATAATCAAGAGCCATCCATCGCCATCACAAATCACTGCCTACGCATGCTGCCTGTGATCTTTCTTCGTCCTGACCCCGCCCACTTCCGTCGCTGCTCGTCAAACAACAAATGAAAAAGGCCGTCTTGAGCGCCTTCGCTAACATCTCATCTTTGGAGATTTTCAGTATCAGCACTTAACGACTACTGTGCTTTTGTTCTTCCTCGTTTCCGCTCTTATTTCTACTTATTTCTCTTTCGCCTCTTTTTCTCTTTTTCTTCTTGGGTCGTCATTTCTCTTGTTCGGTTTTTGACGTCGACCTCTGCATCCTCTCCCCTCACATTTCGGCCTTGACGCCGCTCCCACACAGCCACACACCTCGTCACAATGAACGGCTACTATTCAGCACCTATGGCTATGGATGCCAGCCCTGAGCAGAAGTTCTTCAAGGCAGAGGACAACGGCAGCTTAGACGACAGCCTTCTTGACCAGAGCGGCATTGATTCAGGACTGGATCTTTCTCCTCCCATGGACAGCAGGCGAGAGTCTTTCGGCATCGGAGGGCCTCTCTTCTCTCCCAAGACCGAAGATTGGCAATCTGTCGACATGCAGTCGCTGCCCTCCAACAACCCCTTCTACGAACCTCACAGCACCAGCACCAACCCCTACATGCGCTTCGACCAGCCCTCAGCCAACCCTTTCATCTCATCAGGCAATCCCTGGGCCATGAACGGAGGCTCCGGCACGGCCACGCCTTTCCAGCCGCGCTTCGGTGGCATGGCGACTGATTTTGAGGGCAACACCTCCATCTTTCAGCAGCCCATCCACGCTCCCACTCCTTTCCCCACCTCTGGCAACATGTTCGCCAACTTGGCTGATGGCCAGTCTATGCAAGACGGCCAAAATGCGGCCAAGAAGATGCAAGACGGCAGCGCTGCCATTCGATCTCACAACGATCTGCGACGCGGCGATGGCATCCGGAAGAAGAATGCTCGTTTCGAGATCCCCGCGGAGCGAAACTTGAGCAACATCGACCAGTTGATTGCCCAGTCTACGGATGAGTTGGAGATCAAGGAGCTCAAGCAACAGAAGCGACTGCTGCGAAATCGCCAAGCTGCGTAAGTACATTCATTGAACTGATCAGATTTCTCCCCCCCGCATGAAACTAACAGGTTCTGCTAGCCTCGACTCTCGACAGCGCAAGAAGCAGCACACTGAGCGCCTGGAAGATGAGAAGAAGCATTTCACCGTTGTCATCACTGACATGGAGGATGAACTTTCCACCCTCAAGGCCAAGGTTGAGCAGCTCACTCTCGAGAAGCAGCAGTGCGTTGATTACATCGAGACCCTCGCTTTTGAGAAGGACGAGATGATCCGCACTCACACTATCGAGACTGGCGAGCTGAGGAAAAAGGTTGGTATTCTGACCGACCACGTCCAGCGCCTGGAGAGCAGCATCCCCCCCAACGCTGCCGCCAACGACTTCTCCGGCTCTTACGACGACATGGAAATGGCCGGCACCTGGGACAATGGCTTCCTCAACGACTTTGCCGATGAGGTTAAGCCGCCCATGGCCATGGCCAAGAAGGACAACAACCCCTTCACCTCGGACAGCGAGAAGACTTCGTCTCAAGGCGGCCTGCTCTTCATGCTCTTCCTTGTTGGCGCTTTTGTCTTGTCGAGCCGCTCGATGCCCTCCATCCCCCGCGTGTCTGAGGATGTCCGAGTTGCGTCAGCGAATCTCCTCGACAACGTCTTCAAGGATGCCGGCGTCAGTGCCTCTTCCAGCATGCACGCTATTGCTCCTCAGCCTTCCGCTGCCACTTGGGGCCAACCCGTTAGCGCCAGTGTCATGGCCGGCATGGCTGCCGATGGTGTTGTCGCACCGTCCATGCTCGTAGAGCTCGGCGATAGCCTTATGCAGCCCTCACAAGAGCAGACCAACGAGCAGATCTTCTCCCTCTCTGCTGCTCAGTACAACGGTGTTAGTGACCACGACTTCCTCCGCCCTGGCAGGATGCCCAGCAAGACTCGCAAGAACCTAGCCCAGGCTCTCGCTGAGCTGCGGGATAATGCCAAGCAGCTGGGTGCCGCCGAGGTTTACACTCGCACTCTCCTTTGGGACCAGATCCCCAACGACGTCGTCCGAAACTTTGCCAGAATGGTTGTAGAGTGCAACAGTGCTCAGAACGGACAGCAGTGCAACGAAGCACGATCATGAAAGAATTTAAAAAAGACCCGGCGCGAAAGAAGAAAACGCGAAATCTCACGATGACGAATGAAAAAAATGGCTACAGTAATGACGCAGAACCCGACCTTCTCCACCCTTGCTCTATTTTGTCTTGGTTTATTTCATTTCTTTGACAACCTCTTGTTACTTTCTTACTCTTCTCTTCTTACAGCCATATCCGCGATTGGATGAGCTGGCCACTTTTTGAGTTGCTCTGGGGCGGCTCCCCCCACATGCGCATTATTTGAGATTATTTGCTCACGCATTCACCACCATCTTCTTGAATTTGAACAAACCGCTTTCTCATGAAAATCATCTACTTTGGAGTCTCCCACGATTTCTTTGCGGATCTAGCGAGCGAGCAAGCGTTGCTTTTATTTCCTTGTTTTAGCGATTGATTTTGATTTGGCTTCTTTTTTTTTTTCATTGTGCTTTTTCTTTTCCTTGTGTTAATATTTGGACGGCTTTTCAAATGTTTATTACTTGGTTTTCTACCCTACTTTTTGGGGTCCTTTCGACGATTGGGCGAGATAGGACACAAGCAAGACGCAGCAGCACTGCAAGCATGCCACAGGCCCCAGTCCAGTGCATGCTTGTACTACTTTGGAAGGGCATAGCTTTTCGGCTAATGGGAATCTGGGTGCGGGATGATACCTAGCACCAAGAGAAGGATTTCTACGAGGCATGTCGACACAGATTGATGACAGAATGGAATTCTACTTGATGATAACGAGCAAGAGCACCTGGAACGGGCTCTTCTCAACGACACTCTTTTGAGAACCCACCATAGGGACAAGAAATATCCCTAGATGGCTTTCCTTTGTACTTGGGCGGCATATTGGCATTATTTTTCTTTTTTTACTTGGAAATAGCAGCCACACAGATGGCCTATTGGGTTTTGACGACATATTTTCTTTTCAGATAGCTTTTTCAAATACGAAGGCGGACAAAATGGTCCAGCTTTACTTTTTACATCCATCATGATTGATGCTCATGTTTCTCCTTTGCATTTCTGTGACTGCTCCCAACCTCGCTTGTACGACTCCTTATCCTCCTGTGCCTCGTGACTGCATGCCCGCTTACTACCTAGATAGAGGGCTAATAGCAAACAACGCCCTTACCTGGGCCGTGAGGCGCAACACCAGCGAATTTTCTACTACGTAACGGTTACAGACTGACATAACCATCTCCCCTTTGTGTATACCTAGTGCCCATCCTATCATACCATCATAGATAATACAGCCCCGTGCTATCGCCCGTAGAGCATACATAGCGTTCCCCCGGGGCAGAGACGACGGAAACAAAGGGGTGGGTGCGTGAGACCTGGGAAGCGATGTGATGTGATGCAAAGCGGCCATGCACTGGCTGTGGCTTGTCTTGGCCTGGAGAAGGAGGGGGGGGCCAGAGATTGGGTTGACATCACACCGCCAACGAGGCAGAAAGGCCCTTTTAGTTGCTTCTAGCCTGGGAGTTGGGGTGGTTGGAGAAGTTGTAGACCTAATCCTTTTTTGGGGAGGGTTGTGTGTCTCGTTGATGGAGGGCTTGGGACATGGAAAAAAAAACGTCCAAGTAGAGAACTGCATGATGCCATGCGGCCTGTTGTGGTGGCCGCGGTGTTGCTACTATACTACCTCCCCGTCGTATTTTACTACGGGATCTATTCTAGTAGGTGTTTAAAATTGCATGGGGAGCGTCATAGCTGATGGTTTATTCATGCTGGCTAATGCCTGGCAGAAGAGGGCGTGGCTGGCTGATGCGCTGATCTCTTTGCTTGTGTTGAAGGGAGAGAAAGGCATCACGAGATTGCTACAAGATACATTTGACGCAGTACCTTCAATGCTCACCTAACCCGGCACCTTCCTTGTACTCCGGATACGGGTAGCCATCAACGCAGCTTCCCAACACGAAGTAAGAAATCTAAGTGATGAATAATAGTTTTCTTTCTACTCTTGAATAGATAGATGCAACAAACCAAACCATGGCCCCTCTCTTCTCCTCTGCCGTCTCTCCTCCTCCCCATTCTTCTCTTGTTCCATCCTCCACCTCCCTGCCTCTGGCTTCCATCCCGCATGCCCTCCATCTCCCTCATTCGCCATAATTAGCAGCTAGCCCGCCAGCCGCATCCACCAATCGGCGAGCCACTCTGCATCTGCAAGAACTGATCATCTGCTTTGATTTCAGCCAATGCCGTCCCAGGGTGGCCACAAACTCGGTTTTGGCGAAATAGATGAAACAGCCACACGCTGCCAGTGCGTACACGCGCACATTTATCCGCTCACACGCACACATTATCCAGACGCACCCGCTTTAGTCTGGACGAATCGCAGCGCTGGAGACGCCTCTGGAAGAGAGAGAGGGCTCTCTAGCCTCCCCCAGGCCATGTCTTCCGCTGCTCTATTCCTGGCTCTTCCCGTCTTTCCGTCTTGTTGACACACGCCACGCCGCTACACCCCTCGGGCCGATCCTGTTGGTCCTGAGGCTAGAAATGCTCTTTTGACTCAAGGCCACGCTGCCACCAAGGCCCCAAGGCACCGCGATGCCAAAGCACCAATTACTGTGCCTTGGTATGAGTGAGCATGCTGCTGCAATGTGCGACGGGCAGACTGTCAGTCACATCTCTCGTACATGTACTGGCCTACCTACCTCTAAGTGAGTGATGCATATACGCATACCCGCATACATACACACATAGCGCACGCACCAAATAAACGCACGTACATGCATCTTGCATGCTTCTTACAGAAGCTTTACCTGTCAAGAGCCAATGATACTAACAAGTCGCCTTGGTCCCTTACAGCTCCAGCAGTCATGCCACCTCCGTTGCGAATCGCCCCTTACCCGGAACGAGGTGAGTGCCTGAAAGCCTCATCAACTGCTAGTCCTGGACTTCAATGCCGTAAATGACTCAGGAATTGATACCCAAACCCCAATGGCCATTGGTAAGCGAATTGACAATGGCAGGAAAACGAGAAAAAAACTCAGAAGAGCAAGGCTCAGCAGAATATCTCGCGCGCAGCCCACCCGTACTAGGCCTCGATATATGGCCAACTCCACCACAACAGACGAGTCGTTTTCCCTCCCAGCCAATCTAGTTGCGACAGCTGAACAACACATACATACATGCCCGCTCCATACGTACATCATGTACATGCCTGCACGCATGCGTAAATGCCACCTGCATGCGCAATCAGGCATCAAAACGATCCTCCCGGCTAAGGCAAAGCTGGTAAAAGAGCCGCTGCACCAAGGCATCGCCAGACCTATGATCCCATTTGCACCAATTCTCCGAGCCACATCTGCAGCTTTCTCCTCTGCTCTCCTCTTTTCATCCTAGTAAGCCCACGAGAATGGGCAAAGTGAGATATCAGCTGGGTGCTGCTCCTCTAGTGGCTACAAACACGCTTCGCGAACACACAAGACACACATACAGCTGCAGGGCAAGGCGCCTTACAGCCGTAGAGGCTCAGGCATTTACAGTTTTGAAAACAGAACCAGACATCCTACCGTACAAACAAACAAACATACATGCGGCAATCGCCGTTACGCGAGCCGCTCACAACGCCCAAGTTATACCAGGTCTGTGCTACACACGATACAGCAGCGGAACCCCGCAAATGTGAACCACAAGCCGCAGAATGGATCAAAACGCTGGTTCTCTACTCGTTGCTTAAAGAGCCACTTAGTGGACACGGAACGCAGCAGTAAGAAAACAGAAGAAGAAAGACCCTAGCCCACTTTCGATATCCCGTAGAGGCCGCTGGAGAAGAGGAAAAAAACACAAGAAAAAGGTGGTGAAGCTCAGAATTGAAAAAACGCCGCTATTCGAGAGCTCCATGAAGTGAATGCGCTCTGCGTGCCTGTGACCCCCCCTTACTTCTTCTTACCGTTGCCTGGATCGTATTTTTCTTTCCATATCCTACAGACGTGTTAGCCATTGACTCGTCCTGGGTCATTTTGCTTTCCAGCTGGGGCTGGACTGTGTAGCGCGTCACAATCCTTCAAAGCGCCTGGTTACAGTCATGAGACTGCTGATACTCTGGGCGGAACGCTTTGAGCACACTGGACGAATAGACCGCGAGCGAAGCCCTGACACTTGAGAGTGATGCATCGCACTACACAGAGGAGCACCCACAACAGGCACGACGGGTGAGTATGAGTGCGTTTTGATAACTTACCATGAATTTCCTAGTGTCTTATTGCCAGCCTTCTCCGCCAGTCGATAGTACCGGGCTGCGGCATACTGTACTCCCAAATAAGGATTCAAACATCAGCCTCATGTGACGGACCAAAAGTTGCGGAGAGGGGGAGCACGACCCGTGGCCGTGCCATTTTCGACTGGACTGGCGCAGCTTGCGCCTCCTTGCTTGTCCTCTCTTGCCTCACATGTGCCCAACTTTGGACTTGGTGAGACGTTGGGCATCAACTCCGCCTTTGTCAGCGCAGAAACCAAACCTGAGCCAAGCCTGGACCAGCCCAGACTGATGAGAGGCAAGCCACAATCTGCCTGCAGTGCTGCTGGCCCTGGTTGAGGCTTGATCTCTTTGTTGTTGCCATCGAAGAGGCGAAGCTATGTGATGGATATCTTGACTAATCGCAAACGTACCTTGTCCTTTTTACAGCCATAACCCTGCAGGTAACACCAGGCAACTTCGTTCATAGCGTCTTGACTACTCGTCAGTATCCAAGCATATATCCGTATCTGCAGTTCTGTCTCATAACTCACCAGTATCGCCCAGGTTCGCTGCGGTCTCATAGTACTGTTTCCCCGCGGGTCAGTATCTAATCAGCTCAGCCGACTCCTGAATAGGAAATGACTGCATACCTGCTTTGCGGCGATTGGATCTTTGTCGATGCCCCAGCCGTGGCGGAAGCAGTTGGCCAATTCGAAGATGGCGAGGACTAGCTCTCCCTTTGCCGCTCCTCCCTTCTTCAGACCGGCCTGGATCGCCAATTCCTCGACTGATGCAGCATTGGAGGCTGCTGCCGTTAGATAGTGGACCGCTTTCCCAGGGTCTGGCGTGCAACCCCAGCCGTGCCTATTAGATGGATGCATGGCGATTAGTCCGGAGCTCTTGTCCATCTCTCGAGCTGCAGTTGCCTGCTAATCATATGACGGTCATGTCACGTAAAACAAATGGGATGTGATATATGAGAGCGTGCTCAAAGGGGACAAATGCGGGCAGAGCCGTGCCTCTCTCAGGATTCACCGGCGGCAAGCAGCATATCGCCACCACGGGATAGGAGGGAAAGGGCAAATTGGGATCCGGCGATGGTAACACTCACCTGAGTGCTAGCCCATAGAGGACCTGGCTAAGTGGGTTATTGGCGCCGCTCTCGTCTGCGAGGCGCCCGAACAACTTGGTGGCTTCCACAAAGTTACCCTCCTCATGCAGCCGAATCGCCTCCTGAATATCGGCATCGATCTGTTTGGACGAAACCTGTCCCGAGTGCACCGAAGCGCTCCGGCTGCGAGGGCTGTCCAGGCTCATGTGCGCCATGCCATCTGCGGCGTCCCTTGAGGGCGGCCGACTCCTCACCCGATCATTCTGCCCGGCTAACATGGTGGCCCGTTTCTCCCACTGCAGCTCTGCAGCATCTCCATCCTGCACGTCGTTTGGGACCACAATCTCCGGCAGGTTCTGGGGCACATGGTCCGAGGTCTCAGGCGCGCGACTCAGGTGTAGCCTATGGGAGAGGCGTCTTGCGGTGCTCTCCTTTTTGGATTTCTGACTGGTCGAGGACGACGCGGATGGGCTTCGTGATTGATCCGAGTGGAAAAAGTCAAAGCTTCGCCTCGACTTTCGGTGCTCTCCGCTTGTCGACGACGGCGATAGCAAGCCGTCGTTGTAGCCGAGGGCGTTTTCGTCCGACGGCATAATCACCTGCTGCGAGACAGTGTCGGAGCGAACAAACGTGATGTCCGGACCGGCCATTCTTCCATCTGCATCTTGGTCTTGCTGTATAGCATCCTTCTTCTTCAGTGCATCTCGGAGCCCCATGGTTGCGGAGTAGTAGCTCGCTGTAAGTGAATTTCTCTTCCTCCTCTTCTATTAATTTGATCCAAGCCAAGATAAAAAGACCAAGCGAAGCGAAACAACAGCAGCACCAAAGCCTTGTATAGATATCCCGTAGTCGTGATGATGTAAATGAGCTAGCCGGTGATGCTTGGCCCTCGCCTTGTTTGTTACCCAAAATAGATGTCCTTTAGACAGCAAGTACTACCAACTGTTCTACGTCGCAAGAAACGAATACCGGCGGTATAGCGATGAGCGAGGCAGTCAAGCTGTGGCTGAGGCTGAGCTGAGTGAGCTGAGCTGATGCAAGTCCTTTTGTAGCGACTGATATGTGGGCAGTGTCCTCTGTAGCGCCGTATGACATACGGATACAGCGCCAGTAGTTCCAACGCCTTGTGTCTCAACGCCCTTTGAAACGAGGTCACGCAGAGGCAGATGAACCAAAGACGTCGGAATAAGAACAACGAGATTTCGATCTTTCCCGCGCGGCAAAACAAAGAGGACAAATCACGAGCTGCCAGGCGGCTGCTTTGAATGATTTAACGGATGGAGGTTAAAAAAAGGCCAGGCGCCGTCCCTTTTTTTGAAACAGGGCCCTTTTTCGCCGCCCCCTCCAAAAATCCGCATTATGGAGTCGAGCAGGTGGTATTCTAGGATTTGCTCCCGAGTCCCCAAGGCGCCTGTTCCTTGGCAAAAACTGGGTGCTGCGGCCACCAGCTTTTTGCCGTGTTATTATATAGTGCTACCTAGTATTAGGTACTGGAGATGATGTACCAAGCATGCCTTTGCTAGGTAGATGAAGAAGCAAGAAGACAGATTTGAATATATGAATTGAATAAAGAACTGCCTGGCTAACCCCAACTCATGTTATCGATGCTTGGGTTTTCATTTTCCCGGGCTGTAAATTCTCCAGGGGGGAAGCGCTGTGAGACGGGCCCTATCTGGGCTATTTTGGGACGCCGATCAGTGATCTCTTTTAGAGGGCTGCCTTCGCTAAATTACCCGGTCGGTATGGGGTATTAATTAATATTGATAGCGTATTCGATTAATAGGGGGCGTAATATATCGTCCATTTTTTGCTATTTGATGACACGAGGATTGATATCATGGAATGCATGTTTACTATGGACTTTAGCTGGCCGTTTTAGGGAGCATCTTTCGAGATGGGCCAGATGAAGCGTAAGTAGGGACGATATGACTCTCCAACGTAGAAGAAAAACCAGGTTCATAATACAGTGGTATGTAGCAATTTGACACATGTAGCAACTCTTCTTGTTCATTTACTTGATATTTTTTTTTCTCAATCTTTTTATTCTCTTTCCTCTACTAACATATATCGTTTTTTATTTCTCTCTCTTTCCTATTCAAAAGTCTTCTCTTCCCTTATTCTTTCTTCTTCCTTTTTTCTTTTTCTTCTCTCGGCATTATATTCGTCGTCTTATTTGTAACCCCTGCAGCCTCCGAGGGAGGAGGGAGGAAAATAGGCATGACGTTAAAATGCTGAATAACAGGGTATCTTTAGTATAAAGCCCATTTCCCAAACCGACATGAGCTTCATGTCTTTTGTCGTTTGCTATAGAATTTGAACTGCTTGCTAAATAAAAAGAAAACAAGAATAAAAAAAAGAATAGCATGTAATCTCCAAAAATTCAAGGTATGAAAACTGCAGAGGCGCTGAATGGTAATCGACTCGACATGTCCAAGGGACGATGAAGAAATAATCTACTTTGACTCGGTTAAAGGGGGAGATAGTCTTTTGGGTTGTCAAAGTCGGAATCATCCGAATCGCCCTCGAGGAACTCGGCCACTTCGTCAGAATCGACATCGTTAGAGTCGACTGATTCATCTTCGCTAGAGACATCCTGGGCCTCGTCGCGCTGTTTGGCCTGATTTCGGAGGACGCTTGCCCTCTCACGATGGAGCAGCTTACATCCCCTGGTCTTACAGAAACCGGTGTTGCTGAAGTCTGGGCATTCGAAGACATGGCGATCGGTGCAGTCTGCACCCTTGTCACAGTATCCGCAGAATCCAAATGCCGCGCATACGGGGGCACTTGGAGAGGCTTTGGAGTGGGTAAAGGGACAGTCAGGCCGGGAGCATTGTCCCTTGGCAAAGTGCAAACAGTTCGGAACACGTTCTGGGGTAAGCTCATGAGAGAGATCGCAAGACTCGCCGTTGGGACACTTGCCATCTTTCAAGAAATCCTTGCAAAGAGCCACCTTGTCAGGGTCATGGACGTATCGGCAGGCCGGGCCTTTCGAACAAGAACCTAGAGGACACAGGTTAATGGTTAGTTTGCTTCCCCATCTACGCCACTATCTCGTAGATCTGTAGCTCATTCGGTTGTTGTATTTATAGAAAACAATTACCAGTCGTTGAAAAGATTTTGCATCGTTGATCAAGTTTTTTGACCATACCAGATCGACTGCTTGCGTTAGTATCGTCATCGCCCTCGGGACGTGAACATACCGGTGGTCTTTGACTATCCTCTGCGCCACAAGGTTTCCAGTCTTTGTACGATGGAACTTGACACCGGCAATAACGGTCATCTTTGGCGTCATCGTAGGGGGGAGAGGGTCACCTGGTAACAGTCAATAACAAAGATGAGGAACGAGACATTGCAAAACTTACCAGGTGTCTTAACGAGTTTCTTCCCTCCATCCAAGACGCGGAAGCGAATGCCGTTTACCGTTATTTCATTTGTAACTGCGGGATTAGTGCTCGTGCTCGTGCTCGTGCTCGTGCCTGCAAATCCATCCACCGTGGCCTGGTGGCGAAGGAATTCGCTGAATCGTTGCTTTTCCCGGCGCTTCTGATCTTTCATCTTTCTCTGGCGAGTCTCTTCGATAGCTTTGGCTCGATTCTGGCTCTCTTTCTCATATATGTTGGCGTTGATGAGCTGGCGGTGGCGATCGTTTTTGCTCACCCAGCCCGGGGTCGTAGGAGCAGGGCTGGGGGCGGCCGAGCTCGAGGCAGATCCTGAAGCAGATGCCGAAGCGTTGAGATGCAATGTTCTGTTGCGGTGCGTGGCGGCTGGCCGGCCGCTGTATCCTCTGCTCGGGTAAGGCGCGCTTGCTTGACGATAGGCGTTTCCTTCATCCAACGTTAGCCATGCTGCTATTCCTGTCTAATGAGTTTTTCTCCAAAAGACAAACCTCGGTGGCGCACTGGTTGATGCGTCGGCGGGACGGAGCGGTAGTTGGCTTGCTGGCTTTTGTGTCGATTGATTTGGCCTAGAACGGTGAGCGCTATGAAGTCATCGCGAGATGCCCGACTATCTTACCAGCAAGTTGGCCGATGCGCGCCAACAGCTCTTTGTCTTCGTCCGACATGTTTGTTATTGGTCGTTCCTGGGTTGCGAATGCTATGCCTAGTACAAAATCAAGATGCTCAAAGTCGTGGGAGATTTGCTTGCGCTGGTAGTAGCTCAGCGCAGTAAATGATGCAAGGTCAAGGTCAAAGAAATGCAAGGCTACAGTGGCGGCTGATCATTGGGTCGATGAGATAAGAGCTTAATTGAACTAGCAGCGGCCTTAGTCATCAACGCGCGCTCCACGTCGTCGCAGTGATGCGAGGCTGAGAGAAACAAACTCTAATGCTCAATAGTAGGACTGTTGATTTAACAGCCATTAAATACGTCAAATATTCAGCACGAGCTTTTTTAATTCTTTCTTCTTATTTCTGACAAAGTCGCTTTATTATTATTCGCTACCATTCAACGCCTAGTCAGCATCCGTCCTCCCAACCCAACAATGTCTTCGTGGGATCTGCTGGACGAAAAAGGCGAATCCGAGCTTCACAAGAGCCGGCTCCTCAACGTAGAGGAGAAGCCTTTCAAGCGAATCACCAAACGCCTGTCATCCATATCTGCGATAGTTTCCAGTGCGATACAATCTGATGCTACAAAACAAAACGGAGGCCACACCGCGAGCAGCGCCCAGCTACAAGAAGATCTCACATTCGATTTTGCTGCCTTTGACAGCAGCATCGCCCGCTTCCAATTCCTTCACGATGCGAACGAGCGGGAGCGCGAACGTTACGAGGCAGACAAGCAGCGCATCCTAGCAGAATGCCAGGCGGCTCGCGAGAACAACGCGCGACTACGAGAGCAGTTGGAGGATGCGAAAGCGACTCTGGCGCGGCGGAAGAAATTCGACGAGCTGGCCGAGAAGATATTGTCTAATCGACTGCTGCGGCCGCGTGAAGATCAGCTTGTTGCCCTCGAGAAATTAGAAGAAGAATGCAAAGAGCTGGAGCGCGAAAGTGAAACGTACAGCGGCACATGGAAGGAACGGCGAGACCAGTTCAATAGGATCATGGAGGAGGGCATGCTATTACGACGGCAGATCAGAGACGAGAAGGAAGAAGTAGACCGAAGAGAGGGAATGAATGAAGGCGGAGACGACGAAGTGGAGGAGCAGCGAGACGGCCAAACACCCGGCCTCAACCCCAACAGCACCGAGACACCGCGACCTGATGGCGAAGGGCAATTGAACGGGATGACGCCCCATCCAGCAATATCTGTAGATGCACCAACGCCCTCAGCTGGCTCGCCGCGTCCAGATCAGCTCCGGCCTTCGTCTACGGACGGCGCATCAGCTTCTCGGTTAGGAAGTAGGGCTTCGACCAGAGAAGTATCACAACCGCCGCGGCGTGATGGCGATTCAGGGAGCGAGACGGGCGAAGATGTTGATATGCATGACGAAGGATTGGAGAATGAAGAAGGCGAGGAGGACGAGGACGAATACAAGTCGTCGGCGAGGAATGGTGATAAGATGGAGGTTGACAATTAGTTTTGGATGATTCGCATGACATTGCTTTTTTTTCTTCTTCTCTCTAAAGATGGATAGAACATTTGTATAACTAGGATACCCGGATCAAATTAAAAGAAGAATAAATAGTATCTTTTTTATTCGGCGCTATTGCTAACGAGGTCCTGGTGGTGTGGATGACGCTTTATCGTATCGTGGTATTTTATTTATTGATCTTCGTCCTTCTCCAAGCTTCACTCCCTTCAAGACGTCTCCTCCTTCGCCTTGGCCTTGTCCAACGCCGCCTTTGCATTCGCCAACTCCTCCGGCGTAGCAGTCTCGTTCTTCTCCTCAGACGCAACAAGGTCCTCGAGCTTCTCGACGGCCGCCCGGATTCGATCCCTCAGAGGCTTAAACACGGCCTTTGTCTGCTCGACAACCATTTGCTATAAACCACAATCCTTTCGTTAGCCCCCTCGGGTCAGTCAAAACATCATATATGCAGTCCCCAACTTACCTGCTGCTTCAAAATGTACGTCGCATTGCCATCCTCGTCTTCCTGCCCGCTCTTGACTTTGTCTTCCTGGGCCTTGACCTGGGCCTCCTGCTCCTCGAGCTCCTTGTGATAAGACGCTTCTTCTTTCAGGAGGCGGTTGACGGCGCCGGTTGCGATGACTAGGGGAGACGGAGGAGGCATGACGAATGGATTGGATTTGGATCGAAAGAGAGGTCCGTTGAACGCGTGTTAGGATGATAGAACGGAAAGAAAAAGAAGGAGAGAAGAAAGTTGGCCCAAGGTCGATAATTTAAAGGCAAGAGATTGTCGTCAAGAGCCCAAGATTATTCCAAGCTGCCTGCTCGAAGCTGGATTTCAAGGTTGGTCAACTACGTGCCTGGCAGGCAGATGGATAGATTGGTCCCTATCTTAGCTACGTGGGGTTGATGGCGGGGCAGCACCGCGTTTGGCTGTATTTAGCATCAGAATCTCAAAAGGCGGCAACAGTATCAAGGATCAGCGAAACAGCCATATACAATCAACGCGCCGAATTCCTAAAAAAATGGAACCAAGACCAAATATCCCCCTCAAGTGTTAGTCATGAAATAGATTTCAAAGAATAATCAATCTCAAATCGTAGACATTAGTTTCATGGGCCTGTATACACGGTAGCTAATAAAGTTGATTTCGTTCAGTAGTCACTAATTTCCCAAAACATCCTTTTTCTAAACAACATAGCTAGCAGAATACAAAAAAGAGATAATAGTGTAAAAAAGGGCTTGTGTTGTTTCGACATCCAAGGCGCGATTATCCTTTTCCCTTCTTCCCTCCTGTATCCTAATTCAGAGAACCTCCAAGATCACATGGTATCTCCCCAAACGCCTTCAACTCCGCCGTGGGCGATTTGAACAAAAAAACAAAACCTTTCGTTGCCCAGAATGCACAGCATGGTTAATTTACATACTCAAAACATGATGTATTTTTTGGATTGTTGTCAAGATGGCGACTATGCCTCGACGGCAACCGCCGCGACGCTCACAGGGGCGGCGGACTCAGGCTCGTCTTGGTTGGAGATCTCGCCTCCAGCCTCTCGCTCAGCCCAGGCGCCCCAGAGTCCGCGCTTTCCTCGGACTTTGATGGGATCGCCCAGGCCTGAGCTCTGCTCAACCTTGATGGCATCCTTGGTTGCAAGCACCAGACACTCAAAGAACATCTTGGTTGCCTCGGCCTTGGTGGTTTCCTTCTCAGGCAGCAATTTTTGAAAGACGACTGCTGATTTCTTCCTCTTGTCTGCATCCTCAGCGGCATCAGGGCCAAACAGCTCTCGGAGAATGTGGACAGCATGCTTGGTGCCAGCAGACACAGCGCCGCTGTCGGCAGGGTGAATAAGAGGCAGCGTTGTGTCTTCGAATGCAGGCATTGGGCTACCCTCTCCGTCCGCGTGATCGTCGTCAAAGTGAGCTGCGGATTCGTCGGCAGGAATCTCGAGAATAGTACCATCGGCGGCCACGCTGTTGTTACCAAAGGCGTTTCCATCGAGAGTAAAATCGGTGTCGTCTCCCAGCTCGAGACGAGGAGATTTGAGGCCTACACTGTCCACGTCGGCAACGCCACTGTCACGCTTCCTCTTCAGGTCATTCGCACCGCGAACCATGTCCAATGAAAGCATGCCGCGAAGTTCGGGGGCCCACGACAAGCTTCTACCCTCCATCATGATGGAAGATACAAAGCCGCCACTCTTTTGCATTTCTGCGAGAGCCAGAAGTAAAGGATCGCGGGGGAGGAAGGTAGCGGGCTTGGTGATGTTTTCTCTGTGAGCCTGCTGTTGCTTGATGTGAGTGCTGGACAGGGCAATTTCATCATCTGGCATCATGATGCGTTGCTTCCTAGCACGCGAGGCAGGCTTTTGGATTTGGGTGCTCTCCTCGTCGTCCTGGGGTTCGTACAGATCTGTGTGACCATGGCGAGAATACTCCTCCTCAATTTCTTTAGCAAACTGATCGTCAATATCTGATAGGGGAGATTCCGAGATTCTTTGTCGGTTGATGTCAAGCGCAGCCATTTCGGGAATGCCAGATGCGTCACCAGGGTTGAACTGGAAATCGTCATCGCCCATCTGGATATCGCCCTCATCATCTGCAATCCTCACGATGCCGTCGACATCCATGCGACTGTCTTCAGGACCGGCACCCTCTTTTGATCGTGGCATGATATCAAGCTCGCTGAAGACATCGTCTTCGATTGACCGCGCTGCGGGGGCATCTCGGCCCATTTCAATGCTTGGGCCGCCGTCCATGTCAAGACCAAAGTCGAGCTCGAGCTCAAGATCATCCATTGGCGCAAGTGCGTCTTCATCCAGAGTCATGCCGCCCTGAAGAAACTGGCTGTTGTCGAAATCTTCCTGCAAGTTGATGTCTCGGTTGTTGATCACGCGCCCCTTCCTACCGACTTGTGACGACGACACGTCATCAACTTGGGAAAGCAACCACGAGGCATCAGGAGGCGGGGGTAGCTCGAGGTTATCGTATGGCGTAATACGATCGGGGAGAAGCAAAGACTCGCGGTTGGTGATTTGCAAGTTGGCAGCCAAGTCATTGTTACCAGTAGATCGGAACGCCTAGGGTCATTAGCACGGCCTTTTACAATTGGTGGGATACAGTAAATGGTTGAAAAGGCAAGGGAGCAAAAAGAAATAGAGAGGCACCAACCATTTTTATCTTCATCATAGCTTCATTACAATCATCTAGCAAGTATCGCGTTTTGCGCTGGTATATCCTGACAACACCAAGCAAAAGCTGTCCACTGAGTCGCAGGGCCATCGGCGCCTGGTTCGGCGTGATGATGGCCTCGACGCTGTCGGTGACATTGGACTGGAGAATGTGGTTCTTGGAGAGCTTGCGCTCGAGGTTGGCAGACAGCCAGACACGGGCAAGAGGCCCGGTCTTCTGGAGGAGCGTCTCTGAATAGAACATGATGCTTGCGCGCGCAGCCTGTCGCACTGGCACTCGCGCTCAACCAAGCTGGTACTCGAGGAAAAGAAAAATATGCAGAGGCACGGCCAGCCAGTGAAATGGTGCAGGCAGCGCAGCAGTGGAGGGGAACAAGAGTTTGGAGCAAAGTGGAGGTGAGTAAACACGGAACAAGGGGTGCGCGTTTTGGTGGATAAACAAGTCGCCTAAACCGTGTTCGGGCCTGGCTCACGCGCGACGGTGGCCGCGCAAAATCATCAAGTCCAAAAAATGCGTCGCCAAGGGCTGGAATATCGGATCGCAGGCGAGGAAAAACGAGCAGAGGGAGGTGACGGGGGTTGATGGGGAGTGCAAAAATGACGAGGCGAGAGCAGAGGGTTGTGTGAAACTCTTAGGATGGAGCGCGGAGGGGAGACGCTGCTGCGGCGATGCGAAATTGCGTGGCTGGGAGAAAAGTGGCTGGTACCGGGGAGAGCTTGTTGCCTGCGTCCCAATTCGGCGTGGCGGGGGCGGGAAATTGTTCTTCCGGCGCTTCTGCACGCTGTCCGTCCGTCGGATATCGGCGGGAGTGCCACACTCTTGCCGCTTTGAGCAGTAGCGCAGCGAGCCAGATGCTGCGACAAGCACTGAACTGCAACCCCAGCGCACTTCTAGCTAGACTCTGGTAGCTCCCAGCAAGCTACCTGCAGCATTGCTCGTCATTATACATGCCGGGGTATGTGTATCGTCAATACAGAACTTGGTAGGTCATCGACTATTACGTAGAGGCAAACTGCCATATCCAACCATCTTGAATGCCTAATAGCGTACCTTTATTGTCCGTTCAAGAAAGAATATCTTCTGACGGGTTGTCAGGGAATTGCTTTAAAGTCAGTGATTCTACCCACTACAGTTGAACTACAACCCTCGAGCTCCCTAATGCACTTACACGATGATTACGATGAACGCGATTTTCCAAGATCTCTGTATCCCCTCTTATGCTACATAAACCTTGCGAAGAGTAACGCTGATTCATCATTTCATCATTTTGCGCATATGAGTACCCACGAACCTACGACGCTTTATTCATTGCTGACTGAACATGGGCGAGTGCCCTGAGCTTTGCCGTTTATATGCCCTGCATTATCATTTATCACGGCACTACAAGTATGGATCTTGACACATGCCATTTTTTTCCTCCGACACCTGTGGCTGGAGACCTGCATGTCGCATAGATACAAAGTATTCCTGTATTGAGCAAGGTGCTTTTTTCTTCTGATGGCGACAGCAGTATCTGTATCACAGCAAGATACCATCTAGTTAAATGGAGCACCCGTCTTGTCTCTATCAAAAGAGCCCCATGTTCATCTTTACTTCAAATAGGTACCTACCAACTCTACTATAATATTATGGTATTAACAAGACACTTTGCGAACAAAAAACCGGGCGGTTCTAGTTTATCTCAGCGTTTGCCCATTGATTCCTCGCATCGTATAGCGGCTGGCATTTGTCAGCGTGATTATGGGCACAAGTCAGTCTTGGAGCAAGAAATCGCTTGAATATTTACCTAATATTTGACAAGGCACAAGACTTTTTTCCGTCTTATTACCTCGTAGCTTCCAAGGTTATTCCAACTCACCCCACCAAATAGTATGCCCAGCTAGCAGCGTTTAGAAAACTCCTAGTAGCAGTGCTAGTAACAGTAGCCGCAATCAACTATTCAGGAGACATGGCTAGCGAATGAAAAGCGGGCATTGGCATTGGGCGGACTGGTTGCTCCAAGATATGGTATGATACAATCATGACAATTCCAAATTATATTGAGTTTCGACATCTTACCTGCGGCGTTGGACAGAGTTCCTAGGGAGTAATACCGGCTGTAGTAAGACGCAGAGCTTGGCAGGTCGTTGCAGCCACTAGCCATCGGCCATGGGGCGCACTGTCAGAGGGCTGCAGGCCTTGGGTCGCGTAGCCCCAACTTAGCCGCGGCGCCGCTAGGCTAAAACAGAGAGTTACTTCGCGCTGCCAGTACCTGCAGCCCCCTGTAGCGCTCCTTGTCCCCAGTGCCAGTGGCGAGGCTAGCGCAACTACCCATTCCATAGAGCCTTGGGGGAGACCACCTTTGTAATTTGCATGATTGCATTGCTGATGCTTCACCGGTCTGCACGCTGGCCTCTTGATTAGGGGATGAGGATCGAAGCCGTCGGTGTCCGCTGGAAAAAAAGACTCGATTCATCACAACAACGCCGCCTTCCGATCTCGACAACGTATGCGCCAAAGCCGACTCCTGCGCATTCGGTCGTCTCCCCTCTCCTCATGAAATCGGCCTTTTGATAAAAGCTTGGCGTTGATTTCCGGCCCTCCTTAACAACTTCGACGCCATCTTAGGGTTTGCAATATGCAGTTGCCATGGGCAGGGCGTGGCGGCTCTGGCAATGAGTCTCTGCTGCCAATGGCCAACTTGCCCATCATCACTGGAGATGCGGCCGACGGCGATCGGGAGGGAAGATCAGGAGCAAGGCCAGGACATGCCCGAACATCCTCTGCGCATGCGCGAGTAAGGCTGAAGAGACCATTTGTATTTGTTTCGAGGCAATTCGTTAATGAGATAATAGGGCGTCGCCAAAGAATACTCCTTCATGACACCCAGCGAAGCTGCTGCGCAGTTACGGACGTCCCTCACGTACGGCCTTACGCCCAACGAAGCCTTGAAGCGACTCGGCGAACATGGACCGAATGAGATACCTCACGAAGAACCAGAGCCTCTGTGGCTCCGGTTTGCGAAGCAGTTTCAAGAGCCGTTGATTGTACTCCTCCTGGTATCCGCGGGAACCTCGTTACTCTTGGGGAACACGGACGATGCGATAAGTATCACGGTGGCGGTAACCATTGTTGTTTCTGTCGGTTTTATCCAGGAGTATCGATCGGAGAAATCCATCGAGGCCCTCAATCACCTCGTTCCGAATCACGCACATCTTGTACGAGGCTCAGCGAATAAGCCGTCTGCTATGCCGAAAATGTCTCCGTGGCCCCCTAATGTCAACGAACTTCGAGACCCGGCCGATAGTTCTGGTTTAATGACCCCAATCGAAGACATCTTGGACGCCACTTCTTTTAGAGTGTCGGCGTCTCAGCTTGTACCGGGTGATTTGGTCCTATTTACCACTGGCGACCGTATTCCTGCAGATATACGGGTTACCAAGGCCGCTGACTTGACCATTGACGTATCTAATCTGACAGGCGAGACGAAGCCTATCAGTATATCAACTGAGTCGCGGTCTCAAGGAATCAATCATTTCTCGAAGCAGTCATCACTCGCTCCAGCCATGCCTTTGGACAGCAGCGAGGCGGAGAACAGTGACATACGGAATATTGCATACATGGGCACGCTGGTAAAGTCCGGACACGGTCAGGGAATTGTCTTTGCAACCGGTGGCAGCACTCACTTCGGCTCTATTGCTACAAGCGTTTCTGGAACGGAAAACCCCCGGTCGCCTTTGCAGCTATCGATGGATGAGCTTGGCACACAGCTGAGCAAGGCATCATTTGTCGTGATTGGATTGATATCGCTTGTTGGTTGGCTACAAGGGAAAAAACTGTTGGAAATTTTCACCATTTCTATATCCCTGGCCGTTGCAGCTATACCAGAAGGCTTACCCATTATCGTTACCGTTACTTTGGCTCTTGGCGTACATCGGATGGCGAAGCATCATGCTATCGTACGCTGGATGCCCAAAGTTGAAACCCTTGGATCTGTCAACGTCGTCTGTACCGACAAGACGGGTAAGCTTTTGGCCTTGATCTTCCCCAAATCGCAGTCATTACGTGTACTAACCGACTTATAATAGGTACTCTCACGACCAATCATATGACTACTGTCGAGATGTGGTGCTTTGGAGAACAGGGCCCGTTTCACGTCTCCTCGGACGCTGAAGTGGAAGAGATTAAGCCCACGCAAGCGGCTTTACATATCCTACGAATTGGAAACGTTGCCAACAATGCGCGCCTGGCAAAGAACTTTGCAGAGAGCGGCGCCGCTGCAAGCGCCGTCTTGACCTCAACCCTTAGTCGTGAAGAAGCATCTACCTATACTCGATGGGTTGGCCAGCCTACGGATGTGGCCATGCTCGACATGCTTGATAAATTTAAAGAGCATGACATTCGAGATTCCGTCGGCCCACGCGTCACCGAAGTGCCCTTTAGCTCTGAGAGGAAATGGATGGGCGTTACCATTGGAAACGAAAAAGAGTACGCTTATATGAAAGGATCTATAGAGAAAGTCCTCGCCGCATGCGATACGTATCTGGAAAAAGATGGCCGGGAGATTGTACTGGATAGTGCACGACGCCAGGAGGCCTTGGCAGCAGCCGAAGCCATGGCTGTCAAGGGACTTCGCGTTCTTGCTTTTGCTAGTGGTCAAGTATCCAAGTCTTCCAAAGCTCGTTCGCCTGCACCTGGTACGCGAAGCAACACGCCCGCTGCCGATGGCACTTCTACCCCAACGATTCCTCAAGGCTCGGACGATACGTACAAAGGACTCACATTTGCTGGCTTAGTTGGCATGAGGGACCCTCCTCGGCCCGGTGTGGAGCGCTCTATTCGACGACTTATGCGAGGCGGCGTCAGAGTTATTATGATCACCGGCGATGCGGAAACTACTGCACTTGCGATTGGTAAACAGTTGGGAATGAGCGTTGCCGTTCCCAGCGCCCATTTGCCGGGTCAGAACGCAATAAGAGCTGTCCTCCGGGGAGATGAGATTGATAGGATGTCTGACCAAGACCTTGCCCAAGCGATACAGCACACTACCATTTTTGCCAGAACCAACCCCGACCACAAAATGAAGATTATTCGTGCGCTTCAGTCTCGAGGAGACATTGTGGCCATGACGGGTGACGGTGTAAACGATGCGCCTGCCTTGAAAAAGGCAGACATTGGTATTGCTATGGGACGCCATGGAACAGACGTTGCCAAAGAGGCCGCGGATATGATTTTGACTGACGACGATTTCTCCACCATTTTACGGGCCATTGAGGAAGGCAAAGGCATATTCAACAATATTCAGAATTTCCTTACCTTCCAACTTAGTACGAGTGCGGCCAGTTTGGCCCTGGTTTTTGTCTGCACTTGCTTTGGGTTCAAGAGTCCCCTGAATGCTATGCAGATTCTTTGGATTAGTAAGTTTTCCATTCAGCTACGATCATCTTCTTGTGCCGGCGAACTTTCACTAACGCAATGTTAGACATCATCATGGATGGTCCCCCTGCGCAGTCGCTTGGCGTCGAAACAGTAGACCCCGATGTGATGAACAGGCCACCAAGGAAGCGGAATGATCCAGTCCTGACCAAGAAACTTATACAGAGAGTTTTAACTTCGGCAGCCATTATCATGGTTGGCACTATGCTCACATACCGGCAGCAGATGGCCGACGGCGTTGTCACTCGCAGGGATACCACCATGACCTTTACATGCTTTGTGTTCTTTGACATGTTCAACGCCCTTAGCTGCCGATCCGAATCCAAGTCGATACTGCGCGGCGAAGTGGGACTGTTGTCGAACACCTTGTTCAACTGGGCAGTGTCTCTGTCAATTGTTGGCCAGCTCCTTGTCATCTATCTCCCGTGGCTACAAGAGGTTTTCCAAACAGAAGCTATTTCGCTGGGTGATTTGATACGACTTGTCTTGCTTTGCAGCACCGTGTTCTGGGCGGACGAATTACGAAAGTACTTGAAGAACGGGCGGCGGCGTTTGGGTGGCGGTTACAGTCAAGCGGTATAAAAAGAGTGTGCTTTAAAAAGAAAGGAAAGGATAGGAAAGGAAAAGGGTTGGCGGGATTTTCAGGGTTGTTGATATATAAAGTGTCTTGTAATAAGCGGAGCATGTATGACTGGGGGAGTAGAGTAGACCCCCTGTATACCTTTACATATCATGTAGCATACGTATTCTTGCATAGTAGTAATTTATTGGGATGGTATATTCTTACAATTGAATAAAGACGAAACAAAATAATGGAATGTACACCATAGGTTTCTACCAAGTATAGAGGAGTGAAGACCAGTCAGTGTTGCAGGTGGCAGCTATACCCAGCTAGCACAACTTCAATCTTGGCGACTTCAGTGGTAACTCTCATTCTGTAACTAAAAATAATATTATATCGATTTTCATTATATTTAATTCGATTGACCATATGACTTGTGCAGACAGATTGCGATGCGTAGGCACTTCCTTCTATAATTGATTGGTATGTCACCTTATTTCAAGGCACCAAGCCTCTAGCCCCTCCACCAAAAGTGTCCCTCTACGCATGAGCTTACCTGGCTCTACTTAGACAGTAGCACCTCAACCTTCAACCTCCAACACACGACCATCTGCCAGCTGGAGACCTCCGGAGCGGCGCAGCCACCCCAAAGCCAGGCCCGCAAACTCCAAGGCAGCTATGCGCCTCCTCGACACTCGTGCTCCGCGCCAATGTCAGCTCTCTCGAACGGCGTCCTCCACCGAACGGACAGCAGCAGCCGTGCTGTAGCACCTCGACGTCTTCAGAATGCCGCCAACGAGGCCGAGATCCGCGCGACGCTCGCCGCTCTCCACGAGCGCGAATCGGCCATCACCGCGAGGCTCGATGCGCTGATTGAGTCGCAGGCCGACCTGTCTCGGGACCTGGGCAGGCTGGATCTCCTGCGGGCCGGGCTCGGCGCGCAAGTCATTGCCGCGCGCTCAATCGGCAATGAGATGCTCTCTGGGGCTGCAGACACGGCCGGGCGGCTCAGCAATCGGGTCAAGGAGCTGGATCTGGAGAAGAGCCGCGTGGAAGATACGCTGGGAGTCGTGGAGCAGGTGGCGGAGCTCAAGGCATGCGTCAATGGCGTGGTTGGCTCCATGGGGGCACCGCAGGACTGGGAAGCGGCCGCGGGCTACATTGCTCGAGCGAGCAAGATCCCAGAAGAAATCACAAAGGGAGCCTTTGCCGCCAACATTGTTCCCAGCGTCGAGGTCCCTGATGCCCCGTGGATAACGCTGGAGAATGCCAAAGAGAGCCTGTGTGGCCTCTTCCTGCGAGAGTTTGAGAAGGCGGCTGCTGAAGGCGATGGCGCCAAGGTGACGAGATTCTTTAAGCTGTTTCCGCTCATTGCGAGAGCAGATGTGGGATTGGATGTGTACGGGAAATACGTGTGTCAGGGAGTTGCGGGTACGGCACGAGCGACGCTCAAGGACGGCATGGCGGGCCAGAACCGGAAAGAGGGCATCATCTACGCCAATTCGCTTACGAGGCTCTTCCAACACATTGCACAGATCGTCGAGGGCCATGGAGGATTGGTCGAGAGGCACTACGGCTCTGGCAAGATGGTTCGCGTCATTGAGAGGATCCAGATGGAGGCTGATGTCCAGGGCGGCATCGTCCTCGACACGTGGAGTGACGAACGAGGGGTCGACAAGAAGCTGACGGATGTGAAGAGCTATCCATTCTCATTCCTGGTTCAGAGTTTCTTACCGCAGCCTCCCCGAGGAGGTATACCGAGATTGAATTCGCCTGCGGCTGGCCTGGGCAACAACCCTCGCAGCAGTGAGGACGAAGGCGTCAATATGAAAGAAGTCGATGGTTTACTGCATGAGATTTCTGTCATGCTTGCTCAGTGGTCGTTTTACACTCGATTTATTTCGGCCAAATCCATGGTATGTTACAACTTTGGATGAAAGCTCCTAGGTTAATTGTCCTTCTAACATTATGTCTTTTCTTAGGATACAACTGATGAAGATGGGCCTTTGAAGCTTGCGGAGCTGCTCATCAAATCCAAATTATACAACAAGGTCTCATCAAAGCTAGTATCGCCTTACAACGTCATGTCGACCTTTTTCTTTCGTCGGTCCGTTGAAAAAGCGTTTCAGCTGGATGAGTATCCCAGTGGCCTGTCACTGAGTCTACATAGGCCAGTTGAGGGCAACACCCCATACATAATACTCGCGGTTGATGATGTCATGTACATTGTTAACGCTGTGCTCCAGAGGTGCCTCTCTACCTCTCAGAAGGATGTCGTTACCTCAGTTGTTCCATCTGTTAGTCGAGTTCTGACTGGCGACTTTGTGGGAATGATACAAAGGAAAATGCGTGACGAGTCTTACCCAAAGGCCGCTGTACAGGGCGGCTTCCCACCAGAAGAGAAGATTATACAATTTATTGTCCTCATCAACAGCTTGGACATGGCCAATGAATACCTGGTCAGGATTATCCATGGTCGCATTGGCTCTCCAGATGAGTCAACACAACATAAAGAAGAGGTTGAAGCTCAGCTGAAACAGTCATTCCCATTTGATCGCGACGTGACCGCCGTCGTTGGCGCTCTGCGCTCATTAGAGACTGCCTTCCTCGCTAAAACAAATGAGCTTCTGAATGAAGCCGTTCAGGTTCTATTCAACCAAGTTGTTAAGCTGCGCTTGAGACCAGTCCTCAGCGATACCTTCCGTGACGCCGACTATACACTTTCAGAAGAGGACATTGCAGAAATTGCCCAGGAAAACGACGAGTCGGAAGAAGTCGTCCTAGATCAAGTATCACGCCGCTTTGAGCACGGATGGGATCAGCTCATGAAGGCCATCGGCCGCATCATGACGCCAGGAACTTTCAGCACCCTCATGGACATGACAGCCCGCTACCTCTCCCGAATCCTAGAGAAGAGAATTCTCGGCTACGGCGGAAGGACGAGCGGATACGGCGCGATTCGAATGGAGAGGGACTTTTCAGCCATCGTGGATGTCGTCTCTCGAGGGAATTACAGCGTAAAGGAGCTGTTTAGCAGAGTGATGCAGCTGCTCATGGTTGCGAATATGGAAGACGACGAGTGGGATGAGATTATGGTTCAGGATGGGGAGGACGGCATTGACTGGGTTTTGACAGAGGATGAAAAGCGAAGAGCGAGGAGTTTAGTGAGAGGATAGAGAGGGAAGGGGGGGATTTGCAGCACGGTATTGTTTGATTCGGATGTTTATTTAAGCCAGGCATGGGTGCCTCCAAGTTAGGACTGCTGCGATTCTCATATAGACTATACATGTATAGGTATTTAACAAGGCAAGAGCATAATAGAAAAGGCGTCATATCACACTGTGCGTATAAATAACATGTCAAAATAAATATTTAGAAACAAAATACTTGAATACGTCGAGACGGTGTTCTGCCAAAGTCTAAAAAAAACAGCTGCTTGACGGAGTGGCTTGCCAGCGCTCGGGGTGGCGTCGGCATCGCTAGGTAGACACGGCCGCCACATAAAAATTTCCGCCCGCCAAAATTTCAGAAGCGAAACCGGCTGAGAGCTTGCATATCAACTGGAAGCCTGCCTAGAAACTTTGTACAGCGAACCCAGATTCCTCGCATCATTTGATTATAAAGATACCAAGATAGACATACAAACAGCTCGTCAATTTTTTTTTCTTTCTTCTCCCTCATCTCAAACGGCACTTCGTCATTAAGATCGTTAAATCTCGAGATATCAAATTCACGTCCCCCACCAACTTCGTCATAATTTCCTCTCTGAGCAGGGTTATTTATCGAGGCTGGCCTCGAGCACTTACAACAGCGTCGGCATCAGCGCCAGTCCCTCAAAGCTTCACAGCCGCTCGCAGGATATCTACCATGGAGACCAGAATAGTACGAGTTGCTCCTAGCAAGGGGCAGCTCCTTGGGCGGTTTGACTCATCAGATGGCGCTTCAAAGCTCGAAGAGTGGCACATCTCCCCAGACGCCGGAGAAGCCATCACGGTTCTCAGAGATACGGCCAAGTATCTGCGAACCAGCGACACACCCGTAGCTTTCCCTACGGAGACAGTTTATGGCCTTGGCGCGGATGCGACTCGAAGTGGCGCTGTAAAGGGCATCTATTCTGCCAAGGGCAGACCTTCGGACAACCCGCTCATCATCCATATTTCAGATTTGCACATGTTGCGTGAGCTTTTGGGGAGGCAGAAGGATGACCAAGATGCGATTCCAAGCAAGTATAACGTCCTGATCGAGCGGTTCTGGCCCGGTCCTCTGACGATATTGCTGCCTAACCCGCAGCCTTCGAAGCTGGCGCCCGAGGTCACTGCTGGACTCGAGACTTTTGGTGCGAGAATGCCGTCTTCGCCTTTGGCTTTGAGTCTCATCAAACTTGCTGGAGTGCCCCTGGCTGCTCCCTCTGCAAATGCTTCTACTAAGCCATCACCCACGGCAGCCCAGCATGTCAAGGACGACTTGGATGGGAGGATTGAGATTATCCTGGATGGAGGGCCCTGCCAAGTTGGCGTTGAGAGTACTGTCGTGGATGGCCTCTGCGAGCCTCCGGTGGTGCTGCGGCCAGGAGGCATAAGCTTGGAAGAGCTTCGGAGCTGCCCTGGCTGGGAGAACGTCGCCAAGGCCTACAAGGATCAAAGCGAGGAGGGGAAATCGGCGCCGAGAGCACCGGGAATGAAGTACAAGCATTATAGCCCCAAGGCGAGAGTGGTGCTCTACGAGTCTACGTACAAGGCTGGCGCTGAGGGTGTTTTGGCATCAGACTTTGACACTGCCAGCGCCACCTTGAATGGTGATGCGGAAAAGACAAACGGCCATTCGGCAAGGAGGATAGGCATCATCCGGACACAGCGATGGAAGTCAGGAGCTGGCCTCCAGTGTGGCCCTTTACAACCTGCTCCCATCAACCAGGATAACCATGACGAGGAATATCTCAACCCCGCGTATTCGGTATACAAGGGGGATCTCAAGAATGGCCAGGGCCAGGTCATCGGCGAGCTATTCGATATAGATCTTGGGCAGGACGCTAAGAGAATAGCTCAAGGGCTATTCTCAGCTTTGCGAGAATTGGACCGTCGGAATATAGATACGATTTTTGTCGACGGCATAGAAAACGAACTGGACATTGCCGCTGCTGTTATGAATCGCCTTCGAAAGGCAGCATCGGAGATAAGGTCATGAGTGATGGAGCGCGCTGGAATAGAGACACAAAAAAAAGGAAGATGCATAGATTCGTTATACCCTACCCTGTATATAAGTCGATCTCGTTTGAAGAAATTAAGAAAAGTATGGAAAAAAAAAAACCCAAGGATAAAAAGACTAATCAACTACAAGAGCAATCCTTTTAATGTAACAGGCCGCTTTAAATAACATTAAACTCCAACCAATCCCAGGTCTTTGTATTTACAGCCCTTGCCGAAGCCAGTCTGATAGCTTGGACTTTCCGAGCTGTGCCAAGTTGTTGACGCCCTGTTCGCTAAAGTCGATGCGGCCCAGGGGAACATCTTGAGTAGGCGCACGGCTGACTCGCTGGACAATGATGGTAGGGTCCGTCTCCAAGATGATGCCGTCATCGACGATTTCGTCAATTGCGAGCGAGACAAGGTCGTAGTTTTCGACAATGGTCCTCTTGTCAACCGATTGCCTGATTCAGATGTTAGTTGGCCGTATTCTCCCGGACATACATCTCGAATACCCGTAGCACATTGGAAAACTACTGACTTGAACAGAAGATGAAGAGAGTCGCGAAGAGCCAGTACTGTGTTGTAGAGCAGAATCTCGTTCTCGTCGGCGGCACCAACAACGTAGAGCATGACGTCGGACTCCATCTTATACAGGACAATTCGGTTGTCGTACAAGATGATGTCTCCGGTCTGCTTGGCCGTCTTGTCGATAAGGCCCTTCTCGAATGCCTTCTGCGCCTTCACGTCGGTATAAGGATGGGTCGGTATGCTTGCACCTCCTAATGAGACAAGCTCGTAATTAGCAATTGCGCAACAAGTAATCGCACTTCAAAGGTGTAAGATGCTGTGCGATCCCTTAAATCATGCATGCGTACCAGTAGGAGCGGCGTGGGGGGGAGAATAGTATTTGGTGAATATCCGGGAGCCATCCTCGGTGCCAAGGATGAGGACTGCCTGCACGGCAAAGAGGGTCATTCCAGGAGACATTGTGGCGGTTGGTCGATCTGATGCTCTGAGAGGTTGGTGATAGCGATACCAGGCAAGCTCCGACTTGGGCGTTACTATCAAAAGGTGTCCCCCAAAAAGAGCCCCGCCAACCGAGCATTGGATTGGACCTAGGCCTCGGCTTAACCTTTCGCCGTGCGCCGGCGCTTAACGCGTGCCTTGCTCTCAGATCGCGTCGAAAAAGCACTTTACGCGTCTTAATAGGCAATTTGGCAGAAACGCGAACTCCACCGCCCTTGCATTGCATCTGCCCCTCGTTTTTGCCGTGCGTTCTGCCCAACCGCCCCCAGCTCCAGGAAAAAAAAAAAAGAAAGACTCCCAAACCTCGTTTTGGTGACCGTCGACAACCTTAATTCCTGCTAATTGAACTCGCAGAAAAGATGTCGACGCCAAATCGAAGGCAGAGGGACTCGCAGTCCGCGACGCCTCGCCGTTCCACGCGGCAAGCTGAGGCCGCACAGATGGTATCGAGTCCCCTGTTCTACCAGTCCTCGCCAGCTCCAAGCCAGGGCATGGATGAGGTCATGGGAGACGTTTCCTCGCCTCTGCGGCAGATGTCCAACAGCCAGAGCACGCAGCATGCCAGCGGACCTGCGCCGAGCTCGCCATTGAGGCAGATGACCGATACCCAGTCGACTAATGGTGACGGCAATCGGACTCCTCGAGCTAGCGGTGGCCTTGCGGGAGGTAAGGCGCCTGGTGATGTTTCTTGGTGGTTTAGACCTCGGACTTACAATTGTATCAATTGCAGAATCATCTCCCATTCGATACGAACCCAGCTCCAGTCCCGGTCGAACCCCAAGGCTGCATTCGGATCTGCGCAGTGAAAGCAGCGGCCTTTTTGTTGGCTCCAGTCGCGGCACGCCCTACAGACGTGGAGATATCAACTCGGACGCAGTGCGGACGCCACGTGCTCCTCGACGCGTTATTCTGGATGAATCTGGTCGAGTAATGCGAGAAAGCCAAACTCCAGGCTCTGATGCTGCCTCATTCGTAAACCGAGATCCTAATACCTCAGAGGCCGATATCCTGGGCGGCCCTGGTCAGAGTCTCATTTGGGGTACCACCGTGTCGATCGATGATACATTCTCTACTTTCAAAGACTTTTTGCGACACTTCACTCTCAAGTACCGCATGTACCGAGACGGCCTCTCAGATGCCGAGGTGAGTGCTTCGTCTGATGCCGAATCCAAGCCATACTGGGAGGCTCTGCAGAACATGCTGCTGCTGGGGACAACTCGACTCTATCTCGATATTTCAGACTTGAACCTCTACCCACCGACACGAAAGCTATGGCATCAGATTCAAGCCTATCCTCAGGAAGTAGTCCCTGTTATGGATCAATCCGTCCATGACGTGATGCTGGAGCTCGCCCAGGCTGAAACAATGAGGAACCGACCATCTCAGAGCAGTGCCGGGCAGCAAGCTTCCCAGCGAAGTACACAGGGCTCTGAGCCAGTGTTCCCCAGCTCTGACCGGCCTGATGAAGGCATCACTCCTACACCCCGCCCCCGAGACGACGACCCTACATTGGAAGATCAGGTAGCAGCCTCACTATACGTCGTGCGTCCGTTTGGTCTTGACAAAATAACCAACTTGCGAGACTTGAACCCTTCCGGTAAGAGCCAAGAACAATTTTGGTCATTGTCTGAGGAAAATAGCTAATATGTGATTCAGATATGGATCGCCTTGTTTCCATCAAGGGTCTTGTTATCCGTACTACCCCTGTTATCCCCGACATGAAGGATGCATTCTTCCGTTGTAACGTCTGCAATCATTCCGTCAATGTGGGCCTGGACAGAGGCAAGATTCGAGAGCCCACCGAATGCCCGCGCACAATGTGTGCCTCTAAAAACTCAATGCAGATTGTTCACAACAGATGTTCTTTTGAAGACAAGCAGGTCATTAAGCTCCAAGAAACCCCAGACAGCATCCCCGCTGGACAGACACCCCATTCAGTATCTGTATGCGTCTATAACGAGCTTGTCGATTTCTGCAAGGCTGGTGACCGCGTCCAGTTGACGGGCATTTTCCGTGTCAGCCCTGTGCGGGTAAACCCTCGACAAAGAGCCATCAAGAGCATCTACAAGACCTACGTGGACGTCCTACACGTCCAAAAAGTCGACAAGAAGCGTCTTGGGGCCGATGCATCTACACTCGGCGTGGAAGGCGAAGATGAGACAGAAGCAGGAAAGAATGAGATGGAGGAGACTCGTCGCATTACGGCCGAAGATGAGCTCAAGATTCGAGAAATATCGCGCCGCCCCGACATTTACGAGCTTCTCGCACGATCACTGGCTCCCTCAATTTACGAAATGGACGACGTTAAGAAGGGTATTCTGCTGCAGCTGTTCGGTGGAACAAACAAGACCTTCCAAAAGGGTGGCAGCCCCAAATACAGAGGCGACATCAATATCCTACTCTGCGGTGATCCATCCACCTCCAAATCGCAAATGCTTTCATATATCCACAAGATTGCCCCGCGTGGTGTATATACTAGCGGTAAAGGTTCTTCCGCCGTTGGTTTGACTGCGTACGTTACTCGCGATCCTGAAACGAGACAATTGGTCCTCGAGTCGGGTGCGCTGGTACTTTCTGACGGTGGTGTCTGCTGTATCGATGAATTCGACAAGATGAGCGAGTCAACTCGATCTGTGCTTCACGAAGTGATGGAGCAGCAGACTGTGTCGATTGCCAAAGCCGGCATCATCACGACCCTCAACGCTCGAACTAGTATCCTTGCCTCTGCCAACCCCATCGGTAGTCGCTACAACCCTGACCTATCCGTTCCGCAAAACATCGATCTTCCACCCACCCTTCTCTCCCGTTTTGACCTCGTCTATTTGATTCTCGACCGGGTTGATGACAAGGCTGATCGCCGATTGGCAAAACATCTTCTGTCGATGTACTTGGAAGACAAGCCCCAGTCAGCGCCTACCAGCGACGATATCCTCCCCGTCGAATTCCTTACTCTGTACATTTCATACGCACGCTCCAACATTCAGCCAGTGCTCTCGGACGAAGCAGCTCAAGAGCTTACCGACAGCTACGTTGCCATGCGTGCTCTTGGACAAGACGTGCGCGCCGCCGAGAAGCGCATTACCGCCACCACTCGACAGCTCGAAAGCATGATCCGTCTCGCCGAGGCTCACGCCAAGATGCGACTCTCCGAGGTCGTCACCCGGGACGACGTTCAGGAAGCGTACCGCCTCATTCAGTCTGCTCTCAAGACTGCCGCCACAGACTCCGAAGGAAGAATCGACATGAGTCTGCTCACAGAAGGTACAAGTTCTGCGGAACGGAAGCGCCGCAGTGATCTCAAGGACGCGGCCCTGCGACTGCTCGACGAGATGACCGCCGGTGGAAACACCGTCCGGTGGAGCGACGTGTCTAGGAGATTGGCTGATTCTTCCAGCGTGCCCATTGAGCAGGCTGAGTTTACTGAGGTGATGAGGACTTTGGAGGCTGAGAATGCCATCATGGTGTCTGGCGAGGGTGCGAGAAAGAGTGTTCGGAGAGTTACGGCCGTTATTTAAGGGGGATATGAAATATGCTGGTTATTGAGGAATTGGTTAAAATTGGTTCATCGGCTTGTGATGCTTCAGCTAATTTGATATGAAATGTTTTGATGATTAAAGAAAGAGAGAAAAAAGAGCTAGAAAGCTAGAAATAATTTAATGCGAATGTCAGTGTAAGACAAACAAATTTTTAACATGTCGACTTCAATGCAGAATCGAGAATCGTATTCAGTAAGATAATTAAGAATATGCATTCGGCGGTTATCCTAAAATGAAATAAAAAGGGGAAACAAGAAAAACACTCTCAACTCCTTTGCTCAGTCTTCCTCCCTCCACGCTGCTCGTCACGAATGCCCCGTCATCTTTACAAAGTACAGTGACATACCCTACTTCCATGTACAAATAGAAAGACTGAGCATGCTTATTATACATCCTTGCAATCGCACACACCAATTAATACAAACCGTTTTGAAAAAAGGCTAATGCTTGTTTTTTACCAGTACTTCCTCTCCCGACCTTCATATACAAAGTTGAAGGCGGCAGCCACAAACAGGGCGGTACAGAGAACGCTGGGGCCCCAGCGGTCGTAGTATCGAGCCGCCTTACGGTTGCGAATGGACCGGCTGCGGTAGAGGTAGTTTGCCACGGAATAGAGGAGACTAAAGATGGCCAGGAAGGTGAAGATGCCAGCGATCCAAAAGGATGTCGGTGTCGGGTGGTCTCCAAAGTTGAGAAGGGTCGTGGCAATAGTGCTGATATAAATCGAGTATTCGAGCTATTGAAACGTCAAGTTAGTAAAAACAGAGGTACTCTAGGAAAGGATTTCGCAGTTTCACAGTCCAACAACTTACCCATCCAAGGAATGTTCTCTCGGCGGCAAAGTACACCTTGGGCTCGACGCGAACCGGAACATAAATCTTCTTGCCAGGAGGAGCTCTGAACCTCTTGGTTTGGACTCTACTATTACCAAAGAGGGTCTCAAGTCTGGCGGATCGAGGCACTTGCGTTCCGTGGGGGTGCGGAACAACGTACTTCAAGACGCTCCAAGTTTTGGAAGCAGCGGCATGGGCCTTTGAAGAAAAGAGTATGCGGTAGTAGTGCCATCCGCCAATTCTTCGGGCCTCTTCCAACTCGTAGTTCTCGTCGTATTCGTCGTCGGAATCGTAGATAGGGAAGTCCTCATTTCCACCTGGTGCATCCACTGTTTGGCCTTCTGTATCCGTGGTGACAGCACGAAGCCTAGCTCCCTGTCTGCTAGATTCACCATTTCCGGCACCACGACGAACCACGACCAATTCCTCCTCGTCAGAATCAAGCTCTTCCTCGTCATCTGACGTGGTAGTTGTTCCAGAGATATCAGGTCGACGAATGCCAAAGTCATGAGTGACAGGCTTGCGGATATCGACATCCATCTGGGGCATCCAGAAGGGAAGCAGGTTGATGCGGTTGGGGAACAGAGTCGCTGTGCCGTGGATGAATTTGGAGAACTTGGGGACGGCCTCGACCAAATGAGAGGAAATGAGCTGTCTGATCCACTCCGGCGGCTCTTGTCCCACCTGAGTCTGAAGCTTCACTTCAAGGATGGCGTAAGGGAAGCGCTCGACATCTTCGGGGGGAAGCTGCGAAAATGGGTAGTCGACACCGATATCCAGACGTCTCCAGTTGTTACCAGAGCGAGAACGGCCATCCAGATTGTCTTCTCGAACCATGGTCAACTCGGTGTCCAGTGAAATTCGCACTCGGGCGTCGGCAGGCAACTGAAAGGCAGTTCGGTTATAGAAAGAACGGCAAACAGGCTCATAACCGTGCTTCAAAACCGAATACTGAATTTCCGAAGCGAGTCTCTCATCCTCAGCAATAGCCTTTTCTGATTTCTTACCCTCCTTGCGAGCCTTCTCAAAGATGGCTGCTGGTAGCAGCTCACCTTTCATGTAGGCATTAACATTCTTCTCCTTGATCGAAAATCGAGCCTTGACAGACTTTTCGCCAGTCCAGTCCTCTCGGTGAGTCTTGCGCTCGACAAAAATGGTCTCGGTCTTCATACCACCGTACCAACGAAGTCGGATAGCCTCTGCACCCTCCGTCTTTTTCAATCGGCCCTCGTAAAGATCCCACTTCTCGGGGTTGTCGTAGTAGATGGAGGTAATAGCCTGATCTTGCTGCTCAAACTCTTTACTAGCATTGAAAACCAGAACAGGCAAATGTTTGAGGATGATGAGCTTCAGCTCCGTCACATTATCGGGATGCACCCAGTATTTGGTCGTTTGTCGGATAAAGCTGGCTTGAGAACCACCGGCGGCGCTGTCGCCTTTAACGGGATTGCCTCGGGTTCGGACAAGATCGTACAGCTTGGACAGCTTGATGACGGACGCGTCGTAGTTTTCTTTGTAGAACGGCTTGGCCTTGAGTCGAGTATCAAAGGCAGGTCGAAGATGCCATCCAGTCATTTTCTGCAGACCACCACAGTTAGCAAGGCCATAGCCCAACCATCAGAACCAAGAAGCGCTGCCTTACATCGTGCTTTTTAATAATCTTATAGAAGCCGGTATAATTGAGCTGGACGAACTTGGCCAGGTCGTGGACGTCGGCAATGATGTCACTCAGATCCTCCTCCAGCAGCAAAAACTCCTCCTCGCTGGGGCCCTCCTCTCCAAGGCCACGCTCATTCAGCCGGTTCACGACCTCCTTGACCTCGCGCTCGCTGACGGCAATTCGGCGGGAAATCTCCATGGCCTTGACCTGCTGCTTGGTATGGACCTTTTCCAGCTCCGCCTCCAGCTTGCCCACAAAGCGCGTCTCGTCGTCTTCGGTCCACTGCCTGGAGCCAGAGCCGTTGCCGGCGAGAGGCCCCGAGGCGTCCTTGAGCTCCCCCTTCAGTCCATTGTAGTCGATGTAGTACCACTGGTACTCGCGGATGATGCTTGACCGCAACTGTTCGCCGAACTTCATGACGACGACGCCTGGTCCGACCTGGGACGATTGACCTCGGGATCTCAGCGATGTCCAATTCTTGTTGATGGCCTTGAGATCTTTCGCAATCAGCATGGGGATACCGGCTAGCGAGGTCCGAAAGAAGCGGTAAAAACGAGCAACGGGAAAACGCAATTGGCTGGACTCGAGTCCAATCGACAGTGGGAGAGAAAAAGGCAAAGCAAGAAGCAAAAGGGGACAGGGAAAAAATCAAGATCAAAATCGCGACGCGATGCAGGCTCTGCCGGGCGGCCCGTTTACCGAGACGAACTCACCTTTTTCGAACGGGGCAAATAGACGCTGACAGCGAATGGAAGGCTTGCAGAGCCGTAAAAAAAGAGCTCTTGGGTAGCTTCAAGATTTTGATGCTGGAGCAGAGAGAGTATGGGCCGTCTATGCCATCTGAACCTTGAGTCTGGAACAGACCCCACCGAACAGGCCTCTGAAGCTGCATCCAGCGAATTGCAGCAGGTACTGGCGCAACGTGGAAGGCCGCCCCATGCTCGAGGCTAGCTACAGCGGCCCACAGCGGCCTTGGTGCGCTGAATCAAGATTTCGGATGGCGCATGTAGGCACTAGAGCTCCCCACTGCAGAGCTAGCCGCTAAAGAGTGCAGCGCTATTCCACAGCCGTTGCAGCCGCTGGAGCAATCGATTAGAGATGTGGAGAGCGATGCAGCATGTGTCGGCCAGGTGGGGCAAGACAAAGAGTCGATATCGATTTTTTTTTTTTCTTTTGCTTTTAGATGACGCCAGTAGAGAGCTAGCAATTGATTTATACGAATGTTTGAGAAGCAATAGACCGAAAAAGACGAGCGATTTAGCCAAAGTTTGAGAGTCTAGCCACAGGGTACGAGCCTGTATTTTCCCGTTTCGGCACATGCCCATTGCTTATGACCTTGAATATAGAATCCATAGCAGAATATCATTACCTACCCCACCAGACATCAAAGCCATGCCGTCGCCAATTGACGACTCCCTCCAAGCCCGCATATCCCCCGAATGCCCCCAAGAGACCCGTGACATCCTCTACCACGCCTGGGGCCATGACCGAAGCGGCCTGAAGAAGCTCCTCAACGAGCGCGGCAAGGCCAGTATCCAGGATCCCAAGACGGGCGAGACCCCGCTCCATGCTGCGATTCGCGCCTGCGGCCCGGCCGACGAACCGACCGAAGGCGAAGAAGAAGATGAAGGGGAAGATGGGAGCGTAGAGGAGGCTACAGAGGTCATCCGGGATCTGTTCCTCCACGGCGCCATCTGGAACGACGTCGATGTCAACAACGAGACTCCTGGCTGCGTTGCCCACCGACTCGGTCGCAAGGCCCTCTATAACCTCTGTGTCGATGCCGGCGTCCGCGCAGAACTTCTGTTTGCCCTGATGGACGGCTACGAGGAGCTTTCTTCTGGCGAAGAAGAAGAAGACGAGGACGCCGACGAGGTCATGAAAGAGCAAGAGGAAGAAGCTGCTGCTGCTGCTGCTGCCGAAGAAGCAAAGCCCCAAGACGCCGAAGAGCCTCTCAAGTTCATCCCCCCCGACGCCAACGAAATCCCCGTCACCAGCGAAGAATACCTAAAATCCAAACTCACCTACGACGATGACAAGCTCCTCGACTCCGACCTCAACGGCGTCATGATGGCCTGGGAAACCGACATCATGCGCCGCTCCGTCGCCGCCCTCATCCCCGAAGCGGCCCAACGGCAGGGCAAGCGCGTCCTCAACATTGGCTTCGGCATGGGCATCATAGACGGCATGTTTGCAGACCTCAAGCCCTCCAAACACCACATCATCGAGGCGCACCCGGCCGTCTTGGAACACATCGCCAAGCCCGACTCCAAGTTTGGATCTGAATGGGAGAAGAGCGGGCCCGAGGAGGGTGCTTACAAGGTATTTGCCGGTAAATGGCAAGATGTGGTTCTGCAGCTCTTGGAGCAGGGCGAGCTTTACGATGCCATCTACTTTGATACCTTTGGGGAGGACTATTCACAGCTGCGAACGTTCTTTATGGAGCATGTCCCTGGCCTGTTGGATCAGGAGGGACGATTCAGCTTCTTCAACGGTCTCGGCGCAGACCGAAGGATATGCTACGACGTGTACACACGAGTGGTGGAGATGCACTGCGCAGATGCTGGTCTAGATGTTGAATGGGACGAGATTGATGTTGACATGGAGAAACTGGATGAGGACGGCGAAGGAGAGTGGAAGGGCGTCCGACGACGATACTGGACATTAGACAGTAAGAACCCTGCCCCTGGCGATATTGGCATATGCACACATGAAGTGACTAACACTGAACAGAGTATCGACTGCCTGTATGCACCTTTATGGGTTAACTTGAATAAGATAGCAGACTTCAATCAGATGTCTTCAGGTACAATGCTTTGCCAAGATTCAACTACAAAATATTTCTATCTTAGACTCTGCCTAGGGAACTTTTTTTTTCTTTGTAAATGACATCAGGTCGGACAGATATTTTCTATCTATTTAAAGTTCTCGGGATGCAGAATGCCCGCCATGTTGCCAGCCTTGGCTCGCTTGAGCGTCAGAGCGGCAATGAGAGCAGCTCCAACACCGCTACCATCCTCGGCCGCCAGGATCTCTATCGGGTCATCACCCTTGGAGTTGGCCTTCTCAGGCCAGTCGAGGATCTCACGCAGGGCTAGTGCGCCACGAGCCTTGAAGTGAGGATACTTGTTGAAGACGGATCCGTCAGCACCGACGTGGCAGGATTCGTAATTCTTCTTCTTGCAAATGGCCGCGACACCGCAGGCGGAAAGTCGGGCGGCTCGGGTTCCGATGAGCTCCGCCAGTCTTCGGATCAGCTCAAGCTCAGGGACCGTGGGAGTGATGTTCAGCTTGGTCTGGAAGGTGTCATATGTCTCTTGGAGGTTCTCAAAAGGGTCCCTTTCATAATTTGTTAGTGTCAACTGGTAAACATGTAGTATGCCACTGGATGGGAGCTTGCTCACTCTTCAATTCCAGACAAGAAAGATGCATCCAGAGAGTAAGGCTTGCGGAGCAATGAAATGTCCTGGTTCTCAAAGACGTGGACCTCTTTGTTATCGTGCAAGTCAACCAGGACCAGTCGGAAGATTTCACCAAGGTAGAGACCTGCAATCATCTTCTCAAATGCCTGCTGGCCCGGGCGAGGAGAGTCGTTGTCGATGGACTCATCGTACTTTGTACGAGGCAAGACCTTGTGTTCATTGTCAAAGGCACCCCACTCACAGTTGATAGCCATGGGGGTGTCAGGGGGCAGGTTCATGTGCGCCAGCTTAGGGATGGAACCGCAGTTCTCCATGTAGGCGGCATTGCAGCCGGTTCCGAAGATGCAGCCAATCTTCATCTTGGTGTCGGTGTATGCGGAAGCAATCAATGTTCCTGTGGTGTCGTTGATCAAGGCTGACAGTTTGATGGGTACTCCCTATTATACTTTGTGAGCCAACAGGCTTTTTTTTTTTTTTTCTTTCTTTCTTTCTTTCCTTGTCCGACCGGAAGAGCATCACTTACACGCTTGGCAATGGCAGCCTCGAACATGGGCACAACGTTCTCTCCTTCGACACCGGCAATGTCGAATCCTTTGGTCCAGCGCTGGAGAATACCCTCATCGATGTAATTTTGGGTGGCCGGGTAAGAGAATGTAAAACCCAGAGGCAAGGGTTCGAGTTTGGTCACGTCACCGTGGTGAGTCTCGACGAACTGTTGGAGACAGGCTGCGATGTACTCCCATAGCTCCTCGCTGGATCCGGTCTTGAGCTCCTCTGGCATGCGGTACTTTGACTGAATGATGTCGAATTCTGATTTGCGGTCTGTCAGGGTGATTTCGCAGACACGCAGATTGGTGCCGCCCATATCGAGAGCCAAGAAGGTACCAGTCTCGTAGCCATCAGGATAAGACATAACCCATGTTGGGTTCATGGGCTAGATGGTCGTTAGCAATTAGCACTTCTTCCCACTCAGCCACCAAGAATTATTTACGCACAATGCTGCCACCCTCGACGCTAAGACCTTTTTCAAACGAAATATTAGCATACATGATGCCCAAGATCCACGCCACTACGACTTTACACGGCAGTACATACCCTTGGCAAGTTCGCTCACAAAGTGATCAGTGATCTGTTTGAGCTTCTGGGTGTCGACGGTGAAGATCTCTTCCAGCTTTCTCACTTCAGCGAGAAGATCCTTGGGGATGTCCGCCTTGGAACCTGGCGTGTCGCAAGTCAGCTTGTGTGCTACGAGACCCTCCATGATATCTGGCAGCCCGATTGCTTGAGAAAATAAAGGGTATCAAGCGTGTAAAGTTGTGTATTGATGAAAGAGATCCACTCGATCTCGAAGAGAAAGGATAATTCTCGTTGTGGTGAATTTGAATCATGGCGTTGGCCCTGGACGAGGTCTGAGCGTCTGTGCAACATGAAAATGACGTCCACGGGACACTCGAAGCCGTTGCTTATCTTGCAATTGCGCGTAGCTTGTGGTTGAGACTGCTTAGGCATTGAAAGCTAAAAAATGTCTTACTCATGCCTTTGCTTCGAGTACCCAATGATTTTCCATAGCTCAAGGCCTAGCAGCTATATTGGCACATGCTACCGGAGAAGAATCTCCTGTTCTTGGCGAGCCTGGCATGGCATGATATGGGGAACAGCAGGCACCAACGAAGAGACGCCAAAGCTGCACCAGAGCCCCGGCCAGAGCCAATGATGACACAAGAAGCAACAGATTGAAAGATGAATGACAAAATAAAGCAACGACAGCTCCAGATCCCCAGATATCAAACACTAAACGTACCCTTTCTAGAGGGAGGTGGACGGGGTCCAAGTCCAACCATTTTTACAGCAGGATCGCGGGGCTGGCGGGGTAGTCAAAAGAGCTCCGAAGAGGATGAGCGAGTAGCAATCAAACAACCACTGCGAGGGCGTGAGGTTGAGTTGGGTGCGAAGTAGCAATGCAAAGACAGGAATGTAGAAAAGCACAGAATAGGAGGCGATGTTGGTCGAGAGAATTCTAGCAGTAGCAAGAGCACCGAGTCTAGAAGCCGGACTCAGCAACGGAAGCAGATTTGGAGCTATAAAAAGTCCACAAGGTTGGGCTAGTTCGGGTCGTTGGGCAACTCCTGCCGGCCCTGGTTGGCTGTTGCTCTCATTGCCTCCACGCCAGCCAGGCTTCCAAATAGCGATTATGGAGAGCAGCTTTTAGTGGCTTCAACTGCCATCAATTGCCAGCAGATGCAGATATGAGCGTTTTTGTTTCGTTATTGTCTGGTCATCAGGCAGCCGAACATGCTATAACCATCCATTTTTTTTATAGTTTACAATCACAATTACATCTTTTTTCCCAATTGCTATATCTCATCCTGTAATAGTGCAATAGTAACCCTTCCAGCATTGCCGGCAGATTCAGGAAGATGCCGCAAACAAAAGAAAGGATGCACCGCTATCGTCATGTCTCCACTACCTTACACACACTGCGAAACAAGCTTCAGCAGGGCAGCAAAACGGCAAGGATAAGAAGAGGTACCTCGTCTGTACTCCGAGCCCGGAAATTCATAACGCCGGGACAGCCCCAGCGCGGCCTCTGGTTGGCTGGGTCCGAGCTCTCCCATTAGCACCCCTGTAGCTCGTCGCTGTCGCTAATCGAATGGGCGACGTATGCTTTTTGGGGCTGCCCACTAAGAGCCAAGCTGCCACAGTCTCGCGATCGAGTCCGACTCCCATTGCGCAGGGCACGCACAATCAATGAGCGTCGCTTCCACTCCCTCGTCACCATGAAGTCGTTATCGTTTGTAGCGACGCTTCTGGGCCTCCTGGCTGGTCCTTGCAGCGCCCTCTCTGTCGCTTCTTTGCCTGCCGACTTCAAGCCCCCACCAGTCTTTAAGAACAACAACTTAGTGCATGTCGTTTCGGTCGAGAAGAGCTTTGCGAGGGAACAAATCAACGTTTTGGTTGAGAATGTTTCTGGCAAGCCTCAAGACGAATACTTTGTGCCGTTTACCGCGGATCAGATAGCTCGACTCGGTGGCATCGAGGCGAAAGATCGCAAAGATGACAAGGTTGGACCCTTTGGAGTCGACCGAGTCGAGTATAGTTCTCAGAGGTAGGTTTACTTGTCGTTTGCGCCAATTGTCGCCATTAGGCAATTGATGAAGCTTCATTTTGCTAAACAATCGCATGCAGCGACGTTCAATACTACCGCATCACATTGCCGGCACCCCTAAAGGCTGGCGCCCAGCAGACCCTCGCCATCTCATGGTACTACCTAAAGCCATATCGCCCTCTCCCGGCCTCAATCGAGCAGGACGAGCAGCAGTACTTGGTATACAACTTCTCCCTCTACGCTGCGTCGGCATACCCGACCTTGAAGCAGAAGACCGAGGTCAAGCTGTCGACGGTCACCATCCCAGACTACACCACATTTACCAATAGCGAGGGCAAGGAATATCCTGAGAAGCACGGTAGCAAGCTGCTGTATGGACCCTTTGACGAACAGCCTGCCGGCGCCGTCTACCCAGCCCAGATTAGATTCGAGTTTACCAAGCCTGTGATCCACGTGTCAGAGCTGGAGAGAGATATCGAGGTCAGCCACTGGGGCGGCAACGTGGCATTTGAGGAAAAATACACCCTGTATCACCGAGGTGCCAACCTTTCCTCCCAGTTCAACCGCGTGAAGTGGGCGCAGTCTCTATACTACAACCCCGCCTCCTCTGCACTGAAGGAACTCAAGTACCCGCTTCAGATTGGTAGCGTTGATCCCTACTTCACCGATGCCATTGGAAACGTATCGACTTCTCGATTCAGGAGCAGCAAGCGTGAGGCCATGTTGGAGCTGAAGCCCCGCTACCCTGTGTTTGGTGGCTGGAAGTACCCCTTCACCATTGGCTGGAACACCAATGCTGCCAACGTCCTGCGCAACACTGCCAGCGGAGGCCATGTGCTCAAGGTTCCATTCATCGAGGGACCCAAGCAAGTTGAGGGCGTTGAATACGAAGATGTCACCGTCCGCGTCCTCCTCCCTGAGGGATCAGAGTAAGTACTGCCCTTGTTTCATACTACCTATCCGATCCATGTAAACTTTAATACTTGGAGTTGTTGCTAATCAGGAACCAGGAACGTGAAATTCTACACCGATCTCCCCGATTCGTCAATTGTTGAGACATCAGTTGGTGTTCACAAGACCTATCTCGACACCACTGGCCGAACCGCCATTGTGATCAAGGCCAGGAACCTGGTAGATGACTTTCGATTCCGAGATCTGATCATCTCGTACGACACCCCATTGGCAAGCACCCTCCAAAAGCCCCTGGTGGTGTTTGGAAGCATGCTTGCTGTGTACGCCGCGGCATGGGCGGTTGGAAAGGTGGAGGTGGGATTCTCGCCCAAATAAAACTTGTATCAGATTAATCTATAACTTTATTTTGGGTCCCCATGTTTGACGGATAGAAAAACGAGAGCGGTATTTTTAGATGATGTGTCATTAAGTGGGCGTTTGAGACGACGATTTCGATCTGGCAAATGATGGGCGAGATCCGCTACATCTATGGCGCATTAGATCTCAGACCGCCGCCAGCATTAGCAGCGTAGTATCTATGTAGAAATCCAAGCAGACTTGTTTTCCTAATGTTTATGTCATCGTTTTCGGCGCCTGGCATCATAGCACGGCGGGAATCTGTACAATGATGCTGGCGATAGTCCCTGGGGAGGTCCCCATTGGGCTACGGAGAGCTGCTGCGATGACGACATTAGCGTCCTGTCGTGATGGCGCGAATATGCGTCCATCCTAAGCAGCGAGCCAAGGAAAAAAGCAGCCCCAAGAAAAGCCCAACCAAATGGGTGCGTGCCCTCGCATAAGGGCTAAGCCAAGCTCAAAACATGTTCAAACAAAATACATCAGCTCAACCAACTCAAAGCTGCTAATAGTCTAGATATTCATTTGCATTCGGCAAAGGCGAGACCAACAGCTGCGAACTGGGGGTGAGGCTGTGCCATTTTGGTTGGCTCTGAAGCAGCTAGCCTCTTACTTTGTTTTAGAGCAGTGCCTTGCGTTCTCGCCGAACATGCAGAAATGGTGGAGTGGCGCAGGGCCAGAGGCAGCTCGAGCCGCTCGACAGGGATCAGAGATTCAGAAACTTGGCCACGGGAACGAGTGAGAAAAAGCCACACGAAAGACGAAGAGGATGAGCTTGGCCGAAGCTGCGGGCACTGATTGGTGGTGCACGTCAAAACGTAGGTACCTAAGTAGTCATAGGCTGTCACAGCTCGGTTTTATTTAAAGAAACGTGATGGTCCCCCTGCCTTTGAAAGAGGATTCATCCAGCCATCTTTTCTTTCATATACCAAAGCATCCTTTCTTCATTCGTCTTCAAGCCAGATAGAAAGTCTATAAAGGGTTTTTTCGTTTGCAAATTCCGAACAAGCAAAGCGGCACACAGCGACACAGCAGCCCATCTAGTCTATTTACATCTCACCCCAGTCTCGCCTGCTCAACTCAACAAAGATGTGCTTCTCAGTGGAACCAAAGGCCAAATACTACTACCAGGAGGAAATCATTCCTGCACGGCCACACCGTGAGTCGTACCGCGACTCGTACCGCGACTCATACCGTGACTCCGGCGTCGACTACTACCACCATCACCACCGCCATTCTGCTTCCCATCAGTCGCACTCGCCGCGAACAAGCCGCACGGCCGTTGAGCGATACAGCAGCAGCCCCCGGGTCAGCACATACAGCCCGCGCATCAGCTCCAGCAGCACCAGGCGCAGCGTCATCCCGGCGAGAGTTGTGTACAAGGAGACGACGCAGAGCCGCTACGTGTAAATACTCAACCATGCTGGCGACCTATGAAAGAAGAAGAAAATTAGAGGGGGAAAGATAAGACGGATCGCGCAGAATTGGAATCGGTGTTATCAAGGTTCAGCGTTTTTGGGCTGAGGATGGGATATGGTATGATACGAGGTCTTGGAAACAAAGGTCGGGTAGCGGGCGGTTAATGACGGGAACGAGGCAAGCCACGGCTTCATGAGACTCTGATTATGCGACGACGGCGTTGGAAACATCAATCTACTCTTTATCTGTTTGTTTTTTATCTGGTTTTTTTTTTTTTTTATAAAGCGTACATGTATATTTGCTTTGTCTAGATGATCTAGATCGCCCTTTCAGGTGCCAGCCTTTCAATGATCCGACTGCAAATCACTTCCGCTTCTGAGCACATGCAGCGAACCAGTAGCCACAATATTGAACGAAATGATGTCGACATCGTCATGACCCATCCCATGAAGAGCGCCTCATCAGCGATTGCATTTACTTTATCCAAAGAGCATTTCACATCTCCCCCAGTCAAAGCTGCTGTCTGCACTTACACAATGCCTGCTTCTTGTCTCGCAATATGGGAATACCAGGATGACATCATAGGCTCAGCCCATCTCCAAAGTTGGGATATCGCAGCCCGTATCAGACCCTCTATCTTCACTGCTTTCAATTCAAGTGCGCGATTTGTTGCACTACCTAGCTTTATTTGTGCCTTTCAAGACGCATTTAGCAGCAAGAGACAATGTGCCTTCACATTGGCAACATCACCTCAAGCTGGCAATGATCTCGTGGATTGTAGCAAGCAATGTTTTGCGACACAATGTTCACATCTTCAATCATCCTTTCGCCGGCCATGCTCTAAAATAAAATAGAGGGGCATATTTCTTTGATTCAGTGCTCGTTCTGCTTTGTTTGCAATTCATTTGTTTCCTGAGGCCTTGAAGCAGCACTTACTTGCTTCTTTGTTTCATTTTTTCGGTTCGAGCTGGCTTCCTCAGACATGACAGAAGATGCAACTCAAAATGCTGGGCTTGCTCGCATTTAAATAAAGTAATTCAAGTTTTCTGAGCTAGAAGGGGCCTTGGATCCAGTGCTCCTGCGAATTATACTAGAACGCCGCCTTCCAAGTTAAGATTGAGGATTTACCTAAGAAAATAAACACCATGTAAGTGATTTCCATGTCTTTCTCTTCTTCCCATATTTCCATCCACACAGTACTCTTCTTTTTGGGCCGATTATTCTTTTCTATTCTCATCATATCATTTCATCATGTCCCAAACTTCTTTTTTATCGCCCGTCGCGCCGTCCCAGCATGCCTTTCAAGCATCTTTCGATGATACCGCCCCAGACCAGCCATGGAATCGGGGGCTCAGTATCCAAGAGGCATGGTCTAACTCTGCTCCAATTAGGGATAATTGCGCATCGCCTCATTCTATTACGGGACATCCGCCGCCAAAGACCCGGAGCTCTGTCTCGCTCTCTAAGCTATTGGATTACATTCAACCCGAGCTCTCGCGAAAGCAATACCGCATTATCAAGAATGACAAAGGCCTCATCGAAGCATACAAGTCCGCGGGTATAGACCGTGTGGAAATTGGCAGGCAAATCTGCGAGTGGGGCAAGAATTCGGGAGATGAGGCCATCGTCGACATATCCAGCAAGGTCGGCCTTCTTCTTCAAGAGATGGGCAAATTGTCAGAGCCTTACGCCACTGCACTAGAAGATGCGCGTGGCCATCTCAAGATCATCCGCAACATTGAGAAGATTGTTCAACCGATCCGCAACAGAAAGATGAGGGTGTTGGATAAAATCCAGAAAATCAGAACAAAGACCCCTTCTCAAAACATCAAACTGGCCGCGCTGGAGCAGGAGCTTGTTAGGGTAGAGGCCGAGAGTCTGGTTGCTGAGGCGCAGTTGACAAATCTTGTAAGTGCCTCTGCTTTCTGCTGATTGGCAGACCGGGCACAGTTTACTGATCCTACATTTCACAGACTCGCCAAAATTTCAGGGAAGCGTTCCAGATCGAGCTGGCTGCTGCTATTGAGCGCGCCGAGAAAGAAGTCATCTTGGCCAAGCACGGCTTTCGCCTCCTCGAGCTCCTTGACGCTAACATAGTCGCGCCGGGAGAGCCTTATGTGCCCTACGAGCATGGAGTTCAAGCTCACCAAGTGCTGAGTGACGCCGAAGCTAATCTCAAGGAGTATCAGCCGGATGACAGGTACAGAGCTCCAGGAGGAAGCGGGATACTAGTAGAAGAGACTGCGGACGAAGTCGACCAGCAAGTTAATATCAACGGCTGGGGAGTGGCGCAAAGCTGAATCAGCTGTTGGAACTTTGGTATGGCTTTGACATGGAAAGGGGGTTTTCAGGTGTCCTTTTTGTTGGCGTCTACGCAAGGAGTCTGGCAGGAGGATTGGGCAACCAGCTCGGGCTTATCTATATGGATTGGGTGGATTATTTTTTGTTTCTTGGGCGCTGTAGGACACATATCTATTTTATCCAACTGATTTTAGCAAGTTGGGTACTTTTTTTTACCTGTAGTCATGAACAATAGAGCTTCGTTTAGAGAAATGTGTCTCAGCAGATTACACGAATGGATCCAGCATATCTCTCAAGAAGACAATGAAGTATTACATATTCAAGCATGAAAAGATATATTACTAGAATAGGTATATGTATGTAATGATATCTCATATCTTCTCTTGAGGGATCGAAGGGTTGGAATTGGGGGTGTTGTTCCAATGATAATTACCCTGTACGGGTAGAGATGGCGAGGATGTTTGAGCATTGCTGGTGTCCATGTACAATTACGTATCAATTTGCGTGCTATGGTACTTGCCGGAACCATTTCCCTAACAGCCCCGCATTAAAACAGCCGTAGTAAAGCTCGAGCCTCCTGGGCTTTACCGCCTCGCATGCACATACAGTACAGATTTCCTTTGCCGCCCCGTATCTCCGGCAGCCGTGGTGCACTCCGGCACTGAAAAGCCTGCTACGAACCTCGGTCATAGGCCCAAATCAACCGAACTCGCCCCCCGTGAGGTTGATATTCTAGAGAATCCGGAAAGGACCAAAATAAACGCATCTTACCCATTGGCCCCCATCCCCTTATCCTGCTGCCCGTTAAAGAGAGCCTCGATCCGATCTCCAGACCTTTGCCCATGTTGGCTCGCCGTGCACTGCAGCTCAGGTGGCAGAGTCTGCGTGGCCAAGTCTCCCTGCCCAATCACAGCGGCGCATGCTGGACGACGCCTCGCCTGTACAGTTCCATTTCCGCTGCCTCTGACGCTGCCCGGACACAGGGCTCTGGTAGGCCTGTAGACGGTGTTACTACAGGCGCCGACAGTGCTGTCCCTCTCCCTACAGCTATCCCTCTCCCTATCGCTGCCAAGATGGGTCTGCGTGCCCCGCCCCCTCCATCGGGTCAAAACTCCTCCGCCTCCTCGCAAGCTTCCCAACCCTTCCAGCGAACCGCCCAAATTGCTCGCCATCTGAACAGCAATTCGGATTCATCACCAGCACAAGCCGCCACGATGTCTGGATACACCGTCCGCAAGGTTGCCGCCCAGAACACTCTGGAGCACCGCGTCTACATCGAGAAGGATGGCGTCCCCGTGTCCCCCTTCCACGATATTCCTCTGTTTGCCAACCAGGAGCAGACCATCCTGAACATGGTTGTCGAGATTCCTCGATGGACCAACGGCAAGCTTGAGGTGAGTTCGCAATTGTGGCAATTGATTGGATCTGGATTGAATTCGCTGCCGTCCTTGTCTTTCATCCAAGACATGAGCGCATCTGAATCCGACCTTGATCATCTCCCCCCTTTTGCTGCCCCTCGTTTTTTAGGCACCGCTCTTTTCAGCATACTGACGTTTGTGGCCTCTTCTCTCGTAGATCTCCAAGGAGGAGCTCCTCAACCCCATCAAGCAGGACATCAAGAAGGGCAAGCTTCGCTTTGTCCGCAACTGCTTCCCCCACAAGGGCTACCTGTGGAACTACGGTGCCTTCCCCCAGGTATGCGATGCCACCTTTTCTTTATACCCAACTTCAGCTCTCTGACCAAAGGGGCCAATTTCTCTTTTGATACAAGAATAACAACTAACAATGCGGTGCGCTCTAGACCTGGGAGGACCCCAACACCGTTCACCCCGAGACCAAGGCCAAGGGTGACAACGACCCTCTCGATGTCTGCGAGATCGGCGAGCTTGTTGGCTACCCCGGCCAGATCAAGCAGGTCAAGGTCCTCGGTGTCATGGCCCTTCTCGACGAGGAGGAGACTGACTGGAAGGTCATTGTCATTGACGTGAACGACCCCCTGGCCCCCAAACTCAACGACGTCGAGGACGTTGAGCGCCACCTGCCTGGCCTTCTCCGTGCCACCAACGAGTGGTTCCGTATCTACAAGATCCCTGACGGCAAGCCCGAGAACCAGTTCGCCTTCACTGGCGAGTGCAAGAACAAGGCGTATGTGTCTTTTCTACCCGTGGAGAGTTTTCAAAGAGCTTTTAGCTAACAGAACAACAGCTACGCCATGGACGTCATCCGCGAGTGTGCTGAGGCCTGGGAGCGCCTCATTACCGGCAAGACCCAGCCTGGCAGCGTTTCCACGTAAGTCCAAGTCCCAATTGCCCATATGACAGCAAATAGTTCGGCCTGACTAACTCTTTCTTTCTGCTCTAGCACCAACACGACTGTTGAGCACTCTCCTAGCCGCGTTCCCGCTCAATCTCTGCCTCCTCTGCCTCCTCACGAGGAGCTCCCCCCCGCGAAGATCGACGCTTCCATTGACAAGTGGTTCTTCATCAGCGGTGCTTCTGCTTAGTAGGCATAATTTAACGATGAGCACTTTTTGCTGGCGTCACATGTATCAGATGTTTAGTGTTTGATAGTGTATACCCTGCGGGCGTAAAATCCAAGCCCTGCAGTAAAAAGTACTGGAAAAGAAAAAAAAAGTTTCATGACAACGTATATCGTACAATATCTAGTGATGTCCACATTGGCCTTATTCAAGCCGTATCCCTGCCCCGCGTAACGCCGTCAATGCATAAAGTATAGACAAATTTTTGTAGTATTTTTACTCGGACAAATCTGCGGCCTTTTGTAGTTGGCGCGAGTGACGGTCGACCTCCTCGACTAAACCCTTGATGTTGATTTTTGAGCAGTTGAAGTCCATTTCCTTGCCATCCTCTGCGCAAAACGAATTAGCACCTTTCTCAATCATCACACCTTCCTTCCTTCAGTGTAGGCGTACTGAATTTGACTCTTAATGAGCTGCTCTCTGCAGAATCTCTCGGCAGCAGAGCCGTGTTGACGACCGTTCCGTTGGCACGAACGTTTGGCGGGAGGAAAGTCAGGAACAGGCGAGCGGGCTTAGCGCATGTCGAGAAGGGGTTGAATTTGGCCGTGACCTCGGTCATGAACTTGGTAATCATCTTGTCGGTTGGAGCGGGAGGTCACTGAGGCGTGAGGCGAGAATTAAACCTTTTGTCGCAGCTGGTACGGCTTTGTCGATAGTGGGATGGTGTCGAAATTTGGTAGAGACTCGATAGAAGCATATCGCTATACAAGGTACCTTGCTGTCCACGCTGAGCCAATGATGACATGTTAGCTTTGAAAGTTGTCTAGCTATCAGAGTTTCGAGATGCTTGTTTTTTTTTTTTTTTTTTTTTTTTAAATACGAACCAAATTTTTTGCTGCGACTTTTTTTTTTTTCAAACGGCAAAGATGTCTCTAGAGGGACTTCAGGAACGGCTGGCTGCCTTGCAAGAGACCACGGCGCAGCTAAGAGAACTGATTGATCGACTGGCCAATGTGGAATTTCAACCGGGATCCGTGCCTTTGAATATCGAAGAAGAAGGGAGCGTGAGCGGAGAACTCAGCGCAGAAGCCGGCTTGATATTGAAGACTGGACTGGAAGACCAGCAGTTGTTGTGTGAAGAGGCAAAATATCTGCGGCGAAGCGGGCATGAGAAGGAGAGGCTCGAGGATGGGATTGAGAGGGTAGGACAGGAATTGGCTAGGTAAGGAGGACACTGAATATGGGTCTGATATCCCGAGCTTGGGCACATGCTAAATAACTACTCTCGTCTAGCCATCGATCATCACTTCGAAAAGCACGTCTATCAGCGAAGAAGAGCTTGGAGCGAGCACAGAGGCTGGAAAGACAGCTCATGGTACAGTCCTTGTCCGAGCCCATTTCAGAGACAAACACCTCCGCCGACGGCGGCAGCGCGGAACAATCGCAAGTTATATCTCGACCTCTACGACCCAGCTACAATCAGAACCGCCAGCTGCAATCCAGTCTTTCGGAAGAAGACCGACAGACGGTGGGCGCAAGCAGCAACGTCACGAATGCGCTGCGACGGACGCACGCCCTCATTGCGTCGGAGCTGACAAAGAGCGAGTTTGCGCGGCAGACGCTGACGGAGTCTTCGGCGGCGTTGAAGAAGCTGGATGAGTCGTATACTTCGCTGGATGGCATGCTGGCCAGTTCGAGGGATCTGCTGGGCACGCTGCTTAAATCTCAGAAGAGCGATACGTGGTATTTGCAGACGGCGCTGTACATGCTGATGGTGACGGGTGCGTGGCTTGTGTTTAGGAGGATCCTGTATGGGCCGTTGTGGTGGCTTCTGTGGTTGCCGCTGCGGGTTGTCTTTGGGGTTGGGTCAACGGCTGGAAGAGCGGTGATGCAGAGCGGTAGTCGGGAGCCTGGGCAGTCTGGAAAGGCTGGGGTGGTGATTGATGGGGAGATTCGGGTGGATGGAATTCCGGATGAGAGCTTGCCTACTGCAAAGGTGGGACGGGAACCAAAGGTAGCGGAGGAGGAGAGGGATGATGATGGGGAGTCTATGGTTGAGAGAGTTGGAAAGATTGTGGATGCGGTAAATGAGGCTGATGAGTTGGGGGCGATACCTGGAGACGTTGAAGATGTTGATGATTTGCGAGGAGGGGAATCTGCAGAGGTGGTTGTGGAAGATATACGACCGAGAGACGAGCTATAAGAATAAAAATATGCACAACGCGAGGGTTATATATAAAGACTTAATATTCATGACTTTATCCCAACTTGTTAAAAGATGGGATGGGTCCTACACCCTTTTTAACTCCAATCTAAATCCAATTCTCAAGTTGATGTTTCTCCGTTTCTCTATTTGTTTTCTTTCTTTAACCCTACATCGTCTTAGGACCTCTGGGGAGCAATCTGGGCAACGTTGCTGATCCAAGGCAGGCCAAGCTGGTGCATCTCAACGGCCAGCTGGAAGAGATAGTCCAGACTATAAATCGAAACCTCTGTCAGCATATAACAGAAAAGGAGAGAAAAAGGGGGAAAAAAAAGAGCAACTCACCTCTCGCACTGCGTCTTCGCCTTGTGCACATTATCCCCCCACACGTACACGCCATGCCTCCTCACCAGCACAGCATACGTATCCGGATAGGCCTCCATCGCCGCCTCCAGATACTCGGTCAAGTCCTCCTCGTGCGGCGTGTTCTCAATGACCGGAATCCTCAGCGTGTCATGGTACCCCAGGTTGCCCACCTTGCCGAAGCCTTTCCCAAAGCCCTTGATCTGCTCAATGTTGTTAATCTCAAAGACGCGGCTGTTGCCCTTTGCCTCGAGCAGCAGCGTGACGAGCACGGCCCAGTGGGAGTGCGTGTGGATGCAGCAGCCGGCGCCGCGGCGGGTGAAGGCGGCGAGGAAGAGGGGCGTGCACTGCGAGGGCTTGTAGGTGGGAGGGGAGCGGAGATAGGTGCGTTGCTGCCTGTGGGCGGGATCCTGGTCTTTGAGGGAGAGGACGTAGATGTCGGTTGGTTTCATGAGTTCTTTTTGGACGCCCGAGGGGGCGAGGTAGACGAGGTTGCTGGAGCTGCGTCAGTTGGGGGTTGTTACAAGTTGTGAGATGGGTATATATGAGTGGGTGTGTTGTGAGTGAGACGATGTTGTATTGTCATCTGAGTCTTATACCTCGATCCTCTCACTTGAGATGGCACAAGAGATGAAGCTCATCAACGTCATCTTTTCAAGCTTCATCACCGAGTAATATATTTGGGCAAACCGGAATAAGCTTGATCAAGGGCAAGGGGGCATTTACTCGTCTCTAATCGAACATCCTCCCCCCGTGCCAGTAACCCATCCCAACGTCCAAAACTTGGCGCACAGCGAAGGGATGAGGTTGGCAGGGTGCTCAGGGTCCGTCGAGGTGATGAGCTGGTCCGGGTTCTCAACAGCAGCAGCCTCGGCCATTGTGAAAGGACTTGTATATGGAAACAAAAATTAATAAATTAAATGCAGGCCGTAGCAATTAAATTGCCTCTTTCTCTCTCGACAAGTTATTTCAACCAATATAGGAGCTGTTCGTTGCGTGTTAGAGCAGCTCTTTTTGCCCCTCTCAATTTAGTGCACCTATTTTTTTTTTTCTTTCCCTTGCCCGCCCCCTCCATACGCGGAAAATGACGAAACTTGGCTACGATAGGTAGGAGCAGCACCAAAAAAACGTGGGCTGCTTGCTGGGAGGTCGCGCAAGGACCACCTCATCATTTAAAAATAAAAAAAAGTGATTTGATCTCGATTACTTCAAGTAAGATAAGATTTGATCCGGGGATCTCTATACTATGGGGCAGAAACACGAAGCAATTGACGTCTTTTTCACACTGAGAACAATAGGTAGGTAGGCCGAGATTGCCATGGTGAAAAGCGCATCGGAATCTCGATTTGTAGGTACTTTCGCATGTACCGCAGTGTGTCGTCTTTTGCTTAAGAAAACGCCGCTTGCAGTTGTTAGTGTGCTTATAGCTCGGTACCTGATTTCCTGCACTTGGATGCTTTCTCTCCTTGCTTCGTGGTTGGTCGAAAACGACGCCCTAGTTACTAAGCGTTTGCCCTCGCTGACAGCTGTTTCAGCACCTCATTTCAATCTTGTAAACCAGCTCGTCTCATTGGCTCGAGGGGGCAAAGGGCGAATCAAAGGATGGGATCGTCAACGCGTTTGTCCGCGTTTGCTTGTTGCTAGGCCGCACTTTATAATATGGACTCTGCGAGAAGCGAGGAGGCAAAAGGGGGACTCATAAAAGTATATTTTTTTCCCCCTCACAACTCTTGTGATACAATTGTCTCAGACACTTGTATGTAGGGTCAAGCCGGTCCTGAGATTATAACATCAATCCAAGAACCCGCATTACACGTACCGCTGCAGGACTTGCAGTAGCAGCTGCCTAGTGCTGCAGCTCCAAGGGGCATTATGGCATTCATCTTGACCATCATACTGTATCTACTGTACCTACTCACGCATCAAGGATCACGGCTGAATGTATCAAGACAAGACCTAGCAGCTGGTGACTGTCACCGAACCGCAATGAGCCGAGCGCCCCATTTCCCAAGCTGAGAGAAAGTACTGCCGCTCGGGACTCCATCGTCACCAAGCTCCATCTCCAGGTCACAAGGCCTGGGGCGGCCGAGTCCAAGGTTTTGGCGCCCAAAGATTTTGTGGAAATTGCGGTCCTATCCTCAGGACAGAGGCGGATGTCGCTGGCTCTGCCCGTGCATACGACTTTCAGCTGCGCAAGGAGCAGATGTTCCTCTGTCCAGGGGCCGCGGTCAGCTTGGCCAGCCGCGAAGTGGTTAGATCCCCCTCGGAATCTTGCCCCCGTCTGGCACGGCCATGCACCGATCGCCAATGGAGCCCTCGTATAAGAAGGAGCCAAAGCCTTTTTTTCGCATCTAAAGGCACAGTACGAAGACCAGAATCGGAACTGGGCCGGGCTTGTATCCCAAGCCAAGGGGAGCGCCGCAACCCCTGGTGGCTCGGAAGTCACAGGCTAGAGCGCCTAGTCTCACGGGCTAAGGGCCGTAGTATCAGGCAAATTGAGTGGCGAGCTGGCAACTGCTTGCTTTGCTATCGAGATTTGGCTTTCGGCAGCCCTTCTTTTTGGCTTTGCGCCAACTGTAAGCCTCCCCCTTTCGTATCTATTGGGGCGTTGACGCTGGCGGATATTCGTGACGCGTTTAGAGGTCTGAAAGCAATTTATATCTCAAAGATATCGGAGAGTGGCAATCAATGTTGATGTTATTACTCAACCATTGTAACCGTGTGACGGATTCCAGAGGACGATCAAATTCAAAATACGGCCTGAACCTTTGTCTTAGTCACTAGAATTCAACCACCAAGAAGGGCTTCGCTGGGATGGGCCGCCCTAGCGCCGCTTCATGCCCCTGCAGGCCTTAGGCGAATGGAGCAAATCAGCCAATAATGCTTGCCAGTACACACGGCTGTTGATGGCGATGTGGTAGGTATGCTGCTGGGCCTAGTATGGCCTGGAGCAGCGGGGAGACAAATCGGCGATGGGGAAACGGGGGAGAGGCCCATGAAGAAGCTTCATTTTCATGCTGGTGACATTCTCTTGACATGGATACGCGAAACAAGAAGAAGGAAAAAGAAGAAGCAAGGCAACATGCAACAAGAGGCCTCGCTCCGCATGGACAAGACAGATTGGAACCAGGGAGCCAGGGCCAGATACAAGTAGTAGTGCACTTGCAGGCCTTCAGAGGTGGTCCGTCCCACAAGCCGCACACAGCCTCTCTGGGACCCATGGCCTGGCCGAGATGCCGACAAGAGTCAATGACCGCATCGCACGCAAGCCGCGGCGAAATAGGCTGTGATTTGGCACAGAGCAGTCAATGGCTGGTGGGAAAGGCAGCGAAAGCAGAACGGCAGATGAGGGTTGGGCAGATTCATGCATCGAGCGCCCATCGCCACGGCTGGATACGAGCCAAAAAAAACTCGTGTGTAGGCTGCAAGCTCGCCGCAACGTTGGATCTTCGGCTGTTTTACGAGGCAAAGCGCAGCGGAAGTGCCACAGCGAGCCGGGCCAAGCAGAATCTCAGGCGCCACGGCATCGACTGCCCAAAGTCGGGGGGGTTGCAGCGGGTTTGATTGCAGCTGCATCGCGGCGCCACGCAATTAAAGGCGCCGCCTTGGCTTTTTGCGCCGCTGCCACAAAGAAATCGGACGTCGACTCCATCTACGTATGCCATATGCCGCAATCGCAGTTGTGACGATTCTGCTGGATTCAATGGCTCCCATGGCTGGGCTTTTCGGGCCTCTTCCAATGTTTACTTTGGAGGCTCCAGACTACTAGTAACACAGGTACCTACAACGGCTCCCGTATCGTAGCATCGAGGGCAGCTTAGCAGCAATGCTTGGGCGGGGCCCCTTTAAAGACCAGCAGGTTTTTTGTCTCTCGCGCACCCCAATTTTTGCCAGCACAAGGGCCCGGTACAAGACCCGTACTGTGCGCCGAAAATAACAACGGCGAGGCTTGCCGCCAGTGCGTTCTTGGTCTCCCAGCTACGAAAGCTCGTTACGCGCCTTGGGGCGCCTTGGCTTTTGGGACTTTTCTCGGCCGCGTTCTTGAGGGTGCTCGTACTATTAAAGGGAGATTCCCTGCTCCTCGGCGTAGAAACTTTCCTTTGCTCCTCTTCTATCTCTTCTTCTTTTCCTCCTCATCATCTCGATCGTCCTTCGTTTTCGGTTCATCGCTCACATTCGTTCGTGTGCTTCATACTCCAACGACCTCTCAGAGTCAGCCCATCTTTTTGTCAACACCCACAACAAAAAAACAAACACTTCCGTCACCATGCGTTTCTCCGTCCTTCTCTCCGGCCTCTTCGCCGTCGTGGCCGTTGCCGAGTCCACTGCCTCTGCCCCGCCTACCTCTGCCTCTCTGAGCCCTGCCCAGGCCTCCCAGGCGGCTTGCTTCAAGGCTTGCGCCGAGGGCGACGTCAACTGCCAGGCTCACTGCGTTGCTGTATGTTGATCCCACGTCTCATATTGCCACTTATTTCTCTCTGTTCTCGCGCCCTTGTCTTTGAAGGCATGGATGAGAAGAGCAGAGTGAATGAGTGGCCCATGGCTACTATTATCAATCCTGTATGATGAGATGACTTACACGTACATTCCACAGGTCCCCTCTCCCGACCGCGGCCAGGTCAACGCCACCACCCAGTGTGTCGCCGCCTGCCCCCAGGGCAAGGGCACCGCTGCTGACAACAAGGCCTATGGCGACTGCGTCCAGGGCTGCATCGGCAAGAACTACTTCATCTCCTCCAAGGGCACTCCTGAGGCTACCGGCGCCGCTGGTGGCAACAACGCCCAGAACTCCAACACTGACACCGCCGCTGCCCCTACCGGCACTGGCTCCTCTTCCACTGGCACCGAGACTGGCCCTGCTCCCACCGGCTCTGCCACCAAGTCTAGCAACGCCTCCAGCTCCAAGACTGGCTCTGCTGCCGCCCAGACTTCCACCCACAACGCTGCGCCCGCCATCATCGCCTCTGGCGGTGCCTTTGTTGGCGTCATTGCTGCCCTTCTGGCCATGTAATTTCTGAGATATCCCTGTTGTCTTTTGCTATCTTTTTAATTTCAGTCTTGGATAATGTCAAAGGGGGGTTTTAATTTTCATGGGTTTGAGGATTTAATGACGATCTTGTGTGTGTATTTAACCACAAAAACGTAATATGGATTGGTTGGATAGGGATAATAATACCAAAAGAGCCTGTTTGGACAGCTTAACAATTTGTCATCTCCTTTGCCCATCTGTGATGTTATGAAGCCTTCATACCTGACATGATAACGAGCTGCATTCAATCATTCATTTTATTCCCGATATCAAAGTTGACCGCCGTTGACACTCGGACCAGTGAGCGTATCGTGCCATCAATCATCTGATGTGGACCATGCGCAGATCGTATGTAGACATGCGATCTACCAAGTAGTACCACGGAGTGATAAAAGCCCAATTATTACTCATGTCTTGCAAGCCTACTAATCCGAAGCCGTAGTACACGCACTGCATAAACTAGTTGATAATTGCATGTGCGCAATTTGTCTTGCATACATCTACACGTGTTGTCTGATGTAATGTGCAACTTTTGGTAGACAAGGTTACCCGGATGGTTACAGAGTCATTGGCTACATCTTTGTACCAGCCACAAAGTCAATGAATTGCATTGAGAGTATTGATAAAAAAAAGGTAATGTCATAATGATTTCTCTGGTTTCTGAAATGAAATTACAGTCGCTGACAAGATACGCCATTCCAGACGTTGAATAGCCGTTCCCGACAATATTCTCGGCACATCTGCACGGGCTAGTGCCTTAGCGGTGCCCTCTCTGTACGATTCTCTGGTGCAAACTTCCTATTAATAGCCGCAAACTTAGCGGCTTGTCACATTAATGGGGCAGCTCTTGTGTGCATTAGAAATCGATCGATTTGCTAAAAGTTTTAGGCTCTCCGTAGTGCTGGGGAGGAAAAAAAAAGTTGCGTGCAGAGAAACAAGAGATTGGGAAGAGAAAAAAAAGAAAAAATAGTCACAGCAATATTGGACAGCATATCTCGTGCTGCATGCAATGATACAAAAGAAGCGATTCCTTGTGTCAGCATCGCGAGCACCTTAATCCGAGGTTACCTCGTTTGCCCAGCACGAATATTGGACATGTGGCATCTTCTGGCCCGTCTAGCCAGGCTCCTCCACCATTTCCCCTCCTCCGTCTCACGGGTAATAAATTGATGCGACCAACTGGGTAATACGATCAATTGATTCGGCTTGGGTACAGAAACAGGGGGCTTTTGCATTATGAATGGATTAAATGGTCTTTGTTTCTTCATGTTTTGTTGCATGTCATGGCTTTGGCTCGCGTGATGGTTTCAATTGGCGTTGGCTGTCTACATCTCCAAAGGAATTGATACCAGACTTCAAAAAAAAAAAAAAAAGATTTGATTGTTTAGTACTTGCAGCATCAATCAGCAGGCCAGGCCCCACACGTGGGTTGCAGCGGCGCCAAAGGAGCTCATCCGGGACTTTATTCTCGTCGCTTCCAGCGCCGCTGATTGGCGAATTGCGCTGCTTCCGATGAGCTCGGGTACGTACATTTTGCGATTTAACCCAGCCTGGCAGCTGGACCCCCGCATCAAAGAACTAAACCTGGGCAGCTAAATTTTGGTGGTGGCCCTGGATAGCTTCTACGTGTCCTCAACAACCTTGGCCGGCCTTTTCCCCAGCCTTCTTCAAGTGTCGCCGCGCGCATCTGAACTCTTCTTTTTTTTTCTTTCTTCTTTTTTTCCAACCAAACTCTTGAGAAATCATCTTTCTCTTCGAGCGCTGGGACTGCCCTGCTATAGGCATCACTTCCTTTTTCTTCTTCTCTCCCCCCCGCACTCTCTAAAGCATCCTCGTTTGCGCTCTGCGCCTTGGTATACTTTTTTTTTTTTTTTGCAGTGATTTCAGTCCTGTTGGCCAGGTTGTGCTTGCCGAAATGAAGTTCAACACCGTCGCCGCCGCCGCGGCTCTGTTCGCTGGCGTCGCGTATGCTGAGGAAGTGGAAGAGTCCAAGGCTGTGCCGGAACTCCCCACCTTTACTGTAAGCTGCCTTCTCTCTTCGTGGTGAATGCGGAAACGCAACATTGTGGTTCGTAGAGCCATGCTGCGAATTTATGCTAACATCATTCCTATTAGCCCACCACCATCAAGGCAGACTTCCTTGAGCAGTTCACCGATGACTGGGAGACACGGTGGAAGCCTTCCCACGCCAAGAAGGACACCTCCGCCTCCGACAAGGACAACGCGGAGGAGGAATGGGCCTACGTTGGCGAGTGGTCTGTCGAAGAGCCCTTCCAGTACAAGGGTATCGACGGCGACAAGGGCCTTGTCGTCAAGAACGCTGCCGCTCACCACGCCATCTCGGCCAAGTTCCCCAAGAAGATTGACAACAAGGGCAAGACCCTCGTTGTTCAGTACGAGGTGAAGTTCCAGAGTAAGTTGACACCTGGCAATGGATTCCAATATCTGCAAAATGAAGCCATGTAGACATGTGCTGACCTGTGCGTGCGCTTTCTAGACGGCTTGGACTGCGGCGGTGCTTACATGAAGCTCCTGCGGGACAACAAGGCTCTTCACCAGGATGAGTTCAGCAACACCACCCCGTACGTCATCATGTTCGGCCCCGACAAGTGTGGCCACAACAACCGGGTTCACTTTATTGTCAACCACAAGAACCCCAAGACGGGCGAGTACGAGGAGAAGCACCTCAACTCTGCTCCCTCGGTCAACATTGCCAAGACCACCGAGCTCTACACTCTCATTGTCCACCCCAACAACACCTTCTCCATCCAGCAGAACGGTGTTGAGACCAAGGCTGGCAGCCTCCTTGAGGACCTGACCCCAGCCATCAACCCCCCCGCGGAGATTGACGACCCCAAGGACTCCAAGCCCGAGGACTGGGTTGACGAGGCCCGCATCGCTGACCCCGAGGCCGTGAAGCCCGAGGACTGGGATGAGGAGGCTCCTTTTGAGATTGTCGACGAGGAGGCTACTAAGCCCGAGGACTGGCTTGAGAACGAGCCCTCTGTCATTCCCGACCCCGAGGCTGAGAAGCCCGAGGACTGGGATGATGAGGAAGATGGCGACTGGATCGCTCCCACCGTCCCCAACCCCAAGTGTGACGACATCTCGGGATGTGGCCCTTGGACCAAGCCTCTGATCAAGAACCCTGACTACAAGGGCAAGTGGTCTGCTCCCTTCATTGACAACCCCGCTTACTTGGGTGTCTGGGCTCCTCGCAAGATCAAGAACCCTGACTACTACGAGGACAAGACCCCCTCCAACTTTGAGCCCATGGGCGCTGTAAGTTGATATCCTTGCCCTAATTCTACTGTAGAGAAGCCTGCGTGCTAATTGTGTGCTTTATAGATTGGCTTTGAGATCTGGACCATGACCAACAACATCCTCTTTGACAACATCTACATTGGCCACTCCGTTGAGGATGCCAAGAAGTTGGCCGACGAGACCTTCTTCGTCAAGCACCCCGTGGAGAAGGCTCTCGAGGAGGCTGACAAGCCCAAGGTTGACGACATCCCCAAGTCTCCTTCTGACCTCGTCTTCCTCGATGACCCCGTCACCTACATCAAGGAGAAGTTTGACCTGTTCGTCACCATTGCCCAGCGAGACCCCATTGAGGCCATCAAGTTTGTCCCTGAGATTGCTGGTGGTATCGGCGCTGTTTTCGTTTCTCTCATTGCCATCATCGTCGGCCTGGTCAGCCTTGGCGGCTCTTCTGCCCCCGCCCCCAAGAAGGCGGCTGCCACCGCCGGTGACAAGGCCAAGGACCTGTCCGAGGCTGCCGCTTCTGGTGCCGACAAGGCCAAGGGCGAGGTCACCAAGCGCACCACTCGCAGTCAATCGTAAAGAGGATGAAAACTGCTTTTCTTTTGTTGAGTGAATGGGATCAAATAGCGAGCGGGATGTGAGATGAACAAAAACAACATATCCAATATACCAATATCTGGGACAGAACCCACAATAAGATTTGGGAGCATAGGCGAAGGAACATGAATAGGTATTATAAAACAAACCTTGGTAAAAAAAAAAAATTTGGAATCTATTGTTATAATTTTGTTCCCTTTTTATTCGAGAATACTACCCAAGTATCTCCTGTCAGATAGGATCCCTTGTTTTTTTCTTCTTCAACGGAAGTATTATGGAGCACCTACGGAGAGATGCAGTAAGCGGCCGGACACTCGATATGATTGTGCAGATGGATGTTACCTCACAGGCAGGTAAGCACCGATTACAGCCTAGAGCACGGCTTGAAGAAGGGCACCAATGCATAAGACGAAGGAATTAGGCGCAAGCAACACGTGGGTGCTAGTGTTTGTCATGTTGGTATCAAGCTTGAATTGATTATTTGGCGATTGCTGAAACCTCATTGATATTGGCGTCTTTGTTCATGCGGAGTAGAGAAACAGGACCTGCTGCTAATGACAATAGGCTGTTGCTAGTAGATGCCCTACACCATTACCAGGCCACATACGGCAACCTAACTAACAACCCAACCGCCTCCAAAAAGGCATCTTGTGCCATATCCTCGGTTGACTTGACTCTCTACAGCCAAGGTAGTGCAGATTGAAACAACCTTACGGTGTCAGTAGCTTGGCCGGCGTCAATCGCAGAGCTTCCATCTCGTACTTTTCTCGGCAAAGGCCCCCCGTCATCGGAGCTTTTATAGCTGCAGCGTTGCCGAGCAGGATGACGATCCGTCGCAGTGAAAAAAGTACTTGGCCTAGGGCAATGCAGGTGAGCACACAGTAATACCGCAAGTGATCAAGACAACCCGGACCGCCGTCAGCACGGGGGCTTATGTAACAGGGGGATACTGCCCCGAATCAAAACGGTGCCAGTTGCTTTTTCGGCATGAAGCGGCATCGGCTTAACAGCATCTCTGATTCTGGTGGCCATCTCTAGGCGATTTGCTGGGAAATCCCACGCAGAGGATGCGGCGCCCTTCCCCACATGGGGCTTGCGGCTAGTAGGTATCGGGGCCCTGGATATTCCCCCCCCATCTTAATTCGCCTCCCCTTCCCCACGTCCGGCCGTAGCCGTGTGTAATCGCTGGTTTACAAATGGGAAGGCGGGCGAGAATAAATACTACCTGGGGGGACGACGATGCAGAGGGACGGTTTCTTTTTTCCTTTTCTGTGTGTGACTTGATTGGACTGAGACGCTTGAGAGAGAAGACGAAGAGATTCTAGTGGACAACAAGACAGGAAGCAAGACATCTGCCCCGCGTCCCTTCTTATCTCGTCACTGCTCCAACATCTACTCCTCAACCCTTTCTTCTTCAACCCCCAATTCCTAATATGCGTCGCTTCATCGCGAGCAGCGCCTCTGCCTCTGCCCGCAGGCCCCTGACCGCCGCCGCCTCTCCCCGCTCCGCCATTGCCCTCTCCAAGATGGCCTCCAACTCCAGAGCAGCCCAGGCCGCCACGGCTGCCCGGCGGATACACGCCACGGCCGCGCAGCTCAAGCCCATGGACGCCCTCGCCTCGACGGCCACCAGCTTCCCGACCACGCACGAGCCCATTGAGGAGATCCGCAACACGCCCTACTTCATCGACAACAAGTTCGTGCAGTCCTCGACGGACAAGTACTACGACCTGGCCGACCCGGCCACCAACAACCTCGTCACGCGCGTGCCGCAGATGACCGAGGCCGAGATGAAGGCCGTGGTCGAGTCTTCGCAAAAGGCCTTCCTCGCCTGGAAGGACACCACCGTGCTGTTCCGCCAGCAGATCCTGTTCCGCTACGTGCAGCTGATCAAGGACAACTGGGACAGACTGGCCGCCAGCATCACGCTCGAGCAGGGCAAGACCTTTGCCGACGCCAAGGGCGATGTGCTGCGTGGTCTGCAGGTTGCCGAGGCTGCCGTCGGCGGGCCGGAGCTGCTCAAGGGCGAGGTGCTGGAGGTTGCCAAGGACATGGAGACGAGGAGCTACCGTGAGCCATTGGGCGTCACTGCTTCCATCTGCCCCTTTAGTAAGTTGCCGTGATACATCTTCGCTTCTCACTGGGGCGATACCAGAGGTGTATATGTGACTAACAAACGACTCTCTAGACTTCCCTGCCATGATTCCTCTTTGGTCTATCCCCATTGCCACCGTCACTGGTAACACCATCATCATCAAGCCCTCGGAGCGTGATCCTGGTGCCGCCATGATCCTCGTTGAGCTGGCCGAGAAGGCTGGATTCCCTCCCGGAGTTGTCAGCGTCATCCACGGCGCTCACGACACCGTCAACTTCATCCTTGACGAGCCCTCCATCAAGGCCGTCAGCTTCGTCGGTGGCAACAAGGCTGGTGAGTACATCTACTCGCGAGCTTCCGCCAACGGCAAGCGTGTTCAGGCCAACCTGGGAGCCAAGAACCACGCTGCTGTGCTCCCCGACTGCAACAAGAACCAATTCCTCAACGCCGTTACTGGCGCCGCCTTTGGCGCTGCTGGTCAGCGCTGCATGGCCCTCAGCACGCTGGTCATGGTTGGCGAGACCAAGGAGTGGCTTCCAGAGTTGGCTGAGCGGGCAAAGGCCCTCAAGGTTGACGGTGGCTTCGAGGACGGTGCCGACTTGGGCCCTGTTATCTCTCCCCAGAGCAAGGAGCGCATCGAGAGCCTGATTGCCAGCGCCGAGAAGGAGGGTGCCAAGATCCTGCTCGATGGCCGTGGCTTCTCGCCTTCCAAGTACCCCAACGGCAACTTCATTGCCCCCACCATCATCACCGATGTCACCACCGACATGACTTGCTACAAGCAGGAGATCTTTGGCCCCGTGCTGGTGTGCCTGAACGTCGAGACCCTTGATGAAGCCATTGAGCTCATCAACAAGAATGAGTATGGCAACGGTGCTGCCATCTTCACCAGATCCGGTGCCACCGCCGAGACCTTCCGAAGGAAGGTTGAGCCCGGCCAGATTGGTATCAACGTGCCCATCCCCGTGCCCTTGCCTATGTTCTCCTTCACCGGTAACAAGAAGTCCATTGCTGGAGGCGGTGCCAACACATTCTACGGCCGACCCGGCATCAACTTCTACACACAGCAGAAGACTGTGACGGCTCTGTGGCAGAGCGCAGACGCCGTGGCCAACAAGGCTTCGGTGAACATGCCCACGCTGCAATAGAGGAGAGGTCAGTTTCGTATTTGTTATGACGGTATTTGGAGGGGTGAGCGTTGTCTGTATGTATGCGAATGAATTTTGCAGGACAGCATAAAGTCGTTCACTGTGATGGAGAAAAAGGGGGGCAAAGGGGAGGGAAATGAGTGGTTGTCTTAGCACTTGCATGTACATTTTTTGAATGATAACGTAGTCACGACCAGATTCTGCTAGACGGCATGAAAATGTTTTTGTCGAGATGAAATAAATTTACGTTAAATAAAACTCAAAACATTATGCAATTTGGTGGTTATCTATCGAATGCTAACATGCATGTAAATGTGGCGTTGACTAATATGCTGTCTAGTCTCTCCATTCTTCAAGGTGCTCCTCACCTATGAATATGGGAGCTTGAGAAATCCATGCACATCTAAATAATTAAGAATCGAGAAAAAGAAATCATGTTTTTTTTTTCTTACATGGCAAATAAAACAATGTAATTTAAAAATAGACAGTCAAGCTGTAGAAGTGGTACCTCGACAGCATCCAGGCAGGTCACATGCAGCTTGCCTCAGCAACCGCTTACAACGTGCCGTAAACAAGCTGCATCCAACCTGCATTCAAACTCAACCAAAACATCGCCTCATCCCATCCCATCGTTTTCTTCAACTTATGTTTCAAATGCGTCTCAAATAAACATGATACCCATACTTTTTAGAGAATAATACAGATCAGCCATCATGGATATCGCGCTGGCAAACCTCCCTTACTACATCTTCAGTGACATCATCTTATACCTCCCTCCCATACAGGTCCTCAGGTGCCGGCGCATTTCTCGCATCATTCACGAGGCCCTTACGAGAGACGAGCTCTGCATCACGCTCATCTTGAAGCATTTCCCGCGCGCGCTAGAAGGCCGGCGACTCAGGCAGCTTCTGGAAGCCGACGAAGCGGAATCGCTGGACCGAGGGGACTGGGCTGTCGCGTTTGCGCGGCTGACGAGGCGGTATCATCATCTGGGCCGGGCAGAGCCCTGGAAGAAGATCAAGGTGCCGGTGCTGAGAGATGCAAAGCTGCTTCAGGGCGTGGCGACGTGGAATCGGCTCCTGAGCCTGGCCAACAGGAACACGCTCTTTCACTACCAGGATCCGGTATGGACGGTGGCACCGACAGAGGGGCTGCTGGTCTATCCGGCGCCGAAGACGGACCACTCCAAGCCGGAGTACCGGGCCCGGGATCTGGCGACTGGGGTGGAGGTCAGGGTTCCGTTTGGGCTAAAGGGCAAGATTGTGAGGCGGCTGCGCATCAGCCATGGCATTCTTGCGATTGAGTGGTGTCTGAACACTCCGAGGAAACCCGTCGGCGTCACTGGAGAGTTTCATAACCACTATGCAACCTTTTACGACGTCCGTCGGACTGGATCTTGGGACGGCATCATTCCTCAGCGGCCTGCTCTCGACGGCACTACGCCGACTTACACCTGGAAGATCAAGTTTCGCTGTGAATTTTTGATTTATCCTTTTGGCCTTCCGGTGAACTCCGTAGATCGCTTCTTCTCAGCGCACAACGCTACTCACTATGCCGTTTACACATGGCAGGCCACGCGCTTTCCCCATCCTACTTTGAACAACACTGCAGAGCCCATTGAGCGGCTCACAATATGGGAGATTGGCGCCCCTTCGAAATACAGACCGTCTGACAATGTATTTGGCATCGCGCGACAAGATGCAACTGTGGGCCCCCGCATCATTCGCAGCCTGGCAGGGTCTCAACTTGAGGCATGGTCCGTTCTACAAGGCACAAGACCTTCGTTGCGCACATTGGCTCTGGACGACTGTACCTGGGATGCATCCAGGAGCACTGCCTGCGGCCACGTCTTCTTCTCAGAGGAGGAACACAGATGGTCTTCAGGCGGACACAGCTCCGAGCGTCTACCGCGTTTCCACCTCGTCAAGACGACGGGGATACCGCTGATCGGCGAGGGGCCAAGGTGGGTGGATGAGTGTCGAGGGGGAACCGAAGCCAATATACAACCCTCTCGCAGAAGCAGATGGAGAATACATGCAACCGAGACATACGAGGAGGAGGACAGCGACTATGAAGACGATGGCGAGAATGCCGCCGGGGGCAACAGAGACGGCAGCAGCAGCGGCACAACTGTCACGAATACAACCGCAGCAAATTCGTTTCTCGAAACAAGACCCTGGGCCAGGCACGCGGAAACATGGCCCGGTCGAGCTCCTTGCTGGCGCCATATCGAGTTTCCCTACCTGACAATGTCCGAAGTTTTGGACATCCCTGCCGGCATTCGCATCGTTGCGCGAAATTGCTTTATGCTAGCTGTCATCTCTTCCTTTCCAATGGATAAGATCTATATCCAGGGCGTCAACAAAGAGGGCCCTATACACCGAAAGAGAAGGAGAAAAAGAAATGTTAAGGGGTTGAGTGAGGGCTCGAGGCACTCCGGCTCCAGCTCCAGCTCAAACTCGCCATTTTCCCATCAAAGTGACCAATTGGCCGATGTGATGCAGAGCCAGGGCAGGGAGGAGGTCCTCCAGACGGATGTTCCATTCGGAGTGAAGATGTGGCCTCAGATCATGTGCAGGGGAAGCATCTTTGGCGATGAGCGGTGGCTCCTTGGGGAGACTCCTCGTGGAGACGTGCTGATTCTCGTCTTCTAAATCGTTTGAGAGGGGAAGCACGCAAGAGCGATTAAATGAATTGTGAAACAACTATTGATAACAAAACACTCGTTGGATAATAATGCAAGATACAATCAGTGGTAAGGGCAGCAGCAACAGTAGTAGCAACTAGAGACCTAATCCGTCACCTTCTCCATGGGACGGATACAAAGGTAGATGGCGAAACTAGAGAGCATCACGTTAAAACGCACGTCTCATGCTTTTTCTTGGTCACGTTCCACCCCGAAAACCCCACATTAACCCAGCCGCATTAACGTTCTCAGTTCATCTGTGGCGTCACAAACTCGTATGTTAGGGGGGGATCGAGGGAATTTTAATCTGAATGCCCTGAATTCCCCTGGTTTTTCTCCGATCGTTTCCATTTCATTAGGCAAGGTACCATTCTACATGCTTCTGGCTGTATCTACACCGATTCCCGAGCTCGTGTATGTATAACAACTATAAAAAAGACAATGAAGCAGTTTACAAAAATGAACTTACATATATTCTCCTCGCCTTGTCGTGGTCAAGCAAAAAAACAAAAAAACAATAACGACAAGTGCCATGAACGATTGGGGAGAGATGTCAGAATATCCCCCCATATGACAAAAACAGAAAAAAAAAAAAGCAGTGAGAGTTCCTTTTTCCGAGCTTCTTTTGATATTCCTCCTCTTTGTTTCATTTCATTCCCTTTTTTCCCCAATCTCATATATTTATATATCAATATTTTCCGTCTCTCCAGAGAGCAACCAATTCTCCTAGAAAATGCAACCTCATTTACTCTTTGTTTGGGGATTGCACGCTAGGAGATCGCATGCTAGGAGATCGCACACTGGGAGATCGCATGGCTGGGGCTTGCAAAAACCCGCCATAATAAGAATCCAACCACGCCGCCGCCTGCTCGCCAGCCTCGTCAACGTTTGTGTCCCAGCGGCCGACGGAGCCAACGTAGCCGTCGGGACGGACATTGACGATGGCGACCTCGCTGGGGCCGAGGCTTCCAAGCCACTTCTCCGTGCAGAAAGCGCCTCTTGTGTCTAGCTCGGGGACGTTGTCTAGATAAAACGTCCACCGGCTGTCCTGCAACAGCGCTGGCAGGTCTGAGATTTCAATTTCAGACTTGGGCATGGTGGCTGGACGCATCATCAAAGGTTAGCAAAAGGCATTTCTTGTCAACATCATTCAAAGACGGGGAAGGGGAACCCACTGATCAAAGCAAAAGTAAACAAGTGGCTGACTACGGTATATCTCTCAGGTCGTGTGTATACATCTTCAGGCGCCGGAATCCTGGGCTGCTTGGCGTAAGATGCGCTTGCGGCGGCGGAAAGCTGGCTCACCAGGGACTTGGGTGTCGCAATGGAGCGGCAGAATGTCTCCAAGAATGGCCTTGCCTGTATTACATCCCACATAAGGAGGTAGATACGGAACTGGCCAAGCATGGGGATATCAAGCTGGACGTCCACGGGGTTGGAATCGATGTATCGCGACACCTTGGCTGGGGGTAGGAGGCATCCCGGGCGAGCAGCACCCAGAATGGCCGAGTTATCCTCTGGCCGGGTAATGTTGAGGGGGCTCTCGCTGTAGTCGGCGCCGATGCCAGAGATGAATCGGACATTGGCTCTGAAATTCTCGGCCATTTTGACGGCATCTCCCTCAGCAATCCGATTGGCGTGCTCGTAGTCGAAGTTGACGAGATCCAGGGCGATCTTGCGGCGCTCCACCTCGTAACTCTCGAGCAGATTGGGTTTGGCCAGTCCACGGCACGCCAGGTTCAATTTCCACGAGAGGTTCCATGAGTCGTGCATCGATGTATTCATGCCCTGTGCCGATTTGGGGGAGTGAGTGTGGCTGGCATCTCCGGCAAGGAATACCTTGGTGTTGGTGTCCGTGAAGCGGCTGGCCACACGCTGGCCCACTTGGTATCGCCCGAACCACTCAATGTACTTCCATTCAATTTCAAAGGGAGCCATGATCTTGCGAGCCTGCTGCATAACGAACTTTTGGCCGAGCTCGCGGCGGTCAGCACGAGCGCTAGCCTTGAGTTCGATGTAGAAGCGCGTCATGTTACGCTCCCGAGGAACAATGAGAATTGAGCCGTGCTCCTCAGAGTACACGAGAGTCTTGGACCAAATGTCGGGGAAGTTGGTGATGAGCTCGCCATCCAAGACACCCCAGATGTCTGGATGTGACATGCCCACGGCCTCAACGTCGGGCATGTTCTTCCGGACCTTGGAGTGCGCTCCATCGCCTGTGTAAGGGTTTCACGTTAGCTAGACTTCATACAGTTTCAATTGATTTTGCTTACATCCGACGAGATAATTGGTCAGGATGGTCCTCTTATCCTGGTTGACATTGGTGTGACATCGAACCTGCACGGGTCCTGATTTGGGAACGAAGTGGGATTCAAAGGCTGTGTTCCGGCGCACTTCTCTTCCGCGCTTCCTGAGGTCGTCGACGAATAGGCCCTCGACCATGCCCTGGTGAACGAGCAGGATATAGGGGTCCAGAACATCGATGACGGGAGGGTAATGCACCTCACGGCCTAGACGATGCAGAGGAGCGTCGGCCGTGCTGCGCCAAAAGGAGATGTCGAAGACTCTCACGCCGCGCTGCAGCAGCGGATCAGCCAATCGCATCTGGCGGAATGTCTCAATTGATTTGGGCTGTAAGCCATCCGCTCTGTTTTATGATTTTCATGTTAGAATAAAGAACTTTTCGTAAGAAAAAAAGAGAGGAATGGTGAGATGGAGCTGAGGTGGATGAGAATAGATGAAAGCAGAGAATATTTCAAGATTGACATCTTATAGAATATGAAGTAAAAAGATAGCTCTGTAGGCATACAATTTGGCACGATGAAAAGGGGGAGAAGGGGAACTCCTGGGCCGGGCAAAAAGGATCTGGGCCAAATGGTGTAAAGTGAGACATACCTGCCAACCGGCGTCTGATCTGCCCTGTCATCTACAACCTCAACATCAATGCCGTAGCGGGCGAGGTTCGCCGCCAGCATCAAGCCCGCAGGACCAGCGCCCACGACGCACACTTGGCATGTGGTGGGCGGCTCTGGAAGGCTCCGGAGCAGGGCCAGAGGATCAGTGGCGTCCTCATCGTCGACGGCGATTTCATTGTTTGACGGGCCTGGATCCGGCTCCTCGTCCATGTGGTTGGGACTCTGGTTCCGCGAGTTGGACGCAGGACTGACGACGCCCGGCGCCATGTTGACGGCAGACGACGAAGCGTTGGAAGAAGCGTTGGCCAGCGCGAAAGAGGCTCTCTCGTCTAGGGTCTACAACCGTGTAGCTTATCGGCTGCAGGTAGAATCGAATCCAGCAGCCAGCCGAAAAGACGAGCTCGCTCCACTGCCAGGGAGCCTGGTGGCTTTTCAGTATGACGGCCGCTCAGCTGCAGGCTCGTCCAATGGCGCCTTTGCCTGTATCAAACCAGACGCTCAGCAGCACGTCGTGCCCGACGACAGCGGAGGCGATGGATAAGGCAGTTGAGCCCGTTTGCCTCTGCGCCTCAGGAGAGTAGCGAGTCGTCTCCACCACACCTCGGATGCTGCAGCACAACCGTAACTGCAGCGCAATACAGGGCTCCTTTAGAATCTTCTCAGCGTCGAGTCTGCCGAGCTCTGGCAGAGATACAGTGCCGTTTGAAAGAAAGAAATGGCAATATACGGCACAGGCGTTGTTGGGCCTGCGTTGTTTGGCTCCTCGGCTTTTGCCCCCCTGGCTGCTGCGACGAATTGGATGGATACCGGGGGCTGGATCGGGGTCCTAGGGCCAGAAACTCAGGATGATGCGACAATGCACAGAAACGCAGCTAGATGGAAAAGAAGAAGAGAAGCCGACAATCGGGTGTAAGATGAGATGAAGAGTGAGTGAGTCGCTGGCGAGACAAAAGCAGTCACCCGGGATGCGCCTCTGTTCTCGTGGCAGCGCAAAGGCAGCGCAAAGGCAGCGCAAAAGCAGTCGTTGTCAACGGCGTGTCACGCGGCGTCGTGGCAGACGCAATACCAATACCAGCACAGATACAGCACTCGGCAGCTCTGCGCCCATTGCCCTCGAGGAGGAAAAAAGCTTCGTCCCCTCTGGTTTTCTATTCCCTTCGTCACTAACACCGCTAGGCCGGAGGCATCAGAAGGTCTCTGGGGGGGAAATTGGGGATAAATAACGGCCCTGGCGCAGGTACTCGCGACTCGCGCGGGCGGCGCAGAGGCTCAGGCGCTGTGCCCGGCCCTCGTACCAGCTACTTGCGCCCCGAGCACAGCGATGGAGAATGATGCCTGTAAGGGCTTGGCTGCCACAGTCGGGTCCAGCAGTCGGGGAGGCTGACGGAAGGAGCGACACAGCGCCTGGCCCCGGCAAAGCCCGACGCACGTACGGCAAAAGTGGCATGACAGACGGACGTGCTGGACTGGTGTTGAGGGCGAGATCAGCCCATTTTGCGCTGCAGAAAGTTGTCATTGGCGTTGCACCATGCCCAGGCGCCTGCTTACCGATGGCCTAGCCTCAGTTTGCGCGCCGCTGATTGGCCGCCGCACCCGCCTCGGACAAGGCAAGTGGTGCCATTTCGCAACTGGCCGCGCTTGCTCCAGAACGCTGCGGCTCCACCGTGCTCCATCCCTCCAGCAGCGGGAAAAAAGCATGTTCGGATCTGTTTGAGATTTCAGAGGAGAGCTGTGCAAGCCAAGCCCCGTGCTCGCTCCAAACGTTCCGGCGCTCTCGAACACGTTCTATGGATGGCTACACTACTTGATAGCCATGTAAAGGCCAGCTCCATGTACCTTAGGTAAGGCACTTTCAGACTTTGCAATAACATATATAGATACCAGCTGGCGTCTTTTCATTCCAGCAATGCTCCGGCAGTCCCTCTAATACGTCTGTCCTGTTTTGGATGGTTCTTCCCTTTTTTCCCAAGGGTCTCCCTAGGGGTCCCAATGTTGCCGATCCCTTCTTTTCCATCTCCGCCGAGTCAGCAGGCTCCGTTTTTTTTTAGAAGCAGCAAGTGATGAAAAGTGGCATGAGCAAAAGCCCAAAAGCCCAAAAGTACGGGGTACTACCAAGTTCTTGCGCCATGCCACTTGACTTGGTCAACACGCCGAGTCGCATGTAGCTCTCTTTAGCTTTTTTGGACGGACATGGGCCCCGGTACAGCCTTAACAAAAGAGGAAAAAATCGATTAGAAAAACGATGGACGATAAAAAAAAGGAAAAGAAAAAGTTGGAAAAGACGCTACAACTGCAAACATGCTTTTTTCATTGACATACTTTACTTGGAGCTAGCAGCTACTAGACTAGAGTACTCGATAGTACCTGCAAAGTGAGGCTCGTCGGAGCGGCCAATCCCACTCGCCTCGTGGCCCGTATATGATGGGTATGATATGCGCCTCTCATGCTTGCACCCGTAGCATCCCGCATCGCTATCTCGTCTTATCGGTGCGAAACATATACTGTACATGTACCTGGTTGGTACTCGTATGGCACCCAGCATTGGACGCGCCATGGCGATCTGCCGGCCAGGATGAAATGCCCCGGCTCGATTCTGACTCGCTGTCACATCTATACCTGGCATCTCTCAGAGTCTCCAAGAGGTACGATATGTGATGGCGGCGATGGTACTTGTTGGTAGTACTAACCTCAGCATGGCTCAAGATGCATTCCCCAAGTATAAAGGCCCCGAGGATGGAATCATGTTGGTACAGTTATCCCAACAACGTAGGCAACATCTCCGCGATTGGACTTTAAATTCAGCCGGCGCTGGAAAGCGGAGGTGCAGCTCATCCAGCTTCAGTCTTAGCACAGAGCTACACTCGTATATAAGACAACATCTGCCAATGAGCCACGAGGCCAGTCACAAGGCACAGATCCCTCCTCGTTCGCGGCCGTCAACATCGCCTGATCACAGCAATTTCGAGTCGTCAGCTCAGGCCACAGTCCAGGCTACTGCTCCATGGGGGAATCTCTGGTTGGGTATCACGGCCCGAAGGTGCTAGTAACACACACAAGGTTGCGGAGATTTCCATGCCTCCGCCACGAGGCCAACACTAGTATCTGTCACTTCTAATCCTATTAACAATGAGTAGTAGTAATACTACGACTAGTACTACTACCCCGTACTCTGCAGATTTGCATGACAAAGTGGTACTGCCAAAGCTCGCTAGTCTTTCATCTCTGGCCATTGTGGAACGAGTTTCAGGAGTTTAGAAACCTAGTTCTCCGGTCCTCTCCAACCAACCCTGGCCGAACAGGCCTGATTCACTCACTTAGACTGTCAACAACATCAGGTTTTGGCCTGGCTTGTGACAACCAGCTTCCCCATTCAGGCCCCGGAGTCGGAGCTAGCTGCTGCCGATGGACTTGAAAGGAGCAGCAGCTGTAGTTGGGTCCTCGATTATCTGCCGCCCGTCAAAGTTCAACATGCCGGTCTGGGCTTTGCTGCGGACCCGAAACGAATACCAATCCGGCTGGGATCGCAAGGAGGGCCATATCCCTCCAGTTTCTGGCAGAATGATCTGACCACTGCGACCGCTCAGGATCTGCTTGACTACTGCCTCGGCAATGGACTCGGGCTCTTGATGGGGCATCAAAAAAGGTGCTCCCTGTTTGAAGCCGGTGAAGAGTTCCGTGTTGGTCGCTCCAGGATGGACTATTACTGTGCGGACCCTGGGAGCGTTGTATCGGGTCTTCAACTCAGCTGAAAGACCCTCATGGAATGCCATGGCTGCGGCCTTGGTTGCACCGTAGTCTACCATGTTGGGAATTGTAAGCCACGAGGCATAAGACGCCATCGTTACGACCATGCCATGATTCTGGGCCACGATATGCGGTAAGAATGCCTGGACAACCCAATAATGGGCCAACGCATTGACATCAAACGTAAGTCTGACATCTGCTGGCGTGGCATCTAGAATAGTCTTGCCGCGGACGACACCAGCGTTGTTGATGATGATACTGGGGTGGCCGACTTGACTTTTTACTTTCTCAGCAACAGCAACCACGTTCTCTGGCGACCTGACGTCGCAATAGAAGTGGTGGACTCTCGAAGCTGCAGAAACACATACGACACCGTTAGTTGTGCAATGCAATGCAATGCAGCCGAGCAGAGTAGCTCGGCCCGGTTGCGATAAGGCGACTAAGACTTACAGGCCGCATATGTCATCTTCTGCACGTCTAGCACCACGACCGTGACTTTCATCTCGTCCAAGAGCTTCACTATGAAGGCGCCGATGCCCGTGGAACCGCCTGTGATGAGCACAATCTCCTTTGACCAGTCATACTTGTCGTTGACCCAGTTGTTTCGGACCTTGTCTGAGAGCCAACGGCCGACTCCACGCGCTACGGCGATGTAGAAGAGCTTACGCAACCATCGCGCTGCTTTGGGGTGTAGAATCGAGAGGTCCTGGCCCTTTTTGGTAAAGCGAGCGAGAAGAACCAAGGGTAGCAGGAGGTTTGGGTTGAGAAGGGTTCTGCGGATGAGCTTTAGAATCACGTCTGCACAAAAGCCTTCGCGAGGGAGGATGCCCTGGTGTATCGGCATGGTGATTGATGGTGGGTAGCAAGTAGTAAGGCTGATGGGAATATAAAGCTGATGAAAGCGAGTGGCGATGCTAATACTACGACCTGTCGATGCGATGGCAGCGGTATAGGATGCTTAGTCAACGGCTGACGATGGTTCTTTATTGGTGAATCTGGCGAATCTGGTGTAGAGCTGACAATTGTGCACTGTAGCTGTGGTTGGTCAAGACGCGTCGCAAATGCCGGAAACACCCAACATCAACCGGCGATACAGGAAACACGAAAACATGCAGTAAACCCACGACAAGTACAGATTTTTGCAAACCAAGATTAAACCGTTGCTTTGGCCTAAAATGGCTGCTCAAGGCCCATCTTATAACGGCGATCAAGACGGCAGAACTAGAACATCCTGGTCGTGGGTTGCGCCCATGTGCGTCTCATAGGCTGCAGTTGCCGAGGCTTCTGTTTCATCACAATGCGGGGAGCACCCTGCGCAATGCAGATTATGGCAGTAATTTGATGCTGAAGGCGAATAGGCTCCAAGCGCCATGTATAAATATGTGCGAGTGTGAGTGCGAGTGTGCGAGTGTGTGTGTGTTCATCACCGAACCGAGCATCCTCTTTACTCTATCCAGTGTCTTCCCCGCATGGCTATTTTGGAGCTTGGATCGGAGGTGCGGGTAAAAGTAAAAGAGAGACGGCAGAGAGAGCACTATAAATGGTGGAGATTGAGTGTGGTGGGAGAAACTTGGAGAATGGAGGGCTGGCCAAGCCAATAGGTGCTGTGCTATGCTATGCCGAGAGCTGTGCCGCGATAGGCCCTCAGCGGAGATGTGTAATAGCGCAGTGGCCGACGGAGCACCAATTCCACTAACAGCGCTTTTCGCATCGTAAAATTTCCTAATGCGTCTGGCCGGCGCAAGACACGCCGCGTCAAGACCCAGTTTGCCCAGAGACTCAGCAAAACCACGGCGAAACAGCTGGACAGTTGGACATGGAAAAGACACCATTTGCGGATTCATTGATAATTAGTTGCTGTTAGTCGGCATGACTCTTTCGGAGGCCGGCGGTCCACGATCTGGTGCTCCGGCAACGGGCTCTATATCAGAGCAACTTACATAATTGAAGCTCGCTCGGGCGCCAACTCTTGATTCTGAAACTTATAAAAGGATGTGCTGCTACTGCAAATTACCATCTTGCATAGAGCGGAAGACCAACCGAGATATCACAAACAACGCACGTCACCAGCATCACCAGCATCGTCGCATCTCATTTCCATCTCGTCTCCGGAGACCACTAGCCGGACTCGTTAAAGAGTGGGGGAGGAAGCCATCAACTAGGTGGGGGAAACTCTCTCAGTGGCCTTGCAATAGAAGGAACAGATAAAAACCAGCCCTGGTCCCTTTTCACACTCATTGGCCACTATGAATCCCTCACGGCTCTCTGTCCTGCTGAGACAAACCGCATCGGCCCAGTCCCGGCTGCTGTCCTGCTCTTCCATCCATCGCCATGCCGTGCAGCGACGGGGGCTGAGCGCTGCGGCGGGCTCCAACGCCATCCGGGACCTTCTGCAGGTCTCCAGCGAAGTGTCCGATGCCATTGCGCAGAACAAGCCCGTCGTTGCCCTGGAGTCGACGATTTATACTCATGGGGCCTTGGGCAAGGATCTCGCGCGGGAGCATGAGGACTTGGTGCGGAGCACGGGCGGCATCCCGGCCATTATTGCCATTGTGGACGGCGTGCCCAAAGTCGGTGTCTCGACTGAGGAGATTGTTCGCATGATTGAGGAAGAGGGCACGGTCAAGGCTTCACGGAGAGATATCTCCTACTTGGTCGGCATGGTAAGTTTCTGCGTCTTCGTGGTAAAAAGCAAAATGAAATTTTGTTACTAACTATTCCTGCAGGGCCTCGCTGGACGCAAGATTCATGGTGGCACAACCATCGCTGGTACAATGCTGCTGGCTAGACTGGCCGGTATCCGAGTCTTTGGAACCGGTGGCCTTGGTGGTGTTCACCGCGGCGGCGAAAACTCCATGGACATTTCAGCTGATCTCACTGAGCTGGGGAGAACGCGAGTGGCCGTCGTCAGCAGTGGCTGCAAGGGCTTCCTCGACATCCCCCGCACGCTGGAGTACCTCGAGACCCAGGGCTGCCTGGTGTCGACGTTTGCAGATGGACGCAGCGGCAAGATTGACTTCCCGGCCTTTTGGGCGCGAGACAGCGGCATCAAGAGCCCCTCGGTCACATACACTGAAAGGGAGGCTGCTGCCATGATCCTGGCCCAGGAGAAGCTCAACATCGAGTCGGGCATGCTCTTTGCCAACCCCATTCCCGAGGAATTTGGTGTCCCTGCCAAGGAAATGCAGGCTCACATCGAGCAGGCTGTGGCCGAAGCAGACCAGAAGGGCTTTACCGGCAGTGCCAACACCCCGTATATCCTCAACAGACTCAAGGAGCTCACTGGCGAGAGGGCGGTGATTGCCAACAAGAAGCTGGTGCAGTCCAACATTGTTAGGGCGACCAACATTGCGGTGGAGTTGTCACGCTTGCTGAGCCAGGGAACGAGCTCGTAAGTCATTTTTATTATTTTTGGGAGCCTAGTTGTATTTGTACTTTGTATTTACGAAGATGGCTCTAATCGGTCTAGATAGAATCTCATCGAGTCATAGTGTGGCGTTTTCATCAAAAGTCGAAAATAAACCATCATCTCCAGTAAAAGCAAATCCCAAAGCTGATATCCTTGTTGCTGGGTCGGTCGCCGTGGATCTAAGCTGTGATTACACCGGCCTCAGCGGCGGCAATGGCCAGCCGAAAGCTCATACGTCTAACCCAGCCAGCATCAGCCAATCAATCGGCGGCGTCGGTCACAACGTTGCCCTGGCTGCTCATCGTGCAAGTCGTCAAGCTCAAGTCAAGTTCAGTAGCATGGTTGGCGATGACATGTAAGCGGGCTCTCTCACGTCAAAGTTGATTAAAGATACAACATATGGCTGACATGCGTATAGTGCGGGTGATACGGTTCTCTCGGCTTTGGAAGCCTCTGGACTTGATCCTAGGTACGTAAAGAAGCTTGACCGGACAGAGCATCCGGGGAGCCGAACCGCTCAATACGTCGCTATAAACGATTCGAGTAAAAACCTCGTCATGGCCATGGCAGATATGGGCATCTTCACGCAGCACCTGTTCCCAGAAGACTGGAAATCAACCATCAAAGCGACAGATCCCAAGTGGCTCGTGGTGGACGGGAATTGGAGCCCCAAAGGCATCAGAACCTGGGTTCACTCGGCCAATGAGCATGGGAGCAAGGTCGCCTTTGAGCCCGTATCGGTGGAGAAATCCAAGAGCCTCTTCGGCCCACAGCGCGGAGTGCCACCGCTGGGCGTCTTCCCCAACCAGAGCGTCGATCTCTCTTCGCCAAACATCTACGAGCTTTCAGCCATGTACTCCGCAGCCAAGGACAACGGCTATCTCGACAGCGCGGAGTGGTTCGAAGTCATCGACTCATTCGGCATGGTCGGCGCCAGAGACAAGTTTGTCCGCCTCACGTCGATGGAGCTGACTGACGCTGGCGTGCCGGTGCAGTCCATCCAGCTACTCCCTTACATCCCGACTTTGATTACAAAACTAGGATCCAAGGGCGTTCTCTTGACAACAATTCTTGGAAAAGACGACCCCCGGCTTCGAGACCGCGAGTCTGAAGAATTCATTCTGACACGGTCATTCAATGGAAACCCTGCAATTGGCGGCGTTTACATGCGGTTATTCCCGCCGGTTGAAAAGGTGGAAAACGTTGTTTCTGTGAATGGCGTAGGCGATACATTTCTTGGGGTCTTGATATCAGGTCTGGCTCAGGGTGGAAGAGTCGATAAGCTGGTTGATGTGGCTCAGCGAGGTGCGGTTTACTCGCTGAAGTGCGCCGAATCTGTGAGCAAGGATGTTTCGAAGCTAGAGGGCGAGTTGGAAAAGGTTGCATTATTGAAATAAGCGAATTTTGTTTTGGCATCATAATAGTAATACTACTCTAAACCAGAGCTTGTGCTCTTTGAAATGTTAGAAGAAGTCAAGTTGCTAGAGTTGAGAGATCCATGTACATGTAGCCAAGTACATATTTCAGGTTTCAGCCTTGCCAAAGAAAAGCTGCAAGTCGCCCCACCACCCCCACTTAGGCAAGCTTCCGTTCTGCAAGGCTGAGCTCCAGACCCAGAAAATTATTCAAGAGGAAAAAAAAAAGTTGCCAATTTTTGCTGGGCAAACTAGTAGTAACGGCTATTCAGCACATTCGCATTGCGGAATTCACCAGCAAAAAATGGCTCCGCCGCAGGACGAACCTTTCTCAGAGGACGAGCAGTCCGAAAGCCCCTATTCATCAGACTTTGACTCCGATGATGCCTCAACAACACAGAAGAAGCCCGTAATTGCGGTGCAAGACAAGGACTCTGACGAAGAAGACCTGGAACGATTGGTTTTCGGCAGCAAAGTCAGCTTCGGAGACAGTCTCTTCAAGAACAATGCGCTGTTTGGGGCTTCGGACGAGAAGGATGGCAACGAATTGGTATTGGCCGACGAGGAGGACGCAGGACTGGAAGATATCGACGATATGGACCTGTTCATGATTGACACTGCCCCCAGCGGCGCGGCGCCTCAAGCTTCGGCCACTGCGCCGGCCAAGAAGAAGGGCGAAGGCGAGCCGGCAGCCTGGGAGGACAGCGACGACGACCGACTGGGAATCTCGCTCGCGAATCACACACGACTGCGAAAACTGCGACTCACCGAGGCCGAAGACGTCGTGAGCGGCACAGAGTACAGCGCAAGACTCCGACAGCGCTACCTCCAACTCCATCCCGTGCCTGCGTGGGCCAAGGAAGCATCAGACGGCCGTCCTACCAAGAGGCGGCGGCGCTCATCTGCCTCCTCCGGCTCATCAGCCGAGAGCGGCAACGAGTCCGACAGCGACGTGTCTGCCCAGCCGTTGGAAGAATTCCTGCGAGACGTCAGAAGCCTCTCCGGCGCGGGCGGTCCGTCGAAGCGGCGGCTTAGCCCAGAAGTCATCGACATCCAGCGGACGCGCGAAATCTCCGACAAGCACCTTGCGCCTGTGGAATGCCTGTCCTTCCACCCCGAGTACCCGGTCCTGCTGTCGGCCAGTACTGCCTCGGTGCTCTACTTACATCACATTGCGCCTGACGCATATCCGGTGCCGAACCCGCGATTGACGTCTGTGCAGGTCAAGGGCGTCGACGTCAGGAAAGCCGAATTCTTATACCCCGGCGGCGACAAGATCTTTATCGGTGGGCGAAGAAAATACTTCCACCACTGGGATCTCAAAACTGGCGTTGTGCAGAAGACGTCGCAGATTCAGGGCCACCAGCTAGAGCACAAGACGATGGAGAGATTCAAGCTGAGCCCTTGCGGCAGATACATGGGCATCATTGGCTCGTCGCGCAAAGGCGGCGGCATCGTCAACATTCTCAACGTCGGTTCCCTGCAGTGGATCGCCACGGCCAGACTGTCCAGCAGACACGGCATCGCAGATTTCGCGTGGTGGAGCACCGGAAACGGCATTACTGTCCTAGGAAAAGACGGCCAAGTCGGCGAATACAGCGTCGAGAGCAGGAGCTTCGTCGGCATCTGGCGCGACGACGGCTGCGTTGGCGGCATCGTCATCGGCCTCGGCGGCCACCAGGGCCCCGAACTCATCGGCGAGGACCGCTGGGTGGCCATTGGCTCCAACTCCGGCATCACAAATATCTACGACCGAGCCACGCTGCTCACCATGGACGGCGACAAGAACATCACAGTCAAGGAGACGCCCACCCCGACGCGCGTGTTTGAGCAGCTCGTCACGCCCATCACTGTGCTCACCTTCTCCCCCGACGGCCAGCTCCTCGCATTCGGCAGCAGGGATAAGAAGGACGCCCTGCGGCTGGTACATCTGCCGAGCTGCACCGTGTACAGGAACTGGCCGACGGCGCAGACTCCGTTGGGGAGAATAACGACGGTGGCGTTTGGAAGGGGGAGCGACTTGTTGGCGGTGGGTAATGACGCGGGTAAAATTAGAATGTGGGAGATTAGGAATTAGACGATGAATTTTTTTTTTCATCTTGTGAATATAAAATTTAGAGCGGATTGTTTGTTTTTGTATAATTGAACGCCATGACGACCGATTTGACGCCTAGTTTGAATGTTATACATGTGGAAATTTTCTAAATCTCTTTGTATTTTGAAATAAAGTGATATTTCCTCCAAGTTCATAAACGCCTTTGACCTCGATAGTCCTATCTAGTGGTATCCAGTAGCCGTTTTGCGTTGATTTCTTTCGTTAGATTTTGATCTTCCATTTCCCCTTCAAGTACTTCTCCCTCAGACCTCCAATCGCTCCTCCCTTCAATTAAAACAAATAACGCCGTTGAATTTCGTTTGCTCCAAAGATAAATGTCTTCAAACAAGCTCCGCATCCCCATACTCAACAAGATCCCTGGCGCTCGACCACCTCAGAATGAGAATATCGCCGCTTGCCGCCGGAAGAATGCTATCCACATCAGTCCCCCTGCCAAAGACGTCCTTGTCTCGCAATAACCGTATGAATACCGCCGTGTCCAAGTCTGGGGAATCAATCATGCTGACGTTGCCGGCCGTGTCGTTGAGGTTCTGGAGGCGCTGAGGGAATGAGGATAGGAAAGATGAGAGGTAGTGGTTGTGGAGGAGGGCTTGGTGTCTTGTGGCATATGCCAGTTCAGTAGGGGAGAGGCGCTGTCTTAGTTCTTCAGTTGATAGATAGTGAAGAGTGTATTTATCGATCTTTGTAAGAGGGTAATGTTAGATCCTTGCCCACTGGTGTTCTCTCTCACACATCTTCATTCTTCATGACGCTTGAGAAAGGGTTTTTGGGTTTGACTCACTTTTGCTATTCGTGTCCTGAGATAGCTTCTCACTAGGAATTTGTATCGTTCCAGCTCAGTCTGGATGACAATGAGAGCAAAGTTGGTCTTGGGATCCATGTCGCCCGTCATATCTTCAATCTTTTCAATCTGAGATTTGATCTTGGAATTGACCCGCTCAAACAGGCCATCTGCAGGCCATCTAACACGATGAAAACAAAATTCATACAATCAGTACAGAAACAAATAATCATTGTATAAGTTTGAGTAATACGAAGCCTGGGCGATGCATGCCTAGAAAAACTCACTTTAGCAGCTCTGGAGCTGATCTCTCAGCAACCCAAAGGCGCGTCAAGGCCTGCAGGTCGCGAGTCTCAAGGGGGATGCCGTGGGAGGAGGGATCGACCTCTCGGAGGATATCGTCGATATCCATGTGAGAGGCTGGTGTCCAGGGATTCTCAATCTGGGTCTCTATCTCTCGGGCATGGGGTTGATATGCTGGTGAGAATTCAGTGGAGGGATCTTGAAGTAAAGCCCGATTGGCGTGCTTGAGATGGATCGGTAGCGGCCCAGCTTTTCTGCAGGCTGGGCTTCGGTGGGGTCTTGTGTACCTGCCCAAACGCAGCACGCACTTGGTCAGTGCATGTATAAGGTACTGTGGCAGTGGCAGCTCGCTGTAAGTTGGCGCGATAGCCCGCTATAGTGGAAGACGTTTAGTGCCTAGATTCCGATTAGCGATGGTGCAGCTAATAGGCACAATACAGCCACGGTTAATTTCCATCGATTCAGTTCACATTGAACCTCTCACTGTTACCAACCTACCTACATGTAACTTGCAAAGGCGGGGAAACATACAATTACCTTCTACAATTAGTTAAGCTTCCGCTATTATCAGCTGCCAGTTGGCTGAGACTTGCAATCAATTCTACAAGCTGCCTCGGAGTACATCATCTGTATTACATTGGACATTTACTATTAGCATTGTTGTTACATTTCTTATTGCTATCATCATTAGGTCGTTTTTAATTACATGTACTCGTATATAAAGTCCATAACTTAACTTGGACAGTGTGACTTGTGGCTGACATTGCTTCAACAAGCATTCCTCCGTTCCAGAATACTCAAGTTGCCACAACTCGAGTTCGGCGACTTTTCTGTATTTCTCGGCGATAATTCTACTTACAGACATCTACCTGCGCAACTTGTCAGCCTGCTGATTTTATATCAGGCGAGTTGCGCCGGATTCTTAGCGGTGGTGGGATGATGCATAGCGATCTGTTGGGCCGAGGCAAGTCTCCAGTCCCCGCGATGGCGCCTCTTATAAAGAGAGAGATGTGCTCTCCAACTCTTGACGGGGCTGTTTCTGGCCACAACCGCTGGGGACTTTTCTTAAGTTTCCATCACACATCTGCACAATCTAATCAATATACATACATCATACATCATACATTGTATATGCATTCTCTTTCGTAACTGCTATATTTCCATCAAATAAACAATCGTCGTCGGCAACAATGGCAGACCAAGACGGCGATGGCCCTCAGCCCTATGCTGCGTATCTCCGGACTGTTATCCAAAAGGGCCTCTTAGCCGGCGAGCTGCCCGTCGTGACAACGGACCCAAACCAGCTCCAAGAGCAGGCTCGGAAGGCGATGCCCAAGGCCGGTTTTGACTACATCTTGGGCGGAGCCGGCGAGGCGGCAACAATGGATGCCAACCGTCTTGCTTTTCGCCAGTGGAAAATTATCCCCCGCGTCTTGAAGCCCACAACGCCTCGTGATCTCAGTGTCACTCTTTTTGGCCAGAAATATGGTACGTAAAGTTGCAACATCTGGAAACTTGTCTTTTTTTTAGTTGCTGGATTACACAAAACATCTTGGGCTTCAAACCCATGTTCGCGAGCTAACTTGCAACAGACGTCCCCATCCTCATGGCACCCATTGGTGTCCAATCTTTGTTCCACAAAGACAAGGAGATTGGCGTTGCCCAAGCTTGTGCCAATTTACGCGTTCCCTTCACCTTGAGTACAGTTTCTCAATCCACATTTGAAGAAGTTGCGGCGGCAGCGCCAGGGTCACCAAAGTGGTTTCAACTATACTGGCCCAGCGACGAGGAGCTTACAGCCTCACTCCTCAAAAGAGCAAAGGACAACGGCTACACGGCGCTCGTCGTAACTCTCGATACTTGGACTCTTGCCTGGAGGCCAACTGACCTCGATACCGCCAATGTTCCTTTCCTCGTTGGCGTGGGAGACGCAAACGGGTTTTCAGATCCAGTCTTTAGGCGCAAATTTGCCGAGATGAGCGATGGAGGAACTCCCGAAGACAATTTGGTGCAGGCTGCCATGTACTGGATCGGCAACACTTTCCCCGGAGTCTCCCGCTCTTGGGAAGACCTCAAGATCCTAAAGAAGCACTGGGATGGACCCATTATTCTAAAGGGAATCCTCAGCGTCGAAGACGCCATCTTGGCGGCCGAGCATGGCATGGACGGAATTGTCGTGAGCAATCATGGCGGCAGGCAGATTGACGGCGCCATTGGGACGTTGGACGTCCTCCCCGAGATCGTCGATGCTGTTGGCAGCAAGTTGACAGTCATGATGGACTCTGGCATCCGAACTGGTGCCGATATTCTCAAGGCCCTGGCGCTTGGAGCCAAGGCTGTCTTTGTTGGACGACCTGTGGTTTATGGGCTGGGCATCAACGGTAAAGAGGGTGCTGAAGCGGTCTTGGCAGGGTTGCTGGCTGATCTCGATTTGACAATGGGATTTACCGGAGTTCAGAGCATTGGGGAGTTGAATAAATCGATTTTGCGTAAGATTCAGCACGCTGGAGATATCAAGTCAAGTCTCTGAGTGTTGGATCATGCATAGAGCTTGGAGGTATAAGCACTTGCATGTATATAGACGGAAGAAACTGGTGTATACAGGGGTTGGATCTGCCTTCTTCAATCAGTGCTCCAAGAATGAAACAAGAGTAGAAAATTTGATAGTGAAATTGGTTTTTTAGATAAAGAAATATCACATACCTTATAAAGATGTAGTCGCGTAGAAATGCGATCCCGTCGTGAGAATGCTTATTAGGGAGCACAGTGCGAATTGTACAGGAATCTCGTAAGGCTACAGCTCGCAGCTAACGCTCAAAGCTAATTCGCCAACTTTATTGTAGCTCCTGCAACACGGTCAGCCTTCTCAGCCGCGACAAGCCACTCTTCTCGAGCCTCGACGGCATAGTCTCTTCAATTGTTTGAGATTCTCCCGAAATCTTCAGTCTGCCAGAAACCATGGCGGACTCTGCGGCTGAAGATGACGGCCGCGTGCAGAAACGCAGCCACGCAGAGTATGCACAGCAAGATGATTCAGGTACGATGGCTCGTCCGTCTGGATTCAACAAGCATTGTTCACGAGACTAATGGCGTGTTTTTGGATTAGATTCTTCGTCCGACGATGATATGGGACCGCAGCTTCCTACCGAGGCTCCCAAGAAAAAGCGCCGCGTCCTGCCTTACGAAAAGTTATATATCTCTGCGCTGCCCAAGTCCGCCCGGTATTCGAAGTCATTGATGCATAAGGAGCAGGTGCTCTTCACTACATGGACCCCTCTGACCGAGTTTCTGATCACATCCTCTACAGATGGGGTTGTCAAATTCTGGAAGAAGATTGGAGACGGCATCGAATTTGTGAAGCAGTTCAAGGCGCACAATGGCATGATCACGTCCGTCTCGGTGAGTCGAGACGGACGGAGCTTTGCAACCGCCGGCGACGACGAAACGATCAAGATTTTCGACGTCATCACATTTGACCTGCTCTCCATGATTACCCTCAAATATGTACCCAAGTGCGTCTGCTGGGTTCACAAAAAGGGGGCCTCGTTTCCTCTGTTGGCTGTGTCGGAGGAGGCCAAGCCGTTGATCCACCTATACGATGGCCGCGGTGAACGAGAAGACGCGATTCATACCATAAAAGGCTTGCATAGGAGCCCGGTGCATCTAATGGCATACAACGACGAGTACGATTGCGTTGTCTCAGCGGACGAGAACGGCATGATCGAATACTGGCAGCCTAGCGACAACTACGAGAAGCCAAGCAACGTCTTCGAGTACAAGAGCTCAACGAATTTGTTTGACTTCAAAAAGGCCAAGTCCGTACCAACTTGCCTTACAATATCACCAAACGGGAAAAGCCTAGCCACCTTTTCATTACCGGATCGGAAAATTCGAATATTTGACTTTGCATCGGCCAAACTGCAAAAAACTTACGATGAATCGCTCGAAGTGGCCGAGGACATGCAGCGGTCAGGCACATCAGCACAAAAGATTGACAGTGTAGAGTTTGGTAGACGGTTGGCTCAAGAGCGAGAGATTGAATCACAGACTCTGAAAAACAAGTCGAATATCATATTTGACGAATCAGGCAACTTTATCCTCTATGGTTCCATGGTGGGAATCAAAGTTCTCAACACATATACAAATCAAGTGGTCAAAGTGTACGGCAAGGATGAAAACTTTCGTGCTGTAAATCTGAGCATGTACCAAGGGCAGCCACAGAAGAAGGGAATAGTGTCTGTAGAGATGGGTGCTTCAAGCAACCCACTTCTACAAGAATCAGAAGCTCGTGACCCGATTCTCGTCGCCACAGGTGTAGGCAAGCTCCGGTTCTACATGTTCACGAATGAAGAAGAGATTAGCAAGTCGACACGAGACGTTCAAAACGAGAAGCCTACTGTGCTAGGAGGCAAGGACAAAGCGCAGGCTGCCAAAAAGGCAGAAACAGGAAACGCCGCCATCCTTCATACTACATATGGCGATATTCATATTCGTCTATTCCCCGACGCTGCGCCCAAGGCGGTGGAGAACTTTGTTACGCATGCAAAGCGCGGGTACTACAACAACACAATATTCCACCGTGTAATTCGCAAGTTTATGATACAAGGAGGCGATCCCCTTGGCGATGGCACCGGCGGCGAGAGCATCTGGGGGCGAGACTTTGAGGATGAGTTTAGCAGCTTGAAACACGACAAGCCATACACAGTGAGCATGGCGAACGCAGGCCCGAATACGAATGCCAGTCAGTTCTTTATTACCACGGAGAAGACGGTGAGTTTTCAATCTGCAATGTAATGGGAAGAAATGAGAATGCTGACGCATATTGTTGTTCTATAGCCGTGGCTGGATGGGAAGCACACAATTTTCGGGCGTGCGACGCAAGGTTTGGACGTGATTCATAAAATCGAGAATACGAGGACGCACAAGGAGAAGCCGGAGGAAGATATCAAGATTCTCAACATTGATGTCATGTAAATGGATAGGGCTAGAGCGAGCAGCGATTTGGCTTGATCTTTTCTCGATAGCAGGGACCATCTTGTACATATGTGCGTCTCGACAGAGGATTTGAGTACCTAATACCAAAAATAATATCACCACATATGGATTACACTTAGCGATGTCTCCTCTGGTAATGGCCACTGTTTACCAAGTATCTCAGAGCTCTACCAGGTCCTGAAAATATTCACAGATTGGTTTGTGCCCCAAGGGCATGGAGCACCGACGTCGGCCCCTAGATCCAAGTGTGAGTAACTGAAGCTCCGAAATTTTAGTGTAAGCGCCGGTGCAAGCTCGCTGGGAGACAGAGCTCCATACAATTTGATGACATGTGGGCGGGCGTTGGAGCTTTTAGTGCATGCATGCAAGTGACACAGAAGCCCTTGCACTGACTTTCCAATAATCGAAGCTCAATTTGCGAGCACTTGTCAATATCCTCTTTTCTCTCCTTCTCTTTCTTACATCCATTTTATACCCATTGGCTCCTTTGAGACCAAAGTAGAAGAAGAAAAGTTGTTGGAAGTCTATTCATATTTCTTCGACCATCTCCCAATTAAGCCACCAGCCTGTCAATCGCCTGCTATTGACGTCACCTGGCATCTGCAACTTTTTTTTCCCATCTTCTCTTCTGCCTCCAACCCAAAATCTATATTCTCGGATATTTTTTTTGCTTCTCTTCTTTCCACTCGTCTCACCAATTCTTGTCTAGGAGCAATTGTTCATCATGTCTACCGTACGTGTGCTCTCTTACAGCAGGCATCTTCCATTGCCAGCTTTGGTTGCTTGAGTGGAGTGACTCACTAAATTGCCCCTCCAGTTCTACATCGAGAACAAAAACGTCGGCAACCAGGCCGACTCAGAAGATTGGCGAAGTATGTTTTCTGTTAATCTTCAATGGACGACTCAAGAATTGTGTGTTTTGCTAACTAAATCGTCTTTGTCTGAATTAGTTCGCGGCTACAACCCTCTAACACCGCCCGATCTGCTACAGCATGAGATCCCACAGACGGCCGAGTCCAAGAAGGCAGTCATTGACGGCCGCAATGAGGCTGTAGCCATTGTCAATGGCAAGGACCCCAAGCACCGATTGCTCATTGTCGTGGGCCCCTGTTCGATCCACGACCCTGAAGCTGCTCTCGCCTACTGCGATCTGCTCCTCAAGGCCAAAGAGAAGCATAAAGACGAGTTGCTCATCGTGATGCGCTCGTACCTCGAGAAGCCTCGCACCACGGTCGGTTGGAAGGGTCTCATCAACGACCCAGATATCGATGGTAGCTTCAAGATCAACAAGGGACTGCGATTGTCGCGCCAGCTCTTTGTCGACCTGACTAGCAAGGGCATGCCTATTGCAAGCGAGATGCTGGATACCATCTCTCCTCAGTTCCTCGCTGATTTGCTCAGCGTTGGTGCCGTTGGTGCGCGTACAACGGAGAGCCAGCTGCACCGTGAACTGGCGAGTGGCTTGAGTTTCCCCGTCGGCTTCAAGAATGGAACCGATGGTTCTCTTGGTGTCGCCATCGATGCCATGGGCGCTGTCAAGCACCCTCACCACTTCCTTTCCGTCACCAAGCCCGGAGTTGTCGCCATTGTCGGTACAACGGGTAACGATGACTGCTTCGTTATTCTGCGAGGTGGCACCAAGGGCACCAACTACGATGCTGAGAGTATCGCTGAAGCTAAAGCCGCTCTCGACAAGAAGGGAGCGCCTCCCAGATTGATGGTCGACTGCAGTCACGGCAACTCTCTAAAGAACCACAAGAACCAGCCCAAGGTTGCGAGTGTTGTGGCTGAGCAGGTGGCCAAGGGCGAGACGGCCATCATGGGGCTTATGATTGAGAGCAACATTGATGAAGGTGGGTTATAGAAAAACGCCTTTATTTAGGAAACTTTGCTAACATGGCTAAATAGGCAACCAAAAGGTACCTGAGGAGGGCAAATCCGGGCTCAAGTATGGCGTCAGTATTACAGATGCCTGCATCAACTGGGCGGATACAGAGGAGGTACTTGACAATCTGGCTGAGTCTGTCAAGCAGAGAAGAAAAGTCCTGGGAGTGGAAATCTAAGCTTGAATAGCGCAAGTTGGTTCCAACATCTCGGCTTAACAAGCCAATTGGTTGTTTGCCACCATGATACCAGTGTATATGGAATTGCTGGCTATGCGCAAACATGATATACTGGATTCTACTTTTTCTTATATTTTGCTGTGCTTGAAAGAGAGCTAGATATGGGTTGCATTTATAACGCTCTCCGGGCGTGTACATATAGGATTAGCAAAAAGTTTGTAAAATACTTCTTCTAGGCATAGGTACGGAAGCCAGTTCGAACATGGAAAGATGGGTTGATATGTGGCCTTTTCAAAAAGCGTAACCAAGAAATATAAAATCAAGGTGAAATAAGCAGCCTTGATCAAGTCACTGACCTCCGGAGTATATCTAGGGACGTGTTACCAGGCCACCATCGCAGAGTAAATATCTTCCAAATAAACGGGTTCTGTGGCGTAGTAGTAGGTCCACATCCTAGCTTAATGATTGAGGCTGCTGCTAAGCTGCTACTGCTGCTACTGCTACTACTGCTACTACTGCTACTGCTGCTACTGCTACTACTGCTACTACTGCTACTGCTGCTACTGCTGCTATCTTAATAAGTATTTGGCAGCTGTATATTTAATATATAAACTAGCTGCCCTAATATACTATAGTCGGTGTGTTGGATAATAAAATTAGGATGCTGGATAACGTCTCCCTATTATTATTACAATACAGTCACTATATTCACCCTCTTGTGCCTTGTCCAATAGGTTATAAGCCCTTGTGATTTAAACATCACGACTATAGCCTCTCTTTAACTGCACACCGTTTACATCGCGTTATACACGCTCACTGTTAACGTTGCGCTGACAACGAGTTTGATGTTCTTGAAGCCATCACCGTATTCCGCTTTAGGAGGCTGCGCGTATCAGAGCAAGGCTCGCACTGTGCGACATTCTCGCAGCCAGCAAGAGCCCCTGCTTCAGCAGGCCTTAACACAGTACGGAAGTAAGACTGGCCACTCTCGACGAGCCAGCGCAACTAAAGCAATTTTCCGACGACGCAGGAACAGAGCCTCCCACGCTCTTTTTTCTATTCTCGCCCCAAGACACCAATCGATTGCCGATTTTCGCAAGGGCATCGCGCAATTCCTTCTCTTCGCTTTCAAAGCATTTGACTGCTTTTATCAATCGTTTTCTTCCTATTCCTCTGCCATCGCTTTTGATAGCGTCGATCCGACAGCTTTGCCTCGTACGCGACTTGCATTTTCTCCAACACAGCGACGCGCGAATCGACGACGACCATGGCGCCCTACTCGCCGCCAGACTCGCCGCTGTCATCGGCAATGGAGTCCTCGTACGAAGAAGACATCCACGATGAAGAGACGATGCTGCGGCCGTCCAAACGCCAAAAGGTCGAGGCCGGCTCGACGACTTCCTCTGCCGTCATCCCCGACCCGGAACACGAGCCTGTGTTGGAAGCCGATGCGCTCGAGGGCATGTCAGATATCTCTTCGGACACGTCAGGCGACATCCCCAGCTCTCCCGTCAACGCAAGGCTCGAAGAGGAGGATTTCCAGGACCAAGTGACGGTTTGCGACTGGGACGGCTGTCCCGCAGGGGACCAGGGCAACATGGACAAGCTGGTCGAGCACATCCACAATTCACACATTGAGAACCGTCAGAAGAAATACACGTGCGAGTGGCGCAGCTGCAACCGCAAGGGATTGCCTCATGCCAGTGGCTACGCCTTGAAGGCTCACATGCGAAGCCATACGAGAGAGAAGCCGTTTTACTGCTATCTACCAGGTACGTTCCTTTGGCGATGGCTACTCTACCATTCGAACACAGCCTTTGTCTCTATGACTGGTCGACTATGCTGACCACTTGCCCAACAGAGTGCGACCGCTCCTTCACCAGATCCGATGCGCTTGCTAAACACATGCGAACCGTCCACGAAACCGAGGCTCTTCGGCCCTCTGATCCGGTACCGAAATCCATGCAATCCGGGCCAACGGGTCGGACTGGAAAGCTCAAAATCATCATCAAAACCCCCCAATCACAATCTGCAGGACAAGACGACGGAGACGATGCCAACGGTGACGTTCCCCCATCGGAATGCTTCACAGTACTCCCGTCCGATCTGTTCACTGAGGCAGAGCTCGACTTACCCCTTGACAAGCTATGGCGCAAGTGCCACTGGGAAGCAAAGTGGGCCGAGGAGGTGGGAGATGCGCTGAAGAGCGAGTGCAAGCAGTGGGAGGAGCTCTACTACAAGGAGTGGCTGGACAAGGAAGTCCTGCTGTCACACGTTATCAAGACCGAGGTGGATTGGAGCGAGCGGCGCCAAGCCATCATCTCTGGCGCTGCCGACGTGCAGCTTCGCAGCAGCGCAGAAGAAAAGGAAAAGGATGAGGGCGTTACAAATGGAGTAGTTAAAGAAGCCCCCGTTGCGGCTACCAGCGAGGCATAGGAACCCAAACCTTCTTCTAGGAGAGTGGTTAGTCGTGATGATTGGGATGATTGGGATGATTATCTGGGGAAGTTCGAGGCGGACGCATGGTGACGTGCAGCTTGGGATGCGGCTGGGAGTTATGGAGTTTCTACAAGAAGGGCGCTGAGATGCGCCTCGCTGGTCTTCGTTTTGCCGGTCTATTTTCTTCTTCTTCTTTTCTGTGTGTTTATGCTTCTAGACACTACTTTTTGTTTCACAAGTTGCTTTTCTTCTTCTTTTGATCTCAGCTTTAGAAGTCCCTGTCAAGCTAATTCAATGGCCGCCGCCTCTTTGAAGTTGGTGTAGAGGTGTTTTCGTGTTTGATCTTTTTGGGGGCTTTATGATGTAAGATGGAGTAATGGGATTGCAAAAAAAATCTTTCATGATTTGAAGAACTGGCTTGCCTACCAAAAAACGATAATATGCATATTCAATGAATTAATTCAAATTATTTCTTTACTTCTTCGCCCTGCACAGCGTTCTCCATACTCGTATAGCATAGCTCAACTTCTCAATGCAGGCACTAGTAGACAACTGCAAGCTCCTCGGCGGGGGTTTCTTTCCATCATTACCAACCAAGCTCGCCGCCGATTTCGCATCCCCACTATTAAGTCTTTCAATCGCCCTACGACTTCAGTATGTAGATTTGAAATCCCCAGCGTTTTATTTGCGCAAACGAACGTTGTATATGTACGTGAATAGTTCTCAGAATAAATAAATACATTTCATCAGGGAATTTATTTTACCGATGTTTTTTCTTCTCTCTTTTTCTTTTATTCTCCTCGTTGTAATCCGAACTTTTGGAAAGTACCTTGTTCTATTAACACGTGCCTTATCAAGATTAAGTGCGCCACGGATCGCAAAACTCGCCACTCGGAAGATACGCCGCGGCCAAAACCCGTCTTCTATCTCTTCACAACTTCAACAGAACTGCAACTGAGCTGGCGAACCAGATACGAAAACAGACAACATACAATTCATAACACCTACTCTCACTACTCTCGCTGTCACCGGGGTAAAAAGTAAAAGCAAACGGCATTGCCGTGAAAACAAGTTCGCACCATGAGTGCCATTCTCTCCGCCGACGACCTCAACGACTTCATCTCCCCCGGAGTCGCCTGCATCAAACCCGTCGAGACTCTCCCAGCTCTGCCCGCGCAGCAGGCCGCCAACGAATACGAAGTCGTTCTCGACGGCCAGCATCCCTCTTCTTCCTCGGCCAATGGTGCCTCGCCCGCGCAGATCTCTCTCACGGACTGCCTCGCCTGCTCGGGCTGTGTCACGTCCGCAGAGGCCATCCTCGTCAGTTTGCAGAGCCACAGCGAAGTGATTTCAACGCTCGATGCGGCTCCGGCGCTGCGCGTGGTGGGACCGGATGCGCAGGGAAATTTCAAGGTCGAGGGCCTCGAGAACGAAGATGCGAAGCTGTTCGTCGCGAGTGTAAGCTCCCAGACGAGGGCGAACCTGGCGGCTGCGTGCGGGCGAGAAGTGTCTGAGAGCCAGGCTGGACATATGCTGGAGAATCTATTACGAGGTCCAGAGGGGCTTGCAAAAGGAGGAAAATGGAACAATTCTTTCGAATGGGTGGTTGACATCAACGTAGCGCGAGATGCGACGCTCGCGCTTGGTACGGCCGAAGTCCTTTCATCACCCACGCCAGGCGTCTCGGCGCCATCAACGCCAATCCTCTCATCGTCATGTCCCGGCTGGGTGTGCTATGCAGAAAAGACTCATCCGTACGTGCTACCGCATTTATCTAAAGTCAAGTCGCCACAAGCCCTCATGGGTACCATCCTGAAAACAACCTTGAGCCGAAAGCTTGGCATCCCACCCAATAGGATATGGCATGTAGCCGTCATGCCTTGCTTTGACAAGAAGCTAGAGGCTAGTCGAGAGGAGCTCACCGACGAAGTATGGGCGCGCTCAGGCTTGCCTGGAAGAGGAGTTCGGGACGTCGACTGCGTCATCACAAGCAAGGAGGTTTTGATGCTCGCAGAGTCACGAGGCCTCAGCTTCTTTGATTTTCAAAAGTCCGCATCATCTGTCCCACCATCAATCCCCTTCCCAGACGATAAAGTTCACGCTTTCTTGTTTCCAAAGAAGGGTTCAAGAAACCCCTCGCGAATTGCTGGTTCTTCTGGCGGGCTATTGCACCACATTCTCCAAACCAAAGCTGCTCAGATCGCAGGCTCAGAGATTCAAATCAACCGAGGCCGCAACGCCGACGTGGTCGAATATTCCGTCACAGTAAATGGCGAGCCTGTTTTCAAGGCTGCCCGATACTATGGCTTTAGAAATATTCAAAATCTTGTCAGACGTCTGAAGCCAGCCCGCCCTTCCCGCATGCCCGGCGGAAAGCCCTTTGGGAGTGCGCGCCGCCCAGCAGGAAAGGCAGCTTCTCTCGATTTCAGTTTCGTCGAGGTCATGGCATGCCCTGGAGGCTGCACCAATGGCGGTGGCCAAATCAAGATTGACGATGCCGTTATTCTTGAAAGAAAAAATATCTCAGGAAAGCCAGGCCCACAAGAGCAGAAGGATTGGCTGGCAGAGATTGACGAAGCATATTTCTCGGGCGAAGATTCGCAATCTAGGCTCGATAGCGGCAGCCCTGAGAATAATAGTGGAGGCGTTTCCCACTCATATATAGATGATACCCTGGCGTATTGGTCCAGCATGACAGGCATAGGATTGGATAGACTGGCATTCACGAGTTATCGTGAGGTGATTAGCGATGTTGGAAAGGGCTCAGCCACCGAGAGTGCCGCCCATTTAGCTGGCAAAGCTGGCGGCGGCTGGTAGATTGTTTCCGTAGATAGGAAATAGAAACGCGACCACGCACAATGAAATCAAAATTCAAGTCGCTCTGTTACCACGCTGTGCAAAACCAAAACCTCCTCTACCACTTCCGTCCGGTCCTCTTGGCGCCCGGATTGCCTGATGTTCGTCTCGACCAGCCTGTCCCCTCATAGAAGAATCGCTCCCGCTGCCTTCACGGCCGCCTCGTCTGAGTGAATCTGGTCTCGGGGCCGAGCTAGGGTCGAACAGCTCTCTCCGGGAGCCAGGTTGGTTCGCAGGCCGCCGAGGCTCGAATTGCTGGCTGCTGCTCTCGCTGCCGACATTGCTGTTGTTATAGTTGTAGCCACTGTTATTGTTGTTGCTGTTATTATTATTACCGCCTCCCCGTCCCCTTCCACGACCGCGGTACGCCCCTCGCCCATCCGCCCGAGGAGGCGTAACAGTGCCCGTCCCCGGCGACGACCCGCGCGACGAAGGGGCCGACTCGCCAAAGATCTTGGCCCTGGCCTCGTCGTAGCGCCGCTGCTTCTCCTCGCGGTCCCTCTTCTGCTTTGCGCGGATTTCGTCCGGCGTCATCTGCACTTCCGGCGCCCTGGAGGCGTCGTCGTCGTCGAGCGACAATTGGGACAGGCCGGTGACGGGGTCTTTCTTGGCGATGACGGGCTTGCGGCTGAGGACTTTGACCTGGGGTTTGAACGCCGCGGTGAGAGGGACGCCGCCGCCGGCAGCTTCGACGTAGTGGAATGTCTCTTTCGAATCGCTGTTTCAATTCGCAAGAGCAGTTTGTCAGTTCAACAAAGACAAGAAATGTATATAGAGAGAGAATTATTATGAAGAAGCTTTTTTCCATACGCTGATTCCCATAGTTTCCGGTTTGCTTCGGCGTGCTGCTGCAACCGCTGTTGTCTGCTGAGGTTGGGCTGCGGCGCGGCCTGGGACTGTTTGCTGTCGCTTCTGTCGGCCTGGGCCTCCCAGTCGTCGTCGTCCCAGGCATTGGGGACACCGCCGGCTCTGCTCATCTTGAAATCTGGGGGCTAGGAGTGCTTGGGGAAAAGAAGAAGAAAAAAAGACGATTCGAGCCGAGGGGAGGTTTGATGTTTATATTAAGCTCGCTCTTTGTCTCTTGCTGCTATCGCTGAGCCCTTGCTGAAAGAAGCAGCCGCCGCAGAGCAGTTCCAATGTCCGGTCTCGATAGCGTTTGTATTTTTTTGCAATTTCTTAGGCAGCTTGCATGCTCTTTTTGCAGCTCTATGAATGTGCGCATCGATGGTCGTTGGCTGTAAGAAATCCGTTTCGTCGGGGTTTTCAGAGCGAGCTGGCCATTCGGCGCGAATGGGCTGTAAAGTTCGATTCGTTTGTGTGTAGCCTTTTTTTTTTTTTAACCTTGGACGCGCAGTACCTGCAGTATACCGAAGCTATTGATCGCTGTGAGCGCAAACTCCGTGGCATTAGCGTCCCGTCATAGGTATCTCCAGGTATCTATTTTCGGGCTTTGCTTCATGCTTAGCTTTTGGGCTGCGGAGAGCATATTTCAGCGGGGCTGGCTTCCATCTCACCTCTCTGCAGATTCGCTGCTGTTTACGTGCACCTGAAGCTCGATAATCAACCCGTATCCGCCGTTTTCAGGGGATTCTATTGAGACTCGAGGCTTTTTTATACCATCAGGTATGATTACAGATTATTTATCCAAGGCCAAAAAAAAGAACCGACATGTTAACATGGGCTCTTACCAGTCCATTACTTTGTTTGCACTAAAACTCCCCTCATGTCTGAACTATCCAGTGCTGCGGCCGCTATAGTCGCCAACGCGACCAAGAAGCTCAGGGAAGAAGGCGAGGCGGCCAAGAGTCGTCTCCTAGATCAGCAATTCCATATCAGCAAGTCTTTCCCTTCCTCGCCTCTTGGGTGCCCACCTCACATGTGTTTTCGTAGCACTGACCGGAGCCATCCGCTTGTTGTGTAGGCCGCTATGCAGACCCCTTGGTTCTACGGAAGGCGGCAGACCGTCAGTTTTGGCCAAAGGATGTGACTGTAGAGATGGAAAAAAGATGGCTTGCTATGATTAAGGAGCTTCGGTCCGTTTAAGCTATGAGATTGGGTTTGGAGTTTGGCAGACGGACGGACGGACGGACAGGGGAGGATACTAATGCGCCAAGCTTGCATTTTACGATTACATGATAATGAAACGACTCATTGGCTTGGAGCTATTCAAACAGCTGGCTTCATGATTGCTATTCTATCTAAATTTTTGCCAGTGACAACCATAGTGCTAGTAGTGAAAGATGGCACGGCGTCGGCTACGTTGCTTTATATGTATTGTATAAAGTGGCAACTGAGCGACCCTAGACGCAGGCTGCTCTTATTCAGCCAGCAATGTTTTGTATGTATTGCTACTAGTAATAATAGGCCAAGACTCTAGAATCAACGGGCAAAATTCGGAATGTCTGGTATGAGCGATTGTTGTGTCTAGTTTGCTCATCATCCTCGCCTTGAAAGAGCGTCATTGTCATTGGGATTGAAGCAGACTAGAGATATCTTTCAAGCCATCACATTTAAACAGCAATAAACTCCGGTAGCCAGATTGTATGCTCCAATCAAGATCAATATAGATAGCCAAGCGGTCTATCCGTTGGATGATTCCACGAGATGTCACCAGTGGCAGGATACACCAACCACGATCTCGCTTGTCAAACAATGCTACAATACCGGGCGGTGGCTCCAGGACTCCAAGGAAAAGTGGACAAGTCCACATTAACGCACGTTTGGCGACAAGTCGAGGCTAGAAGAGGACTAGAAAATTCTGCTCGAGTTTAACGCCCAAGGCCACTTCGGCGCAAAAACGTTGTTGCACGTCCAAGAAGCCCACGGCTAGAATACAAGACACAAACTCAGGCGCCACCATCTAGCCTCAGCAACCTGGCGATGACATAGTCACAGTGCGAGGCGCCTCGTGCCATGCCATGCCGTGCTTGCATACCGTGTGCTGTTCTACATGCGCATGTGCATCGCTGCTAGTAGCTGTTCTCTGCGGAGAGTTGACCACGGCGATGGCCATGGGAATGCCAATAGACTACATGCGTATACATGCACAGAACTTGATCCCACGTCAGCTGATTTGCAGCGAGACGAGGCTGAGCTCTCTCCAAGATTTCATCCAACGTTTGTAGCCTCTTCTAGGCCCCTGCTGAAGGCTACTGTGCATGTAACCCTGCGTGGTCCCCCTCATTATTGGAGCTGACGGTGGCAAATGCATCTTCTTTTCTTTTTATTACCCCTCTAATAAGCTGGGAATAGGCACCCGTGATAGAGTCTGGCGTTGTCCAGACCAGCTCAGGCATTTGCCAGCTGGCCCGCTAGCGAATAATGAGGGAACAAAGGCAATGGAATTTGTGACCAATCATAATCTATATATCACGACGGTGATGGTGGCAAGACCGAGTCGCGGTTGAGGGGGTGGCCAAGCACTGTATAGGTAGAGGCATTGGATGTTGTAGTGGTATCGGAGGCTTGCCTTGCCCTGCATGAAGCCCAACAGCACGAAAGACACGATAGCGTGCTGAACGCCATATTGGACGTGCTAAACGGCACTGACAAGTTAGCAGCACACCCAAATCTCAGCTGTCTTAGCCAACTAGTAGATATTTTCGATAATGGTTGTCTCGGTTGAATTGGTTGGGGGTGGCGGGAGGATGGAGGGATCAGTTCAACCGATTTGGTGAAACCCCAAAAAGAACCCCCAGGACCCAAGGAAAAGCCGCGATGCTTTCGGGCCACTGGCTGGTCTGACAAAGGGCCAGGTGGCTAGCGTCGCGAGGCTCCCTTGCTTTGTCTGCTTGATGTGGTTCTGAGGAATGCAACAAGGCAGTGATGGCCAAGTTGCACCAGATGGTGCTAGAGCAAGGCATCCTTCAGTCCCCTTGAATGGTCTCTGGAGTGAGTGCTACCAGATATTGACGGCTACTGCTACTGCTGCGGCTTATAGCGGGTACGAGAGTGGCCTAGGGGTTCCGTGTTCTCACTGGGCCTGGATCTTGGACACCATTACCAGATTGCCGGGACTTATGTTGCAGCTCTTGAGCAGCACGGCATCGGTCTTGTCTAGGCTGTCTTGACTGTCTTGACTCACACCGCCGCGTCCCAGCCAGGAGAGCCGAAGCACTACTCGTCCCAGAAACGACCAGAGACCAGACGACGGAGAATCTCTGCGTGATAGGGGAGAAACGGCCAATACCAAGTATATCGCAGCCCCGCCTCACAGTATGTGCAAGTGCTGCGGCGATGGGGCATCTCCACTCGGTGAAGTGGAAGACGTGATGTCGCAGCAGAGCGGCAAATCACCGCATCGAGGGCTTGTGGCGTTGCGTTCCGCAGATGGCAAAAACAGACGAAAAGGAAGACAAATGACAAAAAGCACAGCAGCTGGATCCCCATAGCTGCCTGGGTTGAAGGATTTCCCCCTCTTGTCTCGGGAGCCGCGGTAATAATGCGCCTCCAAAACTTTGACGGGCGGCGATGCTTGATTCGCCGTGCGGCTGGCCAAGATCTCGGAAACAAGACCCTGTCAAGTCTAGCCACCGCCTTACTGACAGCCGAGCGGGCGGTCGATTCGCTTCCACGGCGTCCACGTTCCATCTCCAGAGGAGCTGCTGTTGACGCAAGGGAAGCAAGACAGCGAGGCCGATGCAAGGGAGCACTGCTCGTGCTCCCACACCACTATACTGGAGGCAGCTAGCAGAGGCAGGCAGCATCATATACTTTCATGCTGTCAGAGGCCTCGACTCGATGCCAGGAGTCGGTCTGCTGTACGAGGATCGCGTAATGCCGGCAGTAGCATAGCAGTAGCCCTGGTGCCAATACTTGACTCTATATGGAGCTGAAGCTGAATCATCCACCCCCCAGCTGCCAGCGAGCTCGACTCAAACTCCGCGAGATATGCGAATACGAAAAGGCACTTGCCGTGCAGACAGATGCAAGGAGAGCGTTCGAGATGCCCGCATCGCCGCGACGAAATCGCAGGTAGCCGCATGGTGTGCATGCCATGACGGTCTGGCTGGCGGTGGCTGAAGTTGCGAAAACGAGCGCTGCTGGCTTGAGACCAATCTGCCTGATCGGGACGCGGATTTCGGCCTGCCATGCCGCTACCGCGCTGACGCTAGGGGCGCTGGCAACTGGCAGAGCGCGAGCTACAGCGCTCCACCCGCCGAGCCAGCAGCCGCAAGCCCTCCGTTAGCAGCGGCCCACACACTGTACGGGCCCTCCTCACAGTACCTGTGCCATGTTCGGAGCACTGAGGCCCTAACGTAAACTAGAGCCCTGCAGCAGCCCAGCGGCTTCTTCCTCTGGGCTTTTTTTGCCCCAAGGAACCGTCCATTAACAACCAGCTTTTTTCTTCCTTCATCATCGCCAGTCTTTGATATTGTTTTCTTCATCCTCCAGCATCACCACGCCTGGTGTCGACGCTCCCCGTTCCCGCGACCAACCTCTGGCGTGCGCGACGCCTTCCGAACTTCCAACAGGCCCTCTCCTCTCCCCCCCGCCCATCCGTATTAGCTCGATCGCCTCGCCGCCCTCTGTAGCGTTTTGAGATATTACGAGTTTCGATTCTCCTCCCCCGCTTGGTTCGTCATGTCAGGCACTGAAAGCGCTCATGCTGGCGGCGGCTACGACCTTTTACGGAGGGCCACTCAAGCAATGATGTCAAAGTATGTTGGTTTTGTGTTTGTGTCTCTCTCTGCCTTGTTTCGGCCCTTTATCCCGCGCTCTGACGGCTCCATGTCGTTGCGCTGAGCGGCATTGGCCCCGCCATCGTAGCGGTTACTCGTGATAGCCTTGCAAGCTACCTAGTAGTGGCTGTACCTTGAGAGCTATCCACGATTTTACAATCATCTCTCTTATCTGATGGAAATTTGCCCTGTTTGGTTGTCTGTTTTGTTTTGTCTTGTTTCGTTGTGCTGTGTTTTTCGCTTTTCATTCTGCAGAGGATGGGAAACCAAAACAAAGAGTGTATACAACTGGCAACGGTTACGAGCAAGACTTTTGGCGGACATTTGGCGCTCAAGTGGCGCTAGCCTTGAGCACAATACAGAGTGTCCGGGCTTGAAACAGCTTCAGCTCGTCTATCCAGCGTCCGCTTCAGGCTGCAATGTCTCGTTGCTCGACACCATGGGTCAATCAGCCTGGTATCATCGGTATCTGCCGGTTTCTATTTTGCCTGCGGCCTCTTTGCGGCTTAATAGAGAGAAAGCAACGGCACTCAGACGAGCCTTATCAGACACCGCCATGAGACGCCATGAGACGCCGATGGTGCTTCATATCTACGACTCCTCGAGTTTATTGAGCGGGCTTGCACATGTATTCAGAAAATTTCTCTTGCCCATAAAAGTGTCAAGGGTCTGGAGCCAAGCTTGTCCTGGATATCACGGCTATTTTGCGGAACCAACGTCGTCATACCCTGGCGCATCAGCTCCCGTCTACATGCACCATCTACGTCAAACGCCAGGGAATAGCGATACAGCTAGGAAAGCTTGTTAGGCGATCTTGTTATGGCTGGTTTTACCTGATCGACTTCCCGAGTCATGGCCAGCCCCTCCAACGCACAACCCCTACTGCAGTCTTGCTCGGCCAACCCTTTCTTCGGCAGACCAAAAGAAGAAGAGAAGGAAAATGCCCTTTTTTCTAGAACTACTACCTGGATGGACCGCTTGATACGCCCAAGAGTGCCTTGGCCACCCTTTTCCCGGCCCTGTCCACCCCGCCACGTTTCTGGCCTTCTTCTGCCTGCTTTGATCAAACCTTGATGCCATCCCCACTCGTCCAAATGGCCGTGCTGGAGCATTTCTATTCGCATCCATCGTCATTCCCCTTTTCCTCGCGCTTGTTGCGCCCGGTGTCTGCGCATCCGGATCCGCTCTCGGAGGCTGACCCTCGCTGACTACCCTCACTCTGGACGGGCCGGGCTGTCTGGCCGGCGGTCTCCGTGTTTTCCTCGTCCGCTGTAATCCATCCTTGCCCCCTAACAGCTAGTGCACATCACGACTTTCAATTTTCATCCACCGTTTCCTTGGCGCCTTGGGCCGTGAACTAGTGTTCCCACTTCAACACCGTTTCCCCGCGCCAGTGTTATCTTTTTGGCCTGACCAATGCTTTAAACTTTTCCTCTTCTTCATTTATTTTTCCGTTTCAGATCTGTTTTCTTTGTTCCGCCGACCATGCTGGCTGCTGACCAACCTGCCAGAACCGCCGCGCCTGAGGAGGACGGTGCGGATCATATCGGCTACGAGACCCCTCGATCCGGCGTAGCCACTCCTCATCCCGACCCTCACGATAAACGCCTGCCCGGAATCACGACCTTCTTTTCCCAGGTTCGTCAAGACCTTTCTGCTAGTCAGGAAAACTTTTCTACAATGTCAATTCCAGAGGGGCGCGAGGCCTCGGGCCAGATGTCAGACCAGCAGTTGCTGGACTGCGTATCCAGAGAAGAGCAGTTGCCTGGGCATGCTGAAAGCTCTCAGCCTTGCATACAGTCACAGCCCACAGAAGCGCACTCCCCGCGATCCAAGTCCTTGGCTGTCCGCACGCGCGATAGCCAAGAGCAACTGAAAGGATCTACATCCTCCTTACCAGACCCCATCACTACACATTCATCCTCCTCGTCTTCTTCTCTGGGGGCTGCTACTCCTGAGACAATCTTCTCGGGCGGAGAGACTAGAAGCGCCAGTTCGTCAGGCACTTCTGGCCGCTCAGAGCCTGTAAAGTCTAGTGATTGTTCGCAGGACCGCGATCCCTCCTCCCATACACCTACTACTACTTTTCCTTTGTCAGATGCCACCGCTGCACCAGCACCCTGTTCCGTATCTCGCATACAAGCCCACAGATCCTCCTCTTCAACTTTGCCTTTGCATCGACTCAACGTCAAACTTGAGGCGGCCCGACCGCCGCCCAGCAAATGGTATTCGTTTCAAGGACTCAAAGAGCTAACTCGTGGTCTCTTAATCAAGAGCGGCCCGCCTACCCCTACTAGAGCCCTCTCTACAGCCAACTCACAGTCTGATGGCAGGGACACTCCGAACGGATCCGGCAACGAAGGCGCCGAGACAAGTGGCACAGTAACCCCAAAGAACTCTGGCGCCGACGTTCCGACGGCCAAGGGGAAATTAACCATCAAGATTATCGAAGCGCGGGGAATACGCAAGAGCCGTGACCCTTATGTCGTTGCCGTATTCCAACGGAGTGAGCTCATTTCTGGCGGACCCCATGCCATCGAAGAGGAGGAAGTAGTGGTAGGAACACCTTCTGGGCTTGGTTCCATCCCCATGAAGCGTCAAGTTAGCGACTCTGGCCGGCCCATGGCCATCCCGATGCGCAGCCGCCAGAGTAGCAACACTAGCATTAGCGACCACAACACTTTCCGCAACCGAACGCTCAAAACTCTCTACTCAAGCCCCAAATGGGATGCAGAGGCAGTCTTGTGAGTTGTCCGCTTCTCAGCCGCTGGGAAGACAGAAGATTTGAAGACTGAGCTGACCGCCAATATAGCGACGTTGTCGATTCGGATTTGCTGGTAGACATTTCGGTATACGATCATGTGGCTTCCGGAGGAGAAGAATTCTTGGGCCATGTCAACCTCGAGGCCCGGAAAGACGGTCCTGTCAGAGGGTGGTATGCGCTGCAAGGCCACGCCAATACGACGGTCGAGAACATACCAACGGGCGAAATACATGTCGAGGTTTCTTACCAGAGAACTGAAAGGAAGCACTTTGGCCCAAGCGATTTTGAGATTCTCAAACTCATCGGCAAGGGCACTTTTGGTCAGGTCTACCAGGTTCGAAAGAAGGATACCCAGCGAATTTACGCCATGAAAGTATTGCAGAAAAAGGTGATTGTTCAAAAGAAGGAAGTGGCGCATACCGTGGGAGAGCGGAATATCCTTGTTCGCACGGCTACATCAGATTCGCCCTTCATCGTCGGGCTCAAATTCTCCTTCCAGACTCCGTCAGAGCTGTACCTGGTAACTGATTACATGTCTGGCGGAGAGCTCTTCTGGCATCTCCAGAAGGAAGGTCGCTTCGACGAGAAGCGAGCCAAGTTCTACATTGCCGAGTTGATTTTGGCAATCCAGCACCTTCACAACAATGATATTGTGTACCGCGACCTTAAGCCTGAAAACATCCTTCTGGATGCAAACGGCCACATTGCTCTTTGCGATTTTGGACTGTCCAAGGCAAATCTTACAAAGAACGACACCACCAACACCTTTTGCGGAACCACGGAGTACCTCGCTCCTGAAGTTTTGCTCGATGAGTCAGGATATACCAAAATGGTCGACTTCTGGTCGCTGGGCGTCTTGGTGTTTGAGATGTGCTGTGGATGGAGCCCCTTTTACGCGGAAGACACTCAGCAAATGTACAAGAACATTGCCTTTGGCAAGGTCCGGTTCCCGCGCGACACCCTTTCCCAGGAAGGTCGCAACTTTGTCAAGGGGTTGCTTAATAGAAATCCCAAACACAGACTAGGAGCAACGGACGACGCTGAAGAGCTCAAGAGACACCCCTTCTTCAACGACATTGACTGGAACCTCTTGGCCAAGAAGCTCATCTCACCCCCTTTCAAGCCCAAGTTGAAGTCGGCAACGGACGTCTCGTACTTTGATCCAGAGTTCACCACTGCGCTAGACCAGAATGGGTCTCTCAACGAGCGTGCTGCCGCGCTGGCCCGAGGATATGCTGCCTCGACGCCTCTATCGCCGTCGGTGCAGGCCAACTTCCACGGATTCACCTATGTGGATGAGAGCGCCTTGGATGACCACATGCGCGATCTCAGAACTGACGATGAGCATATGGATGATGCCCACGCAAATGGTGATGATGACTGGGATAACCTAGATGATATCGATCCCCGAGTGTCCAACCGGATGAGTGGCATCGTTAGGTCTGGACACGACGAGCAGATGGTGGGAGGCTCGCATTTTGATCCGTAAATGATGTTTCATCGGACCCCTGGTAAAATGGGAGTGGATGTGGTGGGCTGCATGGCGTTTGTTTATTTTCCCCTGTTTTGTTTTCTTCGTGTCATGGCAATGCAGGTCGACTCTTGTCCCTGAACAAAAAAAAAAAAGTTGATATCCCGAAAACAACCACGACGATGTTGATACAACCGATTAATCATATGGCATCTGCATTAGGAGGGGTTGGCTGGTTTTGCATTTTGCATTTGTTCCATGGCTACTACATGTGCAGGAAAGGACCCTGGAGTTCAGGTTGAGCCAAAGATATACGATGATGACGAATAGGATTCTTCAAAGCATCAAGACTCTTTTGCACAAAACAAACAAGTGCGAAAGTCGAGATGCTGATTCCGAACTTTCAGAAAAGATGAGAGAGAAAAAAATTGCATGAAAGAGAAGAAGACGAAGAAGAAGAAAGAGAAGAAGAAAGAGAAGACACAAACCAAATGATGTAACGCAAAAGGGAAATCCGTCAGAGAGGGAATAAGAACAAGAAGAAGAAAAGCAAATTAGCATGATTCTTTTCCTTTTTTCCACTTTGCTTTTTTCTTTCCTTCGACTCTTATTGCATCCCAAGCCCAGTAGGATCAGGCTACCTTTCTACATCAGTGTCTACCTAGTTGTGCGTTCTAGTCGGGATGTGGCGTAATAATGGTGAAGCCTTCTTTCAATCTGTGTCGACGCGCATGTAAATACACTAATGGACGGACGGGGAGAGAGAGGCTAAAACAACACAAAGAATGATGAAACACTACACATTGGCGGTCTTGGAAATGGGTTATTGTATATAAATAGGTAATTGGCTGGTGATGAATAATACGTCATGGTGTAGAGATCCATCTAGTATTGGGTAATTATGCCATGACACATGATGCTGCTTTTAGTCTACGTATTGGCGAATACGTTTTCTCCTGATTGGTTCCGACAATGTCGTACCTGCATATTGATAACTTGCTGGAGGGGTTTTCAAGCAAAATGATAGTGAGACGTGAGAGTTGAAACATTGTCACTGTTTAAAGGATCCATGAGGCATTTTGCATATCTTTGATTGATATTGGCATTCGGAACAATGTCCTACACGACGAGGCTGATCGATAAGGAAATAAAAAATGTACAACGGGATGATTCAAAAGCATCCCCGGCAAGCCGACATGTCCTTTTGTTTCCGGCCATCATTCAAGCCTGGCCTGAAAATTATGGATTGTCCGGTATGCCCCCAACTGCTGCCTCCTCCTTTGGCTCTTCTCTTTGTCTTTCATCCTCTAACCTCCTCCCTTTATAGCATAAAACCGCTGAACGTCAAGTAATCTTTCGACGCACTGACGATCTAGTTCCTCTCCTTTTTTCCCTCCTCTCTTATTCCCATGTATTTCTAGCAACAGGAAATTCCCTCCATGGACTTGATTCAAAAAAAAGCGCGTTTCGTTTTTTAGTGGTGGGGTTCCTCCTCTTCCTCGGCCTCGAGCCAGTCGGGCAGCTGAGCGACACCGGTGGCGGACTGGGCGGAAGCATCCTGGCCCTCGATCTCAACGGCCATGGACTCGTAGGTCTTGAGGCTGTCGGCCAGGTTGGCCTCCTCGGGAGAGGCAGGGGTCTTGGGCATGGAGAAAACCTGGACCTGGCCCTCGGAGTCGGTCTCCTTGACGGGGGGGACCTTGTAGGCCTTGAGCTCCTTGAGGTAGAGCTCCTGGACAAAGTCGGCTAGAAAGAGAGAAAGAGAGAGAAAAAGACGTTAGCAGTGGTCCCAATTAGGCTGTGTTGTTGTTGCATGGTATGAGCAGGTTTGGCTAAGCCGGGATAGTCGCTGCGGCGGAAATAGCGCAACACTTGTTGCGTTGAGATGTTATGCGTCCAAACGAGAGACGAGCATCGTAGCGATGAGGTTGCGAGTGGTGAGTGTGTTTTAATTTGTAACAATGTGGCCAGGCATTGGGAGCGAATGGTGTTGATCGGAGGTATCGGCAATAGCTGAAATGGTAGCATGTTGAAAACAGAGTATACGTTCCGCCCTCATTGAATTCCCATCGCAGACGAAAAGTGAAGAGGCGAGAGCGAGTGGTCGACAGCCATCGTATGGCTTAAAGGTATGCATTGGAAAGTCACATCAAGGAAAAACACAAGGCGTAGTTCCATACCTCGTCGTGAGACGGTCGGGGCAATGAAGCCCCTCACCTGGACGGCATTTGCTCTGGCGGCGCGAGCAGCAACAGCGCGCTACATCAAGCAAACACGAAGCTAGTTAGCAAGCAAAGAACAATTTCGGGTCATGCAGAGCAGAGCTGAGGATGCGCAAGGCTTGTGCCTTTTGCATGATGCCGGGCCAGCGCATCGCATGCGGGGCGATGACAAGAGGCGAGAGGCGCTATGGGAAAAGGCCGAAGATGGCCAACGAAGAGGGTTTTTTCTCTCTCCTCTTGGCAGCCGTGCTCTCGGAAACAGGAGGCGAGGAACAGGAAACTCACAGAGGCCCGGGAGATTTGGCTGAGCATCTTGATCTGGCTTGGGAGTTGCTCAATTGGCGGAGAAAAGGGCGGACCCGGCAAAGGAGGTTTGGGGAGGATGGAGACAGGCTGAGGGTTTTGTGAAAATCGTGATGGCGACCTTTGGCGACTTTCGTCTTTTCCCGGCTAAGGCCTGTCCGCTTCGTCACGCGGAGCGCCGGGCTTTTTTTGTTCCCTTGCTACTACTGCTGCTCTTTTTTTTTTTTTAGCAGTGAATTTTTTTGCTGCCTCAGGTTCTATGGGTCCATCATTCGCTCTGGCGGCTATCTTTTACTGCTGTATCCACTGTATTTTCCTGCTAAGCTCACTAATTTTCGAGCTGTTGCACCCCGCTCTACAGTGCTGTAGAGCGCTGGAGCAGTCCGAGAATTCTCTACCTTGGCAAGGTGCACGTGACTCGGGAGAAGTCGCGCAGAAGAGCTGCACGACGTCAGTCTCGATCCACACAGTTTGACGGGCTGGTCTCTGGATCAAGTTGGATATATGGAGCATCGTCCAGTATCTACAGGTCAAGCAGTCAATTGCAGTGTCTAGGACGGTGCAATCCATTCTACGCCTCGTTTCTGCACGTGAAATGGGTGGGAAACAACTCAATCGATCTTTAAGTGCCCGGATCGATCATATAGAGACTAGACTAGGAGGAGCTCCATCCAGCCACATGTATGCATTGCCTAGAGTCAAATGGTAATGTAAACCGATCAGCTATCAGAGGCTCGTATATCCTTGCTCAAGGTTGAACATTTGCGCCAAAGTATGGCCTACTACAAAATGAATCGATCAATCGTCGAGAGGTGCAATCGGCTTCTTATCAACTGATACTACTTGTGATATCTGCCCAAGGTGTATGCAAAGTTTCTTTAGTCGTTGCTCATCCAACTCATCATGTCGTATACCTACCCTAATCAAGTGTTACACATTCTTCTTTCTCATTTTCTTTTCTTATGCTTACCACCTTCGTTATTCTTCTTGCTGTCTTTACCTTTGTTGTCCTTGTCTTCGTTGTCTTCGTTATTTGCCTTGGATGCTTAGCAGTGCTTCCTCTTTCCAAGGTGCCGTATCTAGTCCAATTCTTATTTAACACGGAATTGCTGACTATTATAGCTTTAGAATATTGATCGAGCTTTGGTCTTTATAAATTCTCTTGAGGAAAGGTTATGACAATGATTCGTTTTGTTGTACCATGTTATTAATAGTATTGCTATTTATTTATGCCACGCCATAAAGCGTAAGCCGTCATTCGTAAATATCTTGTCTACACCCTCTATATAGGTGCGTGTAACCATCCCATTTCATTTCCTACAGTAGCGACCGATTTTCCTAGCCATAACATTACATCAAGTGTTCATCGCAAAAACGCCAACAGACATGGCTCATACACCCATGTGTATGAGCGGATGTATTAAAACTTTGGGTATAAGATTGGCATCAAGTCTGCCTTTTTCAAAATCATTCTTCTTGGACCAGCATCGTGTTGCATATTCCAGGTTGTTTCATCCCCTCTTCCTTGCTCTTGTTTATGAAGAGCTTGCGTCCTTTGGCTGGTCTCGTCTCCTACGGATCACGGTCCACCCAAGAGTGATGGAAGCCACATAGACGATTGCCGTAACTCCCGCCACGACGGAATAAGCAATGATGTAGCGAGTAGGAGCGTCACCGAGCTGCAAGCCGAGACCGCCGTTGACGATTCCGATAATCATCAATGCTCGTCCATACCAGCAGTGAAGGTGGCCAAAGATGCCGCGACGCTGAGCCTTGAGGTAGTTGACGTGGTGGATGATTCCAAAGATGGGCTGCAGACTGACGAGACAAACGAGAATGACTCCCAAGCGAGTGTGGGCTTGGTGGAAGAACTAATAAACAAAAGTCACTCGTTAGTATTTGGAGGAAAGAGAATGAGTTTATAGGTAAAAAGATTGGCTGTAAAAAACTCACAATGCCATCCTGTCTGGCAATAAAGACGCCGATTCCGAATCCAGCCCACATGAGCAAGAAAGCAATCGTCTGCCATGATGCGTGGATGTACCACTTTCCAACCAGCGGCATCAAGCTGGAGCCGAGAGGATACAGAATGACGAAGACGATGGACATGATGGTGCCGTGGGCAGTGGACAGAGTCTGGCTCGGCGTCGAGCCGCCTGAGACACCAGAAACCGCACTGCCATTGCCATTTCCATCGCCATCGCCATCGCCAGAGCTGGAAGATGCAGGATTGCTGCCGCTGTTGCTTCCGCCGCTGCTAGCACTGGATCCTGTAAAGGGGTTTGAATCGGAGCTGATGCTGGCCTTGCCTAGGTTGACCTGGAACAGACTCATGCTGTCGTGCTGGGTGATGGTCGCAGCCGGATTTGTCGAGTCCAAAGAATCGCCCGACTTCCACGCCGAGATCCAATTCGACTGGCCGGAGAAGTCGAGATTTGTGCAGTTGCTGCATCGAACATTGGCGACCATGTTGCCGCCAACGACGCCAGAGCCCGCCAGGAGCTCGACGTCGCTTCTCGCCTTGTAAGTCGGCATGACGTGGTTCGCGCCGGGCCTCGTGCTGAGCGTGACGTTTCCCTTGCCGTCCTGGTACATGATGAACATGTTGGAGTCGGGCATGGAGGTGCCGATGCCGAGGCCGATCCATTGCCATGATGTCGGGGCCTTGAGCTGGAAGAAGATGTCGCCCGAGTTTGCCTTTGCCGTGGCGTCGGGGACTCCCCATTCGAAGCAAACGCCCGAGGTGGGACAGAAGGAGGAAGTAGCAGCTGAAGCAGTGCCCATGTCTTGAAGTTGGAAGCCTTGTTAGAGATGGATGCTATAGAGTAGTGATGGATGTATAGACGTGAGACATACTGAGAGCGGCGGCAGCAGCAGCCACGGCCGTGGCCTTTGAGAACCACATGGTGTTCCGTTTACAAGATGGTATAAGAAAAGCAGGCTAAGAAGAAATAGAAGACAAAAGAATTAAAGACAATGTTTGAAGGGGGTGCGCTGAAAGGGGATCGATCAAGTTTATAGCATGAACGCCGCCAAGAGTTTGTTATAGTCGGTGTTAGTACACAAGTACGACTTGGAGAAAGCAAATAGACAACAAGCCTCACACAGAGGAAACAACTAGACATTTAAAGTGTTCCAGGCCCCGTCCTCGAGAGCACGATAGGAGGTACACGGCCATAGCCTCCCACAAGGGGTGGGTGAGTTTCGAGAGGGAGGGGGGGGGTGTGAGTGCGTCGAGGAGAGACTCCATCCCATCCATGCGCCTTTCCCCCCCTGCAAGCTCGATTGCTATTTTTGCTTCTCTCCAGCTGCAAGACCTCTCCAGCCTTACCGGCGGGATGGGCGCTGCTTTCGTCACTAGACTTGGGGCCTGTATATGGGGCCTGTAATATCATGACCGCTGGCATCGCTCGAATCTATCCGATTAGGAATCGAGACAGGCCGGGTCCCGGTCCCTGTGGGCGATGACGCTTCATGATGCTCGACGCGGCACACGAAACCTCGCGATGCTGTGGTTGTATCAGATGTCCGCTTATCTTTGGAGGATGCAGCTGGGCATTGGAACACGCGGTTTTTCGGTAACACAAGCTCCTCGAATACGTAGCCATTGGCTATTGTAATGCAGTTCCGAGTTTCAAGCACACGCAGCCGGGTCTGGGGTTGGGTTGGGCTGCAGCTTGCGGAGGAAAGCTAAGGCCTAGATCCCAGGCCTCAACAGCACTGCTAGGCCTCAATAGTGATAATTCTGCGCTCAGTTACGGGGCACCACCCCCCAGTCCGTAGTCCCAGGGCAGTGGATGGGGTAGTGCTGCTGGCTGGGTATAAGACGTATCTAAAGTGCGGGATGCTACCAGGACCACGAGAATCTGAGATATGATTACGAATCCTTCTTCCCGCCAAAGGGTCTACTATACATGCTGGCATCCAGTCAACGCCTCAACGAATCTAATCTACGACGCTGGTTGGAGCAGCCGGCAGACCAGGGGAGGGGGCGTCACAGACGGCTTATACTTGGTCGTTGAAACAGTTTCCGTGCCAGTATCGCTAGTTCCAAGCCACAGCCGCGCTCACCAATAAGGTTGGTGAACTCGAACGAATCCTCATCGCCGGATGTCCTTGTATAACCATGACTTATCTATCAATCTATCCGAACATGCCCGGAATTTCTTGCTCTCTTTTCTCCTGTCTGTCCCATCTGCTCTGCTCCTGTTCTGTTCGTATTGCGCATCAACCTCATGGCGGAACAACCTGTAACGATCTACAGCATAAGCCCACGTCTCAAACCAGACCGACGGCAGTAACGGCACGAAAAACCGACGACAACGAAACAACACCACAAGGAAGTAACTAATCGCAAAAAACTACATTTTAAAAGCCGACATCGTGATGCTACAGGCGATCAATGATGACGAACGAGGCGCAGGGCCAGCACCAACTACTAGGCGCCTTGTCTTAGCGGACTCGCGGGCGTTGTCTTGTACTTTTTCCCCCTTCTCTTATTCGTTCTACCGCAATCTGTTTCCCCTAAGCAAAGTGCCCAGAAAAAAAGAAAGCCAAGGGCCCTTATTAGCGAGGATCAGGTATCTCAAATAACCACAGCCTGGCTAGAGGAGAGAGGCCCTTAATGCTGACAGCTTTTGGCCCGGCGGGGGATCTAACCCTCCGAGACGGAGCAACCTCCAAAACAAGATATCGATGCTGGCGGGGGGCTTAAAGACGCAGCAAAAAACGTGCCTGGATTGTGTCTCAATTGTGGATTTCCTCTCGAATTATGCAATTGTTAAATCGTAGAGTAAAGGTTTTGTTAGTTCTTTAAACCTTTTTTTAAAACTCTCCCCGGCCAGCCACTCTTACAGGCGGCCTCGTGTAAGCCAAAAAAGCCCCAAAAAGACAGGAACGGCACGGGCACACCACCTCTTGGGTAGAAAAAGCTTCTTTTTTTTTTTTTACTCTTCATTGCTTTGCACTGCCTCGCTCTGCCCGACGCCAATCCCGCGCAGCTGTTCTGATATAGGCTAGGTCGACGTCACCATGGCTTTCTCGTAAAAGACAAGAGGCTGCAGAACTATGTGAACCTTGCTTGAACCACGTGTGGGCTTGGGAAGCTAAGAAGATGATTTGGTGATGCTACGCGGAATAAAGGCTGTTCTAGTAAGGTTAGGATACGAACAAAGCCAATATGATTCGAGGTTTGAAAGAAATGCCGGCCTGAGAATAGTAGAGTGTCTCCTATTTACTTTCCCACGCGCATGAACTGAGCCATCTGCCACTACTATCTGCCGGCACTAGGTACATGTAGCCTGTCATGTTTTCGTCCATTGACATCTCTGGAAATGCTGCTTATGTGCATTTTACACGTATGGAATCTTCAGCAAAGTCATCACAGGCGACTAACACGCCCCCGCCCCCCCTTATACAAACGGCCACGCCTCCAGATTTGGCAATCATCTTCTCAATATTATCTCCTATTTATATGTCTTTTAATAAATACTTCCACGGCTTTACCATCACCGCTCTTTGAACTCGTTTCACCAATTGCTTACTCTTTGTAATGGCCATCATGCAGGGGGGGGGCTTACGCATTTACCGTCTCCGATGTCACTTTGACTAGGTGCCACTTGTAAGATGATCTGCCACGAGATAGTCTTGAAAGAGCTATGCTGTTATTAACTGCACCAATAGCAAATCCTTCCTTAAACAGAGTCAAGCTAAAGGGATACTATCTTCTGCCAAGTATGGCAATATCTTATACTATATTTCGCCGTCAGCATCATCCTTGCCTTGCATCTACGAAGCAGATCTGTAATACTATCATACCCTGACACTGCCATCAGCAAATCTAACAAAGATCCACCAAACACGCAAAGGGCACTCCGTCTTCTGTCCAATCCGTGATATCGCATTACTACTATACTGGCACCATCACATTTTCGGAGTCTACTTATAAGCGCCTACGCAGTAATACCAACTCTGCCAGCCTGACTCGGGCCCGTCATCACTAACGATGCGTGCCTGGGCATATCAAGGCAAGCTCCTGGTAATACTGCCCGCCCATCTAAATATAGGGGCAGCAACTACCCAAAGTGGCCAAAGGGTACATGCACAAGTGTCGGTCCATCATACCAAGACGAGTAATAGCTGTCAACAAGCTCTATTAGTCTGTCTAAACTCTAACTATAACCAGCTGCCTCTCGTTTCTAAACTTCTCCGCCGGTGTACATGTATGTATGAAGACAACGTTATCTATCCTGATTCCACATAGGTCCCATCGATGAACGCCTGTCCAAATGCCGTTCTCGTTGCTCACTATTGCTGTGTTTCTACAGCACAGTCTCTAATCTATGAACGACTTGTCAGATAGCCTCCGCTCTCGAGCAAGCTCGACGAGGCCACAAAGCTGAATCCACCAAACATATCATCCTTGGTTGGGCTGCCGGGCCAAAAGTCTCTCGAGGTCACTGTAGGGCTCAGGGAAAGTTCAGTGAACTCGGGTGCAAAATTCTCTGCCAGTTCAGGGTCTGTGATCATAGGCTGGATGGGTGGTTCCACCTCTCGTGCTGCCAGCTTCTTCCAATCAATCTTGCGGAAGAATCTGTGGTTCTTCAATGTCTGCAAGTCCTTGGGCATCACAGCACCCAATCGTTTACCCGGGTCTTTCCTTAGGAGCCTAGTGAGGATATCTTTGGCATCCATGCTGAGGTAATAAGGCAGTACGAGCTTCTGCTTGATAATGTTCTCCTGGATCTTGGCATGGTTTCCTCCCCGGAAGGGCGGGTTACCCGTCATCAAGTCGTATGCGAGAGCCCCAAATGACCACCAATCCGCGGCTTTGCCATATTTCTTTCCCTGGATCACCTCGGGGGCCATGTATTCAACAGTGCCCAAGATGGAATTGCAACTGTCTTCAGATTGGTCGACTGCAACCTTTGACAGTCCAAAGTCAGTCAACAAAAGATGCCCATCTGCATCAAGAAGGCAATTTTCGGGCTTGAGATCGCGGTATATCACACCGAGAGTTTGGTGGAGATGGGAAATAGCCAGAAGCATCTCTGCCATGTAAAAGGCTGCCACTGACTCGGAAAACATCTTCTCTGTATTGAGATGAGTGAACAGCTCTCCTCCCTGGCCGTATTCAAGAATAAGATACAGCTTCTCCTGGTCCTGGAAGGCATAAAAGAGCTTCACGACAAAGGGGTGACGGTTCACGGATTCCAAAATCTGTCGCTCAGTCTTGGTTTGCTCAACCAGCTTCTTGTGGACGACCAGAGATGCTTTCTTGAACTGTTTCTGGGCGTAGAGCCTTCCTGTTGAGCGCTGCTTCACCAGCACAACTGTGCCATAGGTTCCTTTGCCAAGGCACCGAAGGGAGTCGAAATCATCAGACGTCATTTTGCGCTTCGGATTCAGTCCACCTTCTAGGGGTTCCATGAATGACCTCTCTCGCACGCTCTCGCTCACAAAGTCGTTCTCTAGGTTGACCTCATAACTCGTCGATCCCTCAGAAAGCTCGCTACCCGTCTCACTTCGAGCTCCATCTCGGCTCTGGGAGCGGCTCGCCTGCCCAAAGCCGATTCGAGAATCCAAGCGAAGGCCATTGCGAGACAAGGATGACGAACGAGACGCTGCATCGAGGCTCAGAGGATCCATTTGCAAACGCAGCTTGGCGATTCCCGAGATGCTTGGCGATGCCGTTCCGCGCAAAATCGGGCTACAATTGACGCTCACAACGTCGTCGATGCGCGGACGGCCTCGACGGGCAGATAGACGCGGCGTATCGCATGCGCCATTATCGGAATCTTCGTCGCCAGATGCCACTGGCGTCACCTGAAAGCCACGAATAGTAGAGCGTGCCACAGGGGCAGCGTAGGATGCGTGGTTGATCATGATCATAGGCAGTGCTAAGCACAGCTCAGCTTTTTTGAATTTGTATTATTAACAAGATGCGACGGCCAAGAGCCTCTTGACTCCTGTCGCGATTCGAGTGGCTCTCAAGGCGTGCCACGGCGGCGCTCCGGATCTACACGCTGCGCGGATTCGGTTTGACGCTGGGCCTCAGGGTGTCTCGAAACACGCATCTGGTACCTGAAGAAGGACGTTGGCAAGTCAGAGGTTTCTTGTATATGCATTTGTGAGTATATTTGTTCCAAGTGGAGAAGACGCAGAGGTGAAGTCGTGTTTGTATCACCAAAATGGTGTAGGGGAGGAAAAAAGAAAGAAAGGGAAGCGAGGGAAGCAGCGGAAGAGGGAAAGTAAATATTTTTAGTAATTGGATCACCAGAGCGCCAAAAAGTGCTGCAGGCAGCCTCACTATCGGGCGCTCGCTATAGCCCTTGCAAGCCCTTGAAACCTTCCTTGTAGGGCCGCGGGGTACAGCGCGCCGCTCCAGTATTTGCGCTGGAATTACGGAGCACATGTCAGCGCCGATGGGCCTAAACCTTGTTAGGGCGAACATTAAACAGGCCAAGATGCCTTGCATTCAGTGTACCTCGACTTTTTTCCAAGTCTGGGTGCCACTTAAAAAAAAAAAAAAAAAAAAGTTCCAGGTCGCAATGGGGCATACCGTTTGCTCAATGCATTGAGAGGAAAGTAAATTTGCGCTCTATTTCGCCCTCTTCTGAGCCTCGTAACATGGCTGTGCCATGAAAGAGGCATTTCGCGCGCATCCCGAATCATAATCCTCGAGCATCCTCATCTGACCTGCCGGCATAAGACACAGGGGAAACATGCAATCTCAGCATTCCTGCGTCCAGGTGCTGCGCTCCTCGAGCTGCAATTGGCCCAGCGCTTGCACATGCTTATTTGGCCGTGCCAATGATAACTAATAGATTGGATATGCTAATGGATTCTCCCGTAGCGGCTATCCCGTCCAGACGATGGTGTGCGCTTCTTCCGGCAGGCTGGTCGGTGCTACTCTCAGCCCTGAAGCGTCTGCTGGTTATTAACGGTATGTATTTACTGGATAAAACTCAGTGTGCTGTTCCACTCGTAAAGCCAAAAAATCTAGCATCAGCCCATTCATCCTAAATGAGCATCCTGCAAGACGCTCACCTCACTTTACCCAGGCACTTTTTTTCTTTCTCATAATCCGTGCTTACGAATACTGCTGCTACTAATGTGACCTGACTTGTGTAAGGGGTCCATATGCAATACGACGTGGACACGCTTGACTTGCTGCATCTGTCGTCGACTCGTGGCAAACATGCTGGGATTTATTAGCTGGCTGCATTTTGCTGGACGCGGCTAATCGCGGAATGCCAGGCATGCACCGCGGAGTGTGTGGAGACCTGAATACAAAGAAAGAGAAAATAACGAAGGAAGGGAAAAAGAAAAAGAAAAGAAAGAAAAGAGAAAGAATTTCTCGCGCATTGTCTCATGTTTTCTTTCACCAGTTGCTTGGTAGAATTTACTTGTTTGTCTCTAGTCTGACCTCCTGGCTGAGGCTCATGTGATTCTGCCGTGCAAGGCTCAATTACTAGGTACGACAGGCCTGTCAAACGTTTAAATACTCGCTCCAAAATTTAAATAAAGAAATTGAAAGTACATTACCAAAAATGTAGTCTTTATTTCTTCCAAGAAGGTAAAATTAAAATCTACAAATAGCAGGACCAAATACAGAGGAACATTGGTGGGCATGTAGCATTGTGCCTGCATAAAAGCTGAAGTCGCTGATGCATTGTTCATTCTTACATAATCAAGACACGCCAATGAGCCATGGTCTCAATTTTCTAGAGCTCCAAGCTTAGGCAGGCTGATGTTGATACAGAACCACTACTTCGCCATTTCAACGACATCCAGAGCTGCCCTGCTGTGCGGCCAATGAATATACCACTGTAATCTTAATATTTATTTTGTTTCCTCAGCCAGGTCTTTCAATCAACAATCATATCTCAATCTCGACCGATCCTCTCGCGATTCCACCACGCTCTCATCACGGCGCATCACATTCACCTTCTTCCGACTCAATATCCAAAATGATACACCCATCACGGCAAGCATATGTGGAGGAAGCAGAGCATAGCACGGGCATTGCTCTGGAAGACCTCCCAGAAGACCATGATTACGAGATGAACATGGGCGATGGCGCCCCGCCCGAGAAGGCATCCGCCATCCTCAGCCAGTTCAATCGAAAACGACTTGCTGCCACCATTGCTGTCCCTACCGACGATGGCCGAGTTCGTGCTAGGTTACGAGAGATGGGAGAGCCCATGACCCTCTTCGGCGAGGGGCCAGCCGATCGCCGAGACCGACTGCGAGAGCTTCTCACCATCCAGGCAGAAATGGCTGGACTGGAGAGCGGCGACATCACCATGGAGGATGCCGACGAAGCAGAGGAGGAGGAGCAAGAGGAGGAATTCTATTCGAGAGGAGGTCCAGAACTACTACAAGCCCGCATCAACATTGCAGAATTCTCACTGCCTCGAGCAAAAAGAAGGACGGCGTTTCAAAAAATAGAATCTACAATCCCCTTGCGGACACATGTCAAGTTTCGGAAGCAAATCAAAGAGCGGCTACAGGCATTTGAGCTGCAAGGGAGTCAGACTGTTGGTGAGAGGCATATAAGCATGACAAGATTCTCCCCCAACGGAGAGTTGGTTGCTGTTGGTAACTGGGGTGGTCAAGTCAAGCTGGTTGAGATACCTAATTTGACGGAGAAGATGAGCTTCCGTGGACATAACAATAAAATCAGCGGCCTCTCGTGGTTTCCTGGGGCTACCCTGCCGGAGAGTGGAGTTTCCCCAGACTCTGTCAACCTTGCCTCTGGCGGTGCCGAGGGGATGGTCCATGTATGGTCTTTGAACCAGGACACCCCTTTGTCAAGCTTCAAGGGGCACTCGCAGAGAGTTTGCCGGGTGGAGTTTCATCCATCTGGCCGGTACCTCGCATCCGCTTCGGAGGATACATCATGGCGACTCTGGGACGTGGAATCAAATGCGGAGCTTCTACTTCAAGAGGGCCACTCCCGTGGTGTATACGCCATTAGTTTTAATACGGATGGCTCTCTGCTTGCTAGCGCAGGCCTGGATAGCATTGGACGAATATGGGATCTACGGTCAGGACGCACCGTAATGATTCTCGACGGCCATATGGATGGACACATCAAGCCAATACACGCTTTGGACTGGAGCTCCGATGGGCACCGAGTTCTATCTGGCTCTGCTGATGGGTGGATAAAATGCTGGGACGTCCGAAAAGTACAGAGGTCCGGTGGCATCGGTGCTCATAACAGCGCTGTTTCCGACATGCGGTGGTTCAAAGGCTTGGACGACCCTCTGCTCGGAATCCCACCGGGCCAAGACGACAAGGGAATGCAGCTGCCCAAGAAGGCAGGGACATTTTTCGTCTCAAGCGGCTTTGACCGAAATGTGAAGATCTTCTCAGCTGATGATTGGACCTTGGTTCAAACACTGAGCGGGCACACAGCTCCTGTTGCCAGCGTCGACTACAGCAGAGATGGACGGTGGATTGTGAGTGGAGGGCACGACCGCACAGTCAAGCTCTGGGGAAGAAATGACGGCGAGGCGCTATAGTCAATATTTCTGTACTTAGATTCTGAGTGGAATAATTGGCAAATCGGAATTGATACCCAGGATGGCAATTTAAGAAATTACAAACGTTTTACGATGACGAGTTGGATATGAGTTTCGCACCACTTACAAGTGACCTCTCTTGATTAGTCATGTGACAAGTGGCTCCAGATTAGATAACGGGGACCGCAATAATATGTACACGACCTTTGTACTCGTCTGTCGCGCCAGCGCCAAACTCCGTCATGACGTCCAAGCCGCTGCGCTCAGCAAAGTGAAAAGGAAATCAGGTTCATCCCTGCCGCAGAGTTCTCCATGAACTTTCACAGTCGCCGCCTCCCGCCAATTTCCAACGTGACCTAACCGTCCTCAGCAATGGCAAGCATCGACCGCTATCGCCCTCCGCGAGAGGGATATCAGCCTCCTAGCCTTCAAGGATCCGCGCGCCATGAAAGGCCATCCCGATCGCCTCCTCGACGTCGCGAGGTCCCTCCGGCGGCGCCCACGCCCCCTCAGCACAGCGCGCGTACGTCTCCTCCACGGCCACAGGCGGCATCCAGCCAACAGACTCCGTTGCGATCCGGAGAGGAAACACCGCTGGCGCTGCCGAATCAATGGTTCTTCACCACGGACGAGGTCCACAGCACACCCTCCATCATTGACGGAATTTCTCCCTCGGAGGAGAGGCTTCGGAGAGCGAAGGGGATCAACTTTATATACCAGGCTGGCGTGATGCTTGACCTACCGCAGATTACACTATGGGTCGCCGGAGTATTCTTTCACAGATTCTACATGCGTTTTAGCATGGTTGGAGAGAAAGGCGGCATTCATCACTATGTATGTCTCTGTTTTCTTTTACCTTTTGCTCCGCTTTTATGACTTGCTCGACAAGCCATTCTGGCCCTCATAAGTTTTTGGCAGCTATTTGGTGGCGATGCTAATCTTTTCGACTCAGAATATCGCCGCAACTTCTTTGTTCCTTGCCAATAAGACCGAGGAAAATTGCAGAAAAACCAAGGAAATCATCATCGCCGTGGCTAGGGTCGCTCAGAAAAACACAAAATTGATTATTGATGAGCAGAGCAAAGAGTACTGGCGATGGAGAGATAGCATATTGACCTACGAAGAAGTCATGCTAGAACAACTAGCCTTCGACTTGATGATTGACAACCCATATCGCCATCTTTTCGAGCTTCTTGGGCAACTGGAAGTCATCCATAACAAGCATCTGCGGCAAGCAGCCTGGGCATTCTGCAACGACGCATGCCTTACAGCCCTGCCGCTTTTGATTGAAGCAAGAGATGTCGCCATCAGCTCCATCTACTTTGCTTGCGCCCACACAAATCAACAGATTGATGATGTGAATGGCGAAGGCTGGTGGAAGTTCCTGAAGGGGAGCGAAGACTGCTGTACAAAGGCCATCGAGGTGATGCGTCAGTTTTACACGGAGAATCCGCTTAGAAAGCAGAACCCGTCGCTGCCATCACCTGCCTTCCACCTTGAAAACACAAGGAGGCGAAATGACGATCTTTCATCCAACGCTGCAACACCGATGGAGCTCGACCGCGAAAGCCACAGCCCAGCTCCCAAGACAAACGGAGGGACAGACAGGCATTCGGATGGGAGAGACAAGGAACACGACTCCCTAAAGGTACCAGGTGATGGTGAATACGCACCACGATCGCCCTCCAAGAGGAAAGACACAGAAGTTGAGATGTCGGCGGAGAGTGAAAGAGCTGAAAAAAGGGCCAGGCTCTCGGAAGATGAAGAGGGCGAGCTGGTGGAAGATTGAGCCGTTGGAGCAGATGTATAATCTGTATCCCTGGTATGATGGCGGTTTTGGCGTTGGGGTTATTATCACAAAGCGTTTTCTTTGCGACGAAACGACGGAACGGTCTCAGCAAAGATATGACGTTTCTCTTTCATGTTTCAGGCAACGCTACGACCTTTGAGGATGGCGTTGGGGCTCCTTTCTTTTCTGCTTTTTTTTATTCCCGCTGCTAATTGTATCGATCGCCCTGACATGTTGGATAGAGATTGCCGCATAGGCACCATGGTATAAATGTTACGTACTGAACCTGGAGGTTAGGTGTGTTTTTTTGGTGGAAGCTGGACAGAAATTGATATCCCGAATAATTAACAAGATATTCGATACGTTGAGCTTGGTAATATGTGATGCGAAATATCAATTTGACAACCAAAGCTATGTGCTCTAAAAGCATCGTGGCAGCTCACACTGCGATACATCTCGGTCCGTGTTAAAGGTGAAGGTATATCGCCTTTGGGAAATGAGCAACTTCATTTGTGTATAACACGGTATGACTCTTACTCTCTTACTCAGCTGCTGCCTGGAATGCAAACAGCTGAAGACAACTACCGTTTGCCAGTTCTGCCACTCCCCGAGCTCTGGCCGCCCCAAGCATGCAGCTGCCTAGAGCTGCCTAGAGAACTATAAAGAGTGCCCGTCACCCGCCGCCACCTTTCAGCTTTCTTTCTTCTTTTCCTTTTCCTCAGCTCTCTTTGCCAAATGGCTTAGATCAAGTGTAGTATCTGTTCTTTTCAGTTTAATCTCTGAAACGTCCTCTACTGGAGGCGAATTTCGTGGTTATTCTTATTTTTGGTTCTCTGGGCGGAAGCGTTCCTCTGCGCTTGCGCATGGTGCTTCTGCTCACTGTGTCCCTGGTATTACACTGCTTCCGGGTGACGCGACCTTTTCATTGCTTGCGTTGGCTTGTCCAGCGAGGTGAAGAAGAGTGATTTTGTAGTGGATGAAGATTCCAGGGCCGTATCAAGGTCAAGTCTGTCAGGACTCAGGTTACGCGATATGAAATGAGCACGGTTGCGTCCTGGCTGGCGTTGGCGCGTCAAAGATGCTGGGCTTTTGAGCTACAAATCCTGCACAATTTTCAGCAGATGTTGAACACAGCATCTCTCCATATGAACTTCTTCCTTCTGCAATACTCCTGCTTGTATCCAATCCAATAAGAAAACGCAAAATCAAAGCTCATCGAGTCTCGTCGGCATTCATCTCGAGGTCTCCCAGATTTTCCCAGAAACAGCTTAGCGCGGCCTAGAGCTATGGTGCTTTGCTTCAAAAAAAGATGACCATGGGGAGCTTCCACTTAAACAGTCTCTCGCCAAACATTACCCGTATCAACCAACCGAACCCTCTATACCACCGCTCTTTTGCTTTCGCTACGGGTTGTTGAATTCTTCCTTTAGAGAGCGTTTACCCGCGGCTGTCACATCACAATGGCCACTCTGGGAGGCTACCTCAACAGTGAGCGCGACGCCCCTCGTCCAACCCCGCAGGCAGCCCTCGTTGATTTTGACTAACGCTTTGTTGTGCCTGCAGAAAAGGTCCTGATCGTGACGGCAGACTCGCGAATCCTTGTTGGGGAGCTGGCAGCATGTGATGCGTCGACAAATCTGGTATGCAATTGTCCTCTTTTCGCCATCAAGAGCGCTTCCCGAAAGCTGCTTTCTTCGGCCTCTCCGAGACAAAACGCAGGTGCTGACCACTTTGTGCTATTAGGTTCTGAAAAACGCCTTGGAGAGGATTATCCGAACACCTGACGATCCGGATCCATCAGCCGAGGTCCCTCTGGGGTTGTATCTCGTACGAGGCGACAACGTTTGCTCAATTGGCCTTGTCGACGAAACGCTAGACGAGAGCATAGACTGGACACAAGTAAAGGGGGCGGTAATAGGAGGAATTAAACACGTTTAGAAATCATCCTTTCAAGAACCGTACTCCAAGATATCACGGGGCAGCGAGTTGAAGGATTTACAAGAGAAAGAGAGGAACCAATTAGAGTTAATTTTTGTTTCGGGTACGGGGTCATTTAGGCACTTGGAGTGCTTGGAGTTGGGATATACACATGCAAAAGCCTTTCTGCAAAAGGGTACGATTTATATGGATTTAATACTATGGTTTTCATTCTGAGATGCTTTTGCTGACATGGCTCTCTATCCGAAGATTTTAAAACAAAGGTTGCATTAACCAAATACGCGCTGCATCCATACCTCTTTGAAGGTGTTCTCTCCAGGGGTTCCAATCACCCGCCTGATTCTGTTTCCCTTGCGGACGCTCAACCATCCCATTGTGTCGCCGGGGACCTCATCCAGAGTGACGAGATGAGGGTCGGCCTCAACGTCATCTGTCAGATCCACCAGAGCAGCCTCACCGGGCTTGGATCTAATACGCTTGTCCAGGATGTACGATCCCTTGGTCCACTGCCCGACTGTCTCGACTCGGAGATCTTCAGGCTTCGCGGGCACCTTCCATCGGGGGTCGTCGTGGGTCAGCACGTACCAAACTGTGAAGGGATCATGCAATGCCAGGGCTGGCTCGTTGCCATCACCCTCCATAGAGTCGATCTTGTTGAAAGCTCCGTTGATGAAGTGGCTAGCCCATCGAGCAAGAGGGCTGCCGGCATCAATGTAGGGCTGAACCGTTTCGACAAAGTAGTTCTTGTTGATGGCATGGCGTTCCGTAATGTCTAGTGGGCACAGAGTTACTGTAAGTCGGCGAGAGAGTTTCGCAGGGTACGGCTTGATGTTGACGTTGCTAGGAATGGGGGGCATTGTCGATGCTGGGCTGGGCGATGAAAGAGCATAGACAAGAGCGGCGGCAAGGGGGTCCGCGTAAGTGTTGAACTCTGCCGAGGGAGTGACGTTACCGGGGACCTCGACGGCTCCGCCCATGACTATCAGCTCCTTGACCTTGAGGAACGTCTCAGGGTCCTCGGTAGCAGCCAGTGCAACGTTTGTGAGGGGCCCAACGGCGAGAATGCTGATGGTGTCTGCAGGGTTCTCTCTGAGAAGACGCAGCATTTCTTTGTGGGCGGGCTCCTTGGATGGGGTGAAGCGTGGGTAGGATGAGGTGTGGTCATTGCCGTCTTCTTTATCGAAGAGGGCCTTCCAAGTTTCGGCGGGGCTCAAGTCAGTGTGTATATCATGGACGTTGTGCAACCCATCAGCGCCATCTATATTAGTAGACCTCAGTTAGTGTTCATCAGGAATAGGATATGTATATCAATAAGGGGGGGAATCATACGGAAGTAATCAGCAGCCAAGACAGGGTCTGCCAGTGAATGTTCAGCACCAGCAGCCACGATGGTCTTGTGGGCCTTCAAGGTCTCATAGCCTTCTGGGCGACCCTGGGACTTCCTCCACTCGAATTCCTTTTCTAGGACGTGGTACAACGCAGCTACGTTGCGAAGGCAGCTATTTGAAGAAAAAGTCAGATGGTGTGATTAACAAATAGGGTTTATTATTCATCATCTTATAGGCATACCATTGTAGAGGAACGTTGCCGTACGTGACTGAGATCATGGCCAACTCAAGCTCCTCGGGAGAGGCGCTGAGGGCCAGGAGAAGGGCCATGACATCGTCAACACCTTGGAATGGAGTAAGTTTAGGTCAAACAAGAGAGGTTAGAAGAGGAGAATTACCTGGATCAGTGTCCAATATGATTTTAGATTTTGGTGCCATTTTGGACCTGGATGGGATTAGAATGTTTTCTAACAACGATTTGACAAGTTCAGAGAGGGGCAAAAAAAGAAAAGAACATACAGATTTAAACAACTCTTCAAGCGCAAAATTGGAGCTTTTCTCGATCTAAAGGGAAGGTCCGACAGGTCTAGACGAACAAATCTCTCAACAAGGCTACGGGATTATGAAAGTCTTTAATACTAAATCCTTTCAACTCATCCACAACCGCGTAACTCGCCTCTCCGCAAAAAGTAGCCTTGGCGGGGTTTTTGGGGGAATTTTTTTCTGGGTTTCCTGCTGAGATAATCCTCTCTCCAACGGCACACGGAGCCCACCCCCGTTTTTTTGCGACTATCAGCGGCCGGCGACGGCCGAAGCACGCCCTTCTCTAGCTTGACTCTTTTGGTTGTGATTCACGGTGTTTGCCAATTCGAATTCGTAATTTGATGTTTGCATTTGGCCATGATTTGTTGCTGTTTTGTTTATTGGGCTCGATCCGGTTTGTACGGATTTCCATTCTGGGCTGGGGTGCAGTTGTGTTGGCGGGGCGGGCGGGAAACGGGCTTGAGGCTACATCTTGGAAATGCAGCATATCACTAAACAAGCCGGCTTATTTGAACAGTCATGTCTTGGTGATCAAGTGGTTCAAACAACTATGATTGTGTCATACGCGAGATGTTTGTTGAAATCTATGTGTAATGTGCGGCATTACTAGACAGCTGTTGCGAGCTCTCCGTTTCTATCTTATACATGGAAATTGCTTCAGCCGTCGCCTATGGTATAGCGGGAGTGCTGCATAACTTCTCTCTTCATCAATCCTAGGAGCGCGAAAATGCTAACAAGAGAGTCAAGATATCTATAGACAAGAGAATATACGAGCTTTAGCATTTGATAAAAAAACATCAATGAAAACGAAGCTGCTGCGCAATGCCATTTCTCAAGAACTGCAGGGTAAACAGATGCTCCATCCAAGAGCAGAACCAGAAACCGTTACACTCATGGAATCCTGCTGCACATTGTGTAACAGGGCATGATCCTCTGCGGCAATATCGAATCTACCTTCGGTACCTTGCATTTACAGCGGCGAGGCGCAACAAGCTGATGCAGGCCTGGAATCCCGTTGACCATCATCGAGCGTGCTATTGGATCAGTCGCTACTTGATGCACCCGGCAGGCCCATAATTCCTGCAAGGTCGATGTTGATGTGCAGCAGTGGCCAGCACCTGAAGCGAACGCTATAGGCCTGCTCAAATTCAGTTGACAGTGATCTCAAGGCGGCCGGATTTTCTAGAATTGCCGGCTGGCAGTGAATGCCATGCAAAGAATAATTGGCAACTACGGCAACAAAGAAAACATTCAACTTGCCACTCTCACAATTCCATCTGCCCTTCAACGCAACGCGACGCGCAGCCAACGCATCCTCGCAACTCTCCCATCCGAGACACAGTTCCTATCCTAACCGCTAGGGGACTCTGCATCTCCAGGCCCAGGGCACGGCAATCTTGCCACCGAACGGCATTTTAGCGAGACGATCTGATAGCGTCTCCAAGGCAGAAGCTCTCCCCGTAAAGGGCCAGCAAGAAACATCCAGTTACGTGCCCCACCAGATTCAATTTCCCCCCTTGGCTGAGCCACTGAGGCGCTCGCGTTCGGGTCCCCCTGGTCGGCTTTTTCCCTTCGCCCTTTCCGACTGGCCAGCAGCCCTGCTCCTCGTTTCCCCATTGGCGACGTTGCGGCAACAAACACCCCTGCTTTGCGTTGAAGCCACCTGGTGCTTTTCTTTTGTCGTGTCCTCAACCGCCTGTACGTTTTTCTTGTTTCCTTTCTATGCTTGTTCGCTGCCATCCATCATCAATCCCGCGTCTGGGCAATTGGGGCATTGCGGCTGTCCTTTTCACATTCCCCTCACATCTTTCCGTGGTCGGTTCTTGACGTTTCTGCCAGATTGCGGATTTGCGCCAGCCTCGAAGGTTTGCCGCTGCAGTTAACCCTGCTGCATCGCTCCGCTGGTATAAAACGCTCCAGCATCCGTCAACGGTAGCACCTCCTGCAGCTATCCGACAATCGATCGAGCACCTGGACGTTGCGTCTCTCTAATTTCCTTTTCAGCTCGCTGTTTGTCGCACAGGCCATCGTCGGCTCAGGGGAGAAGCAAAAGACAGAGAGCAGCCGTTCATCTCGATATCGCGGCGTCGATTTCTGCCACCACATATCACAATCTCACTTTGCCCACTGATAGCAATTTAGAACGCGAAAGCATTTTAAAATCATCATGGCCGATGCAAGCATGCTTTACACCATCGGCGCCTATGCCACCCTGATTGGGTTTGGCTATGCCATCTATCACCTTTCGACACAAAAGGACAAGCAAAAGGGCGGCGTCACTATTACCAAGCCTGCAAAAGCCCCCCAGCAGCCAGCGGCTCGAAAAGAAGACCGAAAGAAGAAGCAGCGAATGGAAAGCTATGCGACTGAGAGCAAGTCATCCAAGCCCGAAGCCCAGAAAGAAAAGGCTCCCGAAGCCAACCAGTGGCTGAGCAATGATGCCGAGAAGCAAGAAAAGCTCGACAACCGAGAGTTTGCCAGACAGCTCTCCAAGGCCAAGGAGGGTGCCAAGTTCGACAACAAGAAGGAGGCTGCCAAGCAGCGAGAGAAGACTGTGAAGCAGTCCAAGGCTAACAAGTCCAAGGCTGCGCCGGCCCCAGAGGCCGTCATTTCTGCCCCGTCGTCCAACGGCGCCGACGCCGACGATGACGAGTCTCCTGTTGCTCTGTCTCCCGAGACTCGTCCCGTGGACGTCAGCGGTGTCAGCGACATGCTCGAGCCAACCTCTACTACCGGCCCTTCCGTTCTCCGTCTCACTGATACCGAGTCCAAGAAGCAGAAGAAGAAGGCTTCCAAGAACCCTGAACCGGTTGAGACCAAGAAGCAGAGACAGAACAAGAAGAAGGCCGAGGCCGCCAAGGCTGCTCGTGAGGAGAGTGAGAAGGAGCGCAAGGTTCTCGAGGAGAAGCAGCGCCGAACTGCTCGCATCGCTGAAGGCCGCGCTGCCAAGGATGGCTCTGAGTTCATGGCAGCCGTCAATGGAAAGAAGTCTGCTTGGGACGGCACCAATGGAACCAACGGTGCTGCTGCTAAGAACGGAGATGCAGCTGTCCATGCCCCTCTTGATACCTTTGAGAAGTCCACTCCTGCCCCCGCTCCCAAGAAGGAGACTGTCAATCAGCTAGAGAGCTCTTGGATCTCAGCTCTCCCCTCCGAGGAGGAGCAGATGGAGATGCTCAAGGAAGAATCTGATGAGTGGAACACCGTCAAGACCAAGTCTTCCAAGAAGTCCAAGAAGGCCCCGTCAGTCGAATCTGGAGAGGAGGCCACTCAGGCCCGTCCTGCGGCTCAGACTCAGCAATCCACCGAGACCAAGACCCGTCCTGCGGCTAAGCCTGCAGCCGCCAAGAACTTTGGAGGATCTTTCTCTGCATTGACCACTAAGGACGATGATGCCGAGGAGGAGGTTGAGGAGGAGTGGGATGTCTAAAGCCCCGGATGCACGACGACGAATACAAACTGTGCATATATTGCCCAGCTGCAGGGGGGCGGACTAACGCATATTCCCCCAGCCGCTGTATACTACTCGCCAAACGGACATACCTCTAGCCGTTGGCATTTTCTCTTGCTAATCTGTATGGATGCCATGTATGTTGGATTTGAGAGATATTCTCCGGAAAACCTACCTCAGGACGCAAGAATACAAAACCAAAAACACACAAAAAAAATATGAGACGAGGCTTATGGATGCATTTATTCGGCAGGCAATATGCCAAATGTCTAGTGGTCAGGGGGGGATTGCGGAATCGACTTGTTTTAGCGCATCATGAAATGCCATCAGGTCGACCTTTGTTTTCTTTTTTCCCACTTTTTCTTTGTTGTTCTTTTTAATCTTCATCTTCTTTTACCTTTGTCACTGCATTACGTATTTGGCTGTTGAAGAGCGAGACTGGGAAAACGGTCTTGCGGCAGAGGCAAACAAAAAAGGGAGGACGCAGATGCTACGAATGAAACTATTCCGGATGGACAATGGACGAGATACAAAGACGCGTGTATGTAAATAAATACTGTTGGTATCAGATCTCAAAATGGGAAAATCTACGCTTGCTAAGTGCATTCAAGGTGATTGATAGGAGGTGGTGCTGTTTGTGATGGTCCAAGTGAATCAGGACACCTTGATGGCACCATAGTCTAGTAGCACTAACAAAAATCAATTGATGCCATTTGCTCATTGCTAGCAAACAATGTCCCAGCTGCACCTGTGTTTGGGCATAAATGAGGCTGATTTACTGTCAGTATGACACTAGAAGCACTGATTGAACATAGAGCATTGAAGCGACGCTGTGTCCGCACGGCCTATTATCATCTCAAAGTTTGCCTCCCAGGGCGCCTCTGCCCGCATTCCGCACCCATTCCGATTTGGAGCAAGGCCCCGATCGAAATGCCTGAGGTGGTGCCTGGGGTGCAGCAAGCCACACCTCCCTCAAAATGCCTTCGTTCCCCCGGACTAACGTAGCACTAACAAAACATTGAATGTCTACGGGGTAGTATTGGATGCTACATTGGCATTCCTGTAGGCTTTGGCTGGCCCCCTAAACAACGGGCGGCTGTTTTTACTGCTGTTGCTGCTGTATTTGGGCGGCTACAACGAGGCACACTCACACAATCACACACACGCACAGGCATCCTTGGCGCTTCCCGGACGTCCGCCTCGCTTTTCGTGGCGTGGCCAGTTTTGTAGTGGTGGTTGAGTCGGAACCGGGTGCCGTGAGCCCAAGCCAGCTATGGAGCACGGCGATTTTTACTTCTTTTTCTCAGAGTGGCCGCTGCGGGTCTTATTATCCGACTCTCTAGACTCCATCGACATACATGTGCTGAAGTAGGCAGTGTGGCTAGTACCTGTCTCGTGCCTTGAAGGGAGGCGCTGCAGGGCCGTCTTACACCAACCGACTACAGGCGTATTTATACATTTGCGTACGTAGTTTCTGTGTTATCAGTTCACGAGATCGATATTCGGGCTGTGTGTCGTCTCTCACATCTTCCATCAGCAATGCCGCCGAGAATGTGCAAAAACTCAATGGGAGTGGGCGGACGGGTGGACGTCGTCCCGGAGAGGAATTTTTGTTGTTGGCTTGCCACCACGGCGGGACGGCCAAGTCGGCTCCCGGTGCCACCCTTTCGACATGGCTGACTTTTTTTCCCTTAACCTTTTCTGCTTCGTGATTGTGAATGATACGACAAAGTTACCATGAGCCAGTAGGCATCGATACTGGCCTTCCGCGGTCCCGAGGCAGCAAACTAATCCGTAATTCTCTTTCCCTTCTCCGTCTCCTCTTATTCTCAGGCTCGCATTGTTCTTACGCACGGAACGTCGGGATCAAGTGAGATATTTTCGCTGGTGTCAGCCAAGCAGGTGGGAATGCGCAGCGGGGGGGCCAGCGCACGGCCAAGGACGGTCATTGACTCGATGACGACGACTCGTGAGGGGGGGAAAAAGTCAAACATTGAAAGTCCTAGAATGTAAATTGGAATCTTTTCTTTTTTCCTGACCGAAATCTGCTGCATCTGTTCGCTAGCTTAGGCACCAGGTCTCGTCCGTGCGTACATGTGTAGTCAGTATTATGTGTTGAGGGCGCAGTAGAGCGAGTTGATCATGGCAGATGACGGCGACGTGGCATGTTGGTATTAGACGCTTCTGCCGCTGCTGTCCAGTCAATGCCAGAGAGCACGCAAGGGGTTGGCCCGTTAGTCTTTATGCTTTTCTCTAATTCTTTTCGACACATCTGTTTTTCTGGCAAGCGAGGAACCCCCAAGCTTTACCCGACCCTCTTGTGATGTCAAGAATCTGAGAGGCGCCGCCTGCGCCTGTGGGGAGCAAATAGAAGGTCGAGAATGCCCAACATGGGAGGCACAAGTCGCCATTGGCGGCCACGGCACGGCGCTCATACGAACGGACGGGGTCGATAGCGCAACTTGGCTTCAGTAGCCCCGTGGCACGAGCACGAACAAGCGCAAATGGTCGTTGAAGAGACAAAGTTGCCAGGTCCGCAAAAGGCCAAACCTCAAAGGTCAATTTTGGACCCCGGAACCCTGGACGTGCCACTTGCCGCTTGAGGCAATAGGGAATCAGAGAAGGGTACAGTACATGGGCATTGGGCGCAGCCTGGCCACCAGAAGAGGTACCCCCTCCCCCATGGGTATCAAGCAATGAAACGAACGACAGGCATTGTCCCCCGTTCCGCATTCTCGCTTGCTGGCGTAGGGTCCATTTGCTGGGCGAGGATCCCCAATGCTGTGCCCCCCCAGAGAAAGATCCTTATCTTACTGTGATGATGATGCGCAGCGCTCGCACGGAGTTGAAACGCAGAGACTCAAGTCGAGTGTTTCACCCGCGAGGCATGCTGCTCCAGCCCGCCGCACGCCAAGCGCTGGAGTCGCGCGCGCGAAGACGACCAAAGCAGCATAGAAGGGACGAAAAAGATGGGGAATTAGACCGACGCCGTATGCGAGGACCGCGGACGGAGCGCCAGCGGCCCTCTTAGTTGATTGGGGGACCCGTTTCTCCATGGATCTAAGCGGTGACCGCGCCCCCGAGCAAGACGTATTCGCAGCACTAAGATATTGCGGGCAGGTATCCGAGCTCAGTAAAATGAGAGAAATATCACGACCCTCTCCGTATCTGCCACTGGGGACGGGCGTGGGTAATTAGACTCGTAACGCTTTCGCAGGCTGCCGTGCCGTGCCGTGACTTTGTGGTGATTGAACAGAGTTTCGAATGCCTCATGAACAAAAAGATGAACGCAGGAAAACAGCAAAGAAAAAAAAAAAAGGTTTCTGCAGCAGGTAGCTGATATTGAACTCTATTGGGCCTCGACGGCCGAAGCGCAAGCCTCTGGCGGCGTTTTAGGTTCCTCCGCAGACGGGGTGGACAGCAGTAAAATGAAGCCTAGGCCACATCGCCAGCTAAGCTCCCGGCGGTGCCTTTCTCGCATGCGCCAGGACTGCTTGAGTCGTACAAGTAGCAGCGCTGTTTGAGGCCTTTGTGGCGAGCCGTCGCGGGGTCCAGGCTAGCGGGCCTCACCACTGTCAGGCAATCATAAGGCCCTGGTCCCCCCCTGCCCATCACGGCCTCTCTGATCCTCTGATCTGCTGTCGAAAAACCGCCGCTGGGCTTGTGGTAGCGCCGCATCTTCAGCACGTTACAGCGCAGCGATCTCTCTTGCGTCGATCTGCGCCTCTCCCTTCCCTCTTCTCCATCTCTCACACACTCTCCGAGACCTCCCTCCACGTCTCTAATTTTTTTTTTTTTTTACGCGCCTCACCCCAAAATCCAACCCTCCTCCAAAAATAGAGGCCAGCCAGCTGGACTTGCTGCCGCCCCCCTGGTGCTTATAGAGGCTTTGCTTTTATTTTTGGCGCTGCTCGTACTGAAACGAACCTCGTCGCTACGCATTTCCGCCCTGCCACCGTCTCGCCTCGCCATCTCCTTTCCGCAGCCGCCTCTTCTTTCCTTTCATCTCATCACTTTCGCATTGTCCTGCGTCATTGCCAATTTTCCCTTTTTTGTTTCTTTCTTAGTCTCTTTCTTTTCATTGTTGTGACGACTTTCAATTATTCTGTCTTTTTCTTTTGTCACGGTGCTCTTCTCCCTCCATTTCTTTACCGCACTCAACCTCCTGGGGACGTCTCGAGACTTGAAACTGTCGCAGACCCCCCTTAACTTTCTCGACGATACGCCTCGCTACCCCCACGCCTCCAATCGATTTACGAACTATCGAAATCTTCCATTCCAGTGTGCCTAACGACGACTTTCTCTTCTGGATAGCAACCTGCTTGTTATTAGTGGTCTCTTTCTTTGGGCTGCTGGACTCTCATTTAGCCGAATTCGCTGCGTTTTCCATCACGACTGTTCGCTCTCTCGATACCGACACTTGAACACGCCATTCTACGTCCATGTTGAGGATATCAAACGCCAATTGAAAGGCATTCTACATACGGGGACGTGCCCTGTAGCCTTCCATCATGTCCTTCCCCGTCGCGCTACAGTCGGCCATCTTCTACCTGCTTGCCTGCACACCATGCGCTGAGGTACGGCATCGTCACAAGGCCAAGGGCCAGGCCAAGAAAGAGAGGGTAGAAAAGGCGAAACTGGAGACGCAGCAACCTGGCTTATATCGACATCCCTCACCGTTCAACACCAATCCCTACTGGCAAGAAGAGATTCGCATGGGACCTAGCTTGCCGAAGAAATCGGCCAGCAAGAACTCAAGCCAACGGGGGCTGATGAGCGCGGGAGGAGAGACGACGGGAGGAGAGATCAGTGCACTTAGCCTATCAGGGCGGACAAACACTGGCGATAGCCACACCAATTTCGGAGACAGCACGTTGGTGGTATCACAGGATGGCATTCTATCAGATGACTGGAATTCGCGGCACGGATACCAGCGCGAGGACGAGGAGCTATGGGGAGCAGATTGGACTGGCCACAAATTAAAAGACGCCTTTTCCAAAGCGAGGGATTCGGCTGGAAAGCTAATTGAATCAACACTGGGCATGGATAAAGAAGTAACAGAGGAGGAACGCCGTCAATTTTATGCGGCCCCACGAAACCCACCGGTCAACGACCTTCACCCACCCGTCGTCAGCAGCAAACTGCCTCACAAGGAGGCTCACAAATGGATGCTGCAGCCACCTCCGTCTGCCAAGGTTATGGAAGGCAAGGTGCCTGTCAGCAGAGCCATGAGCGCTAGTAGCAGAACAAGCGCGAGGACAGCTGCAAGTGGGAGGACAGCTGCTAGCGGAGAGGAAAGACTGGCTCGCCAACTGCAGGAAAAGCTGGTCAGAGAGAAGATTATGAAGGAATTACCGACGGAATCTGAGCTGATCGACTCACTCTTCGTTTCCCGAACTCGCAGCACCCGATCTGATTTGACACGGACACGTAGCCTGTCATTTGACGGCGGCTCTGACGAGGCATTGGATAACCGAAGACGGAACAACCGCTTGAGAGCATTGGCTGTTCCTCCCGGATACGAAGAGTCAGAGGATGAGTACGAAGATATATTCACACCTCGCATCACCAAGAGCACCAGCAACTCTAGTCAGCCTGGACACGCTGCGCAACGACCGAAGCTGGAAACTATCACCAGCAGTGAAGGCAGCAACCGATCACGGTCAAAGAGGTCAAGACGGCACAGATCTACCAGGAAGAAGAACCTGCCTGGAACGGGATCACCTGTTGGAGATGACTCTGACTAAAGACGCCATATGACAGCGTTCCTTTCTTAAAACACCAACATGCGACTGTACTGCACAAACGGCGCAATGATCTGCTTTGCTTTTGCTTAGTTCCTTTGCTTTGTCTATCTTTTTGAGTTTTTTTTTATTGGTCTTTTCTTTTTTCCACATACATATTCTTTTTGCTTCAGTTTCAAGCATAGCACAAATGCGGGCGCTGGGAGAGGGAGAGAAAGAGAGGCATCCTTTTTGGGTAGTGTTTTTTGTGCTTTTGGTTTTTGGGTCTGCCCGTTTTTTCTCTCTGGTGCACGTTTAAAAGGCATGGCGTATTTAGGCTGTGGGCTTTTGGTTGTTGGCTTGTTTTTTTGGTGTATTTGTAGTAGCAAAGAACAAAAGAGGCGAGTTTCAAAGCCTACTGGAGGTGCAGTGCTAGCTTTTGCACAACAAGATTGGATTCTTTTCCACGCATATTTGACGATTCTGTTCCGTGATGTTGGCTGTGAAGCTGTGCTTACTTTGCCCAAGAGGGGCTATATATCTTTGGGGCATCTACTCAGCCCAATATAGAGAATCCAAAACGCCTACCATGCAGCCTGATTTTGACCCTTTCCCTTAGATTCCATTTTATTTCCATATTTTGCGCTTAGAGATGCAGACCATCCTCCTCAGTATTATCTTGGCCTTCTCCCCCTTGCGTCGTTGATTGTGCAGCATTACCACTGGATGGCGCATTTTGTCCTGTCGGTTGGCTATCAAACCGTACTTGGCCGTTTGATATCGTGCCGGTCTGAAATGTGCCGTCCGTCCAAGCCGAATGCCTCGTCTCGCCGGGCTGGCTAGCATCAAGCTCTCCATTAACAAGCCCGTTTATAGCAGCCTCTTCAATCCCCTCGACGCCCGCATCTGTGTTTGTCGCCGCCGCCGTCGCCGTCGCTGTCACCTCATCTTGGCTCTGAAACTCGGTCCAGCTGATGCCTCGGTCTTCCACCTCCACGCGGACAATGGCCAGGCGCTCTGCCATGCGGTCGATGACGAGCTCGTTTTCCTTGATGGCGTCGATGCAGTCCTGGTCTGGCTCTGCGCTGGTGGAAGTGGGTTCGCCGCCGAGCGCGACGGATGTGCCTTCTGCAAAGGGCTTGAGCTGGTCGTTGGAGTATTGGAGGTGGGCGATGGAGTTGCGGATTTCGAGGACTTTGAGGTGAAGCATGCCGATGGAGAGGTCTTTGATGGCGGAGGCGAAGCGGGAGGGTGAGATGGGGGTTGTGTCGGCGGACATGGTGATGGTGGAGGACTGCTTTCGAGGTGGATCTTTTTGCTGTTGCTGTTTATGAACAGTAATACTCGAGTTTTGCGACAGAATGTTGGAGAAATGTAAGCTGGGAGAGCTCTATGCGCTGAGCAGAGTTGAGGTTATCATGGAGGGGCTGCCCATCATGCACGTTGCAGTGGGGTTGAGCCCGTATGGCGTACCCCTGCCAGCCTAAATCTGTGAGTGGCGCAACGCCCGCAATCTTCTATCCGATTCGGCAGAAGAAATTCTTAGTTTGGGATGGGCGGGCAGCAACAAACTCCAATATCTCTCTCCCTCAATATCCGCCAATTTGGGACTACGACACACGCTGGGGCCATTGTAGGCCTGTTCGGCACCTCCGGCGCGCAGTTGGCGCATTGAACACAGAGCAGAAGATTCGAATCGAGAGAAAAAAAAGAAGACAACACCCCCCGCAGCATGAATGGGCTCGGCTGCTCGAACGCTTCCTGGTCGCTGCTGAGGGCTGCGGCTCGGGGCATTTCGAGACAGGCTGGGACGTGCGCGACCTCGACATCGATAGCGAAGAATGGCACGGCTACGACGGTCTCGCGATGGATGTCGTGCTGTGCTTTACAGAATACTGGGAGAGGGGTGTTGAGGCGGACTGAATGGGCGGGGTTGAAGGCTTGCAGGAAGCTTGATGGTGGTCGCCGGACATTCTTTGGGCCAAAGATTATTCGAGATTATGAGGAGCTGCCGAAGAGTTACAGGGACCAAGCTGGGCTTGCCTTTAGCGGAAGGGACTTGTCAGAGGCGGAGGTCGACAAGATATTCGGTAGGCGTATTGGCGGTAAAAGGGCGAATCACCTGCTGCGAATATTACACGGCAGAAGAGTATCGGGGACGCTGGAAGATCCTGCCTTTGCGATACATACGGCGCAGTTTACAGAGGAGGAGATTGCCAGGGCCTTGGCGTATCTGCGGAAAACGGTGCCAGTGGAAGAGATTAGGAACGCGGGCTTGAGAGCAGAGGACGAGCTGGAACAGATGGAGCAGGACATGGAGCGGGCAGCTGAAAAGAAGGCAAAGGCCAACAAGGGAGAGGCTAAAGAAGAGGAGGAAGACGCAGCTGAGGTTTACACGCCTGACCCTATCTACGGCCGAAGTAAGATTGACGAGCTGCGAGCTCGGACTAAAGCTAGGGAAAAGGCCAGGGAAAAGGCTCTCGAGGAAGAGCGCAAGGCTAAAGAAGCTGTTGAAGGCGTTTCAGGTCCATTGGCGAAGCGAGATAACCAAGTCCGGGAGATTACGAACCCTAAAGTGGCGGAATACTACAAGGCTGCGCAGTCAGAAATGGAGGCGCCGCCGGAGCTGAAGCCCTGGGAACGAATTCTACCTTCTGCGACTGTTGTGGCCCTGGTACTTGGATTCTTCGCTGCGGTGGCCATGGTCTATGAAGAGCCGGCGCCGCGGTACAGGCTGTTCCAGGAGATATCGACTGCGCACGCAACGGTGGCAGCTCTGATTGGCATCAATGCCCTGGTATACTTGGGCTGGAGGGTGCCGCCGCTATGGCGCCTCTTTAACAAGTACATGATCTTTGTCGTGGCCACGGTTCGGCCCGTCACGCTGTTTACCGCGGCGTTTTCGCACACCAAACTCAGTCACTTGCTGGTCAACATGGTGCCCCTGTGGTTTGTCGGAACGTGTCTCCACGACGAGATTGGCCGCGCGGACTTCCTCGCGCTGTATCTCGGCTGCGGCTCCGTAGGCTTCCTGGGCAGTCTGATCACGTATACGCTCAGGGGCTGGCTGACGGTCACGTCGCTGGGCGCATCGGGAGCGACGCTGGGGCTGTGCTCGGCGTACTTTTGGGAGCATCGCACGGACGGCTTCAAGATCTTCGGGCTGCCACAAGACGGCGTCCATGGCATTGTGTTTTTGGCGCTGATCACGGCGGTGCAATTGGCTGGTTTGGGCAAGACGGTGAAGCTGAAGGTGGATATCGCGTCGCACATTGCGGGGATTGTGGCTGGTATTTTGGGTATTGAGCTGCTGAATAGGACGGAGAGGAGGAAGACGCCTGCGGAGGGGGACAAGACGGTGATTGACATCTTGTCTGGGGAGACGAAGACGAAGACGCATGGGGTGGCTGATGGGGGGAACTAGATGCATGGGATGGAATTTGATGCTATATAGAACTGTACTTATGTAACAACACTACTTACTTTATGACATGACATGAGGATTTTGGAGAGAGAGCATTTGGAAGCCGTTGAGGGTGGTACTCAATTGTGAGCTGTGCTGTGGTTCTGCAGTTTGAAGGATTTGGTACTCGGAGAGAGCTCATGCATAAGGCTGCAGATGCACTAAACCCTATGGCTTTTGGGTCATATACCTGGATGCCATATGAATGGTCTATAAGTAATTCAACTCGGCCAGTGATGATAGTGCCACATCTTTGGAATAATAAAAGAAGAAATTTCCCGAAATAGCATAAATTACAACACCACCTCTGCTGTAGATCTTTGATATTCACCTTGTTGCCTCTCTTCTCTTTGGGGTCACCGCTGCAGCCCGTCGTCATTGCTGCAGCAAAAGATGGAGAGGCAGCCCCACTGAAGACCGCCACCCTAGCTGCCCGTTAGCGCGGCTGCAGTTTCCGGGCAACGACAGCGTCATAACAGACCACCTTGGCAGGAACAGGCCGTGGGGCCCCACTCTTGCGGAAAGAAGAGAGAGTGTGATGTGATGAGCTGGCAGGAGCTTTGCCTTACTTTGAGGCATCAAGGCGAGGTGACTTGCGCCAACGCGAAATGACGATGTCTCTCTTTTTCTTTCATTGCCTTCTCTGTCTCCTCCTCTCCTCTTCTTCCTCTCTTCCAACCTTCTCCCGCCTCCGACAAAACACGTGCGCCTTAGAACCTCCTTTCCGAGCTCCATTTATTCGCCCTCTCCTATCTTTGCGCTTGCTGCAGCCTTTCTTCAGCTGCCGATAGACCGATCAATCAAGCCCAATGGGGCTGACCCTTACTTTTAGCCCTTAAAACTCTCTCTCCGAAATTTGCGCGCCGGAGCTTTTCGCGTTTCGTGGGCGGCACAGGTCCTACGCCTCTAGGCAAACGATAGCTCGGCACCATCCGCCACACACTGCAATACGACGTCTTCTGCTGCGCATATGCATGCATATACCTGACACCACTCGATCCAGCTCATTCCTCATCTGCAGACGTTGCTTTTTGGCAGACCAGCGCTAGCCCAAAGGCGAGGCTGTGAAGAAACCTCGCTGCACGATACTGAACTGGCATAAGCCTCAGCCCACTCTTTTCTGCCTCGCCAAAGGGAAACTCGATTGGCGCATCCAGCCCCTAACGCCTGGAACGCAACGCCCCACGTTAGCGCCAAGATTGGCGCTGCACGTTCGCGTGCCGGGTTTTAGGAAGAGATTCGCTGCAAGCTGGGGTATTGGCGGTGGCCGCGCCTTTGCTTTTTGGCTTTCTGGTTGCTGGGCCTTGAGCCTGCCCACACACCCCGAGACTCCGCATCTGGACCTGCAAAACTAAAACCTTGGGACGCAAGCTGGCTCATATTCGCTCCTTCAACCTGCATCGCTACCTTGCCTCGAGACCGGATATAGGTGGAGAAGCAACGGAAATTTAGGTTTCAGAAAGAGAGAATCCGACAACTCAAAATTTTCTCTTTGTTACGAGATGATCTAGCTTAGATCGCGGCGCACTCGAATTTTCTCTCTAGGGCGTCTTCGCGCGTTCTTCCTCCCACCCTTTACCCTTTTCTTTCCTCTTTATTTTTTATGCAAGGACGACTTCCGATCTAAAGAGCCATGGGTGAACCATCAAGTCCTCTATCCTCGCCTCGCGGCTCTTTCCACGACTCTACCCCGTCGTCACCTCTCTCGACTCTCTCAAACACGCCCTCCTTACCAGACACCTCCGTCTCTTTGGTCGACCCTTCACGACGGTATCCCTCGCCCATGTCGACGACTGCCTCGGGAGCCCAGTCTCCTATGAGATCAACAGCCACCATTAGCCTCGGACAGCCCGTCTCTGACAACGACTCTTCAAAGAGTGCAGATGACGACCAACCCCCGGCTAAAAGACGCAAGGTTTACCAGCCCAAGGAGCGCACAACAGAATATTTGAATTACCTGAACAAGGACGATAAAGATATGACGGCCGAAGAAAAGGCCCAGGAGAAGAGGTTGATTACGGCGCTGCGGAAAAAGAAGAAGATTGTTGTTATCGCAGGGGCTGGCATCTCTGTATCGGCAGGAATTCCGGATTTCAGATCCTCGACAGGCCTCTTCGCACGTGTCAAGAATCAACACAACCTGAAGGGATCGGGCAAGCACCTCTTCGACGCGTCTGTTTATAGACATGATTCCTCAACGCAGTCTTTTCACAGCATGGTCCGGGAAATGAACGACATGACCAAGAAGGCGAGCCCAACGCCATTCCACCGCCTGCTAGCATCCCTGGCTCAGGAAGGACGTTTAATGCGACTCTACTCTCAAAATATTGATTGTCTCGACGCGAATATGGAACCGCTGGCCACCGAGATCCCCCTGCCTCTCAAGGCTCCATGGCCAGCTACCATCCAGCTTCATGGTGGACTACAGAAGATGGTCTGCAGCAAATGTGGCCATTTAGAACCATTCGACGGCCAAATATTTGACGGACCTGAGGCTCCGCTGTGCAAGGAGTGCGTATTGCACGATGAACTAAGAACATCATTTGCCGGAAAGCGGAGTCATGGGATTGGGCGCATACGGCCGCGATTCGTGCTCTATAATGAGTATAACCCAGATGAAGAAGCCATTGGAAACGTATCCAGTGCAGATTTGAAAGCCCGTCCGGACTGCGTTATTGTTGTTGGAACCACCCTCAAAGTTCCAGGCACGAGGAGACTAGTCAGAGAGATGTGCCAGGTTACAAGAGGCCGAAGAGATGGGCTCACGATTTGGATCAATACCGATGCAGAGCCCAAGGATGCGTTATTTAAGGATTGTTGGGATCTTGTTGTACGCTCTCCGTGCGACAAGGTAGCTCACCTCGCAGCTCTGCCTCCGTGGGATTGCGACATCGGCAACGACTATCTCGTGTCTGCAGAGCAAGACGGCCAGAACCAGGAGCGTCTCAAGAATACCAAATTGGAAGTTGCGCTGCCGCCGATTCATATCGATCCCAGCCACGATCGTGAGCTGGATGCTATCCCCACGCCGCAACCCAGCCCTAAGCTTGGGGCCAAGAGGCAGTTGAAGATTGTCCTTGGCAGGGAGCCTCCCGAAAACGCCAAACAAACCAAGACGGCAGCGAAGCCGCGTCCTCGAAAGACAAAGCAGCCCGCTAAGCCCAAGGCTCCTCCGAAGAATGCCGTTACAGAGACGTTCAAAGCTGTCAAAAATGTCGCTAGAGGCAAGACGACGGCGAAGAAGCTTGATGATCCCATTGATCTGTCTTCTCAGCCGCTTCTCCTACCGCCTCTGAAAATTCAACCCCTCAAGGCGGAATCCGACTTCACTTACGATACTCCTCGAAGCGATTTGAGCTCTCTACCTCCTTCCACCCCTCTTGCGCCTCCCAGAAACAAAGAGACGATATCTCCTAAGTCTATACCCCGCAACATGGAAAATTTAATCGATTATTGAGTGAGACGATACAGAGTCGACTAGAATATATATAAAATGGCATTGATATGACGGCGTTATTATTTTATTTCAATGGGACGAAGGAATTTTTGACGGGTACATAACCGGTCATTTGTGGGATTGGGTACATATATATACATCACAGGGACGAAGGATTATGGCTAGGTTGGGAGCCCGGAGTATAAAATCATGGTTACTTATGCCTACGATTATTAAGTATTTACCACCTGGAGTAGAGGAAATCGGAATGGAAAGCTTGTACTACTTGGGAGTCCGAGGGGTTTAACAGGCAGATAGCCTAGATAGAGGCACAGCGAAAATGAAATATTAATGCAATGCTTTAAACTTGTCGATGGCTAGCACGTCTGTAGAGGTGACAAATCAGCCACATTACTCCCTTCTCTCCTCATGCTTTGTATGGACTCCAAAATAACCCATCACCATTCCATTTCTCCTGCAGTCGATCCAACTCTGCCAGCTTCTCTTCGGAGAGAAGGTCCCGTCGCCCAGGGAGGAACTTCATTATGCCGGGGAAAACCCTCCGCGGCAGACCAGCTTCCTCGTCATCTTTCTGTAAAACTGTCACGGCTTCGTCATACAATTCCGCCAAAGCATCTCTTGTAGCAGGCTCTGTAGACCACATTACTCCGATGGTACAGAATCCCCTGTCTCTGTCCTCGATGAATCTCGCCTTGCCTTCTGGTGTAGCGCCAATCTTCGCCATCTTGGACGGATTAAAGCTATGGAACATGAGCGCAGAGCGGACAGCATCTGGGTATCTGTCCGTCACGGCGAGATATTTCCCGTAGGCGTCTTTGAGGGCTTGAGGGGAGAGGCGGGCGAGCCGGTTGGAAGACATGGATTTGAAGCCGCCATGGACATTTATTGGGTCGAAAGTATTGTTGGCGTTGGCGAAGGGGACAAGGACTGTGTCTGCCTTGACGGCCTTTTCGACCAAAGATGGGTTGGAGAGGATTGACCCCGCGGAGGAGGCTTCGGCTTCATTGGCAGGGCCGTAGTATGTGCTTGTGAGCAGGACGATGGGCTTTCCGGCGAATGGAGTTCCTGGAGGACCACGAGAAAAGCCAAAGATGACGTTCATGGGATCTGGAGGAGGGGAGGCGGCGAGGAAAGCGTCAATGGCGGCATCGATGGCTGTGGGAGGGAAGATCAAGGTACGGCTCCAGATGCTGGGAGAGGGGTCGTCCTTGCTGGCTGGCGAGAGGTTCAGGCTGCTCAGGGGGTATGCCTTCATGGTGGCTGAGACGACGACGCAGAGGCCGTGGCCAGTGCCGCAGAGGGCGTTGAAGAGCGCGAGTTCTTCGCCCGTGGAAGAGGAGCTGATTTGGAGCATGTCTCCTGAGGCGGTGACGACGCGGAAGCTGACGACGTTGTCGGCCATCCAGCCGATGAGGCCGTTTTGGGAGCAGTTGCCGCCGCCGAGGAGACACCCGACGACGCCGACGGCGTTGGAGTTGGCCATGGCGGTGAAGTAGCCTTGCTGGGCGAGATGCCGCATGACGTCTCCTGTGAGGGCGCCTCCTCCGATGTGGACGTGGGAGGTTTGCTTGTCTAGCTGGATGGACTTGAGGTTGGCGAGGTCCAGGTAGAGCGTGTTTGAAGTGATTGGGACGGCGGCATTGTGGCGTCCTCCGGCGGGGATGATGGTGAGGTTGTTGAGGCGGGCGAATTTGATGGCTGAGACGATGTCTTGTTCGGTGTTTGGGGTGATGATGATTGCTGGGGGGGAGGTGATGAGGGTGTCTGACCAGCGGGAGAGGAGCTCTGTGGCGGGGGAGTTGGGGGAGGGGATGGAGAAGGGGGAGGTGAGGAGAGAGGTGGATTTGAGTGAGTCTGCCATGGTGTTTTGATGTGTTTGGTGCTGTTGTTTAGGGGTTCATGAAGATGAGGTTGGGGGAGTGAGGATTCTTTAATAGCATTCAATGATGGGTGGCTGGATTACAGTGACGTTGTTTATAAAATATTGCTAAGCTTGTTTGTCCAATTAAACGGCGAGAGGAGAATTGATTGATGCCAAGTTTGTATAAGTTGGCTGACAGCAGAAGTAGTCGACTTATAACTCACTTTGAGAATAAGCACTTGTTTTTTTGCGGACACTGTTATCGGTAAATTGGTGTATTGTAATCCCGATTGCAGACATGGCTATTTAACACTGTAGGATGGCGGGGATGGGTGATTCCAAATGCTGGCTGACTGCGAGTTACAAGATTGGTGCGATGCATTGAGTCGTATGTTGAAGACTGTTGGTGTAAGTGAAGAATGAACGTGCCCGATCTAAGGTGGTGGATGGAAAGGAGCGGCAGAGCGATTAGCTGCTTAGGCGCATGGAATATTGGCGCTTCTCGGCGAGTGTGAATAACAATACTGCTGTCACATTTCTTTTCAAATAGATGTTGTGCGATGGTAAATACCCTATGAAACATAGGAAAAGAGAAAAATATTATCATATTTGTCTTTTCCATCCAGCGTTTACTACTAAAAGAGCATTGTTTTGAGCTGCTGACCAATTTCTGCGTCTGACAAACTCGCTGCTGACTGCTTTTACTTTGATAGAAAATCGACCCACGTTTAGCTACTCCATAGATGTAGATTTATGGAACAATCTGTACGACTGCAAGCTGCATATGGTAGATATGATTGAGCTATTAGTTCATCAACAATCTTAAGCCCGCTACTTCGTGTTATTCATGTCGTTCATACGAAAGCGCCCTAGGAACATGTACATTTTTCTCGTTTTTTTTTTCCAAATTCCCATATTTCGTTCTTTGTGGTTACCCGCGCATCATTGACCTAGGTTCCATACTCTTCTCGCAGCTTAAAGTCACCCGGCGAAACTAGTCGTCTGCCCAAAGGCGTCATGTCCAGCAGAGTCAGCGTTGGCTGAACTTTTTCTCCTCCTCTCATAAAGGTCGAATACGTGTGGTACACATTGCCGTCCTTCTTCAAAAAGACGCTGAATCCGGGAATGTCACCCTTGAACGATGGCTTAAACCTGGGGTCAGACTCTTTGAGTGGTTCAAAGTTGTACTCTTTGGGAGCTATTGCTTCATCCAAAGTGGCTTGGAAGTCATAGTTGAAGTCGGAATCGCCGCTGGAGTACCATGGGAATTTCCATCCAGCGAGGTTCTTGTATGCCTCAATCTTGTCTATCGGGGCGCGGGAGATGGCAACGAGGTTGGTGTCTTTGGACTTGAGATGGCGCACGTCGGGGAGCGATTCGCCCATGTGAGTGCAGCCAGAGCATCCACGATCATCCTTGGGGTTGAACATGAAGTGGTAGACGATGAGTTGTTCTTGGCCATCAAAGAGATCGCTGAGAGATACTACCTTGTCGCCGGGGCCGTGGAAGACATACTCTTTGTCTATTTTCACCATGGGCAGCTCACGGCGCTCGGCGGCGAGAACGTCGCCTTGGTGCGTGTATGCCTTTTCTTTCTCGAGAAGAGCTTTGCGAGCGGCAAGCCACTCTTCACGGCTACCGACCTTTTGTGATGCGTCGATGTCAATACAAGTAACATGTAGTAGTCTCTGTTGCTAAAGTGCAACTGCTTACTTTGCCTGGCATGCTGTGTAATAGCAAGGGCGAGGTTTTATGTATTAGCTATTTGGAAGTTTGTGGGTGAATAATCACTCCAGATCAGTTGAATTGGACCGGTTGAGATCAACAATTTACATATTCTTAGACGTCGTGAAGCTCTTTCAATTGGCCATTTTATATACACCAGAAATTCGCCTCCATCTCAAACTGTTCACTAATCTGGACATTTTGCGTAATTCTGCAATTGTCATTTTGCGTTTGCGACTTGGCATCAGATCGACGCATGTGGCGTCCGGGGCAGGCAGACAGACCACCCAGTTCAGCCTGGTAATGTGCAAATACAGGAATAGCTTCAGGCTCCAGAGGAGGGGTTTCAACGAGACTTGGCGGTGGCTTTATCTGGCGATTAAAGAGGCGTTGCGTAAAGAAAATGATTGGATGATGGGAGCTTCAGCTTGCAAGTGCTCTATAAGAGTATATCTCAACGCAGCTCATAACGCAGTTCATATGGAATCGTGATGGTCGATATGACATGTAAAACAGAATTATCACGCCGAATCATGTATGTGTGTGAGCCTATTGATCAGAGGAAGTTGTTTGTCCAAATTTTGTTATTTAAGTGATATCAGCCGACTACATGTATTAAGTGTAATTGGAATTTCTTTAATTTGGCTGTCTATGGGCTTTTTGCCACATAACTATGAGGCGCTGTTAACTTGCTTTGCTTCCAAGATTATAGAGTGCTTTATTTTGAAACTTTTTGTTGAGCGCAACCTTTTGCTACATAGCTATTACGAGTACCTTCAGTCTGGACAAGCTATGCCGAATACCTACAACTCGGAGCGACTTTGGCATTTTCTTCGCAAATTCATCTATCGGCTTGACGAAGCTCCGCCATTGGTGCATTCAATTTCCGGACACCTGTCGGATCGGAGCTGCGCCGTTTCGTGAATGCGTGTGGGGTCCTTTAACTGGAAATCCCAATTTACGCGTTGAGACTGCGCTATGCAAGTCCCGGCTTGTTAGCGAAGGATTCACAATTAACGGCCATTAAATGTAACAATTTCAACACCACGAGCCGAGACTAAACAAAGGGGGCCTAGTTAATTGCTGGAACAGGAAGTTGAAGCCGAGTTCATTCCGAAATGTTATATCGACAGAATACATAGCAGACAAAGCTTCTCTCCAACCGTCCGTCGAGAGCGAATATCCAATACATGTACTTGTCTGACAACGGTAAATTCCTTCCATTTCCCTTATTAGAACAGAACTAGAATCTTGTATCAAACGACAATGCATACAGCAAATATAGATTGAAACTTCGTCATAATCTTCATAGGTATACAGATGAGAGACATCTAGAGTCGAAACGAGAAAGCAAGTTGGCCAGTTTTCATAAGAGAGGTAGACATAGTAGACCGCTCATTATGCAATTATCTCGACATTCTACTAAACAAGACTAGATAATGTACTATAGAAGTAAGAGAGAATAGTGTTACACACAGGATTCCCGAGAACACCATGTTTCGGCTCGACATTCTCTTCGGCTTCGCATCGCAATCCGAGTTCCGTAACCGTAGACCCGCAAAGAGGATTCATTGTTTATAAGTATATAAGACGCCGCCGGCGGCATGTTATGATCTTACTGAAACGCATCACAGCATCTTGTTCCGCTCCATCACCTTCCATTCGCCACGTATCAAGAATCTTACATTGGCATAATGCTGTCTACTAGAGGAGCCGCCTGGGCTAAAGTAGGCTTCCTTCACGGAAAGCAGAATGCCTATCATCCTATACAAAATCCCAACGGCGTCATCGCACTCAATAATGCTGAAAATGTAGCTCTGTTCTCCTTCTCTAGACTTGGAGGAGAAGCTCACGAGATAATAGGGCTTCCTTCATGCTGATCTAGCAAACTTTTTCAACAAACATGTAAGACTCATTGCCATCTTTTAGATATATTGTTACTAAACCATGCATAGAATCACTTCGAGGACAATTGCTGCGCATACGGAGAAGGCTACACTGGTACACTCCGGCTACGAACCGCCATGTCGAATCATTTGAACTCGCACTTTCAGCCTGTGTGGCCAATAGATCCAGAAGATATCACCTTCACTGCCGGAGTGACTGATCTCAACGAGGTTTGCGCCTTGGTTACCTGCAATCCGGAGACGGATGCCATCATGCTGGGAGGACCAGTCTATGGGACTTTTTCTAAAGACTTGGCGTTGAGAACTGGGTATGTACAGCTGTAGCTTCTATTCGGCCAACTTGAATTAACCATTGAGTCTTTTAGAATAAAGCTAGAGTGGGTGCCGGTGGGAACAGATCAATTCACACCAGACTGCGTAGCCACGTTCGATGCGGGATTCGAAGATGCCAAAGCCCGAGGGGTAAACATTCGTGCGTTGATCATATGCAATCCGCATAATCCTTTGGGTAAGTATTACCTACTCTCAAAGTTGAGTTGTTGTATGGAAACTCAAGCAAAGTTCAATTAGGACGTTGTTATCCTCCGGAAACGTTGAGGGCATTGCTACAGTTTTGCGCCAGTAAAGGGATTCACCTCATCAGCGATGAGATTTACGCGCTCACGACGTACCCTCGAGACGATCAGCCATCCGAAAAGTTTACTTCTATACGCGCTATAGACTACTCTGATATCATTGGCCCGACCCAAGTCCATGTGCTCTATGGCATGTCAAAGGTAAGATTTTTCACTGCTACTATTGGAATTTGAAACTGATGCTCTCGTAGGACTATGGAGCAGCTGGTTTGCGCTTGGGCTGCCTTGTATCACAGAATCGTGAATTCCGTAATGCCGTTAGAGCCATATGGTGAGCCTCCTATAAAAAAATGTCACGGTTGCTTTCCTTACATTACCGGTCTAGCCGATTCTCTTCTCCTTCTCAGTTCTCCATGGATCTCGCCGCCAAGTTCCTCGAGGACCAGAATTTCGTCAAACAGCTATTAGACAAATCTCATCGCGTGTTGTTCAAAATCCGGTTATTGGCTGAGAAACTCCTTGACGAAGCTGGACTCAGGTATGAAAAGAAAGGGTAAGTCTTTCTTCCGGATACTCATCCATATTTACCAGTAGATGCGATTGAGCTGACAGGCATAGAAATGCTGGGCTTTTTATGTGGCTAGATTTGTCCCCTCAGCTGCCTCTCAGCGAAGCAGACGGAGATGGCTGGGCTGCAGAAAAGCTGTTATCGGAACGGTTCACCAGAGCAGGCGTCAAGGTAGATCCAGGAGCAGAGTATCAATCTCCAGAGCCTGGGAGATTTCGTCTTATGTTCTGCGTCGAAGAAGACACATTGAGAGAAGGCCTCAGAAGGTAAGCTGCTTAATTGATATCCAGTTGTTTACAAGAATGCTAATCATGCGTAGAATTGCCACTGCCCTAAAGGCTGAATAGTTAATTAATGCAGAGAAAACCCATTTGACACCGCAATGCTGATATCCAGCATTCTAGTCATAGCGTGGGCTACTGATGCTACTGGTGCTGCTCCATCTACTTCTAAATGTTTTCAGTAGCTGTATATTTTAATATATAGACTAGCTGCCTTGACGGGCTATAGCTAGGATGTTGGATAATAAAATGGGATGCAGGACAACTCTTTCCTTAATATAGAGTAGACAGCACCTATCTAATGGATGTTTAGTAGATATTTATGATGTTAGGCTGATTTACGATCTGTTAGGAAGATTTAGTTTGAGCCTGAATGTACCTGCAAGTGCCGTGATTTGGCCTTCTGCATAGGTGCCCCATATGCAAGGTGTTATTGGATAAGGCACAATCCATGCATTATCATGGCGGCTTTTATAGTGTATGTACGTACCGCAAGGCTGCCTTACCTGGATACATGTATATAAGGGCGTCCCGCGTTGGGTTTCAACTCTCGCCTTTATATCTACATGCACACAATTATGCCTAACCGACCATTTTGCCAAAAACTGTTATCCTCAAAATGTCCAACAATCGCAGCACGTCGAGGAATAGGTTCAGAGACCATACAGTAGTTGTTCAGGGCAACAATTACGCACCAATTAATGCTGGTATGCTTTTTCTAAGGCTTAATACTAAGCATCTAATGAACTTGCTAACTGTTGCCAGGTCCCCCCGAAGAGGATAGTCCTTGGCTTGAGAAGATTAGCCAAGAGAATCCTGCATATCACAAAAAACGAATCTTCGAAGCAAAAGGCCCATTCTTATATGAATCATTTCGCTGGATTCTTGATCATTCAGACTTTAACAAGTGGCGCAAGACTGAGAAAAGCGGCGTATTCTGGATTAAAGGAGGCCCTGGCAAAGGAAAGACAATGCTACTTGGCGGCTTAGTCGACGATTTCGAGAAAAGTCCCCAAGTAGATAAAAATCTTGCCTATTTTTTCTGCCAGGCTACCGATTCAAGGATCAATACCACTGTCGCTGTTATTAGAGGCTTAATAGTCTCATTCATTAAGAAGCATCATGAACTTCGGTCATACGTACGCACGGAGTATAAAGATGACTTGGACAAACTTAACGGGCCTGACGGATGGTATATTTTGCGCGACATTTTTGAAAAAGTCACGCAACATTCGGCATTACCAAACCCCGTCTGTGTTGTTGATGCTCTCGATGAGTGTGGACAAGAACACGGCCGCAAACAGCTCCTCAGGCTTATCATTGAAACAAGCTGCCGCGTTAAGTGGCTTATTTCAAGCCGCAATATTCCAGAAATAGAGAGAGAGCTCCAAGAAATTGACTCTAGCCGAATGCTTAGCCTGGAACTGAAAGAAAATGCCGAATGTGTCACCAAATCCGTTGACTTATATATCGACGACGCTGTTCAGAATGTTATGGCATTACAAGGCGACACGGAACTCCAGACTTTGACGACCAGCACCTTGAAAAGCAAAGCAAACGGCACCTTCTTATGGGTAGCTCTCGTCATCGGGCAATTGCGTCATACGAAACATCGCGATATAAGAGACGTGCTTGAACAAATGCCAGAAGGCTTGGAGAGCCTCTATAGCCTGATTTTAAACCAATTAAGCAAGCAGAAAGACAAGGACGTCTACCAAATCCTACTCTCAATTGTCGCTACAGCTGAAAGACCTCTCCGTCTAGAAGAACTTCTTACATTTATAAGCTTTCAATGGAAAGATTACAAAACAGCATATAGCTTACGCGATATACAAGATCTTGTAAAGGATTGCGGATCCTTTTTGTCTATACGGGATGACGATAAGTCTGTGGATTTTATCCACCAGTCGGTCAAAGACTACATGATGGGACCCGCTGTTAGAGTTATTTTCCCTTCAGGAATCGAATATCAGCACTACAAAATGTTTAAAACTTCGCTGAGCGCCATGTCTCGCATCCTCAAACATGACATATATGGCCTTCAAGATCCTGGAAGCGATATAAATACGATTTCTCCGCCTACCCCCGATCCATTAGCTCCCATAGCATATTGTTGTGTATTCTGGGTCCAACATTTATTTCATAGCTGCGAGTCTGGGGCATCTCGAGATAAACTATTCCTCAAGGATGGCAGAACTCTTCACGCATTTCTCAAAGTCAAATTCCTATGCTGGTTGGAATCTTTAGCTCTCTTGCGCAGCCTTGTACCACAAGGGATAGACGCCATTCAAAAACTCAAGAACCTCCTTTTTTACAAAAGCGAGACCAAGAAACGCGTTGTTGGTGGATTAACAAATCCCCAAAGGAAAAGAGGGGAGAACCGCCATCGGTTCATTCACCGATATAAAGAATTAAATCTCGGAATGTATATTGACTATGCATACTCGTTTTTTTACCACTATGGCGACTCGCAACTCAGAGCATTTATCAACGATGCTTATCAATTCTTTCACTACTGTAGACATTATATGTCGAAACACCCTTTACAGTTGTACCATTCGGCTTTTGCGTTTGAAGATAGGCGCAGCGCAATTTTTACAACGTTTCAGCATGCCATACGAGCTGAAATCAAAAACATTCCCACCTGCATAAAGATGCCCCATACGCATTTTTCTCTAGTGCAAAATATACCACTTAAATGCCGCGGCCGTATTGTCGCACTTCTTTATTCACCAGACTCCTCCCTTCTATGCTCGTTATCTTCCGGTGGTACTATTTCGCTCTATAGGACAGATACATACTGCTCAGAGCGTGTGATTGAACTGGATATGGAAGACTGCGATCATTTAATCGCTTTTTCAATTGACTCAAAACATCTGCTCTTGATAGCAAGCACAGGCAATATGCAAGTTTGGGCTGTCGATTGCGGGATGCAGATACAAAATTTCTCCTTGAATCTCCATACGAGTTTAGAGCCGGATCCTGAAAGACCATTTGAGAGAAATAAAATCGTTAAAGGCGAAATCATTGCTTTATCACGCCATGGAGATCTCGCAGCATCAGTCTGTCGTACGCAAAATGCGATCACAGTGAAAGTCTGGGCAATAAAAGCTGGCGAGTGTATATGTACGATTGATCAGTCACATATGCCAGACTTTTGTCATGCAACTTTCTCACCAAACTTAGAAATGGTAGCTTTGATTAGCCAGTCAGATACTCGAGTTTGCTCTGCCCAAACCGGGCAAGAGATTAAACGCATTCGCTTTCCCGACGACCTAGTCCCATCCAATACTAGTGAACAGAAGGAAATTACGAGACACTCTCAATTTTCTTCAAATTCAAAACTACTGGCTTTGAGGCATAGCAATGGGGTCATAGATTTCTGGAGCACTGAAACATGGACAATGGTTCGCCAAATCCGCAGCAAAGAGTCAACGGGACCCTTTGATGTCTCGCCTGATGGAACCATGTCCGTCTTCAGTTGTAGAGATGCAGTATTGATAGTGAGTATAGATACAGGAGAGCTCTTACTCCGTATTGAATCTCATGTCTCGGTCCATTGCCCTCTTTTTTCTCCTGACTGGACGAATTCCTCGCTGCTCGCATCTTTCAACAAGCACGGACTGGTTCAAATATGGCGGACATATTCAAACATAAGGAACAAATCATCCGAGATACAGTCTCTACCCAGACGAGAAAGTGTGGCTATATCGCCAAAGTCCAACTATGTGGCGGCGTGGGATTCTCGAGGCGATATCGAAATATGGAGTGGAGAGAGCGGCGAGCGTACACAAATAATTAAAAGAAGTGCGCTTAACCACGAATTCTATTTTTCCCCGGCTTTCTCACCCAATTCGGAACTTATGGCCTGCGCCCAGGGAGAGAAAGGCGATATCCAGATCTGGCACGTTGAGACTGGCAAGCTCCTTCATCTGTTTAAAGGCCCAGATGCTGAGGGCAAGCTCACGGTGTCACACAACTCTTTTTCAGACGATTCGGGGTACGTCGTTGCGGGTTATACAACCGGCCAAGTAAAAGTCTGGTGCGTAGAATCTGGCAAATGTTTGTGCGATTTCGACAAGGATGATGGTTCGATGCAGGTCTTGAAAGTGGCAATCTCTCCCAGCTCAAAATATGTTGCGGCGGCCTTTTTACCGATGCGGTCTGCTCTCGGCATATCCTCAACGGTCCGTGTCTGGGACTGGCGCAGCACCTCCTGGGTTGAACTGCGGGGGAATGATTGGGGGAGCTTCTTTCGCTTGGAGAGTCTTACATTCTCGTCGGATGCGACAGTCCTCGTTATCATCGCCAGGTCTAGATCTTCACGCAATTCATACGAGGCATATTTCTTCGATATCACTTCTGATGCCTTGTTAAGCCATATTGATATTGGAAAGAGCAAAAACTTGCCATTTTTTGACTCAGTAAAAGACCACATAGTCTCTGACCGTCTCAGACTCCGTAGGACGTCTTCATGGAAGCATTGGGATGCAATTCCGATTCCGCGACCGGCATACTCTCTTTCCAACTCACCATTCTATAGCGAAGACTATGGCAAGACTTGGATTTATTTTGACGGACATAAAGTCTTTCGAGTTCCAGGGCGACTTTTCATAAACCGGAAATTCTCTATATCCAACCGTTTACTGGCATTTAAAAACACGGTTGGCGAGCTATATATTGTTCAACTTCCTAGCCAGCATAATATAGAATAACAGCAATAAATCACGAATTTTCGTGCATTTGATACTGCTTGCTTAAAAAAAAAATCACCAAAAACACTGTGATTAAACATCTTCGGCTTTCAGGTATATGCTAGCGATACTATCAATAGCTTTGACCCAATGTCTAAGATATAATTTGCATTACTCTAACAAGTTTTAGTCTAAGCACCTCGAGCTGAGATTCTCCAGCTGCTTATACATATCGTGTTCCCCTCTCTATCGCCCGAAAATGCTACATCACCGAGCATTGAAGGGTTCAGAACGGCTACCAATTACTACAGCAGTCATTCACATCCTCGAGCAGTTTGATCAATAAGAGAAACAAAGTTGAAAAGCATACAAATTCTTCAGTCATTAGGGAGCTATAAGACAATTTATTCCACCTTCTTCCAAAGCGCCTCCAGCTGCGCCATACGCACCCAGTCATCCGGCTGATTTGAAGCCGAGAGGTCGCTCACAAAACTATTCCAATGCTGCTTCGACTGAACTCCATAGGTCGTATCAAACCATCCAAGGCTACTACTGCCATATCTGTATGCGTCTGTCCTCCCGAACATGGTCGCCATTCCATCCATGCCTTGATATTGAAGGCTGAGTAAGCTATGGTTGAAGGCGCTTTGCTTCTTAATATTCTGCATGGTCCTAATGACTTCAATCTCCGAAATGGTTGCACGGTATATTTGAAGTCTCTGCACGCAAACGGCCGTGAACAACTCCAAGGCTGCGTCTGATTCTTCGGATCCTGGCTCGCCTGCCTCACAGACTTCGAGCCATAGACTGCGCATCCTCGGTGACCATATCTGGCAGAGCGTTGTCTCTTCAATGTATTCTCCGTTCAGAGGCAGCGAGTCTGCCAACGGCGTGTGGGCTACAAAGTCGAGGTAGCATTCCTGGCAGAACCGAGCCTCTGGGTATCCCCACCACTTGGATTTGCCGCGGCCCTTGATCTTGGGACAAGCAGGCACGCCTGCAAAAGTCATGACAAACTGCGAAAAGTAGGCAAAGACTCCGCGGTCGAGCATCTCTGCAAACTTGACAACGTACTGGCCAAAGCGTGGGCTCGCAATGCAAAAGTCGCACACGTAGGCATTGGAAGAGTCGCGCTCCGACAGCTGGAAGAAGTCATCCAAGCCTCTTGTTTGGCAGAATCCGGCGAAGCACGCCTGGCATATGTTGAACTTGTCGTCGCATCCCTCCAATGTCCACCAGTTGCCGTGGACGATGCCGTTCGCTGTGCAGGGAACGAGGCTGTAAATGGTTTGTTCAGCTTCCAGAAACACCTCAAAATCCTTTCTAACGAGGGCCGCCTCTAGTGCTACTGCTGTTGAGATGTTCTGATCGGCCAACCCACAGCGCCACAGCTCTGGATCTGAGTCGTCGGGAGAGCGCTGAAAGTCTCTCTTGAAAGAGGTCAATGCCAGTTTGTCCAGGTAACACGTCTCGCAGGTTTGAAAGCCTTCAGACTCGTAGTCTTTAGGCAAGTACCACTCAATGGCATCAGACCGGATCTGCTCGCCTGTGCACGTCGGAAGCTGAAACCGTCGACTTGCACCACTTATAAAGCCGTTCCAGTTATTATGCTTGGCCATTGGAGCAACTGACCCCGAAATATATGGGATGCAAAGATCGCAGCTCCATTTTGGAGCCAACTCAGAATAAGTCCCGAAATGAGGCTCGAAGCCGGTTCCAACTACATAATCCTCAAAACAGGCTTCACACGCAGCAAAGCCCTCGATTTCACCGTCCATCAGGCCATAGACTGTCCTGTCTTCGACGTCTTCGGTGAGTTTTTGCCCCGGACAAGGCTTTATTTTTAAGCGCCTGGTCATGTATTCGCGTAGTGCATTCACGCTGTCTGTCCGAACAGCTTCGGGCCAAAGAACGTCCTTCACGCGAGGAAGCCAAAATCGGCAGACGGCAATGTTGCCATCAGGCCACTCAATCTGCTTGAATTGGATCTCGAGGGATGTTCCTTTGATGTGATCGGCGTGGCATCTGGTGCATATCAAGTAATCTGCCGTATCTTCAAATGCGTCTGGGAGATAGTACCAGTTGAGTGAGTAGTTGACTTCCCTATCTCTGGGACATATTGCGAGGACTTCCAGCGGATCTCCAGTCTCTCGGATTGAGCCATATGGTTGCGGGCCATCTTCATCTTCCTGAGGATCCGCAGCGTATGCAGACGAGCCCTGCTCTCCTTGTTGTAGACTCAGGTCGCTCAACTCGGCAGTGAGATCGTCAAATGGGTTCTGCGAACCTGATGCGTCTGCCATGGCCATGTAATTATTAGTTTGTGGCTCTTTTCAACGATAGCCCGTGCGTGTCATCGCATTTTTCCATCGGCAACAGATAATGGAGGGGAATGCGACATTTATTAGATTGAGCGCTCAGCCTCAGATGCGAATGGTGTGCGGCTGAACGTATCCAATAGCGCAAGGCAGATTTACATGTAGTCGGGCAGTACAACTACCCGCTCAACCTCATGATGGTGCATTATTACATGTAGATGGATTGTATCCATAGCTTTATTTTGTCGATTTTAAAAAACAAAGTCGCATGTCATAATCAAGTATAGAGTCGTGTTGTACATTTAGCATGCTCTATCGTGTGATGGGTACAAGATCCATATCTTATTTCATGCGCGATGTATACAAGCTAGGGGTATATTGCTCTACTTGTACATCTCCGCGGTGTACTTTGCAAGACGCTAAAGTAAAGATAAGGGACCTCAATCATCTGCCGCTGCTGATTCATTTAGCCGGGAATCCAGATTTAATAATTAAAGTCGCTTATACTACAAAGCGCCATACTCTAGGCCTCATCATGCTAACCAGTGTAAAGGTATCTTAAAGCCCCAATCTACTCTCGCCGGAAAAGCTTCTTAAACTTGCCAGACAACCGGTTCTTCTTCTTGGCATAGTCGATGCTATGAGGTTCCGAATAAATCGTCGGCCGTCTTGAAAAGCTTACTGATTCCTCCCTCGTTCTATCTTTTACTTGCGACGAGAGGAGGCCAAGATGCCGACCCAATCTCCAGTCGCTCTTCATATCATATTTCGTTTCCTTCTCGTCAAGCACAAAAGTACCCTGCTGCCGAACGCTGAATAGCATCTTCCAATTCGGCGCAATCTCATTAAGCTTACTAGAGTTGTAATCTGGGTACTTTTGGCTGATGTATAGCGCAAGATCACACCTGCAGGCCAGCTCCAGGAACGATTCAATCTGCGGAATGCCAAATAGATATTCCATAGCATGAGAGAAACTCCACATCTTGAACTGCTCTGTCAAAATCTCTTCAAGTTCATCCAACGCTTCAATCTCTGCAGTGTCATCCCTTACTTCAATCGAATGGGCATAGTATAAACTGCCTAATATCCATTGCTGAAGATATGGTTTTATGTACATCAGCCGATGGAGGTGGATAAGAGACCTGATCTGCCCTATATTCGCTTTAAAGAGAACCTTGACCGGATGGAAGCTTCTGCCAGCAATGCTAGACAGCCTCTCGTTTATATCTGGCAAGTGTAGAAAGTTGAGAACCATGTTGTGTATGAACTCGACTTTTTCGGCAAAAAGCACTTCGCCCTCGACATCAGAAACAGTATGGATCAAGTCTTTGCATTGGGCAATCAGCTGCCTCTTCTTCACCTCCAAGACCTTTTCTTCTGCATTGTCAACGATTGGCCATTCTCTCAAGAATGGCAGGGGCTCTCTTGAGAGGGGCGCATCACCAAAGTTCAAAAAGTAAAAGGTAATGATTGGCAGCGCCACTTTGGCAGAAGTCATGGTGAGAAACAGCCGAGACACCCTTTCCCTGTACACATCTTCGATTACCCCGAGCATGTTGTCGAAGAATTGGTACAAATCATCTGGCAGCTGACCCAAGCGTCGCTCAAGATCCAAAATGTCATCTTCGTTGCGCAGTCCACGCAAGAGGGAGCGAACAACCAGAAAGACCCAAAGGAACACGCCATCTGCTTTTTCTATGATGCTCAACACAAGTCCATCGGCTGCAGCTCTATCGCGTCCACGAAGCTTGTTGAATTTATCGTTATTGCGCAGCTTGTCTTCGATGAACCGTTGTATATCCTCCCGCGTGAAGTTTTGCAATTCTAGTTTCGGCTGGTTGCCCCCAAACGCATCGGAGAATTCGATCCATGGCCGACTGGATATGCAGATTTTAATCTTGTCCGATTCGCCAATCTTGTGGATTATGTCTATCACGTCCGTAGGCTCACCATCATACTCATCGAGACCATCGATGAAAAGGCATATTTTCCACCGAACGTTGTCAAGTCCACCTAACCGTTGAAACGCGTCCGCCAGTTGTTTTATAGTCCACGGAAAAGACCGTTCATAATATGGAGCGTTCCAACGATCGGCACACACTATGGGAATCAATTCTGGCCGCTGTCCCAAGATCTGATGAAGAAGTGCTCTGAAAAGCCCCTCTTGCGACTTTTGCATAGTAGTACCCGGATTCCAGAAATAGTGCTTGGCGACTATAAGATCATTGCCGTTTGCCCACTCCGTCAAGTACTGTAACGTCTTGGGGTGATCCGTGAGGAACTTCATGAGAGTCGATTTCCCAGATCCGGCTTTCCCCGTGATCCAGTACATGCCATTGCTCTTCCGAAGCCATTTGACAAAGTTGGTCGGCTTGGTCTCATCAAAAATCCACGTTGCCGTGCCTTGATGCGCTTCACCGACTGCAAGTTCTCGTTCGTGCAATTGGTTAAAGTTCAAAGTTTGTAGGATGCTCTCTTGCTTCTGTATGCCGCGCCTTTCTATGTCGTCTAGAATGGCGTCAAATGGCCCTTGCATCACACTCATCGTAAACACATCCTTGATCCTAGACTCCCTATCTTTTTGGATCGATTTGAACTCCTTCTCGGAAGATCTGTGAGCGCCCTTCTTATCGCTCGGATCTGCGGTAGATGCCATATTTGATTGTGTGTGCTGTGAGATGGATCTAAGGTACCTCATAACTTCAGCGTATTTGTCGTTGATGTTTTGGAGCATGTCTTCATTTGATGTTACGACAGTTTGCAAAACCTCTCCAAGCTTTAGCTGTTCCTCCCTGTTGCTGGTTAGATGGAATATCTTAAGCAACTATAACCTAAACTCTTCTCACCTAATAAGCATTATCAGATGACTGGATACTTCACTACGTAAGATGAGTAGTCTGCTGCGAAGCTCCATCAACTCAGATTGCTTGGAGAGTCTTTGAGCAGTTTTACTAATAGCGTGCAAGACACCTGGCGATTTGGCGCTGCTGCCATTAATAATGCCCTTGATTTCTTTGGCTATTGAAACGCATTGCTCGATGAGGCCATCCAAAATCTCATCTGGAACGATAACCGCTTGGGTGGTATCCTCAGATGAATAGATGCTTTTCAGAGAAGATTCCACGCCGCTGGAAATTAATTCCAGCTCGGCATCTTCTTTTAATTTGCCATTTGGGCTGTGGTAGATCTGAGCGGCCTTGGTCGCCGCAATAATCGCATATTCAACAAACTGGACGGCATTTCCAGCTAGCGAAATGGTATTCAGCGCGTCCATCAATGGCCTGATGAAGCTGCAGCAAGTGTAAGCAGGGCTTTCAGTACATCTGCCTATTCAACTTAACAAAGCTTGAGGTCACCGCCGAGAAACTCGAGTTGCTGGTTGAGGGGATAAACAAGCGGTCATCTGCTGCAACGAAGGAAGGCTGCGCAGCGGCCCAATCAGAAGACCATGCTTGTTGTACAAGGCACGCTTCGCCACAGTCATTTCAGCCGCAGCAGACAGAGCACCTGCAGGGGTAGGCAGGCAGCATGATTGCCTAGCAACTCAAGTGGTTATCATGGGAAAAGAAAAGGCAACGAAATATGCGCGAAGCTCTGAACAATACAAAAAGCCACCATTACAGAGCAAATCTCCGCTTTAGGTGTGTATCGTTGAGTTCTGTAAGCTGCTTTCCAGAGGCCTCTTATTCCCTCTGGCTCCCAAGCTGCGACAATGTGTCAGAAGTGGGGAAGAGAAAGCTGCTATACTAATCCGTCCTGATATCTTATACTTTGATCGCACAGTATTCTGTATGAGCGTAAAATAGAGGCCTCCATGAAGCTATCGCAGTTGAATCCAACCTCTAAACTTTGTTGCAAGTTGGATTATGAGCTGAAGTCGCCACGGCTACTCTTTAACGTTTGCCGATAAGCCTAGGCTAACTACAAAGCCACGTTCTAATCACCGGTTGTTTCCAGCTGACAATCTGGTTGCTGAAATCTCGTCTTTGCTTTACCGAGAGAATAGCCGCGGTCGCTTATTCCTCTAATGGTGGCGATCGGTTAGACTTTGTGCACTGCGTTTAACAAGGTTGATGTTATACGAGGAGCTCCCTCAAAGCAGCTTTCTGATAGGAGCAGGTGAGCCGTTCATGATACACCCATTCCTCAAAATGGCGCGGGTCATGGTAAGCTTAACGAGAGCTCCTCCTCGGTGCTCTGACCAGCAGCAGCGAGTTGAATCTCAGCAAAGACATTGCAATTCTAATCCCAAAATAGTCAGAGTCTCACCCTCCTTATCCCCGCCAAGGCTAGCAATCAGCCGGTATCTGCTATTTCCGGTGTCAACATTCGGAAGTTAAACACCACCGCTCCGCAATAGCCGGCGCCAAATGACATTAGTCACAGGTTAAAGGGCGAAACAAGGTAAAATCCGCGGCCGACACATAGGGCTGCTCAACTTCCGTTCCACCATCCGCAACTTTCTTGCCATGAGCATTTGGAGGGGGTTGTCAGTAAGACCTAAGTCGCGGTCGCGGCGTTTAACCAGTACCGATGGGACGGTCAGTTGGGAGGCGGCATCGGGAGCCGAAGTGGACGAACTGTTTATGCAATCGGTTTACACCCCCCTCCACTTTATTGATCGCGATAGGGCCCTGTGGCGATCAGAGGAGTGAGCCGAGATCAGGTGGTGATTGGTCTGTGAGCCCGAAAGATAGTCGGAGACGGGAGTAAGTAGCATTGAATTAAGTGGGAGGTCAAGCCGATATAGTTGACTCATAAGAGAGGCTCTGCCAGCGAAAATGCCCGTAGCTCCTTGGTCCATGGATGGAATACCGTTTCCCTCGTGCTTTGGCTGCTTCGGTTTGTAAGCCAGGCTGGTAAAGGATGCACTCTTCACGTTCCATAGTCCAGCCATCCAGCCACAGCCCTATAAGCCATGTGCGCTGCAGGAAACTCGTAAAGTCCGAGATCCAGCAAACAGTGTTATGCGGGGGAAGGAAGCCAAACAAGCCGTGCTGACAGCCAGAGCAGAGCGAGCGCGAGGAACCCGAAGCTCCACGGACTTTGTGTATGCGTGCCATTTGCCACACCGTTGGCCAATAGCCATAGCTCAGCTTCACACTCGTTCGATCTCGTCCGAATGGAAACCCCAATTAGAGCTTCTTGCTACCATGCATGCCGGCTTGTTTACTGAGTTGCTTGCAGCCCGCAAAACAACTTGTTTCGACTTCCGATGTTGCCCGCTATGGAGAGTCTCCATCCCGGCAGCGGTGGGGCAGTCTCGGTCGTGTGATGGGCAGGATGGAGCCCAGACGATAGAATCGCTGCCAGTCGATCGTCCACGCCCTGCCCACCCTCTCTGTTTTCATGTTCCTGAAAGTGGCAGACAAGGGGGGGAGTGTAGAGCAGGGAGCTCTGGTGAGAGCCGGCTGACCGAATCATGCAGGCACCGCAATCGGAGAGGGTGTGTGCTTCAAAGCCCCGGCATAGGCTAATCGGCGATCGGATTCACGAAAACACCACGATTCAGAATCCCTTCATCGTGATCAAGACACACGGGACTGGCGGAAGCTGGAGTCACGAGAACTGGGTGTAACCGGATGTGGCCGATTCATCGTTGAGGGAATTCCCTGGATGCTCTTCATTGGCACTGACAAGCATGCCTCGTGCCTTGGACATGTGTAGCCGACGAGGACGGTAGCTGATTGCAGCTTAGCAATTCCTGCTCCATCATTGAGTTTGATTGCTAAGATCAAACCCCAGGTTTTGGGTGCATGTTGCCGCCTCGGCTCAAGGTACGCTGAGTCTTGCTGGTGTGCGACTAGTAATCGAAGCAACTGATTAGTAGTAAGAAGCTTTTTTGAGGTGTATACAGACTATTCCTAGTTGATCGTCTAGAAACTGAAAGGGAACAGTAATAAGGGCTTATATTACAAATTGGAAATAAACCAGTCAATTAGTTTGAGAGTCATCAGCCAGCAGAATGCAAATACCTAAAATGGCAGTGTTTCTATTCTAGAGCAGGGACAAGCCACTGCCACTTGCCAACTTATATAAGCGCTCTTCTCTAAACTTATTTTGGACAAGACTGCTGTGAATTAGCCTTATCCAGATCAAGTTTAGTGATTCTGCTGTCTGTTCATCGCCTACATGAATTTGTAGCAGCCACTTCTGGCGTTTCATGAAGTTATGCAAGTAGGCGTAATGGCCAGAGTCCAGTGAGAGAAGGCATAGCACTCCTATTCACAGCGGTTATGCGTTTCTTGAGGGGCAGAAACGCCATGAATAGTAGAGCCATGATCTCAATAAGAAAGTCTCCTCAAGGGTTATGCTACAACTTGTCTAGAAGATGCTACCCGGAGAGAGTCGAAAATACAGACATTGAATGCAGAACAACACTGCAAGCAAGAATTTGCAGTAACTAGTTGAAGACAGCAGAGAAGAGACACCGAAGTCTACGCAGTCTCAGAATTGCCAGATAGCCAGCTTTTCATGCTGATTCATACATCTCTAATCATTGCTCATCTGAAGCAAATCATGTCTTCAATTTGTTTTACATCTACCAGACCCAAGAGCTCCATTCGAGTCGGGTGGAGCTTTTGCGATGCCGAGAGCCACAGCTCGCTGAAGATTACCGCTTCTGGAAAGGCGCCGGCACTCGCCCTGTCAAAGCTGCGATGAGCATTGGGGTCTCAAGCTGTACATGGCAGTATCTTAGTGTCTCCATATCTCGGTATACAAACACCGACATTGTAAGAATACGTGCCTTTATTAGAAAAGCGATCTTGTTGTGAATGAAGTATTTCAGACACCCACGGTTCGTTTGATTTTTATCATAAATTATAGCCGTGTACTTTTCTCATATATTCGCACGCTTCCATGTCATTCATAAACACTATCTAACAAAGTAGTATATATACCCAGTTTTACAACACATCAAGTGCTGGAGGAGTAGTATCCCACCCCCAATGCTGCTGTAGCTTCGCAACTCTCTCCGCTGTTGAGTAACCGGTTTCTCGCTGTATAGTAGCGAGAAGCTGAGCTAGTGCTGTCCTCTGCTCGTGAGCCTCGAAGCACAGTCCAGCCAGATATAAAGGCTGTACCATATGCTGTCGAACAGGGTCATCCGGCCGGCCCAAGGATATTGCGCATATCTCATTGGCGTGCCCTTCGATTTGGGCCGAGAGCTGACGATACGCATTGAGTCGCTTGGCAACAAACTCGAGATGTGACTCCGTAGGCTTTTGATTTAGGGGTTTGTGAAGCAAGAAGAGAAGTTGGACAAAGTGGTATAAAACTGAAGCCGTTGCACACATGGCGTTGGCATAAAACAACTCTTGAAACGCGCCTTGAAACTCCGACATGGATGCCATGTTGTCTGACGGTGTGGGAATATTGTTATACCGCTGTGCTATTCTTGCGCAAGGCTCAAATGTATCCGGCAGTGCTGCACACCAGTTTTCGAGGTGCTGAGACACATCATCCCAACAATGAGATGCAATAGATGAGTTCTGGCACGTACCGTCGTTTTCTTGTAAGCCATTGTTTGCTGTCTTATTGCTACTTTTTTCAGTAGCAATGAGTGTCAGTGTTTTCAGAATGATCCAGATGAGACTTCTGCAGGCCAATGTCTCCGTCATCTGCAGCTGAAAGCCCGAATCTCCATTATTGCAGAGTGCGTTTGGCATAGTGATTCCGTCAACAACACATATTGGTAGACCTGCAGCTTTCCACAGCTCAGCATTTTCCACGTCGAGGCGTGGTGCGGTCTGCTCAGTGTAAGAAGCAACCCAATCGATACACACAATGTTCCAAAAAGATGCTTGCCAAGCTCTTCGAGCATGTAGTCCGAATGTTCCGTTGCGACGATTGATTTCCGTACTTTCGTAGAGCTGTTTGAGATTAAACGTGAGCAGATACTGTGCACCAGACATGTGCCTATGTCGAAAGGTCGTCAGCTGCTTGTTTGAAGACAAACTATAAGAAAGGAACCATACCTAGAGACTTCTGCAAAGCGATTATCAAGAGACTCATAGAGCAGAAATACAGATATTGCCGAGAGGAGATCATCCACGATAGTGTGAGAACCCTGGCTACTTTCCACTCGCCGCCTCTTGAACGAAGGAGATACTGCCGAGTGTAACCCCAGACCTGCATCAATAGAAGATGTGGACCCGGGTGACGAAGCCGGACTGCCGTCACGCAGTGTTTGCAGCAGCCTCATCATATGGCCAATAGCTTTGTCATAGAAACTCGCCGCCTTGTAGAACCAATCGATGTGGGCCGCATTAGAGTACAGCTCCAGCATCGATCGGCCCGGTGTCTGATGACTCGCCATGTATGTCTCTCGCTTCGTCTTTCCAAATTGCTTCGCCGCAATGGCGGCCAGGGCGTTTTGTAGAAGTGGGCTTCGAATAGCCTTGATGGGAACAATGTGTCCAAAGAATCGCTCAATATCAAACACGTCCAGGCACGGGCTAATGCGTTCGGCGAAATATCTTATCAGATATGCCGTCTCCTGGTCGGCTTCACTAGATGAGTCGGGCATTGGCGAAGAGGCTTCTGTCTCCAGCTTCTCTGATGTTTGCGACTTATCTGCCTCGGGATCGTATCCGGATGTTGCATATCCTTCCAAGTTGACGTCGCTAAGCCAAGAAAGAGACGGTCCTTGCAACCCGCTGGCATCACTTATCAATGAGACGGAAGGGATAAATCCACAGCAATTATTGCCCTCAGCAAAGTATTCGTTGGGGTCAATGTCGAAAAATCTAGCGTCAAAGTCTTCATCCGAAAAGCTGTCAGTCAAGATGAAGGGCGCATCGATGATCTCGTGGTTAGCAGATAAGCTGTTATGGTTGGGCCTCCCCAGGCCAATGTCATGCAAAACATTGTCTGGAGCCTTGGCTTGAGTCTCAGCTTGGGCTCCAGGTTGGATGAGAGGTTGAACTGGTGACTCAGGCTGAGGCTGGTTGCGAGTAGCCTCAGTGTTGCTTGGGATTGTCGTGGGCAATGGAGCCGAGTCTAGTGAGGCAGAGAATGACGACACCGAAGATGAAGCCTGGGCTGTCGCATGTACCTTTATGGGGTCGCCAGGACCGCCGCCTTGCGGGCTGGCATTGGCTGAAGAAAACTTCTTTCGGAGGTTCTGGCTCTCATCGAGAAACTTTCGCAGATGATTATAGCCAGGACACGACCGGGACGACTTTTCACAGCGCGCACAGCCGGGTAGTCGTTTATCGCACTGAGGACATGTGAGAAGGCCGCGCCATCCGACTCCAACTGTCTGCTGTGGACACTGTACTCACTTTGACCCGCCGCTTTCTGCAGAGCGTGCAAGGCACAGTGGAAACCTCCATCGTCCCAGATCCGTAGATGACACAAGCAGCAGCGACTCTCGATGCTCGCTCCTGTGATCCTAATGCAGATGAGGGCGGTCGTCGAGTGACTGAATGAAAAGCTCGGGGCGAAACACCGAGCAGCCCCGCGTCAGTGGCTCTACAGCAGAGTTTCCGTCCAGCTCAATGTTTGCTTATCAAAGGAGAGGTTCAGCGAGCACCGACTTGGTCGAGGTGAAGGTTAAGCGGGATGCCGAGAGTTGCCATCTTGGGAATAGCGGGGTTGAGACGCTGCCACCGCCCCAGAACAGGCAAAACCTCAAAAGTGACCTGCGGTACGAAATGCGACACAGCCAGAAGTTGGGCGCAACACATACTTCGCTCAATAGCGTGGACGTCACCGTAAATTCCAGCTCTCATTGCTGCTGCTGCCATCTCTATTCAGCACTGACGAGGCTCTTTCCGACGCTTTTTCCTCTCATTCACCTCATCCGCGCTCATTTCTCTTGCTGTGAATTCTCTTTTACGACGCCCAAGCAGCACTGCCATCAGCTTTCAGCGGGCGGAGACCAAAGTAGCAGCGGATAGTAACAGCCTCGACGCTACCCCCAAATAGTGGTGATGAGACCGAGCACCAAGTGATGCTGAGCGCAAAACTGGATGAGGCAACTCTGACCGGCGACAACCAGGCAGCACAATGAAGATCCAAAGGGTACCGAGCTCGCTCCATTTTCATCTCGTCCCATCTCATCTCGTCCCATCTCAGGGTCCAGAGTTGACCCGCACTCTATCAGCCACATGACGCTTGCTAACAGTATCGCTCAATAGCTGTTTATCTATCCGGTCAAATCGCTCCTCCCTATTGAGGTTCAAATCGCAGAGATTACGAGTGAAGGGTTTCGATTTGACCGGCAGTATATTCTGGTCAGGGATCCTCGATGCCACCCGACGGTCAGGCCGCAGCTCGCCGAGCACCTCACCATCAAGCGGGTGTACAAATTGGCCCTCTTCCAGCCGTCAATCAACGATGATTGGTCCGAGCTGACTATCAAGCACACGCTGGCTCAACCAGAGTCATCGATTACTCTCCCACTCACGCCATCACCGCTGTCATGTCTGGACGCGCAGACGTATCAAGTGAGCATTTTCGGGACCGAAGCCTCATGCGTAGACATGGGAGATGGCCCGGCGGAATTCTTCAGCAAGCACCTCGATATTCCCACGAGACTACTATTCATCTCCGGCTCAGGCAGTCGAGAAATCCCAGGAGCAGCGTATATACCCAAACACCGCCTGCCGCTGACAATCCGGGCCGCCGGCGAACATTTCCAGCCGCAGCGGATCCGCTTCGCCGATGCGGCCCCATTCCTAGTTACATCGACAGCATCTGAAGAGAACGTCCGGGCTCGATTACCAAGAGATAACCAGCGGGAAGACGTTTTGCTTCGCTTCCGCACCAACATCCACGTCGACGTGGGATCTACCGCCCCGTTTGATGAGGATAGTTGGAGAGAGCTTACTGTGTTTTCGGAAGACACAACTACACCAAAGGCAGTGGTCCGCTGTGTCTTCAAAGCCCCTCGCTGCTTGAGTGTCAATGTGGACATTGAGAGAGGAACAGGGTCTCCACGAAATAGACAAGTCTATGGCTTGATAGCCAAAGATAGACGTATTAACAAGGCCTATCCTCGTAAGTATACTTGACTGCCTTGTATACGGAAAGCAAAGGCTAACATACCCATCAAGTCAAGCCAGTCTTTGGGAATTGGTCTTTTGCCGGCCCAAATGGAGCTCTGCTTAGAGTCGGTGATGAAATTCGTGTCACTGAGAGAGGGTTGAGCGATAATTTGAAGGAACAGGTAAATATGACATGAATACAAGGTTAGGCCTGATCTAATCGATATGTCAAGGTCGTTGGGATCTAGGTAAAGGGTTGGAGGAGGTTTGAGATGTACATAGCTAAAGATACGCGGGCGGTATCATGATTGAATGTATATATGGACGACTCAATATCAAAAGTTCTAAATGGCCAAATTTCTAAATCCACGTATACAAGCGTGCCAATAGACCATACATGCAATTGCGTAAGGCTGGCTAACTCGCGGTTCACGACCCAACTACCGGGGGAACGTCCGGCAGTCAGTACGGTAGTTACTAAAGCCATTAATTCTTCGCTCGAAAAAATAGGCACCACTTGACAGCTGTAAGACTTAGTAAGGTATCTGCTGCTCATTTACCTGCTGTAATGACATCAATTCCCGTCTTCTGTCTAACACGTAGGAAGACAGCTGTTGCAGGGCGACAAGGCGATCCCGGGTGAGCGGTGCTAGTCCCAGATAGGCAATCACCAGCGAGCATGCCGGAGATGTCGTTCATGATGTGGATAGATGTACCCAAAACACAACGATAAGCCATATCTAACGGGAAAGGGGGAAAGAAAATTCAAGATCAAGGTTTACATGTTCTAGCGGGCCGCAGATGCGAAATGACGCCGCAAAGAGATTTCCGACTGCAATCCGATGAGGCTAACTTTAATAGGTGCATGTATACATGCAGTCAGATATAATAAGGCTGCGTGCGTATGATAGAAATGGATATCATAGACACAAGAATTCGATATCAATTCATTTCATCTTGATTAAATATTCAAAAAAATCTTTATATTCTCAGTGACAATACCGAATACTCCTCCTATTCACCCATCGACAAACGATCTGCCAGCGAACAATGACGGCTGTGCAAAATCTTTCCAGTGACGACGAGATAAAGGATATCGAGAATCCAATCGAGGATCCCAATACAGAAGCGTCAGTCGAAGATGCCAGCCAACTACAGCAACTGCAAGAGGATGAACACGACGGCGGATATGGCTGGGTATGCGTCGCATGTCAGTTGATGATTACAGCGAGCACATGGGGAGTCAACGGTGTAAGTCCACTTCTCGTCGTCAAAATTGATTTTACCAGGCAATAGAATCAAAGCCCTAACATGCTTAATGACAGGCTTTCGGTGTCTACCTCACTCACTACATCTCCACAAACGAATTCCCCGGCACGTCCGAAATCGCCTACTCTTTCATCGGTGGTCTATCTCAATCCCAAATCCTCCTCATAGCTCCCCTCGTCACGCACGCCACTAAGCTTCTCGGCACCAAGCCTCCGCTATTCATCGGAGCCGCGCTGGAAGCTGGAGCTCTGGTAGGCGCGAGCTTCGCTACGAAATCTTGGCAACTCTTCTTATCCCAAGGCTTGTTATTCGGCTGGGGCTGTTCATTCTTATACATTGGCACCATTGGCCTTATTCCACAGTGGTTTGCTCGAAGAAAGGGCATTGCGACTGGAATTGCAGCTGCGGGAAGTGGTCTCGGAGGTCTCATATACAGTTTATCCACCGAGGCCATGATTTCCAACTTGAGCGTTGCCTGGGCCTTTCGCATCACGGCCATCTGCACCGCTGTCACAAACGTTGTTTGCATCATATTAATAAAAGATAGGAACAAGCATATTCAGCCGTTTCAGAATGCGTTTGATTTCCGCCTCTTGAAGCGGCCCGCGCTGCTCCTCATCATTGCGTGGATGTTCCTCAGCGTCATTGGATACACGTGCGTTCTGTTCTCGCTCCCTGATAATGCTACTCGGATCGGGCTTACTGCCCACCAAGGTGCTATCTTGGGTGCCTTGGCCAATCTTGGAATGGTTATTGGTAGACCGGCAGTGGGCTTTCTCAGTGACCGATATGGGAGGTTGAACATTGTCATCTCAGCGACCTTTTTAGCAGGAATATGGTGCTTGTGTCTCTGGACGTCAGGAACATCATATTCCATCTTGATTGCATTTTCTATTCTAGGAGGAACGGTCATGGGAACATGCTGGCCGGTAGGTCTTTGCCTTGTATCTCACAAAGAGTGGCAACTGACGCTAAGACAATCTAGATGGCCGGGCCGATGCTGGCAGATGCCTTTGGAATAAAGCTTCTCCCATCCACACTGTCTATTCTCTGGACCAGTTCTGCTATCCCTTCAGCATGTAAGTATCCAATGCGTCACATCATTCAAATTGCAATCATCGATGCTAACGGCTTGAAGTTGCTGAGGCCATGGCTTTGGGACTTCGACGAACGCACAAACCCGTCTATCTCGACGTTCAGATATTTTCCGGGTGTATGTTTATTGGTGCTGCACTTCTCTTGCTACCTCTGAGGTTTAAGAAGAACATCAAAAGCCTCGCTTCATCAGAGAAAAACTGAGCGAACCCGAATTCGATGCGTACGAACAACACAATATTCTGTTTACAATTTGTTCATTCGAAAAGTACTTGAAAAGTCTGAAGAAGATGATAGAAGCCCTCTTGAAACAGAGGACAATAGAATGGGGAAACGAAAAGGGCTAAAGATATAGAGAAACGGGTGTCACGTATACGTTAACGCCGAACATGTTAATGTGTCTTTAATTAGAGAAACAAGAAGCCAATGATAGAGGCATCATATACTTGATAACTCCAAATTTTAATAATAATCAGAATTAGAACTACAAATCTTCAGATTCTCTAAACATCATCGTTCCTTTACAACGGCTTCAACAGCAATGCGCCAGAGCCTCGATGTTGCATAAATCCAATATATGCAACAAAGCACTACAACCACTCGCCCCATCCACAACCTGTGGCTTGCCCCGCAGCGCAAATGTGGCGCATCACCAGATCTGACAGCAGCCCCGCCCCATGTCTCACTGTAAATCGATCCGCAGCAAAAAAAGCAGCGGGCAGCTTCCGTGGGCGGGAAAGGAAGTCCACAGCGGACTCCGCCAATTGCTCTTGGGGAGAGTGATCTCCGTTTTGGCAGCTTTCCACAAAAAACCCTAAACCCAAGCTTTCAGCAAAAAAAGGGCGTGTATGCAGAAGCGGAAAACCAAAACAAAAATTAGAAAGAGGGGAACCAGAATCTTCCCGTGCTTATTTTTATATCAAGCTTCAAGCCTCGTAGGGCTCCCTCGTGCTTCTCAAATCCCAAAATCGCAAAGGCTATCGGACGAAAGATGGCCTGTGATAGGTAGAACAGGCGAGGAAGCAGCGCCATTCGAGCAACTAAGATATTACTTCGTCCGAAACTCTCGCTCGCAACCACGGCACAAATCAGCCAATAACAGCTATTGAGGCGTTTGCTCTTGGCGAAGTAAGCGCGAAAAGGGCCAAACGCATGGCTTCATTTACCTCGGAACAGGCGCTTATCTCTCTGCTTTTACTTGGTGTCTCTAAAAGCAAAACCTAGGTATAACTGCCCGATTCGGATGCCGATAAGGCCAAAAGCAAAAGATATCGAAACCATAATCTCAGTCCTTTCAACCCGCGGAGTGGCACCAGATGGACGTCCGCCTCCGCAAATTGCTTTTACCATCTCGTTCTTGTCTGCCTGTCAGCCTGCCTTGCCCAAAAGGCGGGGAGGGGGAAAGGGGGAGGCGGCGAAAGGCAGCCACATGGTTACTGCCTGATGGAGCACAAGGGATGAATTTCACGATGCCTGCGATTTGACAGAGGTGCTTATAGACGACATGTGATGAGCTTCAAGTAAATGCGAGGGATATGCCAAGTCCGTGGCAATTGCGGAGTACAGGTAGTCATTCGCATTTTACCCTTTTGGGATATCCGCAGAGGTACACGCACAAAACACCACCACACTGAAACAGCAGATCTTGGGTTACAAGGCAGAGACAAGAGGGGAAACACAATTAATAACTAGCGCCTTGCTTATTTTTTCCTTCTCCAGCTTCCATAATCTGTAGTAATAGCAAAACCCAAAAGTATCGCGGAAATATCCAAGACAAGCGATACCAATTGGGGAGGTAGAGGAGGGGTGTGGCCGCCATTGATTGCCTTACAAAGATCATCCATATACCTAAGCTGATGGAGAAGTATCTCATGAGGCTCCATCTATTCCCTTGGTATATCCATTTCTGGGCCTCTTGATTCTTTTCTTAACCTCCTCCCATCCATCCCCTATTCTCAGCATGAGATTTCCAACGTGGGGTGTACAGGGAATCGGAATTACTTTTTGGAGGGGGGACCAAATCGAGTCACCGCTACCCTTGTATGGCCAGGTGTCATTCTGCATATTCTTTGGCTTGTGGCCCTAACCTACTCTTTCATCTTATATTCCAAACTCATTTGCTTAATTCCGCTGGTGCGCGACCCTGTCATGCTACAGCATTGGGGCGAAAGCAAAGGAAAGACACGGAAACAAAAGGCGTGCACTTGGCTTACAAACGCTGAATATGTTTCCTGGACAAACATCTTCCCCTAGCTTCTCTGCCTAGCGGCTCCTAGTCAGTCATGCCCTTGAGGTGTGCAAAATGTTCCAGTCATTGAAGAAGAAGAAAAAGACCAGCGATGCCGTATTCAGTAAAAAAGGTGAAGATGTAAAAGCGTGAAAAGGTTTGGAAGCAATGCTCTGTCGGCATGAACCGTGAGGAGGTGTAGTGATAATCAAAATCTCGAATGCCATCTTTCTTAATGCCGGGTGTGTGTGCCGGAGATCTCACCGCACCCTCTTTAGCGATCGATTGTTAAATGTCCTACTTACAGTACAAGTCCTCCAGGACCCGCGCTGACGAATCAACTTTCTTTGGCAGCAATAACCCAAAAAGCCAACACTGCACCTTGATAGTACTTGTTTTTTTTAATTTGTGAACAAGACAGGGCCAGTGAGAATTGAATTTGACATCTCTTGGCTGCCTAACAAAAGCCAAATACTACCTTAACTCCGTACATAGGCAGGGAGAAAAGGCAATATGCAGAAAAAACCTGCTACCGCTACAGTAGCACTACACAACTGCACATAACAAACTGCCAGCTCATCTCACACACCCCCCATCTAGACTCCAAAAGACCGCTACCACAAGTTGCCATAGCAAAGAAAAATCATCTTCCTTCCTCTTCATGCCCACAGTCTCGAATCGCGTAGTACCTTCCATCGATTTTTTCACGTCGGGGCCTCTTTTATGCGGATCTCCAGCGGGCCTCAAACCACAGCACTGCCGCTGCTAGAAACATCGTGAACTCTTCCCATCAATTTTTTTCTTTTCCCAGCGGGGCCCTTATCTCCTTCCGGCAATTCTGCAATTATCAAGGTAGATCGGCTAGCGCAACCGGCAGTGAGTACGTACCTTGACTCCCCGCTTTTCCAAAGGGCCATCTGACCTTTCAAAATGCATTTCAAATGCAAATAATCGGTACGTACCGAGCTAAACTGGCTTTTTTTTTCTTCTCTCCCTTTGGCGCTTGCTTGCTCATCGGGTCTCTGGCAAGGTGCCGACGCCGCCTAGTCCGAGCGGCAGAAAGGAATTCCGCTCGGTCTACACCCCCAAAGCCCCATCCCGCCATTGCCGCGGGTCTTCGGAGTTGTCAAGTAGCCAAAAATGTCAAATCATTGATTTGCGATCAAGAATAACAAAGTTTAGTTAGTTTGGCACGAGGGAGGCTTACTGGCGTTTTCTTGTTTGGTGGGTGCACACATTCACGATTTGAGAATTTGAAATAGGCAATTAGAAATGAGTTTGTAACGGTTTTTGTATTTGGTAATCGAGAAGTGAAATCGCTATTCGATTTCCTCTCTTTGAGTGCTACTACTCTTGGTAAGGCGGTCCACTCGACCAAAGGAAGACCAGTTCCAGGGAGCGGCCCACCAATGCTCATCCCATCCCCCTCGCATTGCCATGATTGTAAAGAAAAGACGTTGAGCTGTGAATCTCTATGGTGTATAATGATTGAACAAAGGAAAGAAAAGAGTGCTAAATGTAGAAAGAAAGAAACGCCGAATGCCTTTTATATTTTCCCTCTCGGGGTATCATGATGTAGGAGATATCCAGAAAGCGCCGTGCCAAGCCATGCCAATTCGCTAATGCAGATCAAAAAAAGTCGTAAGAATCAATTAAAAGTGTTGTACAAGAAAGAGGTATCGGTTGCTGCTTTAGTAGACTGAGATAGCAGACACCAGGCCGGCAGGTGATCGTCGGCCCAGGTAAAAGTCCTCTTCTTGGTAATATGATTCTTCGCTCTCTTGTTCTGACTTCTCGGGAAGAGGCAGCTCGGCATCGACAGGTGATGGGGGCATGGCCTCGTCGTCAGAAGACTCATCGGATTCGTGGTCAACCAGCTCCGGAGGGGAGTTGGAGTGAGAGGGAGTTCGAACAAGGCCGAGCTGAGCGTAGTCCTCCTCGAGATCGTCGTCAGCCATGACCTCGTCCTCGACAACCTTGATTGTGGAGGTGGGGGTGATTGTGGTGCGGGTGTTCTCCTCCATCTCGTCGTAGTCGGATTCGTCGTCAGAGTCGACTGAAGAGTCGGAGTCGTATTCCTCCTCATCGACAGCCTCCTCTTCGATCCGATCGGCCCACTGGATGTGTCGCTTGTTGTTGGCGGCCGAGGTGGCCTTTGAGTTGCGGACAGACTGGTTGAACCATCGCTCCTGCTCTCGCTCGGCCTCGGCAAGTTCAAGCATCAGAGAGTCGAGGAGGTTAGCGTGTCCAACCAGGAGGCGGAGATCGTGATCGGGTTGAGCAGCCTCGCGAGAGAGCTTTGCTCGGGCCTTGTGGGCCAGGTAGTAGGTCTGAGTGATGGACATGTTCTTCTGGGTAGCTTGTCGCAACAGTGATGGAGCAGACATTTTGATTTGTGTGGAGGAGGAAGATGTATATATATTGGGTGTGTGACTCAAGGCAGCCAGATCGGTTGCAGGGATGGTTGAGATGCCTAGATGGTAGTGGGTATTGTTCTTGCTTGGTTGCTACTTTGAAGCGGAGGAGTCGAGGATGTTATTATACTGAGTTGATGTTGTTGTAATGATGCTCGCTTGAATGCTCTGCTCTGATGGATGATATCGAGGCTCAAGGTCGGGGGAGTCGGCATTCTTTTAACTCGGGAGCCTCCAGCCGGGTCCAGCCATGGGGTCCAGTAAAAAAAAAAGTCATCGGTGCTGTTTGCCGGGCACGCCTGCAGTCCGGGCTAAGCGGACTTTGTGTACGCGGGCCCGAACAGAAGCACGACGAATGCGAGGGATGGGGGGTGTATCCGACAAGGTCCATGGACGTAAGAGCGAGGGGAGGGGGTGCGGCTCCAGGGCGTGCTCTGGCGCTGACTAAATCCGAAGGTTCAGGTTCTCCGGACGGAGGTAGCAGCGTTGTCGCTCGTCTGCCCCCGGTACCCGACTGCCTGGCCGCTGCGCCGTCATCGCCCAGGTACCCTCGCGGGTCGAGCTACACGCCAGACTCACTGCGGCGTGCGCCACGGACGGCTTCGGCATTTTGGGTGACTCCTGCCAGCGCTGTTGCTGCCAATTCTGCTGGCGCGCTACGCCCAAACAGGGCTTCGCACTCGCATCGCCGATTAGTCACAGCCGAACAGAATTTGCTGCTTGCTTAGGTTCGTTTACCTCGTTAAGCCCGTCCCCTAGAGCCCTAGGGACCCTCCAGTGAGCTGGAAGCTTCCGCTCTACGGCACTGGCACAGGCTATTCGGTACAGGCTTTGGCAGAGCACCCCCCCATTGCTGATGCCCATTGGCCCAAATGGCCGTGAGCGCCAGCCGAGAGTGGATTATGAATCACCAAAGCAGAGCCCCACCGCTCGCCATCTCCCGCCCTGACGGCACCGCTTATTAACACCTGGCACACAATGTCCGACACACTGACAATTGCTTCTGATGCTGCATTTCTCAGCACCCAGCGCCATTGCGTAGTCATGGACGCTCCAGCACAGTCATCCAAGCCCATCAGACTTTGCGCTAATCTGGAATCACACTCCCCTTGACAGCGTGCCGTTTTCTTTGTAACTAGCGCCGCCTGGCGCACGCAAAGCCAGGCGTTTGCGCTCTCGACATTTGTCAGGCCCAGAAAACGGTGTTTTGTTCTGTTTCTTCTTTGCTGCTTTGGGCAATGCGAGTGCGAGGAACGCATTGCCGATTCGAGCAGCCGCCTGTTCGTTATCGCCAACGCAAGCCTCTCAGCCCTTGGGGGCGCTGCACAGCTTAGGCACGCAAAGGCTAATTAATGCAAATTAAGAATGCAAATTAAGGTCAGGCCAGGTCTCAGCCGATGGCATTGCCGTGATCTGGCCTCTCTGGCTGTCGCTGTCGCTGTCGCAGCCTTATTAGGGGCGCCGTCAAGTCAGCACGACCCCAGGTTTCCAATCCCGCTGCGCGCATTCTGGCCAGATGCGGATATCAATCTCGGGAACCCAAGCCCCGAGCGTACGAATCTCCCTGCAGGCCGCGACAGCATCTAGATTGCACAGCCCTACATGAGCGTTGCGAGTCCGACGGCTGTTGGTACTGGTTTGTCTCACTTATTTGATATAATTAGTTTCCGTTCCCACGCAATGTCTCGCGAGCCCCAGACGCCGCGTTGCGCTTGCGTCTCCCTGCTTCAGCTAAACGGTGCCAGACGATCGCCGTTCATTTCGCTTCACTGTCCTTGTCCGTAATACTGGTTGCCCGCAACAGAGTCTTACCGTTTCGGAGCCCGTTGCTGCCAATGTTGAGACAAAGAGGCGGCAAGACTTTGCTAGCACTACTATTATTAGTTCTGTCAATTGAATTCGAGGCCGATGCTGCGGATCTCCGAGACTTGTCTCTTTCTCTCTGCCTATTGTAGGCAACTACAAAACGCCAGAAAAACTAACGGCTATTACTATGTGACTGCCTAATGTCCTAAGTCCGCAAGCCTATGCCACACGGCTATCCAATTTAAAATCCCAATCCCGACCTAAGCCAAGCCAATCAGGCTAACGAATTGGCTGTCGTAAGTAATTTGCGTGTTCTCAGCAGTTGCTAACGAATTAATAGGGCTGAGTCGATGGGTGTGACTCTTACTGTCTGCCAGAGTGGGTATCACGGCCTCGGTGGGTACGTATTCAACACCTTAATCGGAGGGGCGCGCGGCACAGACCATCCCAACCAAAGTGAAGAAAAAAATTGGACTGATCCATCGAGCAAAGCTAAGGATACACAAAGATCTAAGGATCTCTTGTTGTGGAAAAGAGAAGACGAAAGGAGGGGTGCCGAAGCACAGGCCGCGAACAGGCCGCGAACATGGCGCAGGGAAGGAATGCGCTGTGCAGAGTACGATCCGTCCAATGAAGAGCCGCAGAAGCAGAACATTGGCTGGCTGAGACAACCTTGAAAGACAACAGCACCAGATTCGCTGCTTTTCCCACCCCAACGCCGATAGCCTGGCAGCCGCCCCTAACCCTGGCCGGGCCTAGCGCCTGATGCTGACAGAGGCCGAGCTATACGCGCAAAGCGAGCGCCCGAATGCCGAGTTGGGCCTGGCCCTGCAGTACAAAAGAGCGATCGCAACACCAGAAACCCCCACATAGAAAGCTATCGTACGTCAACGCTATCGTACGTGCAGGCTCGTACGTCGCTGCGTTTCGTTGCTTGCCGTTTTGGGTGAATCCACCAGTCCGAGATGTGTTGCCGTCAATGTCAATGGATCTCCCGCCCGAATCCCGGAGCAATGCACGCAGATACGGCTATACGGACAGGGCTGCCGAGGAGATGCAAACAAAGCAAGCTCTGGCACGACTGCTATCGGTAGGTACCTATGCAGCGGGGCAGCTATTGTCCGCTCAGCTCAGCCAATGTTATCGACTGATCTGAATTGCATGCTTCAGCTTGCAGCGATAGTAGCTCAATAGTCGCAACGATAGGTATTTCCTTTTTTTCAGCTCCAATTGCCTCCTACCCTTTTCGCTCAATTCATACCAATGCTCAAGCTGCACGCCCCTCTCTCAGCCCTCTGGTTTGCGCCTCGTAATCTAAAGCGAAGAGAAGGCTGCGATGCTCGCGAGAAGATCTAATTAGCGTCATCTGCGACCTTGTTTCATGGGATGCCAGGGTTCTCAGGCACAAGGCGAGAACGAGGCCATCGCAAGAGCAGCGCTATCCCTCATGCGGTGCTTCATCGCGCTGCAAAGCTGAATAAACGTTTGATAAACGCAAAAGGCCGGGGTGTCGGGGTGGGGGAGATGAATGGATGATGGAGATGGCTTGAAGGAATAAAGGGTAATGATGAATAATGAGGGGCCTGTCATCGTAAGCAACAGCTTCAGACCGGCATTGGGCATTTCAAATCGCTTTTTTCGAACGTTTGCCGCATCGGGCATGGCGTGGAACCTTGAGGGCATTGAGTTACGCCCAGCCGAAAGCCCGCAGACGCTCTCCCGTTTCTTCAAGCCTTGAAGTTCCACCAGGGCACCTGGCGTGTGCCGGGAATCCACAAGGGGTCGTTCTTTGCTGGATTAGGTCATCCAATGATCGACCGTCAATGGCCAAGATAGCCGGCAGTCGTTGAGATGCCCGCCATCAGCGGCATGAGCGTGGCTATTGCGGCTTGTCCTCGTATCTCCCAGCCACGGCGTCGAAGCCTCAAAGGTAAGGGAAATGGGCGTTTCGCACGTGCAACACCGCACGTGTTCTTCAAGATTGACTCTCATAACTCCGATATTGAAAATAGGGCACGACTTAGAAATCACTTTGGATACTCAAACACCAATTCACGTGTTCACCCCGGATTGCGAGTAATTCTACGATTATTTGAGTCAGGACTAGCCCCCGTGACGGTAATCAATCATGTACGGGGGAGTACGGGGGAGTGAAAGGCAGTGCTCACAAAGCATGTTCATGAGTCGGAAAACTTCAAATATCCGCCACTCAATTGCTTCATCAATCGCAACGCCCAATGCGTGATGGAGCAAAACATTCACCGCAATTTTCATCAATTCGATCGATCTGCCGCATGGATTTTCTATTAAATCTCGATTCCCCTTTGGGTTGTTGCTCTTGAAGTTCCGACATCGAGATTATCTGCAGTTCAGGGTAGCGAGGCTAGCGAGCTACGTCATGGCACTCTGCGGAACGTATTACGGCATCCAGTAGAAAGTGGGACCTGGGCGGCTTCTGCCGTAATGCCGCCACACATTGCCGAATAGAACGGATTTTTCCACACTCCTCTTCGCTGGCCTCGCATCATTGGCAATCTCGCAGCTCGGCTCCAAATGCCGTCACAATCTGCCTAAAGAGCAATTGAGATTTGCGCTAGAAGGAAGACAAAGCCGCATCTTGCAGAAAAAGAAGATGCAGAGAAGAATTTTCTCTTCGTGCTGACGTGGGGGATCATCTCGACCAACCAATCCCAAGTCTCTCGTTCGCGCCACGGTTTCTGCTACGCCCGACCATAAGGGCAGCATCCAGCACGCAGACTGCCGACTAACGCTGCCATATCGCCTTCCCCCTCTCGATCTCGATCTCGCGAGGTGATGACTGACCGATTGCCTTACCGATTGGACTGCCTGATGTAAAGGGGGTTGCCGAACGAAGAATGTGATCGAGGCACGTTCCCTCCTTTCCACGGGGCAAGGAGTGGAAGCTTGTTTTCGTTCTCGTTCTCGCGCTCTTCTCTGAACCTTCGAAAAAGGTTCCATGCATGCCCGACTATTCCGCTTTCGATTGACAATGCCCGACTCGCATCTCGCACGCCGCATCCTCGTGACTTTGCGGCGATTTGACAATCTCCGTCACCGCGGACATACTTGAACGCCTGTGCTCCGTTATCCCCCTCTTCCGCAGCTTCCTCTGCGGCTAGGCAATTCCTCTGCGGCTAAGCAACTCCTCTGCAGCCAAGCAAGGCTCGCCAATAGGATGCTCTGCTCCCGTCTCCGTTTCGAGCCTCGCCTCTCGGCGGACGGATGCCAGGCCGACGCCGTGCAAAGAGCCCTATACCGTGGGGTTCCGTTTGATCCCGTTTGATCCCGTCATCCTCCTCACACGTGATTTACCGTGTAAGCGGGAAGTGTCTGTCCATCTACCTGCGCTGCCGTTGGATGTCGGGCGTCGGTGGCCCGATCACCGACGGCGAGAGCACACGTGCGGCGCATTGATATCTCCGACATCACATTTCGGCCTGCTCAGCGCGCGTAAATTAGCAGGCTGACACCCTTTTTGACATCTGTGTTATTCTACAGAGCGAAAATAACGCTCAATCCATAATTCAGCAGCATGAAAACAGCGAGAGCCAGCGGTCCACATGTCTGGCGGCCCGTCAACGATCGTGGCTCAAAGGTAATTTTGGGAGGTGGGAATAGCCCCATACTGCTCCGTACCTGTCAACTCTGTGGGCCTGGATGATTTACGTGCTTGATTTACACGGAACGTGGAACGGACAATGGACATGGGCCGAGCAGACATGCCTAGTAATCAAGTTCGCTTCAAGTCATCCAGTCGGACGGTAGCGAATCATTCCAAATACGTGAGATCGTACCATGCTGTCTGTTTGAAGCTATGCAGGAACCGTTCGACCTCGGATCATGCTAGTTATTAGCTCTTCGATTATTAAACAACCTGTATCCATTAGATGTCGGCTTCTACGATTGACACCGCACGCCCTCAAGCGAGTAGGGAAGTCAATTCGATGAAAGGTCTGCTGTACTATTGTTTGGACCGGCATTCAGGCATGAGATCTTTCAGACAAAGCCCCTGAATGACACCATCATCTGTGAGAGAAAAGGCTGTTTCCTAATGCATCCGTCGCATCACCTGCGCGTGTCCCAAGCCTGACGCTGCCAATATGGATCATCTCACAAATATCAGGTAATTACACACTTACCCACACAAGACTTACATGAGGACCAGCACCCAAAAACTCGTGACTAGAACCGCCATGAGTGCATTTATGAAACACAAGACAGCTTTCGCTCAGGTGCATATTCAGGTTCAGCCTCAGCCCGATCCAATAAACCGGAGATGCCCGTACAAAAAACATATACACCTAGCATATTATCTCGCAAGGCAATAACAAACCCGGGAGATGAGAAAAGGAGAAAGAAGGCTGCCTGTCAATGCAGCCCTGCACAAGGATTGTCCTGTCTTTACCGCTGAGCTGGTAATGAGATCGGCGAGGCTCATCGGCGAGGCTCATCGGCGAGGCTCGTCAACTCCGATGTAGCAACGGCTCTGGGGCTGCTTGAAAGGCTGGAAGGCTTGGAATACCTGGCATCGCTCAGCCCAAGTCATTTACACGCCCTCTCCCCCTGCCCGCCTGATTAAGAAGGCCGAAGGGCCTGCTCGTTACAAGATGGACTGTAGAAAAAGGTAATTTCCCCTTCTCCAAACCTGTATCGCCCGTTGATGATTGGTTGGCATCACTATCCCCCATGTAAAGAACCACATGGAATCGTTGACACTACTAGTAATGGTATTGGTCATCCCATAAATTGATCCTCCACGACATGCCCCCCCCCTGGCCATAGGGCAGAAATTCATCTCTCCCCCCTCACGGTAAAACGCATTCGATCTCACCTATACTAGCGACTATGCCCTCTCGTGCCGTGCCTCGTTCACTATTAAAGAGGGGAAATGAGGCCAGCCAAGGCCCACGGAGGCGCGTGCACACGGGACAACAAAATTAAACCAAGGCTTTCGATACGATGGGACAAGGTCGTAGGATGAGGCCCCAACCAATCCAGTTTAAGCCAAGCATCATCACTGCCCCCCCTCAAATTTTTTTTTTTTTGGTTCCCGTCCCAGCGCAATGGGCCGCCCGTCTGACGGGAGAAGAGAAGCATGGACCCCTGATCTGATAATCCATATCAACCACGCGTTTGAAGGATCCATGGATCCGCTTTGGGATTGGCAGCTCACCCAACAGCTTGGTAACCAGGGGGAGGCAGCCAGGGGGGGAGGAAGGGCGCATCGGCATTCTCGCTAAGAAAAGGACATAATTTAGGCCTCTTTTATCACATAAGCTGTTTTTTTTTTTTTTTTTGCTTACGCAGACATGGGAGATGATTGTTGTGGAGATGAGAGGGTTTTTCATTCCTACCAGGTTAGGTATGTGGTGATGCGCGGGCGCTGAATGCACGTGGGGAACTTGGAAACTCATCACATACTGGCAGTTCGCATGGCGCGGCACATTTCGTCTTCCTCGTGGGTTGTGGTGCTGACAGCTTTCCCCCCCCTTGATCGAAAGTTACCACGCGGCTGGTAATGAGCGTGGCCCGTTTTTGCGGGCAACTGTTTTCTCATACGCCCTATGAAAACGCATGGGGAGGGGGAAGATCCTTGAGCTTCGTCTATAGAGAGCAGAAACAACAATACGAAAATAGCAGCTGTAATAATGGTAGATGAATTCACTTTACAAAGTACTAGGTTATATACAAGGTGTGACAATGAACAAAGAACTCGCTTGAGAATATACAACGCCCTAGTTATGGGTGGTATTATGCCAACATCTATGCCTGAAGTTTCTGCTTCGTCCTTTTCCTCTTGCCGCCCACTTCTCTGCCTTCCTCCATCTCTAGCAGTGCCTCTCGCTTCTTTTCGCCAACCAGCTTTAGGGCGTCCCGGATGACTCTCGTCTCCAGGTTGACGCCCTCCTCTTCCCAAGCCTCCATCTGCCTACCAACTCGCTCTTCAATGGCCAAGACCAGGTCCACGTCTCGTTGGCCTACAAATGTAACGGCCTCACCTTTTCGTCCCGCACGGGCGGTACGTCCAACACGATGAATATAGTCATCCGGGTCTCGGGGGATATCGTAGTTCACTACCAAGCTAACCTCTTGGATGTCGAGACCTCGAGCAGCTACGTCTGTAGCTACCAAGATCCTGGCTGCTGAAGCTCGGAAGCGAGCCAAGTTGTCTGTTCGCTGTCTCTGAGGGAGTTTGGAGTGCAAAGACGTGACTCGGTGATCCAATAGTCGCAATAAGTGATGTAGATAATCGGCCGTCGTTGTGCGATTGCAAAAGATGATGATAGATTTGTTGATATTTGCCTCAGTGAGTAAGAAGACGTGTAGATAGTGCTCCTTGTGTGTGATGGGGATCTGAACATGTCTCTGGCTCAGCGTTGCCGGGATGGCAAGCATCTGTGTATCGACTTCGCATACAAAAACAGGTGGCTTTCCGGGCCGCTGTGGTAAATCTTTGAGCGCGCGCACTTCTGGTGTGATGGTAGCCGTGAAGAGAAGCGTCTGTCTTTCGGAAGCAGGTGGCAGCACCGACAGACACTCCTCGACATCAGGCAACATACTGCCCGAGCCACTGGCATGCAAGAGACGATCGGCTTCGTCAAGAACCACGTAGCGAACCCTTCGCAATCCACATATCGTATCCTCTCCAGATGTTCTAATATGATCCGCCAAGCGCCCAGGAGTTGCAATGATGATGTGTGGCCGTTGAGCCAGCGCAATGGCTTGAGCACGCATGTCAGCGCCGCCAGTTATGAGGATCATCTTGAGGCTCTGGGGTGAGGAGATGGCCTTGAACTGTTCGTAAATCTGAAGGGCAAGCTCGCGCGTTGGCGTAAGGACGACGGCAAAGATGGCGGAAGGATCCTCTGCCCACTTCTGGAGAACTGGGACAGCAAAGGCAACAGTCTTTCCTGAACCTGTTCTGCTACCACCAATGCAGTCCCTTCCCTTCAAGATTTCCGGTATACAGCCCTTTTGGATACCAGTTGGCCGTTTGATGGCCATATTCTCGAGTGACTGAACAAGCCATGGCCGCACGGTCAAGGCTGAAAAGGTGGTGTTGGGATCGGTTGGTGCGAGGATGGGGTTTTGCGCCTGCGATTGGGGAATAGCAGCGGGTTTAGCAGTTGACTTGGTCTCTTCCTTCTTTGCAATATTTCTTTTGATTCGAGAAGGCGCCGCTATGGAAGACAGCACTAGCTTTGGAGTCTTGCCGTCATCGTCGTCGTCGTCGTCGCTATTATCATTGCCAATATCAAGGTCGGGCGAGGTGCGGCGCCGTTTCCTAGCAGCAGCATTGTCGAGGTGATCCGACTCGTCAGAGGAGTTGGATGAGTTGGATGATAGCTCCGGATCCGGAGATCGTTCTGCGAATGCGACACCTGCTGCAGGCATGTTAGGGGCTTGAAGCAATGCGATTTGCGGATACACTCGCAGCCTTTCGTCGATGCCAAAATTTTTTGAACAATGTCTAAAAAAAAAGTTGACGTTGATCATTAAAGTGGAGTGATTGCTCTTACCGCTTTCCTGTTTGGGACTAGCTTTGCGATCCGCGTCTAATTCTTCGGCTGAAGAGTGGCAGTGAGAAAAAATACTCCACAGTACTTTGCTCTTGGTGCAAATAAAGGCGCAAAGCAATACTAACTTGGTATGGCTCTCAACTATCTCGATTAAATCATTGAATCAAGTAGCATCTATTTTTAAAACAGAGCCCGCCTCAGACTCAGATCCTCAAGCAAGTCCCACCTTGAATCATTCGTTTTTGCCCTAGTGGCTGCGAACCAACCAGATCGGCGGGTAGACGCGCGCTTGAAGAAACGCTGTTGCTAGACGCTGATTGGCCCCAGTGCAGTCCAGCCCCTGCAACGCTGCAGGCTGCGCCGCACTTGAAACAGCATCAGTTCAAGCACCTGTGACCAATTTTGCCTTTCAGGCCAATACGATGCGCGCAGCGTTTATTTTAGCAATCCCTACATGCAGAGTCCTGGGAACCTCGTTTGTCTGCGGCATGAGACAAGCAGCGGGCTGGGACAGGCAGGCCAGTTGTGCCGCCGCCTGCAGTGCCTGACATGCTTGGCCGCGTGCATTGAGCTGTATTGTTCGCCCGCTCAACTGGAACCTCTGCCCTAGGTTCGTTTGCCGAGAAGACTTCTCAACTCGCAATTGGCCGACGTTGGTGTCGTGTGTCAGACACGCAGCCCCGTGGCGTTGACGGGATTTTCCTGGCATTTCCCTGGGGCTAGAAGCTGAAGATGTCGAGTGAATGGGATGCAAGCCCACTCCTCCAACCCCCGACCTGGTTAGCCACTGGTCTTACATTCCACGTGTCGGGCTGTTCAGCGCCTTTCCAGATCACAGTCTTATACACACACACAAGTCAGCATGAAGCACATTGCAGAATTCCGGTGCCTGGCATCTCTGTATCTGTCTGATGGCCGCTCGACACCCACGATCAGCGGCCCTTTTGGCATCAATCTTACGACATGCTCGGCGGGGATGCGCGCTGCTGACCAGAGATGCAATATGCCTCAAACTACCTACCTATGCAAAAGCGACTTCAGTTGTACTTGTAGGGTAAGCGAGCAACTAGCCGCGCTGGACTGCGTCGAGAACGGCCGTCAAGAGGCTGGATGAGCTGTGCCGCGCATCAAACCCTGGCCACTGCTGCCGATTCACCTGATGACCCCTGTCACGGTGCACTTGGAAGCCATTGGTGGGTGATTCGACGTGCTGAGTTCTGCCGCATTTACTTGTGCTTGTAATCTGCTCTCATGATATGATTTGCCCCCTGGATCATCGCTCGCCGTGCCGTCTTTTGCCGAGCCAGCGCACACTTTGCCAGTGAGAACCTACCTGCCGTGATTTGGATGCTGATTTGCCCGCCTTCATCCTCCCAGCTCATCTCAACGGCCAACTCACTGTTTCACCAAGCCCGCAGTCTCAGAACCAGCCGCGGAAACCGGCTCAGACCACAGCGCTGCGGGTGCTCCACTCCTCCCTCATCTCCACTGCCAGTTAGCGCTGCCAGAGCGTTGCTTGGGGGCCTTTTGGAGCCCTACGGGTGCTGTACAGCGACTGGAGCTACTGCTTCCCCACAAGGACCCCCTGGTCCCGTGGTGCTCACAGCAATCCTTTGCCCAGTGCCTGGCGTCTCCGGCAATACCTACGCCGTGCTCCAGGCGGGTGAGCACCGCACGCTGCGCTGCTGGGTAGCGCCATGTACCGTCGCTGTACGGCGCTCTGCCACCGCCTGCGCACAGGGGCTGTCTGCCGCCATGCGCCATGCGCCGCGCCGCACAAACTCCGCTGGGCCGCATGCGCAGCTCGAGGCAGCTACATGTAGGTACTTGCCAGGAGGTGCTGCAACCCACACCTTTCTCTCAAACCTCTCCTCCCCGACAATTAAAAGAAAAAAGTACTAGACCCGACGAGCTGGCCATAAGCTTCGTCTCTCCAACCAACTTTTTGCTTTGCTTTCGACAACCACCGTCTGCATCCTTTCGATCGTTTCATTTGCAATATTTGCTCCTTCGCGCCCTCCGTCTGGCAGCGCTGCTTTCTGTCCTGCTTTGTTGACACGCACCAGCCGATTATTCCCCTCTTTAGCGGCATCCCCTCACTCGCCTTCGACTTCCCGCCAGGGCCAATAGACCGTGCATGCGAGCACTCGCCTCCTCTGCCAGCGCATCGCTAGCCATCTGCCGATATCTGAAAACTTAGCACGGTCGTTACTCTGCATCGTTTGTGCCTTTTTCTGTCCTCGCCGAGTTCCTCGCGCTGCTTTTTGTCTAAGTCCAACCGTCGTTGGGTGGCTTCTTTGTGCCCTGCTGCATTGCATACTCGAGACTTCAGAAGTGTGGTCTCTTGTGCCGCCCCAACCTTCAGCCTTGCAAAAGGTACCGCATACCCACCAAGAATTCGCTCGTTTGGACACCACACAGCAACCTGCCTTGACTGGCGCCGCTTCCCACCATGGCTGATGCGGCTTCTTCACAATCCCAGGGCATCGAGCCCGCTGCCCAACTGGTGAGTTGCATGCATGCCTTGCGCTGCTTGGCCCCTGGACTGGAAAAAAAAAAGACGGCTTGACTGACTTGTTCCGCTACAGCATCCCGCCTCTTCTACCCCCTCTGCCGCTCTCCAACCTCCTGCGCCATCCCCAATGTCCGTACCGATCATGAACTCTCCAGCCCCCATTCTTCGTCCTGCCATTCCAGGAAACCGGGGCCGTGCGGCGCCCAGATTGGGGCTGGCCATCCCCCCCTCACCAAACGTCAAGCCTGTGGGCAACCAGGCTGTTCAACCGCCTGCTAGGCCCCCCCTACCGACTCTGCACCTGGCAACGCCCATGGGCAGCCAATCCACGCCATATGAACAGCCTCCGAGGTCGCAGGGCATCCAGCCCGGACAGTCTGCTGGCGGCGGCAGCGAGAGCAGTGCAGCTCATTCAAGGTCGGGCAGCTTTGGCCCTCTTGATGGCCGAGCAAGCAACCCCACGTCTGCGGGCTCTCAATTTTCGGCCCTTTCATTTGCTTCGCAGTTTGGCATCCCTGTAACACGGCCCCAAGGAACCCCAGACCCTGTATCGGCTGTCGGCTCCATGTACTCAGAGCGAAGTGAGGGAGGAGTTTCCATGGAGAGAGATGGAAGTTTGCAGGGCCTGGAGGGCTTTGACCGACTGAGCGTCGAGAAAGCGAGGAATGCCGACGTCGAAGATTTAGATGACGAGGGGTGGAGGATTGCCAGCTTGGAAAAGCGAATTGTTGAGCTGGGCAATCTTGGTGAGGGCGCTGGAGGAGCCGTTACCAAGGCCATGCTTAAAGGCGGCAAGACCATCTTCGCTCTCAAGGTAAAAAGACTTTTGATTGAAATCATTCATTGTACCGATGAGAATGCTAACAATAACTCCAGATTATTACCACAAATCCTGATCCTGATGTTAAGAAGCAGATTGTTCGAGAATTGGGTTTCAACAAAGAATGCGCTTCTGACCACATTTGTCGCTACTACGGAGCATTCGTTGACCCCTCCACAGCCACCATTTCTATTGCAATGGAATTCTGCGAAGGTGGCTCATTAGATAGCATCTACAAAGAGGTCAAGAGACTGGGCGGCCGTACCGGTGAAAAGGTACTAGGAAAGATTGCCGAGGGCGTTTTGGGTGGCCTTACTTACCTCCACACCCGACGCATTATCCACAGAGACATTAAGCCTTCCAACATCCTGCTGTGCCGTGACGGCGCGGTGAAGCTGTGCGATTTTGGTGTCTCTGGAGATTTTGGGACCAAGGGCGAGGCCAACACGTTCATCGGCACCAGTTACTACATGGCGCCAGAACGAATTACTGGCCAGTCATATACCATTACATCTGATGTATGGTCCACAGGAGTTACGCTGCTTGAAGTAGCGCAACATCGGTTCCCCTTCCCTGCAGATGGCACAGAGATGCAGCCTCGTGCAGGGTTGATTGATCTGCTCACATACATTGTGAGGCAACCCGTGCCAACCCTCAAGGACGAGCCCGTCAACGATGTATACTGGAGTGACAACTTTAAATACTTTATTGAATGCTGGTATGTAGCGCTTCTCATTACACTTGATTGGAATCTGATGCTAATACTCTTATGATTTACAGTCTGGAGAAGCAGCCCAATCGCAGAGCTAGCCCGTGGAAGATGCTGGAGCACCCGTGGATGATCGAGATGCGTTCCAAGAGGGTAAACATGGTGAAATACCTTTCCTTCGTATGGGGCTGGGACGAAAAGCAGGTCTCCAGCTCTCGATAGAAGACATTGCCATTGCTCATCTACTAAATCTAACGCACATGTCTGAAAATACTACACACCCTTCATTGCTGTCGGACCAGCAGGCTGGCCTCGCCGCGCAGCGTATATCTTACCGGGGGGAGGAGCAAATAAATGAGAAAAAAGATATCTTAAGCATGCGACCTAATCAGACCATTTGACGATATATCGGGCTTACTATGGTCATGAAGAGAGGGGAAATTGGTGGGTAGCACCGGGTTTTTTTATTGCATACTTCAGAAAGCGAGTATCAAAGCATTTCACTATATGAGAAAAGATGAGGTGGTTTGTCCATGCTGCATTGAAGATCTGCCAAGGGGAAAAAAAGGGCATCTCTCAGCTTATACTTGGATATCAAAGCGCTTGCACATAGCGATTCTTCATGTCTTTTTTATATTTCTTTTTATTCAAATTTGTCATCAACATGGCGTGTATACAAAGGATCATGTTTAGTTGTCCTAACTACCTTATATAAGAAAAGAATTTCCAAAAAAAAAACAAAAAAAACAAATATGAAATCAAATATGCCAAAAATATCCTATTATAAGTGTGAATCAACAAAAAAGATGATGCTATTAGGATGCATTACTCTCCGGGGGGTCACCCATGAGTTCCCGCAGCGTGACGGTGGCGTAGGCGCTTCTGCCGAGCTGGAATTTGACAATTGCGGCGATCTTGAGCGGCTTGTCCACCTCCATGGATTCTTGTGCGTTTGTAGTTTCTGTTTCTTCAACCTTGGCGCTGGCAGCAGCACCCTCCTCCTGTGAGGTCTGATTGGACGCTTCGTTTTCTCCTTCCACCTTGGCCACCTTGCTCGGCCTCGCGTCATCTCCGTCCTCACGGGAGCGTTTATTATTACTAGCATGAGTACCGGTTTTGCGATCGGCTTTGATGAGATCCAAATCGGTGGGGTGCATCTGCTCTTCGTCGTCCGAGTACGTCTTGAACTCGACGCTGGGCTTGGCGAGGAACCTGTTCATCAGCTTGCGGTAGCGTCCCGGAAGGCTGAATTCGCGGCGCATGCGGCGCATCTTGTGGGGATCCAGGCTGCCGTTCTCCTCGCGGCCCATGAAGTCTTTGTAGAACTCGCCAATCTCGTTATCTGGGTAGATGACGTCGTAGCCGGGAGTAGGGAGAACAATGTCGTACACTGTATATTTCCCACTGGCGGCCTCCTCCTCGGTCAAAGGCCTGGCCTGGAGAGGAATATCGTCATCATCCTCGACGGGGTTTACGGGATTGATGATGTCGTCGCCGTCTTGATCTTGGCCGCTGACTTGGGGAGTGGCTTCGGTTTCGACAATGACGAGGTCGCCCTTGATGACTTTCTCGCCATGGAGCTCCCATCGCCTGCTCGCGGCGTGGTTCCACACGTGGGATTGGCATGCGTGGAGGTACATTGATCGCAGACCTCTGGTGATGTGGATGAGGGCTCCGACAAAGTCTCTTCTGGACTGCTTGCCTTGTCTGTTGAGGTGGCGCAGGACGCAGACTTCGGCCGCGAATCTCCTGGGCATGATCTCAATGGCCTTTTCGACGTCCTTTTCGGTCCTGAACAGCATGCAGGCAAGGTGGCGGTTGTATTCGTCTCGCTTGGCCGGCTCGTTGGGGATCCCCTCTGTTTCTGCCTTTTGAGCAATTTCCTCGTCGTATGCAAGAATGGCATTGATGGCGCCTTCGTAGTTATCCCCCAGAATAAGTTTTCCGACCTCGTGCGTTCCGATCTGGTGGGTGCCGAATCGCTGATGGCCAAAGTAGTTGATCCAGCCGTGCTCTGTCATGTGGTCCAAAGCAGATTGCACGTTGGCATGCATTAGGTCAGCCTGCTCAGGGACAGGCTTGGCACTGTCCTCGCCGAGAATCTGGCAATTCTTGATAGTGATGGCAAACTCATTGCCTAGTAGCTGTCCAAGGTGGATGGGATCCGTCTTGTACTCGTAATCGCCAGTCGTTATGCCCCAGAGCTTTCCATTGATACCCGCCAGGCTTCTATCCCGCGTGTATCGGACGGAACAGCGCTGGACTGTAGATGCACGTCGATCCTTGGTGCCCGCATAGTTGATGACTTGAGGCTTCACCTTCAAGATGCGTGCAATCTGGTTGACGGCATCCATGGTATCGCGGTTGTCTTTGAAAAGAGTAAAGTGGAGATACTCGCCAATTGGCTGATCTTCTTGCTTGTTCCGGTTGCGATTGCGGCCGCCCCGACCTCTTTTGCCTCTTCTTGTGGGTGCCGCGAAGCTGGCGACGATAGCACCGGCATCGCCCGTGCTGGTCTCTATCCTATAATTGAAGATGCGTCGGATTTCTTGATGGATTTCGCCTCGTTTGAACTTGTCGTCCATGGGCTCGGACACGACGGGCTTCTTTCTCTCCAAAGGCGCGGCCTGACCGTCTCGGAATAAGTCTACGAGCTCTTGTGCAAACTTTTCGCCTGCTAGATTGGTGAGAGCTGTCACATCTTCCGCGGGGATCTCAACAATCTCCTGCTCTTGAGGTTCATCTTTAACCTCGTTGGAATCACCCTCGTTAGTGGAGTCTTGTTGCTCTTTGGGAGTATCAGTCTCCTTCACTGGCGCGGCATCCGCAACCTATCCAATTGATCAGCATTAACCATCTACACAGTCGGTCAGAGCCAACTTACCGGTTTGTTTTGGCCATTTAGTCCGATTTTGCGCAGATGAACAACAACGCCGTCTTTGCCAATCTCATTGACCTGGAAATCTGAGAATCTGCAGAGAGTCATTAACAACATGGTCCGACATCACTTATGGGGGGGAATATGAGAAGCGCGCACCTCACGCGCAGGTCGCCCACCCATGGGAATCGCAAAGGAGTGGCGCGCTGCGTGATTCCTATTGATTTGGCGTGAGACGCAGTCTGGCGCACATTGTAGTGCGGTAGTTCGCTCATGACAGCGGTGATGCAGCGGTAGAGACGAGAGCCAATTGAGCTGAGCCTCACCTTGTGAAATTCTCACTAGATATTATGCTTTGAGCGTTATGGGGCAGATTCTGCCGGCAATAATTATCTATACTTTTGACAGACATAGCAGGCGGTGGAGACTAGAGCGCCTGGGTCTTTGGGTGGCGCTCTAAAGAGGTAGGCGGTATAAATGGAGCCATATGTACCTTTTTTTTTTTTTGGCCATATTGCTATATTGCAAGCTGTGAACCGATTGATGCAAGGAAGCCATCTAAGAATGTTTCCAAAAAGACAATTTTTAAGATGCTTCATCAATTAATGTCAAGGAATTTTATTCAATATAATTTATCCATGCCGTAATTTAGCTATATGTAAATATGTACTAGACTAGACGAAAGTCCGTCTTACAGCAACCTTGAATAGGTACCTAGGTTTGTAGAAAGAGCTACTATGGAAACCTTTCATATTGATAGATGGTAATTCCTTCTCTAGCATATCGGAAATTTGAAACATTCATAGGTGTCTAGTTAATCCAAACTTGCTCAATCATCAGCTCGCTCTCCGCGGCTTCAAAAGTAGTTTAGACCTGATTGTGTTATTTTATTTCCTCCTTTCCCGCTTTCAGCCTGCCTTGCTTCAATGCTAGAGAATTATAAGGTGAACACAAGTTATCCTCGTATTATTCTTAACGTTGATATGTGATTACAACATCGGATCAGGATCAGCATGAAAAACACTTGCTCGCCTCGCGTTGTGCCAATATTTCATCTCTTCTAAGACAAGGGATGAGATAAAAAACCGGAATTCATCCTCGACAAAGACAAGCTCGGAAACAAAATGCCCAGACGATTAAGATGGCTGCTTCCAGCTATTCGTTTTGCTACCGAATCGCGACCCTCCATCACAAGTTCGGACTTGGACTCAGAACCGGAGGAGAAACGTTCCGAATATACAGGTAAGTTCTTGTAAATGACACCAGCATATGTCCTCTTGCTACCCCTGCCAGATATTTACGACGCGCTGTCATCCATCGGCCTACTTGATCCCGGTACCAGGCGTTTGAATGAACCTAAGCTTCTAGAGCTGTCTGACGACATTCGGACTCACCTTCTTGAAGGCGCTTCTCTAGGCGACAGCGCAGAAATCATCAAGCGAACTGTCCGTGAGCTGGTAAGGGACGAGAGTGGTGCCATGCCTGTACTGGATTTTGCTGCCATTCAGAATGCTAGACTGGATAAACTGCTTTCCGAAATGTTGACCCTAGGCCACCAGCAAGCTTTGCTTTCTCCTCGATCCCGCGTTGATACCTTGATGGCCGAAAGGTTGCAGAGGCTATGGATGGCTCGATTTCGTGAAAAGTATTTCAACATTGATCAAATCCGGCATCAAAACCTATCCAAGACTGGCAGGCTGAAAGATATCATGTTCAATGATGTAGCCACGAACAGCTGGGACTTGTGGCAAGCAGAGGGCAGTGAGACACTATCAGGCCTTGAATCAAATCTCCAGTTCAAACCGGGACAGTAAGATCAACGGAAACAGAAATTGTCTTGTTTGAAGTCAATATACTGACAGATGCGGCCACTCAGTTAGTGGCTTAACCTGGCATGTGCGTACCGAGATGGCATTGTAGGAAGTATTTGCGAAACTCCAACAGAAGGGAGATACGGGGCTCATTCGCTCCCACTGCTGACAGGCCGGGAAGAAGTGGTATCTGCGGACACGGTCCGCTATATGCGTGAAGCGAAGCTTTCTGAAACCCACGTTTCCTTGATAACCCACGTTGGTTCTCAAATACGCATCCTGAGAGGCCACCGACTCAGAAGCCCGCTCTCACCTAAAGCAGGCATACGATATGACGGACTGTACGTTTGATGTCCCGTTGAACTTGGAACGGTTTCTAACAGCAGTACAGATATACAATCCGACAATACGGCCACAAGCAAAACCCGACGAGCCGGCTGCACCGAATCATCGTGACGTTGGAAAGAGTCGCGGGCCAGCCAAGCATGGCCGATTTCGCTCAAGTCCCCCGTCCGTCACAAATGGACGACTGGGTGCTGTTTGAGAAATTCGAAGGCGAAATGATCCGGCAGAACCATGGCGAGCAAAGCTTTCTGGACTGGAAAGTGATGAAGGCGCAGGAAAGGATGGAGCAGCGACAATGGCGACGAGCTCTCGAAGTTGGAGCTGCTCTGACCACGGCTCGGCATGCCAGGTACAGCTACGGAATGCGAGATTTGGGGGTAAAGGAGAAGACCTAGATCAGCACCTATAAACCATACAATTACAGACCGACAGAAATTATTTTGTGCTTCCCCGGCCATTGTGACTTTGCAATCAATCCCTTGAAAAATGATGGCAAGATGAAGTGCTAAATCCAGCCATGGCTAACTCGAGCGTTTTAGGAGGGGCTTATTCGGTGGCGGGGCTCATACAACTGAACAAGACTTCACTCATACATCAATCGTATCGGCGAGTTCACATACGCAAACCGCCAACCATGGGGAAAAACGACAAAAAATCCGGCGATAAAGGCGGCGCCAAGGGAAAGGGAGCCGAGGCCAAAGAGTCTGGAGGGAAGACCAAAGGGGCCATGTCTATCAACGTTCGACACATTCTGGTATGTCTTGCTGAGGCCGCTGTGAAGTACCACTGGCTCTGCATCTTTGTTTATTAGTATTATTTAATTGTTTTTTATCTCATTTCAACTGTTTTAAGCCGCAAAATGACATCACCGCTAATTTAAGCCAAAAGTGCGAAAAACATGCGAAAAAGGAAGAGGCTCTTTTGAAGCTGAGCGAAGGTGTCAAATTTGATGAGGTCGCCCGGACCTATTCCGAGGACAAGGCACGGCAAGGTATGCTTTCTTCTCCTCCTTCTTCTTCTTCTTCTATTCTGATGCTACGCTATTGTACGTAGCCGGCGCTGTCAGAGCTAATCTGCTGATAACTTTCATTTCCTTTGCTATAGGGGGTTCTTTAGGGTGGAAGACAAAGGGGAGTCTGGATCCTACGTTTGAGGAAGTTGCCTTTTCTTTACAACCAAGTACTACAGGCAGCCCTATCATTGGAGAGGCCAAGACACCGTTTGGCTATCACATTATAATGGTAAGTTTACGAAATTCTAGTCACGTTCATTATCGGAGCATTCCGTGGTGTTAATACCGGACTGTTAGGTCGAAGGGCGCAAGTAAAAGGGGAGAAGAGACTAGGAAAAAGGGTGCATTCAGATATCACAAGACAGCACAAAGAAGAGCCAGCAATTCATATAAGTATTTGGATTCCGTTTTTTTATTGTTCCCATCATGCAATGTGGCCATGATACAAGGCCTAGAGTACAACCCTAAAGGAAAAGTCGTTTTTTAACGCGTCCTGAAAAGAAACCAAGACCGCACCTCTATACCCCATTAAATCAACGCCGTCCATACCCTTACTGGGAGGTCTGGAAGTAGTTCAGGATGATGGAACGCTCCTGAGACTCCTCACCCCAGTCCTTGACAACGACGCAAGAGCAGTTGACGACCTTGCGGGCGTTACCCTCACGGTCAAGAACGCCTAAACACAATTGTAAGTAATTCGTCTTACATCATCTTTTCTCCGTTTTTCCTCGGATTCAGCTGAGATTTCACATACAGAGACCGGCCCACTCGCCGAGCTGCTTGCCATCGGGAACCTTGATCAGAGGAATCTTGTGCTCATTGCAGAGAGCAATGACCAGCTTCTTGTAGGCCTCCTCCTCGCAGTTCTCGTTCAGGACGCACATGTGAGCCTGGCGACGGTCCAGAGCCTTGGAGGCTTCACGGAGACCGCGGGCGAGACCGTCGTGCATGAGAGCGAGCTTGAGAACACCCTTCAGGGCGTCCAGAACGGACATCTGGCCCTTGGGGGCATCTCCGGAAACTTCGACTTCCTCGACGACCTCGGGGGCGTTGTTCTCTTCTACGTCCGACTTTTTTCGTGGAAAAAAAAAAAATTGCCTGCGTTAGCGCTGTGTTTTTTTCGTCTAGAGGGGGGTAATTTCGCATTCGACAAGGTCCAGCGAGGGGCTCAATTTTTCTCGTTGATTTCGGACAGAAGAAAGAGCATCGATTCCATTGGCGATTCTGCGAAAATGGGCGAGAAACTCACCATCTTGTTTGTTGTTCTCGTCGGGCGATCCTCGAAGATTAATTGATGTGTGATGAACTAGTGACGGGGGTTTTTGCGTCGTGCGCGAACAGTTGATAGTAGGAGTTGAGAATAACGGGGATTTGCCTAAATCCAGGTAACCGAGTGCGTACCCTTAGGGCATTTTTACGCGCACGGACCACCAGGGCACACAACGCACCAACGGCACAAGGCTGGACCCATTCCAGGCCCCGTCTAGTTTTTTTTCGTCCATCTCCGGTGCTCTCAGCTCGAACCTCACTTTCTCACCCGACCCAGTCAAACTTCCAAAGAGGTATGTATGGTCTGAAACCACGCCAACAGCGCCTTCGACATGGCGGGATGACGCCCTTTATCGTGGCTGGGGACAGCAATCATGGACGTCGGCCCCGATGAGCGACAATGCGATGGACGCGCGATGCACTAGCCATCATGCTGTTCTGTTTGGCGCATCAACGGCTTGGCTGGCGTCTCTTGATACGCTGCTTCCCCTCCGGCAATGAGCAGGCTGAACCCTCGTCGACGGATCGCTGAGGGCACTCTCCATGTTCATCAGAGCCACCCCGAGTCTAACATGCATTGTCCATTGGCAGATACCTCATTTCCCAATCTCGACTTGAGAATCTCCATTCAATACCGCCAAAATGGTCCGCACTTCCGTTCTCCACGACGCCCTCAACAGCATCAACAATGCCGAGAAGTCCGGCAAGCGCCAGGTCCTGATCCGACCCAGCTCCAAGGTCATTGTCAAGTTCCTCCAGGTCATGCAGCGCCACGGTACGTTTGATGGAATTACATGCGACTTTCTCAATTCACCCATGTTCCCCTTTCCTTTCGGCATGATAACTAGGGCTACGATCGATACCGCACCACGGTCCAGCCCCTATAAGTTGCCGATATATTATCCTGCGGTGGATTTTCAGAAGATTTCTAAAATTCATTCATCACATTAAAAGTCGCTTGGAGGTCTTCCGCAACATTTCGCTAATTGTTTTACTTTTTCAGGCTACATTGGCGAGTTCGAGGAGGTCGATGACCACCGCTCCGGCAAGATCGTCGTTCAGCTGAACGGCCGTCTCAACAAGACTGGTGTCATCTCCCCCCGCTACAACGTCCGTCTCGCCGACCTCGAGAAGTGGGTCGTCAAGCTGCTGCCTGCCCGTCAGTTCGGCTACGTTATCCTGACCACCTCTGCTGGTATCATGGACCACGAGGAGGCCCGCCGAAAGCACGTTGCCGGCAAGATTATCGGCTTCTTCTACTAGACAACGAAAAAAACTGGCGATGAAAGAGAAATAAAAAAAGGGTTTTGAGGCATTCTCGGCGTTTCAATGGTGATCGCGGTAACAGTGATCAGCATCCTTCGATTTATACCCGGATAGTCACTTTTCTTTTAGCGTACACTTGGCAATAAATCATACACGAGAGAGCCCAATCTATTTGACTCCCTGATTCATTTGTGATGCTTCTAACGATCATTAACGGTGATGTATCTGAATTCAAGACTGGAAGTCAACTTCTATCGCCCCTATAGTTTTTCTTACGACTTGGAGATGTCACTGCATGGTACCTACTGTTTAAGGGAGATAGGTGTCTCATGTATGTGCTAAATACCTACCAAAGGATAATAGGGGATGGGCAACCTTTGACAAAACTGTGGCTGTGCTTGGAAGTGTTCATGTAAGATGGTTGTTGAAGTTAGACCTTGACATCTGGTTCAATCAAAGACGTCTTTTGCTCCTGCGAGTTATCCGCTGACGCCACTTCGCCACTATCAGTCCCTTTCCACTTTCTCATCATCTCGGAATCTCTCAGCTTCTGCAGCTCATCCTTGACCATATCAGCGAGCTCATCGGGACGCTTCCCGAAGCAGTATTTGCCCGCTCCCGCCACTACAACTGACACCACGAGTCCAAAGCAGATAGCCGCGAATATCCAGGTCACAAGACCGCCAACAATTTCCCCGACGGATTCGAAGACGGCGGCGATCAAGAGTGAAAATGGTGCGAGTACCTGGATAATCTTGATGCGGATGGGATACGTGTAGGATGGCGATGAAGAATGTGGTGGTAACGGGACGCTGGCTTTGATTGACGAGGTGTCGTTCCCCACCATCTTGAGAGATAGAAGCGCATCATTGCCGTGGCCTGGCTTGTTCAGGAATATATCCAACTGCCCTACCATTCCTGCTCTCTGGGCAGGCCGTCGAATGGTGAGCGGAACACTCGCATACTCGTGGTGAATCTCCCAGAAGAGCAAGAGTGCATCTGCAGGTGGGAACCACGGCAAGTTGGCGCCATCTGTATCGCCCGCTCGCACAGTGGCGGTTACTTCCTCATCGTCCTCGGCCAGTGCATGGCGGAATATGTGTAGAGGCTGCTCCAGCCCCGAGATTGCAAGGGTGAGGCTGGAGATGTCGAGCTTATAGTCAAGCGCAAAGCCCTGCCGGGATTCATATTCGGTCACTTGTACAGAGTCCCTATAGAGATGGTTAGGTCAAAACTTTTGGTATCTCAAACTTTTTTTGTTCATATGCCATTACCAATACACTCGACGCAGTGTCTTGCCGCTGAGAAGGACTTTGGTTGCATAGTTGGTTGCATAATGGGAGCCATTATCACCGGAAGGAAAGGGAAGAAACGCCCATAGCAGGCCCAGAAGCAACCAGGTCCCGAATATCGCCAAGAACAGGCGCCAGATGCTGCGGAACAATTTCCAGGGACCTATCATCGTGTACCTACCGTGGGAAAGAGGTTGAAAATCTACCATCCGTCAGGAGACGACTTTAATGGGCATTTGTAAGAGAGAGGATACAGGCACCAGCTGTAAGCCACATTACGGCCCCACTAGACTTGATGAAGGAGTTTCGCCCTTCGATAGCAGGTAATGGCTTAGGTTAGCAAGCCAAAATAGGATGCCAGGGCCTACTCGATAAGTTGATGCGAGCGAAAAGCTGAAAAGACCGTTTGCAAATGTTCATAGGCACCGCGAAAAGTCTAGGACCATGCATATGAAGAGATATCAAGTAGTCTACTAACTTATTTCTATATGCACTTCTATATGAATTTGCTAAACAGTTATATTACGCTTACAATAATGCACAAATAGTCTAGGATTGTGCATGAAGTCTATGGAGATTTTAATTTTGATTGGCTGAAAGAGAGACCCTAAGATCTAGCCAATAGATGCTTGTTATTTCCAGCTGTGGCTAGTGATTGATTGTGGTGGCTTAGCTGCAGCTCACGCTCACTGAAAATCCGCTGCGCTGGAAATCCGATGCCTTTGCCTTACAGAGGGCCTCTAGCGGGCTTCCCCTCCACTAGCGGCAGTCCCGCTGGTTGCCGTCGTCGCCACTGGTCCAAAAGTAAACAAACCCAGAATCTTCATATTGCTTGCTCCAGCGGCAAATCTATTGCTGGCTTGCCATGGTTTTCTCATTTTTGGACTAGAGTATTGCCAGCTGCGTTTTCTCATGGCATAATTGGCGCTATAATTTCTTTTTTTTCTCTTTTTGGCTTAACCTTTTTCTCGAGAGTGAGATTGTCTCGGAGCCAGACCTCAAGATGCGGCGGCGTCCGTATTTCCCTGTCGTGGCTGTTTTGCTCTTTTGTTACTGCGCATATATCATCTTCAGCTTGCCAAACGAGCATTTCGACGCCTTGGTCACTCCTCTCTCGCAGCCTTCCCAGCAGCAAAAGCATGATCAACAGCATCCTCTGCATGCAGCAGCATCGTCATCGTCAACAGCGTCAACAGAGCCTAAACCCACCTCACAATCTCCAGTGGTATGGGAAGACTTGCCGGTTGTGACGGGCGGGCCGAAGCCAAAAGCAGCCCCTGATGCGGCTTTGCACCCGATAATCCATCTCGTTAAAGATGCGCAGAAGGAGTTTTCAGAATTGAAGAAACGACAGTCCAAGTCTCTGGAGGAGGCCGTCAGAGAGTATCGCAGGCGATATGGCATGCCCCCTCCTCCGCACTTCGATAAGTGGTATAAATTCGCCGTGGACAACAATGTGCAGTTGATTGACGAATACGACATGATTAATGATATGATGATTCCGTTCTGGGGTCTTCGACCCAAGACTATTCGTGCAAGAGTGACGGAGGCGCTTGGCTACGATAATGGATTGATTGGTGTCGCTATACGAGATGGCGAAATCACGCACGCGGAGCATGGAATTGAGTGGCAGAGGGAGGCTACGAAAGGAATGATGGAAAAATTCAAGCAGTACTTGCCGGATATGGATTTGGCCTTTAATGTTCATGATGAACCCCGTGTGGTGGTTCCGCACGACGATTTGAATCGGCTGGTTAGCAAAGCCAAGAATGAAAATATGGCCTCGCTAAGTGCGAACAAGAAGCTCGTCAACGAGTTTTCAAAATCGCCAGACTTGGGTGACGGGAAAACATTCAAAGAAACGAAGCTATCGCGGTTCAGCACTATTCAATACCAATCGACCTGGGCAGACTCTCGCATGTCCTGCCCGCCCGATAGTCAAGCCAGGATCCTCGAAGACGAGCGCGCAGACGACTTGAGCAGATACGGAATTAGCAATCTTGCCTTTATTTACAACACAACTGCCATGTCCGACATATGCCTTACGCCCTCTCTAAGCTCAACGTATGGCTTTTTCGATCGCCCCAACTCGTTCAAGATCACCCATGATTTGCTACCCATATTCTCCCAGTCCAAGGTGTCGTCTTATGGCGATATCATATATCCATCTCCATGGTACTGGCACAAAAAGGTTGCTTACAACGAAACCAATGACATGCCGTGGGATGAGAAGGAGAGCAAGCTTTACTGGCGAGGCTCTACCACTGGAGGGTACAGTCGCAACGGCGGTTGGAGGAGGCATCATCGCCAGCACTTTGTTCAAAAGATCAACTCCAGAGAGCAAGCCAAAGTGATGGGCAATAGTGGCGGAGCGGGAAATCCCAAATGGGAGGCCAAGGAGGTTCCTCGCGGAGAATACCAGAAGCTCATTGACGTGCATTTCTCTCACGTTGGCCAATGCGACCCCGGAGACTGCGAAGCGCAAAGAGAATTCTTTGACGTCGTTGATCTTGTTGACCAGCAAGACGCCTGGGGATACAAGTATCTCGTTGACATTGACGGCAATGCGTTCTCCGGCCGCTTCTACGCCTTTTTACAAAGCAAAAGCTTGACGTTTAAGCTTGCTTTGTTCCGCGAGTGGCACAACGAATGGCTTAAGCCTTGGGTGCATTACGTGCCGCTGAGCCTTCAGGGAGACGATTGGCTTGAAGCGGTGCGCTTCATCAACGAAGACAGCGAGGGATCCGCCAAGGGGCAGGAAATTGCCAAGGAGAGCCGCGAGTGGGCCAATAAGGCGGTTAGAAAGGAAGATATGGAGGCGTGGTTTTTCAGACTGCTTTTAGAGTGAGTATCTCTCTCCGCACTTTGTGATTTTTTTTGTCTCTTTTCTGGCAGATGATGGAAGAGATGTTTGACCTGTACTGACATTCATTTTCGCAGATATGGACGGGTAATTGATGATAATAGAGCCAATCTTGGGTATGATGTATGATTGGACGGCATAAATGGGACAGCGAGCATTATATACCAGGCGTTTATATGAAATGATACCATTATTTGTTATACATGTATACACACATGTATACATACATACACATAGTACCCTACTTATTATATCATCATCGGAGCAAATACAAAGGAAAATATTATGACTGTAGCATGTTTTTATAAGTGAAACTTTGTTCTCTTATTGTCCACCATCATGACACACCGTGAGTATTCTTTCTTTCACCACATTCGTTATTTTCGGCACATGAGAGGGTCACATAGTGTCATTAATGCCGGTCTATATACCTGATGAGCTACCTGGATGTAAAATCCCATTCGCACTGCACCGCCACCGGTAACCGTCTTCGTATGCCTCATTTCCTTCCTTCTGTGCTCTCCAAGGTAAAAACAAGAAAACATCGCTTTTGAAAAAGTCAATTTTCCCAAAAAAAGATAAAACAGACCCAAAAAAGTGAGAAATTTGATTTTTTGACTTAAAAAAGGCAACTCATTCAGCGCGGATGAGTAAATCACTCAAAAATCCCCAAAACCCAAACCCCAAAAACTCATCCTCTCATCAGCAAGTCTAGTCTTCGTCTTCGTCCTCATCACCTTCAGCATCACGATCGGCAGAGGGAGACCGCTCATGGTACTTCTCAGCCGGACTGGAAGCCCCGTTACGATCAGCGTCTTCGCCCTCGGCATCGCCATCCGCGTCAACGTCGCCCTCCTCGATAGACCGCTCAACGCCCTGATGTAGTTCGTCTTCTTCGTCCTGTTCCCAGCCCATGGGATGTCGTGCGTACATTTTCATGGCGGCCCTCATCTCCTCTGTCGGTTCATCGACTGTGAGATCCAGCTGGTCGACGACTTGCGGCTCATCATCCTCAGCAAGGCCGTAGTTTGTGCGCGCAATGTTCCTGGTGCGTTGGGGGCGGATGGTAGATCTCTGCATGATGGGGTAGTAGAAAACAGCCTTTTGGCTAGCGTCGGTGTCTTTCTCGTTGATGGAGAGAATGATTTCATCTTCATATTTGGTCGGGTGATCGAGCTCCGTCTCCTGGGCAGTCTCGTACGCCCTGATCCTGTTGAATTGAAAGTATCCTCCCGTGTCTCCCCTGTGAGTATACAAGTCCTCCTCGTCACGGTCTGCATCGTCGACGTCAAACTTGCGGCGGAAGCGGTCGGCATCGGCACGGCTCTGGCCAAGGTAGAAGTCATAGTTCATCAAGTTGGCCGGCTTGGGGTTGCTGACCGGATCCTGGTTATAGGCCTCCATGGCGGCCTCGAGAGCTGCTTCCTCGGCCGCCGTGCGGTCTATCGGCCTGAACAGACCGCTGCGGAGACGATTATCATACTCGTTGGAGCTTGAGACGGGATTCGTGAGGAACTTGATGGTAACGTAAGCACCAGAGTCGGGAAACGCGTCCAGGTCGGGCACCAGGGGCAGGGCATCGACGAGCTTGAGGTGCTTCTTGGAGGGATGCTTGATGCGCTTGGGGTCCTTGAGATCCTGCTCCGCAACCTCGAAGCCCTTGTCGATCTTGCGCTTGATGGCCTGCGGAGAGTCGGCGGCGGGTTCTGGGCGCTTGACCGGTCGTCGAGACTTGGCCAGCAGGGCCCTGGGGTGGTTTGCCTCGAAGCGTTTCGGGATCAGGGACGAGATGTATTCTGTTCGGCGGAGGAAAGAGACGTTGGCCTCGGCAACCTTGGGCTTACCAAGGGCAGCAATAGGCCTGAGAAGAGCTCGATCGTGCGGGTGGACGGCTAATGGCTGTGATGGTGCTTGGATTGCTGCGGAAGTCATGTCCAGGTCAGACCCAGCTCGGCGTCGAAGCAGCCACGCAAAAGAAGAAGAATCAGATCAACTCACATCGTTCATCCCCATCAAAGACGCCCGGCATTCCCACCAAGTCGAGCGGCATGCCCAGTTCTGCATCAGCCTCGATGTTGAGCGGCTGCTCTCGCGCCAGACGTGATGCAAACCCCGGCGTCGTGTATTGGCCGCTTGCGAGGCCGGTATTTGGGATGTCGAGCAGCTTCGGGGGATTGGGCGGCGGAGGCAGAGCATTTGAGAAGCGGATTCGCGCGATGAAGTCCTGGTGAATCACGCGCTCGCCCGAGCGGGCTCCTGAGGACGACATGCTGTGTCCCTTTTCTCAGCTGGAATCCTCCGGCGGACTTGCTTTCGTGTGTGCAGTGGAGGGCAGGCAATTGAGGCTGCAATTATAAACAGGTGCCCAGGGGGTTTTCGGTGCCTCTATCGCCAATTGCTGCTTTGGAGGCTGATTGGAGGATGTGGCGGAGTGTCGGTGGTGATGGAGGAGGAAAAATGGTGGTCGCGCGCGGCACAAGGCGAGAGCCCTGCGAGGCTGTAAATCTGAGGCCAAGCTCTGCGGTTCCCCACCACGCGGCTTTTGTACAACCAGACGAAGACCAGCCATTTTATAGCCAAATGAAAGGCTTTCTGTCTGTAATGTAAGATATCAAATGCTGCAGGTGCTATAAGAATGACATTTCTTCGTCTCTGAGGCGCAAAAAAAATATTTCATTAAATTAAAATATAATAGGTAGCGGGCTCTCTGTGAGAGGTCGTCTCCAAGACCTGGTTCCCATGCGATTTCGTATCAGCCATCCCTGGTCTAACCCATCCATCTACGCCTTTGAAGGATTCATCGATAGGCCGTCAATCGCTTTTTTGTAATCCCTTTTGAAAGCCCATCTGTTTGCCATACACTCATCTCTTTGCATCCAGCCCACCACGCACTCTGGCACGTTGTGGGCCACGGCAATCTGTTACACGACTCAAAGTCAACCCGTCTTGAAAAAGTCCACCTCCAATATTCCAGTTCGAATCCATAAAAGAGAGATTTTTTGTCTCTAGGCAATCGAAATGCAATCTGCCTACGATCGGTCCTTGGCGTAAGACTTCTTGCCAACGGAAAAGGGCACATAGCGGTACTTGATCATGTGCTGGATTTGTCGGCGCACTACAAGACTTTGGTTAGCATGTGTATGACAGGCATTGCATCGGAGAGAGGGCTCTTACTGGTCAGGACGAAGAGAATCAACCAGTACATGACCAAGACGGGCCAGAAAACGGGCACGTCAAAGATGGCAAACCAGGTGCAGAGAAAGGCAATGCCAATGGCTCTGGTTGCCCAGTACCAGAACTTGAATTCGGGAAGGCGTCTGATAAAGGGCTTGAACTCTTCGTCTCGGTTGGTTGGGAGGGTACCGACAGAGCCATCTTCCATTTCGTTATCCAAGGCGTCGTTCGAAGGGTCGAATTTCGGCTGGAGGAAGGCCAGGAAGAGGTTCAGGAGGTAGATTCCCAGGGCATAAGCAACTGTTTTGAGCAAAATCCTGTTAGTTCCCATTTGGCTTGGAATTTTCATTCGTTTTCCCTCTTGTGAGGGCCGAGAAAGCACGGTTGGGGATAGAGCCGTCACTTACCAATATACCATCCCTGCGCAAAGAAAATGCGCAGGAAGAACATTAGCAGAGCCACGCCTGTGCCAATCCAACGGTATGTGACATAGGGAGTTGACTGATCCAAGATCGCTTGATATTGCTGGCCACAGTTAGCACATGCAAGCTCGGGAAAATCCAGCCGGGAGGGCAGGCTTACTCTCTGCAACTTGGTGGTATGGGCTGTGACGGCCGCGAAAGGGGTCTGTTCGGGCTCTGGCGCATCCATCTTGGCGGGTATGAATCAAGTCGCCTTGAATAGCGATCGGATCGAGGGTTTGATGGAGATGGAGGATGAAGAGAGCGGGTTGCCGCGCCAATAATCAGACAGTCCAGGCAACGTAATGGGAAAAAGAAGTTGATGGAACGCAGAAGGGCTGCTTTATCGCGAAACAAGCTGATGCGGCGTGGGGCGCAGGGCCAGCATGTGCTTTGCGGCCGCGTCCATTTTCTTCGGATTCAGCCACGTAAGGCTTGACCCCTGGGCGGTAGCGGATACAGGCCGGTGTTTTGCCGGTGCCTGCAGCAAATCCAGGTACCCACGGAGTAACTGCAGTTTCTCCGGGGCCGTTGCAATTGTCATCTTCAAAGCAAGACACGACCTAAAACGTACGGAGCACTGTCATTCGGTGCATAATTGTCATTCCGCTGGTCATATAATTACCTAGGGAACCAACAAGGAAATCACTCGCAAATGCTCAATTATTCACAATCGAGAGATTCAACAGATGTCTCTTTCCTTGTTCTCGCTCAGTGGCACAATCCATGAATTATTGGCAATGTCTTAGTTGCAAGCAGTTTATATACTGAAATTCTCGCCGCTTAGTCCCGTCAGTGGGTCTAAACTCACATCGACAGGCGTCATTGGTCTAGGGGTTAGGATTCAACTCTTCCATTTACCAATTGAAAAGTTGAGGCCCGGATTCGAGTTCCGGATGACGCATTTTTTGCTTGCAGAAATTCTGCTTCATTTTTTCCTCTTTACTCTTCTTTCTATATCTCCTTCTTTGCATATTCTGGCTTTTTACTTTTGCACATATCTCAAGGTGAACAGAATTGGTCTCGCATACGCAAATAGTACAGAGGATTATTGCCAATTCAATTCCCACCAAGCTTACGATATTTGCCAGCCTTGTACATACTCCCTCGCAAATCTCGACTTCGAGTATGGAGTAAAGTACTTGGTTTACCAGTTAAAATACTATTCTGTAGTAAAAAAAAAAAACAAATTCAGATAGTAAGAGGCCCACAGCTAAAATCGAGTCTGCGAGGCGATACGATACAGTATACCTTATGCCCAGGTCATCAGTATTACAATATCCTACGTCCACTATGCTGTATTCTCTTCGACATGTGTCACTTCTTCGCCAAAGTCATCCTTCTTTGCCCGCATCTGAGCAAGCACTGCTGCTGAGACGCCGGTTGACGCGCCGCCGCCCACTTTGGCTTCGTCGCCGTCGAAATATTTGGCGATTTCTTCCAACGGAGTGTTCTAGAACCATGGGAAATTGTTATTAATACATGTGAACAAGGATATGGCGTGTGCTTCCGTACCTTTGTTTCGACCCAGAGGAAATATACGACAGTGAAAATAACACAGAGAAAGACGTCGTAGAACTATCATGGATCGCTATTAGCCAAGCACATGTGATTTCGATTGACAATGCAAGACGGATTCCATAGCACTCTGACTTACAATGTAGAATCTCCATCCCTGAGACTCAATACCAACCGGGTTGATGTACTGGTTGAGCACTAATCCAGCTGGTTAGCAAGAAAATACTCTATAGAAAGAGAGTGTAAATACTAACAGTTTGTGCTGACTCCGAAAAACGTAACGTTCAGGCCCTTTGCGCGGATTTCGTAGGGCAAAATCTCAATGGGATATGCCAGGAGCAGACCTTGCCTATGCAAATCATCAATATGATTCCACATCCCAAAAAAAGCACTCCAACTTACCATCCACAATTGAACGCCGTGTAAAATAAAAAGATCATGACGATAACACCCTTCGCATCGGCGCTGTCTCCCGTGATGTTATACCGTGCCGAAAGTATAGTCCATAGCACAAAGCATATAATCATCGATCCTGTGCTGCCCAACACCATCTTCCTCCTGCCAATCTTGTCAATATTGAACGAGGCCCAAATGGCAACTATAAAATTCCAAATCTGCAGTCCGCCATTGAGGCCAGCCTGCTCAGCATTCTTGGTGATGCCAATCGTTTCCAGCACAGGAACAAGATAGTACGAGACCAGACCGTTGCCGCACCACTGAGAGAAGAAGCCCTGGAGGTAGCAGATGAGAGTGCGTTTGCGATTGCCTGGCGTGCGGATGAGTTCGAGCCAGCCGCTCCTCGAGGAAAACTCTTGCTCTAGAGCGAGCGTCTCCTTGATCTCGGTGAAGGAAGTCTGGACGAATTCAGTGCGCTCGCCGTTGCCGTGGAACTTGACCAGGACTTGGAGGGCTTCGTCGTGACGATCCTTGGCAATGAGGAAACGTGGGCTCTGTGAGAGCACTCTAGGTTAAATACAAGCTTGAATCAATGGCAATACAGGGGTTACTAACCTCTGGTAACAACCAAACAAATATGATCTGCACGATAGCAGGGAAAGCCTGGATGATGGACGGAATGCGCCATGCCCAGTCACTATCAATATTTATGGTTCTACCTCAGTTAGCTTTCGTTTTACTTCCTTTGGCAGGTGGTGAAGAATACCCAAAAGTCACCCACGCAGCAACAATCGACCCAAAATACCACATCGAGTTGTACACCGCAGTGATTGTGGCTCGGTGCTGCGTGTGAGCCAACTCGGTCACTATAAGAGGCGCACTGCCGTGGTCTATCATGACGCCAAAGCCGAGAATAAATCTTCCGGCGACAAACATGCCGACTTAATCACAACGGTAACGAGTCAGTCTGCTTTCAGTATCAGTACCAAAAGGGGACAGTCTTCTCTCACCATCTATACTGGCGCTCTGAATCGCCACACCAATTATTGCAACGACGCTGCCAATAACGATTCCCCATCGCCTCCCCAGCTTGTCTGCAATCGTAGCAGGGAATGGGAATGGAACCACGGCCAAGAGCTGTCCCAGTCCAAAGGCTAGATTGTAAAACGCCAGCAGCGAGCCGCGCGGATGATGGAAATAATCCTGCCACTGGCCGCTCGTCTGAAGTGCGTTCATCATGGAGCCATCGTAGCCGTTGACCATGGACGTCATCAGAGGCACGAGAAGCAAGAGATACAAACGTCGAAGGCCCGGCTCGCGCCACCATGTTACCTTTGCAAATTCTTTGTTTGCGAGCGTAAAAGTATTGGACGGCGGAGCCGATGACTTGAGTGCGTTGAAGAACTTCATTGTCAGCCACCACGCCTTGGTTCTCCTCACTTCTTCAGGATTGGGGAAAATGAAAACTTTCGGTCGGTAATAGCCTGAGAAGAGATGGAGGGAGGCTCATATATGTTGGTTACATCTGCGCAGCCGTGACCGGGGTTTACCTATCGGTACTTATAGATGAAAGGATACTTGTAGCGCAGACGATGAGGCAAACAAGGGAGGGGGAAGCATCTCCCATCCCCCTTTTCTTGTCATCACGCCACTAATAGAATGGACAATTCTCATGATTCTCAAGACTTGGAATTATCGACGGCGCCTTCAGCATTCAAAGAGACCAATTCTTTAGTCCATGTAAGTGGGGGAACGCCGTTTTTAAAAAGTGACTAACCGTCACATCTCCAAAGTAGGTATTTAGCTGCAAACCGAAGCCAGAACCGAACTTTATGGTCTTTGGACAAAGAGATTGGCATTGTATCTTCCAAGAAGAGATGCTACCATGATGCCGAAGTCGCAGACACTGGCCGTCTTTTTTGCCCGGATATATTCGTTCGATACAAGTAGTACTAGTGTAAGCTCATGCTCATGGTGATGGGCCGTTTAGACGTTTATCCTAGCTATTTTAGAAGCATTCACTAGCCTGCCAACATTGAGAAAATCCGGGGGATGAGCATTGAAAACTGGAGAGAGAATGGTGAACAAGTGGAGTTTTGATGTGCTTTGCTTTAGCCGGTGAGGGGAGCTTGGGGTAGCATCTGAATATGGTCCGATCGCCAGCTCGGCTATTTTCCCAATTCGTTTCGTAGGCGAAGGTGCACATGAAGTGACATGAATAATACCTTTACAGTTACATCGCAATATCCAAATCCCTCTCCCGTTTGACATCGTTTGAAGAACTCGCGGGGTAGCAGTGTGGAGGTGGCGGGGAACTCGATTGTCATGTCCACATTAAGCATCATGGGTATTCTTAAAGCGTGGGGAAGACATCCGAGATCGCATTCTTAGACTTGGTATATGGTAATGGCGTGAATTTTGTCATCTTGAGAACCATCAGGCGAGACGGCAGCTCTTCAGAGTCAACAGAGACTACGTGTACTTTTGTTTGAGATATAGCTTGGCTATTATAAAATCTCCTTGTATCAACTTCCCTCTCATTTCTCTGTTGATGAACACGCTGAAACATCGATTTAAAAAACACCTGAAAACCCGAAAACCAGATTCAGTCATGGCCACCCATCTACGGACAAACATCCACAACGGCTGGACCTTCAAGCAAGCAGACAAACCAGACTCAGACTTTCGTTCCGTCGCCCAGTTCCCAACCGTCATTCATCTCGATCTACTACATCACGGGCTAATCCCAGATCCGCCAAAAGATAGAAACAGCGAACTCATACAATGGGTTGGCGAGAAGCAATGGCTCTACAAGACTTCATTCGTCTCACCGCAGGCGCCATTAGGCAGCGGCAAGATATCTCACGCAATGGTCTTTGATGGCCTCGACACATATGCCAAGATCAGCCTTAATGGCAAGGAAATTGCTAGCACAGCCAACATGTTTCTTCAATACCGTGTAGATGTCACGGATACGTTGAAGCCAGCAGGTGGACAAAACACGCTTGAGCTTCTTTTCGACTCTGCCTTCTTGGAGGGCAAACGGCTTGAAAAAGCACAAGGGTATAAGAACTTGTTCTGGAATGGCGATTCGTGCCGTATGAATGTCCGCAAAATTGGATGCCATTTTGGGTGGGATTGGTGAGACGTTTCAACGTTTTGATTATGAGATTGTTACATTCGGCTGACTCGTGAATTACAGGGCGCCAACACTGCTAACATGTGGCCCATGGCGACCAGTCTATCTCGAGTCTTTTGTCACTCGTATTGCTGATCTGAACATCGACATCGATGTAACAGATTCGCTAGACTCTGCAACTGTAAACACAACACTGGAGCTACAAGGTCCTGATGACAACGATAAAGTGGTACAAATTAACATCAGTGGTCCAGATGACGAAGCCATTTTTGCCGGAAGTGGGAATAGCAGTGTATCCATCAAAAACCCACAGCTATGGTACCCAGTAGGATATGGAAAGCAGCCGCTTTACACAGTGACGGCCACTCTGGGTGACCAGAAGATGACTCGCAAAGTCGGCATCCGCCATCTCCGCTTAGTACAGCGGCCCCTTGAAAATGGTGCTCCAGGAACGACCTTTTTCTTCCAAGTGAATCAAATCCCCATATACTGCCGAGGCGCCAACTGGGTGCCCGGAGACACCTTCTTACCGAGGATCAATACAAAGCGTCATCGCCAATGGATCGAGTTGGCACTCCATGGAAACCAGAACATGATCCGCGTCTGGGGCGGGGGACTCTACGAGGATGATTCGTTTTACGAGATTTGCGACGAGCTTGGAATTCTCATATGGCATGATTTCCAACTTGGATGTGGTGTATATCCCGTATCAGACTTCATGACCAACACCATCCGCGAGGAAGCCATCTATAACCTCAAGCGACTACGCCACCACCCTTCAATCGTCTTATGGTGCGGCAACAACGAGGACCACATGTTTGCAGAGCTGCACCATCTCGAGTACGACATCAACGACAAGAACCCAGACAACTGGCTAAAGACAAACTGGGCGGCGCGCTGGTACTACGACAAAATGCTGCCCGACATCTGCGCCGAGCTCGTCCCTCGCGTGCCGTATCACAACTCTTCCCCCTGGGGAGGCTCATACAGCAACGATGCAACCGTTGGCGATATCCATTCTTGGAGAGTGTGGATGGCTGATCAGCCGCGATATCCTTATCAAGACTATGAAAAGCTCACCGGCCGCTTCGTGAGCGAGTTTGGCATGAAGTCATCCCCTGCCGTCCGCAGCGTCCGCCAGCTTATAAGCGATCCCTCGGAGAGACACCCCCAATCACGCACATTCGACAACTGGTTCTGCGCGCCAGAAGACCAGCGCACGCTGTCAATGTACCTGATTGATAACCAGAAGCACAACCACGCCTCGCTGCCGGCATATGTATACGCCACTCAGCTCAACCAAGCCGAGGCAACCGACTACGCGCTGAGACCGTTCCGGCGTCTTTGGAAGGGCCCCGGGCAAGAGGAGTGTGCTGGCAGTCTGATATGGCAGCTCAACGATTGTTTCCCAGCAGCGAGTTGGTCCTTGGCTGATGCCTTTCTTCGTCCCAAGCTGGCTTACTTTGTTGCAAAGAGAGATTATGCGCCCATCATTGTTGGCTGCGCGAGGACGACGGTTGAAACTCGTGCTGATGAATTTACTCGAGTGTATATACAGCGAGTCACTACGGCAGATGTTTGGGCCAGCAACTGCGCCGTCTCTGAGGCAAAGTTGACCGCGACGACAGCCTTTTATTCCGTATTGGATGGCAAACTCCTAGCCTCTGAATCCGAACAAGTGGCGCTACCGCCAAACCGCTCTACAGAGCTACGAAAATTGAAGTTTGAGGAAGAGGAATGGGGAGTCAAGCAGGAATCTGTAGTTGTTGCTACAAAGCTGGCCAAGGACGGAGACGTGCTGGCTCGCTATATCAACTTCCCGCAACCATTGAGGCATCTCGATTTGACCGCTGCAGAGGTTACCGTCACCAAAAAAGACGTCAATGTCTCTGATAAATCGTTTAAGCTTGCTGTTTCGGTGAAGAATGGCGTGGCCAAGGGGGTAGAATTGATGATTGACACTCTAGACCCAGACGTTGCGGACAGTTATACTTTTAGTGATAATGCTTTGGATCTAGTTCCAGGAGAGGAGCAGATTGTAACCGTTACTGCTGTCGCTGATGCAAAGGTTGATATTGGCCAAGTTGGAGTTGTAGAGCAACATTATGGCTCTATACGTTTGGAATCGGAGAATTGATGGGATTGTATGTCTGGAGATGCAACTTTGACAGCTTAGATGGACGCATATACAGATAAAAATATATATGACGAGATTACACTGCATTGGGTGAATCGAGTTATCCTAGGTAGACTTCATGAAGGGAAATGAACTTGATGTTGTGGATATAAACTTGTTTTGTACAGGATACAAACTAAGAGCTTCGTCAGTCAACCACTCCCTTCCATATTTCCTCCAAATTTGCAATAGATTGCTTGACATCCCATGTAGTCTCCTCTTTGATCCGATGCAGGAGTTCCAGTAAATGCTGCTGAGAATTGCAATCCCTTAATGTACGGCCGCCTAGGTTCTCATTTAGCAGTCTGTATTGCATGACACGGCGAGAACTTTTGATCCAACAGGTTCAATACAATTGGCTGTACTCACAGTATGACAAAATATCAGCAGCATTTACTAGTGCCCCTGGATATCTACAACTGTTATATAGAGTCAATCCACGGACGATGCCGCAAATTCGAATGGTATGTTCAACAGCTTCCGACTGTGAGTCAGGGGTGAGTAAAGGGCAATGACTAAGCGATATGAAAGTATGAACATACCATATCCTCGCGAGAAGTATCGACATCTGTTGATTGTTTACCTAAAATGAATATTACTTTGCAGAGATGGTAGAACTGCATTGCCACAGCTACAAAGCCAGAAAAGTCAGATCACCTAGCCCAACTTGAGAATATGTATTAGATAAAACAACTTACTATGCCAAATACACGGATAATTAATCGCGGGGAATGAATTATCATCAGTCACTATTATGGAAAGTGGACCGAATGTATTCGGCAGGCCCCGTCGCCAGTCATCCACCAACTTGATCAACATGTTGTGATGCTCAGAAGCTGTTGTGGATACGTCTGTGCCAAAGTAGTGGTTAACAACTCGTGCAGTGATCCAGATGATGTTATTCGTCCAATCATCATCCGAGTCTCCATCAAACACGACGTAGTATGTTCTATCTGAGGTGTCGATATTAGTCGGGCAACAACCGCGCAGAGCAGTCAAGATTTCCTGGCGGACATATGTCCAGAATGCAGTGTGCTTGAGACTGCCAGGTCCAAACTTGTTTGCATTATGGTTGAAAAGAGATAATGAGCCTCGCAAATGACTTTGTAGGTCACCCTCAGCATTGTGATCGCCAAGCATCTCGTGCATTCGTAGAATTACCGTCGATAGTGCCAGTGCGCTCTCAGAGGCGCATGCTATATCTTTCAACGCGGCTATGAGTCGGTGTACACAACTGTAATGATATTCATCTGCCAGTAGTGGATTAAAATTAGGATCAGAGCGGCTCAGATACCGCGCTGAGAATGCAAAGATTGCGTCGAGAAGCATAGGACATTTCATAGCCAGCAGAGGCACAGATGCTGAGAAGTGATGCCTTGGATCATTTAATGCCAACTGTACTCGTTCAGATCGATATTAGTTACCTAGGGAACAATTTAACCAAAGACAATCTTAGCAGAAGAACTTACCCATCCGCTTAGATGATCAGTATAGAGAGTCAACAGACGCGCTTGTTCTGGATCCTTCACAACCTCTCGTGGTTGTGGTAGATATATGGGCAGAGTTGAGTTGAGAGCTTCGATTAAGCTTCCAACAGGAGTACTCATAGCTGGGCTACATGAATGAGGTTCTAATGGGGAGTGCGAAACTGGAGGCACGGACGTATGGAGCCCGTCAGGTTCGATGTCCGTTGAAACAGTTGGCTGATCCGCTTTTTCATGTTAGTATGATATAATCACATCTACTCTTTCAGCTCAACATATTCTCACCTGATGGGCTAGCTTGACTTGATATTGTGTCCTTTCCCGTAACATTGGAAGGGCTTCGGCCGGCTTTCAGGGTCTTCAGACGTACTTGATGAGCGAAGCGCACTCCAATAGTTGGATTAGCAGACAGCGAAGATTCCACCACCGATGCACTTACCAGAAGATGGAACATTGACCCAAACATGGTCTTCTGGAAAGACAAAATATTCACTGTTCCCCAGAGCAGTGCCATCTAGGCTGTTGGGGCGGGGTCCTTCAGAAAAGAAGCATGATCGACCAGCTTTCTCGCAGCGCTTACATTCCGGTCTGTGCTCGTCGCCTGAAGCAAAGTTAGCTTGGGTAAAAGGTATTAGGTAAAGAGGAAGCTTGTAAGATTAAATCTATCCATCAAGAATCACGAGAAAGCAATATGTCGTGACATTGAACTAATTGGGAATGCTAGGGATACTCCACAGGAGCTTACATTTGAGGTGCCGTTTTCTGCACGTTAAGCTGTCTCAATTGGGCCAGTTAATTATTGGTTGAAAATAGCAGAAAATGTTATCAGAGATAATAAGGGCTAGCGAGAACTTCCATCTTGGAAGTGGTGTGTTGAGCTGAAAAGTCTTACCACCCTACTCCGTGTTAGTGAGGCGCATTACAGTCACGATATCTGCATATACTGCGTACCTGTCTTTACGCGTCTCTGGCTGCTGCTGGAAGCCATTTGAAGTCCAGGTGAAATTGGACTCTCTCAATTTGTTTGTATCTGAGCCGACTCTGGGATCATCTCAACAGCCACTCGTGTTGAAGATCATGTGAGGAAATAAGGCGTGACGGGCTGTATGGGGCGAAGTTGGAGACGTTCGATCTGTGGGAAAGACCCACGGAAGCTTCGTTCCCCGCGCGACTGCAGGTTTGCGGAGATGCTGAGCCTTGTTTTAGCGCTGAAAAAGCTCCAGTTGGATTTCCCTTTCTAGGCAGTATCAAGAGTCGCTTATTTTGGGATCAATATGCAGTTATATCAGGCTACTGATGCCATTACTCTAATACGTGTATTTCAGTATGTAGTAATAAGAGCTGTTATACAGAAAATCCTACTCAAGGTACATTTGGCAGATACGTGGCTTTGCCTCGACGATGCTTTAATTGCAGCAGGCTGGGCTGCGCCTGATAGGTACACGTATTCGAACTCATTTACCTGCATGCATTTACCCGTTTAGCGACATTTAGGCTTTCGGCTTGGCTACTGAAACTTTGGCTATAATGCAACTTCCAACCATGAATCGTATACGAGAAATCTCACTTTGTGATACGCATTTATCAAAAATCCTCAACTGAGCCGTTTCAAAGCCATGAACCAGGCGCTGCAGATGTTTTTGCAATGTGTTTTTCATCCAGCACGTCTTCTTCTAGACAATGAAGCTGGCAGTCAGAATAGCTTACAATAGGTAACCTAGGTACCCAACAAGGCAACAAATTTCTTGCATGAGAGGTTAGTGATTGAAGAAACAACAAGAGCAAAATCCTCATCAGAGTGCTCCAGCCAACACGGATGGCATCGACAAAAAGACAAAAAGTCTCCGTTGAAGAAGCTCCACACTGCCATATAGGGTAGATTCGATACAGGCAAGTCTGCCCATTAGCGGCAGACATCGTGTTGTCTCAGACACGAGATGTGGAGGCCAAGATCCCTGTAGCTGTAGGTGGGCTGTAGCGCTGCAGCTCCCCCAGCACGACGTGCATCGTCCGTTATAGCCTGGCCAGCTCCCAAAGAAACCCGAGCAGGCTTCTACGCCAATCACCGCGCAGTCGTCATTCTCGCCTCGTGCTTGTTTTTGTCCTACGGCCTCGAGGGCCTGCGTCTCTGGCGCAAGGTTGCTCTGTTAGCATTTAACCCAGGCGGTCCCTTTCAGCAGAAGAGCGTACACCTTGCGCAAACAAAAACAAAGAAGCCATCACCATCATCGCCCGGAAACAGTAAACAATGCGAGGGCCTCCTGAAGACGACTGGTCCTCCTCTGGCAGCGAGTCGCCGCCTCCAAGGCCAGCGCCAGCTCCAGCTCCAGCACCGCATCAGCAGCAGCAGCATCAGTATCAGCAGCACCCGCAGCATCGTGCGCAAGCGCCGCCACCAACGAGGCGTCAAAGCATCGCCAATCGCCTGCTGGGCGCCGTCCAACAGGTTCGCAAGGACAACAAGGAAAAGACCAAGAATGAGCCGCAGCCAGCGCCGGCCAAGCGGCGCGCGCCCGTGGCCGCCGACAAGGCCTCGCCCATGAGCCGCATCCGCACGTGGCTGGACAACTGCAACGACCAGCACGACTATCACTGCTGCGCCGACGACGAGGACATGGACGCCAACACCTTCCACCCCGTCTATCTGGTCGACTCGGCCGAGCGCTGCCTGGTCAAGGCGAAGCCGAGGGATCGCTACCTTGCCCTGAGCTACGTCTGGGCGCCGCTGGGCCAACGGCGCGGAGGGCCCAGCGAGGTGGTTCAGCTGCTCAGATCCAACGTCGAAGAATTCCAGTCGGCGGTCCCCGAAGAGGAGCTCCCCGAGACTATTCTCGATGCCATGTACCTGGCAAGGAAGCTGGGCCTGCGCTACCTGTGGGTCGATCAGCTGTGCGTCGTCCAGGACGATGATGTCGACAAGGATAACCATGTGCGACACATGCCCTACATCTTTGCAAATGCCTATCTAACCATCGCCGCGGCGCATGGCGACCTGTACACCGGCCTTCTTCCCATCAGCCCGCGGCGACATGCTCGTGAAGCTCGTGAAGCCAAGCCCGCCACCAATAACAAGGACCACAGCGAGCTGCTTCGGCAGTCCAAGTGGAATACTCGTGGATGGACGCTACAAGAACACCTCTATTCGCGGCGAGTGGTGTTTTTCTTCCAGGAGGCCGTGACGTGGGAATGCCATTGCGATCTCTGGCAGAAAAACTCCGCAAGCATCATACCCAAACTGCGAGGGGGCAACAACCGACAACAAGACTGCACCAACCGTGTTTCTGAACCCATACTTGGTTTTCAGCATGCCCCATGGCCTGACTTGGACGAGTACGCTCGTATAGCAGCCGATTATAGCGCGAGAAGGGTGACGCACGTTGAAGACACCCTAAGGGCATTTTCAGGCATCACCTCCATGCTGACCCGTACATTTTCGGACGGATTCATGTTCGGAATGCCGCTCATGTTTCTCGATATCGCTCTGCTCTGGAGACCGCAGGCTTCGATACGACGGAGAGCACCGCCGCGAGCTCCCTTTTTCCCATCGTGGTCATGGATGGGATGGTGGTATGATGGTGTGCCTGTCGATTTGATATTGTGGAGAGCCGCGGCAGACTATGTTGAAGACGCAAGTTCAACAAAAGTAGGACCAAGCTCTAAACGCTTTCAATCCCTGCAGACGTTTAGAATAAAGACTACTGTTACCTGGAACTTGACAGACAGGGCGTCTACAGTTCCCGTGGCCAACACAGGACTGCGATACCGAGAACTCCGTTCTCGCAAGAATTCTGGCTCGCAGCTACCCCGTGGTTGGTCAAAAAGCGGATCTTCCTTTAAGCATGATAGCGACAGGGGAACACTCTTCAAATATCCTGTGCCGGTCGTGGATCCTCCCAAAGATGGACTGCACGCGCCAACACTCGCAGAGCAAACTTTCCCCGGACCGCTCTTGTCTTTCAAAACAGTCGCCGGGTTTTTCGACGTCGATCTCGCCGATACCATGGCGCCCAAGGATCACTCGAATCCTCACATCGCCATTGGAAACATCTGGGGCAAGTCTGGCAAATGGATTGGCGAGTTTCGAGCTCACGATTCGTGGCTGGGCGTACAGACGTCCAACTACGAAGGAGGCGAGAAGCTCGAATTCATCGCCATCAGCACCGGAATGGAGCGCAAGGGCTCATTCATTTTTACCCCGGAGAAATTCGAGGAGAATAAAGATGCGGACGGCATACTGGACTTTGTGAATGTGTTGTGGATTGAGAGGATCGGCACTGTTGCGTATCGACGGGGAATCGGCCACATCTTACTCAAGGCCTGGAATGCGCAGGCACGAGATCAAGTGGATATTGTTCTCGGATGAGGGGTTCCGGAGAGTTATTTGTATAGCCAGCGAGGTTATATGTCGAGCGTGGGCGTTTATAGGGAGGTTCTGAGTCTCGAGTCTATTACGACGGCGGCGGCAATGGTCAATTCTTGTTCTGTGGCTTGATATCTGTATTTAATTACCTAATGATTTTTCGTTATTTACTCCGTCATGTATGATTGGGAAAATGGTTCGTGGCTAGCAGGCGGGCAGGTAGTTTGTACGCGATTCTATTCAGTGTGATGATATCTGTTGGAAGCATTTCTTGCATATGTGTCGTGTGTCAAATGTCAAGATGTGGACGATGCATGGCAAGCTTGCATCGCATTGAGCGTCCATCACGTGGACGGCTGGGTCTTTGGGTCCTTGAATGCAGAGTACATGTATTTACACTGCAATAGTTTTGATGAGCTTTTATGAGTAACTCGTGATGAAGCGTTGGATGGTAGAAGCTCATGTCTATGCCAAAGACGAACGGGAGTGCACCTGGTACCGAGCTTCGATCGCATCTATGGAGTGTGGTATGACAAGCATATATCCGCGCCTTGTCTCACGGTGGCGCTCATGTGTTAGACAATTTGCTGTCATTTTGAATACGACTAAGCGGCACTTGCATCATTGATGCTCAATTTACTGACTAAAAAATCCTGTAATAAAAATGAAAGCATTTCTACTTGAATATGCTGTATCAGAGGCATAATCTCACAATCAACTCCAGTGACATCCACCCGGCACGGTGCGAGGCTTCCATGCCACTAAGCCGCCCTGTAGCCTAGCGCCCAGCTTCCCGCCTGACCAGCCCCGTTCCAGCGGCCGCCCCAGCTTCTCAGCAGCCGGACCTGCGCATCAAATCTGGATCCGGATCCTCCTTCTTAACGTCACGGGTTTCGTTTCGCTGCCTCTCCCATTGTCCACGCGACCCCCTGCCAAATGCCTGGATCTGACGAGCCGTGAGAGATACTACATTACAGTCTCTCGTTTTGTCTCTGTCACGGTGCTTGCAATACGCAGCATCTTTGAAATTCTCTGCATTGATTTGAACGCGAAAGTCGCAGTGGGAGGGAGAGAGACGTGCGCTAAAGAAACAAACTCCGATATCGAATCGAAAACTTTACAAGCTTGTCATCGCGTTGTCGCAAAGCATAGATAATGGCATCGAGGTTGGAATATCGGTCGCTGGCCGATGACGAGGACCGCGAACGAGCTTCAGACGAAGATTCAGCTCTGCTCGGCGGAGAATTCGAGGATGGTCCCCAGGTACCCTTTTCGTGGATCGAATATGGCATCTTTTGCTTCCTCGGCATGGCCATGCTCTGGGCCTGGTAAGATTCAGCAACAACAACACCACAGCTACATTGCCAAAAGCTAATGCGATGAAAACTTGACAGGAACATGTTTCTCGCCGCAGCCCCGTACTTTGCCTCCCGCTTCGCCGGCGACGCCTGGATCGAAGCAAACTTCCAGTCCACCATCCTCGCCGTCTCGACCCTGACCACCCTTGCCGTCGTGCTCATCCTCTCCAACATCCAGTCCTCGGCCTCGTACCCCTTCCGAATCAACCTCGCCCTCGTCATCAACAGCCTCATCTTCGGCCTGCTCACAATCTCCACGGCCGTCTTCCTCGATGCCTCGCCTCGCCAATACCTGAGCTTCGTGCTCGCCATGGTGGCCTGCACGTCCTGGGCCGCCGGGCTGATGCAAAACGGCGCCTTCGCCTTTGCTGCTGGCTTTGGAAGGCCAGAGTACATGCAGGCCCTCATGGTGGGCCAGGGCGTGGCTGGTGTTCTGCCCTCGATCGCGCAAGTCGTCTCTGTGCTGGTTTTCCCTCCCAGCAAGGAAAAGGAAGATACATCTGGCGAGAGACAAGGCGAATCGTCTGCATTCTTCTACTTCCTCGCCGCCGTCGTCATATCCATAATCACCCTCGGGGCCATCGTCCCCCTCGTCAGGCGCCACAACCGCATGGTGGCAGACCGTCTTTCAGAGCGCCTCGCCTCCTCCATGACCAGCATCGAAGAAGCCGAGCGCGCCACTCGAAAAGTCGTCTCCCTCCTCCATCTTCTCAAGAAACTCCACTGGCTCGCCTTTGGCGTAGCGCTCATCTTCACTATAACAATGTTCTTCCCCGTCTTTACGGTCAAGATCCTCTCCGTCAACGAGGATGGCGGCCGCCTCATCTTCCAACCCTTCGCCTTCATCCCCGTGGGCTTTCTCTTCTGGAACATTGGCGATCTCGCGGGCCGAATCGCCACCATGCTGCCCTACTCGCTCACAAAAAGGCCGTTTCTGCTCTTCGTGTTGGCTGTGGCGCGAGTCGGCTTCCTCCCGCTCTACCTGCTCTGCAACATACATGGCCGGGGCGCCATCATCCCGAGCGATTTCTTCTATCTTGTCATTGTCCAGGTTCTCTTTGGCATGACCAATGGATGGCTCTGCTCCAACATGATGATGGCGTCAGGAGAGTGGGTTGAAGAGAATGAGCGAGAGGCTACCGGTGGATTCATGGGCTTGTGCTTGGTCGCTGGCCTTGCTTCTGGAAGCTTGTTGAGCTTTACAGCATCTGGAATTTAACAAGCGTGTTTATTCGGGTTGATTATCTATTATAAAGGCGTTTCTTTTTTCTTTTCTTTTCTTTTTTTTTTGAAGTAATTTATTCATCACGGTGGTATACGCATGGCATACTTTATAGATTTCTTAGGCATTTATTCGACAACACAATAGGCTATCTAAACTCATTCTGACTTGAAGCTAATAAAAACAATTCTGTAATATGTACGATAATAAATAACGATGATACTTTGAAAATTCGATTGTCCGGTTTCAATTGTTGCCCGCCGTCCTGTATTCCTCGCGATGCTGCTCTTAAAACCCTTTTTCCCATATCCCATCCTGTCTTGTTTCCCTGTATTGCGTCTTCATTGCCACGCATACCTAGCCTCCAACGCCATTGCAAATGCTTCAATACCAGATTCTGAAACTAAAAGAAGGAGATTGTAGAGGAAAAAGAAATTTGAAATCCATTCGCCCAAGCCAAGATCAAATTATGACTCCCCCCCTCAATGTGTACAAGATCCTTCAAGGATTGCACCTCAAGGGGTTGTTGTAAATAGAATCAGATGGTGCGCCTTCCGTAACTCTTTTGAAAGGCTCCAGGCCTTTGCGCAGAGTTGTAAGATTCGTCTCGTGCCGATATGTAGTTGTTTTCGTCCCCGTCGGCGAAGAAAGGCTATTATTTTGACGATAAGAATTCTTTTTAGGTTTATTCGTATTTTCTTCCATGAGAAGAATGATTGGCTCCCCCGTCCGAGGCTTGCCCGACCACTCCAGCGAGCAGAGTGACGGTGGATGGTAGTAAGTGTCACCACACACAACCCAGTCAGCAGTATAGAAACCACCATCGATGAGGTCCCTCTCAGTCCCGCGCCAATGAAACGACTTTTTTTCGGGGTCTTTCCAATCAAAATCACCAAAGCGAAGTTTGATTTCCTCATCGTCGCTGGGAGGAATCAGTGCAAAGCATGTGCAGTCACGCAGCGTCATGGCGACAATAAAGTCCAGATTCTTTATAGGATTTAGGGGTCCTGCATCATCAAGACTCTTCTGGCAATTCCTTAGTGCTTGAATCGCTTTGTGATGAATGATTTTATCGAGAGCCGCCTGGATGCGCTCGCTGTTGTGTAGACCGGAAAGTTGCGGAGCTATTCGAAATGGAGATGCGACCTGCTGGGGGCAATCGGGATTTGCAAGCGTAATCGGGCAGGGCTTCTTTTCCGGGCAAGGAGCCTTTGTGCCAGGAGCCTTTAAATAGTTGCGAAGTTCCAATGCGCACTGCCTGCATCTGATGGCATTTTTGGGAGCACTAGGCGACTGTAGCAACCACTTGGGTTTGAATTCGATGAGTATAGATTCATCGACGCCTTCAGAGAGTGTTAGTCAGTATGCAGTTGGCAGAGTTTGGGGAGGTGTGCCACAGATGATACGTGGGCATGTAACCACTCACCACTTGGTCGCATGTCCTCCACAAGAAACCCCCAAGACGCGCGGCCAATGTACGATCCCTGAAATTTGGGCTTTCGCAGGTGGTTGGATTTCCGAAGCATGGCGTTGAGCTCATCCACAAAGCTGGACTTGTGCAGCACCACCAGCTCCTGGCGCACGGCATGGTCGCCAAGATGCGGTTGGATCTCTCGAATGAAGAATTCCTGTTGGCGGAGATAATAGTTGGACGACACGGGAGTGCGACTAAGAGCCTGTGCTTTGGCCACCCTGAGAAGTTTGCCTATAGGAGCAGAGCATCGGTTAGCGACTGGGTCTGTGTAACCACAACTTAGCGTCGAGAAGCGCTTGAGAAGGTTTGCTAGAAGCCTTGATTTGCGTGTCCCTGGCCTCTTTGGAAGAAGAAGAGAAGAAAGAAAAACAAAAGGGAAATGTACCTTGAAAATGGGCGTCCATGCCGCTATTGGGGGGCAGTTTGATCTCAAAGACAACATTGGCGGCTCCTTCACCGACCAGCCTTACGGGCCTCGTTCCCGGTGGCAGTTCCTGCGGCAGGTAGCTGACTACAGGGTCGCACACGCTGTCGCTGCTACTGTCGCTGCTACTGTCGCTCATATCTAGCACGGGAGCCGCGTCGCGGGCTTGATCGCGGGCGCTCGCGTCTTGGGATCTGGTTCGCATTCGGTCACCGGCGTCACCGCCGCGGTCGCAATCGCACCTGTGGTTGCGGCTGCGGATTAGGTTAATGGCCCGCAGCCGGGCCATGTCGTCGGAGCTGATTGCCGGGACAGCCTCATCGTCGGATTCCTCCGCAAGAGAGTCAGCGTTGGAGGGAGAGTCTCGGCCAGCATCGGACTGGGAGTCTTCGTCGAAGCAGTCGCCGGGAACGGAGGAGCCGTAGTTGGAGGCCGAATCGTCGACAAACTGGGGTGGCAGCTGCAAGAAAGAAGCCGGGTCCATGATTGGGACAAATCGTGGGCCCGTCCTGCAGGCCTGCTGCAAGGGCTGCAAGGCACTGAGTCGGAGGGTGTGGGATGGCGCGCTTCGGGCGGTTTCAGGGAGCACAAAGGCTGGATGGGCGGCGAGAGGCTGTAGACGGCGGCGTCTTGGTAGGGAGATGCTGGGGATGATAGGCAGGTACTAGGTATTGGGTACTCGGTCGCTAGCAGGATGATTGACGGCGAGGCAAAGGAGGCGATATTGCCGTCGTTTTTGTTGTGGCTCGTGCTTCGTATAAAGGGACCACTCTACTCTATTCCAAGGTCAAATGTTGAATTAAACGGCAAAGTGGAGTATTAGAGCGGCGGCGGCGTCATTCTTGCGTGGGAGTAGATCCGCATGCAATCTAATCTCTGCTCTGCTCTGCTCTGCTCTGCTCTGCTCTGCTTGTGGGAGGAAAAGTCGAGGATCGGCACGAGGAAATGTTGAAATAATCAGGACGGGGTTGGCAGACGAGAAAGGGGGAAGAGGGAAGCGGATGGCAGATCGCCCAAAGTTTAAAAAGGGATCGAGGAGGTTAAGGCCACCCGCCCGCCATGGCAGCTTATACTAGTAGTCTAGCAACCGGCCGCCATTGACTCTGATGATATATTACACCGCTATGCTCTTTTGGCTCTCGGCCATGCACATGGAGATATTGTAAGAGGAAGCAGAGCACGCCGGTGGCATGTGTATTTGTGACAGGCATCCAGTGGCGAGGCCAGACGGTGATCTGAGCTCGATATCTGACTACCGTGATCGGGAGACTACCAGCGGCATCTGCCCTATTATCGGAGACGCCCCTGCGCTGTGCGGCTGCGAGCACATTACATTACCCAGATGCACATGCAACATTGCCGCGAATACAACTCTCTTCTTATTGCTTTGTGCGGGCAGCGGTGGCAATGAATATCTCCCTTCCGACGACTGCGCTGAACGAGCGGGCTGAGGCCGTATCCATTGACGTGCATCTCCCAAGGCTCCGCAGCGCACGCTCTACTCTTTCAGGGCTACGGCGGAACCAGGAGCATGGTGATGGATGCGACTATTGCTCTCTATCCTCGCCGCTGCCAATCATGGTCCAAAGGAGCTTCAGCTTACACCCCCAAGGCCTGCAGGGCTGAATTGCTCTGCAGCGGCCGAGGCTTACTGGGCGCTGGACTCCCGCCCATCGACTATCCTCATCGACTTGCGGCACGAACTGCTTCCGTGCTTCGCGGAGCTGAATGGCGGGCAGCAGCTGGAATCTCGCGGCTGGCGAATTGGATCGCAGATGTTCCCTCCTTGCTAATGTCACGATACTTGAGATGGTGTGCTGATGCGACTGCGCACCGCAAGCAGTAGTGGCTGGGAGGATCGCAGCTGGAGCACGTACGTATCTGTACCCAGTTAAGTTGGCATGCAAATATCAGCGATCAGGGTGCGCCTGACCGCGTACATGTATGCATGTATGACCCGAATGCGGTACGTCACGGGACACAGCTGCAGCCTCGAGATATTTTTCGGGGTGTTTTTGAATCCCTATCGACGGTGGCGGTCGCACCTACACATGTAGGACTCACATTCATTGGGCGCACATGGATGACACTTGATGGTGCAGTCCATCAAGCGATACTCCGTGATCACGTATGTAGCACGCAGTATTTTGGAAAAGCAACACCCGAAGCTTTATCGCGCTGGCTGAGCCTCAACATGTGGCGTATTTGCTTCTTCACAGGCCAGAGGCAGCCCACTTCGAACACCGTCAACACGAAATGAAATTCATAGCTACTGATTAGATAATTCATAGCTACTGATTAGATTTGTGGCAAATACTCCATATTCCAGTGCGATGGTACTGAAAGTAAATTTTCATTTAATAGAGAGGGTGCGTCACGATAGAGACAGCTCAAAATCCTGCCCATGGCATGGAGTTTATGAGAAATGGTAGGCTCTGGGCACGGGCAAGATCAACATCCTCAGATGGACACCCTTTTTGCCCCGGATTTACGGTCCCTGTGATGTCATCAAGGGACCCAACCACATCCAGCCAGAGATCCCTTGGATTGGACCCCCGCAAGAAGAATCACGTCGATATGCAGGACACAGTCCGCATAGAGCCCCTGGAGTGACTGGCCAGCAGCTCTCTAGGCCGTAGTCGGACGCGCACCAAGATTACCAAGATTATCTGACGATTTTCCATTTGCCTGCATTGCCGAAGCTACACTGCGCAAGCCACTGCCCTCTTTTGGAACCTTCTACTCGTGCTTCCCTTTCTCCCCTCCGCAATGCGAACTGTGCGGAACACGGGAGCACCGGTGATTGCGCATAATTTCGTTCCCAAAAATGCCCTGCGTACTACCGCATGTGTCCGCAGACCAATATCCTACTTCTTCCGGCTGGTATCGTGTTAATGCCGAGTTTGGCTCAGCTAGCCGACATTAAGCATCAGTGCTAATTTTAGCTTGTTTCGGCTCCTTATGCGGCCTTGCGAAACTTGAAGAAACGCGTCTTCAATGGTAACATTGGGGTTGAATCTGTAACTACCTAGGGATGGGGAAGAGAAACATTGAAGACTTTCTACCGTTCTCCTCGCATAATTATATGCACCTTGCATGTACTTCATAGTTCCAGGGAGGTGTTTTGCCACTCAATTCAGATGATCGCTTCCGCAATGCGCCGTAGTCTATCTGATACAGAGAGGTTGGAGGCTTGTTGTAGATGCAGATCGTGGAGCATCCCTCTTTCATCTACGTATTAGATACTACTGCGCACTGGGTACGCGAGGGAAGAAAAATTGAGGTTGCCAAATACACTTCCAGTCGGGCAATCGATCGATAGGCTTTGGCTGTCAGCTGATGAATATTGATAGAATCGCGACGCGACACATCAGGAGACACGCCGGCCACAGTGGTCCAATTCGGCTAACGCTGCCGCTGGTTCGCTCGTTCGTCCTGGGGGACTGCATACACTTAGCCCTGCATATCAATAAGCAAGTCGTTCGCTGCTTATTGCGTCGGCAGACAGAGCGCTGGGTTTGTGATGCTGGCACTGGCGGAAAAGGGCATCTACACGCTAGAGTGGGCAGATGCAAGCTCCAGCTCACGACATGTTCAAGCATGGATGAGGTGTTGCAGGCACAGTGCCCTCTGCACGGCATTCGTTCATCGTGCACTTAAACCACAGCCATTAGCGGATTTGCGGCCAAGCCCGCCTGGACTGCCCCCGCTGCTGGACGGTCTAGCGGGTTGTTTCAGCGGCCTGGACGCCTACCGCACATCCGTGCGTCCGCGCGATACCGAGCTCCAGGCCTAGCTGGTGAAAAATTTCTGGCGCCCACTTTGCTTCGCTTCGCTAAAGAGAACCGCAGACCTCAGCTCCTCCAACTCTTAATAGCGTCATCTTCCATTATCTTGCTCCTACCACCTCCTACACCACCTTGGCTCGGGATCTTCCCTCTCAATTCTCCTTGCTGCACCTATTCTCTATTCTCTCGGAGCTTTCAGCAGTCATACACCCTCGCTTCTCTTATCGCTTCGCCGCATCGTCGCTCTCGCATCGCTTTCGAAAATCCATCTCAAAAAATTTCAGCTAATCCCTGCTTCCTGCAAGCCCTCCGCACGAATTGAATCCCCCACCCACGGAAGGCTGCCTCTCGCGGCCCTCGACGGCCATCGTCTGGAATCCCATGGTCTCGAGATTATAACTGCCATTTCAACATGGCTTTCAACTTCAACTGGTCGCCTTTGACGGCGGACGCTGAGTTCTACTCGCGCGCACGCGACCTGCTCACAAAGGCCCTAAACAAATCGCCCAAGCCGCCCATCATTGTCGATGACATCCTCGTCAGCGAATTCAATCTCGGCACCGTCCCGCCAGACCTCGAAATCCTGGAAATCGGAGACCTGGCGGAAGATCGATTTCGAGGCATTTTCAAAATGTGCTATTCCGGAGACGCCTACTTGACGCTGAAGACGCGGGTTCAGGTACGTTTTTTTCGCAGCTTCTGGCTCTATCCCCGTAATTTTTTTTTTCCCCATGGAGCTTCCTCGCGCCACGCCAAAAAGTACCCGACAATGCCCGAAGCTTTCCTTGACTCGCGCCACCATAACAAAGCGCATCTGAATCGCACCGCGGACTTGGATGTTTTGTTATGAAGAAAGCAGTCAATTTGTCAGGAAGTGGCAATGAGCTGGATAAGTGTCTGGCAAGCTGTGCAGCAAGCTTGGGAAGATGCCGCTACCGGGATGTGATGCACCATTGCCGGCACTGCCGTCGATCACTTAGCTCTTTGCGTATTACACGCACAAAAAGCATTGCTGCACGCCCTGTCTTTGGGAGCTTCAGACTGGCTTGAGTTGCTGTTTGATTTCCTGCATGGATTGCTGCATTCGAGCAAGTTTGGTTTTGATCAGTCTTTCTCAATCCTTCATTTATTTCGTGCGTGTGCGGGGGCGAGACAGCATTGCATGGGATAGACCAATAGATGGCTAACACGACGATGCGCAGGCCAATCCGCTCAACACCTATCTCTCCTCCAAGCCGGAGTTTACCTCCCCGCAGCCACTGGCCGCAGCTTCGGGTCTCACGATCCCCCTCTCCATCACTCTGTCCGAAATCAAGCTGTCGGCGTTTATCATCCTGGTCTTTTCGAAACAGAAAGGATTGACTCTGGTGTTTCGCAATGATCCACTCGAGTCTCTCAAGGTCTCTTCGACCTTTGATTCGATCCAGTTCGTGCGGGACTACCTGCAACGGACCATTGAGCAGCAGCTGCGAAACCTAATGATGGACGAGCTGCCAGCCATTATTCATCGACTGTCTCTGCAATTGTGGTGTCCGGATCAGGCCAATAAGGGCGTGGAAACCCCCAAAGAGGAGACGGACGAGGAGGGGGTCAACCCGCTATCAAGCCCACCTTTGGACCCTGTCGATGCCAATGGCAACGTGCTGGATCCGAGTGCCATCTCAGAAATCTCTCTGAATGGCGGGGGCGAGACGCAGTCTCTATTTTCCCAGAAAAATCTGCTACGCCTCGCTGCGCTGACAGATTCGCACCGGACCTTGTCTCTATTCACACCTGGCATACGAGACGTTGTATTTCGAGCTTGGTCAGGCTGCGCCGACCGTGCTGATCCTGCTACGCCATCTATCTCATCTCCTAACCGAGTCCGGACGAATTCACATGCTGGCGGTACGAGTACCACCTACACATTTTCCGATACGGCAAGCACCCTTCATGGCTCTGTATCGTCACGGCCTTCTTTTGCAAGCGTCAATGCGTCTACCGGCTTAGGTGTCGGCAGCAATGTCCGATCAAGGACGGGCCGCAAAAAGAAGAACCGAGTGGTCAATCTCCGGAAGACCAAATCTGAGGCGGTCACTCCAGACAGTCAGTCCGAAGCCGGGACCAATACACCCAACTCGGTCAATATTCCTCTCTCGGAGCCCATCATGGATATACCAGAAGAGGAGGAGCTACAGCTACATGATAATCCATTTACCAGCGACCCCTTCAACCCCCAGACGCTCATGTCTGATATTGGCGACAACACGCTCACTCTAGAAGAACTCACCTCCGCCCTCAAAGACCTGAAGATGCTGGCCGACGCTACGGCCAACAGCCGTAAGGCGACCCCCGAGAAAGGTAGCCCTCGTGAGACGCCGGGTGCCAAGGGACAGTCATCACCTGATCCCCTGGACCAGGACTGGGTCATGAAGATGGCGAGCGAAATCGCACGCCGTGTCTATGACGAAAAGCGGTCCCAGCAACGGGGCAAATGGGATGAGTCGGAGGAGGCCCCACCTCCGGCATACGAGGCATCGCCGCAGTCGCCGTGCCATTAGACAACAGTTTTGAACCCAGCTGAGAGCATGACAATCTCCTATGTTCTTTTACTCGCTCTTTTGCAAAGCGTTCTTTTCAACTGTCTCCACTTTCTGGGAAAGAAGAACTTTTTCCTTTGTTATATCTTTTCTTTTGTTTTTCAGCTCTGTACTGATTTCACTAAAGTATGAGCATTGTATGCGCATTTGCATATGTATATGCACGTACACATCAAACATTTGGGTATGTTTTACCTCGGCGTTATATGGAAGGAGGGGCAATAGGGAATGCATGGCACGCATCACAAGTAACGTACACACGGGACAAAGAGGGCAGGCAGGGAAAATCAAAAAAGCAGAAAGCAGAAGGCAAGAAGACAACAAAAAGATTGGCTAGGATCAATTACCGGGTGGGGTTTTCAGGGACGGGTGGTGTTTCTTTTTTTGGTTGCATGATTTGATACCCGGATAAGCACTTTTTAAACAAGACGATTGAGTCCAGTACGAAAGTGTTTTATTTCCATGTTTTTTGAATGGTCTGCCTTTGCCTTATTATGGAGCCGTCTGTAAATCAGACGTGTACGACGACGACGGGATGCGTGCCTTTTTCATAATTTTCTTTTTTCATCTTTCTTCATCCTCTTCTATTCGCTTCGTTGGCTAGCCGCGCCAACCACACCCACACCATTATGGCTGCCACCCCGGGCGTGTGTTGTATGAATACGTCAGAATTTGGGATCTCCCGTCCGGGATTTTTTTTATTGCCATTGTGGGGGAAGATGGGGTGTGGTGTCATTTTTCATGGTGTTGACGGTGTTTATTTGCACGCCGCCGGAAGAGTTTATCCCACCTCTACAGCGATGCTCATGATCTGCTTTCACATATTCTTTTTTTGTTTGAGCGTTGAGCGTTCGCAAGGCATTGTATTACTAGAAATGTCTTCCCTATGTCTCTTTTTTCCTTTTTTCCTTTTTTTTTTCCTTTTCCTCTTTGGGTTTTTAGGCACGAGGGTTACGTGCTTGTGTATTTGTACGGAAACAAAAACTAAAAAGACTGTACGTGTACTTGTACTACTAATAATGGGGAGTTATGGGACCTGGATCGAGGATCGAAATACATCAAGACAGACACAACTCCAATCTGCAGAGAATTACAATACAAATGAAGCTTTTGAAGCGCAACTATTTTTGGCCTCCTTTCCCTCTCTCTTTTCGCCACCCACGTGTAAGTCGATAACGATGCTTGTATCAGACTTTCACCGCAATTCTACGCATAGAAAGTGCACATTTACACATGTAAGGGAGAGAGAATATCGATATTTTAGGTTCACATGACCGGATTTGGTGCCAAGGAGGGGTAGATTTTGTTTTTAGCTATGCCAAACACTTATATCTCTCATACACAAGTGGTAGGTAGTGGGCAATACCCTAAGTTTATGCAGCTACTGCTACCATAAAGTAAAGCAGTGGGGAAAGCGTGTGTCATCATCATCCAACCCTCTGATGCTGTTTCTTTTTCCTTCTTTATCAGACACAGACACACACCTTTTATGCCAATGTAGCTAGTGAGTGGTAGCAAACGCTGGTGGGTGTCTCGATTTCACTGCCTTGACCCCTTCCTCCATACCCCTCCTTCTCCAACTCATCGTAACACAGACAGATGATCAAGGGGTTTAAAGAGATCCATAGAACTCCCACCTCTCATAAAGCCCACGATTAGCTGAGCGCTCAAAGCGACAGCCAATGACTGTCCAGAAGTATCTGTGGTGTCAAATGCTCTGCCAAATAAGGCAGGGATTCAGACTGACAACAGCGTCTGAGCCATGGCTCTTAGCTCAGTCGCCCCCCCTCTCTCAAATTCATGCAGCCACTTGCTGCGGCCTGCGGCATAAGTCTGTTCGCCGCCAAGATCTACTTATTTGTGTTTCTTTTAAAAATAAAACAAATAGATCGTAGTCGTAAAAAAAAGTGGCTCGGCGATGTGTTGGCAGCCGCTGAACCAACGAACCCAAGCCCAGAGACAAGCTGGAAAAAGTATGCTTCTGACGACATGCTGCGTGAAACACCCACGCTGTCAATCTTCCGTGCAGAGGAAAAGGAGCGGGGTTCTGGTCCAGAGCTGCATAGTGCATGATGCTCTCTTCTTCTTTGCTTTTTCCACGGACATGCTCTTCGGCTTCGGTCGGAGGATAGGAATCATGAAAGCCGGCGAGAACGCCTCTTGCGCGAGCTTTTCGCGGGTGGCGGTGATTCTGATGTTCCTCCTCTCTAAGAAGGCTTCACCGCCGCCGCGTTCTCTGCCTTGAGCTTGGCCAGCTGCTCTTCCTTCTTCTTCAGCTCGGCCAGAAGCTGCTTAGCCATCTGGTCTGTCTTGAGCTGCGCGTCCGAAAGCTTCTTGACCTCGGCGGCCTCCGTCTCCCGACTGAACGGCTGGCCGGGTCGATTTGCACTGGGTATCATGGCCGTCCGCTCCCACACGTCGCCGCTGTCCGGTGCCGGGAGTGGAGGCGGTGCGCGGTTCTTGCCCTTGCCCTTGCCTCCTTTGCCTCCCGCGGCCGGTTTCCATCCCTTGGGCACGGCGCCAGTCGTCAAGATCTGGTAGAATGCCTCGTATGGCTCGTTGAACAATTGCTCTTCGTAGCTCCATGCCCGGACCTCGCCATTCGTCGCCACCATGGCTAGCTTTTCCTCTTCGGTTCTACCGTACGGATGGAGGCGCAGATAGTGGTACAGGGTCTGAGGCTTCTCCCCGGAGTCGTTAACGTAGTAGAGCTTCACCGTGATGTCAAACTCTCCCCATCCCGTCTCGTTGACAACGAATGGCTTGCCAGGCTCTCCTTCCACCACTGTCAAACGGTTAGCGCAAACTGTTGTGCAGAACAAAGATGAAGTGGCGTAAAAAGAGCTTACTTCGAACGTAATTCGGGATAGACTCGTGTAACTTAAACTGCACGCGCCGCAACCAATACGTGATATCCGTATCCTCCATGCCCCGTACAAAAACCTGCCATGAGTGCGTGTGGTTATCAGGCGTCCCCGGTGGTCTTGGATTTGAGTCTGAGAAAGGAAGCGCCGTGCTGCCAATGACAAACGGCCGTCGGATTTGCGTCAACTTGACACGCTTCCCGAATTGGTTTGACGGCGCCATCGTTTTGGCTTTGCACTTTGCAGCGTTAAAACGCGGTTGTCGGTGCAATCAAGCTTTGCGCGTCGATGGTGGGGAAAAAAGTAAAAGAGAGAAAGCTGGGAGACGCACTTTGTCGTTTGCAGCCTTGCAGATATGTCATTGGGGCCCACTATTGCCGCAGCCAATTAGATCCGCGTATTGCCGAGCTTCAGCGGTAGAGTTCCTCAGCCTTATGGGTGCTAAGCTCCTAGCTACAGGTATGTGATGATTTCATCGATTTGCCGCATGGCCTGATCTCGTCAGAAATTACCATCTTTCAAATTCCACTCAAACTCATCGATCGAACAAGCTTCAATAAGATTCATCCATCAAGTCAATTGCCTGCCCCTATACTCAATCTATTATTACCATCTCATAGACGACCAACACAGCTCATTCACTCAAGCTTACCGAAGCCATGTCAGCCGCGGCCAAGAAGCTTATAGTCTGCGGAGGCAATGGCTTCTTAGGGTCCCGGATCTGCAAATATGCCGTGGCTAGAGGTTGGGACGTTACATCAGTCAGGTAAGTGATTTACGCATTGTACCTCATCTCTTTGTCTGCAATGCATTCATCACAACCCATGTTGAAAAAAACCACAATCGCTCACATAAAGTCTTCGTTTTGGGAAAAAGCCGCTCAGGTGAGCCACGATGGGAAAATGTCACATCCACAGCGACCCCTCCGCCATGGGCTCACAAAGTCTCATGGGAGCGAGCCAACATCCTTGAGCCTTCAACTTATGCGCCCTTGCTCAAGGGCTCCGACTACGTTGTTCACAGCATGGGCATTTTGTTAGAAGCAGACTACAAGGGCGTCGTCTCTGGTCGAGAATCTCCCATTGCAGGACTTCAGAAAGCATTTGCTTCAGTTCGAGATCGAGGTGTCGACCCCATCCACAGTCAGCCCGGAGAGAGCATCAAGCCCTCCAATCCCAAGGATCAACTATCGTATGAAGTCATGAATCGGGACAGCGCAATTGCACTTGCTAAACATGCCGCTGCCGAGAACACCGGCGCTTTCTGCTTCATCTCTGGGGCAGCTGGAGCGCCGGTCCTCCCTCATCGATACATTTCTACCAAAAGAGAGGCCGAAGCTGCCATAACAAGCAACTTTCCTCAAATGCGCGGCATCTACATGCGGCCGCCGTTCATGTATGATAGTTCACGCAAGATGACCATGGGCATCGCTGCAGCAGCTGGTGCCGCATCCTTCTTCAACAGCCTGACGGGCAACGTCTTGAAAAATTTCATGGGGGCAGCAGGAACGAAACCTCTTCAAGTTGATACAGTTGCAGAGGCTGTGGTCGAGGCACTTGCGGATGAGACAATCAAGGGTCCCGTGGAGCTTGAGCGGATCGAAGAGCTCGCGTCCAAGGGGTGGAGGAAGACGATGCTATGAATTAAGATTGATGTATGATTAAAAGCAAAACGCTGTATCTATGTGTGCAAGTTAATTTCCAAAACAAACAAACGCTCCTCATATATCTCAATAACCTTGCCCGTTTCCCTCTTGAAAGTAACTGATTAATATCTTATATCATTGTTCCACGCTCAAAGCTGTCCCTGATCTCAGCAGTATATTTGTTGTAGAAACGCGATAGTTTCTGGTTGAACTGCTTATTCTTCTCATTGATGTACGTGACATCTCCGTCCTCGCCGTTTTGTGCCATTCGCTCCTTTCTCTTCTTGAGACGAACATCTTCTGCGCGTTGAAGATCCTTGACTAGGCGATCAATAGCCTCCTTGTCGGGTTTATTTTGAGTAAATGATGTCGAGTCCGCTGTTGAGTAGAAGGAACCGTCTTTATCCACAGCGATAAGCTCGCCGTCTTCTGTCTCGACGATGTCTAGACCGCCAGAAGCCGCAGCTTTTTCAATGGCAGCCATCTTCTGCTTCTCGTATTTCTCGAGATCAGGATTGATATTGCGAAGCTGCCTTTTGTACGACTTGTTGGCTTCGTGGTGATAGTCTTGGAAGGCGTTGTTATCGCGGTGCACCGCCTTCTTCTTTATGCGCTTATCCCACTTTTCGCTCTCGTCCACGGTCCAATCCCAGGCCCGTTTGCGCTCAAAATCCTCTCCAGCCTCCTCGGTGTCCGCCTTTAGTAGTTTGTGGGATGCGATTGCGTGTCTGCGATGCAGAGCAGTGAGCTCGCTAGGATTCGTGGAGAGGCGTTGTGATTCCAGGCTTGCTTCTTTGAAGTTTGTTTCTGAAGATTTCTTGGCGCGAGCTTGGAGGGCTTTGAATCTAGCCATGCGGTCGCTGGCTTTGGATGCCGTATCAAGCTTGGGTTCTTCGGGTGCATCATCGACCTTTGGTTCTTCGGGTGTAGCAGCGGCTTTGGGTTCTTCGGGTGCAGCATCGACTTTGGGTTCCTCGGATGCGGCATCGGCCTTGGGTTTTTTGGATACCATTGTTGCGCAAGTCGGTGGTTTGGTGGTCGTGAGATCGTTCAAATAGATTGCTTGGTGGTTATACAGCCGTATTTAATCTGTCGCTAACTTGGAAGAAATAGCAGGTTTATGAAAGATATTGTAAAGCATTAGATCAAGGTTTAACGGCTATAGTTCGATACTGCCCACGTGACTAAGGCCGTGTGAGTCTAGTAGTCAAAACTCATATTCCAAGAAAACGTCGGCGATGTTACGTCTTGGAACAGAAGAAATCTTTAGAGATCTCAGAGAAGAAAATCTCCGGCTTCAAAACCTCTGGTCTGATCTGATTTTTTAAATACCAATTGAATATTTGAGAATCTCAAGGCGGTAGTGAAGATGCTCCATACTTATATCACAGGTAACGTTATTTTCTTCTATTCTATTCGCACTGTATGCTTCATTCCCGCATCATTGAATTGACGGAAGCTCAGAGTCATGTTGTTGCGGCATGACGTTCTGCATGTAATTCGTAGATTACCAAGTTTATTGGAAATTTACAAACGATTTTCAGAATATAGAGTCAAAAGCTTTTGTGTCACTTTTTTACTTTTGCCCTTTATTTTCGTAGCTTTTTCAGACCAAGTTCAAATATTCTGCCATTCTATCTACTAGTAGTACCAGCAGCAAGTTACTCACCGCCTTCTGAATTAGTCCGTTATTGTTGTAAGTGGAAGCAAGAGAAGCAGTAAAAATGGTAGAAGCGGTAATAGGGAAGGCATATTCAAATGGCTCCATGGTCGAATTTGCGAGATCAAGTTGGAAAATGGAATTTTTGAGGCCAAACTCTAGTCACTGTAATATCCTCAGTACTTTAGTTCTTATATGCGGAAATGCATGTATAATTCTACAAAGATACATGGAGCTTACTCTATGGTCGAGATTATGAAGTTCATTTAGCAAAGTCGAGCTTGCAAGGTCAAATCTGGCCTGGCAGTATCCTAGATATCCAAATTCTCCTTTATAATATAGAATAATATATTGGGCTAATTGAGATGCCTATATACATACCGGTCGCCCCATGGTTAGGTTTTCAACTTGCGAGTGAATACAGATTGTAGAGTTATGTGCTGGTATTTATAACATGTCCCTACCCTTATGCTCTCCACAAAATCAACTGCCTTACAATATTAGTCAAAAATTGTGGCAAAGTGCCTTTCTAAACCTCTAAATATTCGAATTATTGTATGAAATGCAATTGAAGTCTGTATCAGATGCCACCTCTAGAAGACGAAAAATACAGTGAAAGGGCAGCACGCTAAGTTAGTGGATGATCCAGCGGGGGCCCACTGAACATTTAGCGGAATCTGGGGTAAAACAGGTACCTCGAAGACGCTGTAATTAGGCTCGCGTGAGCAGTACACACATGTACCGCTTTCCAAGGCACGGGATGCCACCATATTTTGCTCACGTTGCAAATTGCTCAAAGAAGCCAGAAAAAAAGAGTCCAACGCTGAATTCAGGCATATGGAGCAGCCACACCCATTGAAACCTCACTCAAGATGATAAGCTCAAGATCGCCCTGGGGGCTTCGGCTTGCAACCTCGTCTCATCGCTTTGCTGCGCACAACCAGAGACGTTCCAAGACGTTTGTGCGGAGAATCGACAAGAACAACGAGGTCTATTACACCATACGCAACAAGCGGCCACCAAAGTCTCCAGACTCAATTCCTGTACGGGATGACTTCTTTGAGATGCCGGATCTGCTACTGGATCTCGACGCCGAGGACAGCCGACTTGTTCGCCCGGTAGACGAGGCTGATGACCTCCGCCTGGAGAGGAAATGGGACGTTAATCCAAAACGACTTGCGGTTCAGGACCAGTTGAAAGAGCTGCAAGCTCAAATCTCAGAGTCACGGCGCAAGGCTGACGATGTCTTGTCGAACCCAGCCAATATCTGGAGGCTCAGCCCGCACGACATTCTGTCAGCTGCTCTTCGCGGCACACCCGTCGTTGTCGATGATGTTTGCTCACCTACGATGACTCCTAGACCGTCTAGTGCTCCCAAGGAACTCACCTCGGGGCATGATTCTAGACTGATCGAGACCCTTTGCCGAGAAAATGGAATCCCCTCACATGCACTACAAGACGATCGGGTGCTTATGGAGTGGATGTGGTTACGATATAAAAATCTGCAGCGTTCCATGGGGAACCGAAGCGAAGAGCCATTATCACCCGCTCAACTATCAGATGCTCTGAAAGACCAGACTTCCATCATTGGTATTCGCCGGCTTGTGTTTCATTCTCTACCATCCACTGAGGTAGCCAAGACCTACTTTCTTAGACAAAAGGGGACCAACAATGGGCCGATTGTCTCATATGAGATTCGCAACGCCTGTTTAAGAGTTTTGGCTCAGCAGCCAGAGAAAGGGGCTGCGCATCTGGAAATCCTGGGTTTCATCGGAAACCTGGCCGCAAGACTATATGGCCATCATGGGCCTGCGTTGACTGGATTAGCTCTACGACTTTCAGCTGAAGCAGGAGTTGTGGGAGCGATATCCGAATGGCTACGTCGGGGATTTGCCGATCATTCGTGGGAGCAATATCGTGCGTCGTCAGCTGATGTAGCAGAGACTCTCAAAACGTTGATCCGGCAGTTGAGTAGTGGCCTACACGCCGTTGATGACCGACAGTTGCTGTTCCAGCTGCTGACTGGGATTGAGCATGATTCCCTCTCGGACGATTCTTTCCGCTCTCTTCCCCTTTTCTATCTTGGCGAGCAGAGCAAAGTCTCTACAGATGAGGCATATGGCATGTATGAATCATACATCATGCTCCTAGGCCACCTAGGGGCTGTGAGAAGTCTCTGGAAGGAATGGTATGCTTCAAGGCCTATCGTGGAACGCTTCTTGAAACCAGATGGCAGCGCCCAAAGACTTGAATCTTTGTATCAAGCATCGTTACGCAGCGCTCTTTACGTGGCGGCGCCCATGGACGCACATGGCTTTCCTGACATGGAGTTGAATGAATGCGTGGCGCTGGATTATCATTCGATAGGCGCACAGGATAATGCTTCATGGTTTGCCAGTGGAGAAGAAACAGCGAGGCCGAACGAATCCAATGGCAGTGCTTCTCCGGAATTGCCGTCTTTCAATCTACCTCTTGATGAGTGGACTGCGCGAATCGACCACATTATTCGCCAGAATCCTTTGTCTTCTCAGTGATTCAGCCACAAACGTCACATTCATATCACAGAAAGTAGATGATATATGCTACTCTTCATTTATTGGAGCAATCTTGTCACTCATATCCCTGCAGCAAATGAACAATTGCAAGAGAAAGAGACGAGTGACTTTACAACGCGCGGTACCTTGGATACGATCAATCCAGAGTCCATGAAACATGGCTTGATCCAGAAGCAAAGTTTAAACGTTGGAAACGCTGGAATGCAGAACTACTGTAACATGGAAATGACGACAACACCTTCATGAGATTGAGGCGCTCCGATCTCGCTCAGGGGGAGACAAACTCAAATATATTACAAGAGAAAGGCAATGGGACGCCACCCCCTTATCTCACATACCCGTCTTTTTGCATTTTTTGTATCCAAGATGTCGTTTAATTGTTTACCCAGATACGCTATCCGAGCAAGCTCGGCATCTGTTCTTATCGGAAAGTTACTTGTCGGCACTTGTACATGGTAGAATCTAGATACAGTAGATTGTATATAGCATGTGGGCAAGGATGACAATACAGTTTAGAATTCTAGAAGCGCACGTTTATTCACCACTTTGTCTTCCCTGGTTAATAGGAGAGGTCTCCGAGCCCCCCGTGCTGGCATTTACTATCCACACCGGTGGGTATCACCGGGTTCCAATCTCCCCAATCGACTTAATGCCAGAAGAATTCTTTTTCGATCCGGATGCCCGGTTGGCAGGTAAATTGTGCGAACTAATTTTTCTTTGTTTCTTGCGTGGCGAAAGAGAAAGAAAAATAAGCCCTGAATCATTAACCCTAATCTATTTTAAACTCGCTCAGGCACCGCATAGATAGGAGAAGGCGCCGGCATGAAATCGATACACGTGTGTGACAAGTAGCACACACATGGCATGTCCAACCAGCCCATGCAATCTGGATCTGATGCTTGTTCAGGAGAAGTCAGAAATTTATGCCGCGAAAGCTTGCTATCAGGGAGCATTACTCGTGAGCAAGCACAGCATTCAATTACTACTAGCAAAAAACGGGTTTGGACCAGCGTCCGGACCGATCCCGCGCAGATCCATACGGCGGGGATAATTTCCCCCAAACTAGACCCGTTTTGTCAAGATTAAACCAACTTTTTGCTTCCCTGCTGTCTGGAGATGGCAGAAGCTCGTTTGCAGGGAGTCTGAGATAGGAGTTGGAGACGTTTGCAATAATTGAGGTGGATGAGCACAGGATAAGACAAGCGATTCCTTCTCCGGCATTCTAGAATGAAGAGCAATGACCTCTGCTGGGATGAGGCAGGGGAGCTTGGGCTTTGATGGGAAATAGGTCCGGGGGATGGGAATCTGGCCGACTCCGCAGAAACAACTCCCGCCAAGGCAATAGATTTCAATTAGCAGCAGCTCGGCGAGGATGCTAGAGCAATGATGGACTAAAACTGCACGTACAAAGTACAAGTGCCAGGCCCCTTTCCGAGCCCAATTGAAGGGTATGGCATGCATGAGACATACTGTATACAAGATCAGGCAGATAATGGCCGGCTACGAGCAAGCAAGCTTTCAACCTGAAAAGCATCACTCAGTGTGAGACATGCATGACAGACCAACAAGAATGCACGGGCACGCTTCCGATGGCCTCAGCCCGCACGGTTTTTGCATCAGCGTTGCTTCGAGACCCAAAGTCAAGATGCGGGGTGGCATCTGGTTTCGGATCAAGTGGATCGGATGGATAATGAGATGCTGCCACCGCTTCTTTCTTGTTCGTTTTCTTTTGCCGTTTGAAGCAGTAGTCAGTTGGTGCTGCTGCTACTCTGCACCGGACGAGGCCAAGCTAACAATGGAGAGTTGGGACGCAATGCAGAACGTTGTTTTCGCCATCAATTGCGTGTGATGTCTTGATTGGCAGAAGCAGGCCTGGCATCCCTGTCAAATGACCAGGCAGAGAGACGCAATTGGCGGTGTTGAAGAGCTGGTATACTTGTAAGTACTGTACTTAGAGTAGACGCATACAAAGATGCCATGGCAATGCCTCCATACGGCCGTCAAGACGGAGCCGCGGACCCAGCTGGGGACTGTGGACGGTCTGGCGGTATGCCGGTAGAAACGGGCAGCTTCGCCTGTGCAGATTCTCCATCGCAAATGGCACTCAAGATGGAGTCGAGCCCGGCCAACAGGATCCCTGCCGGCAGCAGCCTTTGAGAATACGACGGGCCACTGCCAAGGGGCTTCACCATCGTGTCCGTTTTCCAGTGGAATCTGCTGATACAGGGCCTGATGGGACGATTGGGAAACGGACGATGGAATTGGCCAAGGACCCTGATGGCGAGGGGTGTGAAAAGAAGGAAGAATTAAAAAAAAAAAATTTTCTTTGGAAATGGCTGATTCTCCACGCAAGAGTCTGCGGCTATACAAGGCAGATGAAATTACCGGGTGAGATTGTCTGCCATGATGCTAACTTTTTGTCGTCTCTCGTAATTTCTCATTTGAGGCAAGATCCAGTCAGCTGAACTTTGCTATTTTTGCAATATTCTTGCTTTTCTCTGCTGTGGGTGGGCCAAAGTAGCGAAAGCCGCCCATGGCTTCTTGGCTCTTTTTTTTTTTTTTTGTGTTCCCGTTCCCGCGGGCCTGGAGTCTGGAGAACGAGTCGCTCCAGCTCGGCGCCGAATATGGCCAGAACCGAACAAGCCGCCCGCCGTGAGTGGGTAGCGCCGGACAGTAGAGCAGCTACAGTTAACCAGGATCCGAGAGGGGGCAGGACAGCAAAGAAGGAAGACAAGGCTTGGGACAGCAGCTCCTGTTGTTTGTGGAGAGCAGCGAGATGGGCCACGTCGTGCAACACGATGGCTTCGATCCAGGAGTAAACCAGCACTTGGTGCCGTTTGGGCGTAGGCCCAGGCACGGGAAAGTAAAAATGCTATCCGGGGCAGATGGCGCAAGAGTCAATTTCGAGTCTTACCAGCGCAACGGGATTCGGATGCCGTGGTCGTGCTGTCAGCCCTAGCTGCGACAATTCGCCTTTTTTTTTTTCATTTTCGCTGTCTGACAGGCAGAGCGCCAGGCGGCATCAAAGCCAAGATTCGAACGCTGAGATGCGCCTTGGGCATGGCGGCATAGACGGGAGAGGGACAGAGCCCCGCGCCATGCAGCCTATATTAGCAGCAAGAATAGTACAGGTAGATTTTTATAGAGCTAGCAACTGTGACAAGGGTCGGGCCAACGCTCGAGCATCCGGGGTTGGTCGACGAGACGGTTTCTGAGCAAGGCTTGTATGTGAGTCCAAGTGGTCCAAAAACCCCCACCTAGCGAGTCAAGACTTTGGATGAAAGAGCAGTAAGAGAGCACGTGTGGCATGCAGCACTGGATATTGCTGTTATACTGGAAACACGGGCCTGGAGTTGCAGCTCTCAATGGGCATAGAAGCTAGCAGGCAATAATAGTAGTGGCATGGCGAGGGCTGAGGCTTCGAAGCGAATCACGTTCGCGGAGCTGCATGCCAGAAATCCTGCAACAGTGCAGCTCGGCTAATGCTCCTCGTGCGCTATTCAGCCAAAGCCGCTACTTGTCATGAACGAATAGCCATTGCAGGCGAAAAAACGGACAAGGAAAAAGGGACTTTGGGCCGTTTGTCAGGGGGTGAGGATGATAGTGTGAATACGGAGCGCAAGACAAGGTACAAGGCCCTGCGTAGAACGTATGGACAAGGACTCGTACGAGTGATGGTGTTTGTTGGGAGAAAGTCAATCGAGGAATACGTAAACAGGCGATGTGATGGCAGAAAAGAGGAGAATTGCGCGAGTAGCTGCGCAAATGAGTCGGAGTCCGTGAGCCGCGAGGCTCGGAGTACGAAATAGTATTGATTGATTGTTCAGGCTACAGGTACTAAGAAGAGCAGGATTTTTTACGGTTACAGTGCAGCTGCGTCATGGGACATCAAGGTTAGAGGGCGGGCTGCCGGAGCAAGTGTAAAAATGTAAAAACACCGTGATGGGCTACCAAAATGCCGGACTAGTTTCTGTTACTGTTCGTTTCTCTTTAGATGGACAAGTTTCTAGTAGATGGACACCCAGAAACCTCACCTGTGACTATTAATTGCTTCACGAGACTAAAAAAAAAACAATGGGTTACGAAGTTGCATAGTGAAGAAAAAAATCAATCATGCCGTTTCCGCATCACCGTTGCGTAATCCCATCTTTTGCGACAAAGTAAACCCCGTGGCCCCGAGTCCTCGGACGCCGCACACGCTGATTGGATCGTGGCGGTCAAAATAGCGGTTTGCCGTGCTGGTTAGCAGCGTTTGGGCCTGGAAACGTGCTCGCTGGACTGGATGACTGTTGCAGGCCCCAACAGCCCAATTTTTCTTGCTGTCGTCGCCTGTACCGTCAGCTGGCGCCGTTTGTTCCGCCCAGAGCAGCCCCAGAAAATACTATTGATACTGTAGCAGCAGCAAAAGAACTCCACAGGGGGGGGTGATGATAGGTACATTGGACAGCCTGTCATGGATATGCATGACTGAAGGTTTTTTTACATCATCTCACTTTTGATTTTACTTTTTTGAATTTTAGCTTTTGTGCGCAGGTACCAGATGCTCATACAGGGGAGACAAGATTTTCATCTGAGACATTGAAACGAGATGTCTGAACAGGAATGCAATGCAGCTCCGTAAAGGGCATCCGTCTCGAATTCTCGAGGTACTGGCCGCCAATGGCTGCGCAAAAAGACGGGCCTGGAGGATCGCCCCTCCAGCGCTGCCGTTGCAGGTGCTCAAAGTACAGCGACCAGCAGCGCAGCGAAACGGCACTCGGGGGCACAGCTGGTGCCTTGATGGCCCGTCCAGCGGCAGACCTGCCCAATTGTCTGCATGGAGTACCCAGTACCGCCGCTGCGTGCCAACTCAGGCCTGCTCCACCGGTGCACGCTACCGCAATGCGACCTGGCCGTCGACCCGGGCGGGACGCATTGCTGGCGGAATTGTCGCACGGCCAGCATAAATGGCTTGTACGGACCATGTACCAGTACCTCGACCAAGCCCCCCCTGGGCAGTTTTCCATGGCCCCGTTCCGTCGATCGCCACCAAAAGGCGCCGCACACAATCTCGGAGTCCCTCCATTAGCTTCGCATCGGCGCCATCCCAAGCTCCAAGATGCCCTGCAAACTGCGCTTGCGATGCACTGCATGCGGTCGACGGGGACGCGAAGCTGCTGCCCATTGGCCTCCACCCGTGCCTGGCAGCGGTTGAGTTGAGAGGCCAGACGAGAGAATGTTAAATATTCGTCAGCGTCCCCGGATACGGGCGCTGCGGCTTCGACGTCTCTCTCTTTGCTTCTCTGCTTGCGCTTATTGTTCAGACACTCGCTTTTCTAATCTTGTCTACCTATTCTTCTTGTCAAACAGGTACCTACATTAGAGTACCGCTCTTAAAGCATTGTCTCGTCTCTTTGGCACCGACGCAAGTGCCACGCCTTATCACGCCAACTGTCGTCCAGCGAGCACATCATTCGCGACTCATATTCACCAAAGCAAAGGCTTATTGTGTGCTGTCCAGCAGCCGGCTAATAAGCACCCGTCAGCCAAATAAGCTACCAGCCCGTCTTACAAGTTGCTGCAAGCGAGCCCAGCCCTACCATCCTTCGCTGTCCCTCTGCAAGCTCGTCAAGGCCACCAATCATTCCGTCGCCCTCCGTGTCCACATTTCAAACAAGAGCAGACGGCATAAGAAGGGCAAAACATCCCATTCTCTCTTGTCCCAGAAAAAAAAAACTTTACGCAACAGAGAAGCCCACATAGTCTCAGAGTCATCGTTGCCTGGAAGTACCTGCTATCGCGACATTGTGGAGCCGGGCGTCGACAGTGTGTCACCGCCGCTGTTTTTTCGGTACCTCGAAACCTTCGCTCGCCAGACTCCGCTTTCGGCTGCCGCCTATTAATCAAATCACGACATCTCAGGCCGAGTCACTCACCCTTTTCTTATTTCTTCCTTCCATCTCCCTTGCGTCCAAAACTGCACATCTTGCTTGTTTTCCACTTCAATCATCGATTCTTCTCTCGATTCCGCCAACAGCCGCTCCGCCTCAACTCGGCCACCAACTCGGAATCCCGTGCCACTTACACCAAGTCCGCTCTTTATCTCACCCACCCATAGCCAGCGCTACTGGACGCTCATCATCTGACTGGCGATACCGTTGCTACCCATTAGCACCACTACTATATTTGGCTGTCGAGCAAACACAAGTCAACAGACTGCTTTGTCAACTGAGCACCAGGTGGATAGCCATTGTCTGCCTGACGAATCGATCTGCGCCATCCTCGCATCCTTCCATCTACCGGATCCTGTCGATCAACGCACCCTCCTTGAGTGTGACTTCAGCCAATCCCACCGTCCTGTTACCAGAGGCACACGGTCATTGACTTGTCTGTCACGCATGTGGACAAATCGTCTCTAGAAAGCTATAACCTGTTTACATATTCGTGCTGTTCAAAATCCGACTCGTCACATAACACAGCCCTACGGCCACCTGTTGGATATAAGTCAGCTTCCCTAGCCTTGAGCATCTCTCTGGCTAGACGGTCCTGGTAGTTCTATTCACTTCTGCGAACTACCAGGATAATAGCTTCAGCCCACGCGCTTCTACTCTTCACAGACTTGGTAGCTTTACCATTTATAATGCCTCATCAGCGACGAAAGTCTGGACCTTACTCTACCCACTCATCAACGACAGACGTACGAAAGACTGTTGCTGCAACTCCTGCGCATTACAAGCGACCAGCCATGACCCGACGACACACTCCATCCAGTGCCCAGAAGCTGGGACGAGGCAACCGGGAGTACACCGAGGTCTATGAGAATGAAAGGGAGAGCTTCCCTCAGTTTTGGTAAGCAAGCATCTCTCCTGTTGGCGATGCTGCAGAACTTTTACTGACTCTATTTGTTTATTGCAGCATGACCTGCGAAAAGCAATTCATCCCCCACGGCGAGATGCTATACTGCTCCGAGACGTATGTTGGCTCTAGTTCGCCCGTTTACTCGAGGTTCATGAGTGCTGACAATCTTTATAGATGCCGCTGGAGCGACCAAGACTCGTCTTCGCAGCAACCGTCTTCGGTTCACAGCTACTTCAGCGCCGCGCATACTGCCCAGCCCAACTACACTCTGGGCAAGCCCGAGCCCCGTGACATTGTGCCGCGAGCATCACCGTCGAGGCCCAGCTCCATGCACTTCACAAACTCCCCGCCAGCAACGCCAGGCAGCACCCTCAACTACCACACCTCGGCCATGTCTGCCCTGCGATCGCTCAACATGAGGCCGCCCAGCCCTACTTCGCCCACGGGCAGTGGCATCTGGCCCTTCAGCCGCAGCTCGGCCACCAGCCCCAACAACTCGTACACGCGACACTCATCCGGCCACACATACGACCCGGGCTACGGCAGCGCCTACTCACACGAAGCTGCATCTGGCGGCATGGAGCGACCACTACCGCCACGAAACCCTGGCAGCAGCTCCAGCTCTCGGCCAAAGAGCATCGAGCTGCTAGTCCCCATGTTTTCACGGTGATTTCGGACGCACCGGTGCGTTGGGGAGCTTCCTTAGCGTTGCTCCTCCTGCACCCCCTTGCCGACGACATGGCGGCTAGCAGCAGCAGAAGCCTATCACCGCACTGGCTAAACTGCGCTGCAGCTCTCACCGCGCCTCTCCGCACTTTTGGCTCAGAAGCAGCCAGCCGACGTTTGCGGGGTTGACAGGGATTCGTGTTCCAGCCGACCAGGGGGTCTCACCACCATCAACTGATGTGCGCAACGGTCCATCCAAGCATCTCGGCCCCCTTTGCCTGTGCTTATGCTGCTGGACCCCCCACGGGCTGCTCTGGACCGAGTTCTTTTCGCAGCTCTCGTCATTGTTTTCATTTTCGGGCGTTCTTTTTTTCAAGGAGTCGAGACAAAAGTTTGACATTACCATTTTCGCTTTTACCCATTCTTATTACTACCACTACTACTTGTGTTTCTACTTGTCACCGCCAAAGAATGGAGGGGTTGCCTTCCCGGGGCCTTTACCAACTCTGGACGGTCTCGATTCATCCCCCTCAGCGCTTCTTTTTCCATTCTCAATCAATATTCCCCAATTCTCTTATCAGCCGCTTTCACTGTCACCTTCCACCACATATGGCCGAGGCCCATCCCGGGCGTCGCTCCGATTCCCGACTCTTATCTACGACCTTTTATCTTACCAATTCTGCATAGTACCCATCTCCCTTATCCCCTTATCTTTTCCTCTATCTCTCTATCTCTCTATCTCCTACTCTGTTTGTTTTACAAAAGATTTTTATCATCGCCTCTAGGCACCCAAAAATGATGATGTATAAGATGGAATAGATATAAAACACGGTGTGGCTATTTTTAATGGACGGCGTTTTTGACATTTGGATTGAAAAAAGAAGCAAGATTTTGCATGGCATGATGAGACATCTTATTGGGGGATTACACAGAACCCACGAATGAAAGATTTAATTGAAATACATACAAAAACAAATGATAATATTATTATAATTACCTATCTGAAGGAATTGTGAATTTGCTATTCAGCGTATCAAGCGATGTCGGCGATCATCCCAATCGCGCAGATCTATTTATGTTACGAGTCCATATTCAACAAATTATAGATTTGTTTTCGTACTCCCTGTCCATTATCCATGCACATAATCAGCAGCATCTCGTACCTTGGACAACTCGCCCCGGATCCTTATCACGGTGGCGGCGCCATGTCTCACGTCTCTCCAACTGCGTCGCACAAAAGCTGCAAGCATCGTGATGATGCTTTTTCTTTACCCCACAGCCGATACGTGTGCTTTTTTGTGTTCCTCGACTTTTTTTTTTTTTTTTTTTGTGAAATGCTATGATATGTAGTATTTAAACTTTTTTTTATTTTTTTTTTTTGAACCACTGCATTGAAGTGGTGTTACCACTACTAATAACAGGATGCATTTTCTATTGTGTAATTGTGGAGGTGGCGAAGAGAAATGGGGAGTTGTAGTACGAATGTTTGTGCTGTAGAGGGCGGAGGCGACTGGATTCAGTTGCTTATTTTTTTTTTCTTCTATTTTTATTCTTCTCACTTGTTTGCGTAAAAATTGTCCGTAAAAAAGAACAAGTCCGCAAGTATATAGATGGATAGTATGGGTTGCAAGCCGAGTATGAATGAACAGCTAACATGAGATACTTCCAGAGCGTTAAGACATTTTCAATTAAAATCAATCATAACTCTTGACGTTTTTCTTGTATCTTAGAGAGTATAGAATAATCGGTCTTCTTTCTCTTCTTCTTCAAGTGACAGTTCACCTTTCGTTAAAACCCTTCTTACAATTTCTCCCGTCGTCAAAAAAAAAAAAAGAAAGAAAGAAAGAAAAGAAAAGAAACACCAAGCAGCGTAACACGACTCTCGCCTCAGTTCCGGAATCATCAGAAAACGACCAAATTTCTGCGCAGGGGCACAAAAAAAAAACCGAAAGTCGAAACGTTGTGCAAGGGAGAAGAGTAACAGAAAATATGGCGGCTAGCACAACTTTCGTACAACACGATCATTTAGTTATTTAAAAAAAAAAAAAAAAAAAACAAGGGAGCGGCAGTGTAACCTCTAGTTACCCGGATTTAAATAAGCCAAATCGAGAATGTGGTAGAACCTGGCTGTTGATATCATGTGTATTGTGTCAGAGTGAACGACTTGTCATACGTGAGGCATCACAACTTTACAGTGAAAGAGAGTAGATCATGGATGACAACTCGTATCTTGCCCGTTTCCAGTTCAAAGTCTTGATGATGCTCATTGTTCATCTACACGTCAAGTGTGTAACGTATTGCGCAAAAACTTGCATTTGGCAAGGTTGTCTGGAAGCAGCGAAAACTATATCACACCAATCAATTATAGAGATTGAAAAGTTGATATCTGACATAACAGCCTGTCACAAAGCTCAAGTTACACGGACAACTCAATCTCCGTCTAAAGATGCCTCTAGAATCACATCTCAAGATTTCATCAACAGCTTGCCATTAATGATATCGCATCCTATGGTCGCACTTGCAAACGAATGATATTCTTGTTCTTTTTCCAAAACATGGCCACAAACACTACATAAAGCATCTAGCAACATAAACTCCAACTCCGTACAACCAATGCCCCCCTCTTTTTAATTCCTGCTTCGTTCACCCCCCATCCACAAGCAGAATCACACCAAGACGAGTTATACAAAACAAAAAGCCAGAAAACAAGCCGCCAGAGCCAAGAGTTTTGGAGAAGTCATCATATATGGCATAATAGCTAATAGAGAGACGGAAAAAGCAATCATAGTCCTCCATCTGGCTTCAGTCATCAAACATGGCTACCACCCATGCTACTCCTTATTGCCACTCCGCTTCCCCCCCAAAAAGAATACACTCACTCCTTGATTTTGACATGACATTAAGTAGAAAATCATTACAACCATCCTAAAACAGCTAGTTTTTTTTATATCCCGTCTATTGGTCTTGAGCTCTCCATTTCTCCATACCGTCCTCGGTGCTTTGTCGTGTCGTATGCCTGAAGCACGCGCGTCTGACTCTCATCGGCCTGCGAAAAGGCATAGCCACGCTGCTTACGCATACGCTGCACCTGCCGAACCTTGCGGATAGCCTTTTGAAATTGCTCCATCCTATCAAGTAAAATGTTAGAGAATCATCACACATCTCTTTCTCTGCCTTGGCAAGTTTCAAATGGCAGATTAAAGGGGAAGGGATTAAAAGGGGACTGTGTACGTACCTAGGCCGGTAGTCCTGAATATTGTACTTTTGAATCTCCTGAATATGGTGGTACGTCTGTGGAAAGTACATTCGCTTGGCATACTTCCAGGCAAAATCACGCGACAAACACAAACATGCCAGCACAAAAGTTTGGAGCCAAAAGATTGGGCTGCTGTATAGCTTGGGGATAACGCCAAAGTACTCGGTTGAGACGTGGACCTTGGGCGCGACGGTACCGTACACGGCAATGAAAACCCACCAGACAGCCATGCTGCCCGGAATGGCCAGAACGTGGTACTTGGTCCAGTTGTTCGTTACCAGTGCCGCCTTGCCCAGGACCGTAAGGAGGACAGCTCCGTATAGAGCCGTTCCCCACACCCAGTGACCGTCAGTCTGTCCCTGGTTGTCAATCAGATCGCTGTACCAGATCAACTCGGCAAAGATGTAGAGGACGAGGGAGTGATAGACAGCGTTGACAATCCACTGTGCAAAAACTTTGAGTTTGAACGCGGAATTCTGCTGGCCCATCATGTAGAGCTGAGGGTAGCGATCAAGCAACCGCGCAGAGATGAACTGATCCAAGATACCAATGGCAAGCGGCGGGAAGAAGGTAAAGAAGACGTTGTAGAAAGACAGGGTCCATGATTCGTAAATAACTTGACCGGAGAAAACATTCTGGAACGTGTACCAAAACTGCGTCAAGTATAGGGCGATGTTCTTGTAAAAAGAAAACAGAATCGTCTTGCTCACTCGCTGGTAGCTCCACGCGCCGTGAACGAGTAGCAGCTTTCGTAAATACCTGAACTGAGCAATAGCCACGTCGGCACTTCGTGCGGCCTGTAGACCTTCTTCACCACTGATACCAACACCAATGTGTGCTGCCTGGATCATGGAAACATCGTTTGCTCCGTCGCCAATAGCAAGAAGGATTGATTGCTTTCGATGCTTCTTGACCAGCTTGACGACCAAGGCTTTCTGTAAAGGTGACACACGGCAACAGATGACTGCCTTGCACATGACGGCGAGATCGAGGAAGAGCTTATCCAAGCCCTTTTCAAGAGCATAGGTGAGAGACTTGCCGTCAATGATGAGAGCAAGCGACTCCATTTCAATGGTACCATCTCCTTGTGTTCTAATGGCATCGAGCTTCTTCTGGATGTTGTCGCGGGTGGCAGCGGCCGACTCTTCGTTGACAATCAAGAGCATCATGTCTTCACTAAGAAGCTTACAGCTCATTCCGATATTGATGGCCGTTTCCTGTCGATCGCCCGTCAAGACCCAGACTTTGATGTTGGCCTGCTGGAGAGTGTGAATGGTCTCTGGTACGCCATCCTGGAGACGATCTTCGATGGCAGTGGCCCCAAGAAGGTAAAAGTCATGTTCGATAATCTCAGCAGCCTTGTCCAGCTCGTCAGCTCGGTTACCACCCACAGTCGTCGCTGCCGCGTCGAAGAGCTGGCGCCACTCTTGGTATTCTTGTTCGGGAACTTCGCGCATAGCCAAACAAAGCGTCCTGAGACCCTCCGAGGCGTACTCTTCGAGATGGCGCAAAGTGACTTCGACATGAGGGTTTTGGTCATTTAGTCGTTCCAAGATGACGGTGTCGGCACCCTTGCAGTAGATTCGAACCTTGCCATCCGGACAGCGGAAAATGGCTGACATTCGCTTACGGGTCGAGTTGAACTCGCAGACGGCTAGTAGTTCGTATTCTTGCGGTCGGCCGTTCGCTTCGATAAGGACGGATCTGGGCTTTCGAGCAGTAAATCGGTAACCCATGGTGACTGCTCCGGCCACCAGCGCACCTTCATCGGGAGAGGCTGCTTGATATTTAATCTGTCCTTTCTCGTTCATTTCAGGGATAACCGTGTGGCAGGTGGCTAGCAAGGAGAGAAAATGATCAATCATTCCCGCGGTTTCATGGCCGCTTTCCAGGTTGGCTTGGAGTGTCTTGAAGTCAAAAATGGCCGACTCCTCGTCGTCCATGCCAGTCGGCCGGCGGTCCTCGGGAACCTCTTCGGCGTACATGATGCCACCAATAGAGCATTGTTTGAACTCCATCTGGTTGCAGGTAAGCGTACCAGTCTTGTCTGAAAACACATACTCAACCATGCCAAGCTCCTCAACCAAACTCGAGGTTCGGCAAGTAGCTGGCGTATCAGACTTATCGTAGTACATGTCGAGATCGTCATTGATGAGGATAGCATGCCAGTATTTGACCAATTCTATACTAACGAAGAGAGAGATGGGAACCAAGGCAGAGAACAACACCCAATACGTAACCATGTCTTTAAAGAAGACTCCGGCCGCGGTTCCGGCACTGTCGATTTTGTCCAGGTAGAGGTATGAAAGCGAGTCGCCCGTGGCGCCGCGCATCACCAAGTCTCCAATGGTACAGATGAGACTAAGTGCCAACAGCATACCGACTAGCATGAGCACGAGCCAGTTGAGCTGTCTCTCGACCTTGGTCCGCTTAATTGGCGTCGCTGTGGCGTTTCGCATTAGCTTGGTTTCGTGGCCCGTGAAGACGACAATGCCATGGATCCATGGAGTATTTCTTAAGGTGGCGCCTCGGAGGAGTAGCTGCTCTGGGTTCAACGCGAGCTCCTTCTCTCCTCCACCTGCCTGCATCGTCAATGTCGCTTCGTACGTGTACAGGCTGCTGTTGGGCTGTTCCGACTTGACGCGCCCGCCCAGCCGGCTGAGCTCGCTGGGTGAAACCATTGTCGAAGTCTCGGGGAGAGCTTGCTTAATCTTCAAGTTGGTCTCGCCGTCCAGGTTTGCCGTTTCGATATAACAGAGACCTTCGGGCTCGGAACTTGCGAGGAGAACCAGATCGGCCGGGAAAGGCTCCTCAGACTCAACTCTGACTACGTCACCAACTGTCACAGCATTCCATTTCGTTTCCGTAAAGTTCGAACCACGTAAAACTCGCGCCAGGGAAGTATTGAGAGCATTATCCGCAGTTCGTCTTCGGTAATCCTCTACCAACTCCTTGATGGCAGAGACCAAGAGCACAATGGCCAATGGTCCGATTGTCGTATACTTGTTCGTGGGCGAAAGACCGGGAATCTGTTGCAAAGCGGCCGTGAACAGGAAGAAGATGTTGGCAACCTTTGAGAATTGTTCAAAGAGAAATTTGGGTAGAAAGGTAGCGATGTTGTACTTGGCCGTTGAAATGTGATTGCCAACGTACTTGTTGGCGGCGTTCGCAGGAGGGTTATTCAGGTGGATGATCCTTGGTCCCATAGTCGAAGGATCCGGTTTGCTACGGCCAAACTTGAATTTGCTCATCATATTCCCCTTGGGCTGTTCCGGCGGCTGTTGTTGCGAAGGGACCCTCGCCCCGGGCTCTGTCAGAGGCAAATCCATCTCTGAGTAGCCCTGGCCCATCCCGAGCCTATGCTTCAGCTTGCCAAAAAAGCCTCCTCCCAGAGTCAGCACACTGTTGCGGGCCATCGCATTGTTTCTAGCAGCTGAGGACTGCCCCGCATCCCCGGCGCCTCCTTGCTGGTATAACATGTCATCTTCAGGATAGTCTTCGTAGTCGTCGGCGTAGCGCTGGTAGTTGTCGAGGTCCGACGATTGGCTGAATTGCCCAGCGTGATACGGCCCTGGGTTTCCTGGCGGTTGCGCCGCCTGCGCTCCCATGGAGCGACCTGCCTGTGGATATGACGGCTCGGCTCCGACAAAGTCATCGTAGGACACAGAGGGCCGGCTCTGCGGGTCGTGGTCGAGATCATAGGCTCGGGCAAGATCGTCGTCGTTCAAGGCCGACCGCTGGCCTGCGCTGTAGATTGGCTGCTCGTTGTCCAGGTCGAGCAAGAGGTCGTCGTTATTTGAGGGCCCGCCATGGCGTCCCATAGGTTGTCGTCCAGCCATGCAGGACAACAAGCGATGGGTTAGGCGATCGAGGAGGCGGGATAGCAACGCATGCGGGATCGCTGTCGTTGAAAAGCCAGCACGGATGGCTTTGTTTCTTTGTCGTTCTGTGAGGTCGGATTCTGGGATGGCGGACTTGCAACTCGGGTCGAAACAAGGCCCGCGATATCGATAGCGTCTGCTCCGCCAGACCGGTGATCTGTTCCGTTCCGTGTGGCTGCACAGCCTCGTTTCGGCGCAGGCCCTTTGTGCTGGAGAGTGGGACGCTTGTCGAGGCTCAGGGCGCTGGTACGTCAGCACCAGCAGACGGAGGCGCAGTGAGGTTCAAAAGAAGCTGGATGGAAGTAATAATAGCAGCAAGCAAGCGCGGATATCTAAGCTCTCGGCAAGGTTTTTTGGGGGGTCTAGGAACGGCACTGGGTTCTTGCTGCTCCCCTCTAACCCCCTCCCCAGGATTCGATACGAGGCGCTGATGCTGAAAGGGGGCCCGTGTTAGCTGGCTTTTACAGCGTCTACAGGCGTCTGCGTGCTGCAGCTCCACTGTCGCAAGAAACTTGGGTCCACGTTCCAGCTTGGTTCCCCTGAGAGCGTCCCCTTTGCGACAAGTCTCTCCCCACTGCAACTGTAGCGGCGAGGTACTTTGCTGAATACCAGAGCTCGCGTCGAAACAGCGAGTTTCGTCACGCTTGGAATTCAAACAGTATATCGGCGATTTTATACGGAGTACCTGGTACGCGCCAAGAACGCCAGTCCGCCACTGTTATCTCAGCCTTGCCACAAGCATCAAACTTTAAACATCAAATACGTAAGGCTGAGCTGAAGTGTTGAAGGATAGAAATACCATCATTTCCTTCACTCAGACTTATTTATAACCTTGTTTTTGTGTGGATATCGCTTAAGCGAACCGGATACGAACACCAGCTTCAACACAGCCATGGTGTGCAGTAAGTGTCTGAAGCTCACCAAGAGCACAAAGCTTGCGACCCCAGAGGTCAAGAAGAAGAGTGAAATATACTACGGATCACCGGCTTCATCCAAGGCGAGCGGCTCCAAGTCAGCCACTCTAGGCAACACTGGAGTATCAAAGGTATGAAACGACAACGTTCAGATCTCTTCCTACCAAAGTACAATACTAACGGGCTTCCGCAGAGCAAGCTGCTGTCCAAAGCGGCGAAGAATCCATATGCGGCATACTCAAGGTACGTTCATTACCAAAGGGACCGGGGCAGTATACCTAGTGGTAGCTAACAATCGATGTAGCTCATGTACGAAATGTAAAACCAAAATCACACAAGGCCACTCTTACTGTTCAAAATGCGCCTTTACAACAGATTGTGAGTATATCCATCTTATCTGCAATTACTTTACTTTTCTGTTTGCCACTTGAGCTCACAAACATCACAGCTTGTCCCATGTGTGGAAAACCAAACAAAAAATCTAATTCCAAAGCTCCAACCATTGATGCATATAAAAACACGCTGCAATAAACGAATCTACATACGTGCGTATGGCAAGCTTTCATTCTATCTGACACAAGAATCACCCCGCCGTACATGCATATTCTTTTGAACAGCGGTGAGCACACTCACCCTCCTACGCTACATCACATCAACATTGTTCAGGCAATGAACTTCAGGCCCTCTACATGAATCCGGAATAGTCACTAGTAGGGAAAGGCTCCCTAGTAGTAAAGAAGAGCCAGAGAGCTGGGCCTGATGATAACGATGAACACACCGGCTTCAAGAGACGTGTAGGCGATTCGGCAATTAAATATTCTATGTAGGCATAGAGTCAATACGAGTCTAGATGTAAGACAAGAATAATAATGTTTCGAAATTCAAGACCAAAGAGCTCGTGATATCATTATTCACACTTATATCTCATCATCCAGTCTAAAGCACAGACCGAGGAACACCACCCAGCACTTTATTCAACCACTGCCCAATCTGCCGATTCACCTCGTGCCCAGCCTCCGCCAAAGCCCAATGCGATGCATTCACCTCGGTCCTCGTAAGATCCGTATAAAACGTATCCATCCCCTTGGCCATCGCCGGCGGCAACGCACTATCCCTACTCGCCGAAATAAACAGCGCCGGCATCTCATACTTCATCGCACTCCCATTCTTCTTCGCATGCTCAGCCTCCTGCTCAGAGTTAATCTCCCGCGTGCGGTACCAGTTCAGCGGCCCACGCATCTCCGGCGGCCCATGCAGCGAGTACTGCTCGACGTAGTGCTCCAGCTCCTGCTCGTCCAGGAGCAGAGGCGGCCTCAGCTTATCCAGGTTATCGAAAAGGACGCCCTCGCTCGTGTTGAAGCCCGTTTCGCCGCCGGGGCCTCTGGCGCCGAACAGGGCGAGGAAGAACTTGCGGAGCATGTCTTTGCCTTGGATGCGGGCTTGGACGTCGGGGCCGCCGAGCTGCAGCTGGTATTTGAAGTTGGGCAGGCCTCCCGCGGCGATGATGTTCTCGAGGCGAACTTTTTTAGTGTTTATGGGGTTTAGGGGCGTGCAAACGGAGAAGACGGCCTTGATCAACTCGGGATAGTAGTAGGCGACTCGCCAGACGATGGCACCGCCCCAATCATGGCCACCAAGAACAATCTGGCCCTTTTCGCCGACAAACTCGCGGGCCAGCGCAACGATGTCCGCGCAGACGCTCTGGAACGAGTATTCCTTGAGATCCTCAGGGGCATCAGTGCCAGCATAGCCAACCATGTTGGGCGCCACGACCTGGAAGCCCAGCGACATCAAGTAGGGGATCTGGCAGCGCCATCCAAAGGCCATGTCTGGCCAGCCATGGATGAGAAAGATTGTTTCGACCTTGGGGCCTTGGGGCTCGCCGAGGATGTAAGAGTATGTCTTGCCGCGGACTTGCTTTGTCTCGTACTTGACCCGAGGGTCGTTGGGCTTCAGTTTGCTGGTATCCATTTTGTGTGGACTTTCCAGCGCCTAAATGTTTGATGAGCTATGATGAAAAATGGCTTATTAGGATGAAAATAGAATATTAAAGAGATGTCTGCTCCTTTAAGTAACATACGACGAATTGGTGATACAGACGAGGTAGTAGTGAGGGGCTTCAGTACCACGAAAGACCGTCAGCAACGCCTCCAGTCTTGGTAAAAAAGCGTAAGACAATAATTTCAAGTTTAATACAAAACCTTGTCTTTAATAGCCTCAAGGAATTGAAAAGGAAAAGAAAACACCGGTGATTGTCACAGCATCGTTCGTCTCACTAATAAGAGGAGAGGTACAGTGTTGTTCGTCTCCCATCCCCACTACGGGCCTCGGCCGGCACTCATCAGCTGCTGTGGGGCATCATTGCAACAGGCTATATGCTCCGTGCTCCCTGCAGAAGCATGCCGAGGAACTTCGTTACCGCCTACCACCTGGTAATTTTACGCAATTTTGCTCATTTAGATGCCTGTACCTGATGATGATCGCTTGCTCCATAGCCAAGGCTGTGTTCCTCCGGTGTAAGCGTGGCTCTAACGGGCACTCACGCCACCTTTATGTAAACCCGGGACGATGGCTCTCAGCTGTTTCCAAGTACAGCACTGCTCTTCAGCCGTGACTAGGTAGGTACTACTACTTTGTAGATGACGAGTGCAATGACAAGTATCATTTCTCACATAAGAGTTCGCTTCCTTCTTGTGTTCTTGCTTGGAACAGTCTACCTACAGTACATAATTGCAGGTCCTCATAGCAGCCAAATACCAAGACTGCAGCACCGTTATAGAGGCCTATGAATAATAATACCCACAATGGAATAAAATAAAAGCAGTGGTATAAAGAAACAAACATCATTCGGCCTCCAGTGCTTTAGAGTAAAAAGAAAATTTGGGGGGGGGGGGGGGGGGGGAATCATTTCGTAAAAATCGGTCAGTAAATCACCATGTCCTCCTCAGCCTCCTCAAGATCATCACCAGATTCGTCGTGATGCCCCTTGTGTATGTCTTGAGATACTCTTCGCTCTTGTAGGTGAGTCTTGTCGGCGCCGTGATGCGGGCTCCGGACAGGGCTCTCGCGTTCAGGCGCTCTCGTGGCAGCAGCAGGTTCATCAGGGGTCACGCTTGTTTGCCTCGCTGGGGGACCATACCGCTCAATATGCCGCTGTTTCCGAGCCTTGAATTGCTCAACTTCCTTCTCTATTGAGGCCCTCGCCCTCTGGATCTGGTCGTCGATGGTGTCTTTTTGATCTGCTGTGACCTTCCACGGTAGATAGAACTATATAACCCATCCATTAGCACAAGGTTGAACACCAACGGAGGCAGCTGATACGTACAATCGCAGGCTCAGATGTAGTCCGCAGGAATTTCGCCATGGCTAATCGTTTTTCGTGCTTGTTCTTCATCTGTAAAAATCCAGAATCAGTTCACCATCTTCTCCATTGAAGCATCACTCTCCATTCCTCTCGTGTCGCGCAGCTCTTACCACTTCTTCGTCAAACACAATCTGCTCCGCCATGCGTATCTGATACAGCTTCTCCAGCTTCTCGCTTCTCTTCTGGTCATCTTCAACTCTCTGCTTCTGCATCCGTTCTTGCTGGCGGCGCTCAATTTCCTGCCGCCGCTTCTGCTGCTGAGACGTGTTAGATGTCTGGCTTAGAGTGCTCATCAAGCCGCCAAACAGCCGCTTTCCCCGCTTCTTCTCTTCTTGCATCACTATTTTGCGTCGGTCTTGGGCTGCCGCGGCCGATGCGCCTTCCCCATTGTCGTGGCCATGGCTAGGTGATGGTGGCCGTTTCGAAACTGTGGCATCGTCCTGGTCGTCGTCATCGTGCTTCGCGCGCTTGGGGGAAACATCCTCGGGTCTCTCATCTTCAGCCTTTCTCTTGAGTGATACATCTTCGGTGGTCTCTGGCGCTGGGCGGTCCTCATCAGCCGATCGTGGTAATTCTGCCGCCGCCGCACTATAAGAAGATGCCATCGGTCAGGTTTCAAGCTTGCGATAAAGAGTTGATGCGCATACTTACTTCTCCGCCTCCCCAATTGTAGCCATTTTCGTCCCAATGTACTTCACCGCATTAATAGGAGCTTGCTACAGCAACATGATACTGAAACAGGGCTTGAAGCTAGAGCTGGCGCAGAGTGATTGGCTGAAGCTAGGCTGTTCGAAAGGTCGAGGCTGAGTAAGAAGTCGCGGAACTTCCTGGCGCAATTCGCCCCCACCGTGAAACGCTCTAGCACATGATTGGCCCAGCTCCTTCTCCCACCCATTGATTCCATCCAACGTCACTGCAAGGCTGATGAGAAATCCACGCGACTTTGCCCTTGCAGCTCTAGCCTCTGAGACCGTAGATCTGCAGCATATTAAGACTCTCGCTGCCTTTCTTCCTTTTTCCTCCATTCCCATCTCATCTTCCACCCAACAACAGCCAGGGCATCACAAATCTCTCTCTCGCCCGCCATGTCTCGCCATCACCCGTAAGTCCATTCTCGCGTCGCCCTGCCTCAGACACAAAAAAAAAGAAAGACATCCAGCTAACTTCTACTCTCTCCAGCGATCTCGTCATGTGCCGCAAGCAGTCCGGCATCGCCATCGGCCGCCTCTGCGATAAATGCGATGGCAAATGCCCCGTCTGCGATTCCTACGTCCGCCCCACGACTCTTGTCCGCATCTGCGACGAGTGCAGCTTCGGCAACTATCAGAACAAGTGCGTCGTCTGCGGCGGTGAGGGTATCTCGGACGCCTTCTACTGCTACGAGTGCACGCGCCTAGAGAAGGATCGCGACGGGTGCCCCAAGATTATAAACTTGGGCAGTTCAAGAACAGACGTACGTTTCTCCGCCTTTCTCTCGCTGCCCTTCCAAAGCAGTCTATGCATGTACTGACCTCTCTTCTCAAACACAGTTATTCTACCAAAAGAAAACGAATCGGCAAGCAAATTACTAGCCCAGCAGTGGCCCGGGTTTGGGCAGGACAGTAGCGGTGGATTATTTAAAAACAAATACTATATATATCAAATTGGAATTAATCATACATATGGATTGGAGTTTGGCGGCGTTTTGGTTACGGGGTACCATTGGCACTTTGTCTGCAATTTGAACATTTCTCGTCTGGGCAAATTCATGTGGCAACCGCCTTCAGCAGCACGACTCAAATCTAGACACGTTTCTATAGATTGAAAGCTAGAAATAAAGGCATATTCATCATAATTATCGTGTCCGCCAGGACAAAGGTGGTACACGGTACAGCTAATACCAGCTATCCAAGACTAAAACTCCGTCTCATGCAGAGAAGATACAAAAAAAAAAAAAAATAACACAAAGGAAAAATTATATATAAGTCTGGTGTACAATCCAGTCCAAGCGTCCATGCTCTTTTAAATGTAGCTCACCTTGGTTCCCATTCCCACCGTCGCTGCAACTTTCGCCCACGCCGTCCTCATGATTTGCTCAATTCGCTGCCGCGTAGCTTTGTGGCCGAGCATGATGAGGAGGCCCATGGTGAAAGCCATGACCCGCATTAGTATCGCGGGATTGCCTGTGACGGAGCTCGCAAGACTCTCAAATAGCTGTCGAAAGCGGGATAGGATCAAGGTGGCTCGTGCTGTAATAGTTAGGGGCCCTGCCGCCGCTGACGATGCGCCGGCTTTTGATCGTGACTTTCCAGTCGGGCGTGGAGGGCGCGCGACGCTGCTTTGGGGCGATCCAGGGGGTTCGGCTCTTCCCACTCCGCTAAAGCTGGGAGTCTGCTCGATACCATAGTCGCCCTCGCTGGTCTCTCGGCTGATTCGTTCCTGTTCAAGCCGTTTCTTTTCCTTCTCTTCATTCTCGGCCTTTAGCCGCTTTGCCTCGGCAATGTCTTTCTGTAGCTGTTCCTCTTGCCGCTTTAGCTCTTCCCGGTCTTTGCGCTCCTGTTCTTCCTGCTCGTCCTGTAAACTCTGCAGAGCTTGTTGGAAAGCTTCTCTGCGCTCCTCATCGAGGACAGCGCTCACATCAATGAATTCACGAGCATAGTCCCACTCGTTGTTTTGGGGAAGGACGTGGAGCGTATAGAGTTCTAGAAGCTTGACTCGTGAATTTAAATCTCCGGGAGTGTTTGCGCCGTTGGCTCTCCTGGCAGGGGACTGGTAACGGTTCGATGGCTTTGCAAAGTCATTCAGGTCAAGATTGGGAATGTTCGAGGAGGCCAGGTAGTTTTCCAGCATCTTCTGATTAAGAGCTTGGTCGCGCGCATGCGCAAGTGATAGCGTCGCCCTGTCAACGCTCTGATTAGTGGTCTCCCTTGATATATACGCAGTTGGCTGCAATGGTGGATTCCAACTCACAAGTTGATGACGACGTCGGCGTCAACATCTCCTTCCAGTCCGTGATATCCATTCCGGACCACTTCCTCCCAGATAGAGCCGTCTCGCACTTTGGTGCACAGCGCTCGCCACTCCTGGTTGCCAAAGGCGTCCTTGCCTTCCTCGGGCTCCAGCTCGACAATTGCGTTCAGGAGTGTCAGGTACAAGCTCCAGACCTTGATCCTCGTCCCTCGCGAAGACTTGGTTACCGGGGCTGGCTCGCCATCGTCAGCAGAGCTGGGAGGCGTGATGATGGGGCGCAGTGTGCTGAGGGCCTCGGGCAGTCGACGCGTCAGGAACAGCGTTGAAGCTTGTCGGTACGTCTTGGACACGGGCGAATAGCGTTTGGAGCCGGACGACGAGAGGGAGGAAATCGACGAGGCGAGGAGGCCATTTCCAAAAGACTCGCTACTCGACATTGCCGGGTTGAACGAGGCGTTGTAAGAGCCTCCGTACGCCATGGTGGAAAATGAGCTGCGGGCACTTGAAGCAGCAAACGCGACGAGCCGGCGAGAAGGTGGTGGAGATGTCGAGGTTGGCGACGGCAGCTCAGCTCAGCTCAGTTCAGGGTGGATGGAGTCGTGGAGTCGCCAATTGGAGGTAAACAAGGAGCAGCAGCAGGTCAGTTCACCGGGGTCGATGCAGCCTTATGCCCGCGTGTCATGCAGGCCTCGCGCGAAGAAGAAATCAAAGAGGCTTGCTTTATCAATAAGAAAAGAAGGACCAGGGAATTAAGGAGAGCGTCCGGTGATGATTCAGCTGCTGGTTTCCGTCGCGACGCTGCAAAGGGCTTGCATGCCAGCCACTTGCGCTCTGGCTGGCGGTGGACAGACCAGCTTTTTAGGCGCTTTAGCCTCGGCACCGCCAGAAGGAGAGCACCGCCGGCTCCACCGACGCAGCGCAGGTCAGCCGAGGCCGGCTGGCGGTGGCAGCTGCTACCCGCTACCTGGCCGCGCACGGGACTTTGTGTGACGCAGCAGGTACCGCACTAACCTCCGCTACCCGATCTACATCGCAGGCCAACATCTGATCTCCTCTAGCAGGGATCCGCCGTCTAATTCCGGAGATGAAGAGCTGTTTCGAGAAACAGGCGATATGCATCGTGCAGCCATTCATTTTAAAGCGCCTCCGCGTGACGGCATCGCATGTTTGAATCGGAGTCCTTGGACGGTGTGTGTTGAGTATCACCATGCGGGGAACGAGGCAACAATGCGGCATGTGAATTGCTTGCTCTGGATAATACAACCAACTTGATCCTAGGTAGGGAGTTCTTCATCTTAATACGAGCTTGCCGAGATTATCGTACAGTATGAATGTGAATCTTCAATGTTATATTCGTAAACTTCATAGTATCATCAGCCCGCCTCTGTACATATCCCAAAACAAGAACCAAAAAAAGACGCCTCTAGTGTACATATGATTGTATCATGCTGCTCCTCCAGTAATGCAAAACGACATTCATGACCTGCGCGTTCTCTGTGATCTCCGCGGTGTCTCTTCAACAGGCTCTACACTCCTTGAGACAATGATGCTGTCTTCTCTCTCCAGCAGAGTGGTCGATGCCCCCAAAAGCTGGTCTTCCCGGATCCAGCCAGACTCCAATGCAAAACATGCCACATCAGCCGCGCACCCAAAAGCAGGCACATTCTTGGGGGCGTCCGGGTTCAAATACTTCCACAGCTCTGCCGTCTCTTTCTTGAACTTTGTGAGCTCTCTCTTGTTGCCTTCAAAATGCTCCACCAGGTACTCGTACGTGTAAGCCAGCCACAGCACATTCGTGTAAGGCACATATGCATCCCAAGAAAGCGGCCCGTCAATACCTTTGGCATAAGGAATATTGTGGGCTTCGGGAGGCATCCAGTTTCGATCAGCACGGAGCAAGAAGGACCGCATTTGCCTATAGACTTTGCACTGCGGGTTGTAAGTGCTGGTGAATAGGCTGAGATCTCTTTCTAGGTCGTAGACGATGGGCGCGGCATCATCGTTTGTCAGGTCTTCAGCTCGTGAGAGTCCATAGTCTAGGATTGTAATATCTAAGCCCGAATAGCCAAAGAAGCCTTCTCCTTCGGGGTCCCTCTGCCGAGGGGGACGGGCTTGTTTGACGCAGAGATTACCCTCGTGCAAATCACGATGCTATCATCAGTCAGCATTGAACGGAAATCAATGATGGATCAAGGTCTTACTTCAAACATGGCGACTTCCTCAGCTCTTGCAAGTGCAATTGTTTCCAAAAGGAAAATATCCCACAACTGATCCACGTTGTCCAGCTCCCAGTTCTCCAGCGATTTTCCTGCGTCTCCTAGTTCCACAACTAGAAAGGTGGTGTCATCCAGATACCGGCTCGGCGATGGATAATACTGCGCTCTGCCCGGGTCCTCTCTCTTCATCTTCTTCTGCACTGTTTGATGCGCCTCCAGAAGCTCGCTTGACGTTCTGCCTTTGACAATGTATCGTTCTTTGTAAACAGCGAATCCTGGAATGTCGGCCAGCCATTCGGATATTTGTAGCTCGTTGCTGACGTCAATCTCTGAATGGGGCTCTTCGTCAACGAGGCCGGATGCTACCTGCGCCTTTGTGAGGGCTTTGATAGGGGAGGCTAATCGTATGGCCTTGATGATGCTCGTGCCTCGTTTATTGGTAATGCGGTACACCTCTGCGGATGAGGCTTCGGCAATCTTGGTAATCTGATCTCCAGGAGGGCAGACATCGCCCCAACCGAGAACTCTCAAGGCTGGCTCTTGCGCTATTGAAGGAACAGTCCCTTTTGGCCTGGTTTTCGGCGCAGCATCGCGTGTCCGTACTTTATCGCTTCGACGTTCTTCTTTCACAGTTGACACAGTGTCATCTTGTGAGACTTGAATCGTCTTTTCTGAAATATCTTCTTCAATAGCAATCGATTTGGCGCCTTTGGCAGACTTTCGCCTAGGCCTTGTCGTATCCCGTAATTTGAGTTCGTCCACCACAATCGACACATCTGCTTCCGCTGCTTTTGTCCGACTCCTTGGCTTCTTAGGACTCTCTAAGATTGAGATTTCAGCAAAGCTTGTGGTGAGCGGGTCGACTTGTTCGTCAATTGGCCTTGCATTCTGCTTTTCGTCCTGCGTGTTGGATGGCTTTCGGACTGGGGTCTGGACCAGCTCTGCAAACATCCTTTCCGCGCTGGACTTTTTGGATTGTTTTCCATATTGACGGGTTACTGTTGTGCGACGCATTTTTGCTCCTTGGTTTTCTATAATGCCGCTCTTACCTGAATGAAAGCGAATGCTTCAAGCCATCGATTTCAGCGTTGGAGTTGGGCTTGAAGATTACAGCCTGTTGGCGAGGCAACAACGGCTAGGGGTCTTGTGTTAGTCAGCCGGAATCATTCGCAGGACCCAACGTCATTTGTGTTCACATAGCAGACACCCAGAGTGCTGAAGCCTGCTTTGGCTAATTGGATCTATCTTGTTTTTTGTACTATATATGAGCAATACTGATACGACGATGCTGGCTGCAATCGCTGTTTGGTGTGATCCTAAAGCCTAGCAACGCTATTAGCAGCAGCCAGGTGTTGGGGAAGCCAAGCTCTTGGTGAGTACGAGTACATGCGATAAGACTAGAAGCGTGCAGCAAGGGTTACATCGAGAATGAAAGTACCTACCATGTGACGGGTCAAGGAGAAGACGAGGACCAGTCTAGAGCTCAATTGGCGGAATCAGGCTGTGACGAGAGGCTATGGCTTCTGCCCAATGAGGTCGTTTGATACAAGGCCTGCATCGCCTTCCCCCGCTTCCTGGATGATGCGAGTTGCTGCCCAGCCTCAATATACCTTGCCAGATCATATCGAATAAATATCTGACGACAAATCCTGTGTCTGCACGGGCGGTCAACTTACGGGTCAACAATGGCGGAAGCTCTCGGGCTTACTTCCAGCATAATTGCAGTAGTCGATCTATTTATTAAAGTCGGCGTACAGTGTTCGATCTATTGTTCAGGCGTCAAGAATGCCCCGCACGAAATTCGACAGATCTTGAATGAGGCTGATAGATTCACGGCAACAATCAAGAACCTGGAGCGACTCCTGGCCGGCCCGAATGGCGCGAAGCTTGATTCTTCCCAGAACATACGCCGCAGCATTGGGGAGTGCCGTCTACAACTAATAGACCTGACTACCAAACTTGGCCAAGGAACAAGACTACAGAGGATAGCATGGCCGCTGAAGAAGGGAGAGATGGCCGGGATAATTGAGAAGCTGCAGAAGCACAGGGACACAATTATGTCGAATTTACAGATTGAACAAAGGTGCATCAACATTCTGTCTTACTCTTCGCATTGTTAACAATTTTTACAAGCGCATTACTACTCGATACTCATCAAGAGGTCATGTCGAACAAGCTCATCTATGCAGAGGGAGCAGCATTCGATTCTCCCAACCATGTCAACAGCGACATGTGCCACCCGGGGACAAGATGTGATGTTCTTGATCAAATAATGGCCTGGAGCACCGCCCCAAATGAACAATGTATATTCTGGCTGAATGGAGGGGCAGGGACCGGCAAGTCGACAATATCTCGAACTGTGGCGCAATCATTTGCAAGCAAAGGCATACTCGGTGGAAGCTTCTTTTTCAAACGCGGTGAGGCTGATCGTGGCAACATGGCACTTTTCTTCCCCACAATAGCTTCTCAGCTTCAACAAACATTCCCTTTAACTGCACCGCATATTAAAGCGGCGACTGAGACAAACCCAAACATCCATAACAAACCTATAAAGGAACAGTTCGACAAACTTTTTGCAGGCCCTGTTAAGAAAATCTCAGAGCATTCAGAGCTGCTAACTACTAGCATAGTGCTGGTTGCTGATGCACTTGATGAGTGCGATAATGCTGAACATGTAAGGCTGGTTATTCAACTCCTTTCGCAGGCGAAGCATTTTACATCTATGCGCCTAAGAATTTTCCTTACATCCAGGCCAGATCTACCTATGAGACTAGGGTTTAAGGATATTTATGGTGAATATAAAGACCTGATTCTTCATCAAATACCTCAAGCTGTTATTAGGCACGATATTGCCTTATTCCTTGAGTACCAGTTTAATATAATTCGGCAAGACTATAATAAGTCGGTACCTTTGGACAGGCAAATTTCTTTATCCTGGCCTAGCACTCAGGACTTTCAACACCTAGTTTCCAGGTCGGTGCCCTTATTTATCTTTGCTGCAACCGCTTGTCGTTTTATCCAAGACCGAAGGATTGGAGGTCCTAAGAAACAGCTTGCGAAATTACTGGAACATAAGACGGGTTATGTGTCTAACTTAGACGCAACCTACTCACCAATAGTAGATGGATTGATAGGAGGACTATCCGATTCAGGAAGGCATGAGGTTTCTAAGCAATTTAAGGAAATTGTGGGTTCAATTATCCTTCTGGCAAGTCCTCTTTGCACATCATCCCTAGCCCTTCTATTAAATATCTCTCTGGAAGACATCGAAAATCAGCTTGATTTGCTGCACTCTGTGCTTTACATTCCCTCAGACCAAAGGATTCCCGTACGGTTACTTCATCTATCTTTTTATGACTTCCTCGTGGATCCGGAGAAGGCTAAACAGCCTGAGCGATATCCATTCTGGATTGATAAGCTAAAAGCCCATGAGGAATTAGCAGCCCGGTGTTTAGAGCTGCTTTCTACAGATGGTACTCTCAGGAGAAATATTTGCGATCTACAACTACCAAGCACGCCACGGTCTAAGATTAGCCAGCAGACTATTGATACCGCTTTACCACCCGAAGTCCAGTACGCCTGTAGGTATTGGGTTTATCATTGGAAAGAGAGCATGTGTAAGATCAAGGACGGCGGCCCCATCGATTGCTTTCTAGTCAACCACCTGTTGCATTGGATCGAGGCACTATGTTTGCTTGGGCGAATCGCAGATTGCATCGGAATGATATATGAATTGCTAGGGCTTCTTGAAGTATGAGATCTGGCATTCCCGATATAACTAGAAGGTAGACTAACTTGATCTAATGATGTAGCCTGAACAAAGTAGTCTAACCTTGGCTCTCCTTCGAGATACACGACGAATCATTCTTAGCCATGGAGCTATAATTGATATTTCGCCTCTTCAAATCTATTATTCAGCAATCGTGTTTGCACCGGAGAAAAGCGTTATTAAAACAAAGTTCCGAAATGAGTTGCCTACCTGGCTCACCTTATCGTCACAGATACCTTCAGAATGGAACGCCTGTCTACTGACACTTGAAGGACACCGGTCATCTGTCAATTCTGTTGCTTTTTCACATGATTCGAAGTTGCTTGCTTCGGCTTCAGATGATCATACCATTAAACTCTGGGATACTGTAATCGGTACTTGCATCTCGACGCTTGAAGGGCATAGATTTTCTGTTCGCTCGGTTCAATTCTCTCACGATTCGAGAGTGCTCGCATCGGCATCAGATGATCAGACTATCAAATTTTGGGATACTTTAACCGGCACATGTACTTCAACGCTTTATGGACATGGCTCCGATATTAATTCAGTAGCTTTCTCGCACGATTCAAAGATGCTTGCATCAGCTTCAAATGATAAGACTATCAAAATCTGGGATGCTAGGGCAGGCACCTGCTCATTGACAATTACTGGACATACGATAAACGTGAATTCGGTTTCATTCTCACACGACTCCAAGATGCTTGCATCGGCATCCGACAAAATCATCAAACTCTGGGATCCTACAACTGGAACCTGCATTTCGACGCTTGAGGGACACAGTTCAGATGTGTATTGTGTTAAATTCTCGCATAATTCGAGAATACTTGCATCAGCCTCCGATCATACTTCTTGCGTCAAGCTTTGGGATACTATTTCTTTTAGTTGTATTTCAACATTCAGAGGCAACAGCTGCATCGCCTTTTCTCATGATTCTACGATTTTCGCCTCGGTAGATGGTTCCAGCATCAGGCTCTGGGATATTGCAACAAATAAAGGCTTAGCAACATTTTACGGCCACACTATATCGATTCGTGAAATTGCATTCTCACACGATTCCAAACTTCTAGCATCTGCATCGGCTGACAATACTATTAAGATTTGGGATCTCGAGACTGACGCTGACCAAAAGCCATCCGTCGACCCGGAAAAAAACGTGATTGTATCGTTACAAGTTGTGAATAACACAGAAACATTTATCTCAGTATCGAGAAATAACGAAATTTACCTATGGGATGGCTCAATTGGTGCCTGTACAGCAACCCTAATTTCTGCACACGGATGTGGTCAATGGAGCAACTCGATTGCGTTTTCGCATGACTCTAGGACGCTCGCATCGCCATCAGCTTTAAATAATGGAAAAATCCAGTTATGGGATATCACAACGGGCACTGTCGTAGCTACATTGGAGGGGCACGACAATGCCGCCTTCTCAGCTCCACAAGAGCTTGATCTCGATTCTACGCCGCCGATGTTTGAGCAAAATAACTGTCGATATGTGAAAGATTGGGACCAGCAGGCAGGTCACTACGTCAAGAGGGAAGCCTGGACCACCTGTCTAATCAGTACTCTTGTCTTCTCACACAACTCTCAACTACTTGCATCGGCATCGCCAGTAGATGGAGCCATCAAAGTATGGGACGTCCATACAGGTGCCTGCGCAGCAGTTTTCAAAGGCCATTCTAGTTACATCTATCAACTCGCATTTTCGCACAATTCAGACCTACTTGCATCATCTGCAAGCGATGGGTATGTTAAAATCTGGAATATCGCTGCAGGCGTCTGTTCGGCAACGTTCGATGATCGAAGGAGTTATATCAGGTCTGTCGCATTCTCACATGACTCCACGATGCTTGCTGTGGCAGTAACTAGGCCAAGGATCAATATATGGGATGTCTTTACTGGCGCTTGTAAACTAACAATTCCTGAGCCTGGTTATAACCTTGATGTGGTTGCATTCTCACATAATTCGAGGTTGCTTGCATTCATGTCGACTCAGTATGGGCTAATTGACACGGTTTCAAGCTTGAATTTCTGGAATATCACAACAGGCTGCTGTGTAGCTACAATCCGTGTCAGTGAACTCGCTCGGATGCGCCTCGAGTTCGACGTAACAGGACATTCTGTCTCTACAAGCGCAGGCAGTTTTACATTACAAGGTATGTCGCTGCCCCAAATTATGACGGTAATGTTGGTAACATGAACACTAGAAGCAACCAATTCGGAAGTGGACCTCGTGCCTGCTACCGATCTATGCATAAGTCGCCATGGTATTGGGCTTAGCGAGGATGAATCCTGGGTAATGTGGGATAATGACAGAATGATATGGCTCCCTCCCGCATATCGAGCACGGTATGCGGCTTCGAGTAAATCTACACTGGCCCTTTGGTGCTTCCACTCGAAAATGGTTTTCCTGACAATCTCCCTTGACCGCTTGCATCTAAATTAGTCAACTTCCGATACAAATGAAACCTGAACTTACCATCAAAATCCCACTGTTACTGGGTAACAAAAATAGGGTGCTGGTGCACAGGTGGGTGCATAAATAGGCTTGGTAGCATCTGTTAGTTTCGCCTTGGATTGCAAAGTGAACCCACTGTAGAGAACTCCAGTACACTCTCGATTAATGCATTTAATTTGTGGCTATCCAGCAATGAGACGTCCAACGAAATTTTGGTATTATACTTCAATGTTATCATAGGGAGGAAAGTGCCAGCAACTTGGAGCGAACCGGATTTTTGCATGGCGCACTTTGTCAGAGGTGTTGCGATTGGATGTGAGCAATGATGGCGGTGGGCGCGTTGACTTGCATCCATCTCGCCGGCATCGCTAATCTCCTCAGACTCGGCTCTGTACTTTTCCTCATAAACCCATTTTGCGATTTCGCCCCGTTACGGTGTCCTGAAACGGTACCTCGTTTTGTGATATCACATCCAATAATGTACTCTCTGTCTACGTTCTAGTATTACCCAGCACTCTTCATGCCTCGGGCGTCTATCGCGACTCTCTCCTGTTAGATTATATCCTTAACTACCTAGTAGTTTCTTTTTTTTTTTTCTTTCCCTGCCAGTAACTTAATGCCTATATAATAGATTGATTCGTCAGTCTAGTTCTCTCGTCCTCATTGGAGATGGTATATACAGCTGAATCTACAGTGTTTCTCCACTAATGCTACAAGTCTGCCGGGTACTTAAAGAGCTGGATTTCTTGACTTCCATGTGCTACATCTAGGCGATACTGAAGTCACATCCATATCCAGTATGCTGGCCGCAATCGCTGTTCGGCGTGATCCTACAGCCTAGCAACGCTATTAGCAGTAGCCAGGCGTTGGGGAAGCTAAGCTCTTGGTGAGTACATGGGGTTAGGCTGAAGCGGGCAGCAAGGGTTACATCGAGAATAAAACGATACGTTATTATTGAATCAGATGGCAGCAAATGCCAACAGCCATTGGAGATGGCACATGCAGCTCAATCTACAGTATTTCTCTGGTAATTCTGTATAGGCCTGTTGGTGTTGGGTACTTGTAAAGCTGGACTTCTCGACTTCCAGCTAGTGTGGGCAGAGCCTGGAACGAAGCCCAGAGAAGCAAAAGGCCGCGGGGCCCCACCCAGCCTTCGAGAACCTCCGCAAAAGATTCCACGCTGGCTGAATCGCCAACTCCAACCCCGACTCTCTCTCCTCTTCTCCAACCTCCAGCCATTGAGCCCCAACCAGCCATGGCCGACGCTCTCAAGAACATGTTTGGAGGCGCAAAGTCGGAGCAGGCCGCTGCAGGCAAGCCAGACTCTGGTAAGCACTCTTCCTTTCCCCCACACTTCAGCTCAATTGCTTGCTTCGCGCTTTGTAATTGGAGCTGAGGAGCTGCTGCTGTAACGGCGGGAAGATGGCGAAACGAAAGGCGAAGAGACAACAAACTGACCTCTAATGACTAGACTTTGCCGACTTTGCTGGAGCTCCCGATCCTGTCCCCGTGGCTGCTCCCGACGCTGCGTCACTGACTGGAGCTTCCGCGCAGCCCACCAGCGAGGTCGTCTGGACGAAATGGTACAACATCCATGAGCGCCACTCTCTGTCCGAGTTCAAGCCCGAGGGCATCATCCTCGTCATTGCCGCCGTCATCTTCCTGTTCCACATCTTTGGCACGCGCGCAAACCGCGCCAAGGCCAGGGCTTGGGTCAAGGCTCACGCCCCCACCATGAAGAGCGAGTTCGCGTCCGTCGGCTTCCGTGGGGTTCCCACGCTGGACTCTGACTTTGACGCAAAGTCCTTCATCAAGGAGAAGTCGCTCTTCGAGTTCGCCTCGTACGCTACCGGCCGCCAGAATGTTGCCTTTATGGACGTCAAGATTACTCTTGCCAAGCGATTCAACCCCTTCTTGAACTACATTGAGCTTGGTCTGTCCCTGGTCACCGATACTTTTGCCGGCCCCGAGGACTTCGTCGAGGCTACTATCTATCCTTTTGACGGCAAGGAAGAGCTCACTCTCCCTCCTGCTGCTGGTGGTGTTGATGCTCGTCCCAAGGACAGCAAGAGCACCTTTGACGGCTTTGTCCTGGCTGTTGTCAACAAGTCCAGCATGCAGAAGCTGCGTGATGACCGATACGACGTCTCCCTGACTGCCACCAAGGATCACCCCAAGCTGCCCGAGTGGCTGACCGTCATGAGCGAGAACGCCGAGATTACTGAGACTTTCCTTACTGCTGATCTGATTGAGGCCGTTTCGAAAGCTGGTGACCTGTTTGACTACCTCATCATCTCTGACCAGCCCGCGGACAAGCCCACCCGTCTCGAAGAAACCACCCCTCGCAAGCGAGTGTTCCTCAAGTACCGACTCCCATCCAACAACAACTATGACCAATTCATCCCTCTGTTTGAGCAATTCACTCGCATCCCCGATGCTCTTGTCAGGGACGCCCATTTCCGCCCCGAGGTCCTCAAGCGTGTCCGCGCCACTCGTGAGTCTATGATTGCTCAGCTCAAGAAGGCGTTGGAGGAGGAGAAGAGCGAGGAGCGCGCGCTTGAGAAGGAACGCGCCAAGAAGGCCAAGCGAGATGCTGATCTCAAGGGCCTGGACGCCAAGCAGCAGAAGAGGTACCTTGAGAAGGAGAAGGAGAAGGAGCTGCGCAAGTCACAGAAGAGGATGACCATGCGAGGCTAAATGCAACAGACTTGGTGCATGTGTAACATGAAGGACACGGTGGTGGCGTTTAGGATGACAACGAGAAGGTTGGGAAAATGTGGAAGTCGTAATATGTACAAGTAGCTTATACTATGTAATAGTGGGATCTTTTCTCTTTACTTGTTGTTTCTCCACAGGATTTGAGGTTTGAACACCAGGAGACTGAGTTGCGGTATGCAAAGTTTCAACTAGCATAGGAGGGCAAAAAAGGAAAAGTACTTCATAATTCAAACATTTTAATGTAATTCACATATTGCTCTCCTGCTAGTAACACGGAAATATCTCCAGCATGAAATTGTGCTGCCATCATCATTTAGTGTCTGCGCCCAGCAAATCTTCGACTCTCTTGACCTTATCCTCTGCGGTCTGCTTCTTATCCGTCCTATTGTGCCCCGTGTTAGCAGGCACCTACAACTGTCTTGTCTCTCTTTCTTTCTCTTGTTTCATGATTACGGCAGAACAACATACCTGGATCCAACTCTCATCGAGGACTGAACCCTCACAACGCCCTTTTCATGAACTGCCGAGTGCGCTTTGCCAATCACCGTCATGACCTCCTCCCAGTTACCCTCTGAAGAAATCAAGGCATCAGTTTTGATTGGTTTAAAAAAGAACATTATAAATGAATTCTTTGAAACTCACCAACAGTTGTCCCAGCAGAGTGCATCGTGTATTTCAGACCACTTGCTTTGAGCACCCGCTGAACCTGGGCGATTTCCTCTGCCACAGAGACGGTGTTTGTGCCAATCTAGCCACGATGAAACAGCTTGTTAATAAAGTTTAAGAAGAAGAAGAAGAAGGAAAACAATTTGCAGCTCACGGGGATCAAACAAAAGTCGGCATAGCACGAAGCTGGTGTCGGAATGGAGGCATAATCCATAGCTATAGCGGTAGCTCCAAAGACTCGGCGAGATGAGATTTGCGGATGTAGTATATGCCTCGAGGCGCCGTAAGTTCTAGAAGTGAGGCGGAACATTCAATAAATTGAGAAGCTATTGGTCGATGAGAAGAGGGAGAAGAGCGCATGAAGAGTTGGAAAAAACGTATGTTGAGGGGTTTCCATTACTTGGGCGCTTTTTTGCTTTTTTAGCGGGCTTATGAGATGCCCGAGTTTATGCGTGCCTTTTTTGCACTTTTACGATTACTTGTTCGATGATATGCCTAAACAGCTCATGACAGCAAAAGAAATGGGAATTATATACATTTAAATTTTTGGAAATTGAAAACTTCATATTTGCAGTACCCAGCAGCCGAAAATAAAGCCATGGAGTACAAATGCGCAGAAACCCATATTACAATAAGAGGACCGTCTTTCATTGAAAAAGAGAATAAAGAGTGTTTAATTGATCAACCATGTTTACCAATGGCTATGCAAAATATTCTAATGATAAATGATTGAATAGTATCAAACAAAGAACCCCCCAGAAATTTAAAATTCATTTCCTCCTCTTTTTTTTATCCTTCTTTCTTTCTTAAAACCCCCATATATCGCAATCTAGGTTGCCTTGAAAACGCCTCGCTAAAATGCCAGAATATGTATGCTTTGTGAGAAAAAGATATATATGTGTGGTGACTTTTCTTTTTTAAATCATCAACAGTGTCGCTGCAAAGAACGCAATTAGAGCCCCCGTTCCGAGCTCGCGCGTCGAACTCACGCCGTCTGCGGAAGACGAGCCGTTTGAGTTGCTGGCGACACTGGACCGGCCAGTGGCATCGTTGATTCCGTTGCTGTTGTCCGCGGCCTTGACGGTTGTTCCCTGGTCCCAGAAATCGACGAGGACGAAGCTGGGACGGTGGCTCCATTGCTGGTTGCACTGCTGGATGTGCAGGCCGAGGTTTCCGGTGGCGTTGGTGGCGGCGCTGTTGACGAGGCTGATGGTGTTTGTGTCGGGGATGAAGACGTCGCCGACGATTTCCTGGTCCTTGAAGTGGTTGATGAGGCCCATGAAGCCCTTTGAGAAGGCGTTGGAAGCTGTTCCGGCGTTGGAGGGTCGGTCGACGGTGCAGTTGAAGCCATTCAGCTCGAGGACTGTAAAGGGCGTCTCGAAGACGTAGTCGAACTCGGGCAAGAGGTGCGGGCTGGCAGTAGACGCATCAATGTTGGTAATGAAAGACACGACGCGAGTGTCATTGGCAATCATTTGACTCAGACTGGGCCAATCAGTCTTGGAAGTAGGGGTGAATCCAAACTTGTCAATGCCCGACTGGTCAAAAGCATCTGCAAACTTGGACACATCCGCGTTGTCGGAGTTGACCAGCAGAAGGGTAATGACATCTGACGGATGGCCAACCACCCAGTCGTTGATGGCCGCGAGCCAGTTCTCCAGAGGGCCGGCATCCAAAAGACCGCACGAGGTGTGGCACAGGCGGAGAGTGTCGTTCTCATTGTGAACCTGAGCCTGAAGAAAGCGAAGTCCGGCATCGAGAGCGAATGTGGCGTTCTGGAACTGGTTGCCGGCGACAGAGTTCCCAGTGCTGGCGTCTCTCAGAAAGGCGCTGTCATGGGCACCCATGTAAGTGATGTCGTCGTAATGGCGATCACATAGCACCGGTGAGTTGTTGCAGACTTGTGATGATGATGATGCAGACGAAGAAGAAGCTGTCGATGACGGTGATAGTGCCGATGAGACCTCAGAGGCTTCAGGCCGGGGGAAAACTGCCTGGACGCCGGCAGTGCCAATCAAGGCACTGACCAGGAGGCGAGCCACTGAGAAGCGCATATTCACTTTTTCTTTTTACCCTCAGCTTTCGAATGTCTTTTTTGCTTCTACCTGTAGTTTGACCCCGGTTAGTTGTCAGAAACTGCGGGATGGATCAACTTAAGGGATTATCCCATGTACATACGCTAAAATCCCCAAGCCAAGCTTTCCGATATGCTTTAATGAGATATGGAGTATACGAAGAAAAAAAGGGGAGTAGAATAAAATGAATCGAATGTGGATGTGGATATAATGTACCCTCTTTGTGGAGGAAAAAAGGTATAGAGCAGGTATACACCACGATAGTATATATAAATGGTTCCAATAGCGAGAGAGTGAGAGACGAGAAGAGAACAGGAAAGGGGATATAGGAAAAAAAAAGGTTTAAATCTTGAAACACTAGCGGATCATTTAAAGAAGAATAAAAACTCTGTTCACCAGATCAATCTATCCCAAGAAGAAAAAACCCCGCGTCGAAGGAAGACAGGAAAATGAAGAAAATGAAGAAAAGAAAGAAAAATGGCCAGAGAGGGAAAAAAGAGTAATGTTAGTCTCCGCGCCCAGCCTCGAGATCTGGCGGCTCGGAGAGAATAAACCACCTAATGAGCCCCCTAATGGAGCCAAGGCCTTCTAGCGAGGTAAATCACTTTGCCGTGATCCCTGCTCAGCCATTTTGGCAGTGCTTAGACTGCGCCTCTGAGACGTCAGCAGTGGAGCCGCGCTGAAACAGCAGAGACTGAAGCTGATCCAGCTAAAGAGGGGCCCGAAAAGGAACTGCAGATCCAGAAAGCTGAGGCTCTAGGTGGTACATACATAGCTGGTGGTGCTATCAGGGGAGCAAAAGTGCTGGGATCAGAGAATGGAAATGCACACACAGCTGAAAGTGAGAGCGTCAAATTTGTAAATAATCATTCCATGTATTATATAACCATGGCTTGTATATTAATTACAGAACACACAGCATCAACGTATAATAAGCAGCCGTATCAATAGCAGAGATGATACAAGTAGTAGCAGCATCAGAGACGGCACAAAATAAAGACGACGCAGACCTGAAGCATACCAATAGTGCGCATAATGCCAGAATTGTGTGCCGATAGTCACAAGCAAGATTTCTATTCTCCTGCTCCCCACTTGCCCACCGTTCCATCCGCTACCGATATCCATGCATTTCATATTAAGGGCACCTCTAGTCTAGTACTTACTCGGCATTAGAGAGGCAATACTTCAACGAGTGGTCCATACAAACGTAATAGATTGCCTCGATAAATTATCTTGCGCCCGCCTTGACAAGATTTTTTTTTTTTTCTTTGACAAAGTATGATTACTGGGCATCATTCCGCTCTTCTTTCACCGCGATACAGATTCATCCCGTGTATTCCGGAACGCATTCCCGCCTGTAGGTACCGCTCGGAACTCGGAACCTACCAGTAGGTAGTAGGTGCAGCTCAGTAACAAAAAGGTAAAACGCCCAGCTCCAACATTTTCAATGCAACATCAAACTCCAAAACGTTGCGTGGGCGCATCAAACAGCTGGCCCAGAAAAAAAAAAAAAAAAAAGGTACATGTGCTGTTAGTGTTAAGCGCTACTGGCACCTCGAGTAATGAGCATCGCGGCCCGAATTACAAAGTACCGGAACTATCTCTTACTAGCCACTCGGCATCTCCTTTTACACAGTGCCGCTCTTTTCCGAGAGAGAGAGAGAGAGCATCTCTTTTCAATTTCAATCTCTCTTTTTCAATACACCGGATGATAGTTCACCAAAGGATGCTAAAAGACGAAACTTCAAACGTGACGAGAGGCTGTGTGTGTGTGCCTGTCATCACCCGGTCACACGCATTTCGCCTTGCTATTTTTATCCCTTATCGCTGATCACTGATCGGGGGCTCCATGATTTCAAACCAGCATTGTTGGAGAAAAAGCGATGGATCTGCACTGCACCACTCCATTCCATTCCTTGCGTATACGCCTATCAGCACGCTTCTCCATATCTGTCACTCATCCTCTACATGGACAAAGTTTTAAGCTTTCTTGTCCTTTCCCCCATTCTCTCTTATACGATATCGATATTTCTCGCCCATGCTCAGCCACCCATGGGGAATATATCTCTCTCTCGTATTTGATGGCTGACAGATGCGGGGGAGTAGCTGAATAACGACATCCTCTTCCCACGTTTTACTTATACATGCCACTACACCATTTGGATCTATCCCTTATTCATCGATAATAAGCCCTGCATCTCAATAGATCAAGCCACTTTCAAAGTGTCACCCAAGGCATACGTAACCCCCCCCCCCCTCGTAAACTTCTGCACATGTACTACCATCTTGTCTTCTTGGCAATCATGCAAAGCCACGTCAAGTAGTAAGCCGCTTCTCACAGCGAGCATATCAAGCTGCTTCGCCGTCTCTATAAGGGACACGCGTTCAGTGGGGGTTCTGTCCTCGTATTAAACTCCATAGCCTCAAACTCGTCCATGGCCATTTTGAACGCCATCACAGATCCGCAAAAATACAGCCAAATAGCTCTTTCTGTTTTCTGCTGTTACATGCTTTGATTATTTATCTTTTACAAAGCTGAAATTCCAATGAAGAATATGCCAACGAATTCGGGTGTTCCCTCCGAATTGATCGTGTGATCCCACGTAGTCCCATTCTGGTATCATGGTCATCTCCCTACCGCTACACTTCTCCTCCTCATTTCTCCCTCAACTTGTACCCGGCACAGTTTATCCTTACTCAGGGTCACCTACTGACTCCGTCTCTGCCTCTGCCTCTGCCTCTGCCTCTGCTGCAGCTTTTCTATCAGCTGCTGCCGCTGCCTCCAAATCTCGAAGCTGCTTCTGTCCCTCTTCTGTCGTCGCATCAATCAGTTCTTCTTCAAGACTGAGGATATTGGCCTGAATTGATCGACTCTTGTCAGTATTTTATCCTTCACACCAATGAAATGTGTCTTGTCCGGCACCCAAACATAAATCATCTCAACTTACCTCTCCAAAGAGACCCACCAGCTCCTCCGCCGCGTCAATCTTCATGTTCCCCAATACCTTGTTGACCTCGTCCAATTCGCCCGTCTCGAGGGCCTTCCTCATTTCAGGATCAAAGCTTTCGTAAATCTTCCGGGCAGCCTGGGTGTCTGCGTCATCACTCACGGCAGGAGGAACCTTGATCTGAATACTGGTGCCAGGCTCCACAGCATGTAGCTGGATCTGCTCGACACCCTCTGCTGGCTCCTTGGCCCGCTCAGCAATGATTTCCAGAGACCTGTTCTTGATTCTCATGTATGTCTCCTGGACGTCCTTGTAAAAGACATCCTGTGCCTGATGACCCTTTGTGGTGATGCGCTTGAAGAAGAGCGCCACGCCATCTTTGCCCAGCGCACGGCAATATTGCAGTAATAGTGCTTGGTGAACAAGCTGGCGAGCCAAATCATCCTTTCGCTCCAGAGCTGCGTCAAACGCAAGCACAAGCAATCCGTCCGTCTCTCGCTCCGTCAAGATCTCAGGGTTCTGAGCCAGGAACTTTAAGCTAGTTGAATAGTCGCTGGCGTTGATTGCGCCAAACTTCTTGGCCGCTGGCGATGCCTCTATCTCGTCATCGTCATCCACCGCAACCTTGTCTGATGAAGACGCCCGGTCATATCCAGAAAAGTTGGGGTTCAGCAGCTCCACCTTTGTATCCTCCTTCTTCTCCGAGGGGCCTGACTTATTCACATGTGAGCTGTTGAATCCGTCGCGAATATTGTCACTCGTAATCTTTTGCCCCTCTTCCTTCTCGAGCTTCTCCAGCTCGGCCGCTTGTTCTTTCTGTAGCTCCTTAATCTTATCCACGTGCACCTGCATCTCTTCAAGCATTCCCGTGTACCGATCCTCGACCTTCTTCTCATCGAGAGTCTTGTTCACTTGGTCCAACAGCTGCATCAGCATTTTTGAGTATGTCGGCATGGGCTGGTCATCGCTGAAGACGCCCTCTGGTCGCGGGGGCGGCTGGTCGTCCTTGGGATCGCCGGCAGTGGTAAGGACAGCCTTGAAGGCAACCTGGGCCTGGTTCCCGGTAGCGGCTTCAGAGGCATTGGCCTTCAGATTGTCCAAGAGAGACACCACCCGTCCCAGCAAAGCGCTGTTGATCACCCGCTCATACTTGAGGGCCGTGATGCGGTTCTTCCGCTGCTGGCGCTCCGCGTGGATCTGGTTCTGCTTCGCTCGGATGAAAGACCGCTTGTCGACGTTGGGGTGGACTTCGATATCAGAGTCGTCGCTCACTTCAATCGCATCCTAGCGGGTCGAAGCCGCTGGTCAGTAAAATTGCCGGTCTAGCAAGAACATGCTTCGGTGACTTCATACGAATCTGCTGTAATCAATCGGCATGGTGGGCTGCTCTTGGAGCTGCCGGGAGCTCGTCGTAGGGCTTAGCAAGCAGGATGTACCGCGCGAAGAGACGAGAAAAATAGGATTCGTAGCTGCTGTATCAACGGTAGAATTTGTAGGCACCGACGTCTTTCTTCAAGGGCTGGATGAACAGATTTCCAAGCTTTCTTCAGGTCCTGGAACAGAAGAGAGAGGATGCCAAGGTGGGGCCGTTTTCTTGTCGATAGAAGTTCACCGAAGCTTTGGCGGGGTCGCATCTCCCTGTCCGCCCAAGATTTATAGAGCGATAGATAGCACACATGGCGCGCCATCTCCCAATAACTGCCCTGCAATCTCAACTCTCAAGAGAGCGCAATAAAGCCTGGAATACTCACCATCCATAGTCCATCCATAACTTGATCATTAGTCGCTTATTATTTTTTTTATTCGTTGATATCATACATCTTTCTTTTTCATTCAAAAAGATATCATGCCAAATACACACCTCACTCATCTCACACACCTAGGTACCCATGCGATTTCGATAACCCACAAGTGAAATCTATCATAGTACAGCCTAAGAGAAAGCCATTTGATTGTCAAGATATGACGAGTACCAGGGCAAAATAAAAACCCTAGCAGGATGAATTAATATTTTGTATGTAGCTATTGTTTTAACCTCTTTTCCTCTTTTTGTACCATTCCCTTCCACGTCTTAAGAGCCAGCTCCTATGTATAATCTGCTATCCGTTCACGCCATGGTCTTCATGAAATCGTCCAAGTCGAAACTCTCTTCGTACTGCTTGTTATCCCACAACTCTCCCAAATCGTCCAGCCACGCCTTTTTGCCCGGCTGCCGTAAAACATCACCAGTTTCGAGATCAACCATATCTTCCTCCCTTCCATCGATACCATTCTGCGGCTTATCGGATATGAGACTCGGTCCTGTGTCTCCCAGATTGAACAAATCAAGAATCTGGTCCGTGTCCATCGTCGCCAGGCCGGCATTCTGCTGGTTGACAACTGTAGAGGCCACATCAATCTTGAAACGCTGGAGGCTGAGGATCTTCTCCTCCAATGTGCCACGAGTAATGAGACGATAGACGTTGACCACCTTCTTTTGACCGATTCGGTGAGCGCGGTCCATAGCTTGCAAGTCTTTCTGCGGATTCCAGTCGTGCTCCACGAATATGACTGTATCTGCACCAGTAAGATTCAGACCGAGACCGCCAACACTGGTGGTCAACAAGAGCACATCGTATGAAGGGTCGCTGTTAAACTTGTTGACAATGTCTTGTCTCTTGTTCGCCTCGACCGATCCATCAAGCCTCAGATAGGAAACCGAGGGTAGCATTTCTTTGAGCACCTTGGTCTGGACCATGTCTAACATTTCCTTCATTTGGCAGAAAATGAGGGCACGATGAGGTTTGATGGGCTGGTATAGTGGATCGTTGGCATCATCTCTATCGTCGCCAATGCCACAATCAATCAAGAGATCTTTAAGAGCCGTGAGCTTCGGTGCATGGTGAGCATCCTCGATGGATGTTCCCTGCTTCTGAAGAATCTTTTGTGTCTCGGCATACAGATCGCTTCCTGGTTTCATAACCATGGCAGGAGAGTTGCACAGCTTTCGCATATATTGCAGAGCTTGGAAGATGTGCTGTTTGGCCTCTTTATCTTCTCGACCAGCCTCCGCTTGAATTTTCTTGCCCTGTTTCTTAGTAAAGTCTTCGAATAACTTCTTTTGTAGATCGCTGAGATCGCAGTAGTAATTCTGTAGAATCTTGGGGGGTAAGTCGTTCAACACTTCTTCCTTGAGGCGACGGAGCAAGAAGGGAAGCACTTGTTTGTGCAGAGCCTCAATCGCCAAGGCTCCAGCTTCTTGCTCCTTAGAAGACGCTTTGCTATATCGACTTGCCGCAATAGGCTTCGCGAATCGGTCCAAAAACACTTTTTCGGCTCCAAGGAATCCCGGCATAAGAAAGTCAAACAAAGACCAGAGTTCCAACACGTTGTTTTGAATTGGCGTGCCCGTAAGGATAAGTCGGTGGTTACTGGCCAGCCTCTTCACAGCCTGGGTGATCTTGGCTTTGGGGTTTTTTATCAAGTGACCCTCATCCAGGACAACATAATTCCAACTGTGTTTCTCCAGAATTTCCGAGTCATTTCTTGTAACGTCATATGATGTAATAACAATATCGGTGTCGCCAAGTCTATCTTTCATGGCTTTGCGCTCTATTGGAGGCCCAACATACGCAGTAACGCTGAGGAAGGGAGCATACGTCTTAATCTCCTGTTGCCAGTGACCTGATAGTGTAGGAGGGCATACAATCAGAGACGGCAGCCGCCTTACATCAGGGGCTTGCGTTTTTGCAAACTCTTCCTGGCGCTGATGATGATCACTGGCCACGATACAAATGGTCTGCAGAGTTTTTCCGAGGCCCATGTCATCGCAAAGAATACCATGGAGGTGATATTTGTTGAGAAAATTGAGCCAGTTAACACCATCTTGTTGGTATGAACGAAGTTCTGCCTTGATAGCCACGGGGATCTGGAACGGTTCGACTTTCTTGGGATCGAGAAGCTGGGCGATGAATGTTCGTTCTCGGTCTCGACCCTTGAGAAGCTCTTCGGACAGGCCAGGCGGATCGGGAATCCCAGCCTCGAGGGGCACTAGTTTGACCAGTGTGGCGAAAGACGTGGTAGCAATGAGACGAATCTCATTGTCGGAATCACTCATTCGGCCAAGAACAGGTACAATCAAGAAGATGACATAGGGGAGAATCGCGTCGCCCATGACGGCAATCAGATGGTAGATGGCTTCAATCACGCCTTGGCGGAAATTGAGGTCAAGAGGGTTGCTGATTGACGGCAAGACCTTTTCCACCAACGCCGTCATTCCATCCACAGTAATGACACTGCATATAGTAGCTAGACATTTGGCGGCCATGTAGCGGAAAACCGAGAGATCAGAATGCAGGGCCTTGATAACAAGCGGCATCATCTCCATAACAAATGGGTGAAGGCTCTTATCCAAGGTAGGCGTCATGGTCCGAATAACTGACATTGCATCGACAATCTCCTGACCGAATGCTAGCTCAGGATCTCGGGCTTCTAAAGGCAAGTCTGCTGTGAAGGCCTTGACTAGCGCATCTTTCATGAAGCCCTTCAGACTTGGTACAGAGTCGAACAAGGTTGCGCCGTACGTCTTTGACAGTATCTCCAAGGCTTCCTTTGCACCTCTGCGCGTGATCCTAGCAGCCTTGGCTTCCCTCGCCCACTTGGCGGCATCTGGATGATCAACGCGGTCTTCTTCCTTCTGCATGGAGAGAATGCAGCTGGTTTTAGTAGCATGAACGGGGAACTCTGGGGTTTCAGCCACTTCCACGCAAGAAAATTTGACCAAATTGGCGACAACCTTGTCCGCAGGACCACGCCTTCCTTTTTCTGCGAATAGTTGAACAAGTTTTGCGATGGCTTCTGATGAGCGGCTCTGGAGCTGGTGATTCTCTTCAGTCTTGATGGAATCCATAATGCCTTTGATGAGAGGGCTGGGCTTCTTAGGCAACAGTTTCATGGCCACCATGGCGCAAGCTGCGCCAGCCTTGATTCTAACGTCGCGGGCATCCTTGAATGCCTTGGCTTCTTCTATAGCTGATACTGTGTTGTCGCGAGCGTCGGCTAGCTGCTGGCCAGCGATCAGCCGTTGACCAGGAGGCATAAGCTTCTTGAGCCTCTCGAAATCTTCACCCACGCATTTTTCCGCGGTCGTAATAGAAAAGGCGCTAGGACCAGCTTCAGCTTCGCCTTGAACCACGACAGGGAGGGTAGGCAGCTTGCTATGGGGGACTTTGCCATGGTCGCGGAATAGATGAAGCAGTTGCTGGCAAAGGCTCCTCGCTCTCTGCACAAAGGTCACCAAATCTCTGTAGGCTGAAGGGCGATCTGATTCCACGATCCGCTGCAAATGATCCAAGTAGCGGCCAGGATCTTCGGCTGTTTGGCAATTTCTCGCAAATTCGTCAATGACGAGACAAGCAGTCAGCTGTGTGGAGGAGAAGGCGGAAGTAAGGCCTGGTATAAGCAGGGCATCATAATCATCAAGGTTTCCTGAAGGGACCAAGGACATGACGAGGCCCATGGCCTGAGCAGCCGAGACTCTTGACCGAATCAGCACATCCAGACCAACGAGATCAATGTCGCCTTGCATCATGTGGCCATCTACATCATGTGTAAGGCCGGCAGGTGTGGGCTCTTCGACCCTGGTGGATTTACGGCGACGTTTTACTGGTCGATCAAGGCCATCAGGCGAGGAAAGCCGCCGCCCACTAGGTTGCATCGGCCCTGACGCCGAGTAGCTACCACCGGAGGGCTTCTGGAATAGGCCGGCATGCATGGGGATCGGATGCCGTGATACGCCAATGGGATGCAGCGTCAACTGCATCAGGTTGTCAATGTGAGGAGCAAATTCGTCAGCAAGGATGGCAGGATTCTTTGCTAATGTGCGGACGAGAGCACTCCAGAGCTGCAAGGACATGTCAAGGGTTTCCTTATCCCTCTCAACAAGGATATTCTGGAAGATGAGGCGGAGGATTCTCCCGTTGAGCCAGCCCTGTGATGTATCATCGCCAAGATTCGCAAAAGTGAGAAGAGCTTTCAGTACAGCAAGCCGAACAGACGTGATTGTGTGACGTAAAAATGGATAAAGGCGCGGAACCAGTAAAGTGAAAGATCGCTCTTCATCTTGAGCAGCAGAAGACTTCATCGATTCGAGAACTTGAGGGAAGCCACAAAGAGTAGCAAGAAGATCCATGATTCGGCCCGTGCTAGCGCTCAAATCGTCGCCCAAGTTGGACAGGCTCTCCCACACGATATTAGTCAGGCCATCGAGGGCTGCCGGCCGCATCGTGACAAACTCTTGAGCCATGGGTATCAGAGTGGCGGCACTGACTGACCGAACATCGTCGTCATTGTCACCTAGGCCCTTCATCACGGCTTTGATGACACCGTCAATCATATCCCCATCTTGGAGGAGCAGGTCTTTCCTAACAGCAACAACATATCTAAGGCCGATCATGCCGCCATGGCAAACAGCCCAGATGGGAGAGTCCAATTTAAGATCTTCATGCATTACCATCCGGTAGAGGATTCGGTAGATGTCGTAAAC